TGAAGATATTCATGATTGAGAAGGCAGGCCATATTTACTTCTTGCACGAGGATGGGGAGAACCTTCTCAGCGAAACTCCCAACATCCGTTGATATTTGTAAAAATTTTTCTTCGTTCACTTTAGTGACATATCCATTGGGTCGATCGGCTGAAATAATTTGCATACACAGACCTTTGATTTGAGAACATAGTGCATAAATCAGTATATCATAAACAATAGATAGAGCAACTTCTTATTTTACCGGAATGTACAACAACAAGCGCACATAAATGACTAGCATCTCTTTGCTTTTTGTGCAAAAGCATACCAAGCAATGTCTTTTAAAACTCTCAGCAGTTTCGCATTTCTTTCAATTTTCATTTTGTTGCTGTTTAGGTCGTAGTTTTTCCGCCGCTCCATACTCTAAACGCTTGGTGCTTTTTGGATGCTTTTCTCTTATAAGGAAATCAAACCGCCGTCCCATATCTTTTCGAACTGTATTGTACACGTCTCCCAAAGTCCTTTTGGGGTTTTTTCCTTACTGCAGATGCCAATGATGCCCCCTCATCTCTAAAAACGCTTGACAACTCAATACAAAAGTTTTAATAGAAATGCATAAAAATGTGCTTACCTTATCATCTCCAGCCCTTTTCCAAAGCATCTGTCAATATTACACCACAAGTGTATATTATACCAGTTTTCAGAGTGTTCACTTGCGAAATTATCAAGTTCGTACTCTTGTAAAAGCATATGTATGGATTGGATTCAACAACCCATACATATGCTCGTCTTGATCGTAGTTGTCTTCCCCAACTTTCTTTTTCATTCAATGTTTTTCTTATGTCTACTGTTGATTTGTAGTTGAATTTGTTTAAATATTGTTTAAAATTGTCAGGCAGTTGCAATGGTACGTTGTCACAATTAGACATTATCTCCTCAATCTCACCACTCGTAAATATTCCATGTTTGTTATACAGTTCAGAATCGTTGACATCAAAGATTAAAGACTGAGAAGGATGCTCTTCAATTTGAAGCTTGCCAAATTCATATAATTGATTTTCTACCACTGTCCCAGTTGAGAGATGTGATATTTGTAGTTGTTTTATGTTCAGTGAACGCGACTTATAACTTTGATATAAACTGTAAGGTGAAATGAGTCTCCTTTAGTCCTTTTATTATACACTGAAAATCAGAGAGGGAAGCGTTCATGGCGAACTGGATGTTTATATTTGACAACAAAAGGAAGAAAAGAAAAGAAGAGAAATAAAAAAAAAAAAGAGCTAAATACTCGTTCCTGAAATTCTCAACCAGTAGGAATGCAGCATTATGTATACGTATGTCTCTAGAGTACAAGGTGACGTGTACTAAGTGTTAATATGATTCTATGATCATAATAACGAGTCAAATGCTTGAAGGTGTGTCTAATTCGTCTTTATATATTATCGGAGGTATGGAAATACCACAAGAGAGTCCATTTTTTTTCGCTCTTAAGAGTTTTAAAGCTTGTGTCTACTTCTGGTCTTGCCATGGGGGCTAACAAAAGCGATTAGTAAAAAATAAATCAAAAAGTTTCGCCACAATACGTACTATGCATCTTCTCTAGATGATTCCCGAGCTCACTGGTGGTATCATAATGAGCAGAGCAGCTAGGGCAACCATAATTTTTTTTTTACATTTTGCTTTGAACAGATAGAGTATTAAACAAAATAACAATAATAAATCACTCAATTTTAGACCTACTCTCTTTCTTGCAGCAGACATAGAAATATATTTTTTGCTACAGAATGGAATATTAGACAGAAAGGAACAAGAAGTAAAACCCGCTCTTTGCTGACTCTAATATATTTATATGGCGTTATATTATACTTGCGTTGGTGTATTATAATTTCTACACTTTGCTGATGGAAGATTTTTGCCTGGTGTACAAGGATTGTTATAGTGAAATTATATTTCAGCTATGAGCACTTCAGCTTCTGACATACCTTCGACATTTTCATAGTGGTCTCTCAAGTTTCGAGCATTAGAAAATTCTGAACCTTCACAAAGATGGCAAGCATATACTATTGTGTAGTACTCAATATCAGGCACTATTATGTTAAAAGAGAAACAGGTAGCTATTGACATATTTTCATAATTCAAAATGTTGGTAAGATTGTCTTTACTTGTCAATGTCTAGTGCTTTTTTACGCTGTTATCAAAGTTGTAAATAGTGGTGAACGAGAATTTTTAAAGCATTCATCAATGCGCGTTTATGGCTGCGTTTATGGCTGCGTTTATGGCTGCGCGGGAATTTAAAAAAAAGATGGTTGGCTTTATGGCTGCGTTTATGGCTGCGTTTATGGCTGCGTTTATGGCTGCGTTTATGCCTGCGCGGGAATTTAAAAAAAAAGATGGTTGGCTTTATGCCTGCGCAGGGATTTGAGAGAGCGCCTTTCTGGTTGCGCTTTGGTAATTATTATAAAGGTTCATTAGACCAGATGTAGAAAAGATAGGAAACAGATAAAAACACTAGGGATGTAATACTTTACGGATGTGGCGTATATATAATATATATGAGAGATAAAATCTCTTTAATGGCGTAGCAGGTGTCATGACACTCAGAGTGTGTCTTCAATTGTAAAGGATGACTCTCTCTATTTGCGTTGGGCTTACAATAAAAGAAAAAGTAAAGCCTGTTTAATTATAGTCCTGTACCCTCCAATACTAATAGTGATACTTTATTATTTGAATATTAACACATAATCGTTTGATTTCCATCATTATAAAGCCAACTATACGCATTTTAGGTGAACTATTATTTGCCTTGGTAATTATTAAAGACATCACAGTATGTACTGCAGGATGTATTGAAAGCATGTAAATCCTTTTCATACCTGCATACAGCTTACATTCCTAAGAGTGTATTTTTTATCAAATGCTGAAAGACTACTGCCCTGGCAAAGCAACATTGCGTTCAGTTATACACGTTATGAAGTTTTTGTCGAAATCTGCAAATTTGGCACAATCATAAACGCAGGCATAAACGCAGGCATAAAATCGACCATCTTTTTTTTTTGAATTCCCGCGCAGCCATAAACGCAGCCATAAACGGAGGCATAGTGCTGTGATATTTGTGGTTGTTACATGTTTAGTAAACGCGACTTATAAATTGATATAAACTGCAAGATGAAATGAGTCTCTTCCAGTCCTTTACTATACACTGAAACTAAAAAAGGGGAGCGTTCACGGCAAACTGAATGTTTTGTCTTTAAAAATGAAAAAGGTCCTCGTTCCTTAATTTCTCAACCAGTAGGAATGCAGCATTATATATGCCGGCTTGTCTCTGAAATACAGATGACATGTATTCTATGGCCCTAATAACGAGTTCTTTAAAGGTGTGTCTCATTTGTGCTTATATATTATAGGAGGTATGGAATCAAACATTTATCCTCCTGTGTACGTTCATAACACCAACTCCACCATTCTGCTCTGTTCGATGGGTCCTTAGCATCTCTGCCACAGCCCTCACCATTACACTGAGAACATAATGAGGGCAGCTCTGTCATCCGATGGAAATGGCTTGTCGTATTTGTGGAGGTTTCCTTTATTCTCTTTGTCTACTTTTCAGTGCCTTCTCTTGGCCTGCTTATTTGATCATGGCAAAAAGAACCAAATTTGAGTACATTATTAAATACGTCAACAACCCAGTTGGACAAAACAAAGAATTCTTGTTCAGGACGTTTATCAGACCTTGATTGGATAAAGCATTTACATGGCCTTTTATCGTGTATAGGTCTATATAATTTTACCTTCTTAATACACAATTGCTTCATTAGAATCCCAGCAGCTATAGAGATATTGCATTTTTAGGCAGTTGTAAGCTGTTGCGGGCAGTTGCATGCGAATGTCATTTCTCGACGCGTCATGTCGAAATTACCCAGTATGTGGATAAAAATGAATGGAGGTTGATCTATTCAAGATATAACACCACAAGAGCCTTAGGCTCTCAACAGCATCAGCTTACAAACTCTCTTGCCATAGCCTGTAGCCATCTGAACATGCTCACAACAGCCTGCCGCTCACAACGTCTCACAGTGTATACTGATAAAAGCTTCTTTTTTTGTTTTCTTGTTTTCGCTTCTGCCATTATAAAATGTGTGTTCCAAGTTTTCCGGGCGTTATGCCGAGTGCAGCCAAGTAAAAAATGCCCCCCCCCGGCTTTCCGCTATAGATGGATACATTGAACGTCCTTTGACAAGTTGAACGTTCCTATGGCCTTGGACGTCTCTGTGCGTATAGCCCATTTACTATGGGTTTGTTTCCGACGTGCACAACAGTTGGTGAATGAACAGTTGTTGATATCATTGTGGAGGTTTTTTTTTTTAATTTTTGAATGTAAATTTTGCCCAATTTTTGTCCGTTCGTCTTTAAATCTTGTTCCTTTCATTAGGTTATTGCTTGCGACTTGAACTGTTTGGTTAATATCAAGAGAGGCAATGCCAGTGCCACCTATTATCTCTGTTAAGGTTTGTTCAGATGATGTCTTTTTCAAGTTTGAATATGCTATGAAAGAGTTGTAGTGAGTTGCTGCCAAACTGACATTCCATTTTTTTCCGGGAACGCTATCGGTGCGGTGCAGCAGCGCCCAATGCATGATGCCTACCTTGACAAAGATGTTTAAAAATGCAACCAGACTCATTTAAAACCTTGACTACTGTTAACAATAAAATGACAGCTATTGCTTTCTACATGACCCACGAAATGTTCTTGCTGGTTACCAACGTTTGCAAGTGTACCTGCATTGTCTCTATTTTTAAGCTTTTCATTGGAGCTATGGATAAAGGTATGTAAAAAAAACGAGCCATCTTTTCTCGCCTTCCACAAGGTTGCTAAAAAACCGGCGATGGGGGGTGTATTCCATTCGTTTCCTATGGATGATAAAGTAGTGACTAGGGATGACAGTTACAATTGTCGCGTGCCGTTTCTCCTTCCATGATGTTTGATCTGCTCAGTGTTTTGCCGTTCATTAAAGTAAAACCGTTGCCATAGGGGATCACGTTGGACAGCTAGAGTGGGAGGGACAAGCTGAGATTATATATCAGGTACTTTTTTCTCTCCACTTTTAGATTGTTCCTTTTTCTGTTATTTTTTTTCTTTCTTCTCTTAAAATGGTTTCATTCAAGTTGAAACAGTTGAATAGCCTGGCTGTTTTAGCCTCGAGCCTCTTTCTTTCTACCGCCTTTGCGCTGACAAAAGATCAAATTGCGTTGCAACATGCTGTCTACAAAGCACAAGGGTATCATATCTTGCAGAATCAAAACGTAGAAGGATACTCTGTCAGAATAAAACAGCCTCAATCATGTGAAGAAGGTGTACAAGTAAAGTAGACTGCTGTATTCATTGATAAAGAACACGTTCTTTATTCACTCTATAAAATATAACTGTAGTACTCGGGCTACATTGATAAACATGACACGAATGATCATTTCTTTTTCTATTTCTTTGAATCAAGAACGGATCCAGAAAATGACCCTACTGTTCTATGGCTCAATGGTGGTCCTGGCTGTTCATCGATGATGGGTTTATGGATGGAGTTGGGGTAAGAGCGAGCACAGTGATCAGCCAGAAAAAAAAAAGAAAAAAAAAGAGAGGTGGCATCTGCACACACGTCGTACCGTATATTAAGATGGACACACTTATTTTATCACTCGGCTGTTATAATGATAGTCCCTGTCAAGTGAATGAATTTGGTAATGGTACTATACGAAATCCTTATAGCTGGAATACGGCTGCCAATGTCATCTTTTTAGATCAGGTAATTTTAATTTTATTTGCATCCATGACGATGACTGCAAACGCACAGACGCAATGAAAATGGACTGAGCCCCTATGGAAAAAAAGCCAGTGAATGTAGGCTATAGTTACGGCGATTCCAAGATCCGTGATACGAGTGAGTCCGCACGTGATGTCTACGCATTTTTACAGCTCTTCTTTTCAGAATATACGAAATACGCTACGAGTCCTTTCCATTTGGCAGGCGAGTCTTATGCCGGTCATTATTTACCTGCTATTTCAGCAGAAATCATTAAAAGAAACCAAGAGATAGAGGAGAAGGGTACTGATGCACATGGATTAGTGAAGGAACAAAACAGAGTGGATCAGGAAGAGGAGACGAATCATGCTCTCGATGCGGTCAATGCGACTGACAAGGCCATCTCCACGGACGCTTCTCGTATCCGCCTCCACTACGAGTCTGTTATGATTGGGAATGGATGGACCAACCCACAAATTCAATTCCGCGAATATGCCGCGTACGGCTGCACCAACAAAGACATTTCGGACAAGCCCAGCAGTGAGTACAGACCGTTCTTGAACCAAACGGTGTGTGCTGCTATGAACAATACGTATCCACGCTGTCAATCGCTGATGGATACTTGCTACCGCAATCCCAGTCCTTCCACATGCGTGCCTGCGGATATGTTTTGCGAACAATCTCAAACAGGGGCATTTGATGCGACGGGATTGAATCCTTACGACATACGTCGAGCCTGTGAGGGTACCAGTGGACTGTGTTACGATCAAATTGCTTTGATTGAGCAGTATGCCAATTTACAAGAGGTCAAGGAGAATTTGGGTGTCGATAAGAGCATTGTTCAATACGAAAGCTGTAGTGACGCAGTAGGTTACCGATTTTTCCAAGCAGGTGACAAGTAAGTGGATGAAACCCAGTTTTTTTTTTTTTTCTTCAAGCGTGCTATCACTCATCTCTCGATATCATTCGATTTCAATCGGTGACAGTGCTCATGATTACACCCAAGATATTGCATTGACGTTGGCATCCGGCGTACGTGTATTGATTTATGTCGGTGATATGGATTGGATCTGTAACTGGTAATAGGATGCTTGCTTTACGAAAAGAAACAAAAAAGCGGGAAAAACTCATTTTTTTTTTTGTAGGATGGGTAATTTGGCCTGGACTTTGGAAATGGAGTGGTCTGGTAAAGAAGAGTACAATCAAGCTCCTTTTGAGAGCTGGTACAGTGATTTTACCGCTACGCAAGCCGGCGAGTCAAAAACAGCCAATAATCTGACGTTCTTGAAGATATTTGATGCTGGACATATGGTACCGTTTGATCAGCCCAAGAATGCTCTAGACTTTGTCAACAAATGGCTCAATGGCTTCTCATTAGTAAACTAAAAGGATCATGTATCCCTCGTTTTTTTTTTTTTTTTTTTTTAAAAAAAAAGTCTTGCTACTGTATTTGTATCCTTCATTAAAAATAGAGATGCAGCGTTGTGTATGCTTTCACTCCGTTACCGCTATTACATTGAGAAGATTGAAAAAAGTCTCAGTTCTGCTGTCTGCTATGGGCATAGGATTGCATCATGTGCGACATCTATCCCTTGGACAGAATAAACATCCCAACCTAAAAGTGGATGAGTAATGAGGGTCCTACAGGAATTCACTTGAGAGCAATGGATGAAAAACCATCTCCGTTTCACCCCTTTGTAGGTTACATTTCTTATTGACTAAAAGTAAACATCTTGATAGGAACACCCGCCTCCCGTTTTCATTTGTCAAGTTCAAAAGAAAAGAGACATGGTTTAGCATGAATTTACAGGATGGCAAGTGTTTTCGGCCCTTCTATCAAGATACACAAAAAAGGAAGAAAGGGAGTGGGGGAGTGGGGAGTGGGGGGGGGGTGTCTAAGGAGCAAATAAGAAACAATTGACAAAGTTTTACAGTTTATCGTACTGACCCTATCCATAGCTATCTCTTGGTATGAAGGGGAGCTGGTCATGAATGAATGGCTGTAGCACGCTGTTCTACTGACAGCCATTCCTGTTTATATCTATGCAAATGAACAAAGCTCAGTGAGACTGGTAGAATTCAGGTGAGTCACATCGACGCGCTTCTACTGTATTATAACTGCTTGGCAAACTGAAAAAAAGAGGTATTTGAAAAAGGGTCGCTTTTCATGAATCTACAAAGTACCATCATGGGACTTTTTCTTTTCAGATGAAGAAACGTACTCTACATCAGGGAACGGTATTATCCTAGCCCACTTTATCGAATGGGGACAAGAGAAGAAACCCAACTTGTTATCTGAGGCGTGTGGCATGGACCCTCTACCAAGTCATTCGATGACACTCATGACGAGTAGAATAAAGAGTGACACCCTACGCTGTTGGCTATCTCTGATGGCTTTCTTCGTCATAAGCACTTTGCCCCCCCCCCTTATACACATTCAGCTTTATGGATACCAAGCTCTTTCCATGAGGGGCAGCTTTTTTTTTTTTTTTTTTTTTTTTTTTGTTTGTAGCTATGCCCTTTTTCCAAGGTCATCTCGCTTCCTATCCGGCTAGTGATGGAGTGTCATTCTCTGCCAGGGCATCCTTGTTGCAAAAACAAGTCTCGACAAAGCTCGATTGACTTTATCGGTGGCTCAATGGCATCCGACAAAGATGGGAAGCGCTTGATCAAAGAGAGAAAGGATAAAGCTATTACGTGTTGATAGAAGTCGTTGATAGATTGCGTCGACGGTCGTCATGGAGACAGAATGAAACTTGGGACGTTTCTTTTTTTTTTTAACCATGGGATGCCATTGTTTCACGCCATCTCTCTTTTGAACTGATCCAGACCGTCCACAAGTTAAAAAAATGTGCCAAAGTAGCTGAACAATGTTGCGCGCAATAATAAAGATGAACGGATGCACTTCCTTTGCAGTTCTTCATTAGGATCTTTTTCAGCGCTACCGTTTTGCTACAGAAGAACGAGAAAATTAAAAATGGAAAAAAGAAAGCTTTGTCGTACGTGTCTTCTGTAGTTACCCTTCCGTACCCGTCTTGAGCGCGCATTAGAGCAGCCATGTGAAGAATAGGCGTCCACCCGAGCAGACGCTCATCTCTTTTGGGTGGCCCCATGATCACGACGGTGGTCAACTGTTTTTTTTTTTTTTTTCTTTTTTTGAAAAATGGGTCAATGCGAGCTTTCCATGAATTTTACTTGATAAGGAAAACAAGGGGAAACAGGGGCCCTTTTTTTTTTTTAATTCGACTGTGGTCAATTAAAGTTTTTCTTTCGTTTAACGTTACAGTAAGACAGCAAGTCTGAAATTCGATGTTTGGAGGGATCTCGTTTACTAGGAAAAGCAAGTGGACTCGAGCAGCATTTCCTCATTTTTTTGAAAAAAGGGACCTTTATCTCGGTGGGATGTAAACGATAGAATAGACAAAAAAGAAAGACACGTAGAAATGCACAAGTAGTATCTTTTTTTTTCTTTTTTGTTTTATGTGGGAGGAGTTGGAAATGAAAGAAGGACCCTTTTTCCTGCTGTAAGACTTTTATATAACACAGATGTAAATGCATATAGATAAATATAGATAGATAGATAGATAGATAGGTAGAGAGATAGGCACTTCTATAGGAGCCAATAGGTTGAGCCCCTCGTCCCAATGATCTTGTAGAGAAGGGATAGGAGGAAACGTTACTGTACAGATAGAACAATATCATCGACATGATTGCCCTCCCCTTAGAAAGAGGTGTTGAGAAATACAGCATGAACCACCGTTAGAAATAGCAAGTAAGCGAGTGATCATCACTTGAGTAGACGAGCAAAAAGAGAAGAGTATCCATCAAGCAAGCAGTGTCTATGTAAAAACCAAGAGAAACAAAAAGGTGTACACTTCACCTTTTCTTTTTTTTTTTTTTTTTTATTATGATTTGCTGAATGCAGATGAAATAAAAAAAAAAAAAAAAAAAAGGGATCATGATCAAATCAGGAAAAACTGTTCTTTTCACTTTTTGTGTTCCTTGTACCTCTCTTCTTTTCTTTCTTTTTCACTTTTTTTTTCCTGGCTGTTAGAGAGAGAGAGAGAAGGTCTTGTTTTGAAAGCAAAAAAGAAAAACGATTTTTCACACACAAGAACAAGAGAACACATTTTGTTCTTTTTTGTTCACGTTGCCATCCTACTTGTAGACTCGAAAGATGACACCACCACCACCACCACCACCACCACCACCTTCTGCCACACCTATGGCCATGGCTTCGAATGGCTCCTCTCAATTCTTACAACAACAGCAGAGATTGGAACCGAAAGAGACACTTTACGATTTAACCCAACATATCATGGATGCAGAATTAAAGCAAGCGATTCGAAAAGAAATCAAGAGACTTATCACAGATTATGATCGACTTTTATCTGTTCTTCAGCAGAGATCAGAAATTCTTGAACAGGAAGTGGAACACTTGCAAATGACGGAGGAAAGTTATCAAAAAAGATATGAAAAAGCCGTTCGAGAAATGCAATTTTTCAAAAAGAAATACGAAAAAGCATTGACAGGGAGACCTCGTAGTCCCTCTTTGGAATCCAACCACACTTCTTCGACCTGTTCCACGACGCATGAACATTATCCAGCCGCTTCTCTAAGGCAAGCACCTTCTATGGCGTTACCCAGCAGTAGCCCATTACCTTTTGAACATGCCACCAGTCATCCACCACAGCAACAACAACAACAACAGATGTCTTTTTCGCATCCTCCTTTGCCACCCTTGCCTTCCTTACCAGAAAAAAGTAATCATCATCATCATCATCATCATCTTAATAATAATCATAATAAACAACAACAACATCTTTCACGGTCCTCGTCCTCCTCCACCACTTCTTCTAATGCTTCTGGCACCCTCTTCAGTCATTCTACTCATGGGCCACCCTCTCATTACCCTCATAGCAACATGTCACCATCGTCTTTGGGTGGTGATCCCATGCCTCTTACCCCATCTACTGCGGTTGCGACAAACAATGGTGGCATCGTACTCCCTTTTCGCCTACGTCAAAATTCAAATGCTACAGCCGCTACTTTAGCCAGTACGATCAGCAGTGGTGCCTCCTCCGCCGCCTCATTGCATTCCAATGCAGGACAGAATGTGTTTGATGAAAAAACGCAATATCATGCTTCTTTATCGCATTATTCTCATTCACAACAAGGAAGAAAAGGATCATGGCAACATCCTAGCAGCACAGCCTCTCACGCCAGTCCATCTGGCCCACCTTTACCCACAAGCACTGCTTCCTCTTCTTCTTCCCCTGCTGCTGTCGGAGGAGGAGGTGGAAGTCTGTATGAGACGAAAAGCAAGAGGATGCACCATGACAACACCCCACCCTCTTCTTCTTCCACAGGAGGGGCTAGCCATAGCAAAACAACCACCCCCACCACCCTACATGTCACCAGCCCAATAGGATATGCTCATCCATCTGTGATTCAACAAAGTAAAGTCGATCCTTTATCGTTTGGAGGGTCGGATGCGTTTTGGGAAACGATTTCACGAGAGAGCAGCAATACGCAAGATACAAATACAGAAAAGATGATAAGGTGAGTTGAAAGAATAAACATAATTTTAAATCATACGCAGCTCCTCCTCGGGGGCTAACTCTCCCACCCCATGTGCCTTTGATAGCAACTTTTTACGTCGTGGCGGATCACCGAATACAGCCAAGCAATCTGCGAGTTTTCAATGTGTGAAATACGGGTATGGCATGCTTCACACGATGGTGGTACTGAAATCAATGACCGGTCTGGAGCTCCTTCTGCAACATGGCGCGAATCCCAACGCGCTCACGCTTTCCATTGAAGACGAAAAAGCGACACCGGGGTACTTGGCGTCGCGTAACGGCTGGCTTCCAGGACTGCAGGCACTCGTGGAGGCAGGATGCGACCTCCGATTAGCGCGTGGTGGCGGTGGACGTCAACAGACGGCGTTACAAGTAGCGGCGGAACACGGACATACGGCGGTGGTGGAATACATTGTGTCGTTGACACCGCCTTCTTACCATGCGCAAGTGGATGGCATGGGAGCCAGTGTGTTGCATTATGCAGCAGGAGGAGGTCATGTCGATTTAGTGAGAGGGCTTGTGCAAAACTGTCCCGTGTTGTCAGTGGATCAGTTAGATGAACGAGGTGAAAGTTGTCTGCATTGGGCTTCTCGTCATGGGCATTGGGAAGTGGCGTCATGGTTGATTGAACGATGTGGTTGTGATTTCAATGCGTATACACCGGTGACACGACAGAATCACAAACTGATAAGTGGTTGCACGCCTTTGGATTTAGCCAAAGCAGGTAATCATAAGCGATTAGTAGAGTATTATAAAAAGCTTGGCGCCTTGACGGCGAAGAAGATGGAAAAGAAGAGAGAAGAAGAGTTGGAAAAGACCGTGCCTGTTCATCTGGAATCAGCATTGTCGAAAAACGGCTTGTTTGGTTATTGATCTCATACTACTTCATAAGCTAAAATCAGCTGATGTGACCCTAATAGCAAATTGCATCCGTTTGACATGGAAATTACGTAATAAAACAAAAAAAAATGTGTGTTGAACCTTTTTTTTTTTTTTTTTTTTTTTTTTTTTTTTCATTCAAACCTATAAATTATCCCACTCTCCTCTTTGTGAATGCCTCATTTATTTCCCCCCCCCTTTTCATCGATATTTAAAAATATGAGTTTACAAAACAAGACGATTGTGATCACTGGCGCTTCTCGCGGTCTTGGTTTAGAATTTGTCAAGCAACTTTCCGCCGCCGGTAATGTCGTGTTTGCAGGTGCTCGTCACCCCGACCAATCGAAAGAATTACAAGAGCTTGCTCAAAAGTGCGACAAGGTGCATCCGTTGGTACTGGATATCAGTGAAGATGCGTCCATTCAAAAGGCGGTAGAAGAAGTATCTCAAAAGGCACATGAAGGCATTGATATATTGATCAACAATGCAGGCAAAGCTGGACCCAAGAAAACGGCCACTGACACGTAACGAAGGATAGCCTTTCTTGTAGCCCCCCCCCATCCCACAGAATGTCTCACCACCGCTTTTTTTTTCTCTCTTGTAGTGAAAGAGATGAGTTTATCGATGTGTTGGATACCAATGTCGTTTCCGTGGCGCGCAATATCAAATTTTTCCTTCCTCTGCTTCAAAAACGGGGCAAAGACCATCTCAAAAAGATCCTGAACGTTTCCTCTATCGCGGGTTCCATGGAGCATCGTGAGGAACAGGGATCGGATAGCATGGTCGCCTACGCTACCTCCAAGGCGGCGCTCAATATGATGATCAAGGCCGTGGCCAACCAACTCAAAGAGGACAATGTCGTTGTGTTTTTAGCGCATCCAGGTTGGGTAGCAACCGACATGGGAGGTGACAAGGCACCGGTTCAACCTCAAGACTCTATTCGTGGCTTACTCAAGGTATTAAACGACGTGACCACCAAGGATAACGGTAAATTCTATGATTACAAAGGCAAACAAGTAAAGTGGTAACAAGCATAGCATGTGTATATAAAAATAAATCGAGAGTCCACTCGAGTGTAGAGTTGTTTTCTATAAGAAACGTTTCCTCATGGCAAAGGGGCGTTATAAAGAAGCCATCGAAAGCAAGCATAGTGGGATGACACATGAGCGCTTTTGAAATGCAGACAGAAAGAGTAGAATGTGTCTTGTCCATAGAGGGCCCTTTGCTTTGTCGCCTGCTTGTGGATACGATGCATGCTGCCATGTCGCTTCTCCATAAGCACAGAAAAGTGGGTTGCACTGCTCTTCCTTCTTTCTTTTCTTTCGTGTCTGTCATCCCTTTCGAGAACTATCTAGACCCTCTTTCTGTTAAGAAATGCTTGCTTTGTGTTGATTGTTACAGTCGAGCTGTTGGTTACAAGATCCATGTTTTATTTTCACAATGAATAAAAAAGTCGCTGGTGGTTGCACAGAATAGAAACCATGTATTTTTGGTCACACCAATACGCATTGACGGCTGATAAAGCAAAAAAATAGGCTAGGCTGACTTTTTTTTTTTTTTTTTTTTTTGTCATGTTCACTTTAAGCATATCAGCGTGAATGGAAAAAGAAAAAAAAAAAAAACTTCAAGATCACGATCTCGATATTTAGGCACACTGGAGCGGAATTCCAAGAGTTTGCATAAACATTCCGTTTGATTGGTCGTGATGGAAGGGAGGAAGGAGGGGGAAATCTCATTTGATTCCGCCAGCATGAATTTAGACCCTTTGGTTGAAAAGAAAAAAACCCTTTTTCATCACTGTTTCTCTCTCTTTTTCTCTATTTTCTATTGACACATGTTGAATACAACCAGCGTCGCCCCTAGAACACACAATATAGGTGATTCAATGACAAGCCCAGTAGCAGCAGCAGCAGCAGCAGCAGCAGCAGCAAACTCCACTAATGCATCTGGTAATATAAAGCAAAAAAGTATGGACTTGAAGTGGATCAATAACTCGTCTTATCAAGATAAAGATAAGAAAAGTCGAGAGGAGGAACAAGACAAGGCCAAAGAGACTTTGATACGATTCCGTAAGTGGTCCCCTCTTAAAAGCAGTGAAAACATGATCCGTTCACTCATTTGACTGTTATCCTTGAAGAACAGCTGACGTGTGATTCACTACCTCATTCACCTCCACACACACCTTTAGGCTCCTTCTTGACAAAAGAAGCGAGTCCAACTACACCTGCTTCTTTTTCCTCTTCCTTATCGTCTATGCCATCTGAACCTTCCACCCATGTCGATCTATCCAACACACCGAGCCTATTACCCATCCCAGACGATGCATCCAAAGATAAAGAAGCAAGGTCTTTCAAAAAACGACGGTCTTTAGCAGAACTCAGCTTGAGCTGTTTTACATTGATCAGAACCCTCGGCACAGGATCTTTTGGCCGTGTCCATTTAGCACGCTCCAACGCCAACCACAGTGGTTATTGTGCCATCAAAGTACTCCGAAAAATAGACATTGTCCGTACAAAACAAGTAGAACACACACGCAATGAACGCAGCATACTGGCCCGACTTCACAGTCCTTATGTGGTGCAGTTGTACGGCACGTTTCAAGACGATGCTCGTCTCTACATGGTGTTGGAATATGTACAGGGAGGAGAGCTGTTTTCGTACATGCGACAACGTGGCCAATTAAAAGAAGAAGAAGCTGCGTTTTATGCCGCTGAAGTGACATGGGCGATCGACTATCTTCATTCGCAAGACATTGTGTATCGTGATCTCAAGCCCGAAAATATACTCCTGGATGCTCAAGGACATGTCAAATTGACGGATTTTGGATTCGCCAAGTTAGTACCCGACATTACGTGGACATTGTGTGGCACACCGGATTATCTTGCACCCGAAATTATCCAATCCAAAGGCTATGGAAAGGCCGTTGATTATTGGGCCTTGGGTGTCCTTATTTACGAAATGCTAGCAGGGTAAACCATTGAAAAAAACCAGAGTGCCAAGCCCAAGCATCTCGTTGTATCTAAGCTAACGTCATTCTTCCCTCCCCCGTTTCTTTCCAGTGTTGCACCGTTCTATGATGAGAATCAATTTAAACTCTATGAAAAGATTGTGGCATGTGAGCCGAATTATCCATCGACCTTTCGTCCGACTGTCATCGATCTGTTAAACCACCTGCTGACACCGGATCTCAGTAACCGTTATGGTAATTTAAAAGAGGGTCCTCTCGACGTGATACGGCATCCTTGGTTTCAGCAATGTAGCATTGACGTAGGCAAGTTGAAACGTCGACAAGTCACAGCGCCTTTTGTGCCTACGGTACAAGATGAAGGCGATGCAAGCCATTTTGATACCTATGAAGAAGAGCGTATGCCTTATGGTCAACCTGAACCTGATCCGTATCGAAAATACTTTACCGATTTCTGAAAAAGATGGCGCCCCCCTTGTAAATAGTGTAGACTGCGGTTGTTGTTTTTTTTTTGTATATAATCTATTTATTTCTGTCACTCATAAACACAAATGAATTATCAATGGCATGCGGTTGTTTTTTTTTTTTCATACACCATGATAATGAAGGTACTTTTTTCGATACAGTTTTGGGCCCAATCAGAACACTGGAATTTATTTTTTACACTAAAAAACAAACAATTAGCTGTGCTACCCTGCATAGGACAACAGGGTTCCGCCTCATCCCATTCTCTTACCGTAGCACTCAATTATTTTTGTTGATCCACTCTAGCAGATATCTCCATGATGTCCGCTTTTCTATTTTATTTTCATAGAAAGAAAAAAAAAAAAAAAAAAAAAAGAAACCCTATCCTGCCTGCCATCTTCCAAGATTCCAAGTGTCTTGCATCATACCACTGACATCATCGCTGGATGACTTTTTAAGGTAAAATTGTTTTTTTTGGATCAAATAGGAATTTTAAAGTTTTCGGAAAAGAGGGAATGTACCTAAATTAGTCTAGTTTTGTGGAGTACTTTTTTTTCAGATCCAGAAAATGGGGTGCTAAACAAAAAGGTAAAGTCATTGACAAATTAAAAAAAAAAAAGCGTCTTGCATTTAGCTTTCGTTGCCATAGCGATTAGGGTGTATTAAAAGTAAAAACTTGACCAACAAACCATCCACATGCTTCAGAAAACACTCAAATTATCTCCACGTCACTCTATGGAAAAATAAGGTCAATGATAAATTGATCCCTTTTTGAAAATAAAGAAAGGAAAAGAGACGGGGCGGGGATAGGCACCCTTTAGCTTCTTTTTTTCTCTTTCTTTTTTTTTTTTTTTTTTTTTTTTGGTGCTAACTTTTTTTCACCAACCAAAAATCGGTTACCATGATTTTGAATCAAACGAGAAGAAAACAATGCATTATAAAATGAAATGAGACAATGCTTCTTGGTTTTTTTCTTTTTCTTATTTGCACACTATTTCTTTCTATTTTGTTTACTTTTTAATTACATCTGCTGCTCCATCATTATGGATTCAAGAGAGCTAAATTTACCCAAATACATGGTGTATTGTGGTGTGATTGCCGGTATAGGCGCTTTTTCGAACGGTTGGACGATTGGTTCTCCCAATGTGCCCGGTGATGTCACTCACAATTGTCCTACTGGAAGTGCGCATACAAAAAATCCTGCATTTCCCGATTGTTTACCTATGAGTACATCCCTATGGGGATTTGCTGTGGCTTCTTTTTGTGTCGGTGGTCTGATCGGCAGTGGTAAGCAGAGTGCAAGCGAGAGGAACGATATCCCTTTGGGAGGGATCCCATGATACTAATGACCCTTTTGTATTTAGCTGTCGGTGGTTCGATTCAAACAAGATTAGGTCGTCGTCTCACCATCATCGTCAACAATGCGGGTTTCATTCTTGGCGCTATCCTCATTGGCTGTGCTGTCCATACCGCCATGTTCATCATCGGTCGTATCCTCTGCGGTCTTTCCTGTGGTCTTGGTTCGCTCGTCATCCCTACCTATCTCGGTGAAATCTCGACGCGCAGAGGTAGAGGTCTGGTCGGTTTCCTGAACCAGTTTTTTGTCGTGACAGGCATCTTGTTGTCTTCCATCATCGGTCTCCCCACCGCCAACGTCCCTCTGTGGCGTCTCAACTATGCCATTGTCGCTATTCCTGCTATTTTCCAAGTGTTTATGATGGGTACCTGTGTCGAATCGCCGCGTTACTTGATTTCTGTGCATCGCATGTCCGATGCCATGGAAAGTCTTCAGAAGCTGCGTGGCGCGCACGCCGATGTGTCGGAAGAGTTTTTGGACATCGTCGTCGGTCAGTTTGGTCGCCAAAGAGGCATCCGCCTCCTTCAGGAACACGCCCTGGACAAAAACATGCAAAGCATGGCCGTCGCAAGCCATGGCCGCGTGGCGGACGATGAAGGTTTCGAAACAGCGGCTGCCGCTGCCCCCAAAGAATACAATGACGATGTGGAAGCGAATGGAGAGGATCAACAACGTCCTCCCATGAGCATTATCGAGATCTTTAGAGACCCTGTGATTCGCAAGATCAGCATCATTGTCCTCGTCCATCACATGATTCAACAGCTGTCCGGTATGAATGCGGTCATGTATTACTCGACCACCATTTTCGAACAAGCCGTGGATAAGCAAAATGCACAGTACATGGCCATCTACACCACCGTCGTTAATTTCGGCATGTCCATTGTGGCCATGCTCTTCATTGATCGTATGGGTCGTCGTCCTTTGCTCCTCATGGCAGAAGCAGGCACGTGTATCTTTTCTGTCTTGCTCGTCGTGGGTTACAAGTGCAACAGCTCGAACCTGCTCGTCGCTTCTGTCTTTATCTATGTGGCTAGTTTCGCTATTGGTATCGGTCCTGTTCCCTGGATGATTACTTCTGAACTCTCGCCCATTTATGCGTCTTCTTCTGTCGGTGCCGTCGCTACGGCGATGAACTGGGCTATGAATTTTTTGATCGGTCAAGTCTTTCCTGTCATCTTTGCGGCTATTCAAGGCTGGTCCTTTTTGATTTTCGCCGTCATTTGTTTCATGGCCTTTCTCTTTACCTTTTTCTTTTTGCCTGAAACTAAAAACAGAGCCATTGAAGATATCGTCGCTAGTTTCCAAAAGAAGCATTAAAAAGAATATATCCCCAACCCCCTTTGTCCTCCTTGTATATTTGTATAGAACTTTGCTTTGTATCTTCTTCTTTTTTATGTAAATAAAATATAATTTCTAATGAGGGTGTGTGTCATTGAATTTCAATTTTGGGATTTTCAACAGACATCGGGGGCATCGGGAAAGCCCCCCTTCTATGGTATTTCCAAATTTAGATGGACGGAGGACCTTGAATTTTCTTTTTCATAAACAAACATGGTGCTTTTGAATATTGGTCTCATTCAACTCCATGTCGAAACCAAGAGTCATCACCATTGGGATAAGGTAAACAGAATGTTTTTGATAATGGATGACATGAAAGTGAATCCAACATTGACACATTCCATGAAAAAAGTGGCCCATCCTGTTCTGGTAAAACAGTAGGTGGACTTGATAGAGGACAAGTTTTTTTTCTTTAGATACTCATCATCATTCAAGACGTTAGCCTTGGCCTTACAGACATTACTACCTCAGACTAGAGTCATTCATCAAGACGATTTCTTCAAGGTAAAAACACTCTCTTTTTCTCCATCGTTATGCCGAATGTTTCATTGCTCTTCTTTAGCCAGATGACCAAATTCCTGTGGATGAAGTGACAGGTCTAGCCAACTGGGACTCTCCTCAGGCCCTTGACTTTGACAAGTTGAATCAAGACATTATGCAAGCCAGACTCGACCCTGTCGGTTACTTTACGAAAAAAGCCCAAGCCGAAAAACCAAAAACAATGCAAAACAATCACGATGGATCAGACACTCTTTCATCAGATGATCTCGAGCAGCTGTCTACCCGTGCATCGTTGACAGAATGGAACCACTCTACCTTATTTATCATTGTGGAAGGCTTTTTACTTTTCTGCGATCCAAACGTATCCTCTAATTTAGACATCAAGTTCTTTACTATGGCCTCTAAAGAAGTGTTGAAGAAAAGACGTGAGAGTAGACAAGGGTATGTGACCTTGCAAGGCTATTGGGTGGATCCTCCTGATTACTTTGATCAAGTGGTCTGGCCACAGTTTATTCAATGGCAACATCATTTATTGACAGAGCAAGAAAAAAAAGCCTATGGTGTTTCCATGAGCGTGCGTCCGTCGGATTCGCTGCTAGACAAAAACGATTTGTATCGATTCAATACGGATATTGAATCCATTAAAGATATTGTAGCCCACTCTTTAGACATAATAAAGCAATGGATGGGGGTAGAGCCTATATAAAGTGTGGAGATGAGATACACTATTTTCACAAATGATTGGCGCGCATTTGAGAAATAAAATGGCACACATTTGAGACAAAACTTGGCGCACATATCTGTAAAAAGCTTGGCGCTTAAAAGGGTTTAACATTGTCGTATTTGAGGGCTTCTTTACTTTTTACATTTATTTTGAATATGAATGATTTTGTACATGAAGACGGCCAGGGAAACCATTTTTAACGACAAAGGCATGGCTGTTGCAGTCGTGGGAAATGGAAGTAGATGAAGAGATGTATCCCATTGAAACGGTGACAAATTTTTTGTGATGTACCAGAAGCTCAAACCACCTGAAAAGGCCGAGAAAAACAATGAAAAGAAAGAAGACAGAGGAGATGTCAAGCTAGAGAACAACATGACCATCGTATCTACAAAAGTTAAAAGGAAATAGAGAAGGAGCAACTGCTTGCAAGGCATGAGTGCTAGAGAAGCAGCCCTGAAACTTCATATCACTCCATGTACAGCACAAAAGATGGATAGCGAACGATCAGCGGAGATCCTCAAACGTATACTGCAAGAAAAGAGGGGTAGTGGAAGACCAGTCGGTAGGCCAGCAATTATGGATGATCGTCATAAAACCACATTTGGTCGACTTCATCGACGAAGAGCCTGCATTAGTGTTGGATCAGATGATGAATGGCCTGACAGCCGAGTTCATTGACCTCGAGATATCAAAAAACAGCACTATACAATTTTGCTTCGAAAGAATGCAAGATCAGTTTAAAGAGAGCTCATTTCCATTCGGTTGAACGCAACTGCTTGGAAAAGATCACAGCAAAAAAGGGAATGGATAGAAAATGGATGGCGGGTCTGCATGGCCATCCAAATGAAATAACTATTTTTGATCAATTTGCTTTAGAAGATAGTGCTCACAATTCATGCTCATGTGTTGTCTGGTAGAAAACTAGCTGCTCTTCTCAGATGAATTTGTACAGATTTGAAAAAATAATGTAGTAGCAAAAGAGAAAGAAAGAGTTAGCTCCCAATCATTTCGCAACCTCATCATTAAAGCAATAAAAAACAAAGCGATTCCTCCTATATCAAATTCCTTGATGGTCGCCAGACTCATGGCATTATGGAGATCCGCTGCGTCTCAGCTACACCCACCTGATTCATGGTTGAAACTTCCTGGATTACAGCAGAGTAAACACTCCTTCCTTGCAGATGAAGAGGTGGCCTCAGCGATCATAATGTACCCCTGCTGATCGTATAAAACTTAAAAGTGTGTTGGACTTCTAACGTACTCTGGAAGATTCATTGTAGACAAGGCCCTGTAAAAGATTGTCTTATGACAAGTCAATACACATTATGGCTTGATGCTTTTGTCAGTGATGTCCCTTGGAAATCGATATATATTATACCGAATGAAAGCGTATCAGCCTTCTGGTCTACGTACTATTGCCTTATGTGAAATTTGCCAATTTGTATCCCTATTTCGATTTGCTTGCCACACTTCTAAATTGGGTTTGATAAACAAATGACAGGCATTATGCTGTCTGCTCGTATTTGAAGTATTTACAGAAACTAATTGTCAACCAATGCCATGTCGTTCAATTGCCCAAAATACTTAAACCGCTCCATGTTTACATCATAATAGCTTTCAACGATTCACTAGTAAATGAGCAAGTCGAGCGATATTATTTTAAAGTATGACGAGAAGCCTTCAATTTTATTGTGTTTTACTATTTGAAAAAGCATTCTTGTTCACCATTAGCTTCTCACAGAAATAGTGGTAGGGGTAATATTTCGCATCATGCACAATCGAGATCTCTTCAATTACATTTGCACCTTTTGCATTCCAGAAATAACGCTTACAGAATCTTCTTGACACTACCAAATATGAGGACCTGTTGGCTTTGATGCGCGACATGAGGAGAACAAATGTGAACAATGACCTAAGTTGCTTACTCAAAAGAGGTCAGTAACGCAATGGAATGATGAATAAAGAAGAGTACTTCCTGTATAGAACAAAATATTTCTTGAAGGATAATTTGCTTTGTTTTTTACAGGCTGTGATTCACCAAACTTTACGCTTTATAAAAAAGCGACCGCCAGTTAGTAACATCCACTGAGAGATGCTTAGGTGGTATCACATTACAAACCAGGTTGGCGTCAAAGAACTATAGCTCAAACGTCAATGCTATGAGAACAAAGACATGCGGTACTAATGAGCAGTACGATAACCGACCAATGTCAACTGGAATGGCTGTATATCAAAGCAGACATGCAAAGCGCGATTCACCAAACTTTACGCTTTATAAAAAAGCGACCGCCAGTTAATAACATCCACTGAGAGATGCTTAGGTGGAATCACACTACAAACCAGGTTGGCGTCAAAGAACTATAGCTCAAACGTCAATGCTATGAGAACAAAGACATGCGGTACTAATGAGCAGTACGATAACCGACCAATATCAACTGGAATGCTTTACATCAAGTAAGAGAAAAGAGAGTGATGGAGATAACCACGAAGCCCTTTGAGTTTGTAACAATTCAGTAAGAACCATAAGAGCGGGGAAGGAATCATTAGCCATCACATTAGAGTTGTTATATTTTGCAGACCATGGAAACAAACAGAAAAGAAAAAAAAAATAGCTTGAGATAATAATAACAGAATTTGGATGACGTAGCCGTTTCTGTCCAATGAAGGAGTGAAGTCTCTTTTTTGCAATCAAACTATTAGAAGCCAAATTCGCGTTTTGAAATACTTTAGTCCTCTCTCTAAACTTTTCTGACAAGATGAAAAAGCCATTACTACACGGTTTGAAGTCTGATTACGCCTTCACCAATGAAACCTGCCGCAGTCTGAAGATCGATTCTTTTCTCTCTGGTCTGTCTGCTACTGTTTGGAGTGATGTGGACGAGCTGGCTAGCGCATTTACTCAAGCACACGAAAACGAAAACATTACCGCAGCAAAAGCCTTCACAACCATTTGTTATGCATTCGACATCATTTCATCAAAGCGAAGAAAGCATTTAGCATTGCATGCTTATGTAACAGACGTGCTAAAATACATCAAATCCAAGGAAATGAAAAGCAAATTTTATGGAAAGTATGAAACTGCTCAGATTGAAGCAAAGGCCAGATTTGAAGCACACAACAACGCACTGCGTTTGCAAATCGTGGAATCCAAGAAGTACGCAGCTGAATTAGACAAGCAGATTGAACACAGCTCAACCACGGATACACCAAATGAGCAGATCGACACAGCCACGAACACCAGCAACACAAGACATTTGAACAAGGTAAGTTTCTATGTCATATCCCTTTTTAGCAAAAAAAACCACTTAAAACATCTATAGAGAGAACGAGACGAGTTTTATGCAGCAGGCAGAAAAGGCAAACGACGAGCGATGTCAGTGGGAAGCGTGATCAAACTTGATGCCTTGAACAGCTTCGAAAATTATGTGCAGTCAGAAAAGCTTTCATCTTATCAAAGGAAGAATATGAGGTATTTTCTTCAATGACATTCTATGTAGGATATGATTTGACATTTTTTTGTAGTGCTGGATTGTCATCTGTCTTGGATATGGTCGATCAGTCTGATGAGGGTCAGCAATCATTATTCACAACAGTAGAATGGGAAGATATGAAGTTGCAAATGATGGAGAGGTACGGTGTTCAGCACAAAAGACGGGTACCAGATAGAATTACTACTTCTTGGAGTATCATCACTGGCGTAAGTAAACGGGTTCTTGAAAATAATTCCAGTTACTCATCATCACTTATCGTCCTGCAATGACAGTTGTCGCAAAAGGATCAGAACTTTGACGTAGCTCGTATTTACTTGGCTCGATTGAAAGTTGCTCCCAATTACCAGGATATCAAAAAGTACCTTGTTGTTTTAGAGATTTGGTAAGCACAGGTTGTCTTGTAGAATACACCTAGGTGGAGCTAATGTTTATTGTCGCACTCATAGCCTGAACATCTTAGAGCACAACCCTAACATGTTTGAGAAGAAGCACGCTGATCGCTTGACGGAATACTATTATCTGAACAAGGTGTGGACTCCTCTTATTGATGCTGTGTTTGCAATCAATGGTTCAATCATTCGTATGAAAAGGTTGTATAATGCATTCAGAGACAGTTTTCATTTGTACTGAACCAAAATATTTCAGTGGAGAAAGCATGAATGATAATAGCACAAGCAACAAGCAAGAAGTTTACCATGATCGCTCATCCATTGCTGGGTTCAAGATTGATATGCGCTTTCTGTATGACACTGATGAGCATGAGTATGATATTGGCGCTGGCGAGGCTGCCAAGGCTTACCAGGAAGCCAAGTTGGTGGATGACCTGAGCAAATTGATTAGAGAATCAAAGGATGTGCTAGATGGATTGATGAATATTGTCTTGGATGATCACACGGCTAACAAGCTCGAGTCATGGTTTCTGCAAATTTGGGGTCTTTCGGCGGAAATTGGATCAACACACCTGGCATTTGATGGTCTTTATGTGGCAGTGCCACAAGCAAAGCTGCGCTTCCCCTCTAACATTGCAACCATGGGTTCATTTGTAGACTTCTTGGACGTGCTGCTGCTGCTTACAGTAAGTCTTTGATTTGACTGCTTCTGTCTTGATAAGAAACGCGTATCTAAATTTTTTTTTTAGGCAAAGTTTGAAAAGTGTGCAATGAAAATCACGTCTGCTGTGGAAGAGCTGGAGAACAGACGAAGCTCCATGGGTATTGCTTTTAGTCGCAATCGCTCCCTTTTGCAGGGTAAGAAACGTGATGCTTGGATGCGCCCAACGTATTACTCCCCTCCTCGTGATGTGGCTGCTGATGCCAAATTGCCTGTCAACTTGTTTGGTTTCGACAAAGATGATAGTGATGCGCATTCCGTTGAAGATGTGGAGGATGACCAAGTCTCAGATGCAAGTGATACGAACGCTGACCAGTTTGGATGGGTCTATCAAGATGGCGCGTGGAGAAACGTTTTCGTCATGGAATCAAGAGTAGACACCCATCGCCCAGATGAAGAGTGACAATATCATACTGCATTTTTCATAGCGAAATATCAAATTGATCAGATTTCAAGGGATTCACTGATCCATTGATCATCGAAGACATTCTTTTATCACCGTTAATGAAATTTACAAGATCATTTCCACTCTAAGATAAAAAATGTCTGTCGGCTATAAATAGTCTCTACTTTGTAAAAATTTGTTTTTGTTTTCTTTCTTCTTTCTTTATGAAATCACACTTATTACCCCTGCAAATTGTCAAGTAAAGGTAAGTACCAAAAAATAATGATTTACTTAGCTACAAATGTTTACATTGATTAACTTGATACTGTCCAAGTAAATTGCGTCGTTGTGTCATGACAAGGTAAGGTATATAGTCGACTCGTAAGGTAAGTGGGGGTAGTTATCAAGGCGAGAAGTAGAGCAATTCTTGAGGTAAGTTGGCCATCATCCTAGCATTTGCTTATATAAATCTCACTGCTCTTAAGTTTAGATCCTGAACTTTCATCGTCTGTGATTTCATTATTTTTAAGCTGCTTCCTCTGAAAGCATACATTGATTCTTGCTACCAATATTAAATACATAATTCAAAAATAAAATGAAGCGTTTCTATCATACTTCATAATAGTGTTCAATTTCGTTTCATTAATACCCTAGAGATTGACCGCAATAATAATAACGAACTAGCAAACGATGTTAATTAATAGACGTTACACTAGCTTTGCTAGTTCGACTGATGCATTTGTCAGTAGAATCATAATGGATTAGTAGCCGGTAATGCTGCTGATAAATTTATCCATTTTTAACGACAAAGGCATGGCTGTTGCAGTCGTGGGAAAGGGAAGTAGATGAACAGATGTATCTCATTAGAATGCAAGATCAGTTTGAAGAGAGCTCACTTCCATTCGGTTGAATGCAACTGCTTGGAAAAGATCACAGCAAAAAATGGAATAAGAAAAAATATGGATGACCACCGACGTGGACTACAAGAGCAAACTGGGTATTCATCGACGAAGCAGCATTTCATATCAACATGAAGCGATCTATTACATGGTCAAAAGTGGAAACTTGCGCTGTTGTCAAAATACCAAAGACTAGGCAAAAACAACAATAATATTGGGTGCAACCTATGCTTTTTTGTGTTGTCAACATTAAAGTAAGACATCCTCGAGTAATGCCCACTTCCAAGAATAGAAAAACCGCTAGATCGACTGGATAAGCTCAAACACAGAGCAAAGATATTGTTACAGGTCATTACTTACACTTTATAAGCGACAGCATGGACGAAGTGGACAAGCACCCAGAGATTTTTTTCAAGGACAACTACTTGATCATGGAGAATGCTCCAATCCACACAAATCATGATATCAAGCTTCTTATTGAAAGTCGTGGCTACAGATGCGTCTACTCGCCAGAGCTAAATCCTATTGAGCAAATCTGATCTATTTGTAAGAGTAAGCTGAAACGAGAGAAGCTGTTGAAGGAAGAGATACCCACATCTAGAATCGGAGATGCATGCAATCAAAGTGCTTATGAGTGATCTTGAAACATTTTGTAAATACTCCTGTGATAGATTCGATGATTGCTTGAAAGGCAAGCCTATCTAGAAATAAAGATTATTTGTCGCATGTGTTGCCAAATTTTCATCGATTTATGCGCCAATGGTTTTTCAGTTAGCACGCCAATTTCATTTTTAAATGTGTGCCAGTTTATTTTTCAAATGTGCGCCATTAATTTGTGAAAATAGTGTAAGATCTGCAAACAAAAAAAAAAACCTTGTTGCTTGTCTTTTGCCTCTATGTGGGTAAAAAGTGCCGAAGGATTATCCGTTTCCTTGTGCTGAAAATGGCAATGAAGCACCCTTCTGTGTGTGTACTCTTGATAGTCTGAGACCCAAAAATAGCAAAAAAAAAAAAACCAAAAAAATCTTGAACGGCAGGAATTTTTTAATCTTTTAGTCTATTCCCTTTTCCATAAAAAAAAACCACTTTATCAAAAGCTTTTAATCTCATAGAATAGAACCCTTAATCATGGAAACAGCGATTAGAAAAGCTACACGATTGGATTATAATCCACCTAAGCAAAAGCATTTAGAAAGTAAGAGATTGTGTCTGTGCACGCAAATCCCCTCTTTTCCATACACGCATGCATGATATTCATCCATTTTTTTTATTTTTTTTTTTGTCGAAAAAGCTCTGATAGGACTCACTTTTCAAAGTCCTGGAAATACAGCAAGTATCATTGACATTTTGGAAAAAAGGCTTCGAGAGAATTCTTGGATCATCACCTTCAAGGTCTTGATCATTATTCATACATTGATACGACATGGACAAGGAGACAAAGCACTCTCCTATATTGCGACCCGACCTTCTGCTCTTGATACTAGCAGAATCAGAGAAAAGTCCTCAGGTGTTGGGCATATTCAAAATATCTATGTCTATACAGCTTACTTGGAAAATAAAGTCAGTGCTTTTCGACATTTAAAAATGGATCCTATCAAGAACACACTGAACGGAAAAGTCGGCCGATTAAGGCATTTATCTGTGCAAAAAGGATTACTTAAAGAAACCATCGTATTGCAAAAGCAAATGGGCACTCTTTTAAAATGCAAGGTAAGCCACCATGGTGGTCGTAAAGAGGGGCAGTAGGCATTTAGCGTGTTGACCAGTGACTTATTACCATGTGTGCATTAGTTTCTACTGGATGATGTGGATAACAATATCAGCCTGTATGCTTTTCGGTTATTAGTAGAGGATTTACTCGTCTTTTTTCAAATGATCAATGAAGCCATCGTCAATATTTTGGAACATTATTTCGCCATGAACAAAACGGATGCAAGAGCCAGTCTTGACATTTATAAATTATTTGCAAAACAGACAGAAGATACGATTGCTTATTTAGACAGAGCGAGACAATATCAACATGATTTAAACATTTCCATTCCCAAAGTGAAGCATGTGAGTAAAAAGAGAATCATTCAATTCTATGATGCGTGTAGGCGGCTGATACTAAAATTAGATTGATTCAAGGCACCTTTGTCATTAGCCACAGCGCTCCAAGAATACCTCGATGATGCAGAGAAAAGCAACAGCACAAGTGATACTGTCTCCAAGGAGAACCAACCTACGACTACTACACCTATCACGGCAGCCATCGCAGGCAACAACAACAACAACGTATCACAACAACAGCAACCCAAAGAACTGGCGGATTTCTTGACCAGTGTGCAGAACGACACAACAACAACGCATCTATTCCAACCTGCTGCTCTTCCTATCCAACAGCAGCAGCAGCAGCAACAGCAGCCATATCAAATGACTCATTTCAATTCCTTTGGTTCGAATCCTTCTCTACAACCCTTCTCTTCTGGACCACAGACACTGTTCTCTTCTACTGTCCCCAACGCTCCACTCCAGCAGCTTCCTCCTGCTATGGGTCCACAGCAAGCGTTGCCATTGCCACCTACTTCTTCCCTTTCTACAGGAAGCAATCCATTCAGATCCAATACCATTGGACCTTCTGCCACTACTTCCACTTCGACTCCTCTCCATTACAATAACGCCACCCTGAATCCTTCTTCAAGCAATCCTTTTCGTTCCAGTACCATGCCCATCACTTCTCTCATGCAGCAACAGCCGTCGTCTTCGTTATTACCTCTACCACCTACAAGTCCTCATAATCCTTTTGCCACAAATAACAATCAACAAATTTCCTTTTTAAATAGAGCTACTACCATCAGTGTGGCCTCTTCCATACCGCCGTCCACAAACCCATTCAGTCAGCAGCAGTTATCCTCATGGAAATAGAAAGTATTCTTTGCCGTCCATCGCCACTTTTTTCAAAACAATAAAACATTCCACGTTCCCTTCCATTGTATAAAAACCAACAAAAACTTTCACATACAAAATTTATTTAAACAGGTTTTTTATTGAATAAAATATAATAGTAGTTTTTTTGATCAGCAAAATAGCAGACATTCGACATTCTATAATGAGCTTGTACAGTGCTCGAGTCCGTCCGCCCGTCTGACAATTATCATCACGTCAAAAAAACATGGCTTATATATATAAATATCTACTCCTATCTGAGCCCTCTTTTCTTCCATGACGCCAAGATGCCTCTTTCCCATCCACAATGGGATTCAGATGCCAATGGATTGGTCAAAGACATCCTCCTCTCGTCATGTCAGATAAGATAAAAAACCCATCACCCCACTTGACACCCCGCTCTCTCATTCTCGCTCCAACATAAGGACATTGAAACAGAATATTGTTTCCTACAGTATCGAGTTTACTAGCTCCCAGTCGCCATCAAGGTTACAGAAGAAAAAAAAACAAGATATAAATAGTATAGGTAAAACTAAGAGAAAAGAATAAAAAATAGAATGAGTACACTTTTTCTTTTTGTCAATGGTTAAAAAAAGAAAGGATGAATGTAAGAGGAATCAGACAAGGCTGAAGCTTAAATGTCTTTAGGCAACATAATGGTAATTCAGGTGTGATCTCCATTTGTAATGGATGAACAAAAGGCATGTTGATCATCAGTTTCCTCCCACATCCAACTCTGTCTACAGTTGATATTTACCTTTAAAGCTTTTATTTCACAAGTGGATAAAGAAAGAAAGAAAGAAAGGAAAGAATAAAAAAAGTCCCTTTGTTAAATAAACGCGACAATGAACAGGAAAAAAAAAAAAAAAAAATTTTTTTATTCATGAATAAAAGTGACTGCAAAAAAGGCCATGGCCGTGATTTTAGATAGCGCACAGGGTTGTCTCTCCATATCCAATCATACTTTAGATCAAACAAGGAAATGGAGGTACGCGAAAATCCTCGGTCTACCGCGCTACACATACGACGATCGATCATGTCATGATGAATACGGGATAGGGCTCTATTGTCGCTGTTTCTATCTTTCATTGAACAAACAACGGAAGCATTCTGTTTAGCATCAGTGATAAAGCATCGCCCTCTGGCTAGCCCTAGCTTCACTCTCTCTAACGATCAACAGGGTCCCTGCTAATATAACCAGCACGACTACTATTATTTGAATAGCTTTGTCGCTTTCTTCAATGCACTCTCCTCTTTTTTTTTTTTTTTGAAAGGCAAATTCAGTTGTGCATCACTGCGATAGGAACCTCGTTTTCCAAACCACAGCTATGTCTGTTTAGAGATCGGATCTCTCTTCTTTCTATGCTTCCCCTTCAATGCGTGGATTGGGACAACAAGATACTCTTTACATCTTGTTGGATTCTAACGATAGATAAAGGCTACATACTCTACTTTAAAGAGGGTCCCTGCTACTTTATTTTTGCTACTGATAGAAAAAGCCTTGTCATCATGTGTACCTCCACACCATCATCAAGCGTCACTAAAAGAAGAAAAGGTACGCGATGGTCATGAGTGAGTAAGCTATCTCTTTAGCTACGTACCTCACTGCCCCCCTCACGTACGGCCACTTTAAAATACCATCAAGCATAGGTCTCAAAATACCCTTGTCTATAAACTCTATAGATTCACTATCCACTCTCTTGTTTAGTAGGTCATGCCAAAACAGAAAAAGAGTTCAGACACAGCAAAAAGATAATTTTACTTATTCCGTCACCGTCTTTTTTACAAAAGAGAAAGAACACCCGCTGTAGAAACGGGAAAGGAAAAAGAAAGACTTTTTCCTTTTTCTTTTGTTTTGTCCCGCTTACCCCCCCCCACTCTCTTTTTTTCCCTTTTTATGTCTATTGATTAGACGTCATTTCGGTTGCATCGAACAAAAAAACGTTTGCACGATAAAAAAGAAAAAGAAAAAGAAAAAAAGACGGAAAATGGAAGAGAAAAATGACTTGACAATAAAAGAAAAAGACACAACTACCCTAAGCCAGCTCACATATGATTTGGCTCGATTCCCAACAAAAGAAACCATCAAGATGATGACCTTTCTTTTAGAAAAGGTCATCAAAGTCAATGACAGGATACATCAACAACAACAAACGCACAATAATAACAACGAGAATAACGATGATGACCGACATGATATCAATAGTAGTACCACGAGTTCAAGTCATCATCATCGCCCCCATCATCATCATAAACGAACAACATGCTTTCACGCACGCTCTATACCAAACATATCTATTTATGCTTACCTGTCACGAATCCTGAAATATTGTCCTTGCGCCAATGAGTGTTTCTTGGCTACACTCGTCTATTTTGATCGCATGTCAAAAGCGACCGATACACGGCCTACCGCTGCCATTCGCATTGATTCCTACAACATTCATCGCTTAATCATATCCGGTGTCATGGTCTCCAGTAAACTTTATTCAGACGTCTTTTTCACAAATACACGTTATGCCAAGGTAAAAGTAAAAAAAAAAAAAAAAAACGAAGCGTAGGCGAATGCAAAAAGATGAATAATGACTTTATTTTGTTAGGTTGGAGGGTTACCCGTCACCGAGTTAAACATGTTGGAATTGGAGTTTTTGGCCATGAATGATTTTTCATTGTTTGTCTCTGTCGATGAATTACAACATTATGGTGACCAGTTATTACAGCATTGGACAAGAGAACATGATGAACACATACCCCTATCACCGGACGATGCCATCCTACCTTCCACGACAACGCATACAGACCCTTTCTCCATGCCGAACCATGATGCCACCCTATCCACAGTATCCAATGCTAATAAAGACAACAACAACAACAGTAAAACAATAAAAGACGATTTAGCACCACCTATTAGACGGCGGGCAAGACATTTATCAATAGATAAATACAACGATGAAATAAATAGTAATTAATGACATAGGAACGCTTGCTCGTCTATCATGCCAACATGACGCTTTTCTTTTTTTTTTGTTTTTGTACCATCTATTCTCTATCTATTCAACCTCCCCTTCTCTCGCTCTCTTTCTCTCTCTCTCTCTCTCTCTCTTATCATAGTACCCACTTTTCTTGGATGAGGGTCGTAGGCTCATGGGTCGATGACATGACAGAAGACACCCATTGTGGATCATTCAATAGCGAAATATCGCCTCTCCCTAATTTCTGTAGAGATGAAAAGGATGTGAATGAATACCCCCCATGTTTTCCCTTGATCATGCGCCCCGAGTTTTTTACCTGCCGAATGTCATTGAAATGCGCTTCTTTTGATAGATATTCCCTCACGACATGGTCCTTTCCAAACTCGTGAAATATTCTTGTATCATTGATTCTGAATAAAACATCATCCACTCTTAAAAAGAATCTTTGCAAAATCAAAAAGCAACTTTGCATCACTCGCTAACGGAAAAAGGGCAATGAATGGTCCATCCTTTTCTAGGTATCTTTTTGCCGCTTACCAATCGCACAGATAACACGGCTGTTCCATTATCGGCTAATTCGTCTTCGTACAAAATATTCTCATCATAAAATAAAATAGGTTCTTGCTTCTTTAACAGGTCCATGTTGATCAGTGAGTCACCCTCATACGTTTCAAACGTTTGATTCGTCGTGCCTCGATACGTGGTGGTGTAAGTCCAATCATAAGGTTTCACGACATCTTTAATATCTGTATAATTGGTTACGCTAACGAGAAAGAATGCATGGGTATGAGGGAATGGCTGCCCAACACATCACTGCCTATGCTCACCTTTTGCGTTTCCATTCTGCTGCATAGGCCACTTTGATCTTTTCACTACTACTGGAACTCGTATCAATCCTAGCCAAGGCATCGTACGCGTTCAGATTCAATTCAAAATCATTTTTAAATTGTATCGTCACTCGACTGTTGCCAAAGACCATTTCAGGTGGTGGTAAACCAAAATTTTTTTGTATTCTATAAACAGTGTGTGTTCACAGCGTGAGGAATGTGTGTCTTTTTTTGAAAGATGGTGGACATGACATTGACCTTTCCATTTCGTTTGAATTGCATATAGGTGCTTTTTTACTTGAAATAATCCAATCGTTCAATTGAATGCCTTGGGTCAAGCCTTCTCTTACAGTACCCGTCTTGATATATTCAGGCATCATGCTTCTGCTCGATTCACTCATGGGCTTGTTGTTTGTCTTGAAGAAAGAGAAAGACGGGAAAAAATCAGGTTTTTTTTTTTTTTTTTTTTTTTTTTAATCTTATCAGATTTTCTGTCATTAAAACGTTTCTTTTTTTTCAATTTTCATTTTTTTGCCGTGTTTTTTACAATACATTTCCAGTTTCCAAGTCAATGCCTTTTGGACAAGTAAAACCAGCTTTATTCGTTCGACAAACAAAACAACGCTTATTCATTCCATCTTGTTTTACTAGGTCATTGTTGGACCACCAGGTTCTGGCAAGACAACCTATTGTTGGGGTGCTTACCAGTACCTAACAGCCATGGGAAGGTAAAAAGAAACACTTGCCATCCGATCGATCGACATGATGGGCCATCCAACTGACCATCGACCCCTTCCACTCTCTCTGTTAGAAAAGTAGCCATTGTCAATTTGGATCCAGCGAATGAAAATATACCTTATCCTTGTGCTATCAACATTGCTAATCTCATTACTTTGGAAGACACCATGAATGAACTCACCCTAGGCCCCAACGGCGGCATCATGTTTTGCATTGAATATTTACTTGAAAATATGGATTGGCTCACAGACCAACTAAAAGAGTTGAATGACCACTACATTCTTTTTGATTTTCCTGGGCAAGTCGAACTGTTTACGCATCACACAGCTGTCAAAGACATTCTCCATCACCTCGAAAAGCTGAATTATCGACTCGTGGCAGTCAATATGGTGGATGCGCATTACTGCACTGACCCTGCCAAATACATTTCCGTCTTATTACTCGCTTTAAAAACCATGATCCAGCTTGAATTACCCCACGTCAATGTCTTGTCCAAAGTCGATCTCATTGAATCCTATGGCAAACTACGATTCAACCTGCAATATTATACAGAAGTCATGGATCTGTCCTATCTGTTAGAGTCGCTGAATGAGGACGCTTTTGGATCCAAATATAAAAAGTTGAATGAAGCATTGTGCGAACTGATTGAAGATTTCTCACTGGTTGGATTTTATACCCTTTGCGTTGAAGAAAAAGAGTCCATGACGCGATTGCAACAAGTGATTGATAAAGCAGGAGGTTTTATTTTTGGTGGATTGACAGAAGGCAATGAATCCATCCTGTTGACAGCCAATAAAGCGGGTTTTCATGAAGACGTAAGCGACGTTCAAGAGCGATGGATAAAGCATGATGATGACGATGATGTTGATTTGGACGGCTAAGTGAGGAGCATCCTATTCTCACGTGTATAAACTATTTTTTCCTGTATATAAAAAATAAAACGGCTCATTCACTCTTACAAGAGTTTCTCTTATTGTGAATGAAAGAAAAGTAAGACGTATGTCCAACCTACAATAGGAGGTAACAAAAGAAACAGTGGCATGCTTTCGAATGGGTCCAACAACGCCATGCGTTGGACGTGGTTGCTTTTTTATTTTTGGCCGCCATGGGGCTAACATAAAATGAATTTTTGTGCCAGCTCTATGCCCACAGAACACACATAGTCCTTTATCTTTTGTGTAAATGCCAAAGAGGATTCAAATTGAACTAGAAAAGTCACAGGTGCCATTCTCGCTTGTCCCACGAGTACAAATACTTTTTCTAGCATGTCGTCTGTGAGGGTGCTAGGATCTTGCCATCCTGGCGGGTAGGTCCTCCTTTCTTGACCACTGTCGTTGTTACCGTCAGCATGGAACGTCACAAAACTCTGGCCCTGATCGAACCGAGTGACAAAGTCCTTCAAAGGGTGCCATGTATAATCCACGGGATCAAGCAGATCCGAGGGTTGGTATTGACCTTTGTAGTTCATCTTGGGGCAAGAATGGATGTAATATCCTAAACCGTAACGCTTTAGCTCAAACCCCACATCACCCATTCATCAAAGTGAGTCTTACCCATATAGTAATACTGTAGCTGTTTTGATCTTTTATATAATTCTTGTACGAGACTTATCTCTCGAAAGACACTGTATTTCCCCAGGCCCAAGAACGAATCATCTGGATCATAAAGAAAATAGACAGAGGAGACACATTTAGGTAATATATCTATCACGGCGAGAGCAATGAGTTTCCCATTCAGTATGTATTTTTGATGGAACGATCCATACGAAATCCCATCCGGTGCTGCCTCCTTTTCAAGCTAGAAAACAAAAAGATAAAGGAATGAGATCCAATCCATTCCTTTACTGTGATAGGCGGGCATGCGAGGCATTTTACCTTTAAGGGTGAATCCACCAAAAATCGTTTGAATCCCTTTTCAGTTCTCTCTTCTGGTTTATCATGATGAACATGTTGTTGATACTTGGAATACAGTTCAAATTTCTCTTTGGTAAAAGAGGAGGGTTCTAACTCGATCTGTCATGATCGAAAAAAGAGAAACAATCATGAATAATGTGTTCTTCTCTATGTTTGACTCAACGAAACAACACCTTGAAATCGTATTTGTTATCCATGCTGGTATTTTCCACATCATGTATCAAGTGTTGTAAAGAATTGGCTGCTTCCACATAGTTGTTTGGCTTTTTGAATGGCGGTTCTTTTCCTTTCTTCTGTGGATCCACTGTCGAAGGGTCAGGATCCCAAGTCCCTTTGACATATCGATTGAATTTGTGGATGACTTTTTTTTGGCTTTTGCTTGGAACAAACCGTGTCGAATCGAGTCTTTATCGAAAGAAAAAAAAAAGGAGACAGAGCGTGCTATTCGATGAGAATGGTTTGTGTTGTTTGACGCTCTAGAACGCTTGCCAATGCTTACTTGATGGTATATTGTGGACAACAGCTTTTCTCTAAATCAGGTTTATAAAGATACTTTCCAGACCTTGAATCAACATCATATGTTTTTAGAACTCTACTGATTTTTTTGACGATAGTTGCGTGTTCTATTACCTTCTCCAACCCCTATCGATCAAACGTTGATAGTCCTATAACAGAGAGGAAAACTTGGTTGATATTCCTTCAATAAAGCGTCTCGCCTCCCACCCACACATTCTTTTACTCTTTTCAGTCGTCTCATTGTCCCGTCATTGAATCTACCTCACAGGTCATGGCATGGGCCCAAATACCAAACGAGATGGAACTGTCTTTTCCTTTGCAATAACCACAATTATGTTGGCTATGGCCCACCATAGAAATGACCGTTAAACCCAAATCACTCAACTGATTCATCTCATTCTCTTCATCGTCCACTTCTTCTTCCTCTGTTGTGTCTGTAGGCTGGTTCATTTCATCAGCGGAGGAGGAACTCATGTGTTATAGTGTTGTTTTGGAAAGAGAGAAATGGGTGTGTAGGCGCACTCGTCTTGATTTCCTTTTTATGCAACTATCGCGTACCTTAAAAAATGACACTGCTACACTCACCTACACACTCAGATAGGTAGGAGGAAAGCTCAACAGAAGATCTCAAACGCTCTCTTTTCAACCCGCCAAAGATGCACTTTTTGTTAAAGACAAAAATCAAGTGAATGCATTCGCTATCCAACACTCATTGGCCACGCTCTTGGGATGGAGCCAAAGGCATCCTTGTTTTAAAACTCTTCTTCCCCCCATGAACACAATCCGTTACCCTCTCAACAGTAAACAAAAGAACAGGGCAAATGAAAAACACATATTTTTTGTTTATTGGAAATTTTTTTATTTGAACAAAAAGGGTATAGCAAGGAAAAAAGGACATTGGCGCGGTACCTAATGGATATCAACAAAAAAAGTAAAAAAGGTTAGAAAATTACCACTGTAAGAGATGTATCCATCGACACAACACATAGGTGATTACAATAGTCATGATTTTCAGAGAGGGCAAGTATAATATAACATCACCAAGTTAGAAGGTCCCTTAGTTGCGTATAGAGAGACCCACTTCAGCAACATAACTTAATCATCATAAAAAGATAGACTATTGCAGACCACATAGCACATGCATTGTATCGCATGGAGTTTTGAGCGTTTATACTTTACCTTTTTAGCTTTCCTAAAACTTGGCTGACACTAACAGGTTTTCTTGAGGCCACATTCAAGGACACATGACGCCAAAAAGCGCATGGTCTTTTTGAACAGGGGGGAGCCCAAAAAAAACCTTGATCAAGCAGCAAAGACCGATACACACAAGCATGGCCTACTGTTAAAGTTCCATGATGGCCAATGACAGGTATTTCATCATCTATTCATAGAGAGGTAGAAAGAAAGAAAAAAAGTAAAAGAGTAAAAAGGACAATTTTTTTTTTCTTTTGCGCGTTGTTCACTCTCGTTTTTTCTACTTTTTGAATAAAGGCAGTGGCTTTGAAATCAATTTGACAGTCCAATGGGCAGTCTTTCCAGGACTCGAATTTTTGCAGGCAATTTTGGCGGACTTTTACGGCAGAGCTTTGGGCAGGGAAATTCATACACAATGTGACAGATATGGAAACTGAAAAAATGGCCAATGGGTGATGCTACTTTACTATGTTCAACCCTTTTAGATACTACGCTTCCCAAGAGTACCTATAGTGTCAAAATGCATTCATGTTATGCCTCAACATGTCCTCCCGATCAGACTTTTTCAATAAAGATTGAAGAAGGAGTCATTCTCTAGCGACTGCAGGCTTCTGTTTGAGAGTCATTATATTACATTACATGCCACAATGAACCTTTTCTATCCTATTCTAGCCATAAATCAGCTTCCGTTTCCACTCTGCTTCTTTTTCTAACACCCCCTATTAGATTCCTTTGATTATTATTGGCGCGTAGAACTTCATGTCGAGTTCTTTTGTGATATCAATGACAATGTCTTTCAGCTGATGCAAGATGAAATAGGATAAAAAAAAAGAAAACAAAAAGACGAGCCATCCAACGGTTTGTTGTTGATGTGTCCTATAATATATACTCTCACAGAGTACATGAAAACCATCCCTACGCTCTGGAATACGACACTCAGCTTTTTGAAAAGTGAGAGTACCCTAAATCAAACCGGAGGATTCTTTTCGATGCGCCTATGCACTCTTTGGCCGTGGCATGTTGAAACCATCAGAGGACCATTTCTCTAATGATATTGGGTGCAAACATCATGCATTGTCCTATTGAACCCTATCTTAAAAACAACTGCTGCTATCGCGAAAGGCATAATTCAAATAAAGTGATCTCCCTTCATTTTATGAAGAGAGAGGAGGACGGTTTTTTTTTTCTTTTCTTTTTTCTATAGACAGGAGTTGTGCTACTCGTGATCGCAATATTCAACCTGATTTCATAGGGGCCAAAGACGTCTATCGCCATAAAACAGAGCCTTACCGATGAAGAAGCATTTCTAAACTCTACACCTACATAAAACAGATGTATAGGTAATCCTCTATCGAATCGCATTCTGCTAAGTAAACTACCTGCATTTTCGAAAACGTCTTTTTTCTATAAAAGTGCTCAAAGCGTCCAAGACATGAAAATGGTGGAGCGTAACACAAACACTGTCCACTCAATAGCATGATAGACAGAAGAGGGGAGGAGTTTTGAGGCCTTTTATTTATTTTTTTTATTTTTTTTTGGTTGTTGTTGAATTGTTTGTTGGCTGCTGTTTGATATTCTTTTTTTTTTCTGCTTCTTTTCCGTCCATCTATTATACATCATGCTCGATCTGTTCACCATTTTAACCAAAGGCGGTTTCGTTCTGTGGCAAAAAAACTATGCCCCCATCTCGGGGTCACCCGTTGAAGAACTCATCAAAAACGTGCTTATTGAAGAACGCGCCGGTACCGATGCCTACACAAAAGATAGCTACACCATGAAATGGACATTTGCTAATGAGCATGACCTCATCTTTGTCGTCGCCTATCAAAAAATCTTGCAGTTAAACTATACCGATGAATTACTGGAAACCACCAAACGTGTCTTTTTAGATCAATATCAAGATATTCTATCACGTAAAGAGAATCAAGGAACACAACATAATACCTCGTTATTAGATACGGATTTCAATAGTTCCTTTGGTCCTACATTTGAGCAACTTCGATTACAAATGGAAGAGAAATACAGTAAAAGAACGTCCATGAACCATCCAGCTCGACGACAACCTCGAAAATTTGAAGATACCAAAAAGTTTGAACATTCATGGAAAGGTTCTCAAGCGCAAAATAAAGGCGAATTACCTCTCTCCAACCCTACAAAATCTACCACAGCATCAACAACAGCAGCGGCCGTGGACGAAGATGAAATTGCTAGAAATATTAGAAAGTTGAAATTACAAGGTAAGGCAACATTCTGAGTGAATCGTCTCCGATAGGATCCTATACTCACTCTCCCAACATGGGCAGGTGTCAAAGGTCGTCCTCGAAAATCAGCCACACCCACGCCCTCTGAGGAAAACACGAAACCAAATAAAAAGAAATCACAAAAACAGGCTCGTGTGTGGGATGGACAGATTACAAAAGATCAAATGAAAGCGTTGGATTATTCAAACGACCACAAGAATGAAAAAGCGACGGGTAGCGAGGAGAAAGAAGGAAATGTGGAGGATATTGCAGCACAATTTGTGGATCCAACCAAACTAGGACAAAAGAATAAAGAAGGCATCTATGAAGTACAGGATGTCATGAAAGACGACCAAGTAGCCGATGACGATGCACTGGATTTTGATTCCTACGAAGAAGAGGAGGAGGATAGAGAGCCTACCCAGAGGAAAACAAACGGCACGCGCGGTGGTATGTTTTCTTATCTCAAGTCATTGGCCTCTGGTAAAAGAGCCATTACCAACGACATGCTCGAACCAGTCATCGCCACCATCAAAGAACGTCTGATCACTCAAAATGTCGCCACGGATATTGCGGATCATTTGTGCCAAAGTGTACGGACCAGTCTCCTCGGTAAAAAGCTTGGCAGTTTCGAACGTCTCTCGACCCTCGTCAAGGATAGCATGGAAGCCGCTTTGAAACGTATTCTGACCCCTAAAACGTCGTTGGATCTCTTGAGAGATATTGAACAAGCCAACAAGGCAGAAAAACGACCCTATTCGATCTGCTTCATCGGTGTGAACGGTGTCGGCAAATCGACCAACCTGAGCAAAGTGTGTTTCTGGTTATTACAAAACAATTACAAGATTCTGATTGCGGCGTGCGATACGTTCCGAAGCGGTGCCGTGGAACAATTGCGTGTGCATGTGCGTAACTTGACCGCCTTGCAGCAGCAGCAATCGTTGACGGGAGAGACCACGGGCCAAGTGGAGATTTTTGAGCGTGGGTACGGTAAAGATGCAGCGGGTATTGCCAAAGATGCGATCAGCTACGCTTCGAGTCAAGGATTCGACGTGGTGTTGATTGACACCGCGGGCCGTATGCAAGACAACGAGCCACTGATGAGAGCCTTATCCAAGCTCGTGTCGGTCAACCAACCCGATAAAATCATTTTCGTCGGTGAAGCGTTGGTGGGAAATGAAGCCGTCGATCAATTGACAAAGTTCAATCAAGCCTTGAAAGACTTTTCAGGGCTGCAGCATCCACGACATATTGACGGTATGATCTTGACCAAGTTTGACACGATCGATGATAAAGTCGGTGCTGCTTTATCGATGACCTACATTACGGGTCAACCCATTTATTTCGTCGGTACAGGTCAAACCTATACAGATCTGAAGAATCTTAAAGTGTCTCATGTGGTGCATAGTTTACTAAAAAAATAGAGACATTGTTATCCTACAAAACTTTTTTTCCGTCATCGATAGGACTGTACTTTTATTATTGTATTATTTGGATGTTGTCATCATCACGAGTAGAGGAATAAAGCCCATAACAAATACAACGATGCAGAGATCTCTAAATAGTCTACTGAGTAGCGTAAATACCTCTTGTTTGTTTTTCTGGAGGTGATGGAGAAGAGGTGATGATGCTGATAAGAATGAGGATGATGAAGAAACTGTATGTTCATTGATGTTGACAGGTGCATAAAATCGTTTGGCTACGAATAGTAGCATCTCTAGTATCACAAAATATCGAAAGACAGGCTAATCATGAACCAAAAACAGTCAGTCTCCATGTGATAAGTGTTTCCATACATAGATGACTTACAAAATAGAGGGCGGAAGATGTCGAGGGGGCTGATGCTGAGGTATCGTTGGACAGCATCCATTGACTGACTTGCTGTAATCCTTGCTTTGACATGGCTTCAAAGATAGCTAGACTCCCTAACCACATCATACAAAGCATATGCATCAGATGCCAATACTTATTGGCAGGATGCTTTGATCGTTTTGGTTGAGAACTCGTTCTATGCAACATGGTCACGATCAAGCTCTGGGGTATGTAACCGCCCAAGAAGCCCCGCTCCTTCAGTTGGTTTGCTTGCTCCTCTTCAATCAGTTTTCGCACAGCAGGTCTATGTTTTTTTAACTGGCGTTCGGATAAAATGGGCGAAGAAGTGGAGGACAGAGATTGTTCATATTTTTCACGACGTCTATCCGTGGGTGCAGGATAATGTTCTGCGAGGGTCATCTTTTCTGTCAAAGGAGGCGTTGTGACCGGTGTTGCATCTGTATGTTGTCTTAGTGCTGTAGACATACAAATTATTTTAGAACGTGAGGGAGGTTTTCCATTGTCTATTAAAAGGACACACATCCTTACCAGACTGACTGCATGTAATTTTGTCCAATCGACTCTCTGCAGACTCTAGAATACGTCTTTGTCTTCGCGCTCGTCTTTTCTCTATTTTTGCCAATTCTGCAATGTCGCCCATGATGAGGAATACGTCTTTCCTTACTACTTTGTTTCGTTTGTAAAGAAGAAAAAAAGAAAGATGGAAATGGAATAGCTTTTCTGTTTTGACAGAAATTTTTTTTAGAGAAAAAAATTAGAGATCAGGTTCAGATAACAAACAATGCAGTGAACCCATAAAAATTCAGGGACTCTATTTTTTTTTTTCCCAAATTCATGGATTATGCGAAAAAAAGAAAATGAATTGAGAAGAGCGGACGTTGAAATTGTGATTCAAACAAGGATTTTTATTACTGACATTTTTTAAGCCCAATGGGCACGAGATATTGAAGCTTATCTAAATTGCCCGGGGCAGCTCCAAAGGCTGAAAAGAATCTAAAAACCCCTTAGGGCTCAAGGGTAAAAAGAATTATGTACTAAAGGGTTGTGGGAGGGGAAGAGGGTGACCAGTCGAGCAATAGATGCCGTAACCGAGGAGTTGTAGGCGGTGTGGTATTTGGCGACTTGTAGAGTTAAATATCACTTATAGTTAAAACAGTAAAAAACTTAACGAGATCAAACTAGTAGGTCTTTATTTTGAACCAAAGCCAAGTTCAAAGAGAAGAAAAATACCTACTGCAAAAATTTAAATATCTTCTTCAAATTGCGGAACCTAGAAACTGACAGCTGAGTTATTCTACTCAAAGAAGACGTACGTCTTCTGAACCGTAAAAGAATAGAATTCTCCCTTGAGAATTTTACGCATCTACCCGGAGCGGGTGGACTTGTAAACGTAACCATGGCTTGATCTAGTGATCATGCAACTAACCTATTTTCCCGTGCTAACTATTATGTAGCACTGCTTGCAGGAAAATAGTATTAATTAGGAAAATGGTATTCGTGCGTGGTGTTTGAGCTGAGTGAACAGTTATTGTAAAGGATGATCACAAACTATTATCTTGTAATCATTCTTTATGCCGAAGGCAGAGAATAGTACTTATAACCTATTATACCTTGGTGTTGAATCAACATATCCTGCATGCCCATATATTAACTCTACTATATATCCTATGTCATATAGTAACGTATTACAGTAAAATAAGTAGACTATATATCCTAAATGACAACCTGTTCAGCCTTATACGAGGTAGCTAATCTCGTATAAGGATCATCACTTATTCTATATTCGTTTCCTACTCTAGTTTATATTATTTCAGCAGTAATGAGGTGTGAGGATCTTGTATAATTTGTATACGAGTTCTCCACATCTCATATGATGCTGTCAACTAAACACAACACTTAATTCACGGTACTCATATATTAGAGTTATGTAGTTTCTAATTATTTCTGGTTTGCAATATTGTATAATTCATCTTTATCCTTCATAAAGTGAATTATATCTATATCATCTACCCTCAAATACGACAAATATAACCGTAAATCAGGAAGAAGCTTTTACAAGTGCTTTAGTGAGTGCTGCCGAGAATCATCATCCTAGTAAAGCCATCCTGACCTACTGTCATTGAAAGTTGTTTTTCTCGCTGATACACATAGGAAATGCAATAAGGATATCCGCTTTTTTATGAAAAGAGTTATACATTATAGTCGCACTGTTTCTAATAGACACGACCCATATCTTATATGGACTAACAGCTTATCTGGATTCATTATGATTATTCAAGTTGGCGACAAGTGTGTATGACATTATGAAAGGCAATTAGTATACCTATGAATGAAAAGGAACTTCATAACAACAAATGACGGTTTGCATCACCACGTGACAGTGATAAAAACAGAAACAAAATTCAAATTGTGACATTTAGGCGTACAATACGAAAGGAAAAAACGGGCTTGAACCAGTGTTTTCCCCTTTTCAAAAGCATGTATCACCCATCTCATAGTTGTTACTGCCGTAAAAAGTAAGAGAGGCATGTGATCATTATCTAGTGATCCAGTGATTCAAGTATGTCTGAAGACGAACAATTCCTTCTTCTAACAACGTAGATAGATCCAAAAGATATCAAGCCAACCCTTAGGAAATGAACATGTGTACGAAATGAGAGCCCCGGTTAGGCTTTTTCCTTAAAGAAGACGAAGCCGGGAGGAATGCGTTTCGAATCGATTTGCATTTTGTTTGTGCATATAACATCTCTAATCCTCTTTCCCAATTTTTGAAACACAGAAAGCCTGTTTTTCTAACGCGTACAAAAAAAAAAAAAAAGAGGATGCTGCTGCCCCTTATTTTTGGCTGCTTCTGAATCGAGGTTTTTTCCCTTTTAATATCTCTTTTTTACTTTTTTCACTTTTCATAAGTCCAAAAAAAATGTATTCACCACAACGTAACAAATTATCATCTCCCAATAATACAACGTCTCGACATATAGCAAAAACTACGACAACGAGTCCCCTCAGAAATAACCGCTTTAAACGCACTTCCGCTACTTCTTTGGCGTCAGCAGCAGCATCTCTAAAACGACCTCAAGCAGATTTCGAATCTAATCAGTATGGTGAGGAAGACAACATGACAATCAACAAAAAACGGATGAGACTATCAGCCACGTCGAAAAGACCTGCCTCTACGTTACCAAACGAGACATCAGCTAATCTTCGTCTTGCTGGTTATCGAACCACTACGCCAATAGCTGCCGTCAAAGAACCCTCTGCCATGAATCAGAAACCCATCTATAATACCAACGCGACCATGACCACCCCACAACTTTTAGAAGGCCATAGAAGCAGACAACAATTATCTATGGGTAATGCACCAGCCCAACACAAGCCATGCACTACAGCAAACACATCATGGAATAACAACTATGCCATGCTGAGTTCAATACAGCCCTTTGATCAAAAGATACGTGTGTGTGTACGAAAACGTCCGTTGAATAAGCAAGAAATACTCTCAAAGGAGTTAGATGTGGCTCCATTGGTGAGTGCAAGAACCTTGGAAATTCATGCGCCAAAGTAATGTACCTATATAACACTATCGTTTGAATGGAAAAAAAAAAAACGACTTACTCCCTAAAACTCATTCAGACAAAAAGTAGATTTGACCAAGTACACTGAACAACATAGCTTTACTTTTGATGACGTGTTTGATAGCGATGCTTCCAATAGATATGTAAGTTGAAAGTGAAATGTACTGATCCCTGTCCCACTCGACAAAAGAGCACTCACTCCCATGTTTATCATTTAAAGATATACGAGCGAACCACGCAACCTTTAGTGTATCATATGTTTCAGGGAGGGAAAGCCACTTGTTTTGCCTAGTAAGTATCTCATGCTTGAACTTGAATGCTCATACATATTTATGATTGACCCCCTCCCCTCTTTTTCTAGCGGTCAAACGGGCTCAGGCAAGACTTACACTATGCTACATTCAAACCATGGTCTTTATTTTCAAGCGATCGAGGACATATTTCATTTACTGAATCAACCGGAATATGCTCATTTACAAGCCTCTGCCGGCTACTACGAAATCTACCAAGGTCAATTGCACGACCTTTTGAACAAACGTAAACGACTGATACCTCGAGAAGATGGCAAAGGCAACATCATCGTCTCTGGCCTTACCGAGCATCGTATCCGTTCCTCGACCACGATGAAGCAAGTATTCGACCATGGCAATAAAGAGCGCACGACGTGTAAGACCATGACCAATGAAAATTCATCGCGATCGCATGCCGTATTACAAATCCTCTTGAAACATCAAAATGGTCAAGTGTATGGCAAGTTAAATTTCATTGATCTTGCCGGTAGTGAGCGAGGCACCGATCGTGGCCGCAACCCAGACATGAAGACACGGATGGAAGGGGCGGAAATTAACCGTAGTCTGTTGGCTTTGAAAGAATGTATCCGGGCACTTGATCAGGATAAAAAGCATGCTCCTTTTCGAGGCAGTAAACTGACCATGGTACTGCGTGATTCGTTTGTGGGAAATTCAAAGACATGTATGATAGCCACCATCTCGCCTAATCATTCCAATAGTGATCATACCTTGAATACTCTCAGATATGCTGACAGGTAAATCCACACCAATGGAAAAGCTACTCTGGCCCATTCGTTGATACTAACAAGATATAACTTTGAATAGAGTGAAAGAATTAAGGGGTGAATCGGATCCGAGACTCGTTGAAAATCAAGCCGCCATTCTTCAGAACAAACGAGATAGTACAACCATCACTACAGTGCCCAACAGTGAACAGAGGATGGTCTACAATCATTCTCCAGCGAACTACAGCATGCCCAACACAAGGACATCACCGATGAACAATAACACAACTACACACAGGCCATCCGATAGCTCATCGTCCCTATTACCAACAACACCACCTCAACGACTCACCAAAGATCATATCAAGGCATTCATTCATGAACACAAACTCCAAATGGAAGCAGTCGAAACGTATCTACGAGATTCAAATACACTCATAGAAGATCTGGAATACACCATGGAGCATCTGCTTCCTATCGGTGGCGATATTGTCAATCAGTTACTTGAAGAGAGATATCGAGATTATAGAAATGATTTACTTCATAAAGGAGAACGCGTTGAACATTCTCTCAACAATCTCAAAGCCAAGATTGAAGAAGACTTAGCGGATGAAGACGAATATGATGACAATACCTGAATTTAACTTGCTCTCATTTTGCAATGCATCGTTTTGCTATCATTTCTGACGGATATGCAAAACAGTTTAAACTACAACTTACTATTACTACTACTACCACTACTACTATTACTATTCCTTTTTATTACTATCGTTCAAACCTTTCGAGATACCCATCATTTTTATTTCATTCAACATAAATCAAACATTTGGAGGCGTTGACCATTTTTTCAAGCTTTCTGAGCAGAGAGTGCTTCCTCTAATTCTTTGACACGATTCTCTAACTTTTCAATAGCCTTCTTTTGTAATCCTATTTCCGAGAGATCGCCATCTGCATTATTGAGTGCACGCAATTGACGATCCATCCATGGCCAATCATCTACAGGATACATGTGTTTCGTAGCCTCAATCGCATCTGCGTACGTGTTGGCACGAAGTTGTACCAAAGCTTCCACCGCTTCCATACGTATCTGTATGTTGGGATCACGCGTCAATGAAGCTTTTACAGAAAAAGAAAAGGTGCCGTTAGTGTTTGTCTGTCGTTTTATCGAAAAGCAAATAGACACAAACAATACCAAGCTCTTCTATAGCAGCCTTTCGTAACCTGTCGCTTTGCCATTCTGCAGCATGGGCTAACCCTTGAATAGCCATGGGTCTGGAACGCAATGGTTCCTTATGATAACCTACACGACCTAAAAGATACTCGAATGCTTCTTTGCTACGATGGAAGCCCAAGGCTTTATGTTTACAACAGTCATCCAAGGGGGGGGGGCGGGGCGGGGGAAACGTCATTTAGTACATGAAGAAGAGGGACTGACTTTTTACTTTTTAGCTACTTACCTTTCAGAGCACCACCACGAATAATGCCATGTTGTCCCACCTTGTTTTCGTCCTTTGCTACCTCCAACAAGAAGGGCAAATCATCTGCGTTTTGTTGACATCCTAAAGCGATCAAAGCATAGGCATGAGCACGGTAAGGAAGCGTTGCACTTTTGTCAAGCATCCGACGTAAGGCGTATCTCAAATGATCATCCTTGTGACGACAGGCTTCAGCAATCGGAGCCATGGCCATCGGTTCTTTTTCATTGTCCAAGAGTTCAGATAAAATTTCAAGACTAAAGACGCTATTGAGTTCAGATAGTTTTTTGGCACCTACAATGTATCATCCATCATGAGTCTGTCATCTACACTTGTTGTGGAAAGAAAAAAGAAACACTTACATTCAATACGCACGCCATAGAAAGATTCTTGCTTTATCAGTTCACGTACAGCTTTCAAAGCAGGCCTTGACCCACTTTGGATCAGTTCAGAATAAGCCCAGATACGTTGAACAAGGTGGGGGCATGATTTTGCTGTATTGATCAGGACATCTCTATCCACCGACGGCATGTCCAACGTATGCAATATCTTGTTGTGAGGATCGATCAGCACTTGAGCTGGTTTCTCTCCTTTCGGTAAAGCGATGCATGCGGTCACTGTAGCGGCACGATCAAAGGTCAAAAGACAAGTACATTCGGAGTCTTTATTTGTCTTGATCATCACTTCGATATCAAAGCCAAACAAAGGAATGTCCGCTTGATTCATGTGTTGTGTTTGGGTTAGCGTGAGGGTGACCGTATTATTTTGCAAGTCATTGTAGCTGTATTGACCCTTCAACGCAGGGTAACCTTTAGAATAAATCCATTCCTCAAAGAAACGCGTCAAGTTGAGACCCGACGCTTCTTCAAGACAATTCTGAAAATCAGAGGTTTGAACTGTCTTTTTTGCAAAGCGTTCGACATAGATATGCACGCCCATCCAGAAGGCTTCATCGCCCAACAGTTGACGGAGCATATGAATTCTCCAAGCACCTCCTGGGTAGGTATGTCGATCAAACATGTCCCAAGAATGATCGTATCTGCGCGTCACGATAGGACGCTATGAAAATAAATAACAGTGAGTGAGACATCCACAAAAAAGTAAAAAAGTAGTAGCAGATAACCTACCATGTACTTGCGACATTCTTCAAAGTAACCACAAGCATTTTGGTACATTTCATAACAAAATTCATCTTTTGAAACGTTATCTTGTAGCCAACCTTTTTAAAGATAGATCGATAATTTAGAACAAAGACATTGCTAAAGAAAAGGGCACACACTTACATGATTCAATATAGGTGGCCCAACTTTCTTTTAACCAAACATGTTCAAAATGACGAATCACTAAAAGATCACCAAAATAAGTATGACCTTTATAAAAAAAAAAAAAAAAAAAAAAAAAAAAAAAAATGAACAACTGTGTGAATGATCCACTTTCATGGTTTTGCAATCCATCAAAACCTTTTTACCCATTTCATGAATATTGACACAGTCTGTGAACAATTGACGTTCCAAAGCAAGAGTTTCATCCTGAATAAAAGTATCTACCCAAGTGACAAGGGATATGTTTTCCATAGCACTTCGAAGTCCTGGTAAAGAGATTTGGTAGTATTTTGGCCAAGGAACTAGAGAGCCATAAAAGTAGGCCATGAGAACCAATGGAAACATTTTCATAGGAAGCAGTCAGTCTAGCATATACTTACAAGCTACACCCACTTTCTTTTGTAACCATTGCACCATGGAAGCTGTTTTGCCAAAGGCTCTCTTTACATCTTGCCCCTTATAGCCCTTTGCTGCATAATACTATTATCAACAAAGGTTAGGAAGCAAATCCATTGTGAAACGAAACTGCAAGACATTACTTTAATAGGCATTCCATTGACTTCACCGTCATCCACTTCAATGAATTCACCAACAGCAAAACAGAGTAAATAAGAAGGACTAATCACGATAGAAAAACGACTGGGTGAATACTATATATATATATAAAAAGAAAGGTACCTGTAACAAATTTACCATGGATAGTCCAACTTCCATTTGGTAGTCTTCATCTCTCCGTGAACCTCTGTAGACTCTAAACTACCATTGGCCAAAGAGATATACTCTTTAGGTGCAGTGATGGAATACGTCAATGAAGTTCTTACCGTTGGGAAATCAACGGTTGGCAGCCAATATCTAGCCCTAAATTTTCGTAATGTAGGATTTTAAGTTACCCTTTTTTTTGTATTCAGAAAAAAAAAAAGGACCAGCCCTATTTACTTTTCGGTTTCACAATAGGTGACAGCCCACTGGGCTGTTGCATTGATCATATCATCGTCTTTATCAAAGTAGACACCAGCAACAGGATTCTCCACAGTATATTCGATCGTTACTTTACGCTCCTCTTCTTTATTAAAACACGTGTCCCATACAAGTAAAATATGATGACCGCTATAATGATATTGTTTGAGTCCTTCACCAGACACTTTGACATCTTCAAAATCGACAGCATTCAAACGGATCTCTTGAAGATCTCTTGCGTTGCTAACAAGTGCTTTTCCATTATGTTTAAACGTAAGAGTTGTTTTGCCCATAAAGCATTTCGTAGAAAGCTGTTGAAACTGTAAGCTAATGTCTGTTTATCAGGAAGGAAAAGAGTCAAAAAAAGGTGACACATAAAAGAGCATATAACAAATGGGCTGTGCCCTGACACGTTTTATTTTGGATACTATACCATGACGAATGGGTTCAATGACTTTATTTGGGGCATATTGATTGACTGCAGAGTTAGAATAGAATTCTGCTGCACCAGACTTTCGCGAGCAACAACTATTATGCGGCATTTTGTTTTGTCCCTATTCCTCTATCAATTGATTATTAATGGGTGTATGGTATGAGGAAGGAAAGAAAGAAAAAAAAGGGGTCAAGGGGAAGCCCAATCGATCTTTCTGTCATTTTGGTGACCATGAAAGGAATGGGATGCGCTGTGATCACTCACCATTGGCGTTCTTTAAAAATCGTGAGAAGTAGTTTTATTCAGTCATTTATGTAAGCAAGTATAGAACAGTACTAAAAAACGGGCCTTCGTCTCATCTGTTCCGTGCTCACTATGCGCAGGACAGGACAGATCGTACTGGCGAGAATTTATTCCATCACCCAACCACCACGTCCAGCAAAACGACCTTTGACAGCCCATGTTCACAACAGCAGGCGACATTGGCTATCTGCTGTGTTATCCATAAGATGATGACAGTACGCGAATTACATACAGCTGCAGTAATGCGCTAACAGTTTGGTATAAATCTACACTATTTTAATAAATTTTTGATGAGCACATAGAACTTGAGGTTTTTCTCCGCGTCCTATACATTCGAAACGGTTAAAGATATCTATACCGTAAAGTCTCGTTTGTTTCTAACTTACTCAAAAAAGTGTCTATAAAAAATTTGTTTCTGTTATTAGGCATCATCCATTGTGTGTCTTTTCTTTTTATTAGCGACAGGATCATTGTCAGATGGGATGATCAAAAGGGTCGCTTGTGTGTGGATAGAAGATTCGTCGCTCTGAGCGAGGCCTGTCATGACACTCGCTTTCCGAGTACTTTTCTGTTGTAGGGTTGTATCAGTCACTTTAGTAAATTCGGGCAAGAGGAAGCGACAAGGTTTTTCCACAGAGATCATTGGCCACATCTCCGGTCGATGAAAGGACAATGACTTACTCCTAAAGCGCAACAAACTTTATCCAGCCTCAAAGGGATGTGGAACCCATTGAAAGGAAGGCGTCTCCTTTTGCCTCTTCTTCTACATAAGATCTCAGGGACGTGGTCAGATGGAGTCCAAATTCTCTCTCACTTTTTTCGAGAGAGCAATAAGTTCAAGTCATTTGCTTAGAGCTTATCGTGCAGATCATTTTTCTTGGAAATGGACTATAAACCAAACAACTGGAGATGATGCATTTCGTTCGATTCATTAAACCTACATGAATTTTCTTTCTTAAAGTTAGGTGCTAGAGAGTACAGCAGCCAATAGGGAGACAATGAAAGGATGAAAGCTGCACTTTCGATTTCCTACACTACTGTTACTGAGAATTCTTCAAGCATGTATGTAATCGCTTTTAAAGAAATGCTTAATGCACATATACACACACACACAAAAAATCTTATGCTTCATCATATTAAAAAAGTGTTGGGATGGAGGAAGCATAAATCTTTCCTCTCCTTTTGCAGTTCCATAGAGAAGGGCTCCTTTTTCTCTTTCTCGCTAGCCAGTATTGTTTAAGCTTTTTGTCTTTCTCTATATCGGTTTTTTCCTTGTTTAGTTTACAAAGGCTAAGCAGCTAAGGAGGGATCCTATTCTTTGCAATTATATGAAAAGATGAGTATATCCAATGGATCTAGTCCTAATACTCTTCCTTTTCCGATTAGCAGACTCTAAATATAGACAAATCTCGGTTACAGCAAATATTTATAAATGTATGTAGATAGACATAGAGAATAAGTTTAGCTTTTAACAACTCTCATTTCTTTGTCCTTTTCTTTCTTTCTTTTGGTCATTACAAAACAGAACCTTTGTAATCCCATACTTTGTTTTCTTTTCTCTTTTTGCTTGCAAAAACAAAAATAAAAGCTCGACCTATCTATCATTTACCCATAAAATTGCTGATCTATATTCACTAGGCGTGCCTTGGCTAATATGGATATTCAAAGCTTACTTTGTACTAATACTTATTCTTGCAATCACTTAATGAATACACCACCATCCTCATCAACAATACACGACAAGCGGGACCTTGTTGGTGATTATACGCTTTCCTCTTCTCACGTGAATGCTTCTTCGAAAGCTGTTCCAACAGTAGACTGTCATCAATCCATCACTTTATCCATACCTGAAAACGCTAGCGTATCTTCTTCCACTTTTACAGGCATAACCAACCCAACTGATCCCCTTGCTTTCGCAAAATTCAGTATTTCTAGCTTATCCAAAGATCATCAGCCTTCACAACAGCAAACGCGTACACCCTGGACTTCAAAAGAAGATGTCTTGTTAAAAAAGGGTTATTTGCAAGGTCTATCTTGGGCCATGATATCTGCCAAATATCTACCGCATCGATCACGAGGTTGCTGTTGGGGACGATTCAGAACGCTTCAAACCAAGTCTATTGAGAAAAAAGGATGGTCGGATGTGGAAGACCGTTTATTACTTACTGCCATTAAGAAGCATACAAGGTTATTCAAGCAAGCTTGGAGATCAGTATCTTTGGACATGGATCAAACCAGAGATTGGAAAGAGTGTGAAATTAGATCAACGCGTATCAAGCTTCATAATTCAGTGTTTGACACTGAACAACAGTAATCCGTTTGTATATAAAAAAATATATATATCACCCAGCATCTTATACTCCTCCTTATCACTATGACTATTTAACTCGTTTACTTGCCTGCAAAGAAACCATAGAAAAAAAAAAAAAAAAAAAGGAACCACTCTCATACCCCTTTCATGATCGGTCGTTTACGACTGATTTTATATATAACAAAAAGTAAAAAGAAACCCATCCCGTAAAGAGTGTGTATTGATATACACCTTTATTCAGTATCTCTAGAACAAAACTTTTATATTTTTTCCCTTTTCATCCATAATAATCTCTCATATTTCCTACATAGTAGTAAATGTAATAAAGGCTGATGCCTTATTTCTTCTCCTTTTTTGTTGATTTTTTTTTTTTTTGGGAGGAAAAGCAGCATAAAAGCTGGAAACGCATCAAAGCTCAGCAGCCAATGAACTTTTTGTAACTATTGGGTCTTTGTCAATGCAAAAAAGCGTAACGTGTCGTTTCTTTCTATATTTTCCCTTGAATTTGTGCAGCAATAGAAAAAGATGACAGTGCCTCCGTACAAGTTAGAATCCACTCTAAAGAACCACGATCAAGATGTAATATGAAGAACATTTTCAGGAACATTTAATCTATTCCGTAATCTAAACACAATTGTTTGTCTCCCTTCCATTTTCCGAATGGTGTCCCTTACCTGCGTTTAGGTAAAGGCTGTACTTGCCATTAACGACAATCTCATTGTATCGGCATCTCGAGATAAAACTGTACGATCTTGGTCTCGTGTCAATGCAAATACTTTTGTACAAGATAAAATCTATTTAGGACATGAACACTTTGTAAACGCCTTGACTTTTATACAACCTCAAGAAGCCTATCCTCAAGGTATGATAAGAAAGAAAATAGGAATTCTAACAAGAGAAAAAACTCACCCTATTGCCTTCCCTCGTTAGGTTTGATTGTCTCGAGTGGTTCCGATAAACTGATCCATGTGTATGCTCTTAATCGCCCAGATAAACCCATGTATACATTAGTGGGTCATGCTGGAAATGTGGTTGCTTTGGCGACGACACCCTCGGGCTATTTAGTGTCTGGCTCATGGGATAAGTAAAGTGATTGTGATAGAGAGAGAAAAAAAGAGTTAAGAAAAACTAAAACTGTGACATCCTTATTAGGAAGGCTATTGTATGGAAAGATTTTCAACAAGCTTATATATTGGAAGGACACGCTGAAGCTGTTTGGGATGTACTTGCTATTGATGATGATTTGATATTGACTGGTAAATATACTGCCCAAAACCAAACGAGAATGAGTCAACCCATCTCATATGCGTCTTATTAAAAAAAAAAAAAGCGTCTGCGGATGCGACGATCCGTTTGTGGAAGAATGGAAAGTTGGCTCATGTGTATCAAGGTCATACGCAAGCAGTAAGAGGGCTCGCTTTAGTGCCCAACGTTGGATTTGTGTCATGTTCGAATGATGGGTAAAGGATGGAGCACACACAACATCTACGCGCGGGATCATGAAGGAGGATCTTATCGGCAAATATAAAATAGTGTATTTAACCACCTTTGCTTTTTCGCATACATATGGATATAGATCTTTAAGAGTATGGACTTTGGAAGGACAGTGTATTCAACAATTAGAGGGACATACTTCGTTTGTGTATTCGGTCAAAGTGATGGATTCAGGCGAATTTGTTTCCTCTGGTGAAGATCGTACAGTGAGAATTTGGAAAGGTAAACGGGGGGAAAAAAAAAAGGGCAAAATTTTTCTACAGACATTTGAAAGAGAATAACATGGGGATGTGTCTATGGATAGATGGTCAATGTATTCAAACGTTGCAGCAACCTTGTATATCTGTCTGGACAGTGGATATCCTACCCAATCATGATATCGTTGTCGGAGGCAGTGATGCTGCTGTTCGTCTCTATACCCGTGAAGCAGAGCGTATGGCTCCTGTACAAACACAAAAGGAATTTGAAGAATTATTAGCCAATCAGGCCATTCCTTCGTAAGTAGACAAATTCGCGTTCAGTGCAAAGAATAGTATTTCTCATCTGACCTTGATAGAAATCAAATGGAAGACATCAATAAAGAAAAGCTACCTGGCCCAGAAGCCTTGAAAAGCCCAGGACAAAAGGAAGGGCAAGTGATCATGATAAAGACAGGAACATCGGTGGAGGCACATCAATGGAGTATGCAGAGTCAAAGCTGGCAGAAAATTGGCGAAGTCGTGGGCAGTAGTAAATCTTCCAAACAAACGTACGAAGGTCAAGAATATGATTATGTCTTTGATATTGATGTAGGTGCTGGCCCCAACGGAAACTTGAAACTACCCTACAATGTGACGCGTAAGTTTTTGTATTAAGTTTGTATTCAAAAAACGGTATACACTCACAATCACATCGAACCAAACCTTTCTTTTAGAAAATCCTTATGATGCGGCACAAAAATTCTTGTTAAAGCATGATCTACCTCCCTCTTATGTGGACCAGGTCACGGATTTCATTATCAAAAATACAGAAGGCGTAAAACTTGGTAGCGGTTATGCCGATCCGTTCACCGGTGCTAACCGATATACTCCACAAGCAGCCAGTCCAGCTTCTTCCGCGGGATCCTATATGGATCCATTCACAGGCGCAGGCTCTTACCGTCCAAATACAACTACGACATCTGCTTCGGCCTCTTACTCTGATCCATTTACGGGCGCTGGTTCTTATAGACCTGCAGGAAATGGAACACCATCGACACCACCCACACAACCCAAATTACTTCCTATTGTAAGTCACATTTGCTTTTCCTCCATGATTTTTTGGAATGATCATTCTCATGATAGTATCTTGTTAGAAAACATACTTGGCATTGAAACAAGCCAACCCTGATGCAGTACTCAACAAAATCCGTTCTGTCAACACAGAAATCGAGAACAGTCTGAGCGACGACGAACTGACTGCCTTGACGTCCATTGTATCTCACCTCAAAACATCCAGCAGCCAAGTAAAAGATGTGGCAGGGTTACAGGTCATTGTCAAAATGGTCAGCCAATGGCCCGTCCTTCAACGCTTCCCCGCGCTTGACTTGGTGCGTTTAATTGTATTGCATGCGCCTTTAGAACTTTCATCCGTTACACCACAGCATGACCTTTTGCTGTTCCTCAAGGACTATGGCGGTCTTTCCTCCAATGTGGCGGAACCTAATGAAACCAATGCTATGCTCGCTTATCGTGCACTCGCCAATGTGTTTCAACAAGAGGCAGGTCGACAACTTTTATGGGAGAAACGCGAGATGGTAGCAGAGATGATGCAAGTGGATGTCTCTGGTTTATACAAGAGCAAAAACTCTCGTTTAGCTGCAAGTACATTAGCCGTCAAGTAAGTAGGAACGCCATGCATGTTTTTGTGTTTTTCTGTGAAAATGAACTGACAGAGGATCTATTTTGTAGTTTTGCAGTTTTACTATGTACAAAAGCAGAGGATGAGATAGGATTAGGTTTTACTGGAACCTTGATCGAATTGTTAAAGGATGAACAAGAGGATGAGAATGTTTATAGATTCTTGATGGCACTGGGTACCCTGGTAATGTATCACCTACGTCTATCCATGTGTCTTGTGTACACGGAACTCACCATGTACTCCATTTCTGATAGGTGTCGCAATCCAATGGCTGCCGTGAGGTAGCTAAAATCATGGATGTTGCCATTGAAATCCAGCGTATAAAAAATGAAAAATCCAGTCAAGAGCGTATGCAAAAGGCAACATCAGAAATCCTTCAGTACTTGGCGTAGAAAACCTATAGTGTAGCTCGTTTCTATTCAGAAGAATCATTATCTCACACGCACATATACATATATACAAAAAAAAAAAAAAAAAAAAAGAAGATCGAGTTGACTACTCTCAACTGATGTTTGAAAAGCTTTGAAATTCACAAATCACTATGTATATTACGTTTTCCATGTCAATATGATTTTTTTTTTTTTTGAAAATCAGAAAAGTTGGTTGCTATATACAGTTTTGCGCGTCTTTATTGAGAATTGTTTTCGTGTAAATGATGTTGGTAGGATAAGGGGTAAAGGTAACAAAATTGGGTAATCAAGGGGGGGTTTGGCATTATGGAAGGAAGCAAAAAATGAAAAAGATGGATTGAGTTTGAAAGAGCGAGTGAGCTAGTTGTGCTTCAGGTTACTTAGAACTTGTTCGAATCTGCATAGAAAAAAGGAAAAGGTCAGTGACGTCGAGCGATAGAATGTTATCAAATATTTCATACCTCAGCATTCTTTGTTTGGCTTGATCTGCTTCAGACTTTACCAAAGCCGTCAGTGTCTCCCAGTCCAGCTTGAGAGTGTCGTGCTTGGTTTGCCAATCTTCTTTTGACTTGCGTTCATCTGCTGCTAAAGTTTGAAGCGACGCAACCTGTGTACGCAGCTCGCTCAGCTCGTTTGTTTGACTGTCCATTGCTTTTTGTTGTTGGTCTGCCAAGACAGACTTGTTGCTCAACTCCTTTTCCAATGTTTCTATACGTTTTTGCAGTGTATCGTTCTGGGTATCCAAATGGGTCATCTTTTCCATCTGTGCATCGATGGTCTTTTGCTGTGCCTCGAGTTGTTCGGTTTTCTCCCGCAGCTGCTTTTCAAGTTCTTCCACACGTTCTTCCGCCAGTGCAAACTTGTGCAGGGCATCGCTTTTGCTTTCCTCGAGTTCGCGAATGATATGTTGCTCTTCCATGATGAGATCTTTGAAATCTTGATGTTCTTCTTCCAGCTCGTTGTTCCGTGTCACGAGCTCCGTGATCACGTCATGCTGTTCTTTGAGTTCGTTTTCCAAAGCAGCAATCTTTTGTTCCTTTTCTCGTAGTTGGGTGTCGATGCGATAGGCAGCATTGAGGGGTTTTAGCTTGGCGTAGATTTTCCACCAGGGCCATTCCTTTAGGCTGATATAGATACGTGCATTTCGCTGAATGATACGGATGGCTTCTGTCTGTCGAGAAAACCTTGTTTGGTACTGACGCGACAAGAGTCCACGGCACATGGCTTGGAATTTTGTAATGTAGGCACTGAGTTTGTTGTCCCGAAGTTCTTCCAAGGTGGCAAGCTAAGGTAGGTCGATGGAAGGTGTGAATAAGAAAAGATGTGTCTACGTGTGTGTCTCTTTCACTTACCACAGACGCTTTGAAAAAGATTTTTGAAGTACCAATTTGATACTTGTCAGGCTCCAAATTCATTTCTTTGATGAGCATTTGACAGGCTGTTCTTCCATCGATAAAGGATTTACGATCGGAGAGTTCAGGGCAGAGGACTTGATATCTTTTTCTAAACTCATTAAAGGAAAGACGATTGGGAAAGCCCTTTCTACAAATACGAATACCTTCCAAAACACCATTGCACCTGAGCTGATCCAGCACGAGTTTTGTCTGAATTTCACCGGGATGTTTGCGATTATTCGGCAAAATGCAACGCACAAAATGAGGGTGGGTCATGTAAAGTGTGTTCATTAAGGAAAGGAGTTGTTGTTTATGACGCTGTCCGACGGTTCTAAAAGACCCACTGCCTTTTCTCAACTTGAGCATGTTGGAAAAGGAGGTGTTGAGAGGAGGGCCTCCGGAGGAAGAAAGGAGGGATGTGGCAGACGCGGGCCTGTTGCTGTGATGGTGGCTGCTTGACCCTAGACCAGACGTCTTTTCATCTCTCTGATCGGATAGATAATCTTCAAAGAGCTGAGCGACATGCTTTTGACTGGACTTTGCCAGCAAGCGTGTGACATCTTCGTTGAGAGGGTCTTTGTTTTTTTCAATCCAGCCATCGACCGAGTATTCTACATCGCCAGCATAGTGTTTCAATATAAAGCCGTCCTTGAAACGTGTACTTTTGTATTTGGCATCTTCTGGGTTTTCTTTATCGCAAAATTTGTTGAGTTTTTCCAAAAAACGCTGATCACTTCCCCTCGGTGCTACGCATTCTTCTTCCAAACAAGACAAAATACCCACAGGCTAGTCTCGTAGGATGGATGGAAGGTGTGAGCTTTTATTCAACCATTCTGTACCGTACTCCCGTTGTTACTTACGTTTGATTTTTCAATAAGATCAATGGTAGGTTGAAGGTCTTTACCAAAATCGATATAACTCCAATTAATCTTTTCTTTTTGATATTCCTCTTGTTCCAATTCAAACATGTTGTGGTTGAAAAATTGTTGGAGCTTTTCATTGGTATAATTGATACATAATTGTTCAAAACTATTGACCTAATCAACAGCCATTTGGCATCAATGTTTCTCTACCTTTGTAAGGACGCTGATCTCTAACCTACCTCGAATATTTCAAAACCTGCGATATCTAAAACACCGATGAAACCTAATTTATCTTTGGATTTTTGTCCGTCAATGGCTTTATTGATTCTTTCGACAAGATAAGCAAAGTTGCGTTCATAGAGCGTTTTGGCCAGCGCGTCGATACTGGCAATCACCTGCGCAGGAGACTTGGCTTGAGTGACCCAATCTCTACCGGCTTTAATCCGCGGTGCGAGTAAACTCTTTTTAAAGTCTTCTGCCGAGATACCTAAGAGATGACATAGACGTTCCACAGGAGCAATATCGCGAATGTCGGCGCGGTCGCGATAATCTGTGACGGAAATATTGCCGAGATGAAGAATGGCGGCCACCACTCGGAGTAAATCCAATTTTTCTTCTTTTTCGATGCCCATGATATCTAATGATTTCTAATGAACAGAGGATGACCATGAGTTTCACTTTAGATAAAAGAACATGGCTATGTGAATTTACCGATAGTTTTTGATATTCTTTTGCATCATCTACACCTTCAATTCTTCTATTTGAATTTTTGATAAAGTTGTAATCGTCCGCATCTCCTTCTAATAACAGTTGCTCTAAATTACAAAACAAAAAAGCAAACACATCAGTGGATTTGGAAGGGGAGGTGGCTGTTGCAAAACGGGCTTACGCTTCACTTCATGGTCAGCTTCCATTAATTGATAAAAAATATGATAATTTCGTTCTTTTGCAGTTTGTTGATGCACACGCGATTTCTCCAATAGATACCATTCAATATTAGCACCACAAATCTGAGCTCTATTGTTGAATTCAATACGAATAAATTTACCCTAAAATAAAGTCAAAAGGTTCAATGGGAGATCTATCCTATAGCAACCCCCCTCTTTGGTTTGGTGACACTTACAAATCTGGAAGAGTTATTATTACGGATGGTTTGTGCATTACCAAACGATTCAAGAATAGGATTGGCTTGCAAAATTTGACTTTGTAGTTTGGTAATGTGTTGTTCTGTCAATTTGGTCGAGGTGGAAGCAACAGCGGTAAGGTATTGAATCACAATCTTTGTATTTTCTGTTTTGCCTGCACCCGATTCACCACTAAAAAAAAAGGAAAATAGAGATGAGTGAGTCTCGATTATTCTTTTATAAGTTCATCCTGAACATTTACGTGATCAAGATGGATTGATTTTCTTTCTCTTGCACCATGTCATGATAGGCTTGATCTGCCACTGCATAAATGTGAGGAGGCATTTCGCCCCGTCTTCTGCCTTTGTAGGATTCAATGTATTGGTTGGTATAAATGGGCAAATGTCGGTATGGATTGACGGCCACCAAGAAAAGACCCGAGTAAGTCTATCAAAGGAAGTCAGTGACGTATAAAAATGTCGAGTAGGATTTAGATAAGTTGTCTTACATAAATATGATCTGATTTGTATCTCACGGTGAGGTTGTGGATGACGGAAGGTTCATTTAAATAGGTCAATTCAGCCATATCGTCCACCATGTCAAATTTGGGTGGGTTCATGGGTTGTATAAAGGAAGCGGGTACGGCAGCCGTCTAATAGAAGGGGGGTGTGTCAATAGGGGGGCTTTGATTCATATCCATGAGTGTCTCTCTCTATTTACCACGCCTGTTTCGTATTCTATTATCACTTTGTCCATGGATTCCTCTTTTATGACGTGTCCTTTGACATAGCCTTCTTTTTCATCTTGAATCCATACCCATTTTCTTTCATTAAATTTAGCTTGAGCTACTGCATCCAATACATCATCTAGTTTGGGTCGAATGAAAGTTTTCGAACCATAGCTGTGTATAAATGATCCACCTCCACTGCCATAATCTAATGCATGCAACTTTTTATGCTGAGGAGTGGTTGCTTCTGCTGCGACGGATGCTGTAGAAGATATGGTTGACATCATCCCTATTCACAGATAGAGTAAAGGGGGTGGTTATAAAAAAGTGAATTGTTGGTTTTTGTTAATATAAATAAATAAAAAGCAATCGAATATTGCCAAAATACACAATCGAATTTAATATGCAAATAAAAAAACATGTTCCCTTTATCTGCTATTTTGGGCAGATTTGTAAACATCCCATAAAAGGCAAATCTTCAGGTCCGAATTTTTTTGGTATTTTTTTTTTTTTTCAGTTTTTTTTTCAGTTTTTTATTTCAACAAAAGAAACTTCTTCTTCTAAATCTTTACGTAATTCTATGATAGTGGAAGGAGGACTATGCTGTCTTAAATTCACTTGAGCTTCTTTAAATACTTTGGCTGTCATCTCGTCCATGCCATAGGATTTGTTATAAACGACTTCTTTGACGCCTTGTTGAATAATCTTGATGGCACAGCCTAAACAAGGACATGTGTTACAATAAAGCACGACATGATGGCCGTCGCGTGCGACAGTACCCCGTCCTGCTTCGAGCAATGCATTTTCTTCTGCATGCATACACAAGCATCGGTCCAGGCTTGTGCCGCAAGGGGCGGCTTCGTTGCAGCGTCCACAGCCACCCTCATTGCAATTTCTCAAACCACGCGGTGTACCGTTATAACCCGTCGCGATAATGCGCAAATCTTTGACGAGAATGCATCCCACGCGTCGCTTCATACAGTTGGATCGTTTGGCAGCGAAATCCGCGAGATGCATAAAGTAGGTATCCCAGGACGGTCGTAATCGTTCCTTGTTGGTGAGATCCATTTTTTTCAGCGTGTCAAATAGTTCACATTTTTCTGTGGAGGCATTGGTAATAAACAAGTCAGAGGACACCATGATATTGTAGAGAGGTGTGTGGTGCGCTATTTCGGCTTGGTCTTGCGCCGATCGATTGTACTTTTCTCGATCATCTTCCATGATGAATTCTTCTAGTGAAAGAAGATGCTCTGGGGAACTAAATAGTTTTTGGGTTTTTTTTAGTTAAAAAATACTACCTCCATGAGATTATTATCAAAGATTCTCTACCTGTGAATGTACCGTTGATATCGAAGTGTAATAGGTGCGTCTACGGATACAAGCAAAAAAAAGGGACGTTTCCTGCCAACCCCAATGAAAATGACAACGATACGTGTTGTGGGCGCGTGAGTGGGTGACAAATTACTTTCGTGTTTAAACTTGTTTTATTTTTCATTTTTTCTTTTACTTGAATGTCCAAAGATCGCGACAGTCCATGTCGCAGGTAACAAAATCATTTTGCCATCGTTCAGTGACATAAAGCTGCATGTCCTCTCTATTGTTGAATCGGACGGCACGATCATAGAGTGCTTCGTAGTCGTTTCTCTTTTTTGAAGAGGTCAAACATAAGAATTGAAACCGATGCTGTTCTACCAAATAGTGAGCGATGGTATGTTTTCCGCTACTTCTGGGTCCAGTAATGCCAATGAACATGGTTGCAACTGATCAAAAAGGTACAAAACGAAGCAACTGATAACCAACGAGGGATTTGAGTCACAACGCGAGCGCCTAATTTTATTTTTTATTTTTTGTGTGTGATTTCAAAAAAAATTCAGAAACCCTTTTTTCATTTTTTCTTTCTTAAAGCAGCGCATTCATATTAACACTGAAAATGTCCAACACACCACAACAACCGCATTTAGGGCAATTGCCACAAATGTTTGCGCAATATTCACAAAGTATTGAACTTTTGAATAATAACCTCACTGTCATTAGAAGAAATCTGGAACGCACCGACATTTCCGACAAAGAAAGAGAACAATTACAAAAACAAGAACAAGATTTTCAAACGAAATTAACCACGTTACAAACACTTTTGAATAACTTGACGCCTCAACTTGTTGCGCAAAACTTACAACAACGTGTTTTAATGAGTCAGCAACAACAACAGCAACAGTCTATGGGATCACCTGCTCCTCATGCTGACACTATGGGTATACCCTCTAATCCAGGTTCACCTGCTTCTTTTAATCCACAACAACAACAACAGCAACCACCTTTGCCATTCAATGCCGGTCAATTAGCAGCTCAAGCGCTTGCAGCACAGCAACAACAACTTCGTAAAGTACATTCTTTTGGTTGAGTTTTTTTTTTTCTGGTTTCTTCGATCCATACTCATGCATTTGACTTTAGGTAATGTACAACAGCAGCAAACTCAACAACAACAACAACAAGTATTGAATAAACTGGGTTTAGCAGCGAATACAGCCATGAATCAGAATACAGTGACTCCTACGTCCACCGTCAATACAGCAAGTAATACAGCCTCTCCACAAACGGCCAATTTTGCTTCTCCCATGATGCAACCCTCACCCAATAACAGCACAATGCAGATGAAAGCCACGAATACAGGTGTACCCAATACGACACCTTCTACTGCTGCTACTACGAATACCACGAATGCTGGCAAGAATAATAATAATGCAACCATGTTTACTTTTTCATCTTCCACCTCCTCTTCCCATCCATCGCAACAACAACAACAACAACAACAACAGCTACAACAAACAACAGCACCTTTGAGTGGGCCTACAGTAACCACCACGCCGGGTGGATCTACAGCTGTAGCACCACCCTCTTCCAACAACAACAATAATAACACGCTTGCTCCTACTCCTTTAAAGCCTGCATCAGCACCTTCGTTGGATAGTGACGGTGTCCATCGTGTGTTGACAAAGAGAAAAATTCAAGAGTTAGTATCTCAAATAGATCCAGCAGAAAGACTCGAACCTGAAGTTGAAGATGTAAGTGACAAGAACTCAATGGATCTTACTTTTTAATAAAACTAAACCTTCCATCATTAGATTCTGTTAGAAATCGCAGATGAGTTTATTGAATCTGTCACTACATTTGCTTGTCAACTCGCAAAACATCGTAAATCCAATACATTAGAAGTAAAAGATGTTCAATTACATTTAGGTAAGGTGTTCTTTTACATTGTCATCGTTATCCATTGAACTTTTTTTATTCAATACAAAATTGATAAATGCAATAGAACGTAATTGGAATATTCGTATACCTGGGTTTGCAGCAGATGATATTCGACCTTTAAGAAAGACAAATACTTCCTCTAGTCATCAAGCAAAAGTACAAGCAGTGAATACTGCTAAAAGTCAACCAAGCAAGAAAGATCAGCATCATCACACGAGTAGTAATATGTAAAAAAAAAAAGACTATAATATTTATATTCTACAAAAGAAAAAAATAAAATAAAAAGAACTCGCAAAAAAATGCTTACCATGATGTCACCGCCGCGATTCCGATCCCGATGGTCCGGAATACTTTGTCCGAATGGGGAGGGGAAAAAAAGAGACATTAGGCAGTAAAATTCCAGAGATGGTGTGAGAGAGTGAATAAGGTGGAGTGAACCAAGGGCAAGCCTATAAACCATCCTCTTCTCTTTGTAGTGTAAAATGGTAAAGATAATAGATCATTCGTTATAGCAGCAAACAACCTCGGTTTCCATTACGCTTTTTTCTCTCTATGGCAAATGGATGTTGGATAAATGATGGAATCATCAATAGCAACTCGATAAGGATGGATGTTTGGATAAGCTTCATTATGGAAAAAAGACAACTCTTGACATTTTGAAAACAATGTCAGTGGAAAGCACCTTCAGCCAAAGAATTCACCTTTCTTATTGAGACAGCAACAAATAACCGAGTCAGTCTATTTTACTTAATGAGTTTATTCTACCACTCATACACTTTCATTCACTTTTAAGTCCTGTCCCTCCGCAGACATCCTCATCATCAGTTGACGCTGCACTCATTCACTTGACCACCTTTCACAAGCGAACGCACAGCCATCTCTACCTTTTTTTTTTCTTTGCAATCAACAAGTATCGATGAGAGAAATATGTGGCGGATAGAGAGAAAGAGACGGAATGGAATATCGAAAGCAGCTTATTCTATATTGACAGCTAGAATCTCGTGTCATTAACGCATCTTGCTTTTTTTTTTTTTGAACAGGGTATCGACCTTAAGAAGCACCACGTCAAGAACTCCAACCGTACTGCTCCCAAGTCTGACAACGTCTACTTGGCTTTGTTGGTCAAGGTAAAAAAAAAAAATGATAACATTGAATAATGTGGATGCATAGAGTTGGAAGGAAAATAATGGAGAATGACATGTTGATGAAATATATATATATATTTTCGTAGCTCTACCGCTTCCTTGCTCGTCGTACCGATGCTGAATTCAATAAGGTCGTCTTGAAGCGTCTCTTTATGTCTCGCATCAACCGTCCTCCTGTCACTGTCTCTCGTCTGGTCAAGAACAACAAGGAAGGCAAGACATTGGTTGTTGTTGGTTCCGTCACTGATGACTCCCGTCTCTTGGAAGTCCCCAAGCTCTCTGTTGCTGCTCTTCACTTCACCAAGACCGCCAAGGCTCGTATCTTGAAGGCTGGTGGTGAAGTCTTGACCTTGGATCAATTGGCTCTCCGTGCTCCTACTGGTTCCAACACCATCCTCGTCCGTGGTGCCAAGAATAACCGTGAAGCCGTCAAGCACTTTGGTATGGGTCCTCACAAGAACAAGAAGCCTTATGTTCGCTCCAAGGGACGTAAGTTTGAACGTGCTCGTGGTAAGCGTGCTTCTCGTGGTTTCAAGGTTTAAAAACTTTTTGTTTCCTTTCTTGCTCTTTTGTCTCCCCCCCTCTTCTTCGCTCCCTTTTTTATAATAAAATAAAATTAAAAGTTGTAAAGTTTGAAGGTGTAAGCTTACATAAAAGTCATGAAAGGACCTCTGTTCGTTTTTTTTTTGTCTTGAAAAAATATACGCGTTTTCCTTTGCATAAAGTAAAAATTCAATCCCCTCCCTACTCCACCCTTCTGAAACCATGCCCTGACATCCCCTTATTTTATTTTGCAAGCACAATGAAAAAATGAGCGGATATATTCTATTATCAAAAATGGTCAACCTTTATTCAACTTTATTATTCGTTTGATATTGAGTATAGTATGAGTAAAGATGGTATCATGGAATTAGGTTTTGTACACGTTTAGGGCTTCTGGCTGTTGTTGCTTCTCTTTTCGAATTCATTCAACTTGGCTCTCAATTCGTTTGTATCCTTTTCTTGTTGTGCTAATTTATCTCTTAATTGTTTTAGCAAATCACTATCATGAGAGCGAGCCCAACGACTTTCTTCAGCCTTTTCCTTTTCACTAAAGCCAGTTTTAGCTCCTGTTGTTGCACCTTCAGAACGAGCCGTTTTTGCCATATGTAAACCGCATTGTCTCAACACATTAGGAACCGCCACAGAACGAGTAGAAGAACGTAGAGAGACTTGAGAAATCATGATGGTTATTGGTTTGTCTGTTTGGATGATGAAAAGATAAAGAAAATGGGGAAAATAGGAATAAAGCTTTATAAAAATAGTTTTGGGATTTATTTATTTTCCTTTGTGAATGGAAAGGAAAAATAATATTACCATATTTTGACGTCAATGCGTCACACGAAAAACTAAATTCAAGAGCTATTACAGTATTGATTAAGGTTGAAGTGTACCCTGTTGAAATCTTATTTGTCTCAGTGTGCATGGAACTTATAACTGGTAAAGGCAGTAAATCTGAATTGTTTCTCAGATTGTTAAGCGAATTGGAGGTCAGAACATGACAATTAGGTCAGCCAAATTACAGCCAACTATTGAAATGACTATTGTTTTCTTAATTAGAGTGCCAATCCGAAAATGTCTTTCATAATCCAACTTGTAAACGTGCGTAAATCGAGCAATAGCATATTGAATGATATTTATTGCAGCGGTATAATATCCTCTTCTGATGTAGCTAAAGCTGTATATGACAAATTTTTAAACTATTTGAAAAATATGAAAAATGAAGGTTCGCTTTACTCTCGAGCCACTTTTTGCAATATATTCATGTTGAGATGCATAGTAATATTATGGACGAGAACGGGATATTGTGGCTTAAATAAAATGCATGAGATAATGGACAACTTGTCAGTATAAGGGAGCAGCCATACCATTCTCTTGGACACCTGCTAACTCATTTATTGTCTGTTTATAAAACGAAAGAGAGTCCTGATTCGGATCCTTTTTCTTTGGATGTGTGCATTATGAAAGGCAGAATCCTTTCAGATGGATAGTTCTCCGTTCACAAATGGAATATGTTTCCAAACCCAAGTCTCTATGTTTTCCGTGGACCAGCGGGCATTAAGGAAATATTTGGAACCCTATAAGAGCGTCTTTCGCTTATTTGCTTTCAAGATGTGCATAATAAATACACTATCATATAGACAGAGTCTTATTCATCCCTTTTGCTGCTTAAACATTTCGTTACTACTAAGTTGCTATAAGCTCCAAAGGGTGGAATGTAGTCTGTTGCAATTGAAAGAAGCAATCAAATTTTGAAATAGACCGTTTCCTGAAGCCTGAAAAAAAAAAACCACAAAATGGTGGCGACATTCCGTAAATAAATGAAAGCCTATTTATCGTCGTCTCAAGCCCTTTTCATCTATAAATAAGAGCCTTTTGACTTTCGATTTTGACGAATATTCTGTTCATCATTTTCAAACATCAACTTACTGAAATAAAGTACATCCTTTCATTTTACTATGATTCGCTTTTTATCTATTGCACTTTCAGCATTGCTTGTCGTCACAAGCGTACATGCAAGAGGTCGTGTTGTGATGCCTCCTCCTCATCATCATCATGGCTCCCATCATGGTCATAATATACATCCTTTCCCTCCTCCCAACCCTATTGATCCTGGTAACCGTCCTTTCCCTCCTCCTAATCCTATTGATCCTGGTAACCGTCCTTTCCCTCCTCCTAATCCTATTGATCCTGGTAACCGTCCTTTCCCTCCTCCTAATCCTATTGATCCTGGTAACCGTCCTTTCCCTCCTCCTAATCCTATTGATCCTGGTAACCGTCCTTTCCCTCCTCCTCCCGTACCTCAACCTCCTGGTACATGTACTGGTTATGGATTAAATAACGATGCTGTAAGTATTGAAGGAAAAGGAAAAAAGATTATCCTATTTGTCATGAAATGCCATTTCATCTATTAACATAATGTCTACTACAGTTCAGTCATTTCAATGCCATCTTCTTTGGTAATTTTGAAACGGGTGGTGGTTCTGATATCATGGGCCCTCTCGCTGTTGGTGGCAATTTTACTGCTCCCAATTCTGTTGTTAACGCCAACAACGGCTCTAACTGTGATGACAATCCTTCCTCCATCGGTTCTATGGGTCTTGTTGTCGGGGGAACGGCCATTACTTCCGATACACAAGTCCACGGTAACGCTTTGATCGCTGGCGGAGGCACCCTGGACCAAATTAGAGAGTCAGAAGCCGGCTTTCAAGTGACTAACCAACTTGGCACCGGCGATTTCAATTTCTTTGCCGTTCGAGAAGCCGCCCTAGATAACAATGAAGGCTATGCTTATATGGATCCTACTGCTATCATCGAACCTAACGGTGCATTTACTCAATTCAGATCCGATGCTGACTACGAGGTTATCACTTTTGGCGGATGCGGGGGAATGCAATGTAGTCTTGACCCCAATACGGAATCAGACCCTTCCAATATTCTTTTAGGCTCAGGTAATTGGAACGGTTTCCAACCTATTGATCCCAATAAGACTTATGTCTTTAATGTAAGTAAAAGAACGCTGTTGATCCTTTGATGCCATTCGTCCATATGCCTCTTTTAACCCCCTCCTTTTCGACGATACATAGATTCCTGTCATCAATCGTGGCACCCTCACCCTTCGAACCAATGATCCTCTTGATAGTCTCAATCCTTGTAAAGTTGTTTGGAACATTTATCCCGTTGACGACCGAGGCGTCTACCTGCGTGATGGTGAAATCACCGTTTATCGTGCCACTGCTTCTCAGTTGGGTGGTTTGACCATGGCCCCTGAAGGTAAGCTAATCTTCTGCAATAGACATGTATGAAAATAGGAATAAACAAAGCCTGATAATTCCATTCTCTCTTATATTTGTAGCCCACATTATTGATGGTACTACAGGTAACTTTGCTGGTACCGTTGTAGGTAGGGACTATACTTGGTTCAGCTTGGGCGCCGGTGTTGAAATTCACGATTACCACGCTATTGGTGGCACCTGCGATGCCTTCCAAGGATGTAATCCCCATCCTGATCATAATGCCCCCGACTGTACCAATACAATGACAACTACCTCTACTGCTACTACTACGCAAGTAATCCCAGTTATAACTACATCGGAAGTAGTCATTCCTACAACCACTACGCAAGTAATTCCAGTTACCACTACTGAGGAGGTGCCAGTACCTACTACCACCACAGCAATAGTACCTACCACCACCACAGAAATAGTACCTACTACCTCCACAGAAATAATACCTACTACCACCACAGAAATAGTACCTACTACCACTACGCAAGTAATTCCAGTTACTACAACTGAGGAGGTGCCAGTACTTATTACCACCACAGAAATAGTACCTACTACCTCCACAGAAATAATACCTACTACCACCACAGAAATAGTACCTACTACCACTACGCAAGTAATTCCAGTTACTACAACTGAGGAGGTGCCAGTACTTATTACCACCACAGAAATAGTACCTACTACCTCCACAGAAATAATACCTACTACCACCACAGAAATAGTACCTACTACCACTACGCAAGTAATTCCAGTTACCACAACTGAGGAGGTGCCAGTACTTATTACCACCACAGAAATAGTACCTACTACCTCCACAGAAATAATACCTACTACCACTACAGAAATAGTACCTACTACCACTACGCAAGTAATTCCAGTTACCACAACTGAGGAGGTGCCAGTACTTATTACCACCACAGCAATAGTACCTACCACCACCACAGAAATAGTACCTACTACCTCCACAGAAATAATACCTACTACCACCACAGAAATAGTACCTACTACCACTACGCAAGTAATTCCTACAACCGTTACAAATACAATTACTAATGTGCTTACGGATACAATAACAAATACATTAACAATACCTACAACCGTTACAAATACAATTACTAATGTGCTTACGGATACAATAACAAATACATTAACAATACCTATAACCGTTACAAATACAATTACTAATGTGCTTACGGATACAATAACAAATACATTAACAATACCTACAACTACAACTGATCTAGTTACAACAACAACATCAACAACAGTAACTGAAACAGCAGCAGTTACAGCACTACCTCAACCGTTATATGATGTTAATAGTGGTCGTTGTATGTTAGCATTGGGTTCTTCTAATCTTGTTAGATTTATTACCAGCACTGAAATTACTCCGGATAATTGTTATTATGCATGTTTGGGTTCAGGCAAAATGAATGGCCTGGCTACGTGGTATTTTGCATTAGGAGATAATGTAGCTATAACAGCTAGTAATACTAATTTGAATAATAACTATTATGTATGTAACTGTATCAATTCTTTACCAGCACCACCTATTGATGTCACTACATGTGTTAATAATGTAGGCAATTATAATAACGGTGCTGACGCTTCTATCTATGCGTATACTGTACCACAAGCTTAAATTAAAATAACAAATTAAAAATATTATTAAAGATACAGTCGTTCCACTCTCAATTAGAGGTTTAATTCTTTGATCGCTGTTAGTCAAAATTAGTCTTTTTAACAGAAAATGGGCGGGAAAACATCTATGATGAGAGGGGGAATGAAGCAATAGATATTATAGATGAACTAGCTGACCCATTTGCCATCAAGCAAACTAGTCAGCCTAGATTCAGCGAATAACATTGAGAGGGAAACATCCGTGCCTAAAAGCACTGAAAGAGCCCCCAAATATCGTGATTATAGCCTCTCTACAAGAGAGTTTTTTTTTTGAAACAAGATAGAAAACCTGATGTCAGTCAAGGCTGCTGCACTTCAGGTAGGTGTCAAAGAAAGCACTGCGCGCATCTGGTGGAAAAAATACCAAGAAGATCCTGATTCATTTGTTCTCAGCAAGAGCACCAATCGCCAGAATAGACCGAAACCACAGCTTCAGGATACACATAAGGAATGCTTGAAACAATTTTACGACGAGAATCCTAATGCCTATATCCAGGACGCTGTTGAAATGCTTACAAGCAAGTTCGAAGGCCTGAGATAAAAAAGTCAAGAGTGCACGAATTCATGAAGAACGAATGTAGCTTGACTTTCAAGCAAACAACTCTCTGGTCTGAGGCAAGAATGAGTTCGAGCACTATTAAGAAACGTTACAATTGGGTTGATGAATAGAGCCTAACGGACATGGAATATTCCCAAAATTGCGTGTTTATTGATGAAGCCGGCCTTGACATTAATATGAAGTAAAGCAGAGCATAGGCACCAAGGGGTCCAATGGCAGTAACTACTACCTCTACGACAAAAGCCCCCACTCATACCATTCTTGGTGCTATTTCAGCAGTTGGTGTTATAAATTTGAATATATGTATTCCAAGACAGCCACCAAAAATGAGAAAAATTCAAGGTAAGGAGGTAGTCCGAAAGTAGATTGGGATTTGTCTAGCGCAGCGGGCAAAGTTCATAAAGAGTAAGAGACAATCGCTAACCTATCCATATATGACCAACCGATCTTATCTAGAAAGTGGCAACTCATCCAAAAGTTTACTCCTATAATTTTAAAAGCAACCACGCTTCGCCTGGTTAAAACTGGTTATAGGTACATGGGTAACTACTAAGTTGCCTCTTACTCTTTATGGGCTTTGCCCGCTGCGCTAGACAAATCCCAATCTACTTTCGGACTACCTCCTTACCTTGAATTTTTCTCACTTTTGGTGACTGTCTTGGAATACGTATATTCAAATTTATAACACCAACTGCTGAAATAGCACCAAGAATGGTATGAGTGGGGGCTTTTGTCGTAGAGGTAGTAGTTACTGCCATTGGACCCCTTGGTGCCTATGCTCTGCTTTACTTCATATTAATGTCAAGGCCGGCTTCATCAATAAACACGCAATTTTGGGAATATTCCATGTCCGTTAGACTCTATTCAACAACCCAATTGTAACGTTTCTTAATTGTGCTCGAACTCATTCTTGCCTCAGACCAGAGAGTTGTTTGCTTGAAAGTCAAGCTACATTCGTTCTTCATGAATTCGTGCACTCTTGACTTTTTTTTATCTCAGGCCTTCGAACTTGCTCGTGAGCGTTTCAACAGCATCCTATAGGCATTAGGATTCTGCGTCGTAAAATTGTTTCAAGCATTCCTTATGTGTATCCTGAAGCTGTGGTTTCGGTCTGTTCTGGCGATTGGTGCTCTTGCTGAGAACAAATGAATCAGGATCTTCTTGGTATTTTTTCCACCAGATGCGCGCAGTGCTTTCTTTGACACCTACCTGAAGTGCAGCAGCCTTGACTGACATCAGGTTTTCTATCTTGTTTCAAAAAAAAAAAACTCTCTTGTAGAGAGGCTATAATCACGATATTTGGGGGCTCTTTCAGTGCTTTTAGGCACGGATGTTTCCCTCTCAATGTTATTCGCTGAATCTAGGCTGACTAGTTTGCTTGATGGCAAATGGGTCGGCTAGTTCATCTATAATATCTATTGCTTCATTCCCCCTCTCATCATAGATGTTTTCCCGCCCATTTTCTGTTAAAAAGACTAATTTTGACTAACAGCGATCAAAGAATTAAACCTCTCTCAATTCGCGAAATCAAACTTCGAACAATCAATCACTGATTTTTTTTCTGTTAGTCCCCCAATTTTTTTTTAAAAAAACTCCGCGAATTTATTTCTAATTGAGAGTGGAACGACTGTGTCTTATAATATTTTTAATTTGTTATTTTAATTTAAGCTTGGGGTGGTACAGTATACAAATAGATAGTAGCGTTCTCAGGGGTACCATAATTGCCTAGATTATTAACACATGTAGTGGCTTCAGTAAGTGGTGTTGGTAAACCATCCACACAGCTACATACGTAATAGTCATTATTATTCAAATTATAATTACTAGCTGTTACAGCTACACTATCTCCTAATGCAAAATACCACGTAGCCTGAGTAATCGTTTTGCCTGAACTCAAACATGAATAATAACAACTATCCGGAGTATATGCAGTGCTGCTAATAAATCTAACATAATTAGAAGCACCATATGCTACCAAACAACGACCACTATTAGCATCATATAACGGTTGAGGTAGTGCTGTAACTGCTGCTGTTGCAGTTACTGTTGTTGATGTTGTTGTTGTAACTAGATCAGTTGTAGTTGTAGGTATTGTTAATGTATTTGTTATTGTATCCGTAAGCACATTAGTAATTGTATTTGTAACGGTTGTAGGTATTGTTAATGTATTTGTTATTGTATCCGTAAGCACATTAGTAATTGTATTTGTAACGGTTGTAGGTATTGTTAATGTATTTGTTATTGTATCCGTAAGCACATTAGTAATTGTATTTGTAACGGTTGTAGGTATTGTTAATGTATTTGTTATTGTATCCGTAAGCACATTAGTAATTGTGTTTGTAACGGTTGTAGGTATTGTTAATGTATTTGTTATTGTATCCGTAAGCACATTAGTAATTGTGTTTGTAACGGTTGTAGGAATTACCTGCGTAGTGGTAGTAGGTACTATTTCTGTGGTGGTAGTTGGTACTAGCACCTCCTCAGTAGTAGTAACTGGAATTACTTGCGTAGTGGTAGTAGGTACTATTTCTGTGGTGGTAATAAGTACTGGCACCTCCTCAGTAGTGGTAACTGGAATTACTTGCGTAGTGGTAGTAGGTACTATTTCTGTGGTGGTAGTAGGTACTATTTCTGTGGTGGTGGTAGGTACTATTTCTGTGGTGGTTGTAGGAATGACGACTTCCGATGTAGTGGTAACTGGGATTACTTGCGTAGTAGTAGCAGTAGAGGTAGTTGTCATTGTATTGGTACAGTCGGGGGCATTATGATCAGGATGGGGATTACATCCTTGGAAGGCATCGCAGGTGCCACCAATAGCGTGGTAATCGTGAATTTCAACACCGGCGCCCAAGCTGAACCAAGTATAGTCCCTACCTACAACGGTACCAGCAAAGTTACCTGTAGTACCATCAATAATGTGGGCTACAAATATAAGAGAGAATGGAATTATCAGGCTTTGTTTATTCCTATTTTCATACATGTCTATTGCAGAAGATTAGCTTACCTTCAGGGGCCATGGTCAAACCACCCAACTGAGAAGCAGTGGCACGATAAACGGTGATTTCACCATCACGCAGGTAGACGCCTCGGTCGTCAACGGGATAAATGTTCCAAACAACTTTACAAGGATTGAGACTATCAAGAGGATCATTGGTTCGAAGGGTGAGGGTGCCACGATTGATGACAGGAATCTATGTATCGTCGAAAAGGAGGGGGTTAAAAGAGGCATATGGACGAATGGCATCAAAGGATCAACAGCGTTCTTTTACTTACATTAAAGACATAAGTCTTATTGGGATCAATAGGTTGGAAACCGTTCCAATTACCTGAGCCTAAAAGAATATTGGAAGGGTCTGATTCCGTATTGGGGTCAAGACTACATTGCATTCCCCCGCATCCGCCAAAAGTGATAACCTCGTAGTCAGCATCGGATCTGAATTGAGTAAATGCACCGTTAGGTTCGATGATAGCAGTAGGATCCATATAAGCATAGCCTTCATTGTTATCTAGGGCGGCTTCTCGAACGGCAAAGAAATTGAAATCGCCGGTGCCAAGTTGGTTAGTCACTTGAAAGCCGGCTTCTGACTCTCTAATTTGGTCCAGGGTGCCTCCGCCAGCGATCAAAGCGTTACCGTGGACTTGTGTATCGGAAGTAATGGCCGTTCCCCCGACAACAAGACCCATAGAACCGATGGAGGAAGGATTGTCATCACAGTTAGAGCCGTTGTTGGCGTTAACAACAGAATTGGGAGCAGTAAAATTGCCACCAACAGCGAGAGGGCCCATGATATCAGAACCACCACCCGTTTCAAAATTACCAAAGAAGATGGCATTGAAATGACTGAACTGTAGTAGACATTATGTTAATAGATGAAATGGCATTTCATGACAAATAGGATAATCTTTTTTCCTTTTCCTTCAATACTTACAGCATCGTTATTTAATCCATAACCAGTACATGTACCAGGAGGTTGAGGTACGGGAGGAGGAGGGAAAGGACGGTTACCAGGATCAATAGGATTAGGAGGAGGGAAAGGACGGTTACCAGGATCAATAGGATTAGGAGGAGGGAAAGGACGGTTACCAGGATCAATAGGATTAGGAGGAGGGAAAGGACGGTTACCAGGATCAATAGGGTTGGGAGGAGGGAAAGGATGTATATTATGACCATGATGGGAGCCATGATGATGATGAGGAGGAGGCATCACAACACGACCTCTTGCATGTACGCTTGTGACGACAAGCAATGCTGAAAGTGCAATAGATAAAAAGCGAATCATAGTAAAATGAAAGGATGTACTTTATTTCAGTAAGTTGATGTTTGAAAATGATGAACAGAATATTCGTCAAAATCGAAAGTCAAAAGGCTCTTATTTATAGATGAAAAGGGCTTGAGACGACGATAAATAGGCTTTCATTTATTTACGGAATGTCGCCACCATTTTGTGGTTTTTTTTTTTCAGGCTTCAGGAAACGGTCTATTTCAAAATTTGATTGCTTCTTTCAATTGCAACAGACTACATTCCACCCTTTGGAGCTTATAGCAACTTAGTAGTAACGAAATGTTTAAGCAGCAAAAGGGATGAATAAGACTCTGTCTATATGATAGTGTATTTATTATGCACATCTTGAAAGCAAATAAGCGAAAGACGCTCTTATAGGGTTCCAAATATTTCCTTAATGCCCGCTGGTCCACGGAAAACATAGAGACTTGGGTTTGGAAACATATTCCATTTGTGAACGGAGAACTATCCATCTGAAAGGATTCTGCCTTTCATAATGCACACATCCAAAGAAAAAGGATCCGAATCAGGGCTCTCTTTCGTTTTATAAACAGACAATAAATGAGTTAGCAGGTGTCCAAGAGAATGGTATGGCTGCTCCCTTATACTGACAAGTTGTCCATTATCTCATGCATTTTATTTAAGCCACAATACCCCGTTCCCGTTCATAATATTACTATGCATCTCAACATGAATATATTGCAAAAAGTGGCTCGAGAGTAAAGCGAACCTTCATTTTTCATATTTTTCAAATAGTTCAAAAATTTGTCATATACAGCTTTAGGTACATCAGAAGAAGATATTATACCGCTGCAATAAATATTATTTCAATATGCTATTGCTCGATTTACGCACGTTTACAAGTTGGATTATAAAAGACATTTTCGGATTGGCACTCTAATAAAGAAAACAATAGTCATTTCAATAGTTGGCTGCAATTTGGCTGACCTAATTGTCATGTTCTGACCTTTTATTATCTTGTTTTACTGGAATATATAAAATTCATTTGATTTTTTGATTCCAATTCGCTTAACAATCTGAAAAACAATTCAGATTTACCTGCCTTTACCAACTATAGTGTACTGAAACAAATAAGTTCCATACACACTGAGACAAATAGATTTCAACAGGGTACACTTCAACCTTACTGGTAATCGATACGATTAAACAAGATTTTTATTGGCAAATAATTTTAACCCCACATGAGCACATAATCATTATGAGATTGAATTGCCCGGGTCAGATCAAATACAAGGGAAGAAGGGTGCTAAAAAACCTTTTTGATAGTCAATAAAGGAAAAAGGCAGTAGAGAAGGGAAGAGGAAAAGAGGGTAAATCAAGGACTAGATTAGTCCTGAGTGAGCCACTGGACTAACTTGTTACCAAGAGTGGGAGTTTCTGAGGGGGTCTTATGATGATGTAGATAATCAAGCTTGAATACGATTTGACATAGTGCGGGCCATTGAATTTTCCAGCTGGAGAAGCGTTGAAGATTTTGTTTGTTACGTGTTTTTCTGATTGGAAGCATGATGAGAAGAAATGATACTGGGTCATTTACTGTGAAGGCATTTGTAATCGACGGTGCATGTGAGGCATATTATTGAGTGTTTGCGGGTAAACATGACATTAGGGTGATGTATGCACGGTTTTGGAACCCCACCAGGTAACCAACCGAGACGCCAACGTATAACTCGACTGCGTTCCACGGGAGTCATAGGTAGCCAAAGAGTTGGATCCACACCATGAAAAGGGCGACAAGAAGAGAGGAGAACCGAATTGTTAGCTTGGCGTTGTGTTTGAAGGTTGGTCAGATGTAACATGACCTTGGTTGATGAACGGGAATTTCCTCCAAAAATTCGTCTTATACATTCTGTTTGGCATTCCTCGATTTTCTTTATTTGGGATGATGAAAATGAGCTGATGACAAGACCGTATTCCAGTTGGGTGCGCACAATTTGGGTGTAGAAGCGTGTTGATAGGAGCTGATTGAAACCTTTATGATTGACGCCAATAGCTGACATGGTGTTCATAGTGTGCAAGGCTTTGTTGGTATTGTTTTGAATTAGATCGTTGGTAAGTAAGTGTCCACCTGCACCAATGGGGATATCTAGGTACGAGAATGATGTCTGACGTGAAATGTTAGTACCATATAAAGAGTAAGAGGATGTATCGGAACTGGGAGCGAATATAGCACATTTAAGTGGGTTACAATGATATTCAAGACTGTGACTATGCTCCTCACATTTGTTGAGGAGCATCTAAAGTTGTGTGGGAGCAGTTATGAGCACAACCTCATCCGCATATAGTAGGCTTGTCACAGATAACGCAAAACGACATACCCCATCGGGCTGCGGTAATGAAAGTGGTTATTCACGAAGTAAAGAAGGTAGCTCGTTGATATATACGGAATAAAGGTATGGGGAGAGGATAGACCCTTGCAATACTCCTGTAGCCGGGGTAAACCGAGGGGAAGTAGGGTTGGACACAAGTACTTCTATTTGAACTTCGTCAAATAGGTTTTTAAGAAGACCTAGCAGGGCTGGATGTAAATAGGTTTGGATTGCGTTCCATATATAATCTCGGTCAACAGTATCATATGCGGATTTGATATCAAAGAATGCCAATGTTGGTGTGATTTTGTGATGTCGACGCAGGATGGCACAAGTTTCAATAAGGCAGAGCGCTTGGTCTAGAGTACTCCGAGAAGGGCGAAAACCACCTTGGGCTATATCGAGAGGGGGGCCAGTTTGTTCAAGGATGTGATGGAGAGTTTTTTCCAAGATCGTACGAAACGTAGATGTTAGGCTGATAGGGCGGAAGTTAGCGGGATCAAACGGTTCTGTGGCATATGTTGACGTAGAGGAACAAGGAAGAAGTTTAACAGCATAAATCTGCTGTAGGTGTTGTGACATCAGATTTGCTGAGTGTTGAGGGCCTTCCATTGTTGAGAAGGTTGGTTTGATCTTCCGGTTCTTGCGGATTTTGCTGAACTTGACAATGGCTTTGATGTAACCTCCTTGTGCTAATTGTTGACAGAAAGTACGCCAAGTTTCTCGTCTACGTTGTAGGACTAGACGCCGGAGTGTGGCTTGCGCTGTTTGATGCTGTTCCCAATAACGGAGGCAATTCAAACCTCGAGCCTTTCGCCATTTCTTGTATAGGTATTCCTTCCGGTTAAATGCAACTGTCATTTCAGGTGTCCAAAAGCCTTTGAGATAGTCATCGGTATGAGGTGGGCGTCTTCCACAGACAAAGCCTAGTGTCGCTATGATGCTCTCACATAGTTGATTATGGATAGTTTCAATATACTGGCAAGCAGTGGATCTATCAGAAAAGGATGGATGTGGGGGCAATACCAGGGATAGATTCTGTAAGAATACTTTTTTATATAGATCATAGTTTTCGAAGCGTTTGAGTTTCTTGACATTCCAGGTAATCCGTGGGGATGTTAGTAGAGCGGGTAGATCCTCATGAACAACAAAGGACGGAGTCATAAACTTATGGTTAGAGTTGAGTGACAGGTCATCGCGTATGCGAAGGGTCGGTGTATGCAATTCAGCAGTGCTGAAAAAGTAGAAAATAATACTAGTGCCTTGGAACGTATAAGAGGTAGGTTGACCGTGGGTAAGACGTTCATTCCATAAAATAAGATTGCTAGCCCTCATCCAATTGAATATTAGTCGTCCTGTGGGATTGATTCTGGTATCGCCAGTGAAGTCGCCCATTCGTGCATTGAAATCCCCGCAAATGATAGTATTGGTTGTATGTGGTAGATGTAAGGGTAGTAAATCTAAAATTTGTTGTATATCTTCAGTTCTTAGGGAGGGAGGAAGATATAGGCAATGAATCAATATTTTGTTGGAGAGAATGATGGATAGGGAATATTTAGCTAGTAAGGGGTGTTCATGTGTTAATTGGTAGATCGATAGTTTGCTGTGTGTGTTAACTGAAAGGGCGAGACCGAGCGTACCACGATGGGTATTAATAGAGTTAGTTGGTATTCCATAAGTATGATATTGGGGCCAAAGGGTTGGATATTTGTTGGGTGTAAATAACCAAGTCTCATTAAGAAAAAGAAGATCAGATTTGTTAGCAAGTTGGAGTAAAGGTGTGATCGCTTGTTTCGGGAGGCCTGTTGCATTAAATAAAGAGATTGTCAGGGCTCTCATATATTTAATGTACAACGGAGGAAGAAGGTCCGTGAGCTGTAGAATCGTCTAAAGTATCCATTAGCAGGTCATCATCTGATGTGGGGGTGATAATATCCTCGCTTGTTTGCTCTTTAGGCGTTTGAGCAAAAATTGAGGATAATTTCGTATTGTAGCGATCAGCCATAATAGAATCATATTTGGGGCGGGTAATCCATTCTTGGTCTAAGAAGGAGCGGGCCACAGCGTACTTAACTGGTGCTCTCATGTAATCAAGTGCTCGAGATAGACGGTTTTTCTGAATTTCAGTTGCAATGGAGTCGCGTTCAGCAGCAGGAAGTGAGGTGTATTTGGGATCAGCCAGGATTTTACCGCTGAATGGTGTAAAATCTTTTAGAAGGTTAACGTTCTTGTGGATGAGGAGTTCTGTGAATTCGGCTTCATAATCGTTATGTATGAGCACCGCAACCGTGTTACGAGCGGGGTAGTGTATGTCAAGGAGTCTTGCATTATTGACTCCGAGTTTACGGAAAGTGGTACGAATAGTGCCTACTGGGATACGCGTTTTGGTGGGAATGTATACGTATTTGAAGCCTTGTTTCTCAGAGGGTGGTTAGAAGAAACGTGCTGCAGCTGCTTCGCGTTGCAGGCGTCGCTGTTCAATTTGGTGTAATGATGGTTGATTTAATACCTGAATTTTCGCTGGGTTGTGCCAGGGTGCATCGGTGAAGGGTGTTGATCGGGTTTGGGATTCCGGAAGGGGCGGGAAATCTGAAGATGATAATGGGTCAGCAGCCTCGTTCATATTGTTGATACGTTCTTGTAGGTTGTCGATTTCACGACGGGCTTCAGAGAGTTCGTTTGTCAGGCGTTCAACAGTCTGGTATAACTGTTGGACAAGTGTTGCTTGGTTATTGCCAATAGTGGGGTCGGAGGTGATTGTCTCTTTATCCATAGCTTGTGTGGAATTCAATGAAGCTCTAGAGCTTCCGAGAGTGGCGTGAACTATGGGATATAATTCAAACGCTTTGATGGTTTTATGACATGAAGTACATGCAAATTGTGGTTGAAAGGGTTCTTTGGGAGAGGAACCGTGTTATGAAACGTTGTAGTTTCGAAACATTCAGGACATATTAGGTGTTTGCGAACGGTGGGGAATGCAGCTTCTAGTGCAGACAGTTGCTCTTCTGAAAGTGCAGGATCTGCAGCTTTATTGTAGGAGCCTCTTAATGGTCCCATTACAGTTGTCAAAGGTTTTGTTTTTCGATATGTGGTTTTGCTTAATGTGTAAACGTCTATTTGAGTCGCTTGCCTAAAAAGGAAAAATTATATAAAGTGATGGAAAGTGGAAAAATCTGCAGGTACGCTATTTTCAGAAATTATTCGGACACTTCTGACTGAAAATTTCGGAGCATAAAATGGGCCACTGAAAGAAAATAATTTGGGCCGTAGGACAAAAATGAAAGTGGACCAAATGTCCCAATTGTCTAAAGGGGTTTGCGCTCCAAACACATCAGGAAACTTTTGGGCGGAATACCTGCATAAACCCTTTATATCACTCAGAAGAATACTGTTACAGGCATCGCGAATACGTAGTGTCAATGTTTCTTCGTCTAAAAGTGCTTCTCGCTTGAGTTTGCTTTTACAAACTGACCAAAACTGTTCTATGGGGTTCAATTCAGGAGAATAAGCCGGGAGATAAAACTCATCCATAGCCACGACCCTGTATATAGCTTCGTATGTCGTCATGTGTATGTATAGGTGCATTATTCATTACAAGATAATGACCTCTGAACTGTTCATGCTTGTCCATAATATCTAACGTACTGGCAATGAAATTGAAATAGTGTCCCGTACAGGTACCGCCTTTGCCTTTCTCTGTAGCAACTACTGCTGTGCCACAACTACCTGTTACTTTTCTTTTTTTAGATGCTTCCATCGCCTTTGCAGCCCTTACTTTGATATTCACAATTCCATAGGGCGAAATAGCGCCAAAAATCGTCATCCTCTTTGATTTGGTTTTGGGAGTCTTAACAACTGCACGAGTTCCCTTTTGAGACCAAGCAAAGGATCGCTCTAGATTGATATGAAAGCCTGCTTCATCTATGAATACGCAATTGCTTTTATAATCCAAATCGGTATCTTCTATCCATCGCTTAACCCACTGATATCTTTCTTCGATTTTATCATGGCTATTCCTCTCAATAGAGTGAAAACGAGCTTTTTTAAAGCTGATGCAGCACTTTTGCGTTGCGAAATTGTAAAGGGCTGTTTTGGAGATAGAGAGATCCTCGAATTGATTAGTCAAGCTCTCCATCATTTGATCTAAACGAAGATCACTGTTATCATCAGTGAGCTCGACAAGATATTGACGATGACTCTCAGTTAAAGGTGATGGTCTGCCAACTGGCCGGCCACTACCAGCCTTTCTCATTTCGACTCATCTGCCGCCTTAAGACTCTTTTTATGCCAGCCATATGCTGTGCTTTTAGGAATTTTGAGCGCGCTTGCTGCACCGCGAATTCACATCCCTTTTTCAGTAAGTAAATAAAAATGTTTCCATATATTCTTTTTTATATTTTCTATAGGTTGTTTTCGGCATTTCTTCATTTTCGATTAGCTTTTTATCAGAATTATGATTGGATTCTTTCTTGATCTCCTTCTTTTCAGATCTCTCAGGAGGTTTGAAGTCATTAAACATATCAAAGTCAGTAACAGCACCCAAAGGATAGTTATCTGTGTCAACATCCATATTAACGACGCAAACCGCAGCACCATTTTTGTCAAACTTTCCACCTAAACCATCTTCGAATATAATGTTGTCCATTAAACTGTTAGGAGCTCTGCAAATGTACGAACTTCAAGCAGAAAAAGCGCCCCGTTTTTCTTTTTCCTTTTCGACCGAATTTGTTATTCTGTCCGTGGCCCATTTTATGCTCCGAAATTTTCAGTCAGAAGTGTCCGAATAATTTCTGAAAATAGCGTACCTGCAGATTTTTCCACTTTCCATCACTTTATATAATTTTTCCTTTTTAGGCAAGCGACTCAAATAGACGTTTACACATTAAGCAAAACCACATATCGAAAAACAAAACCTTTGACAACTGTAATGGGACCATTAAGAGGCTCCTACAATAAAGCTGCAGATCCTGCACTTTCAGAAGAGCAACTGTCTGCACTAGAAGCTGCATTCCCCACCGTTCGCAAACACCTAATATGTCCTGAATGTTTCGAAACTACAACGTTTCATAACACGGTTCCTCTCCCAAAGAACCCTTTCAACCACAATTTGCATGTACTTCATGTCATAAAACCATCAAAGCGTTTGAATTATATCCCATAGTTCACGCCACTCTCGGAAGCTCTAGAGCTTCATTGAATTCCACACAAGCTATGGATAAAGAGACAATCACCTCCGACCCCACTATTGGCAATAACCAAGCAACACTTGTCCAACAGTTATACCAGACTGTTGAACGCCTGACAAACGAACTCTCTGAAGCCCGTCGTGAAATCGACAACCTACAAGAACGTATCAACAATATGAACGAGGCTGCTGACCCATTATCATCTTCAGATTTCCCGCCCCTTCCGGAATCCCAAACCCGATCAACACCCTTCACCGATGCACCCTGGCACAACCCAGCGAAAATTCAGGTATTAAATCAACCATCATTACACCAAATTGAACAGCGACGCCTGCAACGCGAAGCAGCTGCAGCACGTTTCTTCTAACCACCCTCTGAGAAACAAGGCTTCAAATACGTATACATTCCCACCAAAACGCGTATCCCAGTAGGTACTATTCGTACCACTTTCCGTAAACTCGGAGTCAATAATGCAAGACTCCTTGACATACACTACCCCGCTCGTAACACGGTTGCGGTGCTCATACATAACGATTATGAAGCCGAATTCACAGAACTCCTCATCCACAAGAACGTTAACCTTCTAAAAGATTTTACACCATTCAGCGGTAAAATCCTGGCTGATCCCAAATACACCTCACTTCCTGCTGCTGAACGCGACTCCATTGCAACTGAAATTCAGAAAAACCGTCTATCTCGAGCACTTGATTACATGAGAGCACCAGTTAAGTACGCTGTGGCCCGCTCCTTCTTAGACCAAGAATGGATTACCCGCCCCAAATATGATTCTATTATGGCTGATCGCTACAATACGAAATTATCCTCAATTTTTTGCTCAAACGCCTAAAGAGCAAACAAGCGAGGATATTATCACCCCCACATCAGATGATGACCTGCTAATGGATACTTTAGACGATTCTACAGCTCACGGACCTTCTTCCTCCGTTGTACATTAAATATATGAGAGCCCTGACAATCTCTTTATTTAATGCAACAGGCCTCCCGAAACAAGCGATCACACCTTTACTCCAACTTGCTAACAAATCTGATCTTCTTTTTCTTAATGAGACTTGGTTATTTACACCCAACAAATATCCAACCCTTTGGCCCCAATATCATACTTATGGAATACCAACTAACTCTATTAATACCCATCGTGGTACGCTCGGTCTCGCCCTTTCAGTTAACACACACAGCAAACTATCGATCTACCAATTAACACATGAACACCCCTTACTAGCTAAATATTCCCTATCCATCATTCTCTCCAACAAAATATTGATTCATTGCCTATATCTTCCTCCCTCCCTAAGAACTGAAGATATACAACAAATTTTAGATTTACTACCCTTACATCTACCACATACAACCAATACTATCATTTGCGGGGATTTCAATGCACGAATGGGCGACTTCACTGGCGATACCAGAATCAATCCCACAGGACGACTAATATTCAATTGGATGAGGGCTAGCAATCTTATTTTATGGAATGAACGTCTTACCCACGGTCAACCTACCTCTTATACGTTCCAAGGCACTAGTATTATTTCTACTTTTTCAGCACTGCTGAATTGCATACACCGACCCTTCGCATACGCGATGACCTGTCACTCAACTCTAACCATAAGTTTATGACTCCGTCCTTTGTTGTTCATGAGGATCTACCCGCTCTACTAACATCCCCACGGATTACCTGGAATGTCAAGAAACTCAAACGCTTCGAAAACTATGATCTATATAAAAAAGTATTCTTACAGAATCTATCCCTGTATTGCCCCCACATCCATCCTTTTCTGATAGATCCACTGCTTGCCAGTATATTGAAACTATCCATAATCAACTATGTGAGAGCATCATAGCGACACTAGACTTGTCTGTGGAAGACGCCCACCTCATACCGATGACTATCTCAAAGGCTTTTGGACACCTGAAATGACAGCTGCATTTAACCGGAAGGAATACCTATGCAAAAATGGCGAAAGCTCGAGGTTTGAATTGCCTCCGTTATTGGGAACAGCATCAAACAGCGCAAGCCACACTCCGGCGTCTAGTCCTACAACGTAGACGAGAAACTTGGCGTACTTTCTGTCAACAATTAGCACAAGGGGTTACATCAAAGCCATTGTCAAGTTCAGCAAAATCCGCAAGAACCGGAAGATCAAACCAACCTTCTCAACAATGGAAGGCCCTCAATACTCAGCAAATCTGATGTCACAACACCTACAGCAGATTTATGCTGGTAAACTTCTTCCTCGTTCCTCTACGTCAACATATTCCACAGAACCGTTTGATTCCCGCTAACTTCCGCCCTATCAGCCTAACATCTACGTTTCGTAAGATCTTGGAAAAAACTCTCCATCACATCCTTGAACAAACTGGCCCCCCTCTCGATATAGCCCAAGGTGGTTTTCGCCTTCTCGGAGTACTCTAGACCAAGCGCTCTGCCTTATTGAAACTTGTGCCATCCTGCGTCGACATCACAAAATCACACCAACATTGGCATTCCTTGATATCAAATCCGCATATGATACTGTTGACCGAGATTATATATGGAACGCAATCCAAACCTATTTACATCCAGCCCTGCTAGGTCTTCTTAAAAACCTATTTGACGAAGTTCAAATAGAAGTACTTGTGTCTAACGCTACTTCCCCTCGGTTTACCCCGGCTACAGGAGTATTGCAAGGGTCTATCCTCTCCCCATACCTTTATTCCGTATATATCAACGAGCTACCTTCTTTACTTCGTGAACAACCACTTTCATTACCGCAGCCCGATGGGGTATGTCGTTTTGCGTTATCTGTGACAAGCCTACTATATGCGGATGATGTTGTGCTCATAGCTGCTCCCACACAACTTCAGATACTCCTCAACAAATGTGAGGAGCATAGTCACAGTCTTGGATATCATTGGAACCCACTTAAATGTGCTGTAGTCGCTCCCAGTTCCGATACATCCTCTTACTCTCTATATGGTACTAGCATTTCACGTCAGACATCATTCTCGTACCTAGGTATCCCCATTGGCCCAGGTGGACACTTACTTACCAACGATCTAATTCAGAACAATACCAACAAAGCCTTACACACTATGAACACCATGTCAGCTATTGGCGTCAATCATAAAGGTTTCAATCAGCTCCTATCAACACGCTTCTACACCCAAATTGTGCGCACCCAACTGGAATACGGTCTTGCCATCAGCTCATTTTCATCACCCCAAATAAAGAAAATCGAGGAATGCCAAACAGAATGTATAAGACGAATTTTTGGAGGAAATTCCCGTTCATCAACCAAGGTCATGTTACATCTGACCAACCTTCCATCCATGAAAGAGCGTGTTCACCGCCTACAAGGAAAGTTCTTATTAAGGTCCATCAATGGTCCCAGGGATATCCTGTTATCGCAGTTTTTACCATACTTACGTGCTTCAGCTAGTCTGTCTCATTGGTACAAGCTCTCCAAAACTCCCCTCTGGCAACGCTGCTGCAACTTTCATAACCCTGACCGCATCGATACTCGTGTGTTCAATACTACCTATCATGAACTTCGTGTCGAAAACCTTCAAACACAACGCCAAGCTAACAATTCGGTTCTCCTCTCCTCTTGTCGCCCTTTTCATGGTGTTGATCCAACTCTTTGGCTACCTATGACTCCCGTGGAACGCAGTCGAGTTATACGTTGGCGTCTCGGTTGGTTACCTGGTGGGGTTCCAAAACCGTGCATACATCACCCTAATGTCATGTTTACCCGCAAACACTCAATAATATGCCTTCACATGCACCGTCGATTACAAATGCCCTGCACAGTAAATGACCCAATATCATTTCTTCTCAGCATGCTTCCAACCATAAAAACACGTAACAAACAAAATATTCAACGCTTCTCCAGCTGGAAAATTCGATGGCCCGCACTATATCAAATCCTATTCGAACTTGATTATCTACATCATGATAAGACCCCCCCCAGAAACTCCCACTCTTGGTAACAAGTTAGTCCAGTGGCTCACTCAGGACTAATCTAGTCCTTGATTTACCCTCTTTTCCTCTTCCCTTCTCTACTGCCTTTTTCCTTTATTGACTATCAAAAAGGTTTTTTAGCACCCTTCTCCCCTTATATTTGATCTGACCCGGGCAATTCAATCTCATAATGGTTATGTGCTCATGTGGGGTTAAAATTATTTGCCAATAAAAATCTTGTTTAATCGTACTGATTACCAGTAAGGTTGAAATGTACCCTGTTGAAATCTTATTTGTCTCAGTGTGCATGGAACTTACAACTGGTAAAGGCAGTAAATCTGAATTGTTTCTCAGATTGTTAAGCGAATTGGAGGTCAGAACATGACAATTAGGTCAGCCAAATTGCAGCCAACCATTGAAATGACTATTGTTTTCTTTATTAGAGTGCCAATCGAAAATGTCTTTGATAATCCAACTTGTAAACGTGCGTAAATCGAGCAATAGCATATTGAATAATATTTATTGCAGCGATATAATATCTTCTTCTTTTGATGTAGCTAAAGCTGTATATGACAAATTTTTGAACTACTTGAAAAATATGAAAAATGAAGGTTCGCTTTACTCTCGAGCCACTTTTTGCTATATATTCATGTTGAGATGCATAGTAATATTATGAACAGGAACGGGGTATTGCGGCTTAAATAAAATGCATGAGATAATGGACAACTTGTCAGTATAAGGGAGCAGCCATACCATTCTCTTGGACACCTGCTAACTCATTTATTGTCTGTTTATAAAACGAAACAGAGCCCTGATTCGGATCCTTTTTCGTTGGATGTGTGCATTATGAAAGGCAGAATCCTTTTAGATGGATAGTTCTCCGTTCACAAATGGAATATGTTTCCAAACCCAAGTCTCTCTATGTTTTCCGTGGACCAGCGGGCATTAAGGAAATACTTGGAACCCTATGAGAGTGTCTTTCGCTTATTTGCTTTCACGATGTCCATAATCAATACACCATCATATAGAAAGAGTCTTATTCATCCCTTTTGCTGCTTAAACATTTCGTTACTGATAAGTTGTTATAAGCTCCAAAGGGTGGAATGTAGTCTGTTGCAATTGAAAGAATCAATCAAATTTTGAAATCAGACCGTTTCCTGAAGCCTGAAAAAAAAAATCCCCGTACAAAATGGTGGCAAGGAAGATTTCTTTTTTGTTGAAGGTACTACCAACATTCCGTAAATAAGTGAAAGCCTATTTATCGTCGTCTCAAGCCCTTTTCATCTATAAATAAGAGCCTTTTGATTTTCGACTTTGACGAACATTCTGTTCATCATCATCTTCAAACATCAACTTACTGAAATAGAGTACATCCTTTCATTCGACTATGGTTCGCTTTACATCTATTGCACTTTCGGCGTTGCTTGTCGTCACAAGCGTACATGCAAGAGCTCGTGTTGTGATGCCTCCTCCTCCTCATCATGGCTCACATCATGGTCATAATATACATCCTTTCCCTCCTCCCAACCCTATTGATCCTGGTAACCGCCCTTTCCCTCCTCCTAATCCTATTGATCCTGGTAACCGTCCTTTCCCTCCTCCTAATCCTATTGACCCTGGTAACCGTCCTTTCCCTCCTCCTCCCGTACCTCAACCTCCTGGTACATGTGCTGGTTATGGATTAAATAACGATGCTGTAAGTATTGAAGGAAAAAGAAAAAAGATTATCCTATTTGTCATGAAATGCCATTTCATCTATTAACATAATGTCTGCTACAGTTCAGCCATTTCAATGCCATCTTCTTTGGCAATTTTAGAACGGGTGGTGGTTCTGATATCATGGGCCCTCTCGCTGTTGGTGGCAATTTTACTGCTCCCAATTCTGTTGTTAACGCCAACAACGGCTCTAACTGTGATGACAATCCTTCCTCCATCGGTTCTATGGGTCTTGTTGTTGGGGGAACTGCCATTACTTCCGATACACAAGTCCACGGTAACGCTTTGATCGCCGGCGGAGGCACCCTGGACCAAATTAGAGAGTCAGAAGCCGGCTTTCAAGTGACTAACCAACTTGGCACCGGCGATTTCGATTTCTTTGCCGTTCGAGAAGCCGCCCTAGATAACAATGAAGGCTATGCTTATATGGATCCTACTGCTATTATCGAACCTAACGGCGCATTTACTCAATTCAGATCCGATGCTGACTACGAGGTTATCACTTTTGGCGGATGCGGGGGAATGCAATGTAGTCTTGACCCCAATACGGAATCAGACCCTTCCAATATTCTTTTAGGCTCAGGTAATTGGAACGGTTTCCAACCTATTGATCCCAATAAGACTTATGTCTTTAATGTAAGTAGAAAAACGCTGTTGATCATTCGATGCCATTCGTCCATATGCCTCTTTTAACGCCTCCTTTTCCACAATACATAGATTCCTGTCATCAATCGTGGCACCCTCACCCTTCGAACCAATGATCCTCTTGATAGTCTCAATCCTTGTAAAGTTGTTTGGAACATTTATCCCGTTGACGACCGAGGCGTCTACCTGCGTGATGGTGAAATCACCGTTTATCGTGCCACTACTTCTCAGTTGGGTGGTTTGACCATGGCCCCTGAAGGTAAGCTAATCTTCTGCAATAGACATGTATGAAAATAGGAATAAACAAAGCCTGATAATTCCATTCTCTCTTATATTTGTAGCCCACATTATTGATGGTACTACAGGTAACTTTGCTGGTACCGTCATAGGTAGGGACTATACTTGGTTTAGCTTGGGCGCCGGTGTTGAAATTCACGATTACCACGCTATTGGTGGCACCTGCGATGCCTTCCAAGGATGTAATCCCCATCCTGATCATAATGCCCCCGACTGTACCAATACAATGACAACTACCTCTACTGCTACTACTACGCAAGTAATCCCTGTTACCACTACAGAAATAGCACCTACTACCACTACGCAAATAATTCCAGTTACCACTACAGAAATAGCACCTACTACCACCACAGAAATAATACCTACTACTACCACAGAAATAGTTCCTACTACCACTACAGAAATGGTACCTACTACCACTACGCAAGTAATTCCAGTTACCACTACAGAAATAGTACCTACTACTACCACAGAAATAGTTCCTACTACCACTACAGAAATAGTTCCTACTACCACTACAGAAATAGTACCTACTACCACTACGCAAGTAATTCCAGTTACCACTACAGAAATAGTACCTACTACTACCACAGAAATAGTTCCTACTACCACTACAGAAATAGTACCTACTACCACTACGCAAGTAATTCCTACAACCACAACTAATGTAGTTACAACAACAAGATCAACAACAGTAACTGCAACAGCAGCAGTTACAGCATTACCTCGACCGTTATATGATGTTAATAGTGGTCGTTGTCTTGTAGCATATGGTTCTCATGCTGTTGTTAGATTTGTTAGCACTACTTTAATTAGTGCAAATACTTGTTATTATTCATGTGTGGGTTCTAATGCAATGAATACACAGAATACGTGGTATATAGGACTAGCAAGTAATGTAACTATGACAGCTAGTAATCCTAATATGAATAATAACTATTATGTATGTAACTGTCTGGATAGATTATCAAATCCAGGAACACCAATTCTTAGCGCCACTACTTGTAGTAATAATATGGGCGATTATAATGACGCAGGCACAGCTAGTGCGTATGTGTATACTGTACCACCCGCTTAAATAAAAATGAAGATACAGTTGTTCCAGATTCGCGGAGTTTTTTAACATTGATATGTCAAAATTAGTCTTTTTAACAGAAAATGGGCGGGAAAACATCTATGATGAGAGGGGGAATGAAGCAATGGATATTATAGATGAACCAGCCGACCCATTTGCCATCAAGCAACTAGTCAGCCTAGATTCAGCGAATAACATTGAGAGGGAAACATTCGTGCCTAAAAGCACTGAAAGAGCCCCCAAATATCGTGATTATAGCCTCTCTACAAGAGAGCTTTTTTTTAAAAACAAGATAGAAAAGCTGACGTCAGTCAAGGCTGCTGCACTTCATGTAGGTGTCAAAGAAAGCACTGCGCGCATCTGGTGGAAAAAATACCAAGAAGATCCTGATTCATTTGTTCTCGGCAAGAGCACCAATCGCCAGAACAGACCGAAACCACAGCTTCAGGATACACATAAGGAATGCTTGAAACAATTTTACGACGAGAATCCTAATGCCTATAGGATGCTGCTGAAACGCTCACGAGCAAGTTCGAAGGCCTGAGATAAAAAAAATCAAGAGTGCATGAATTCATGAAGAACGAATGTAGCTTGACTTTCAAGCAAACGACTCTCTGGTCTGAGGCAAGAATGAGTTCGAGCACTATTAAGAAACGTTACAATTGGGTTGGTGAATAGAGTCTAACGGGCATGGAATATTCCCAAAATTGCGTGTTTATTGATGAAGCCGGCTTTGACATTAATATGAGGTAAAGCAGAGCATGGGCACCAAGGGACTCAATGGCAGTAACTACTACATCTACGACAAAAGCCCCCACTCATACCATTCTTGGTGCTATTTCAGCAGTTGGTGTTATAAATTTGAATATACGTATTCCAAGACAGCCACCAAAAGTGAGAAAAATTCAAGGTAAGGAGGTAGTCCGAAAGTAGATTGGGATTTGTCTAGCGCAGCGGGCAAAACCCATAAAGAGTAAGAGGCAACTTAGTAGTTACCCATGTACCTATAACCAGTTCTAACCAGGCGAAGCGTGGTTGATTTTTAAACTATACGGAGTAAACGTTTGGATGAGTTGCCACTTTCTGGATAAGATCGGTTGGTCATATATGGATAGGTTAGCGATTGTCCCTTACTCTTTATGGGTTTTGCCCGCTGCGCTAGACAAATCCCAATCTACTTTCGGACTACCTCCTTACCTTGAATTTTTCTCACTTTTGGTGGCTGTCTTGGAATACGTATATTCAAATTTATAACACCAACTGCTGAAATAGCACCAAGAATGGTATGAGTGGGGGCTTTTGTCGTAGATGTAGTAGTTACTGCCATTGAGTCCCTTGGTGCCCATGCTCTGCTTTACCTCATATTAATGTCAAAGCCGGCTTCATCAATAAACACGCAATTTTGGGAATATTCCATGCCCGTTAGACTCTATTCACCAACCCAATTGTAACGTTTCTTAATAGTGCTCGAACTCATTCTTGCCTCAGACCAGAGAGTCGTTTGCTTGAAAGTCAAGCTACATTCGTTCTTCATGAATTCATGCACTCTTGATTTTTTTTATCTCAGGCCTTCGAACTTGCTCGTGAGCGTTTCAGCAGCATCCTATAGGCATTAGGATTCTCGTCGTAAAATTGTTTCAAGCATTCCTTATGTGTATCCTGAAGCTGTGGTTTCGGTCTGTTCTGGCGATTGGTGCTCTTGCCGAGAACAAATGAATCAGGATCTTCTTGGTATTTTTTCCACCAGATGCGCGCAGTGCTTTCTTTGACACCTACATGAAGTGCAGCAGCCTTGACTGACGTCAGCTTTTCTATCTTGTTTTTAAAAAAAAGCTCTCTTGTAGAGAGGCTATAATCACGATATTTGGGGGCTCTTTCAGTGCTTTTAGGCACGAATGTTTCCCTCTCAATGTTATTCGCTGAATCTAGGCTGACTAGTTGCTTGATGGCAAATGGGTCGGCTGGTTCATCTATAATATCCATTGCTTCATTCCCCCTCTCATCATAGATGTTTTCCCGCCCATTTTCTGTTAAAAAGACTAATTTTGACATATCAATGTTAAAAAACTCCGCGAATCTGGAACAACTGTATCTTCATTTTTATTTAAGCGGGTGGTACAGTATACACATACGCACTAGCTGTGCCTGCGTCATTATAATCGCCCATATTATTACTACAAGTAGTGGCGCTAAGAATTGGTGTTCCTGGATTTGATAATCTATCCAGACAGTTACATACATAATAGTTATTATTCATATTAGGATTACTAGCTGTCACAGTTACATTATTTGCTAATCCTATATACCACGTATTATGAATATTCATTGCATTAGAACCCACACATGAATAATAACAAGTATTTGCACTAATTAAAGTAGTGCTAATAAATCTAACAACAGCATGAGAACCATATGCTACAAGACAACGACCACTATTAACATCATATAACGGTCGAGGTAATGCTGTAACCTCTGCTGTTGCAGTTACTGTTGTTGATCTTGTTGTTGTAACTACATTAGTTGTGGTTGTAGGAATTACTTGCGTAGTGGTAGTAGGTACTATTTTTGTAGTGGTAGTAGGAACTATTTCTGTGGTAGTAGTAGGTACTATTTCTGTAGTGGTAACTGGAATTACTTGCGTAGTGGTAGTAGGTACTATTTCTGTAGTGGTAGTAGGAACTATTTCTGTAGTGGTAGTAGGAACTATTTCTGTGGTAGTAGTAGGTACTATTTCTGTAGTGGTAACTGGAATTACTTGCGTAGTGGTAGTAGGTACCATTTCTGTAGTGGTAGTAGGAACTATTTCTGTGGTAGTAGTAGGTATTATTTCTGTGGTGGTAGTAGGTGCTATTTCTGTAGTGGTAACTGAAATTACTTGCGTAGTGGTAGTAGGTACCATTTCTGTAGTGGTAGTAGGTACTGGCACCTCCTCTGTAGTGGTAACTGGAATTACTTGCGTAGTGGTAGTAGGTACCATTTCTGTAGTGGTAGTAGGTACTGGCACCTCCTCTGTAGTGGTAACTGGAATTACTTGCGTAGTGGTAGTAGGTACCATTTCTGTAGTGGTAGTAGGTACTGGCACCTCCTCCGTAGTGGTAACTGGAATTACTTGCGTAGTGGTAGTAGGTGCTATTTCTGTAGTGGTAACTGGAATTACTTGCGTAGTGGTAGTAGGTACCATTTCTGTAGTGGTAGTAGGTACTGGCACCTCCTCTGTAGTGGTAACTGGAATTACTTGCGTAGTGGTAGTAGGTACCATTTCTGTAGTGGTAGTAGGTACTGGCACCTCCTCCGTAGTGGTAACTGGAATTACTTGCGTAGTGGTAGTAGGTGCTATTTCTGTAGTGGTAACTGGAATTACTTGCGTAGTGGTAGTAGGTACCATTTCTGTAGTGGTAGTAGGTACTGGCACCTCCTCTGTAGTGGTAACTGGAATTACTTGCGTAGTGGTAGTAGGTACCATTTCTGTAGTGGTAGTAGGTACTGGCACCTCCTCCGTAGTGGTAACTGGAATTACTTGCGTAGTGGTAGTAGGTGCTATTTCTGTAGTGGTAACTGGAATTACTTGCGTAGTGGTAGTAGGTACCATTTCTGTAGTGGTAGTAGGTACTGGCACCTCCTCTGTAGTGGTAACTGGAATTACTTGCGTAGTGGTAGTAGGTACCATTTCTGTAGTGGTAGTAGGTACTGGCACCTCCTCCGTAGTGGTAACTGGAATTACTTGCGTAGTGGTAGTAGGTGCTATTTCTGTAGTGGTAACTGGAATTACTTGCGTAGTGGTAGTAGGTACCATTTCTGTAGTGGTAGTAGGTACTGGCACCTCCTCTGTAGTGGTAACTGGAATTACTTGCGTAGTGGTAGTAGGTACCATTTCTGTAGTGGTAGTAGGTACTGGCACCTCCTCCGTAGTGGTAACTGGAATTACTTGCGTAGTGGTAGTAGGTGCTATTTCTGTAGTGGTAACTGGAATTACTTGCGTAGTGGTAGTAGGTACCATTTCTGTAGTGGTAGTAGGTACTGGCACCTCCTCTGTAGTGGTAACTGGAATTACTTGCGTAGTGGTAGTAGGTACTATTTCTGTAGTGGTAGTAGGAACTATTTCTGTGGTAGTAGTAGGTATTATTTCTGTGGTGGTAGTAGGTGCTATTTCTGTAGTGGTAACTGGAATTATTTGCGTAGTGGTAGTAGGTGCTATTTCTGTAGTGGTAACAGGGATTACTTGCGTAGTAGTAGCAGTAGAGGTAGTTGTCATTGTATTGGTACAGTTGGGGGCATTATGATCAGGATGGGGATTACATCCTTGGAAGGCATCGCAGGTGCCACCAATAGCGTGGTAATCGTGAATTTCAACACCGGCGCCCAAGCTAAACCAAGTATAGTCCCTACCTATGACGGTACCAGCAAAGTTACCTGTAGTACCATCAATAATGTGGGCTACAAATATAAGAGAGAATGGAATTATCAGGCTTTGTTTATTCCTATTTTCATACATGTCTATTGCAGAAGATTAGCTTACCTTCAGGGGCCATGGTCAAACCACCCAACTGAGAAGTAGTGGCACGATAAACGGTGATTTCACCATCACGCAGGTAGACGCCTCGGTCGTCAACGGGATAAATGTTCCAAACAACTTTACAAGGATTGAGACTATCAAGAGGATCATTGGTTCGAAGGGTGAGGGTGCCACGATTGATGACAGGAATCTATGTATTGTGGAAAAGGAGGCGTTAAAAGAGGCATATGGACGAATGGCATCGAATGATCAACAGCGTTTTTCTACTTACATTAAAGACATAAGTCTTATTGGGATCAATAGGTTGGAAACCGTTCCAATTACCTGAGCCTAAAAGAATATTGGAAGGGTCTGATTCCGTATTGGGGTCAAGACTACATTGCATTCCCCCGCATCCGCCAAAAGTGATAACCTCGTAGTCAGCATCGGATCTGAATTGAGTAAATGCGCCGTTAGGTTCGATAATAGCAGTAGGATCCATATAAGCATAGCCTTCATTGTTATCTAGGGCGGCTTCTCGAACGGCAAAGAAATCGAAATCGCCGGTGCCAAGTTGGTTAGTCACTTGAAAGCCGGCTTCTGACTCTCTAATTTGGTCCAGGGTGCCTCCGCCGGCGATCAAAGCGTTACCGTGGACTTGTGTATCGGAAGTAATGGCAGTTCCCCCAACAACAAGACCCATAGAACCGATGGAGGAAGGATTGTCATCACAGTTAGAGCCGTTGTTGGCGTTAACAACAGAATTGGGAGCAGTAAAATTGCCACCAACAGCGAGAGGGCCCATAATATCAGAACCACCACCCGTTCTAAAATTTCCAAAGAAGATGGCATTGAAACGGCTGAACTGTAGAAGACATATATGTTAATAGATGAAATAGAATTTCATGACAAATAGGATGGTCTTTTTTCTGCTTCACAATACTTACAGCATCGCTATTTAATCCATAACCAGCACATGTACCGGGTCGAGTTTCAGGTACGGGAGGAGGAGGGTTACCAGGATAAGGAGGATAAGGAGGATAAGGAGGATAAGGAGGAGGGATAGGACGGATACTATGACCATGATGGGAGCCATGATGAGGAGGAGGAGGCATCACAACACGAGCTCTTGCATGTACGCTTGTGACGACAAGCAATGCTGAAAGTGCAATAGATAAAAAGCGAATCATAGTCGAATGAAAGGATGTACTCTATTTTAGTAAGTTGATGTTTGAAAATGATGAACAGAATATTCGTCAAAGATTTTGTACGGGGATTTTTTTTTCAGGCTTCAGGAAACGGTCTGATTTCAAAATTTTATTGATTCTTTCAATTGCAACAGACTACATTCCACCCTTTGGAGCTTATAACAACTTATCAGTAACGAAATGTTTAAGCAGCAAAAGGGATGAATAAGACTCTTTCTATATGATGGTGTATTGATTATGGACATCGTGAAAGCAAATAAGCGAAAGACACTCTCATAGGGTTCCAAGTATTTCCTTAATGCCCGCTGGTCCACGGAAAACATAGAGAGACTTGGGTTTGGAAACATATTCCATTTGTGAACGGAGAACTATCCATCTAAAAGGATTCTGCCTTTCATAATGCACACATCCAACGAAAAAGGATCCGAATCAGGGCTCTGTTTCGTTTTATAAACAGACAATAAATGAGTTAGCAGGTGTCCAAGAGAATGGTATGGCTGCTCCCTTATACTGACAAGTTGTCCATTATCTCATGCATTTTATTTAAGCCGCAATACCCCGTTCCTGTTCATAATATTACTATGCATCTCAACATGAATATATAGCAAAAAGTGGCTCGAGAGTAAAGCGAACCTTCATTTTTCATATTTTTCAAGTAGTTCAAAAATTTGTCATATACAGCTTTAGCTACATCAAAAGAAGAAGATATTATATCGCTGCAATAAATATTATTCAATATGCTATTGCTCGATTTACGCACGTTTACAAGTTGGATTATCAAAGACATTTTCGATTGGCACTCTAATAAAGAAAACAATAGTCATTTCAATGGTTGGCTGCAATTTAGCTTAAACCTGTGTAACTTTCTTTTGCCATAGATGAAGCAAACTATGAACGGATATCACTCGTTTAACCTGTTACATGCAAAATACTCTAACAAAAAGAAAAAAATGGGAATAAGAGTTGCTTAGCAACCCGAGCAAAAAATGGTTCGAGTGTTTATTCAGCTCTTCTTCCACCCGAACAGGGTGACAAAATTTGACAACTTAATGAATGATCAAATCTTACTTATGAATGATAAATAACTGTACAAAATGGTAACGAGAAAATACATATATTGTGTGTGCTTTACAATTTAGCTTGGGGCTTCGCAGGTTCTTTGAAGAAGACCTCGCATATCTTACGACGTTGAATCTTACCGGTAGCTGTTTTAGGCATAACGTCAGTAACATAGACACGTTTTGGGATCTTGAATTTAGCAAGTTTAGTCAAGCAGTATTCTTGCAATTCACGTTCAAAGGCCTTTTCGCTCTCCTTTGCATCACTCTTTAATACAACAGCAGCATGGACTTCTTGACCATACATATCATCAGGTACAGCAAAACTGACAGCTTCAGCCACGTTTGGATGACTCAACATTACTGAATCCAATTCGATAGGAGAAATCTTTTCGCCACCGCGATTGATCAATTCCTTGATGCGACCTGTTAATATCAAATAACCGTCCTTGTCCTTTTTCCCTTGATCGCCGGTACGGAAAAAGCCATCTTTGGTGAAAGATTCAGCAGTAGCCTTGGGGTTATTCAAGTAACCTTTGGTAACATTCTTACCACGGATACAGACTTCACCTAATTCGGTAGGATTGCCTTGTTCATCCAATATAACTACTTCAACGCCTTGACCAATACCAACTGATCCAGCCCTATGAAATCCGCGATGAGGTAATGGATTGGATGTCATCTGATGAGAAGCTTCTGTCATTGCATAGGCTTCTAAAACTGGCGCTTTGAAATGTTTTTCGAGGGCCTCAAGAGTAGCCGGTGCTAGACTGGAAGAGCAAGAACGAATAAATCGAAGGGAAGGAACCTTAGCAGGTGGGTTGCGAAGAAGTATTTGATGAATGGTAGGTACAGCTGTGTACCAGTTACAGCCATTGTCCGTGAAGTCTTGCCAGAAATGTGAGGCACTGAATTTTTGAGGAATGACAGCTACGCCACCAGACAGTAATGTAGACAAAAGACCACACACTAAGCCATGAACGTGAAACAATGGCATAACAACTAAAGAGCGATCCTTTGCTGTTAACTCATATGTGTTGATAATATTCCTCATACTTGTAAGAATATTGAGATGAGTGAGAAGCACGCCTAACAAGAGTACAAAAGTGAAGTTTCATATTTAATGAAAACGATACAATCAATGGAATCATTGTCTTTGCAAGAAAGACTTACCCTTTGGTCTTCCAGTTGTACCACTAGTGTGCAATAGTAAAGCAACATCATCGGGTCTGGGTGAAAACGCATCAATGGTACGGCGAGCCCCAATTGACTTGTTACGTGGTACATGTGCATCTACTTCTAAAGAATTACCGTTCCAATGAACTTCCACAACGATGGCTCCTTGTTTCTGAGCTGCTAGCACAGCAGGATTACTCTTAACATTGGTGGCTCCTTTGGGTAAAATGATAATTGAACTTTTAGCATCCTCTAAATAAAAGTTGAACTCATCTTCTGTGTAAGCAGGGTTTAAAGGTGAGGCAATCAATCTCATAAAGGTGACACCTAAAAAGGCGATCGTAAATTCAAGTGAGTTGGGGTAGCTGATAGAAATGGAAGTGCCGGGTGCCAAAGCACTTGCTGGAACTTGGTCAGCCAACTTTTTGGCAAAGTCATGAAGGATAACTAACAGACGATTATAGGTTATATTGGTAGGTATATTAGCTGAGCGAGGAATAATAACGGAAGAAAATGTAAGATCTTTTTTCGACGTGAAAATTTCAAGCAATGTATCCGACATGCTGATATAAATTTTCCAGCGTTGCTAGGAAGTAAGATAGAGCGAGAAGAGAAGGGTGTGTTTAAGATGTTCAGCGAGAAAAAGAGTATTTTCTATTCTCAATAAAAGGCAAGATGGAAATGTCTCACACTGACATCACGTAGCCACTTTATATGTTAGGTAAACCGCAACGCACGAGACTTTTATTCGTCATTTGAGATTAAAAAGATTACTAAAAATTTTTTAAGGAAATTAAAAAAATCAAGGTTTCCAACTCTAATACAATCTCAGTGCTCTTGTTTACATTGCTATCTTTGCTGCTGTTCATTCGATGATGCAGTATCCGTAAAGGCCAAGCCTTTATTCGAATTAATGGTATTATTGGGTAGATGTTGCTTTATCACATCGTTGTGATGCTGATGTGCAGAAGCATAAATGCCTAGACCAATGCTCATATACGATGGCTGCACAAAAGCAGTATTGTATTGCGGTCGATTTGTAGCCGTTTGCTGCCGTTGTTGTTGCTGCTGATGTTGTTGAGGCTGTTGCTGCTGCTGCTGAGATGTCGATGTCGGTGTAACAGAATTTCTAGTTCGTTGCTCAGATAAAAATGAATACAGAAGGTTATCATTTTCATTGACCATCAAATCCGAATTGACTGAAGAAGTGGCGGTAGCGTTTCTTGCTGCAGCAGATTGATTTGGCGTGGAAGAGCTACTCCAATCGTCGCGTTGCATGACATCTCCTTGTTTTAAACCAAGGTTACTTTGTTGATTGCGACTTCCATTGGTGTTGGTGTTGCTGCTATCCTGCATTTGAGCAACAAACGCTGCAATATCTGTCGGATTTGTGGAGTGAGTTAGAAGAAGGTCAGAAGGTGTTTGAGGATGTGAGTAGGAGTCTACAGTAGTGAGTTTGTTATTATTGACAGAAGGTGTAACTGATGCTTTGTTATTGTTCGTTATTCTTTGCCAAGCTTGTCGTTGATTTTGCTGTTGTTGGGTATGGCCAGACGACGACGTCTGAGTCGTTTCATTCAAGAAATCCAAATTGGGAGTTTTTGTTGAATATTGGTACTTCTCGGAATTCATTTTAGTTACCGTTGATGCCTTCCATTGTGACAGAGCAGCGCTGTTATTGCTTGATCCATTTGACAGCGAGTTGTAATTTGAAGAAGCATAATGGCTGCTGAATCCATGAAATGTATGCGTAGATGGTGGGGCAGCAAACATGTTTGATGACATCGTGATAGATTTTGACTTAACATTGGGGGGCGTAATCAAACCATTGGCATAGTAATCGAGTTTTGACCATTGCTGACGTTCTTCCTCAGCATACCTAGCGTTCAAGCTACCAAGTACAAACGGAGTCATGATATCTTCTTCATTAATACTGGTAAATATGGCAGCAGTATGTTCATCTGCTTCATTTATAACATTGCTCAGAGCAGAAATAAACCGAACGATAAGACGTGTTGTTGACGGTATTTTAACGGTAGATAACAATAACTTCATTGTTTGCATTGACTGCTGAAACATAAATCGTGCATTTCGCGCTAAATTCAAATTCTCATAAGAGCAATCCCTCAGATGAAATAGAATAGACTCCATAAGTGCACGAGTTACAAATTCAAAATTGAAGGCCAACGTAGTCTGTTCAACGAGAGCTGCTGTGAGGCGAGTAATATTAGTAGCGTTGACAGCGGATCGTTGGCGAATTGATCTCGCTGTTGAACTGAAATAAGGCTTCAAGACATACAATTCCACTAGATTGTAAAGGATATGAAGGTAACATGTGACAGGGTTTGATGGTAAGGTTGGATGAGGAATACTATTGGATGTTGAAATTGAAGGCAAAGTCCATTGCAGAGTAGTAGGCAAAGATCGAAGCCAGTGCAGTAAGTCATTGTCGGAATTAAGAAAGAGTTGATCGTAAGCCTGAGGCCTCACCAAGGATTGGCCGGTCTTTTGAGACATTCCAGGATGAAGAAAACGTTCTGCGATTTGCATCAATTTTATGGTCGCCACGAATCCTTGGAGTATATTGTTTTCCGTTGCATCATCGCCAGGTTGTAAAAGCGGCATGTCTAACTCAATATCATTACTGCGAAGCATCCAAGGCTGACCAGACTGAAGTCTACAGACTTTATCTATAGTATAACATCCCCAGCAAATTCTTTTTCTTAATTCCTTGCTGTTTTCATTGTCATCGTCATGTTGCTGCTCCAGTTGAGCAGTTTTATTTATTGTGTTACCACTGTAATCACGCATCAAATCGAGATCAATACACATCTGAACTGCTAATGCACCGTACATATTTGGCCGTCGATTTTTTGGTGATTCGTACAGACACATTAGTGCTAAAGCAGCAGCTGTACTCAGTTTAGGCACATTTAGTGCATTATCTAACAGTAAAGCTCTTGCATGAAGAAAATATGAGTCGGCATCTTCTGAGTTGACAGTTTGTGCGCCATGTGCAATTATCATCAGCAACAATAAAGGGTCTATTAAATTAGAGGTGGTATTTCTACAATGTGTTGGTGAATTGAGTTGTTCGAAAAGTAATCGTTTAGGTATTATTGGAAATGTAAAGTAACAGTGTGTATAGTAAGATTCTATCAACTGTAGCTGTACAGGTTTTGAAGGTAAAAATGACACTCCATAACTATTAGCATCATCCGCTGTTGACGATGAGGGTATATTTACTCTAGGGGTATCGTAAAATTGTTCCTGTAGTTTAGTGTGATCAATTTCCCATTTCCCTTCTTTGCCTTCACCAGGCCATGACTTTGTAAGTTTGATTAAAATCTCTGTAGTGGTGACAATCTGCTGCTGACTCAGCGGTGTATCTGTTGGAGTTGCATGTGTAGTTGACGGTGGTGAAGCATGGTGAGGAAGTAGTGAAGGTGAAGAGTCTTTAGATGTTGTCGGTGATGGTGAGCTATTTTCCAATGTTTGAATAGTAACTGCGTTGGTGTCTATCGAACCATCTTTAGAGAAGGTGCATGTTCTTCTGCGGGCTAAGAATTTCCAATTGAATTAATAAAAGCTGCAAATGCTGTAAAAAATTGAAAATTGCTTTAGCCCACCTTTACACTATGGATAAATGTATAATGAATATCAGCCCATGAGTACTACTATGACCAACATCTTAAGATATAAATCTCTACCTGCATACAGGGTTGCAAACCATCGCACTATTGAGAGCAGCTTTATATCAGCAATGTATTTACATGCCATATTCAATGTATTCTGAACACAACGTACTTTAATTTTCTTCACTCGACAGGTATAACAAGCTCTTCCGACTTTAAACCGTTTAGGCTTTTGTTCTTTTTTATTCTCCAAGTCATGCTTCATAGTAGCAACAGGTGTCATGTAGAAAACGTGCAAAGTATTATGATAATGTAGGTTAAAAAAAGGTAAAAGGGAAAGCTGGAACTTTGTCTTTTTCCCAGTTTGCTATTTTTATTCTTGGCTGAAAATAGACATGGAAAAAAGATGGGTTTCTTTTCATTTTTTTGTTTTTTACGAAACAAGTTTGCTCAACCAGAATTATCATGAAATTGAAACTCAATTTTCCCGCGGAAGCTTTCTGCCTGATGAAGGGTCAGCTCGACTTAACAAGCATAACATCCGCGGTACGACTTCAACGATGCGTGCAGATCTAAGTATGCATTATACATAAAAGCAGGAGTATTCAGCATACATATACCATTTCTGCTTCATCTTTTTTTACATGAAAACTCCTGCAAAGAGTAATCCTGTAAATCTATTACAAACCTTCAGACCGAAAAAGTACCTCACATTTCAGTAAGCTTATTCTAAAAGGAATAAAAAGCCAATTAAACAGTTGCAACTAATTGAAGAGTATGCGATGCTTAAAAATGACTCTGCGGTTTCTCTAGCTTGTGCTATTAAGAACTGAAATCTGTATCATTTTCTTTTCTTAATTTGAAGGATGACGTGTTCCAGCAAGGTTAGCAATGTGCTGTAAGCCCTTCCCTTCTACTCTTTCCACCTTTACTTCCGCAACACAAGATGTAATAATGGTGCTAAATCATTAAAATTTAGAAGTACTGCATAACCTGTTTCGAAAACTATGAACCCAATACTAATAAAGAGCGTACTTTGTACTTTATTGAAGGGAAGAGACAGATATCATTTGCATTTGCACAATCTCTACTTTACTGATTAATAGTGAGAATCCACTATATTGTATGTCATAATCAATCACAAAAAAGTCATGTTAATATATCCTATAACTTTTGAAGGAATTATCATCATAGTCGATGTATGCAATTTTGTAGTAGTCATCGATTATTACATGATGTTCGCCAGAACTGATAATTGTTGATGATATTACAAGCGTTCGAAAGAAACGTATCCTACGATGATTTGTAGGCGTGTGTACTAATAAGAAAGAGATAGTTACAATAAGAATAAGGAGGCTTGTATCGTTGACTGTTTGGAGGTCGCGTGACAAAAAGTAATTTTCTTATAAAAAGCCCTCTTTTATCTTCTCTTCTGTCTCATATATTAACGGCCATTGTTTACTTATATCCTCTGTAACGCTTGCTCCTTGGCTTTGGCGGCAGTCTACTGCATACTCTGTTCTTTATTCCCATTATTCTTGTTCTTGAGACACCGGCAGACCGTAGGACAGTTTACTGGGCCTCGTAAACCCCTCTGTCGTTAGTGTTGGGGTTGAGCGGTCATCTGTCGTGTTCTGGGATCCTAATACTGAAGGGCTGCGGTAGATTGTTTGTCAATGGCCCTTCACACCTTGCCCTTTTTAGGTTTATTTACCACTTGGTTATCAAGAGTTGTTTTGGCTGTTTGAAGCTTTAATCATAATCGAGAAACGCTTGGCGAGAAGGGTAAACCGAACGCCTGCTTTTGCAGAGTACCTTTTATGACCTAGCTTAGGACTTCAACTATTATAATCCAAGCTTCCACGTTCCGTAGTTTTTCTTTCTTTTGAGCAGATGTTACATGTTTTGAGGATGGTAAGGAGATTTCAGGCCAAGATTCCCATACCCGCTTATCTTGTTTATCTGGTTAAACCAAGAGTACTCTTATTCAGGTTCAAGTCCTGGGATAAGCTAACTCCATGTATCATTTACATATTCCTTTTTGTCATAGTCTTATTTCTGCTACTATTTCTAAATATTTTCACGTGAGAAAAGTTTTTCCAACTTATTCAAGGATGCTCACAATGCCGTATTAAAATTTGATGGGCTTATCCCTTGTTGCTTAACCTTCAACAGCAGGTTATCCTTTAAATAAAGATATTATAAATAAAAAATATTATGGTTGGAAATTTACCCTCTTTCATTTACTGTTTAAACAAACACCGCCTAACGATAGTTAAGAATAAAGTAAAAATTGCTCACAGAATTATAGAAACCCTGTATAAATAAGGGCCTCTAGTAACTGCGCCTTTGATGCTCGACCAACGTTTACCAGACAATAATAGCTCGTCAGCAAAGGTAGATGAGTCAGTTTGTGCTTCCATTCCTGGTTGATTAACAAATGCTTTTCAAGTATTCCTTACATATTCGTATTATAGGAGATATGTATAGCGTAATGAACAATTCTCACATATTCTTGAACTACCTCTGAAATAATGTATCTAAAAGCTATGATAGGGCAACAGTAATACTATCATGCAACTCTTTCTGAGATTATTAGGAGACAATTTGACCATCTTTTCCAATAGAGTATGCTTCAGTACATCTGTAGTGAAGGTTCTTTTAGTATATTATTTTTGATAGAAAAATAATACTAGATTCGAGCCACGTTAGAATGATGATAGGCTTGGTTGACTAGAGAGTTAGAAACATAAGCCAAACAAGACAATTATCTCAACAGGATAAGACCTAGTGGTATCATTAATCTTTGAAATGCTTCACAATAGAGGGCTGTTAGTATATCCTTTATCATACCAAAAAAAAAGGAAAAAATCAATCCTAGAAAAGATAGACCTCAGGACAAAGTAGATAAAAAACTAACGATTCGCTTATCGTTGTAAGTCTATTATAACCATAGCCTTCTTATTTGTAGGCCTGAATTAGATCATGATGAAATGTAGTGAATTTCGCAAATGATTATCTCGAGCAAGACTCAGGGAATGAATGATCTATTATTGAGTGGACGGAGTTTCCCTAGCTTTTTCACCTTTTCTGTCACTATTAAACTAAGAAATATTATAGCAATTACCTTCACCATGCAAAGGGACAACTTACTGTCAGATCTTTATCTTCATGGTCTTCAATGACATTTACTCAATTAACTGTAACGTAACCATACATCCATCGGAAGTATTCCAAGAATGAAAGTTTACCGCATTTTTATAAGTATTGTTGTATGTGGGGTAAAAGTTGTATCGGCTGTTCATAAAGCCGAGCATCAAGAGTTTCTATGCTTGTCAGGGGTATCTATTAGCGACAGTCTTCAACACATTTGTTACTGGCTTATCAGTGCTCGTATTTTTATTTTTAATTTCTTTCGCGGAAAAGGATCAAGGTTAGGGAAAGTTTGTTTGTTAGGAAGAAACTATACACATAGTAGAACATGGAAAGGTCAACAAATGATATCCGGGTTTGTACAATTTGAGTCATGTAGAACATACTTTCCTTATGAAATACAAATACAAGAATTATGTCTAGCCTTTCAGTTCATTCTCATATGTAATACTTCCATGTGCTTTTAAGGGTACTTATTGCTTTCTCTTGATCCTGTCTCTAACCTTGATCTCCATATTTTTGAATAAATTATATCTACCAATAGACATACAAATGTCCATGGCTGCTGTATCATTAGAAGAGCTATTCTTTACCATCAAATAGTACGTTCAAGGTCTGCTTCATGTCGAATTGTTGAATGTTCTCTGCCTAATCCCTAAAGAGTTTAGAGCGCTTCACAGGAGTTAATTGATTTGACAAGCGGTCGAAAGGTTTTAAGGTGCTGAATTGCTCACCAATCTTTTTTTGCTTTTTTTGTTTTGGTTTTTTTTTTTTTTTTTTGTATTTTTTGTGTTTTTTGTTCATAAGGAATACGCTTTGGTTTTTATTTAAAGTCCTTCAACTGTCTTAGCGCTAACCAATCCTGACTCATAATGTCTCCAATGAAAAATGCAACATTTTTCGACAGCGACTCTTTTCAAGCAGCAGTTTACCCCGCTTCATATAAATAATTCCAAGTTAGTTTGATATTCACTTCTTCACCATCACTTGATAGTTTATTCTAATACATGTCAGTCGCTCTTCATAACGCATTCACCAACGCTAAAAAGCAAGGTAACTATCATAAACAAATTTGGAGCTTAATCTACAGTTAGATAGTTACCTACCTTTCTTTTTATGTGTTCGTAGGCCGCCCTGCCTTTGTCACTTTCCTTACGGCAGGCTATCCCACGCCAAATGATACTGTCAGTATTATGTTAGCCTTGGAAAAAGGCGGTGCTGATGTAATTGAATTAGGTAATACAAATAGAAACTTCAGTTTATTGTTAAGCACTTTTACTCATTCTGTGCGATTAGGTATACCATTCACTGATCCCCTTGCTGATGGTCCAACCATTCAATATGCCAGCACAGTAAGTAACTCATAAAATAGATATATCTATTTTTTTCTGTTTTACTCATGGTATCAATTAAAGATTTCATTACAATACAGAACTGATATTCCTATGTGCTTGCAAATGGTTCGCGAAGCACGCGCTAAAGGATTAAAGGTCCCAGTAGTATTTATGGGTTATTACAACCCCATTTTAATGTACGGCGAGGAAAAGATAGTACAAGATTGTAAAGAAGCTGGTGTCAATGGTTATATTTTGGTTGATTTACCTCCTGAAGAATCTCAAAGCTTCCGCGGCATCTGTTATAAGCACGGATTGTCGTATATACCTTTAATCGCACCCTCTACTTCTGAAAACCGCATCAAGATCCTTGCAGCACTCGCCGACTCTTTTATTTACGTCATTTCACGTATGGGAGTTACAGGTGCCAGCCAAACTGTCAATACCGAATTGCCTGCACTTGTTTCCCGTATCAAAAAATACACTGATGTGCCTTTGGCTGTTGGTTTCGGTGTTTCAAATCGTGAGCAGTTCGTGGAAGTGGGTGCTCACTCGGAAGGTGTTGTTATCGGCTCTCGTATTATTACTGTTATCAAAGAAGCAGCAGAGGAAAAGAAGGATGTACCTGACACTGTTTATACATATGCTGCAGAGGTTACTGGTCGCAAAGATCCTGTTGAAACCATAGCCGGTGTTGATGTCGAGCTTGCTGATCTCGAAGTAAATGATGCTGCTGGTAAAGGTCCGTTCTCCCCTGATGATATCAAAAAATTATACCAACTTGATCCTCGTTTTGGCAACTTTGGCGGTTGTTACGCTCCAGAGGCACTCGTTGAATGCCTTACTGAACTCGAAACCTGCTTTGTTAACGCAATGAATGATCCTAAATTTAGAGACGAATTCGAATCGTACTACGACTACATATCGCGACCTTCACAGCTTCAGCTTGCCAACCGTCTAACAGAAGAGGTCGGTGGTGCCAGGATATGGTTAAAGCGTGAGGATCTAAATCACACTGGTTCTCACAAAATTAATAACGCTGTTGGACAGATATTGTTGGCTAAGCGTCTGGGTAAGAAACGTATCATTGCTGAAACAGGCGCGGGTCAACATGGCGTGGCCACAGCAACAGTGTGTGCTAAATTCGGATTAGAGTGCATTGTTTATATGGGTGAAGAGGATTGTCGACGACAAGCTCTCAATGTTTTCCGTATGAAAATGCTAGGAGCTACTGTAATTCCTGTCAAGAATGGTTCAAGAACTCTGAAAGATGCGATCAATGAAGCCATGCGTGACTGGGTCACGAATGTCACAACTACACACTACCTTGTTGGCTCTGCTATTGGTCCTCATCCTTTCCCACAAATTGTTCGTGAATTCCAATCTGTCATCGGCAAAGAAACGAAGCGTCAAATGCTTGAAAAAATAGGCAAATTACCTGACGCCGTTGTTGCGTGTGTTGGTGGTGGCTCAAATTCTATTGGTATGTTCCATCCATTTGTTGAAGATCAAACTGTAAAAATTATTGGTGCAGAGGCTGCTGGTGACGGTGTAGATACAGATAAGCACTCTGCAACACTAACAAAGGGTACTCCCGGTGTGCTTCATGGTACTCGTACCTACCTTATCCAAGATGAAAAGGGTCAAATTATTGAAACACACTCCGTCAGTGCTGGTTTAGATTATCCTGGTGTAGGGCCAGAACATGCATATCTTAAAGATAGTGGAAGGGCTGAATATGTCGCTGTAGATGACGCACAATGCCTAGTCGGTTTTAGAAAGCTGACTCAATTAGAAGGCATTATTCCTGCCTTAGAGTCTTCACACGCAATTTACGCCGCTATGCAAGTTGCTGCAAAAATGTCCAAGGATGAAGATATTGTCATTTGTCTCTCGGGTAGAGGAGATAAGGATATGCATACCGTTGCTGAAGTACTGCCTCGATTAGGTGCCCAAATTGGTTGGGACTTACGATTCTAAGCATAGAGTTCCGTAAATTCTTGCATTATTTTTTACCCTTTGTATATTTTTTCATCCATAAAACCGAACATTGTACAGTGCGCATGTCAAACAGGATTTGCTGTCTTTTATGATAATCATTTATCTGTGAGTAGCTTGAAGATATTTTTAGACGAACTTTCTCATTTAACTTGTAGGTCGTTTAGGGTCCTGAAAAACGGCTTCTTACATTGAACTAATATAAACATTCAGTGAGAAAGTTCTCTTAACTAAGAGCTTAAGCTATCTTTTCATTTTGAAAGTAGACTCTCGCTTATAGGGCCAATTTTACATTTGCAGATTGCTGAGGTTTGTCAACCTAATAAAAAATGCCTTTTCGCATTGTATTTCATTATTATATATCAAACGTCTTTATAGCATTATTTAATATAAAGGTTATAATAAATCCTCTATAATATAATTCTGACGTTTGTATAAAGCAATTTCAGATTAATTGAGGCAGCTTGCCTACTATCTGCTTTCAGTAATCCTAGCCATTTTGATACATAGAATGTGATCCTGCAATGAGTTATTTTCCAAGCGTAGTTGACATTTCAAGAAGCGCCGTAAATTTTTTCGATTTAGCTTAAAAAAAAAAAAGAAAAAACCACAGAAACAGCTGATCGTTTTAAAATGAGTGAAGAATCTAGCGAAGCACAACGTCGCTTCGATAATGACATCCCTAAGGAACATTTGGACAATTTGATCCAAAGAGCACAAGAAGTTATCAGTAAAGATAATGTAGAAATACCCGATTTTTGGAAAGCAAAGTATAAAAAGGAAGCCTCGAAAAACTGGGATCGCTTCTACAAACGAAACACAACAAAATTCTTCAAAGGTGAAAATGCATCAATCTTTTCTTCATTGAAAAAAAATGCCATAACTAACTTGAATAGTTGTACAGATCGACATTGGACAGATCGCGAATTCAAAGAGTTAGCAGACCAAACAAAAGAGCAAAGATGCTTAGAAGTTGGTTGTGGTGTTGGAAATTTTGTTTTTCCGTTACTCGCTGATAACCCTAAACTATTTATGTATGCCTGTGATTTCTCAAAACGTGCAATTGAGTTGGTGAAAACGAATGAAAAATACGATGAAACCAGATGCAAGGCATTTGTTTGTGACTTAACTGAAGACCAACTGACGGATAATATCCCAGAAAATTCACTAGATTTAGTAAAGTATCCCGACTTTTTCTATCACCATCATAGGACGAGCTACTAACGTATTATGTAGGTATCAGCAATTTTTGTATTCTCAGCTATACCACCAGAAAAAATGCATATTGCTGTTAGAAATATATATCGTGTGCTTAAGCCTGGAGGTTGTGTCTTATTCCGTGATTATGGTATTTACGATGAAGCCCAGATAAAATTCAGTGCTGCCACTGATAAACGATTAGGTGATAATCTTTATGTTCGCCAAGATGGTACCTTAAGTTATTTCTTTTCAACAGTCGACTTGAGAAACAGATTTGAGAATGAAGGCTTTAGCACACTAAATTGCCAATACGTTTATAGAGAAACAATAAATCGTGGTAGAGAGTTGAGAGTAGACAGAATCTTTGCGCAAGCCAAGTTTCAAAAACCTTTGTAGACAATAAAAAAATGTACGATTACGTTTTATTCAATGTAATTAAATCTAGCATTTAGTACTCGGAACTTATCCTTAAGAGAATCCAGGCTTAAATATGTGCCTTTCAAATGTCTATCTCCGCTTGTCGGATCAAAGGAGGTTCTACCATGCAGAACGCGCCTATTTGCAAACATTACCAATTGTCCGGGTTGGAGTGTTATCTCATAACGCAAAGATGGGTCTTCAATAAAATCAGCTAATTTTTGGAAGGCACCATAAAATGCCCTTGCCATCTTTGGAGATAAATCATCCATTGGTCCTTGAAATTGTGGTGCATAGTTTACATGGCTATCCCATGCAGGACCGCTATGAATTTCATCCGTTACAATGGTTGGTCTTTTGAAATACATGTGGTGACCATTATTTACGTAGTGAAACGTTACGGGAACTTCTTTCAAGATTCTGTAATCTTCAGGATATTTCTCTTTCAATAATTCAACAGCTCGAAATGAATCGACGAAAATACTTGCACCGCCAGTAACTGTGTTTTTCAAGCTGTGCAACAATTGTATACCTGGAGGACAATCCATGTACCTACAAAGCGGAGAATAAATAATCACATTTCTATCTTAAAGAAAATTATTAAAAAGGTATTTCAGCTTACATCAGATCCATGTGAAAACCTAGGTACAAACTGGTGTAGGCGATGTTTACAGATTTGGCTACATTCTTGACATCAAAATCACGACCATAAAATGTTTCTTGCACAGGTCCAATCCTTTCAGCGACCTTTGTGCATGAATCCTCTTTGAGTGGTACGTCTTTTAGGAAAACTAGCCCTCTATTATACAGACCCTGAACAACTGTGTTCAAGCATTCATCTGTCTTCATGTATTCGTCATAAGATACCCAATTCATAATATACTCGCTTGCGTTCCAAGTTTGTGGACGAACATCATTAAATCTGAGTTTGTCCATTGAAGTTTTTGATTGATATTGCTTCAAGAAGTCCAAAGGATACCGAGTAACATGTGTACCATTTTCCTGGCCATGACGAAGAGGTCTGTTCCAAGTAAAAACTGCATCATCCTCTATAATTTCAACTTTTTTTGGTTTTATATTAAGCGGAACATCCGCAGAGGAGTGAAGCTTTTGACGACTAGTCGGGTGGAGACATTTGGCACAGCGGCAATTATCCCGTAGCCATAAGTGACTATAACAACTGACAGCTGTTTGATTTGTCCATTTTATATTTATACTATCATTATCTATTGAGAGAATTTCGCCATCTTTGAACACCATATGAGAGTAAAGTCTAGACACTCCTGCTGTAATTGTTCTATAATGTTCAAGAGGTCTGCGGTATAGTTTTATTGATTTAGTCAGAGAAGGCAACATTAAGCAATGTGAAGAATTGTGAAGAAAAGATACATCAAATTTTTTTGTAATTTTTGATTTGCTTTTACCGAAAGTACCGTGTAACCACTTGTTGTTGTATAGAAGAAAAAAAAAGTATCTACGACCAACAAGAAATTCAGAAAATGTACAAGGGCGCATGGGCAGATGTTGAACAGCAGGAGCGCGATTATTATAGAAGCTAATGTTTTCATTGTTCTATGAGGGTGATTAAGAGAGCTTTATCATACAGCAATAATTCTTAAGAGCGATGGCTATATATTTGCAATCCTTGCTTCACAGTTATTACTGTCAAATCCTCATAGATTGTTCACGGTCTTCATTTATCAGTAATTTAGAGCTGAATTATTCGCATACGCCTCATACCAGCAAGTTGTAATAAAGAATCTGCAAATTCATGATTCATTTTTCATTCAAGTTTACATCTTTCGTAATAGACGAGCGCCCTTGCTTTCTGCACTTTATTAAAAAATAGTGAAGATACTTCCATGAAGTCTGTACTATTCGTATAAGAGTGATAAGTGTAAAGAAAAATTGAAAATATCTGATTTCTTTCTTCGATGTATCGAAAGAAAATCGTCTTAATGGAGAGCTGTACCCAAATTCAATTAAGGTACTAAGTACATGCAAAAAATTATGACGTTTTATTGAGTGGAGTTACTTGCTCCAGAACTCTTGAAATTCTGATGGAACGGGTTGAGTACTATATCAATAGTGTCAATCAATGGGATATTCATTCAAAAAAGTTGAATATGGTTGATGTCCAATAATGTTGAAGAGAAACATAATTGCAGAAAAAACACCTCCAGAAAAACGTTTGTTAATACAATAAATGATTTTTTCTTTTTTTTTTCGCAAAATCTAACGTTTAGCGAACATTTGTTGTAAACTCGGCATATCTGAAAGCATTTTTTCAGCTTGCGAGCGAGATTCATTGACATCATCCGCTGCATCAGGGTCTATAAATGATATGATTGTTGGAATGAGCGACGAAGTAATATGTATCAGATATACTCCTTACCCATGTTTTTCAGGGAATTCATCATTTTTGGCATAACGAGCATCATAAGACCGCTGAATCCAACCATGAGGAACATAGGGTTCTTGAACATACCCAAAATATTGAACCCTTGACGGTGCTATTTGGCTTTTAGACTGGAGCTCTCATTTATGTACTACCTTTTATCTTAATTAATTTACCACAAAGTATTCAGCTTCTGCCTTGGCTTGAATCTCTAATGGGTAACCCAAAGCTAGACCTCTTTGATTCCAATCGAGTCCAACAGCTGTATATGTTGCATGAATATGATTATCTTCCTTTACATCTACGCGTAGCTGTACCATAATTGCTTAAAACTCTGTTCAAAATTTTGACTAATCAAACGACTAACCTTGGGGAAGAGATAATCTATACTTTGCACTTCTAATAAATATGAACCAGCTTCTACATTCGGGCTAAAATAAACAAAAGCAGGTGGTTAAGAAATGGTATGTGATTGCGAGGATAGGATGAATAAAACTTACAAAATAAATTCACCATTTTTATCAACGTTCACAATAGAGGATGCTCCATTAAGTGTTATTCTTGTGGAGGGTGATAGTTTGGATACATCTGAAGTAACGATTGAGTCAGTATCGTACCTGATTTAAGCAGTGATCTTCTTACCATCAATGACATTGTTAGTAATAATCTTTCCACGTATTTCCACAGCCTTGACTACAGCTGCAAATAGACTTTGTGTAATAATTAGTTTATGATATATTCTTTCGGGCCATTTCAAAAGTTGTTTACCCTGCGATCAATAACAAAACGAGCTTCTGCATTCTTAAAATTTCTTCGATAAGACGTTAACGGATTTCAGGTGTTCTTCATGAGTATTTGCTTTTCCGGATTTTGATCGAAAAGTTGATGGTCCGCTTCATTTTTCCATGTTTCATTATTCCTGTCGTATCACTCTTGTCTTTTTCTCTTTTTCTCCTGCTTGTTCAACTTTTTTATACATATATCTTCTGCTCAAATCGTCTTAGATGAAGGCAGCGTGGTGCGTTGTCCTAACAAGCACGAGCTATACTAAAGGCATCATCACCCTTAAATATTCATTGCATAATGTTTGTAACAGTCAATATCCTTTGTTAGTATTGTATACATCTGCTGTAACTCCTGACGTTATTGATGTCTTGAGAACTATGGGGTGTATTATGAGGAAGATTGATGCGATAAAGCCGCTTGTACAAGTAAAGTACACAGCGGAAAGATTCACTGAGACATGGACAAAATTAGCCGTATGGAAACAGCAGGGTTATGACCGTTTAGTTATGATGGACGCCGATATGTTACCTCTTCAGAATATGGACGAGTTAATGGACTTAGAGTTGAATGATGAGAATTGGGTAGCTGCTGCCCATGCATGTGTTTGTAACCCACAGAAGATACAGCACTATCCCCCCACTTGGACGCCCACGAATTGTAGCTATACAAACCTTGATGCTAGTGCATGTGTTGATCCTAAGCCGGCGCAAGACAAAACTGGGTATTTCAATAGTGGATTGGTTGTCCTGACGCCCAGTATAAAAAGGTTCAACGCCATGATTGAACATTTGTACAGAATCACCGATTTTAGCATTTATCCGTTCCCAGATCAGGATTTCTTGAATGAAGTGTTTAAAAATCAATGGAAATCGATCCCTTATACGTATAACGCTCTGAAAACGCTGCAATGGGCTCATGCACCAATGTGGGATATCAAGCAAGTCAAAAATATTCATTTTATTCTATCGAAACCTTGGGATATTGCTATAGACCACGAACTATCGGATTTGGAGAATATCTACAGACCTTTGTACGAATTATGGTGGCGTGCCTATGATGAGTCGATAAAATCTTTGGATATGCATTTATTCTAAGTGATACAAGGGCGCTCGCAAAAAAAAAAAAAAAAAAAAAATTTGAACCAATCATCAGGGCTCACCAACAATCCTCCATTCAATGATATTCTTCGTATGTATCCCACATATATCTCATTGCAATAAAACATTGAACGGATACATTTGAATTCGCCTAAGCTATATATTTGGCCATGCGTAAGAACAATACTCGATGTGAGACGATTCAGAGACAAGTTCGTTTTCGATACAGGTTAATAGTAAGCCTCCCTTAGACACGGCAGCAATAATTCTCTCTCAGCATAGGCCAAATTATTTTATTCAATTTTCAGCTTTCTTTCATATCAATTGCTCTTGCTCTGATCTTTCTCTACCGAAAAGAAAAAAAAAAGTTGATCATGTTTCTGGTTAACTTATAAATACCCTGCCATAGTGTCGTTTCATTTGATTTAGTGTTTTTGATGCCATATTGACACACTTAGGTTTTAGGTATACTAAGGCGGAAGGAAGCAACAAATTTAATCCATCCATCTATATCGTGAGTTTATGAGGAAAGTTTAAAGAGTGGTCGATGGATGCCGACGAATCTGTAATAATGTTACAGACAAGCGTTGCCTGCACATTAATCTGTAGGATGGACTTTCATATTAACGTCTATACTCCTGCTAATGGGCAATTGTGCAGCAAAATTAATTGTGAACTATGACTAGAATTGTGAGATATGGATCCACATGTACAATATATCCGTCATTTGTCATAGGGCTTTTTTGGATTAAACTTCGTGCAGAGGATCGCCTTGCGATCTCGAGTTAAATTTTATGATGCTGTAATGAGGATAGTAGTACAATTGGTTAAGGAGTTGCAGTGGCCCCCGTTTAAGCACATGGCAGAGTGTACAACCAGCACAAATTTGGATATGCATCGGCTGTCCGACTAAAAGCTAGCCTAGCCCACACAGTGAATGCATATCTGCTTGCAGTAGTTCTGTTTCTTTTTGTGGTTGTACTTTTTTACTTTTTCCTTAGTTCTTTGAAACCTTGATCGTACTCATGGAAGTACATTTTCCTGTCAATTCAGGAAATGTGCCACCACCATCTCATTCCGCTAATTTACTTCCTCAACAGTTAAATGCACAAAATCCCTTCTTAAGCAACAGCGTTTTGAGACGAAAGCCAAAGCAAACAATTAAAAACACAGCAAAAGTATTACATTGCTTAACAAAAAATGCAAAAATTCAGGAACATTGTTTATGTTTGATTAACTGAATCAAAATATTCTAGTTAGAATTGGAGAGAATTTTAGGTCTTACGTCCATTTCACCCAATATCGTATCTGTTGCTGATGATTTGATAGCTTACGCAGCAGGTGCAGTAGTAGTAATATATAGCCAGAAAAAGAACAAACAAATTGCATTTCTTTATCCCCCACCCAACGCACAATCAACAAGTAATGTTATTGATAATAGCAATGGGGTTGGTATCACCAATTTCCAAAATCAAGTTAAAATCACAGCCCTCGGAAATGGAAATTTAAAAAAGAATGACATTATCACATCAACCCAAACCACTTTTGCAGAAGGAAAGAAAGCTACACCAGCTAGTAATCGGGCAAAGCCAATTAGTTGTCTCACGTTTTCGCCCGATGGAAATTACTTGGCCGCTGGAGAAGTAATGTTTAAGAGTAACTGAGAGGTTACTGCTTTAATCAAAACTGACATTCTGAATCTTTAGATGGGCCACCAACCGAGAATATTTATTTGGGATGTTAAGGAAAAGAAGCTACTTAGGGAAATTAGGTCCCACAAATTTGGCGTACTTGCATTGTCGTTCTCACCGAACATGCGGCACTTGGTTTCTGTTGGATTTCAGGTACATAAATACATCACTTGATCACTTAATTGTGCTTCAAAATAATATAACTGCATTATGTTAGCATGATGGATATCTTTATGTTTGGGATTGGAAGAAAGAGACAAAAATAGCCGGGAACAAAGTAACCAGCCGAATAAACGCTATTTCCTTTTCCAAGGATGGAGACTACTTTGTTACCGCAGGCTTGCGCCATGTTAGGTTTTGGTATTTAAATGGTGGAGGCAAGCTCACAAAAAAAGTAATAATAAACCCGATTGCAGCTCAATAGCTATCAATACTGATGGCATCATCTATATTTCTAGGAGGACTCCCATTCACGAGAAACCCGTGTTTTAGACGGACGATCAGGTTTACTCGGTGTCTTACGCGATGCTAATTTTGTAGATGTAGCCTGTGAGAATAGTAGTAAAACAGGCTATACTTATTGTGTCACTGATACGGGTATACTGTGCAGTTTTAAAGCAGAGAGAGTTCTTGATAAGTGGTTAGACCTTCAGGTATACGAAGCTTTTTGAACAGTGAGAAGGGATCATGTTTTTTACTAAATATTGATAGAAGAATAGGTTAAATATGCTTATTCAATAGCTGTTACGCGAAAGTTCGTAATATGCTCCTGCTCGGAAGGAATAATCAGGTTAGATAACACTACGAACGCTAATCCATAGATTTTGCAATCGCTCATGTATGTACTTTTAGGCTTTTTGAACCGATTACGTTAAAATATCTAGGTACACTACCAAAACCACATCCTCTTGGGACGGATGTAACTACCTTCACTTCTCCAAATATGGTTCGGCAATTAAAGGAAGCACCAATTTACCCCGATTCTGTTGCAATGGTGTATGAAGCAAACAGTAGTAAAGTAATATCAATCTACTCTGACCGAAGTCTGTACATATGGGATATTCATGATATAGCAAAGGTTGGGAAATCTCGCAGCTTCATTTATCATAGTGATTGTGTATGGGGAGTGGAGGTAAGTTAAAAGTAAAAATTTTGAATGCACTCCAATTTCAATGTATTGAAAGGCACAAAAATTTTAGCCTTGCCCCAGAATTGACTATGAAGATAATGCAATCCCATTGAATTCGTTCACTACTTTTTCAGCTGATGGAACCATCAGAATTTGGAACATAGATAACCCACACAATGCACAGGCTTCATCATTACCCACACAATCACCAGAGCATGTAAATGATAGTTTTATCTCACCCAGCAATAGCACAACAGTTTCCGCGCACAGAAGAAATATTTACTCACGCGAACTTGTTAAAATGCTTTACGTCGATTCAGAAGCAGCAGAGTTTTCGAAAATTCGTGGGGATATAGGTAAGATACATAAAAACTGGATGTACCGGAAATCAACCTTAACCAAAATGATGTAAGACTCCATCGAAGATCAATATCCGGACTATGGCATTCGATCCGTAAAAATTAGTTCTGATGGAAGTATTATAGCGAGTGGAGATCGTAGTGGTAACTTACGTGTACATGATATGAGGACCTGGAAGCTGCTCAATTTTCAAGAAGCGCATGATTCAGAAATCCTCTCAATTGATTTGACGACATCCGAAAACGATGGTAGTGTAGATAGGCTTCTAAAGTGCTATTGTTCACATTGGACAAAACTCTAATACAATTACTTCGTGTAAAAGAATGTCCAAACTTAATAGCAACCGCCAGTAGAGACCGCATGATCCATATTTTTGACATCAGCTCCAAGTTCCAGCTCATACAGAGTCTCGACGACCATTCTTCGTCCATAACATCAGTTCGTTTCACTAAAGATGGTAGCAAGCTTATCAGCTGTGGGGCTGATAAGGGTATCATATTTCGTCAACTGACTGGCCCGATTGCACCATTTTACAACCAATCAGCTCGTCCTTATACTACTTACCACAATTTTTCCGGCAGAAGCACAGTCTTTGATATGTCTATAGACGTCAATAATCGTCATATTGCAGCAGTTACAGGAGAACGCAGATTATTTGTATTCAATGTTGATTCGGGAAAGTCATTCCGTACATGCAAGCCGGAAACAGCTGAGGAAATGGGGAAATCAATAGAGAACTCTGGTGGAAGTCTGATAAATGTAGATTTGGATCCATTCTCAGGCACTTACGCAGTCACTAGCGGGTCAGATCGATGCATTCGCTTGTTTGACTTGGTTAATAATACATGTATCGAAAAGATATGTGCTCATGCGGAACTGATAACTTCAGTAAAATTTATACAGACAAACAGTGAAGAGTCTGGGCTACGAATTATCAGTACCTGCTCCGATGGTACCATTTTTATTTGGAGAGTTACTCCTGATGTGGTTGTGAAAATGCTTACACGTGCTGGTGAGCGTACCATGAAGCCAAAACCTGGTCGAAAAGCGATGGGCGCTCTTTTTGACGTAGGGCATAATGCACAGGATCTAAGCTCTCTTAGTTCCAAGCAACGACTTCGCAGAACCTCCTTTATCGACGACTTGCGGCCTGTTGTAAGTACTTCCCAATTTATTCGATATGGTGATCGTAAAACGTTTTCATCTTGTTCAGCAGCAGAGCAAAAATATGAAAAGTTGTACAGAAGAATAGCTAGCACTCAAAACCGTCAAATCCCTCGACATGTTGAGGAAAACGGCGCTGTAGTAATCGCTACTTCACAGAAAACACAGTCCAATAAAACTCTGACCGATGCGAATGCAAGACAAAAGAAAAAAGACAAATCAATCAGCACAAGTTGTGTTCAGCACAATGTTAACACTAATACTTCGAAAGGCGATAATAGCAACACTGTCGCTCCATCCAATAATGATCGAACGGTTATAATCAAGAGATTATACAGTGGTTTACCAACCAGTTTCAAAACACCGGACCAACTCTCACCTGCATTGCCGTATGCTTCAAATCGAGAGACTACGCTACTATCTGCCGAGCGCAATATGAATCATAGACTTACCTTGAAACGAGCTAAATCAAGAGAAATTTTGAGAAAAGAAAATTACCATAGATATGAGAACTCAAGCGCCCAATCGTTCAAAACGGATGGTACTCAGAACAGCATCTACAGCGAGCCGAAACAACATGCTGGCAATAATATCAGGAGAGTCAGTCTTCCTACTCCATGTATAAAGCTTTCAAATGGTGATCATGATCCAGAGCAAAAAGAAGAAACACATACGACAAAAGGTAAATTTGACAGATTAATGCTTGTAATACTTCTGCTTTGAGCTTATATATAGAAGTATTTAACTCTGAGTCAGATGATACTGGAGATGAAGATGGAAACAAGAAAGGTATTGCTGAGCAGTATGTCGAAGAAGAGAATGAAATCATTTTCACGCCTGAGGAAGAAAACATGAATAAGCCTTTCGAGGTCTCTGTGAATAATAACAATGAAGAAGCGCTCACAGGAAGGAGTACACCAGAGACTGATGCTGAAACACAGTCTAAGTCAGAGGAAGAAGAAGACGAGCTATCCAGTGAAGATAATATAGACGAGGCTATAGATCGAGATATTACTTCTGCGGAGGCACCTCGAGTAACAGTTTCTATGAGTCGATCCGCATCTATAGCTAAAAAGCTTGGTCGTCATAGCTTCCATTTCCAAAGACCTACTACTAAAACATTTTCTAGCCTAGATTCTTTGGATCCAACATTTGCGATGATATGTACAAATGATAACATTGATAATGACGTTAATTCATTAGACGTAGCATTGAGGAAACTTCAGAAAAACGCTGATAAAATTGGTAAAAGGCAAAGCCTTACTGCTCGGTTTTTGTCCTCACAGAGTTTATCGAAACTTAACGGACATAGCTATGAATCGCAACGGCCATCATTGGACTATGTCATCAGTTCCTTCGAAAAAGCTTCGGTGACGCAACAACTAGAGCAAAGAGATTCAGTTGTTAGCATAGCAACAAATCATGATATACCTGCAGAAAAGATGGTCATAGATATTGCACCCGTTCTGAAGACACTTAGAGGTCAAAGTAACAACACTGTAGAATGCTGCAAAACTACTGAAACAGAAGAGAAAACTAAAGAAGAAAACTCAGAAGAATCAGCAAAGTTAAATACAGTGCTAAAGGAACTGGATAAAATGGCATCTATTGTGGATACTGTGCTGGAAACGTATCACAACTATAGAAATTCCTCACAAAAGCAGCGAGTGCTGGACATAGAGAGAAAGCTAAGAGGCATCATGAGCAAAATCAATCAAATTGTCGAACCTCAAGAGCCACTCACTGGAACAAATACATCCGATTTGCTTGAAAAGTACTCGTCGCTTCTTGTAACAATGGTGGAGAACAAATTGAACAAGTAGCCGACCTTTGTTTTTCTCTTTCATTAATGGTAATACATCTGTATATAGCACTTCTTTTCGGTCCATAGAACCCGTCGTAACTTTCCTTTTAAAAAAAAATTCGAAATATTTTTCTCTGTCGGAAAAACTTGAGGATATTGTTTACTGAGACCATTCAAAAAGTTGTTCGCTTTGTTTCGTTTTGCCTCGTTTTGAAATGTTAATGTTAACATTGGTTCGTCATGGAAATACAGACGCGAATAATGAACGCTGGTTACAAGGGCATATAGGTACAGTCGACAGCATCAACATTTTTGCTTCAACAAGTTAGGTTAACAAGTTGAAAGATACCGTTCTCAATCAAAATGGGTTGATGCAGGCAGAACTTTGTTCGAAGCGATTGCAGCATGAACATTATGACCACGTCTATTGTAGTGATCTAGAGCGTTGTAAACAGGTCGGATAGTTTGTTGTTGCTGTTTACGTCTTATTCATTATGCTAATATTTTATCCAGACAACAGCAGCCATTGTAAAGCATCACCCACAAGTTAGCGTTGATTATATTTCTTTGCTACGCGAAAGGGATTTTGGAAAGTTATCTGGTAAACCTTTGGCTTTCCTCACTACAGAATCACAACGTCAAAAGTTATCCATGAACAACTTCATTTCACAGCATGGAGGAGAAAGTGAAGAGGTTTTCAAAGAGCGAATAATTACGGCTTGGAAATACATTATTGACGATGCAACATCGAGGCGATTTAAGTCCGTTTTAGTTATTACTCACGGTGGCCCACTTAAATATCTTTCAATGTACTGGTTAGAAAATGGTTTTCAACCTGCAGAGGACATAGCAGTAGCACCTGTTGCTCAAGGCAATACAGCAGTTACTCGTGTAAATTACAGGGAAAGGAAAATCGATGTGTTCAACTCCACGTCGCATTTAAAGGATCTATACTCAAACCAACCACCACCACCTGCTGTGTAAGAAAACATAACGCCAAGACTGTCCTTGGTTCGATGAGGCTATTAGCTTAGAGTTAAAGAGTACACCATATAGCTGAAAAGCTACGTGACGTTGTTTCTGATTTTGCCACCAAAATAGATATACACATGTTGTACCAAGAGATGCTAAAGCATGCTCACGCTACATCACAGACTATTTTCTCCTTCTACACTTCTCCTTTACGAATTTCTCCTTTTAGATTAAAAAGTGCAATTGTATTCAACAAATGTAGCCGTTTGCGACATGCCAAAATTGGCCTTATTTACACCATGGCAGTCTACCTTTACGGGCAATTTAGTCCGCAGGCTTCAACCGTTGATGCATAACCGTGCTCGTGCGCTTTAATGGAAGTGATTGGGGGTATATCATAAACAAAGCTGATAGCATTGCAAACGGATCAAAAGTTCATTTTGCTGTTACAAGCAAATCTGAAAGAGCCATCCATATGACTATCGTTCAATCCAATGCTGCTGACTCGGCGATAGGACATCGCACATACGAACAAATTACTTGTATAAACAGAGTTTCTAAAATTTTGAAGAGACATGAGTTGAGACATCATCGCTAAACTGCTTCATTGAATGCTGCAAGCAAATGGTCCGTTTTTGTGTTAAATGAGAGAGGTCCGTTCTAAACTATTTCAAAGTTTAGATAATAAACACTTAATAATAACGATATAAAACGACAACATATGAAAGATGCTCATTTTGGAGGGCAATAAAAAAAACAAGAACAGAATAATACATACTTCTGAAGATGAGGAATACTACGAATGGCCTTATTTTCTACTTTACTCTTAATATCGCTTATCGTAGGTGTGGTTGTAATTTTTGTAAAATTAGCGAGTGTTCTTTAATTTTCTAGCAATAGTCGGTCATTGCGAATACTTCGAAAAGGTACATAGAGTACTTTAATATAGATCAACGAATTAACGCCACCTAGACGTACGTGGATATGTACTAATTGTACGGACATACGGGTTCTTCGTGAGCGTGCTATTGCGGAAGTGCACAGCTCTCCGTCTAATAACTTTTTTCTCACTTTTTAATTGGAAAAGAACTCCTCTTTGCTTTACAGCAGCAGCTGGGTCTGCAGATTTCCTTATAAGGTTATGTTCCTTATTTTTTTCATACATTGAGAACAGATTGTGGTTGAAGCAACGAAAATGCAGTTTCTTTTTAGTCTCTAGAGCAAATATTTTAATTATGGAGGAAATATAAAATTTACAAGATAAAAACTCCTTTTTTATTGTTTTTGTTTCTTGCTTTTTTCCTCCCTCAATTGATTCTTTCCATCTCCTACAGCAAAAAAAAATGACCACAGCTCAGTTGCCACCCACCTTCTTGAATGATGACAATGTTGAGTCATTTTTGAACAACCCTACTGTTAAGCAAAAAGAGCAGCCTTCCCTGGCAATGGGAGAAGATATACACTACTTGAATAAATTAGCAACGTTCTCTGATGATGATGACAGTGCTTGCTCTTTTGATGCAGACGAAGATGATAAGCTATTGACGCCTCCAATGACAGTAACACCTGGATCAGAAATTCAAAAGCCTTGTATTACAATAGACAACACAGTGCAAAAACAGGAACGCTTGGAAGAAAAAAACAACAAATCAGAAAGCATCGATTGGGGTAATCATTGTTATATAACTTACACTAAAATGATGGTCTTTACAATTAGGGTCCTTAATAAACATGCTGTGCTTTCATTTGACTCCATTAGAGTTCTGGTCAAAAGTAATATCGGATTATGAGCGATTCACCCAATCAGAATTGAAGCTATTGTCGTTCCAAGTTCAACACGGAATCCCCGCAGCTTTAAGAGGAACTATATGGCCACTGCTGACTAGGAAATCCGATCTAGAGCTACAGGATTTATATATCGATTTACTGAAACAAGACTCAGTTTATGAAAAAGCCATTACACGTGATCTACATCGTACATTTCCACATCATTCATTTTTCCAAACATCTGAAGGCCAGGAGGCTTTATTTAATGTAGTCAAGGCATATTCCATCTATGATTCAGAAGTAGGATATTGCCAAGGTTTATCCTTTGTTGCGGGGCCTCTACTACTACATGTAAATTTGGTTCTATCACAGAGCACCTATAGATGAGGAGTACATATCTTTGACTTAATGCTTTCTCTCTATTGATGTAGATGCCAGAGGAAGAAGCATTTTTTGTTCTTGTTCAACTCATGCATAAATACAAACTAAGAGGCCATTATACGCCTCAACTGGATTTGTTACGGCAACGATTATTTCAATTTGATGGGCTACTCCAGGACCATTTACCCCATATACACAGACACTTTGACGAGCAAGGCGTACGATCGAATATGTATGCATCGCAATGGTTTCTGACTTTATTTGCGTATAAATTCCCGCTTGATGTTGTATTTCGTATATATGACATTTTTTTCATTGAAGGAGTAAATTGCCTTTTCCGTATTGGTCTGGCATTATTATCAAAAAACCAGTCAATTATATTATCACTCGACTTTGATAACTTAGTGACTTATCTAAAGGATGATATGCTCTCCATTTACAACGTAAGCGATCCCTTGTAGTAAATAGAAGAGTTGCCTATGAATGACATAGGCTGACCCCCCCCCTTTTTTTTTTGTAGGAAAATATCACAGGCTTACTCAGTGAATCATTCAATATTAAAATCGCAGAACGACGATTAAATAGATTAGCAAAAGAATACCAGGTACAAACAGCCAAAGCCGATACAGAGGCATTACAATTGGCGTCGTTACGAAAAAAAAACCGTGTCTTATCAGAAAGTTTCCAACGCGTGAAAGCAGAAAATGAACATTTGAAGAAAGAACATGCGTTAGTTGCAGAAGAATTACTTCAGAAAAAGCTCGAGCTTGTGAGCGTCCGTGATGAAAATGAAGCATTGAAACAGCAGGTTAAAGAGCTGCAAAAAATGCTTGAAGTGATACCCAGCCAGATTGAAAGCCAAATGCAAGCCGATATGGACACTTTATGTGTAAAGAATCGAACACTGAATGAACAAAATGCACAGCTTCAAGACCAGTTAGCAGATATTGAAAAGCTAGCCATCGAAATGAAGATAAAATATGCACACAGCGAGATTGAAAGAGAAGCCTTAAAGCAAAAGTTGAACGATTTGAAAAGATGGATGAAGAATGTGTAATCTTGCTGTATGAAAATTGCCTTACTGTAACATTAGTTCCTCTCCTTCACTGTAATAAAAACTTGCCTTTGTTCTTTGCCCCCAAAAAAATTCAGCGCATATCAAAGGAAAACTTTAATGTTTACCATTAGAGGAAAAAAAGAGCAAGGCTCTAGCTTTTTGTGAAAGGATTTCCACCGAGTCAGCTTTGAATAACCTATGAAAATTTGCTAAAAAAAAAAGCCAGAAAAATAGATGCTTTGATCGAATATACCCACCTTTTCTTTTTAAGAGAAAGGGCTTTATACCATTTTCCTTGCTTCTTTCTGTCCTTGTTCAACTTTTTCCACTAAAAGTCATGCTCATTCCTCGCCTTCGCTCATCTTTGACCGCCATCGCTCAACAACCTGCCGCGAAACGTCTCTATGCTTCCGCTGCCGGTAACGAGGTTAGTATCCTATTCCAGTAGATTCTGCTCTTCAGCAAAAGGCAGGTACTGATTTTTTATTGTCTCATACTATAGGCTTTGAAGAAGACTGCTTTGTACGATTTCCATGTTCAAAACGGTGGTAAAATGGTCCCATTTGCAGGATACTACATGCCTGTCCAATACTCTAACATGGGCATGTTGGCGTCACACCACCACACACGTCAAAAGGCTTCTATTTTCGATGTCTCCCATATGCTTCAAACACGGTAAGTTGGAGTTGGGGATTTTTTGATTTAGCATGGAAATAAGAGTAGAGACCTTATCATTTGCTATGTGTCCATTTTTTTTAACTTTTTTTTTTTAACTTTTTTTTTTTTGGTTTGCTTTTTCAGCCTTACCGGCAACGATCGTAAGAAGTTCTTTGAGACATTAGTGGTTGCCGACCTTCACAACTTGCCTATCGGTCAAGGTACTTTGTCCTTATTCACCAACGAACAAGGTGGTATTATTGATGATACCATTATCATGCAACAAGAAAACAGCTTATATGTTGTCTCCAACGCTGCATGCGCCGATAAGGATTTGGCCCACATTAGAAAGCACCTCACTGAATTCCAAAATAAGGGTGGTGATGTTGATCTTAATATCATTACCGACCATTCCTTGGTAGCCATTCAAGGACCAAGTGCTGCTGCTGCCTTGGAAGGCTTAGTAGGCCAAAGCTTGAGTGATTTCGGATTCATGCACGGTAAGAATTTGGATATTGCAGGTATACCTTGTCATGTTGCCCGTTCTGGTTATACCGGTGAAGATGGTTTCGAGGTATGTAGTAATCTGAGGTGAAATAGGTACGCTTTTTGACTCAATTTATGTTGCCCACTCTTTGCTAGCTTTCCATCCCTACAGAAGAAGTTGTTAGCATTACAGAGAAATTGTTGGCACATCCTGATGCTGAATTAGCTGGTCTCGGTGCCCGTGACTCTCTCCGTCTTGAAGCCGGTCTCTGTTTGTATGGCAATGATATTGATGACACTACCACACCTATTGAAGCAGGTTTGACATGGACTATTCGTAAGTATAAGGAAAATGAAAACGTAATTTGCAGAAAGAGTTCCAAGGCGCAAAAATAATAACCCATCCATCATCTATGCATTCTAAAGCTAAATCCCGTCGTGAAACCGGTGGCTTTTTGGGTGCTGAATATATCTTGCCTCAAATTAAGGGTGGTGTTAGCCGCCGTCGTATCGGTCTCATCGTCAGTGGTGCCCCTGCTCGTGATGGCGCCAAGATCTTGAACCAAGAGGGAGAAGTCATTGGTGCAGTCACTTCTGGTTGCCCTTCTCCTGTTCTCAAGAAAAATATCGCTATGGCTTATGTCAAGAACGGTTTCCACAAGAAGGGTACCGAATTGACCGTTGAAGTTAGAAATAAGGCTCAAAAGGCTGTTGTTACCAAAATGCCCTTCGTCGAAACTAACTACCACAAATAGATTCCCTCGCTTTTGTAATTTTATGACCTGATTATCGTTATTTATTGTCTTCATTTAGTGTATACTGTGTTTCTTTATTAAACTACTATAAAAAAAAAAAAAGCTATCGCTTGAATACGTTTCATCGCGAACCCACGATTTATTGATACAGAGAGAATGAAGTTGAATGTGTTTGTTGATCTTACAGAAAGAAAATAACTATGTTGTACAGATGTGTGTGATGATCAGAATAGTATGCATATTACAATAAATTATTTAGGCTGATTGCTTTTGGGTAATATTAATCATAGCGGCTATAGCAGCACCGATACCATTACCATCACGAGTAACCTATAGAATAATACATGTTTCATTAATAACCATAACACACACAAAAAAAAAAAAAAACAACAACCAAAAACCAGAAAAAAAAGAACCCCAACAAAGTGCACGTCATTTGTTCAATGGATGTACTTACACCAAGATTGATGTGGTTTACATTTTCGCCATAGAGAGCCTTCAAAGCGTCATTGACACGTCTAGGGAAGTTGGGGAAACTTTCATAGACGGAACCTTCCATACCTTATGGATCAAAAGGAATGAAGGGGGGAAGAGATGAGTATGCAGTCTTGAATAAAAAAAAAAATGTAGTAATCTATATAACTTACTGATAGTTAAGCCTTGTTCAAGAGAATTTCTCTTCTCAATGATAGCGCTGATAGCAGCAGCAACAAGACGAGCTGCACGACGAGAGACAAGTTCACAGATAGTTCTGACGATTCTACGATCAGAGAGTGTGGTCGAAGGAAGATTCATGATGGATTCCAAGACGTGTTTTGTAGCCTCCAAGTCGGGAGTATCATCAGAGCCAATAGCACTCATGTAGGAAGCTTCAAAGAAGTAAGGTGTATTCAATTCCGTGGTATATTGTCCATCAAATAAGAGACGACGGTCAAGGAAATCAACCATGATGATTCTAACAATCTCACCCAAGTAAAGTCCAGATACCATCTTTTCAAAGAGATGAACACCGGGGTTAACCGATTGACGATTGACACGGTTATCGTAGAAAGTACGGGGCAAAAGACCGGGATTCAAGTCACCGAACGATCCCCATTCGGTGTTGATGATCATTTCGCCGTTTTCAACAGAGGGCAATGTGACATTGCTCTTTTTAATGCTTTCAAATTTTTCCCAATAAGCAGCATTTGTACCTGTGCTGATGGTACAGGCCACTAAAGTATCCAAGCTACGATAGCTGTGAGCCAAAAGGCAGCCTACTGCACCGTTAATAACAGCCTCTACGTTGACATTGATATGGCGACGCTTGAAAGCAATCTGCAAAAGTTCAGCAATATTCTTATTATCAGCGCCAGTGATTTCGAAATCCTTGGTCCATTGAAGGACGAAAGCCTTGTTCAAAGCAGTGTGCTTGAGAGGGAAAGACAGGACAAAACCGAGAGCCAAGGGTTCCTTCACTTCATACTTACCGACAAAAGATAAGAAACTGTCCACACTCTCTACCATGAAATCAATTACAGAGTTGATGTCTCCTTTCTTGAGACTGTCATGAATGACATATTTTTGTTGACGAGTGCTGATACGACCTTGACCATGCAAATTAACAAGATAGATACGGATGTTGGAGCCTAAATAAGACGCAGTTGTGTCAGTTTGAAAATATCATGCAAACAAACCGATTTGACCAAAATAACTCCACTTACCGCTCATTTCTAAACCGAGATACTCGCCAGTTTCTTGGCCTGTAGGATGTTTATAAACCCAAGAAGGAAGCATATCCATGTGAGAGTCATCAGAAGACAAACCGACGTCCATTTCGTGACGTAAATCATCACGGAATTGCTTCAATTCTTCTGTTGATAGGTTAAGATGGTTTCTCAATTCTTCGACAGCTTCAATTTGAGCATCAGTTCCGGTGACAGGACCTTGAGAAAAGGATCTACGAGAATGCGACATAGTGTCCATTATTACTTTCAATATGTTTTTAAAAAAAAGAAAGCAGGAAGAGGAAGGGAAAGAAAAATACGGAAATACAAGATGTCTTTTTCCTTTCCTTTAAAATGCTGGTTTCCTTTTTTTTTCAATTCTATAGAATACGTTAGAACCTCCGAATGGGAGAAAGAACATCTGAATTGCATGGCATAAATTCCAGCCCAATAAAATCAACAATGTAAAGGTCTCTGGGACAAAAAACCGTTTTATTAAAAATGATTATCGTCATAAGCAGGACCAAGTCTACAGTTTTCTTACCGAAAATTGCCAGTGTTTCCTTTACAGAACTGTAACGGGTATGGACGCTCTGACAAGGAGATATCTAAATAACCACAGACAGTTGCACAGTCTGTTCCTGTTGCTTAGAATTTACGTCAAGTTACACTCATTTCCTTAAATGTCAATAAGGAAAGGGGAAGAAAATGGATTTTTGTTTCATATTTTATGCAACAGTTGGAAAAGGTCTCATTTCCCTGTCATTCCGCCCTTTGCCGCAATTTGTTTTATGCTGGGTTTACGGGCATTCGGGGGTAAATTTATTTAATGCCGCAGGGTGCACGGGTAAGGGAACGAAAGGGTTCTCTCTCTCAAATGGATGCTGACGTTGGGAAAGAAAGAAAAAACCAACCAACCACCATGACGTAGACAGATGTGATTTCTGTTGAAATATGAGGGAAAGGTCATTGTGCCCTTTTACATGAAAATAAGATGAAATAAGCATTTCTCTTAACCTTATAAAGTATCGCTCGAGAAATGTGACTGAATTTATTTTAACAAAGTCGATGAGAAAGGGCATTTGTCTATACAATTTAGTATGTTTAATGGATCTATCGCTTTCAGTTTACAAAGCACCTTTAAACACCCAATTGCCGCTTGTAGCAGGCGAATACTTGTTCTTGACTTCTTCTGTTAGCTTGTGTTGCAATTCTACCACAGTAGGTTCTTCCGCATTCCAACTGAAATAATTAGGTTCCCATGTCTGTCCGGCAGCTTCACGAGCAGCCTTTTCTTCTCTCTTTTGGTTTTCAAGTTTACTCTTTTCAACACCAGCCAATGTGGAGTCGTTGGCTCTAATGGCTTCTGATACCTTTTGCCAAATCTTGCGACTTTCCATTTCACCTTGCTCTGAAATATCCTTTACAATCATAGGGGCCGGTGTCAACTGTGCTACATCCAAGAAGGGTTCACTATGTTTGGCACCATGTTGTGTGATGGTTGATTTACCGCTCCATTGACCTTCCATCTTACAAATGTAGTTCTTGGGATTTTCTCCATTGCGACGAACATAACACTTGAACCGATTCTTGGCTCCAGTAACCCAACCACGAGCACTGTACTCGATAGTACAGTATAAGCCTGATGTAGATTGTATATAAGAAGTGCCAGCAAGTTCGACATAAGGAGCTGTAGAATAGAAAGTTTCGGTGGAGATGTGTTAAAAAGAAAGTCGTTCGATAAGCGGCCATTCGAAAAAATTCTAACTTACCAGCATACCAAATACCATTCACAGTGACTGAAGGACAGCTGAACATATAGCGCTCATTGTTACGATTATGCAAAGTAACTACACTTTGTCCTACTTGATCAACGAGAAGCGAAGTACCGGAAAAGCGAGTCTTTTGGCCTGTATGACCATTTAAGGAAATACCGTTCTGTTTGTTCGTGATGTAGAAACCAGTGATAGGAGGATGATGGGAAACTTGCTCTACAAGGACATCCGTTTCGCCGCATCCAGCAACGTCACCCCATTTCATCATGTATTGTTCACCCAACACAGGGTTATAAGGTTTCTTTTCCCATTCGCCTTTAGGAACACGTCGAGAATAAGAGGCATTGAGAGAAGAAATGAACCATTTTACAAAGGCTACCATACGCTCAACATCGCTGTCTGACTTGGTGATATTTACAAACAAATCCGGTTGTTGGGTCCAATATTGTCTATCGAATAAATAGGGATGTTTAGTAAACTCTCATGATGGATAATAGCTTATGCACAACTTGATGCATTCCAATTCCATGCTTCTATATTCTACTTTGACTCAATGCACAAAGTTGAATGGTTATCCAACGACACTTACGAGTATTCTACTAATGAAACGGGTGCGAGTAGGAAAGCAGGGCAAGTCAAGGATGAAAGGTCCCCAGAGAAAGATGCCAAGGACTTTAGAAATTGATGGAAGGCGCCCTTTTGTTCTGAGGGAATTTTATCAACGTTATTTACTTCATCATTGCCTGACATTCTGTTGTAGTTTGCTTAGTGCTATTTCTTTTATAAAGGTGAAAACAGGAAAAGCGAAAGAAAAAAAAAAGAAAAAAGGTTTAAATTGAAGAAGCTTTGGAAAAGGGAATCGTAATTGATTTAACGTATTTGAAACAATTTTGGTCTTTGTGGAATATTACGTCACGTAAATATCGCTTTTGATGCGAAGCTCCATTGCTGAGTGAGGGAGGAGTAAAACAAGATCTATATTTGATCTGCAGCATGTCTACCATTTGCTAAGTAGTCATAGTCGTCCTCAATGAGATATTATTTTCATGACCATGACTGCTAGAATATTACTTTTAAACCGCTCAAAAGTTCAGTTAATTTACGTGTCGAAAACGAAAATTTGTTGCATTTTACCAATGCTGCTGCTTTAATTTCTAAAAATAACTTTTCCCTTTATTAGAGTGTGGCTAGAGGTCTCTTCAATCCTGCCTTGGGAGCAAATTACCTTGTTTACACAACTCATGAGAGACTACTGAGACTTAGTATATAATTCTTTCAGTCATACATGCGCAGTTTAACTGTTTATTTACTTTATACGTTTCCTCCAATATGCAAAAGCCTCTGAAACCATTGCCAAAATAAATGCTTTCTCAATTTATTATAATATTGTAGTCGATACCGATTGACGAGTTGGGTAGGATGCATCGTCGCTGTTGGAACAGGTTATTGATATCTCAAAGCTCAGCGAAAAGTAACACTGACCTTAGCTTTCATTTAACAAGATTTTTCGTGATTGGTCTGAAGCATGCTTAAACTAGCCGAACCAAAAGAACGCTCACGCATAAGGATACAGATCCACGAAACGGCTTTATCGATGCTTTGAAGTGTAACCTTGTTGAGATTGATAAAAAGATTTCTGGCAAATCCACGGCTTTTATTAAATGTAACCATGCTTGATAGGACAGTTCAACCGCTCATTTATGTTGGAAAGCAAAAAGTTAAGAACAGCTTCTTAATCGTCAGATAATATTAGCTGAATAAAATTGGGACTCCACCAAGACCAACAGTCTATGTTAGAAATGTAAAGCAACCCTTAAGCCGAATCCTTTCACAAAGGACAGGAAGACAGTCTCACAATTTACTTTTTAAAAAAAAATCATAGGCTTGAGAGTAGCGTAAGTCAAAGGCAACGAATCTATTCATACCAGTAAAAATCCCTAAACTTGGCTTCAAAAATAATGTTCCATCAACAACATGCTATTTTAATCTGATGGTAAGACAAGCTAGCAAAATCTCATAGCTATTTCAAGTAATCAACCACTATCGGATCACTTGACAATTTATCTCTCAGATAATACAGTAGGCCTAGAACGTTTGTTAAAATTGTTTGTTCTTCTTGCCTGTACATATCCATTTGTTTTATCAAGCCCTCTGATACAGACTCCTTGAATTTTTTGACTTCGTTGCTACTTATCGTTAAAGTAGATAATTGATATTCCAATGCATCAATGAGGAGTAGAACAATGCGAAGTTGAATGATGGGCAAATTCATTTTTTGCTGCTGTTCGATGCATTCTGCTAATTGACGTATTGAAGTTATCTTTACCGCATTGATGGTTAATGTCAGCAATTTAGTTGTGGTAGTTGTAGAGCAGCTGTCATCATCCGCAACAGCATTATCAGTATATGAAAATTCCAGGCTGCCTATTTCGTCGTCAGCAGCTATTAAATATATTATTGACAAATCTTCGCCAGTTAACCCTATATCATGAAGGCTTATCTTATGCTCATTTTCCAAAGCTGTATCTTTATCGTTTCCATCTGAAACATCCAATTTTGGCATAAATGTTAATAGCGGTTTAACTTTTAGCTGTTTCAACCATTGACTTTTGAACATGCCCATAGGCTCGTTAGCATCGAGGAACGGCAATATCGACAGCGTATAATTGATCGGTGTAGGGTTATTCTCAACACAAAATCCGTACAGGAATAACAACTCTTGATTGGATTTCGAACCATAGCTTAATAAGAGTTCATCACCTTTCATGATGGATATATTTTTGTCGGTATAAGGCACAAGCTGTATACCAGCTTCATCAGTACTATCGACGTCATTCTCTATCCATTGCCAGCGTATGTTACAGTTTGAAGAAGAATGGTTAGCAAAGTCGAAAAAGGGTATCAAAGCCAGGTTGCTTTGACCGTCGTTGCTCTCATTATCATTCGGTTGACATGCTTCACTGACGCCTACAACACGGGACCATACAACACAATCTGCCCAAAAATACATATCCAGCGTTATCTCATGGATCCAATGTGTCGCCGCTTCTGTAAAACACTGCTCTTGAAGATGTTTCAATTCATTCTCCAGCCAACATAGCTTGGCATGTATGGATTGTTCTAAATTGGTTCCTTTCACTAAAGATACATTAAAAAGAATATGGTGCTTCTTGAAATAATCCACGGTTGGAAGAATATCGATGTAGGGTTTCCAAAAGTAATTGTTATTCGTCTGCTCCTGCTGCTGCTGTTGCTGATGCAGTGCAGAGAAATACCGACCATAGATGAGGAAGAGTCGTAGTGCCTGTTTCTCGTTGATGATCTCTTTCTTTAACAAGGGATGTTCTTGAAAAAATCTGTTGGCCGTGATAAGTAATTTGCCAGGAATGAATACAATCGCTTCTATGGCCGTAGACGTTGAAGTCATATCTTGCGTGGCAAATAAGCCATACTCTGCGTATTCGGTTTGCTGTATGGTAGCCGCATTCGATATGATACCTTGATCCCGTGCCCAATCGATGAACGTCTGCATAATAAATAAATGAAAAATTACAGGGGACAAAAAAGGATGGTTTCCCTCAGCTCTAAAGGTTGCTTTTTTGAGCTGGCGGAGCATGAGTCTGTGCTCCTATTACAATTAGACTGACGACTACAGTAACGTGCAATCAGAAAATTCTTTCAATGTTGATAATTGCTTTAAGCCTTTGTTTCAAGTTATTGATGATGATGTTGAAGTATCTTTTGTACTGGAAAGAAAAGTAAAAATTCACGTAGAGTTCTATCATTGAACATTTGTTCTAGTGAAATATTTGTAATGGTGCAATCACTACATAGCTCAATAGAGTTGATTGCTCTGCGATTCAGATCAAAGACATAATACAAAACGTGTCTTTATCCCAAGCTACTCGAAAAAAAACAAAAAAAAAAAAAAAAAAAAAAAAAAAAACCAAAGCTCATCGCCCATTGATCACAGGTGCAAAAATAAAAGTATACGACTGAAACCGAAATAGGTAGTACCTCGATCCGGAGAATGATGTATCACCGGACCGTCAAGGGTGTAAAATCTGCTTTCGTTCGTCTTACGCGCAGATTGTGTGTGGAATTAGATGCGAACGTGGGAAGACCGTAATAGCCTCACAAAAGGCAAGCATTCCATATTTCTTTCTTCCTTAATTACATAATTAAAGTAAGTAATACCTTACAGCATGGATGGACAATGATTTGACTAAGGATGAATGGAATATATATTGATGGATTTCTTAAATTGACGATTGATTATTATTAGTATGGCTGATTCTGCTGCGGCCGGTAATCGTGGTATGTCGAATGTTTCAATTTACGATTTGTTCAATGAATCAATGCACATGTAGACTTTTATGGATTGCTAATTCAACCATCTTTTCATTTTTGTCATCGGATGTTCATCGAAATAGGACGTGGAGGTTTTGGACGTGGACGTGGACGTGGTGGACGTGGACGTGGTCGTCGTGGAGAAGAAAAGAACGAATGGGTTCCTGTCACCAAGCTCGGTCGTCTCGTCAAGGCTAACAAGATTAAGTCCATTGAAGAAATTTACCTCTTCTCTTTGCCTATCAAGGAATACCAAATTGTTGACTTCTTCCTTCCCAAGCTCACTGATCAAGTCATGAAGATCATGCCTGTTCAAAAGCAAACCACTGCTGGTCAACGTACCCGTTTCAAGGCTTTCGTCGTCATTGGTGACGAAAATGGTCACGTTGGTCTCGGTGTCAAGTGTGCCAAGGAAGTCGCTACTGCCATTCGTGGTGGTATCATCTTGGCCAAGCTCTCCATCATCCCTGTCCGTCGTGGTTATTGGGGTAACAACCTTGGTGAACCTCACACTGTCCCTTGTAAGGTCAGCGGTCGTTGTGGTTCCGTTATGGCTCGTTTGGTCCCTGCTCCTCGTGGTACCGGTATTGTCGCCTCTCCCACTGCCAAGCGTGTCCTTCAATTGGCCGGTATTACCGATTGTTATACCACCTCTCGCGGTTCTACCCGTACCCTTGGTAACTTCATCAAGGCTACCTTCGCTGCCATTGGTAACACTTACGGTTTCTTGACTCCTGATCTTTGGGAAGAAACTGAATACCTTAAGGCCCCCTATCAAGAATTCTCTGATTTCCTTGCTCAAAAGCAAAGAAAGTAAATTTTTGATACAGTCTATACATCAACTTCCAACTTATTATTTTGAAATAAATCAAATGTTATTTTGAAGTTAGAGATATACTTTTTTTTTTACTTATTAGTGGAAATATCTACGAAATTCGTGTATTTGAATGATTGATGTCTAATGAGCTGTGTTGTCCTTATAATTGAAGTGAAAGGAATTGTTTATTGGTAACGAAGATCAAGCACTTATTTTCCATTACAGCAATCAATGACAGTTTGAGAAGTGGTCCCCAATACCAGTGCAGTAGTCTACAAGGATGTCTTACAGAGTGGCTTAAGTATAACAATATGGGACTGTATTGAGTATTGCACCATCGGTTCTTCTCCAAGTATGGTACGGATAGTAGCGACTCGGAAAGTGAGCCTTTTCATCTGTTTTTGTAACTTTATTTTTCCTTTCATGGTTTAACCATGTTGACTACATTCCTTGGCCAAGGAATCTCAACACCTCAGACAGAGTTAATTATGCTAAATAGCCATATAGCATATACCTTGCATTGACGAAGCTTAATGTGACATATCGCATATATGGATTGCATCTTGGAAACCTTTCTGTTGCGACGTATATTCAGTAGGCAGCAATATAATGAGCTACTTTCACCAAAGGCAGTTTTAGTCGTATAAATAAGGAGCACGGACGAAGGAGCTGATATTGATTGATACATTTGGTAATACGTTTAAACAGAAATATTTTATTACAATATTTTAAAACCCAATGAGCACCAAAAATTGCCTGGGACAGATCCTAAAGTTTCTATAGTATAAACTATATATTGTTAAAAACCCCTTTGGGAACAAGGGTAAAAGAAGAATTTGATCAGTTGTTGTGTGAGGGCTGGGGGTCAACCGTTGTAGTAGGGCGAAACCTAGTGAGGGGTCTGGTGAAGGTGGATCAAATCCATGAAACAAATGATTAAGTTCATAGAGAATGTGACAAATGCCCGGCCAACGGACGGCCCATGATTGGCGAGTGGCGGCTGATCGAGGGGGACGAGTGGGAAGTTGAATCAAAAGATTAGACAATGGATTTAAAATTGATATTGGCATCATCAGGCGTTGATGCATCTGTAAGTACTGTATGGCATATTGTTTTGTCATGATGGTGGTGGGATGATGGAAGCAGAAGTTGGAATGACCACCAGGTAGCCATCCAAGACGCCATCGGATACAGCGACTACGCTCTTCGCTAGCATTTTGTTTTATTTTCGTACGAGACAATTTCGAATTTTTTAGTAGACAATTTGACTTTTATTAGGAGACGTTTCTCGGTAAAACAGGATACGAATTGAAATACCTGTTAAGATCTTTACACTTTAATAAGAGACATTGCTTTGAAGGTTATTAGATACTTTTTAATTGATAGTGGAACTACGTCTAAAGCACTACGAGAAGTATTGAAACTTTCAGCGCGACACAGATCTTATTAGTAATAGACACAGGGTTGTGGTTTACGAAGCGTTATTTATGGATCAGATAAATCGATCTTCGCGTTCTTCCGTCACATACGTGGCTAACGGTTGTTATTGTCAATTGTAATAAAAAATAGATGTTGACAAACTTAAAGCATTTATACAGAAAGTTGTCTTTCCTTTGACTTTCATCATCATCATCATCTTCTTCTATACTTTCTTTTCTCCTTTTGTAAGCTATTACTAACCATGTACAAAGCCAAAATCTTGCAAAAAATCAAATCGGTGGCAGAAGCCCATAAGAATAAAGCCAATGACGAGTCCTTCGGTAAGTAACACATGATTGCGCAAGGATTGCAAAACACGCGGACATTTCAACAAGTCATGCCATAAATGAAGTCTTACAAAGCAGTTTTCTCAAGTGATGGTAAGTATCATGTTCTCACTACAAGACAAGTTTATGTTTGCTTAACGCAAATTTAGTTGGAAGTAGCGGCAAGAAACGTAAGCAATCAGCTAAAACCAAGGAAGAAAAGAAGCAAACAACTGGAGATATCAAGTGCATCAGTTGTGGTCTAAAGGGTCATTCTACTTCTCGTTCCCTCGAATGGAAAAGTTGCCAAGGGTTATACAGCTCAACTCGAACAATTCCGTAAGGTCTTCGACTTCAAAAAGTTAGGCTTCAGAAGGTAAAGTAGATAACACTCTGCTAAGAAGATTCTGTTCTCAAGTTTATTCTTTCACTTTTATCGTAGTATTGTTGAGCTTAGGACAAACACAAGTGTGCTCTTCCGGAACCTTCGATCTGATGGCTGTATTGTAGACTTTTATTAGTCTTAATAAGAAACCAAAAGAAGACGCCATCATTGATCATCATAACTTGACGTTGGAAGACTTCTCATATGAAGAGATCACAGCAAACTACAGATCCGCATTTGTTGATCCTGGTCGAAAGGCCGTATTTACAGCAGCGATCGGGTTAGAAACAGAAAGACATGAGATACGACGCTGCTCAACAAAAGAATATTACCACATGACGGGTAGTACTCGTATCAATACAGAATTAGAAAGGAAAAAAGCCAATTGTACGATAAAAGATATAGAAAGCAATATACCGAGTTGCAAAACAGGCTCGCCTGAACATTATAAAATATATACTACTTATATACTGCAACTTTTAGGCACTCTGTTCTCATTTTACGGGTCTGATATGGGTGAAACAAGATTCCGTCTGTATCAAGGGCAGCAAGCGTGCTGCAGATACAATGTCGAACATGCTTGTTGATGGAGGTGTCAAATACGACAAAGAATTACGGAAAAAGAGAAGGGAAGAACAGATGAAATGGCCAAAGAAGGGCAAACCTAAACTTAGTAAAACAAGAAAGAAAAAAAGAAACCGAAAGAGAAAGAGAAGCAGGAAGAAGAAGAGAAAGAGGAAGATAACCACGTTCAGTAAGTCTTGTAGCGATCAACTGTCAACTGAATTTGTGTATACTCACTCTAGTATCTTTCTTCTAGAAGACGATGGACCCTTGAGAAATTCAGGTTGAGTGATAGCAAAAAAGTTCCTCTGGTTGTATTTGGTGAGGGCATGTTAACAAATCCGCCGTTCATTTAAAGGGCCTTAGAACTGGTGTCGTTGGTGTTCTTGGCGTGCCTTGAAGCGAAAAGAGGCTACTGGTGATTTACTAGTGATAACAATTGATGGATACCTAACTTCTCGAATATGCAACAATTGCCGTTCCAACACTGTTGAGGCATTGAAGACTGTTCCAGGCCAAAGTATGCTTGCTTGCAAAACCTGTTCGATACTTTGGAACCGGGATGTCAACGCTGCAAAAAACATGTTGGCAATTAGCGTGTCGATATGGAAGTCAAAGGGAAAACCTACCGAGTTTTGTAGAAAACCAAGGAAGTCACCCGCATCAACCGCTTAACAGCATCCTCTCATCGCCAGAACGAAACTGGCTCGATTTATACAGGTAGGCCTATCTGGGAAATTGTAGTGGCGGCTCGTAAATTTGCTACGGATTTCTAAAACATCAATCTTACTTCGTCTGTAGTGATATTTTTGACCCGTTTCCACCACGAATAAAAACACTGTAGACCGCGTCCTCCTCTACCTTTTTGATAGGCTGAAAAATGAAGTTCCAAAAATTTTTTGTGTTTTCGCTGTGACCATCCTAAACATAGCTATAAAAAGGGTCTTATCATCTCGACTTTTTAACTTTTTTTTTCTTCTTTTTTTCTTTACAACGCAATTATAACAATTTGTATAAAAAGCATTCGTGTGAGATGGCTACTCCGGTAGCTATCGAAGATACAACGAAATCGTCAAACAATTGAAGAAAAGCTTTAAAATTGAGCACATATAAATGGGTGCACAGAATGGTTAGGATTGGTCTTCGTACCAACCCATGGCATTATGTGCAATTTTGTGTGTTTCATTATTTTTATAACCATTTTATCAAGAAAATTAAAAGGAAATGAAAAATAAAAAGCTTAATATAACCAAAGACTCTTAGTGCAGCTATTAAAAGCAGTTGGTTGTATTTATCGTGCGTTCATGTGGTATAATAAAACTATAGTAACTACTTTCTGAAATATGTCATATAAGTGTTTGGGGACGGGTGGATTATATCTGAAGTATGTGTGTTCAATCTTCTTCCATGGCCTCGATATCAGGGGAGTTGCTCTCTGTTGTAGACGGAGCAGCAAGCGAGTCAAAGAATATAGTTGCGTTACTCGCGCTCTGTTTTGCAGCCAATAATTCATCAAGGCTGTCATCGTCTTTAGGTTTTATGGTTACTGGAGTCAGCTGAACTATATTTTCGGTTTGACAAGCGTATTTGACAGTGTATCTTTGTTGCTTTGGCCCTTCCTCGGCTGTTGATCGCATAGACGACAAAAGTGGTACTAAACCTGAAGTATCAGCTTTTCTTTCCTCGATCTCGAAGAATAAGTGGGTGCCTACTGTTTCGTCAATTTCGCCTTCGAAAACAGCATCGCCTAGTTGCAAATAAGGTTGACCTTCTTCTAAGCCCTAATACAGCAAAATGCAAAAATTGCGGTTAAGTTAGTTTCAATTAAATTGGCAAAGTGATCGTCTCTTTACGCCGCATTACAATAATTCTACATCCACCATCTTTATGAGATACTTTTTCGACGAACTCTTTTGTAACTGTACCGCCAATGTCAAATACCACATAAGTAGTCTAAAAAATATTAGCTTCGTTTTTAGAATGGGGTTTGTTTGAGATCGTTTTGAGGAAACGGATCACAATGTCAAAAGAAGATATGATTTAGATTGAATGGAGTACCTCTTCTTCATATTCGCTGTCGCTCATTTCAGATTATGAGAAATGGCGATCTACTATGCGAAATATTTAATTATGCACGTTGGTAAGGACAAATTAACAGAAAATTCAGGATTCCCACTGCAACTTTTTTTTTGGGACGCTGTGGTGTCCTTGGTTTTTAGGAGAATGGAAACAGCAGCACACAAGCTTTTTTTTGTAGTGTGAAACCTCATCACCCCAAAAAAGTCTTGTACAGTCAAGCTTATAGAAATTGGCGTTTTCTTCAAAAATAATTGGAAAATAAATGCCCACTTCCGGAAAAAAAAATTATAAATTATTTTTGACCAATTTCTAGTCAAATAAGTCGCAAAGGTTCTTCATTAAAGTGTTCAGGAAAATGCTTTATGAAATGCTAAATAAAACTGCAAATGTTCAGCTGGAACATCTTCACTTCCTTCAACGCCCCTTGAGCTAGGAGTTTCCACATCAGTCAACTCGCTTCTTCTGACTCTATTTTTCAAAGCTTTCCGAGACTGTCCAATAAGGTCAGGCGAATAGAATGAGAGATATACAGGTATGTATTCTCGTTCAATAAGTACAGGATTAACAATATTATAAAATGACAGTAGACAAGTAATAAATATACTTTGTAACGGTTATCAAATGTTCTTATTATAAATTCAAATGTATGGATTTATATATAATACATCTTATGGTTGGTAAGTTGTATGTCTTCCTTTAGTGAATGTCATTATATATGTGTTTGCCATGAGACAGAAAAGATGACATTAATTAATTTAAGATAGACAGTATTTTTTTTTAAAAAGAAAATATACAATAATATATACTCATTTATGATTGTTTATTAGTGACCAAATCTCAAAACACATCGGCGTGTGCTGTCTTGAGCTGTATCAATCATGGCATCCAAACTCATTAGAATTCTTCTGTATCTTTCTTCAATTATATCGGGTTGCTTGGATTTTCTACAGAGGCTCCAGAAAACGTCACTGACCCCAAGGAGCTTTTTGATATTGATCATAGTGACGAGAGAAGGTAAATCATCCAGGGATTGAGAAAAGCGAAAGTGAGCAATTTCAACAAAGGTATATATGCCCTTGTCAGTTAATTGTTGAAGGTAAAAAATGATATTGAAACCATGTATTTGAAAGGTAAGAGCACCATCAAGTTTATTTATATCAATGGCATTTTTAGTGAATATTGCCAAACGGAGCGTGTCCAGACATAATGACTTGCTACAAGAACCTTGTAGGGTTTTGGCCTCACCATAACCAACACTATTTCCAAATGACATCTGTCGTTTTTCACTAATTACTGCATCAGGTCGATTTTTTCCTTTTTCCATAGGGATAGCAGGTACAGAGCTTGGCTGTTTTCCATCAATCCTGTCATAGCTGACTCCCCTCTTTGCCGCCATTGCAGAGGCTCCCCTGAGGATGGTTTTCATTTTTTCGTTGGTTGTCTACCTAAATGGCAATTTTGGATCACGGCACTAGAGGAAAATAGAATTATCTCTTTTCCTGCCACACCTACTGGCATTTGGCATATATTGTTAACACTTTGTTCCCCGTTAGATAATTCTCCTCTGCCTGACCACACAATCGTTCAGGTTAGTTTGATACTTTTAAGTATCTGGAAATATCATTGGCGCTGCCATTTTGGTCGCTTCTCTTGGTCCCTAGCAGGAGTTCGTACCGTCTACCAAGACGAGGTTCGATTCAGAACACTCAATACGAGCTCGTAGTATATTTATGGTTTCTTTGTCGTAGTTTTTATGTATGCCTTTCCTTCACTTCTTTTATTGCCACTTATCAAAATATAATTTATTGTCCGTTGTTAGTCACTTTTAATAAAGTACGTGAATTAAATTCAAAAAAAAAAGAAAAAAAAAAAATAGGGATAGCATTAGTCCAGCGAAGATGAATGAGCCGGTCAGGATCGCTTATGAGGCAAGACAATAGGGGATCGAAGTACGTACTCCACAACTCGCTTTCACTAATTTGTGTGTAGTCATTCAAAGGTCTTCTTGGGAGTTTCTGAATCCTTAAATCGAAGCCCCACAAAAAAAGTCAGTAAAATCGTAATTTTGCAAACTTACAGGTTGGTAATACCATATAGAAGCCGTTTTTGGCCATAATTCATCTGAGAAGCCAGAACTGTAAACTCAATAATTGCTTGTTCTCTTGTTTTTTCTGCTAAGCTGAAATCCGTAAGAGTATTGGTGATTGTCATAAAATGGTTCGAGGGAAAGTCAAGGTTATGGTTCATTATCTTTTGTTCAAAGAAAGCCGTTAGTTGCTGCAGTGTTTCCAAAGAAAAAACTTTTTCTGCAATCTCGCTATGTTGGTCTTTGCAAAGAAAAAGAATGTGGGTCAAAGACGCGAGTTCATACACGTAGGATTCCACTGGTAGGGTCTTGTGTTTCACGAGGATTTCGCTAGAGCAGCTTGGTATTTCCGGAATAAATGGCTAATATTAATATCCTCGAACATCCATGGATTATCGTTTGTATCTTCTTTGTTTACAAAGTTATTCATGATACTGACTAAATAGTCCTTCACTTCAATCAACATGGTATTAATGAGACTTGTTGTTTCATTGAGAGCAGAAGAATCATCAGAGATATCAAAAGCAGAGGAATAATCAGGGACCTCAGGAACAGAAGAATTGTTAGAAACATTAAGAGCAGAGGAATCGCCTCTAGACGCCCCGTTGCTTGGAGCAGTGGTTTGTAGAGATTGGAGTCGTTGTTCAGTCACAATGTCGATAACCTCGCTGCAATCCAATTCTGTTTTAAGTAGTGTATTCGTTTGTGATCGTGTAGACCAGAATCGTATATAGTCTGCACTCAATGTCCAGCTCTTATAATCATCGCGAATCTTCATATCGGCTATGCTTTTCGACGAGAAATAATCTGACGTGTTTGGTGAGATAATAACTACAATACTCGAGTACGTACAACCATGTAAAGAATGCATTCTACCACGGTCTATCTATATTGCATCTAATATAGGTTATGTACAACATAGAACAAGATAGAGGATTGGAAGTATACATAGTAAACACAAGAAGCATCTGAACCTGAAATTAGTGACTAGCATATGCGTCCTCAAATAATATAATTCCCAAAGTAGTTTTTTTAATCCTCCTCGGCCAAAACAACCACGTCCTCCTCCTCGATTGTTGTTCCAACTTGAGGAATTTGAATACCCTCCTCGACCTCGTCCATTGAAAGGGTTGGTGGTAGCTGCTCGAAGTATTCGTTGTTGATAGAAATTCGTCATCAAAAGCTTCTCGTTTGCTAACCGAGTCTTTTGTTTCCAAGTGTTTGAGACTGGGGGGTAATTTAAGTGCTCTAATGGCGTAGCCTTTAGCGTCTTCATCATGCTGTTTACCTTGAAACCAGGCATGAGTCGCGAGTCTTCTGGCACTTTCGATGGCCTCGTCCAAGAGTTGGAGTGCTTCTATTGTTGGGAATTCTCGCTTTAGGAACTGAGAGTTGTTCGAAAATTTCAGTTGCTGCTCTTCCGTGTAATCTACTGATTTCTGCTCCTTTGTAGTGAGCGTTAACGACTTGAGTCGTGTCCACAGTGTAATGTTTGAGCTTTGGGATGAAGGATTTATTAATCTCTTTCTGCGATAGTCCACTCGTCGTGGTGGTATTTGGTAAGGTCACGCTTGTAGCGTTTGAAATTATCTTGATGTTGTTGTTTCGTATTTTTGTCCAAAGAGGAAGTGGTTCCCAATGGTAATTCTCGCTCCTCTCTTGCTTGTTGGGTTTCGGTTGTCGGCCGTTTTAACTCGTCGAAGTAATTCGATGACTTCAGCTTCGGTAAATGTTCTTGGTTCATTATTGATAATCGGATCAGTCATAGTTTGTCCACGATGCGCGGCTTAGAAAAATATAGGGAAGAAAGGGAAAACATTTTATTGTTATCAAAAAAGAAAAATAAAGCGTGGCTCAGAGAGCATGTATCACATTGGAATCCAAAGTGAAGTCAACTGGGATTCGTTTAGGTACGACAATCAATCCTGGTTTAACTAGAAACGTCTCCAAATAAAACTCAGATTATCCACTAAAAATTCAAAAGTGTCTCGTACGGAAGTAAAAACACTGCATTTAACAATTCATGAGCCGCACTTCATTTTCGATTATTCTTCTTTACTTTGCCTCAAGATTCTTTATTCTACATACCCTGAGTCATACACGTCATTCTATTATCTTCTATATCTATTATATTGTAGAATCGCTTCGATTCGCCATACAGAAAAGCACCTCACTGCCATTGATTTAACAAACCTTCACTACGAAATCTTGGCGTCTCCTTATTTTACTTTTCATGCATTAACAAACGCTATAGATTATTATTATTGCATCAAACGACATAAGCAAAGAATCAATCAACGACACTGGCAGACTTAATCATGGAATTGTCAACCTTGATATTTTATGGGTTTAGGATCCTGTTCCTAGGCATTCCAACAATATTAGCGAAAATCAGCAAATTGCTAGCACCTTGTACTCACTATTTATCCAAAACAGCTATCATCGGCCCTCTCTTTTCTTTTATCATACGATCATTCTTCTTCATGGGATTCATTATTCTGTTAATGAGTGATCAGCTTGTTCGTACATTCTTCCGAATCATTATTGGCAGGCATCCTTCCAAGCGAAACTATTGTAAGTATATTATATTCGATCTTATGAACGACCCCTATTTTCACATCATCTGCAGATCTTCTTTAATGCTAATTTTTTACTATGAAAGCTATCACAAGCGCCATGGATCCTCGAATAGAAATGTTTGATTACAGCATTCCGAAAACGAAGCATTTAGAAAATAAAGAATTATTCAATAAGAGGAAACAACAGCAACATAATATCTTTGGTGGTGACCCTGAATCACGTGCATTAACTGAGTTATTGAAAAGACCCAAGTACTCTGTTTCCCTGGCCTATACCCTTTCCGTAGCCAGTAAACTTGTTTATGAAGACGTTGAAATCATTAAATATGAATTGGCGAAAGCAGGATTCGATGTGGAAAATACATTCCGACCCATTGCTTACAAAGTAGGTTTATAATTACCGACAGTAATACCTATACGTACCTTAAAATGAGAGATGGCAATAACGAAACTCCTTCACTTCTTTCCCGAAAATAGAATATTTGTGCTTTTATAGCAGAAAAAGATGATGACATCCTTCTTGTCTTTCGAGGCACCAACCCACTGAACATTCAAAATTATCTGACTAATATCTCTATGACAAAAACGGCTATCAAATCTGCATGGTGGGGTCCTATGGGCCGAGTTCACCAAGGATATTGGCGAGCAATGGGAGAACCTACAACAAAGCACCATATTGATAAAACTACTAAAGAAGGTATAAATATCATCAATACAGAAGCCGAAACAGCCTCTTCATTAGGGCCTGTGCTTCGCATTGAGCTCACCAATACATCACTATATCAGACTATTGTTTCAGCTCTCCAAGGAAGCATTAAACTGTTTGAGTTTGTGACAAAAAGTTTATTTCATCATGTCAAAGAACCTATCGATAGTAGTTGGGTAGGTCCACGTATTGATATTCGAACGACTAGTATGTACGCACTAGCGGAGGAGCATATTTTACAGTTGATTCGGAAGGATAATAAGCCGTCAATGCAAGATTCTAAAATGAAAAAGTTGGAAAAGCAGGACGGTGCAGATGACAATGGCGGAAATAGTAGCACAGACGAGAGCGACGACGATATGTTAAATGCACCAGGCTTTCAATCGAAAAGGGGTCCTGACGGAAAAAATCAACCCAAGAAAAAGCGGTTATTTATTGCTGGCCATTCTCTTGGCGGTGCTTTGGGAACAAGTAAGTTGACGGAATTTGCTTTATTAAAGTAGATATAACTTTCAACAGAGCTGTTGACTAACGTGCTATCCTCTTACTTTAAGTTTTTTTGGCTAAAATGCTTCAATCAAAAAGCTCTTTGCTAGATCATTTTGCCGGTTTGTATACTTTTGGTCAACCCAAGATAGGGGATGCTCAATTCTCCAAGGTATTCAGTCCCCGTATGGCCAGCAAAATCTTCCATCACGTTTACAATAACGACATCATTCCTCGCCTAACAGTTCCAGTCCTATCCAAATATCATTACAGTACACCTCCAGGCTCACTTGTTTTTATTGATACTGCATTTAACATTGCAATTTATCCGCCTAATCCTTACACAAACGAACCTGTCCCCGTTCGACCTATTTCCTTCTTACATCTCTCTGGTCTGCTCAATCGTCATGTCATCCGGCGGTTACGGAAAGAAAATCAGATTCGGATTTGGTTCCGTATTCTCTTTCCTTTTTTTTTGAATGATCATTTCATCAATGACTACAGTACAGCTTTAAGACAAGGTAAAGTCCACTGGGTCATTATGGGCGCAGGAGATCTTGAAGGCGGTAAAGAACAAGCAGATTATAGTTATTATGGTGAAGAGGAGGAAAACGATGCTTTGAGAGAAAAAGATAGGGAATTATTGATGGCCCAACAGCAAAAGGGAAGAAGAATGAGTATTGTAGATGTTCAAGATTAAGACGGACATAAACTGAAGCCGACAAGTTATTATCGTCCGTTTCGTGATTATCTTACATTATTATTCATAGAACCGAACATTGCATACATCTACTACGTTTGACCTCACAACAACAACAACCATCACTCCTACTACTACTATTACTACTATTAATATCATCTACACAGCCGATCATTAATTTTACCCTGACTTCTGTATCAACATTACCTACCTAATTTTCGTCATTGTACTAATAATTCATACCACACAAGGGCAACATTCATTTTTCTACTTTTACCCAACGATTATAGAATAATCCAATAGATAAAGAATACCACATACTTTAAAATGTCTGTTTAATGCGGCTTAGTGCATTTCATCTTATGCTGTCTAACTGTATTGTTAAAGGGTAAGACTTACCCGCACTGCAATAACTGGATTATGTAAGTTTAGGAGATTAAATATAACTTTACGTGAACTAAGATGGGAAGTAAAATCCAAGAAAGCACTGAGGAATATTGAAACCGAACAAAGATGCAACAAACAACGCTATACAAAGAGCGACTGGATAAAGAAAGAGTTCAGTATGTACCAAAAACGGAAGAGCTATTGACCGTACCAGAAGATTAAATTAGCACAAATTTCCCCTTAATGTTAAAAAATCGTTTCCTCTATCAACATACCATGGAAGCCTAAAAATGTGCTTATCAAATACCAGATCAAAGACGCGCAATACATAAAGTTGCCAATGCACATAGATACCCAATTATCCTTTAGTATCAATGGCAAGAAAAACACTTGAACGATGTACAGTATAATGTAAACCGGCACAAATGAGTTGCAGTGTATATCAAAGGCATATGTCCATTCAACTTTTTGTGCTATTGCATACGCATTAATTGTTTCTGCGAGGAAGTTACTTGTGATGTACCTATCAAAGTGGTTTTAGAGCTGCTTGAAACGAATATAGAATAGTGTGTATAGCTATCTTACCAGGTTAATGTGGATATAATGCATCCAACCAATAGGAAATCAATGAATACCATCGATAAAATGAGTCTTACAGTGCCGTATGTATTAAGGCCGTACGTATATCCCCACAGCAAACCTGCCACTATACACCTAATTTCGATTAGTTAAAAGGCATTGTTCAGAATCTTGAGACATTAATCAATAGATGTTACGTGATAGAAAAATCATCGTTAATATTATAAAAGCTGGATCGTCTCTGGACCATCGGTTTTTTGTTTCTGTTTTGAAAATGATTTTTAGATCAATTTATCATTTTCCTGTATAATTTCAATTGTTCGTTACGTTTGTGGAGATAGATATTTCGATATCTGAAGTACATATTGAGAGTGGATATATGTTAAACTGATTAGCTCTGTTCAAGCTGGCATTTTGTGTGACAAACCAATACTTTACACTCGTTTTGGTGATATCAACAAATAACACATTTGCCATAATGCAAACTAATGCAGCAATTGACTGTAAGTAAATCAGTCCTACTGAGAGCATTCATAGTAAAATATTGTACCTCAAAGTCCATATGTGGGAATCGAAATAGACGACGCAAAATTCTTGTAGATTTTTTGCCATGTCGAATTGGTTCCTGGGGAGAAGCATAATATCGAAATGATGGATTGGAAGAATTGAATCGATTATTAGCTGTGCTTGTTGTTGGTAAAATGGAAGTCATCTTGGTTCATATATTCTATTGAAGGCTGTCTACGTTCTGTTATGAGTGATGGAATTATGTTAGTCCTTTCCGTAGTCCTTTCCGTAGTTTGGCGTTTGTATGCCTTATGAAGTGTACAGCCAGCTTATTCGCCCGATTTTTGTCACTTTTTTTGGATCAAACTGACTGTCTTTCTGCAGTTTTAAATTTGCGCTGAATTATCTTAAAGAAAAAACACATGCCATGCAGCTGAAGTCCCAACAATTAACTTTTGCATTCTACGTCTAAAGAGTTTATTGATGGAAAAGTTAAGTGGGTTTAGGAAAATAGGATAGTAATATTGAGGAGGTTATTTGACAAAATTGTATTTGACACTTTGACAGTAGTCGAAGGTTTCAAGCAAACGTTTCGTGGCAAATTCGAACTCTACTGCTGCTGCAGTTTTTTCTGCTGGTCTAATTGAAGCATACAAGCTTCGATTCCAAATTGCTGATGATGGAAAAAGAAAGGAATAATAGGCAATGCTGCGTCTATTCTTTGCTGCTGATTGCCATCATAGGAACAGTTGTAACGATTCCTATTAAGTTTGGTAGGTCTAGCCTTCTCTTGAGCCCAATAAGGATTAGCAGAAACAGTTGTACTTGTGCTAGAAGAGCTTGTATGGTTGGTAGCTTTCTTTTGCGAGGAAGTAATGTGGTATGAAATAGAGGGCTCTGTTTTAATTATGTTGTTAGACCAATTATATGGATAAGTGTCATTTAGTACATAGCTAGTAGTAGAAGCACCCCTTTCATAAGGTGCGGAATAGTGATTTATAGGTGCTGGAGGATAACAGTAATAGTAATCTTGAGCGTTATAATCGCTCCCATAATTGCTTGGTGACTGGCGTTGTTGTTCTTGCTGACATAACAAACTTGAGATAGGGGGAAGCCATGTATCAGTCGCGGGACGTACCACAGTAACATTTGTTTGGAGACTACTGGTGGAATCAGTAGATATAGTAGACGAAGACGACGCATACAAACTTTCGAAAGGCGAAGTACTATCATAAGGTGCATACCGCTCAGGTTTTTCGTAGGCAGAGGATTGCCTGCCATACACCGTTACAGCTGCAATAGAGGCATAGTCAGTGGGATAAGCGCTCGTTGTACTCTTTCTTTTTCTACCAATTGCTTTCTTTTTTAATGATTTGGATGCATTCATAACAATAGTCTTAAACTAACAAAAAATAGTCAGGAAAAAAAGAATGAAAGGATCAAAATACTTTCTCAACAGTTTTATTCCTTGATATCGTGGACCGTCTTTTCTTTGATTTCATTAGCAACATTATCGCGTCAATATAATAATGCTGTATTAGTTCTCAAACACGTCGCCTAAAATGGATCGTGTATTATCATTGGAGCACTCTTGAATCATTTTAATACATGTACAGGATCATGTAGATACACCTCTCCGCATAATCGAATTCGCAAAATATAACACTGCAACAATTACGAACATTGACAATATGCCCTGCATAAATTGTGTAACTCTTGAGTATACATTGACAGTCTACGTTTTGTATCACAAACAAGACTTCATAAAACCACTTCGACGTATCTGACGACAGACAGACAAGCAAACATTACGTATTGCTAAATGTATTTCGGAGTAGTAAAGAATAGCCCATAGAAGCCATTCACTTACAGCATTATTCTCCCAGCATTTTCTTTTCTTTTACATTTTCATAATGATTTAATAAAAGTCTCCCCCAATGTAACTAAACATTAAAAACACAAACGGGTTCTTCCCCAAAGGAAAGTCTGCGTTAATGTCAATTTATTTATCTAGTCCTTCTTCTTGGTACACAGATAGAGATACATGTGTACGGGATTATATACGCACAGCATCTACAATAAATGCCCTTGTCTCAATAAGTACAAAGAGCCTATGACTGCCAAGACGGACTTTGGAGCTCTAACGAAATTTTTAGTACACCAAATTGTGGTGCTTCATACTTATGAAGATGCCAAAATACAGTATATGCGATTAAAACGACAAATCAAATGGATATAAAGTATTTCTTTGACGATGCAAATTTGTCAATAGCCTGTTGACATTCTTTTACATGTATCCATGTCATTATGACGGCAGAGTTCCGAGAAGCCTTCTATACGAGAAAGAAAACATTGAACTACCGATTAAAAGGCCCTAATTATTCATTTAAAAGGGTTGGTACATTTTTTTGCTTGTACTTTTTAATGTAGTATTTTGGCGTTTTTATTCGTTCTGGAACGTTTCCTGTTACTGTCATTGTTGGCTGTAGTTAGATCCCCAATTGACCCCCTTTTATTTCCTTCTTCCTGTTTTGTCTGCTTTCCCCGCATTTTCTGCTAAATTTATCAAACTGTAAAATATACCAAAGTATGGGTGCGACAGATAGTAAACTTGCTTTTAAAAAAGGCGTATTTCGTTTATACGAAGAGAGGGTATGTTTTAGCTAATTTTATGATGGTAATAGAAGCTATGCCTTGTTATTTTGCGACTAAGTTTCCATTATAGAATGTACCTGTTGATGCCGATGATTATTGGACTTTGGTAAGCAGAAAAATAGTGCAAGTGCGAGTTTTGAAGCAAAAGAAGATAATAAGCACTTGTTAAACAGATGAGACAGCATATTAATTATATCGGATGTTTATAACGAGGCAGTTCTGGACTTTACCTGAATCCGTCGACGACATTTTCACCCTCATTAGTGCATCTGACATAAGAAAGGCTCGCGATGGAGCGAGGGAGAATCTTGAAACTCTAATTGATAAGGTACGGCGTCGTCATCTGAGCACTCATGTTTTAGCGACGTTAAGAATGTAGAGTTCTTGATGCTTGTTAAGACGATCGTTCGTAATTCGTTTTTTTTGCTTACTTCCCCTCTATCATATAGATTTTAGACCAGATGACACAAATACTTAACTCAACGATGACGCAATCTATTAACACGGCCAACGCAACATCTAATAACAATCAGCTTTTAAATTGCTGCCGCTTATTGACTCGTATCATACCATTTATTTTCGAAAGCCCAGAGTGCACAGAGTGGGAAGATCAATTTTTTTGGACACCAAGGATGCGCGACGAAAAGTCAGATTATATACCAGCAACAGACACAGTAGACACAAACAATAGAGAAAGCCAAAATAACTCCAAGCCGCAGCGCAATCAAATCCGTGTGTTATCTTCGAGAGGAGAGATACTAATAAAATGTAATTTTATCTTGAAGAGGAGGATAGCTTATGATTATGAGCATATAAAACTCACTTTATACATCAAATTATAGTGACATTACAAGCATTATTCTTCGCTGGTTTTACATTGCCACAGTCCATAGGCACAGCAGAATCTAATGTAAACTACGTCATTTGGGAAACGGGTGTAGGGTCTTCCACACCTATAGGCTCATCGAGAGAAAACGATGTGAATCGGACAGAAGTACTCCGTCTTCTCATTGTTCTGTTATCGAAATCTATGTATCAAACACCGCCCCAAGTACTCGTACAGCAGGATCGTTGGTTGGATTTCATGGTGACAAAAGTTGAGAAAAAAGTAGTCTTGGCCTTTTTGTGCAGCATGATGAATACAGCCTGTAAATTCAATCCTATGGGTTGGACAGCCGTACCTTATAACCACATTGTCTATACCGATCCGAGAGAGCAATTAGTAGCCGTTTGCTTGCGTGTTTTGTTAGTAGTTTTGGATTATAGGTCATCGAATACTAAGTACGAACTACTTGATAATAATGGTGACGGTAGCAGTAGCGGTGTTGCTGCTAAATCAGCTAAAGGAACCATAACAGATGAACATTGGTCTCCAGATACACAGCAAGGAATTGCAATGTGGAAGCAAAATAAGTCACAGCAGTCAATTGAGTTGTCAGAAAATGCATATCGATACTATCTGTCAAAGTTGCATCGTGCGCAGGATTTCCAATTCTTAATCGATGGCATTTACAGAATACTTAGTAATCCGATGCAGGTACAAATACAGGTACAATTTTAGTCTATTGTTGAGTTACTATCCCTGATATGAAAAACCTTAGACTTTAAATAGTTATCTACCGGGGTCATCAAAACGTGTGAGATACCATGTTGAGATGATGATGCTATGCTGGAAATTACTTGAACTTAACAATGTAAGAGAAGAAAATAGACTTATATAACATATAATTTTCGCTATATTAACCTGACGGATTTCTGCCCTTGGACCATATAGAGATTCAGGAACTATTTGATAGAAACAGAAAGGGTATTGGATCTGATGGTTGTTGCATTATATTATGCTAGTGAAAACAAACTGGATCCATGTAAGTGCTCGATGACTAATCAGTAGCCTTATCAGATTAGCTCACGATTGCTTTCTATGTATCAAAGCTCAAATAGGTCTTGTAAGAATGTGTGCATTCATATTGCAAGAACTCTCTTCCAACCAAACATTTAGCGTCAAGTTGAACGAAGCGTTCATTGGACATGCTTCACTTCCTACAAGTATTAGAATTCCGAACTTTGAGGGGACATATGCTGATTATCTTATACTTGTAAGTATCAATGGCTTCATCCAAGAATAAGAAATTCAAACATTAATAACATACTTTATCTTCTTTTTAAAAGTCTATTTTCTCGTTGATCGCCTCTTCCAGAGGCGTTTTATCGACATTATATCCATCTTTTATAAAGACGATCACCAATATATCACCTTATTTAAAAAATATATGCCAGCTTACTTGTAGTAAACTTATTTCCTTATTCAACTCCATGTCGGCGCCAGGTTTCTTGTTAGCGGATGAATCGAATCATCATTTATGCGAATATTTATTAGAAACTTTCAACAACATCATTCATTTTCAGAGTGCAAACAACGTATATTTCATCTACACAATATTACGAAACCAACAAAGATTTCAAAAATTAGCAGACTTCACATTGGAAAACGCCTTGCTAGACATAGAACGGGCACGCTTGAACAGGCTGTCTCTACAGCAACAACCTCACCACCAGGGACAACTGTCGTCAGACGACAACTTGTCTGAAAAGCAAAAAGGCAAGTTACCAGAGTGTGCTTTATCAAGGGTATCTAGTACAGCAAGTGTTACCTCGCAACAACAACTGCAGGAACAGCCATCGTCACCAACTAAACCCCAACTCAGGTTAATGCACAGACAATCTAGCGTGATGTCGGTAAATTCAATTACAAGTAACGCCCCACTTCCTGGGGCCAAGAATGGTTTTATACCAACGGAAGAATGGGTTAGTATATGGTCGAGTGATGGAATTAATGAAAAAAAGAAGCGTATGTGTCTGATGTTTCTTCAAAATTTCAATTATCAGGTTAGGAGTTGGCATGCCTCACTTCCTCTCGAAACGATAACAGCTATTATTTACCAGTTCGCACCTCGAATTGAAGAGGAAAAGCTCACAAGGGAGCAAATATTCGACATGATAAGTTATGCACCTATGTCCGAAATTTTACCAGCGGCTCATCCTGTAATAATTCGTAAATTCCAATGGATAGAACCTTTAGTTATTTGGTTCAGAAGTATGTTGTGGGGACAAACGTACGTAGCCTTTGTATCGTATTATGGACCTTGGAATAATACCCAAGTCAGATTGTTTCATATCAAGCAGCAAAATCAACAGCAACAACAGCAGGCACAAATGCCACATCAACCAACCAATATACACCCAGCTACACTTCCCACTACTAATGATGATAGCTCTAACAATACGACAGTAGCTACCATGACTTCTTCTTAGACAATTTCATTTAATTCCATAGCCATTCGCCCTCTCCCGTGATATTTTAGCGTTAATTTTGCATTATTGATATGTATAGGTTTGCATTTATATTCTTTCGAGATCAACCATGACAATTGTATAGTAATTTTTTGTTAGGTAAATGGACTTCTAGGCTGTAAATAAATGCCATAGTAACTCTTCATTTGTACAAAAGATGAACTTTTTATTTCGCGTTCTGTTGTTGTTGCTCATAAATTTTTGCTTCACATTGATCAATTGTTGCCAAATTGGATCCCATTTTGTTCATTGTTTCTTGATATTCATCTTCTTCCACCGAGTCATATACAATACCGCCACCTGCTTGTAAATAGGCGACATCATCCTTGAAAAGCATTGTACGTATCGCAATGCATGTGTCTAAATCGCCCGAATAATCAAAATGGCCCACTGCGCCTGCGTAAACTCCTCGTTTCTCTTTTTCTAATCCACGGATCAATTCAACAGCCCTGATTTTGGGCGCACCTGATACGGTGCCAGCTGGGAAAATGGATCTAAACGCATCAAACGCTGTCTTATCATCTCTTAATTTCCCGGACACATTTGATACAATATGCATGACATGGGAATAGTACTCTATTTCCATCAATTTGTCAACTTTCACTGTTTCCGGTTTGCATATGCGATTAATATCATTTCTTCCCAGATCAACCAACATGACATGCTCTGCACGTTCCTTTGGGTCGTTAATCAGATCCTCTTCTAATGCCTTATCTTCTTCAGCTGTTTTGCCGCGTTTCCTCGTACCAGCAATGGGATTAGTGAAAGCCACATTATCCACCACTTTGGTGAGCACTTCAGGAGAAGCACCAACCAATGTGAAATCCTTCAAGTTCATGTAAAATAAGTAAGGTGAAGGATTGAGAGATCGTAAATGGCGATAAACGTTGAAAGGATGTAAATTAGTAGGACGGGCTAAGCGTTGGGAAGGCACGGCTTGGAATATATCGCCCTCCTTAATATGATGTTTGAGGCGGCTGACAAATCCCATATACCCTTCTTTACCCACGTTGGATTTGGCCACATTGCCTAATTGAATAGGTTTCTGAGGAACTTGAGGGATATGTTCTTGAGTGAGAAGAGATAATGTTGTTTCGATTTCTTCAGCTGCTTTAGTGTATTCATGTTGAACAGCTTGAGGATCGGTAGCATCTGATCTATAATGTGAGACAACGTTAACAACCTGGCGCACACGATCAAAAACAACCAGGGTATCGCACATCATGAAGATAGCATCAGGAATGCCCAATGGATCCGCTAATTCGCCCTGAATTTTAGGCTCGAAATACTGAAAACAGTCGAAGCCTATATAACCCACTGCCCCGCCTATTGTTTGTTTGTTAGAAATGAATACGAGATCAGAATCGCCTACTATATTCTGCCTTATCCGGACTATTGAAAAATAATCTACCTGTAAAGCTCGGTAAACCGGGCACTTTTACATATTTTATATTTGCCAACTCTTTTTCGATAGGTATTAATGGGTCTCCTTGAATAGATTCTTTGGGTCCGACCTTGATCAATTTATAAGGATCTACTCGATAAAGTTTCAAAAATTACTGCTCGCCTGCAATTATAAACGTCAATTTTCGCAGATGATTAGCCTTCGTACCTGCACCTATAAAGGAGTAGCGACTGATATTTTCTCCTCCTTCTACTGATTCAAAAAGAAAAGAGTAATCGCAACGATCAGCAACTTTAAGGTACGCTGAAACAGGTGTCAAAAAGTCGGCTTCTAATTCTGCAAAAATCGGAATAGTATTGCCCTTTTTCGCAGCAACGATAGCTTGTACTTCTTCAAGTGTTGGCTTCAGTTTTAGCGTCATCTTATGAATGATATGTATTTGAGTGCTACTGGAGGTTGAGAATTGAAGAAGAAAGAAAGGAAGAGAAGATTGTCTTGGATAAAAAGAGGAAAGGATCTTAAACGTAAAATGTGGGGCATTGATTTGTTGCTGGTTACAAACTCAGTTTCTTATTCTGCTGCAAGTGTTGGAATTGCTGACGATGACTCATTATCTTAACCTTTTGATGTATTCAGCGAGAGATTGAGCGAACACATACTTAATAAAGCAAAGATAGTTTTTATTATCTTGCGGCTTCAGCTCAGATATACGACTCAACTCTACACAAAACATAGCTTATATCTTAGAAAACAAACCTATGCAGCGCGCCCAGCCAGGCCGAGAAATTATTAGAGATTGATATGACCTAAAGTTTCGGAGTTACGTATTAAATCTTTGAACAGCTGTTTTATTGATATTGAATGTGTTTAATTTCTACTTTCAATCAATAGCTCCACCGCTCATATATAGCAATTCATATAGTACTTGCCAGAGGGAAGAGGAAACTTCATTAGTCCAACATAATAAGAAGCCTCTCAGCTGTGTAAGCTCTTTGCGCATACCTCTACCCTTGCAACGAAAGAATCTCTATCTATGGCAATATCATTGACAGCAAAGGCTTTAGCAATATTTACAACGTCAGCGTCCCATTTAGCGGTCAATATTGACTATGTATGTGGCCTTGAACTTTTTTTTCAGTTTCGTCGGCCATCACATAATACAACAATAGGCCTAGTTTGATTACGCAGCTCTTTTGTTTATCACGTTGAATTAGAACAAGGGCTATTCTGTATCGATTGTAGAAGCCAATTAGAATACTTAAAGCCCTTCATTTTAAAGGCTACAATGATGGGGAAGAAAAATTGCTCAACATATTATGCACAGACACATAACACTTTTTCATGGTTCATTTGTTTGTTGGTAGTATAAATTGAAGAAGTGATGAATAGCCAGCAGTACTTCCTTCCTTCTTCTCAGAAATTTAAGCTGAACGATACCTCGGCTCAAAAATTTTTATTTGGAGACGAAGTAAACTGGTTTATCTATACAGCTTTAACCATCCATTGTAGTAAAATATTTTAAATATTATATCAATGTTATGTGATTGTCGTAGAAATTGTTTATTTGGCGTTTTATTTCGCAATCATTATGCAAAAATCTATATATATATATATTGGTTCATCAATATTATGAATAGACAAACAAGCTTTCCAAAATCTGTCAAACGAGTTTTGAGGGTATAATAAGCGACTATGAGATGCCAGTTTCCCCCTTTTCTTTCCCCCACATAAACTAGCTCTTTTTCCAATTCTTTAAGTGACAGATTCTTCACATTTTGCTTGGAACGATGTTTTCGAACAACTTAGTACACGCAGTCAAGGAGAAGTTCAACATAAATCAAAACAATAGAAAGTGAAGGAGAAACAGCTTTAGCAGTTTTAATTCAAATCAGAACTCTGTAGATTTTTTTGCTTGCAATAGATAGACCAATAATTGGTTATACTTACAATACCACAGAATATGATAAAAGAGCAGCGAACTATTTCTAACATAGCGGAAGAAGACGTACAAAGAAGAGAGAGCGATAAGTTAGAAATACTTTGACTATAATAGAAAAGGTGGAAGTTTGTTTGATGAAGAGGTCGTAAAAAATACAAATGTCAATAAGAAATAGGCGAGCACAGTGTATTAGCGTTGATCAATGACCGCGTGCGGTGATTTTTCAATACTTGCAAAAGTAATATTAAAAAAGTACCAAACACGGTATCGGTGCACACGGTTAAGTCTGAGTTTTAAAACGAGTTCTGCTTCTCATCATTATGGCTAAAACAACAATCGCCTTTCCATCAAAAGAAAGCTTTCGAAGACTCTGAATGGGGAATTTCTGGTTAAAACAAATTCATTATTATCGTCCGGGATTCAATAAATTTGCATAATTAAAATTGAATTTGTGATAATTAAACAACGAAACAGAATTTGCAATAAGAGAAGAAACTAAATTTTATATTTAGGTCCTTCTCAGCTTTTCAAACTATAGCAACAGGTGTTTGATTCACGTGTCTATAACAATTTTTCAAGATTGACATACTCAACATCCTGAGAATTGCACTCTGAAAAAGGTTGTTCAGTTCAGATAGTTAAATGGACAATGAAATGAAAAATGAGCCCTTGAAATAAGCGGATTTGACGATTCATATGAGGAATGCTTTTCTATAATGGCTTTGACAGCAAACATCCGGCTTACAGACACACTTAATTGTTTGACTTGTTGCACGGATCGCTATTTTAGGATATTGAAACAATAACAAAAAAACCAGCATTAAGAAAAATAAACCCAACTCTCTTTACGCTATCCTGCCTTTCTTTTCTCTTTTTTTGTGATATATTCAAACGTGTACACTTAACCACCAAGCTCTTCCGCTCATTTCTTTGTATCATCAGTCCTATTTATTTCGACTTTCAACTATTTAGAACAGGTTAATTATGGCAACGTTGAGAGTAAATTGATCATCGGGAATTGGAATTTATTGAAATATGTGAAATAATTCATGCCTCACACGTTTCTATTGCCAGGAACATAAACTCAAACTGTCACGATATGGGTATTCGCACCATTGGAAACTTATTAAAGACAAGGATATCAAACAAAAGCAGCGCAATGAGTCAAAATCATACCATCTGGAATTCTACGAAAAAATATCGAGGCAAATAACGAAGCCGTTGGTAAAAACAAAAGAAAAGAAAAAGTTGAGGCAGAATATATGAAAATCAGGTCATGCAGGGACTAAGGTTTGCTTATTCAAAGTGTCAAAATATAGATTTGATTGTGCCCGCTAAAAAAAGAACACAAAGTAAGCAAAATAAATGAGCTTGAAATGTTACAGCATTGAGGAGTGTTTACACCAGTTCTACTTTGATCAATGTAGAGGAAGAAATACAGCTTGAACAGTTTTTCAATATCATCGGTACAGAGCTACATGAGCAGAGATCTCAATTCCACAAGGAAGACGATAGCGATTTAAGCAACAACATGGCAGATAACGCCACTAAAGAAGTAACCTTGAGAAAAAAAAAAAAAAAAAAAAAAAAAAGACGAAACGTAGAAAGCATTGTCAGCAGTTATTTAATGATATGTCACATCGTTTTTCAGGTCAAACAAGACGATGAGAAAAGAGAATATTGTATAGAAGAATTTATTAGGACTGAGCAAAGCTACGTAGAGACATTAAGAACACTGGTCGAAAGAATAGTGAATCCGCTCAAATCAACAATGCATCAAAAGAATTGTACCTTGAATACATTCAAATGCCAAAAAATATTCTTGAATGTGGATCAAATATTACGAGCCAATCAAGCATTTCTAGACAGCCTGATTAAAAAAGAAGAAAATTTCGGTGATCTATGTAGAAAGCATGTACGTCAATCTCTCAGCTGTATGTTGCAATTCTAGACTTGCAGAAACTAACTTGAACTATTCTAAGGACAGATCAACAATTTTGAATGCTATAGAAAATATCTGCTTGAACAAGCAGAAGCACAAAAGCTGCACACAAAAGAGTATAAAACAAACCAGGCATATAAGCGTTTTATCACACGAGTAAAAGAGCATCCAGATTTCAAACGGAAGCGGCTGCAAGATATCTTGGTAGAACCAGTGCAACGTATTAGTAGATACTCGTTGATGTTGAGGGGTATCCTTCAACTCACCCCAGCAGAACACCCAGAATACAACGGCTTACAAGCAGCATGTGAAAAGGCAAGGGAAATTGCAACGTTAGCGGACGATAATCCGACAAAAACGGCAACCATGTTTTTAAATCTATACCAAGCAATAAAGGATTCACCAGTAAAGTATACAACAGGACACTTCAGTTAACCTACCCCTTTTCTTGTCTCTCTTCTATTTACTAAGTTTATTTCGAAATTTGATGGATGTAGTGTTCTTTGATAAATCAGAAAAGACTCCTGATTGCGCATTTAGACGCTATTGAAATACACCGAGTTACTAATAAGCCAACAAGAGCAGTATCCATATTTCTGTTTACAGATAAAATTTTGGTAGCAAGCCGCTCTTCCATTGATTCGAAGGAGATTAATTTGGACCAAATATTGCACAATTCCAACCCTGTATGCCCAACAAGTACTATTAGCTCAGCACCTTTATTTTCCAGTACAAGCAATCTGCATCATCATCTTAATTTAACCAAGTCTGATAAACCAACTTTGAAATTCAAAGGCTGGGCTGATGTGGAGAGCATTGAAATGTTCGATGGTGTTCCAGGTAAAGTGGATTATCCATTGCATACATGTGTGCATGTATTCTGATATTCACCAACGAATAATTTGCAGAACGCCCTGGTTCTTTCATTCTGTCTGCTACGAATGTTCCTGAAATCAAAAGAGATGAGGTTTCCAATATAACATCTTTTGAAAAGTACTTTTATAAGGGACCAAGGATTTTCACCGTAATGCCAAACAACAGTAGCTGTTTAACAAAACATAAAAGAGAAGATTATTTCCAGAAAGTGACTGTATTTAGGGAATCGTATCAACGAACAAGAGCTCTCATGAAAAGATACGACACCTTCAACGATAAAGTCTACTACAAGCTCTGGAGCGGTGTGCCTACTTTCTGTAACGTTTATACTGCAGAAAGTTATATGAATGCCAAATACAAGAGTGATACAGCGATTATTTACGTCGACCATCCACAGATAGAAACAGAAGAAGTCTTTTCGGATTGTTCACCTCTTTATAGCCCTTGGATTGTTGGACTTATACAACCCGAAGATATGAAGGGCTTTCGATTTCAGGTTTGCACAAGGGTCAATTTTCCAGCTTACAAAGCCTCTCGTTCAGCTTCAAATTTAGCTGAGCAGACTATTGATTTCGAAAACATATTCTGGAACAATCGTAAGTACATTCCATAAAATCGATATGTATGAAACATCCTCTAATGAAATGGTCTTTTTCCAGTCTATTACTTGAACCAATGCTTGAAGCAAACAGCAGACTACGCGACGCAGACACTTGTAAAAATTCAAGAAAGCATTTTAAGCCATCCTCAGCAGCGTCACAGGTCAAGATCTATAACGCGTCCACAAAGTGTGTCAACCATCGGAAAGCTGTTCAGTACGAATAGCCTTACCCCCAGTGCTGCGAATGCCACGTATGCTCACTTTTCCCCAAGTGTTAGTAACAATGATAATTATAGTAATAAATGTAATGATGGTAGAACACGCTCAAGATCAGTTTCGCCGTCGAAAATGCTCAATAGAAAAAGCAACTTTTCCCAGCAAGGGCAGCTGTCACCAACATCCTCCTTATCAACTTCGGCAAAACAAAGACCTACGCCAGTACATCACTCTTGGAGCGGTTCTTCTACTTCAGCATGCAGCTATCGTCATCATCAAAAGGATAGTAGTGATTCACTCAGTCGAAATTCATCTATCACAACATTTTCCTCTTCCACCACGCCATTATCACACCATGAACTTCTACCAACACCTTCAAACGAAGAAGAACGCCATTTTAAAGACGACGTTAGTAGTCATTACAAAATGGTAAAATATCAGCATTTGAAACTCGTTTGCACAGCATATAAGCTGTTCTTATTGATCCCTCCTTTTTTTCTTAGACCCAGTCTATTACAAATGGTGAAGAAGACATGAAGAATAACAACAATAAAAATACAATTTCTTCGTTGGGAAGTGATATGAGTGCGGTAACCTCTTTCAGTATGTTTGATGACGTCCTTGGCGTAGACGACGATGATGATGTGGAAGTAGATTACCTGACTTTAGATATAGATAAACGAAGCATGGCACAGAGCCGACTAATAAGGGAAGAAGAAAGACTACAAAGTTTCAAGCACATATCTCCCATCACTTCGCCCAACCTACCGACTCCAGCACCTACTCCACCCACAACACTTATGGAAGCTGTTTATACGCCTACTGATATCAAGAATAAAAGATCCTCGACAGCAATGTCGATGCCAGTTGTTGATAACTTAAGCTTCGATTTCAATTCCATTCTTGGCTTCGAGGATGAAATGAAACAACAGTGGAACGATCTTGTTAGTAAATACGAACTTTAAAACCCATAGCACTGTGTCAATAACAACATTTGCCTTTCTGTGTGAGTCAAGATGCTATCTACATATTATAAGAATAACATTATCTAATTCTTCTAATCTGTAATGTACATTATAATGTAAATAATATACCATAGTAACTACCATATAATTTTCCCATCAAATAAAAATCGAATAAACATTGTGCATTAATATTGTTTGACTTGAAGGTGCCGGTCTACAGATTCAAAATATCTATTTGAAACCCACATGATGTGATCTGACCATCCATTGAAGGACTTTGTCTATTAAGCCAAGAAGGTAGCAATGCTATTTTCGAGCACCATGTACTGAAGCTGTTTGCTTCATTATCCTTCATAAACCAAAATGTTTACGAACTGTACCGGCCAGCTATTTTCTTTAATTGACTGATGCGTCTCTTGACACCTATCTAGCAATAATATAGATTAACAGCATGACCTGTGAAAGGAACGTAGTTGTTGCATGCGTTTGTCGACTCAAAACCAAAACCAACCAAGCCAACCGCAGAAATTAATCCAATGAAATATGTAACAGCAAGCATGTTTGCAGGGATGGGTTTGAAAAGGGAAAAAAAAACGAATGTAAGGGACAGTACTGCATCTGAATTTAAAGTACAAAAAAATCACATAAAGTGCATTGAATGAACACTTGAATACATCCAAATGGTCTTAAACAATGTGCTATGGCTTCAGTACTTGAGAGCGAGCTCTTACACAAATTCAAGACTGTTTCTGACGGAGACAATGTTTTTGTCCACTTCCCCAAAAAGGTAAATTGTGAACCATTGTGATTCCTTGAGGCTGGTGGTGGCACACAAAGGGTGCATTTGTTCAGAAGTTCCATCAGAAAACTAACCAGATTAGGCCATGAATCAGCAATTGTTGGGCTAAAATTGTTTTATTTTTTTTTTTTTTCGATGTTTCTACTGTCTTTTCGATTTTTTCTTTCCATCCTAATCAATTTCGTTTTCATTGTTTCTTTTTTTTTAAATTTAGTAAATCTTTTTTCGATTTGCAGTTGCTGTTGCTTTATTAAACCGTACTATACACGCATAATACAATCATGAGTTCTACGACTGGATCAGATCAAACATCGTAAAATCAAAAGTTATCATCTGTATGGCACTTTTCAATATCAATTGACTAACGAATCTTGCGTTTTATTCCCTTTTTCGCATGTTCTCTTGCTATTATTCTGTTGGTCGTCACAACACTTCTCTTCTTTGCTCATTTGCGACATCTCAACAAAAAATTATGGTACATTGCGATTCAATAGTATGGACAACTCCTTTTCAACCTTCACGTCCAGTTTATGGTTTAACGCTGCATTGGCGACAGCATTTTTTGGTGCTTTTTTTATATTAAGGCCCTTAAGAAGAGAAACATATGCTCCACGAACTTATGCGGTGGATAAAGAGTAAGTTACACGTGCACAAAAGGTGATTTACATTACCCTTGCTGGAAGTGTTGATCGACTTTTTATATTTTTATTTTCGATAGTAAAAGACCGCCGCCGCTGCCAGAAGGGTTTGGGCGGTGGTTTATAGCAATATTTAAGATTAAAGACGATGAATTAATACGATCCATGGGCCTAGACAGATTCATGGTCTTGAAGTTTTTGAGAATGGGCATGGTCACCTTCTTCTTATATTCTATCGTCGCTGTACCAATTTTGTTTCCAATTATTACAATCAATCAGGGAAATTTGAGTGGTCTAAACTATCTTACAATGGGTAACGTCATAGACGATAATCGTCTATGGGCACACTGCATATTAGCCGTACTTTTAGCGAGTAAGTGAATCTATCAGGAATTCTTACTTTATCAACTCTTGCTAACTATTTTGATATTCTGTACAATTACAGTTTTGGTATGGTATTATACCTTCCGCGAAACAAAAATATATATCAATTTAAGGAGAAAGTATCTCCTCAGCTCAGCTTATGCCGACACTGTTGCAGCTCGTACGCTTTTTGTACCATCCATTCCCAAAGATATCAACACTGCCGATGAATTGGAGAAGATCTTTAACAAATTTCCCGGAGGCGTTCGACGCATTTGGCTCAACAGAAAGTTAGGAGACCTTCCCAAACTTGTGCAAAAACGACAAAAAGCGGCGATCACTCTGGAACATAAACTCACCAAAGCAATTTTGGCCACGTATAATCATCGAATGAAGAACAACGGCAATAGGATTATGGAAGAGGAAGAAGGAGTATCTGACGTCGGCATTCCACAAAAATTTCGACCTACACAGCGCGATAACGCATTTTGTATCCCTCTACCTTGCTTTGGCGAGAAGGTAGATACGATTAGATATTACCATAATCAAATTAAGAAATTGAATGACAAAATTACTACCAAACAAGAAGATGCACACAACTTAAAACAGGTCAACTCTGCATTTATCGAGTTCAATCAACAAATTGCTGCCCATATGGCTGCCCAATCTTTAATGCACAAAAGAGCGATGGAAATGGCACCTCGCTATAATGGCATCGCGCCTTCTGATGTTATTTGGGAAAACATGAATATTCACTCTTTTGAAAGAATGTTGCGCCGCATTGCCAGTATGTCAGTCACTGCTGTCATTATTGCCTTTTGGGCTGTACCTGGTATGGAATTTGCGTTGCTATTGCATAATTTTTTTCTGTATAACCTTTTGATCCTTTTTGTCTAACCTTTTCTACTCTGGGCAACGAACTGTATTTTATAGTTATCTTTATCCAGGCTGTTGCAAATATCGATACCTTGTCGAAAGCATTACCCTTTTTAGCAGGCATCAAAACCTGGCCTGATCAAGTCGTTGGTATCATCCAGGGTATTTTACCCTCTGTCGCTTTGGCTATTTTAATTGCGTTGGTTCCTATTATCTTTAAAATTCTTTCTACTTTGGAAGGCATTCCTCAAAAATCCTTTGTAGAATTATCTGTCCTTCATAAATTTTTCTTTTTCCAATTGGTCGATGTAGTGCTTATCTCTACACTCTCCGGTGGTTTCTTGCAGATCACAGATCAGTTCGCCCACTTTGCTCAAGAACCATTCCAAATCATTAACGTGCTTTCCGAAAATTTACCCAAGGCTTCAACTTTCTTTATCACCTTCGTCATGCTTCAATCCACCAATCAATCCGGCCAGACGATGGTGCAGCTCGTACCCTTTTTACTGTCTTATCTGACCCCCTTCTTGAACGGCACTCCTCGTGACATTTGCAATTCCAAAAAGACATGTCCTACCATCAGCCTGGGTACTTTGATTCCTGCCCAAACTGTCATTTTCATTCTTGGTCTCGAATACGGTGTGATTTCCCCTCTCATTTTACCTTTTGTCCTGTTATTCTTCATGCTTCAATATTTCGTATACCTTTATCAGTTCTTATATGTATATGAACTACCTTATGAAACGGCCGGTCGTCATTTTCCTAGAGCTATCCGCCACATTTACATTGGTCAAATTATCTCTCAATTAACCTTGATTGGTCTGTTTGCTATTAGACCAGGAACACATGGTCAAATGGGTGTCATGATCGCTACCTTGGTATTCACTTGTTTCGCGCTCTATTACTACAATCATGCATTTAGACCTCTCTTCAAATACTTGCCCGTATCCTCCTTTAAAGACGTTGATATGTCCGCTAAGTATGACTCTGTCCTGGATGAGGATGAAAAGTATTTCACCGCTCACACACATGATGAAAAGATGCAACTCATGAAAAGCGCAGAACCTCTCACTTCCCAACAAGATTCAGATAATAGCAATAGCAGCGATGAGAATGTATATCACAAGGTTGACTTTACGAAATTGGCTACCCATAGTTCGTTGAAATCGCGTACTTTCCCAGAAGCTTACTGTGCTCGTCGACAGTTATTGCAAAGATTGGAAAGTGAACAAAAGAAAGACATTGAAGAGATCAAAAAGGACAACGATAGGATTATTCGTACAGCCAAATCCTTATATGATACAGAATCTTATATGCATCCATCGACTTATTCACCCGCGCCTACCATCTGGCTTCCTGAGGACGAGCTTGGTATTGCTCAAAACGAAGTCAAAGAATTGAAAGCCAACAATATTGAAGCAACAACGCGGGGCGCCGCTATTGAACCCAACAAAAAAGGAAAAGGCCGAGTGACGATTGATGAAGATAGATTTGTGTATGCTGACGAAGGTGCACCAGGTGCTAACTCTTCTCCTGGTGAAGAAGCCAAGCTCCACGATTACGTTCGTGTGCTGGTAGATAGTTACAATTTCACTGAAGCAATCACTATGTATTAAGTGTACACAAAACTGCTTTTGTAAACCTTCTTCACTCGTCTCTATATTACCTACCTCTACCTAATGAGTCTATTCTCTGTTAGAAGTCTCATTTCTAACAATTGAATCAAAAACATTACCTAATTGCGCATATTTTGCATTTGACACCTTGTTTCATCTACAGATAATATTTTATTTTATTTCTTCTTTTTTTACCTATTACTCCCTTAATTATTACGCAACATCTAATCTTATTTCTTGTAAAATAAAAAACTGCAAAAAGCAGATTTTTTTCAAAAGAATAGAGGGAAAGGGTTCATTGGATCAGAAAATCCCGTTGGCTTATTAATTTGATCTGATTTATAAGCAAAGCAAGTCTGATTTCCATTATGCAGCTTTATAAATTAGGCCCCAAGGCCCGTATTATGAAAGAAACCGCTACGATATTTATCGTGGTATGCCTCTATAAAAAATTAGGAGTCATTAGGTTGCTTCTGAAGTGAACGCCTAATTTTCATGAAAAGATACAGACGCTTCTTATAGCGATAAGTATAGCTTATGAGTGTTTACAAACAAAAAGTGTGTTGACAAAACATGGCAGTGAAACCGAGTATTGCTTATGTAACCACACCTGTCCCGCATTGAGCGCCTCTTGCCAATTTCATCATGGCCTATACTTCACAGTCCACTCAGATAAATAACATTCATATAGAGCTGATGCTTTCATGGTTGTCATAGAAAAGGGCATTGCTACAAATCTCTGCACTTACTGTGTTCTCATCCGAAAGAAAGTGAAAGATAGCCACTCAGCGATTATGTAATAAAAACCAAGCCCGTTTCCATGGGGACAGTCGGGATTTGAAATCGTCTTAGTAAGCAAAGCCTTATTCACGCAATTCCTGTATCCATCATTATGCAGCCAAAAAGCCCCAATAAGGCTAGATCTCTGTAACAAAAACAACACATATTGTTTTTTATTTTAATTAATGCTAACATAAACTACTTTCCATGCTCTGATTTTACAAACATACAGTTGTGATCGGGATATAGTGAAAATGATTCAATTTTTATATATATATATTTACAAAGAAAGCTTTTCCTTCAATAAGTCTTCAAGCTTAACACCATCTTTAGCAAAGTTACGGATGCCTTCAGACAACTTTTCAGTAGCCATAGCATCTTGGTTCATTTCCCAACGGAAAGCCTTTTCGTCCTTGAAGAAAGTGACCTTTTCGAGGTCGCATGTCTTTGCATTATCAGGACTCAACTTGCGTTCAATGTTCTTGTTATCTTCTTGCAACTTGGCCAAAAGGGCAGGAGAAATGGTCAAGAAATCACAGCCAGCCAATTCTTCAATTTCACCGGTGTTACGGAAAGAAGCACCCATGACAATGGTCTTATAACCGTACTTCTTGTAGTAGTTGTAGATTTTGGTAACGGATGAAACACCGGGATCGTTGGCAGCAGTGTAATCTTCGCCAGTAGTTTTCTTGTACCAGTCGAGAATACGACCGACGAAAGGAGAAATGAGAGTGACACCAGCTTCGGCACAAGCAACGGCTTGAGCAAAACCGAACAACAAGGTCAAGTTACAATGGATACCGTGTTTGGTCTCGAGAACATGAGCGGCTTGAATGCCTTCCCAAGTAGAAGCGATCTTGATCAGGACGCGTTCCTTGTCAACGCCATTTTCTTCATAAAGCTTGATGAGAGCGAGAGCCTTGGAGACGGTGGCATCGGTATCGAAGGAGAGACGAGCATCAACCTCGGTGGAAACACGACCGGGAACGATCTTTAAAATTTCGGTACCAAAGTTGACCAAAAGTTTGTCATTAGCCAAACGAAGCTTTTCATCATCCGATCTAATAATACACAAGAAAGTACGTTAGTTCCAGATCATAATCAAAAGAGTGACCCTACTTAAGCCTAACATCCATGTGGGAAACAAAGTTCATACACATTGACAACAAAAGCCCTCTTTCTTCCTTCCCTGCTCCCCCATTTTTTTGTTTGTTTACATCATCACACACACCCCATTACGATACTTACTTTCCCTTTTCCTTGGCATATTTGATGGCATCTTCAATAAGATGAGCATATTGAGGCTTTTGAGCAGCAGCCAAGATCAATGAAGGGTTGGTGGTAGCATCTTGAGGCTTGTATTGAGCAATAGCTATAGCATGAACACACAAGAAGATAACGTCAGCATTCATTTTTCGAGCGCTGTGTGCGGAAAGAATGGGGGGCGTTCGTTTGCATTCAACTTACATTCAAAGTCACCAGAGTCAGCAACAATGGTAGTGAACTTCTTGAGTTGTTCGAGAACAGACATTTTTATAGTGTGTAGATGGATATGGAGTCTTTTTGAGATAATAAAAAGAAGGGAAAAAGGGAATTGGTTTGATGGAAAATTTAATGCTTTTTATATAAATGGTTAGAGTTTTTTCCCGCTCGCCCGCCCCGAATGATGAATAAGCTATAGTCAATGCCATGGGGCAGGTCGACTAACATTTTAAAACAGCTGAGAATAAATTATTAATGCAAAAATGAGGCGTTCGGTAGAATGTTTAAGTGCCGTCATGTATAAACAGAGTCTGAATCTTTCACCCCGTTGACATAAAGTATAAAAAGCAGAATTTGGTCTACCCATTGATAACTGTAAATTGGGACCATCTGTTGCCATGTTGAGAGTTAGCAACAGGAAATGTTGACGCTTGCATCTTTTTTTATAGAGTACCCAGATATCAGCGAAATAGGATGAGAGAAGCCCAGTATAAACATCATGGAAGGCGCTTGAATAACAATTTAGTGCAGCACAGAGTTCATATATAAATGATAGCAAAAGAAGCCAACCAACAAGAGTGCTAAAATGGTTGATTAGTCAAAACTGACATCAGGAACGATGTGTGTATGCTGCATAAATTATGTCAAAAATAGCCACTGTGACTGGAAATCGTTTCGTGTTCACTCTCTCAATTTCCTACAAAATTAATCGCGTTGCTGGAAACCCGAAATGCAGACGTTTTATTTCTACACAACGTATAACGATAATGTTCAAACGAGTGGCAAAGGAATTGAAAAAGCAGCAAATTGAAGACAAAGAATTTGATGCTAATGATGACGAGGAAAGATTGGCTGGTGCCTTCTCTTCCGACGAGTCCAATACTGACAGCGACAACTCTGACGATGAAGAAACAAGAAGATACAAGAAAAGAGCTAGAAAAGCCCTCATTCAAACTATGAATCAGTTAGCTGATGAATCTGAGTCTTCTTCAGACAGTGATGATGATGATGATGATGATGATGATAGTGATAGCAACAGCAGCGATGATAATGACGAAGAGTTAGTTGCAGAAACAGAAGAAAATGATGAAGATGTAGCATCAGCTACCAATTTGGTTTATGCTTGTGATATTTGTCCTGATAAAAAATTGAAAACAGAAGAGCAAGTAGAAGAACATCTTAACAGTAAATATCATAAACGACGCGAGAGATATTTGATCAGACAAGGTGTGATAGAAGGTGAAATTGAGGATAATCAAAAGGACAAACCAAAAGAAGATAAAGCAGAAAAAAGAAGAAGAAAGAGAAAAGAGTACAAGCAGAAAAAATGGGCAAAGAAGAACAAGCTTGCTGCCGCGCAAAAGGAGGGCAAAACCAAGGATGCTGAAACAGTTAAAGTGGAAAAGGAACAACAACAACCATTGAAAGAAAATACCAAGGATGATACAAACAATAAACCCATTGCAAAGGCGAAAGGGAAAGCCGCCTCCAAAAAGACCAGCAACGATAAGCCCACAGTAATGGACGACAAAAGAAAGGCAATGCAAGATGATATCAAGCCCAAGAAGGAAAACAAAAAGGTCGCCAAAAAGTCAAAGAATTGAGCATGATCTATAATTAGTACACGCTGCTAGTATTGCATTCGTGAATTGTAATGTCCAAAATTTGTTATACCATAGACTATTTTAGTTAGCGCTGAATGCCAGACTTGTACAATAAAGAGAGTAACAATATTGTAAATCGTAGTTAGCAATGAATCTGATTGTCAGGCTTTGAAAGAAGCTTGTTAAAGCAAAGTTAATCCTTTACTTGCATCTCCATCCTATAGGCCATCGACACAGTCATAAAATGGCTAAACTTGCCGTTACAGCTTATCGAGGTTAAAAGGAAACCGTTCGTTCATCGCGAAAGAAGCAGTTTTTATGTTTTAATAAGCTATATTCGCAACGAATGATAATCCAAAGCTGTCTCACGAGAATCGTGTCTACGTTAGAGCTCCTATAGATGGTTTCAGTAACAGACCTATCAACTTGTGCTAACGCTTCTGTTGACCTCAAAGAACAGAACAGAAAGGTGATGCTATGCTGAAAACTGGAAAAGATGTAAGTGCTGTAAATAGGTCAATGATATTGATATTGAAGGCTACAGATATAAGTAATCGATGGAAAGACTAATTTCCCCCACCCCCTCCAATATGTAGTTAAGCAGAAAAGCAGAGTTTCCAACATACAGTCGTAATAGGTGGTTTCCGTTAGAAAGAGAATTACTATAATTATCGTTCGACTGACAAACAATATTTATCGTGTAGTATGAGGGCTCTCATATCAACCAACCAATCAACCGCTCCCAACCTCCCAACCCCCAAAAGATGCAGATGCACACGTTCGATAACCGTTGTGGGCATTGTTTGATTCAAATTCGTCGTTAGGCATAGTGCATTCTTTTAGCTTCCCGAATCTGTCTTTCGATTCAGTATAAACTATGCATCCATAGACGTGTAAGTGGGTATAAGCAACCTTTTGAGAGAATATATGCTAGGACTTTTCAAGCTGCCTTTCTCGCAAAACTTTAGCTTTCAGGTACATTTATCTCCAAAAGGCGACATACTAGGATATTGAAACAGCGATCGCATGATGAGAATGATATATAAACCATCAGTCATCAGTGTGAACGTAGAGATAATTCTTGTTGTGGGAGGGGGGGGGGATGTCTCTCCTTTTCAGTCTTTGAACCAGCGTCGTTGTCATTTATACATGACGGCTTCTGTGTTGCTTAAGAGCTAATATTTTGAGCAATAGACTCGTCTACAGATCATTTGTCCAGACTCCAAGGCTAAGAGAGTTTTAAAAAATTGAATGCTGCTTAAAAGCCTAACTGTATTTAAACGAATAATCGTTGAACGGTAAAGATTCGATTAAACTGTATAGATCTTTTTTTTTATTTCTATGTATTAAAAATGAAAGAAAACATTAAAAGAAAACAATATGTATTGATAACATGACAGTGACAAAAGAACAGGGGTGTGGATGGATTTTTAAATAGTAATGATATATAAGTAAAACACAATAAAAGGGAGGTAACGAAGAGCAAACATATTACACTAGGGTAGAAGACTTGAGACTCGTTTCAATATCGGCAACAACCATTTCGTGGACGAGTTCATCAAAAGTGACCTTACGCTTCCAGCCCAACTTTTCATTGGCCTTTGTAGGATCACCCAACAAAAGATCAACTTCCGCAGGACGGAAATATTTGGGATCAATGCGGACACGCACTTTGCCAGTTTCAGCATCCTTACCAATCTCATTGACACCTTCACCTTCCCAAACAATAGTGCGGCCTGTTACCTTAAAAGCCTTTTCAACAAAGCTACGGACAGTGTGTGTTTCACCAGTAGCCAAGACGAAATCATCAGGCGTTTCTTGTTGTAACATGAGCCACATACCTTCAATATAATCACGGGCATGACCCCAATCACGCTTAGCATCGATATTTCCAAGGTAAAGACATTCTTGACGTCCCAAATGGATATCGGCGACAGCACGAGTAATCTTACGAGTAACAAAAGTGCGACCACGACGAGGAGATTCGTGGTTGAACAAGATACCGTTACAGGTGTACATACCGTATGATTCACGGTAGTTGACGGTGATCCAGTAACCGTAGAGTTTGGCCACACCATAGGGAGAACGAGGATAGAAGGGTGTGGTTTCCTTTTGAGGGGTTTCTACGACCTTACCGTAGAGTTCGGAAGTAGAAGCTTGGTAGAATCGGACACGGTCAGCAAGACCACAAGTACGGATGGCATCTAATAAACGAAGTGTACCAAGGGCATCCACATCACCGGTATATTCAGACATGTCAAAGGAAACCTTGACGTGTGATTGAGCTGCCAAATTGTAAATTTCAGTAGGTTGAACTTTGGAGACAATATGAACCAAACATGTGGAATCAGTCAAATCACCATAGTGAAGGAAGAATTTGACACCTATTTTGTGCAAAGAAAGAGGAAACGTATCAATATCGCCGAGGAATTTTTTAATCTCATAGCACAAGTACACATATACACAAACGCCCGTCATTTTCTTTTTTCTTAAAACTAAAATGTAAATTTACCAGTTTCGTGTCTGTCTCTGTAGATATGCTCAATACGACCCGTATTGAAAGAAGAAGAACGACGAATGATACCGTGAACTTCATAACCCTTTTCCAACAAGAATTCGACCAAGTAAGAACCATCTTGACCAGTGACACCTGGTTACATTAAAAAAAAAATTGTAAATTTCGTATGAATAAATTGTCCTGTCATATCGCTGTTTCGAAGCTTTTGATACTGTGTGCTAACGAAAGCACCTGTCATAACGAATCTTAATAATGACAGCTTCGTGTTGAAATAGTAAAAACGTACCAGTGATAAGAGCAACCTTTCGGGCTCTATATTCTTCAGGAGTCATATTATTGAGATCACCGTTAGACATGTTGAAGTTTTTGATAAAAAGACGAAAAAAACAAAAAAACAAAAATAAAAAAAGGGATATAGGAAAAGAGAGTGTTTGTAGAAAAAGGAAAGCTAAAAGGAAAAGAGAAAGAGTAATAAAATTAAGAAAACGAAATTGAAAAGTTTATCTTTAAAGTTGGGCCTTTCTTTTTGGGTAAATAAACACTTTTAGAAAAAGCTCCGCTATTCTTGCTTGGCCTTATTTCGTATGTGTTTTTTTTTTTTTTTTGTTTGAGATCATACAGCGTGAAAAAGCACACAACATTAAACATGGTTTTATGGGGAGGATGAAACCTAAGAAATTCAACAATGTCAGAATTAGCAGAGAACAAATAAAGAATTAAATCAAAAAAGTTAGACTTCCATAGGAGACTTTAGGAGGATTTATTGGTTTAACACAATAAGGATCGAATACTCATTTCTATTTTGCGGTTAGCAGAATTTGTTGTTGTAGACAAAATCGGATTTTCAACAGTTGTTCTTGATTTGTTTTGTACAGAAGAAGCTGCTGCGTTTAAAGTACTACTTGATGTCTGTAAAAAGTATTGTTGTGTGGGATGTGTGATGGGAGAAGCTATGGAAGGGTGCATCACTACTGCAGTAGTAGGTGCCGTAGCTGTAGCTAAGGTAGCAATAGGTAGAACAGCCGTTTTCTTTATGGGTGAGTAAGGATCAGTGATAGGTGCAATGTGAAATTTAGGTGGAGAATGATGGGGAGTAGGCGCTGAAGTTGTTGAGATAAGATTGGGTTGATGAACGGATATAGAAAGCTGACGTTTCTTCTTTTCAAAAGAGGCGAGGTGATTATTTGTATGGTCTATTTTATTAAACAAGTTTAAAGGAGACCTTGCTGTGGCTGATGGCTTAATCGACATGAACGTCTTATAAGTTTTGCGGCTATTTATGTCATTGCTGTTGTGTCTATTTGAGGGTGATGATGAAGCTGAGAACGAAGACGCTGGTGACAAAGGTGATAGCGGTGAAAAGGCTGCTAAAGAATGGGGCTGCGATTCACTCCCTGGCTGAAGGTTGTTATTGATGCTTTTGCGGTTGATTGTACTGCTAGCACTAGCATTCTGCGCAGGAATAACTGTATTGCTTGATGACTGTTGCTGCACAGCAGAAGAAGTCATACTTGCTTTTGTTATTCTTGCTGGCTTTACTTCGTATTCATGCTTTTTAAGCTGGGCTACAATGTATTGTTTGGAAAGGCTGGAAAGATCATACAGATCAGCTCCTAAACCTCCGCCAATATAAACAATCACGTCGTATAATTCAAAATCTCCACTTCTTTTCCTTATGTGAATAGTATCTGAATATTGCTTGGAGCCATTAGCCAATTGTTTTAATTGTTCCTGATCGGTTGTATTAAATAAAGAAGAAGTCGTCCTCTCAGAAGCCGGTAATGCCATTGGCGGAGAAGCTTGTTGACTTCTGATAATATTCATGGTATTATCGATCAATAAACGATGCAATCGAGCTAATCGATCTGTATCCTTTGGTGATATAAAATCATAAAGTGAACGATGAGCCAATTCTTGCGGATAATATCCCCAATGCTCAATAACATCATCTGGAGCTTTTGCACAGCAAATTTCCATAGATAGAATCAGTGTAATTGTATAATCGTTTGTAGATGGTTCAGTTAATTTCTCTTTCATTAAAGCTGGTAAAGTAGTATTGGAATATGTATTTGTACTAACATTGGCTGTAGCCGCGGTTACGTTGCTTAAAGTATCCTCAAACGACATGAAAGGAATTAGGCTGGATATAATATTGTTTTCAATTTGACTGTTATCACTTGTATCCCAGTAAAATGGTTGTGGTATTAATCCTGGTGCAGTTATCGCCATTGGATCAGTGATAAAAGTAGTAGTAGCCGTAGTCGTTGAGGGGGTTGGGGTAATGGTCTTGGAGCCATTCATGTTATTCTGTTGTGGCAAAGACATATTGGCTGGTGTTTGCTTCATTGATATGGGCGTCAAGAGTATATTATTGGTCGATGCAATTGCTGTTGTAGTAGGTGCAATTTCAGGCATAAATGTAGAAGTAGGTTTAGTTGAAGTCAGTGTAGACGTGGAGTGAGGTATAGATAGAGGGTGGGTATTGTTGGTATTGTTGTTATTGTTGTGATAGGTAGTCGTCGTTGTAGCAGTAGTAGATGTAGATTGGAACGACTCGATTGCTTCGTGTATAAAAGATATAGTATTGTTCTTTTGAATAGATGGAGAAGTATTGTTGTTATTTACAAACATTGTAGACGTTGAAGCTGCATCGGTAGCATTACTGAATATCAGGGCAGGCGTTTCTATCGTACCATAGAGTATTTTAAAATTATCATTGTTCGCTGCAGAGATTGAAGTTGGAAATATCGATCTTTTGTCCTTCAATTTGGGCCTTCCTCTTTTCTTGTGTTGCATATCTTGGCATGTATCTGTCTTTTTTAACGTTATACATCGTTTACAGGGTCGAGAAACTAGTAAGAAAGGATCTAGTTAGAGTTGTGTTGGATCAATGTCTGAAAAGAGTCAACATTACCATCACATGCCAAGTGAGCTATTTTACAGTTAATACCTAAGCATTGTGGTAACCAAAAGTCAATACAAAATAGTGCGCAATTACATTTGTAACTTAACTTTACAAGCGCTGGGAACATGAGATTTATATCCTCTTTTTTGCCCTTTTACTGGCGTTGTTGTATTATTTGAAGTTGTAAAATTATCTTTATTTGTACAGTTATCCGTTTTTCCTACAGAAGTACAATTTGAACTAGGTGCAGCAGCTTTTTTTTTTTTTTTTTTTTTTTTTTTGTGTGTGTCGAGAGATAAATGAGTTTCTTCAAAGTGCGTTACGCATTCAAATGTCAACGTCAGCACTTACAATTGCAGTTGAATTGGTTTTGAGTACAATAAGCTTCTAGTAAAGTCAAGCGAAAGAAAACAATTTATTTTATGATTAAGAAAGTTGGCCTCAAATGCTATTATTACAGTGGGAAGCAGTCATACGTTTCTGAGCTGTATTGGTTGCTTTGATCAGATTCGAGTTCTGTCGGTCGACATTGTGATTCATTTAGAAAAGTAAAAACAAGAGAAGTATAAGCAAGATCTGTCAAAATTATTTGATTTGGTTGTAAAAGATAAAAAGAAGATAAAAGGGGGAATGAGGAACAATCCTTAGAAAGGGTCGTTGATTGTCCCTTTTTGGCTACCAGAGCTGCTCCACCAATTATATCAAACGGGCAGGCAGAGAAATATCTGCAGGATTGCCATTGTTCCATCTCTCACCAAAATGAAAATGCATTGTTTCTCACTTTTGAACTAACTACCTCTATTTTTCTGAACTAAGTTGATTTACAGCTCGATAGATATTCCGCCTTCGCTGCGTCAATAGCTATGGGCATGATTGCTCACTCGCTTTTTCACCTTGAATGTAAAAGTACTTGGCTTTATAATTATGGACTTTATCTATTTTTCAATATTCTCAAGTAATTAATATTATAATCGTTAAAAGAATATTACATATACCAAAATACTGAGCGTTTATTGTTCAAAGCTATCTAGTAAGCCAAAACCAACAGATTTTCAGAAGAATAGCGCCAATAGATCAAAAACTGCAGCTCTATAATGTTCAATGGACTACTTTCGCTAGTTGAAGGGTGTTCGTAATAACCATTGATGCAGATAGTGTTGCTTTCACTCTCCAAACTAAATGGGTTGCAGCTGCTGATAAGATTTTTATAGAATTGCTGATTAAATTTTCATGAAACACAGATTCACCATAAACTCTACGTCCGGTAGTAGTTGGCTTTTAAAAGAAAAACTTGAGGTGGTGCATTCAATTACAACTTGATCGATAAGAAGTCATATTATAGACCCATCGTAAGCATAGTCTATGATTAACTTCTCATGAAGGTAGCTTTCTGTCCAGACGAGCAATTCCTACAGTTTCGTAGCCTAACTATGACTGAGATTCATGTGGAAAAAGCTGGAGATAATGGTGTACCAGCTAAACGTTACATTTACTAATGAATATATATATCTTAAAACTGTTGTTCTGACGGTATCGTAGTTTCTTTCATGATACTGAAGTTGTTGTTCAGTTTATTTTTTCACAAAGATAACGTGAATTAGCTACAACCGTTGACTTTGTATTTATTTTTGGCTTTTTCTTTCAATTTGCTGAATAAATCTTGATTCAGTCAGATAGGACACTTCTCATTCGATAAATTGATAACCTTATCAATATTGTCTGGATAATTGTGCTTTTGACAACCACTGTTTCAAAGACTGGAAAAAGAATAAATCGGTAGTCTGATGAAGAACAAGCTCAGACCATACGGTTATGTTAATTAAGAAAAATAAAGCTCTCATTTCTATTCCTCTTGTCACCGGACTCCGTAGAAAGGAGAAGTGATAAAACATTTCAGGGTGATATATTAGGAATTTTGACATTTGTAAGTAATTCTTTTTGACTTGCATACAGATTTCAATTTTCATTGTATTGATTATATCGTCTGCGTTTGCTGTCACATATACTTTCTTTATTCAGTTACTCGATTTGTAAAACAAAAGCCTTCTTGTTTATGAGATGATCATGGCACTGAAGGAAAAGAGAAACGAAGAAGGAAAGGCAGCGAGAGCTTTAAGATGGAATGGTGGAGAATTAGTATATAAAGAACCACAATATTGTGCTTTGCCTTTTTTTTCTACATCGCTTTTTCTAAAAAATTGAAGCAAATTCTACTTTCACCACTTCCGTTCCTTCGAGAAAAATAAATGATGAGGCTTAACAATTTAATCGTTGTATTCTCTGTATACGCTGCTGCTTGCATAAGCTTGATTCATGGCTACTGTGTCTACAACTTTACAGATGATGTTTCTTATAGGGTACGACAATTGAGTCAAAATTCTGGTGTTTTTGATCTTGGGTACGTATAAACTTTTTCGAAAACGCGAACATAGAGATGTTATATATTGGAAATACAGTTTCATAGTAATAGTCGTTCATATTATTGTTTTCGTATATAGTCGCTTCTATCGCGAATCCCTCAAGCCTGGTGAGAGTGCATGCTGTCCGTACACTAACCACGATTGTAATAGCACAGGTGACAAAAATGCCCTTATAAAGGTTATGGTAATATATCATTCAGGCTATCACACAATTGTCTGTGAACAGTTCTAATGTTGTCTACATTATATTTCAGTTCCTAGGTGGTACTCCTACACACAAGCAGTTAAGAATCAACTTTCCTGCCGGAGGTTGGGTTGAAATCCGTGGTAAGGGTACAGACCGGCCTAAAGTTAACGCTTATTACCCTGATGGAACACCATTCCCTTTTGAACTCGTTACCACAGATAGTTGTTTCTTTTGCTGAACAAAGCCTTCTGTACTATCTCTGTATACCATTGTGTTATCTCTCATCACTTAACATAGAAATTATGAATTACGTGTATCTGTATTCCGAATAGTTTAATTTATAATCATACACCAACATAATATATAATAAAATTCGGTCTATTCATACTTGGTCTAACAAAATGATTTTTGCCTCACTAATATGCTTGACTTGTAATCCTGTATAAATGCCTTCAGCTGATCTAATATCTTGCACTTCCATAGTCTATTTATTGCTCTGGAAAATGTAGTTCATCAACATGCAGAATATACCGCTTTTTGATGGCCCTTTAAAACAAGTAGGGTTCTATAGATCCTCGAACGGAGGATATCATTCCCACTTATGTCTCTATTTATAGTTCTGTAATTCCTTTCTCTTCTTCCTTGATCTCTTTTCTCTTTTCAACCAAGATACAAACTGTTGGTCAAAACGATCGCTATATTCTCTGACCCTGCTTTTCCTGTACGTTTAGCATGAAATGAGACGTTTTGATACGCGATGATAACCTTGTTTATCTTTCAATGAATTTTTTAACCCACAATTACTCAATTGAACAGTTTGTAGCTGAGAGCAATTATCCTTTATTGACCTTGTTGTTGAACAATTATTTCAATGACATATCAACTCAAATGTTTTCTTGCATAGCCCACGTTTTCATTTGCAAACCACAAATTGCCGTACTTTCAACCGAGCTTCCACTTGGATGATATTGTTGCTGTTATTCAATCCGTTCACCTGAAGTCTTATTGATGGGTAAGTTTTGTCCGTCAGTCATATGGATGACAACTGGTAAAGCAATCTTCAATACAGCGTAGAAATCTTTTATCCGCAACACATTTCCCTGACCGAGTCGCGTGTTGTATAGCGAACAATAGGGTTGTTTCTGACACTTTAGGGTTATTGTAAACTGCTTCAGCAGGCATTTCGGCAAAACATGGTCTTATTTGGGCATGTGTCTGCAACCTCTGTTATGCATTTCATAGATTCGGATTCTCTGTTAATAGATATTTTCCGGCAGTTTATATAAAATGATGATGATACCGTTTGAAACATCTTCTATATCAGTTATATATTTGAATTGTAAGGCAGGTATAATTTGAGTTCTTGCACTTTTGTCGAATTGTGTCGTTGTGGATAATAAAGAGTATAAATAACTATATATTTTGCTCAAGAATGACAACTTATTTTGAAACAGTCCATGTCCGCATCAGAACCATTGATAGAATCTACAGATCGACTGGACTGTATACATTGATATCTTTCATCATATATTTTGGCAAGATGAACGGTTCGTAGCTTGCTACTGTCATGAAATAAAGACATGGAGATAAAAATCTCGCAAGACAAAATACACTTTGAAAATGTTGTTTATGTACACATACTGCTTTTGATTGTCCTGCTTTCACAGCTCTTACTGCTACTGACTTTTTTTAATGTTTCCGCTTATCACTCTTAACAGCTAGAGTAGATGGCTCATGTGCTTCAGTGTCTTTCAATTTTGCTGGCGAACACCTTCCTTTATGCCAAACATTCTCTTCTTCCCCAACCCAAGTCACTTCGATATATAAATTCATGCATTAATAATCATAGCAAAATCAGAGGTAATGTAGGGATAGTGCAAACTACAGAACTACCGTCTGATTATGAATGTAAACACCTTTCACAGTATAAGCGCACCATCCAAAAAGTTTTTATTCGATATTTGAGAATGTGAGTACATGAAAAACATGATGAAAACTTAATGGTTGATAATCTTTATACTTTGGGTAACGAGAGAGAATTGTCTTCAAAGAATGTAAAAGTCATACTGGAAATCAATATGATTGCCTGATCGAGCACTAATTTGGTTCTCTGCTAAATGCACTGATGACTCGTGACCGCAATATATAGCATCTGTAGCCATTTGCATATTTATTGATTTGCAGCATTTGATTTCTTCCCCTTTCGTTGTAAAACAAATTTATTTTCTTCTTTTTGTTGTCCTTTCATTTTGTACAACTGCACAATGAAGAATAGTTCCGCTTCAGAGAAAGACACCAAGTTCGATGACAGCCTAACAGAGACATTAGATGAGAAAACGAAACTAACAGCCGCAGCGGAACAAACAGACAATAGTGTAGCGAACAACAAGGAAGAAGAGTAAGAAATTTTTGCCGCTAATAATAAAAGTTCCACACCATTATTGTGTAATAGATGCTGACATGACTACATTCCGTAAAAGTAATAAGGACAAAGAAATAGACATCCCGGCAGGTCATCACTCTGCAGAAATGGAACATATCTTTAACCAGTTCAGCAAGAGTGGTATGGATATGAATAAATAATTGATAATCATGGCCACGGAAATATAATTTTTGTTGTTGATATGATAGAAGACGTAAATAAACAAATCATCAACGATGATATGACGAAATCAAACGAAGCCAGGAGGGATTCTCTACCATCAAACGAGCTACAACAAAACATCAATGATACCCTACACACTCAACAAATGCAACAAGAACCACAGCAAGAACAAGTAACACCTTTTGAATTCAATCGGTTTTTAGAACAGATGAAATCTAAAAGTGCCAAACCTATTACTCGATATTTCAAGAGGTATTCTTTATTTATTCGGGTTGGATACTGATCGTCCAACAGACAAACAGAGCACTGACAGACCTCTTTCCAAAGCTTCCTACAGGCGTTTGAGAGAAGGCCGTGGACAGTAAATGAACAAATCAAGATTGTGCAGGATTTCTTAGATGTAATATCCGTACAACAAAAACCAAAAGTTTCCTGTCGATGCATACAATGCTAACTTTTTATGTAGTTTATTTATGCTAAAATGAGAGAATGTGATGTTTGGAAGGATTTGACACAGCAAGAGTTTGAAAATGCCAAAGAAGGAATGGAAAAGCTTGTGATGAACCGTTTATACCATGCGTTAGTAATCGAATCTTTGCTCTGATCCATCCTATTACTTTAACAAAAGCGTGTATGTTGATCATTCCAATCTGTTGGATACCATAGTACATTTTCACCCAGCACCACAGACGATAAAGAAAGGGATGAAATTTTATACCTAAAGATCAGTATATTTCGCTGGATTCGCGAAAAGCATTTGGATATACCTGACACTGAACATAACGAGTCGTTTTTGACGTTCGCAGAATCAGGTAAAGACCGTCTTGGTCAAATGAACAAAGGAGTTGGGATGATTAATGATGTGGTGCTTTCTGTTTTAGAGCTGCTGAAAATAAATAATTTCAAAGCTCCAAGAGATAAGCTTATATGTATTTTAAACAGTTGCAAAGTCATCTTTGGTAAAGACATGTGTAGAACAAAAAACAATGGGTAGCTCTCCACATACTAAAAATTGAAGGAACAATATTAGGTTTGATTAAACATGTTGAAGGAGACGCTGGTGCAGACAAATTTTTACCTATTTTGATCTATGTAATCCTCAGAGCTAATCCACCAAGATTAGTGTCGAATGTTCAGTGAGTGTGCATTCAGTATGGTCCATGCCGAGACATTTTTTCTCAATATTGATGAATATGGGGCTCTGTTTTACGTAGGTATATTTATCGATTCAGAAGTCCAGAACAACTTCAAGCCGAAGCTGGCTACTATTTAACAAACCTGGTGAGTTCAGTTGGAGTTGAATAAGCCCTCATACACGCCTCCTCTCTTCACATGCTAATTTAGAACAAAAAAAGATGGGCGCCATCTCCTTTATAGAAACTATGGATGCAACTTCATTGTCAATCTCAAAGGAAGAATTCGATAGAAACATTGAACGAACAATGACGGAATTAAAGCAAGAGAGGCCTTCTGTTACACTAGATAAGCAGCAAGTCAATTATGAAAACGCGTTACATCCAACGCGATTCTCGACTGCTTTTCAACAACAACAACAACAACAAGAACAACAACAACATCATCATTATCAACATCATCATCTTCTTCAGCCATCTCCACCATTGATTGACGCGGCAAAAGCGGCAGCTTTGTTAGAGAAAGGCAGCCAGTTTGCACAAAAGACGATGCAAAGACCTTTAAATTTTGTTGGAAAGATCTTTCAGGGCCTCGGTGACACATCATCCAATAATAGTAGAACGGGTAGCCCGAACAACGAAGATGAAGAAAACCATCTTCGAGACTCATTGTCACAGCCTTATAACCCATATCAACCGCACTATGCATCAGCATCATCCTACTCACCGCCATCATTACCTACACGCGATCATCAACGACAGACATTAGCAGTACAACCTGAGGTACAACCGCCCACTCTACCGCCTCGGCCGCCACATGATCAAATGATGGCTCGAAGGAACCAGCAATTAGAAGCCAACCTTGAAATCCTAAATAGCATGTTTTCGAATATAGATAGCAGCGTATGTCACCTTGTTTTACATGCTAATGGAGGTGATTTGACAAAATCCATTGATAAGTAAGTTTTTTTTTGAAATTCATTGTGTATGTGTGAGAGCTTAATGTAAGAGATGAGCTCACGTTGGTTTACTGTTTATCACATCTAGTTTATTAGAGATGTCTGGAAATGATCCATTCTCTATTGATGAAAATGCTCATCATGAACAACTCCCGACATCCACCTCGTCCACCTCACTCCCATTTTCAGCCATCCAACAACAGCCCGCTCCTGTTGTACCACCAAAGAACTCGCAATTTTAATCTACACAATTTAATTCTGTGTCTTGTACCTTTATTTCGATCGTCTATGAAAAACTGATAAAATTGAAATATCTTTCCAATCACTTTAGGGCTGAAATAAAGGTTTACAAAATCAGTTTCATTTATCGTTAGACTACAGCTTTTGTACGTTCTATACAGAGTACTTCTTCATACTATGCTTGTGCAACAATGTTGCTCTAAGCAATCATGCTATCTACGCTTGACCAAAAACAGTGATAAGGCAATGTGTTTATAGATAAGAAAAGTAAAGCTGAACAAGGGACGGATATAGTTTGAAGGGCTTCGTTTATTGAGTTTTCGTGGAGATGAGGGCGGAGGGTGGGGTGGGGGGGTTAGAGAAAAGACGAGCGTTGTAATACATTATTAAAAGTAATAGTGGGTAGAAAATTCTAATACGCATGGGTATGATAAACTTGATTGTATTGTTCTGGAGGAGAGCCATGAGCAGAGGATAAGGAGGGACTATTCGATTCAGTATAATAATGAGCTTGATCGCCGTCTACGCGGACAATAGACGGCATAGGGCCAGAGACAGCAATGCCGTAGCTTTGCACACTGCTATTCCCGGAAGAGCTTCGCTTGAGAGAAGCATTGTTTGAACGGACGGAGAGAGAACGTGAAGCTTGACTAGCAGCGCGTCGTATGCTTCCCAAAAAGCTTCCTCCAGATCTTGAGGAGCTACTACTGTTGCTACGTTGAGCAGGTAATTTGGCCACAGCGCCAGTCACTACGGCCAAAAAGGATTGTGTACGCCAACGAGTATTCACTCGTGTAGCCTCCTCCATATCGCCGCCGTTGCTGCCCCATCCACCGCTGCTATGACGGTTAAAATCGCTCGTCTGGTCTTGGTCTGATTTCTGTTTGCGCTTATAGATAAACATGCCTGCCAAGCCAGCAGCTGCTAAACAACCTACAACAGCACCGACAGATACGCCAATGATTTTATTTTGAGGCTCGTTATCCACCGCTTGACCATTTTGAACAGTTTGAGCAGTGACTTGGTTGTTATTATCGACAGGAGGGATAGGAGCATTGACAGGTGAAGTAGGAAGAGGAACGGATACGAGGTCAATCGAAGACGGGGCGACTGAATCTGTTGCAAAATCGTCCTCCGTATCCGTATCATCAGCTCCATCCTCGTCCTCTTGTTCCGTCTCATTGACACTGTTGTCCTCCTTCGTCGTAGGTTGTGATTGAGTGATATCAGAGTTACTGTCATTGTCGCTATCATCATTACTCACACTGCTGTTGACAACTGTTTCTTGCTTTTTATCTTGGACAGAATAGGTATCTTTCTCTCCATCTTTCTCCTTCTGTGGGTTCATCGTACCCATTGAATAAGGCAAGACGGTTGGTTCAGTAGGATGGGTCGTCGTTGAGGTTTCACGAAATTTATGAAATTTTTTATTAGTTTTCGTAACTGACAAAGATTTGCCGTAATGCACGGTTAACTTTGTGCGGTCTTTATGCTTTTTCTTAGCAGCAAAATTCTTTGTTCCTGATTTTTTATGGGCATCTTCTTTCGCCTTTTGATGGTTTTTTTCATTACTGCTACCATGCTTGCGGTGCTTCTCATGGTGATGCTTAGAAGCGGATGATTTTTTATGTTTTTTATGTTTTTTATGAGGAAGTTTGTCGTGTTGTTTGACATGGACTGTGGAAGAGTGGTTTTTTTTTGTAGTTGTGCAAATGTAAAGCGTTTCAATTTTGGATCGCTTTTCCAAAGACCTCTTTCGCTGATGAGGATGAGGATGAGGATGATCAGATAATGAGGAGGTACTGTGGTGCTTCTTACTTTTCTTTTTGTTGGAAAAGAATTGCTTTCGTTGAAGTGAAGCTGAGTAGCAATTGTGGATTGTTTTTGTGGCTCTCGCAGGTATCAAGTGGCCATGATATTGCTTATTTTTCTCGGTGATTGCTGTCGTATGGGCGATGAAAGATAGCGATGCAATAATAAACAAAGTGGTTGGTAGCCACTGCAGAATTTTCATTATTGATTGTCAGTGGGGACGGAGGCGGGGCGTAAGTCAAATAATCAACTTGAAGGATTTAACCTTCTCTTTATGTTCGCTACGTTTCTTATACGCTAAGTAAAGGAATGTACTAATGTAAAAAAAAAAAATAAAAAAAAAATAAAAAAGTCTAGGGAAATGGGGGAAAGAACAGAGATGAAAGAAGGAAAGAAAAAGATGATATGAATATAGAGTCAATAAGGAGCAAAAATGAAGAAAAGGACAATAAAATTTTACGTCTCAATGTTGGGTGAGGAGTGGGTTTGCGGTGGGTGGATAGAGGCACTGACGCTGATTATTGCAAGCATGTTATGTGTTTATAATAAGGGCATATGGCACGTTCAACCTGGTTACACTTGGTTTTTTGCACTTGTCCAGTAGCACAAATCTCAGTGTCTTTTTTAGCGCACAAAAAAAAAAAAACAATCAAAAAAAGATATCACAAAAGGAGGGGGGGGGATCTACAGTTTATTGGTATATAATGAAATTTTGGTAATTTCAAGTGCTTGTCGACTGGATGATGTCGTTTATCAATTGTTTTTTAATGTAGGCCCATCTTTCAGAACACATTCTAGCTACGTGTCTATTTCCAAATTGCTTCTCTACTTCCTTCCATTTGATATTCTTGGTCAGAGGCAATCCAAGGACATGTAATAAAATCTCTTTATCGTCTTCCAACGTCCAATCCTTTTCAATGGTTGGTTCTGATGAACATGGCGCTTCTTCATCTTCGTCATCACCATCAAGCGAAGGAGATGGTGTGCTGGTGTGCGACCGCGGTGTCAAAGGTAAAGAGGAAGCGTTTCCGCTTCCTTTTATGAAAAATTCAGATGGTGAGAGTGACGGACGTTCAAGACCTTTCATGAGCTGCTGGTTTCCGTCACGAGGTGGCGTGTCAAGCCGATCCAATGGATAAGCTGTTTCTATAGGGGTCTCAGTCCATTGAACTTTACTACGGTCATTCTAAATTGGTTTCATGCAAGGTGCTTAGCTTTTCCAACAGAATATGATTGAGATCACGTCATAGCTCCCTAATGAGCGGTCGATGGCTTACCTGAATCGTAGTAGTTGTATAGGGTGTGTCTCTAGCTTCCTTCAATGCTTGTTCAACTATGGCTCGGGTAAAAAAAGGTGCTTCTGGTGGGTTGCGTGGTCTGCCTCTCTTTCGGGGCAAAGCATCCTTTTAATAGAGGGCACAAGTGTCAGCGGACCTTTTTTTTTTCTTAAAATGCCAATATCATGTGGGCAGCAAATCTATTTTTTTCTTCCGTTCTCATTTACCTTTCCTTCAGCATCGACATCAGTCATCTTTCGCTTCTTTTTCTTTGTGTCCTGGTCAACTAAATTAAAATAACCGTTGCATGCATCAATCATCCATGAATCAGTTGTCTTGTACCCTTGATTGTCCTTATTACCCACCTGTTATGCCTGACTGAATATTGTTTCTGCTGTTGAACATTTCAGTTACTGACAATTTGGTTGGATGAGGTGACCCCAACTTTTTAAAGTTTGCAATAATATTATGAGTAATCGTTTTAGAAAGACCTGATAGCTGCGAACACTCTCTTTCAGATGAACCTGCTAGATGAGCACCTATAACGAACCAACAGTCCTTTGCGGAGATAGGTTGTTGTTGTTGTTGTTGTGATTGAGATGGACGTCTTTTCTTTTTGTATACTGTAGTGGCAGCAGTAGCAGTAATAGTAATGGTCGCACTATTATTTGTATGATTCATTCTGTTTATAAGAAGAAGTTATAACATTTGAAGATTGGATGAAAAAAGAAGAAGAACAAAAAAAAAAAGGGGCAAATAGGGTGATGATATAGTTGGTATTCCCAGCTCTACTCCTTTTTTTGTTTTTTGGCCTACCAAATTGCATGAAACCCCAAATCAACGAATCAATGGATCGCTCCAAGAAAGTGGAAAAATATTCACTTGTAGAAAACGCATAAATCAACATGACGTAATTGTAAACATTCGGGTTCAGCATAAGCCTGGATAAATCAACGAGCGCATTTGTAACATAGCAAAGAGTATGAAGCTACTTTCAGGCACTTGGCACTCTAATAAGTACGTCGACCAGCTACAGTGAATTTTAAAAAAACGATTGTAGTTCTTTACCTGGTAGTCCGTTCTTTACTTTTGCCGTGACAGAATGACCATTAATTTTTAATTTTTTAATTTTAATTTTTTGCAAGTACGGCCAGACAGGACGTTTGCCCGAATATAATAAATACGACATACTCATACGCTGGTTGAACGGAATACGAGATGAAGAATGAAAACGTTCTTTGCTGAGTGCGAAATCATTATGTTGGTTGGGTGTTTTATTGCTGTGTACGGACGAGCTCTAGCCTATGTTAACCATGCTAGCAATGGCTATACCATCATCCGTACTCTGCCAGATAGTCAACTCCTATCTTTCCATAATGGCTCATTACAGCCGGTGAACGTTAGAGAGGCGCTCTATGCCTATCTTTGTCCACTCTATACATTGATTCAGGGACATATTTAGGGTTTCTCCATTGGGTACTTCCTCGATACCTTATCGTGGGAAAAATTATGTGTGGACAGACAGTTGAAAACGAAGGAAGGAACGCCGCACTTTCTCTTTCTTTTGTCTTTTTTTCATTCTTGAAACTGCTATATCACCATGACTATGCTTGCACATAGTGTAGCTGTACTTAAAGGGTTTACTCAGCGTTCACCGGGTCGTTTTTCAGCGATCCTGCCAGCGACCCGATGCCACTATCATACTTTGTTTGAAGATAGCGCATCCGTCTTGCCGAATAAGATAGAAACAGCTAGTCCAGATTTCAAAGTAAAAAGGCATTGCTTCAGTGGTTCGAGTCGATTGGTAGTAGGGACGCTTACCTTTCCTTTTTCTGACAGGAAAATGCAGAGAGAATGCAAAGATTGATTGATGATTTAAACATGGTGACAGAAAAGATCAAACTAGGTAAATTTCACAATCTCTTTTCACAGAAGAAACGCCACTGTGCATTCACGTTTGCTTTTTCATATGGATAGGCGGTGGAGAAGCTGCTCGCAAAAGACATCTGTCTCGTAAAAAAATGCTTCCTCGGGACAGAATCAATCGCTTATTGGATCCAAAGTAATTAAAAAAAAAAAAACCAGAGTGGATAATAGCTGGCAAATACGCGTTGAGATGATTTGATGACGAACACCCTCATTTTTTTGTTTTTTTGCATACAGCTCCCCTTTTCTTGAGTTATCCACTTTAGCAGGCTATCAATTATATGAAGATGAGGTACCTGCCGGCGGTATCATCACTGGTATTGGACGTGTTAATGGGTAAAAATGAAGTAGCATAAGGCTCGTGGGAAATTCATCTACACTGTACACTGAGTTTCAACTCCCCCCACTTTTATTACCTCTAGCGTTGAATGTATGATTGTTGCAAATGATCCAACGGTTAAAGTAAGTGTTTCAAAAGAAAAGGACTTTGGGCGTTGTCACGGAGGACTTATTGCCTTCACCTTGTTGCCTTGTTATTTTACTAGGGAGGTTCTTATTATCCTATCACAGGTAGATGAATCGACGTCAGTAAATCAACATATGCATGATCGACCCATTTTTGACTAGTTCTGATTGAATAGTAAAGAAGCATCTTCGAGCACAAGAAATTGCCAAAGACAACCATTTACCTTGTATCTATCTTGGTAAGCAGAATATAGAGACGGAGGTAGAGCTGTACTTGACAAAAAAAATCGTATCGTACTCATGTATAAACTCCCATCGTGCGCTTCTCCCTCTAAGTTGATTCGGGTGGAGCCAACTTACCTCGGCAGGCCGATGTCTTCCCTGACAGAGAACACTTTGGCCGTATCTTTTATAACCAAGCCAATATGTCCTCTCAAGGAATACCTCAAATTGCAGCCGTTTTAGGCTCTTGTACAGCAGGTGGCGCCTATGTTCCGGCTATGGCTGATGAAAGTATCATCGTCAAAAATCAAGGCACCATCTTCTTGGCCGGTCCACCTCTTGTAAAAGCAGCTATTGGCGAAGTCATTAGTCCTGAAAACCTGGGCGGCGCTGACCTACATTGTCGTACGTCGGGTGTCACGGATCACTATGCTATGGACGATGAGCATGCTCTTGTGCTGGCACGTCGAGTGGTTGGTACTTTGAACAGAGTGAAGCGCGGTGTAGACACTATGGACATAAGGATGCCCAAAGAACCACTTTATTCACCTGAAGAAATCGGTGGCATCGTAGGAGACAATTTGAAGAAGCCTTTTGATAGTAAACATGTGATTGCACGTATCGTGGATGGTAGTCAATTTGCAGAGTTCAAAGAGAATTACGGCACGACCCTCGTTACCGGTAGAGTAGATCAAGAAAGTGGGGGCATCTTGCAACATGTGCGAGTACTAATCTCGTTCAACGATAGGCTTTGCTCGTATACATGGCTATCCCGTAGGCATCGTCGCCAACAACGGTATTCTGTTTTCTGAATCTGCACTGAAAGGTGCGCATTTCATTCAATTATGTTCACAAAGAGGCATTCCCTTGGTCTTTCTCCAAAATATCACAGGCTTCATGGTAGGCTCTTCAGCCGAAGCAGGTGGTATTGCTAAAAATGGCGCCAAATTGGTGAATGCAGTGGCATGTGCCAAGGTGCCGAAATTCACCGTGATTACAGGTGGTAGTTTTGGTGCTGGTAATTACGGTATGTGTGGTCGTGCTTATTCTCCTCGGTTCTTATGGATGTGGCCTGTAAGTAGGATGGGGTGCGGGGTTGGGGGGGGTTTTTTTTTTTTGTGAGTCTTTCCGAGTAAAAGTAAGCCGAATTTTCTTACCTATACTGCCGATAGAATGCTCGTATCTCCGTCATGGGTGGTGAGCAAAGTGCGAATGTCTTGGCTCAAATTACACGCGATAGCAAAGAGAAGAAAGGTGAAACTTGGTCTGAGGAAGACCAAGAGAAGTTTATGGCACCGATTCGAGAGAAATACGAAAGAGAAGGTCATCCTTATTTCTCCAGCGCTCGTTTATGGGATGATGGTGTCATAAACCCTAAAGATACACGTACAGTATTAGGACTGGGTCTCAGTGCTGCCCTGAACGCTCCCATTGAGAGAACACATAATAATTTTGGCGTGTTTAGAATGTAGAATCATATTAAAAGAGGAAATTCAAGGTTCAAATGAGCATTCAGCTCCCAATAAAAGATGAAATAAATTTGAAAAAGGTTGTATTTTGAAAGAAACTCAAAAAGCACATGTGGGCATTATGTTCAACCTTATCATAAAAAGCTACATTCAAACCGAGAAAAGTTGTTTGCTGTATTACCGATATAGACCGATAAGCTTGAAAAAATAGGACAAGGATTATCTAAGCCGAGTTGTATGTAATTCATGCGATTGAACTCTTTGTACATAAGCTTGCGATGCCATGTTGATTTTATACAGCAACATTCTACAACCAGACCCGTCAAATTCTGCCATGGATGGCGTCGTCAAAAATCCACATTTAGAATATTTATCCAATCGCAGTTAGAGAACTTCTGACCCTTTTGTCGTAAGTTATATGAAGGGCAGATTTCTTATACATACAGATAGAGAATTTGTTCAGCAAATGCACCTTTATACGAAAACTAAACATCCTTTCTTTCATATCAGTCGACGAAGGATGTACAGTTACCCCCCCCATGAATCACCCAATCGACGCAATTTTAATTATTTCTTAGAATATTTTTATGGGCTTCAAGGAAACTTCCTAGTGTTGTATGTATATGTTAAACAATTCTCTGTCGAAACCTTTCAATAAGCTATTGCAGTTTCTGTAACTACTGTAGTGAAAAAGACAGAAATGCTTTCGATTATATTATCTCAAGAGAAACCTCCGCAATGGATTGTCTTTCGTCCATGACATGGAAAATACAGGTTACTCAACAATGATCAGGCACGGTTTTGAAATCCTTCGGTGTTTGATCCATTGTTACTTGTTGCGAGCGATCACATCATTATGATCGCTTATTCAAGAGACGGCCAACAAAGACAATTGATACAGATCATAAGACTTTATAAAGTAATTTATTCAATGAGGTCAGTTATTGCCATGATATCAAGGTCTTTGTCTGGGTTTTAAGCTACTCATTTTTGTAATACCAGTTCTTCTGTACTTGACAATGAATTTGTGTTTGGCTTTCTATCTTTTATGGAGAAAGAGTTATACAAAATGGGTAGACAAAACACGGCAGCAGCTGCTTTTCGTCATTCGGAGCAATCGGCTTCCTTCTTTCCTTCTTTTTCTTTATTAATTTTCCCATTTGTGTATCACTTTCCATATCACCGTTTCGAGACGTCGATCCTCCCCTTTATTTCTTCTCATTTTCAGCACATTTGGCAGGAACGTACGGTGAGATAAAAACTTCACATTCGTTGAGCATTATAGTCATGGTTTGGCCTTTTCGAAGACGAGCAGAATCTTTGACAGATAAACAAACACTGACCGGCTCACCGTCAGGCATAACTGCGGAAACAGAAGAAGATGAACAATGTGCTATGCAGTATGAATATGCACCAAAAGCTCAAAATGAAGATTTACCGATGGATTTAGGTGAACTACAAGACATTTTTAGTTTTGAATTCATGGGCGGAAGGCCTATTCTTAATTTTATCTTGGCTGTTTTGTGGAGTATCGGTTTGCCCGTGTTGATATACAATATCTTGAAGCCACATCTAGGCCAAGTAGTCTCTATGGTCATAGCCTCCGCTCCACCGCTGGCCATTGTCATCACGTACGTTATCCTCATTTGCAGATAGTAGGAATTCAGGCACAAAAAGTAAAACTTGTCCTTGCTTACTAATGTTACGGATGTAGGCGCATGGTTCGAGATCATTCATTCGACCCCTTAGGTTGTGTGGCTGGTGTTAGTTTTCTTATATCTGGGATTCTGGTATTACACTTTAAAAGGGGCTTTAACGGTGATGCTATTAATAGTATGAAGGCACTAAATGCTTGCCACTTGCTTATAGTCCATCGCTCAACCTAATGAACGAGTGAGTGCAGTTTGTGAAGGCTTGGTGTCTCTTTTTGTAGGCGTTAGTTGCATTATATCGATATTACCTATTACAATAGGAAACCATACTTTCAAACCTTTGGTATTTCAGCTTGCAACTCAAGTTATGCCACGCCCATCAGACGACGAAGATCTCCAAAAGCACGATGATTCTAGGTTAACGTCTGCTGTCTCCTCTTCCTCAAAGGACAAAGACCAGCAACCCCAGCATCTTCAATCGAAAGGCCGATCAGGCTTGGAATTCTTATACAACAACATGGCCAAGTTCAGACACGATATGCGCTTCATGACAGCTACATGGGGTGTGCTTCTGATAGCTGCGTACATTATCAAAGTTATTATTGTCTTTACAAGCACAAGTATGTGGAAAGCCCAGTGGGCAGGTTTTATTTTGTTTGGTTTAGCGACCTTCTTTATGGGTATCTTTACCTGGTTCTATACAAAAATTGTCAAAGGGAACGTCCTCAAGCAAATACAAGTTTGGAAGCGGAACGAGGAAGAACAGAAGGTACAAAGAATGGATGCACGGACAGAAGCCGTTCATAATGTAAACTGGGGTTTAAATTCAATGTCCAACGTCTTCAGTCAAATTGCGGGATCTCCCATTTGAAAATTGGAACCATTTTATTTCTCGTAAGCAGTTCCCCTTTCCATACTTTTTCCTTTTGCTTTGTCTATTCTTTCAAATTAAAACTTTCTGTCATGTCATCAGCACCTTCAGTAAAACAGTTTAAAGCAGTAGGAGAGGAAGTTTGGAAAAATAAAGTGGATAAAATTGTATGGAACCCCCCAAAATTTATTCCTGGAGACAAACAAACGCGTTGATATTTATGATTGTATTTGATGTGCATAACAATAATTGTAGAACGCTGAACTATTCACGCTAACTTATGGCTCCATGGTTGTTCAACTCGTAAAAGACTTTGAAGACTATGGTGAAGTAAATAAACAACTAGAGAAAATGTAAAACTCATCAACTTCAGTATAACGAAAACACACCATTGTGGGTTCATTGACTCATCCGAAATTTTGTCTTTGAATAATCAACAAAGGGGATATAATATCGGACAGCGTATGATTGAGGACTTTTTAGCAAGATCGGGCATTGGTCGTTGTGCAGATTTCAGGGAAACAGCAGAAGCCGTATCGAAGGTAATCCTGTTACGACCTTTCGCAGAAAAGAAGGATGCAGAAACATCTGAACTAAATCTCGTCATTACTGCTATTAGATTGGGTTCAAAATGTTTTTAAATATTACGCCTACCGTTACCGACTGGTCAAGCGATAATAAAGAATTCTCATTAGTATTTGATGAGAATCCACTTGTTGATTTTGTCGAATTGCCCGATGATGCTCTGGAAGGTGGTTTATGGTATTCTAATATCTATTGTGGTGTTCTACGCGGAGCACTTGAAATGGTAATTGTCCGAAAGTTGGGGGGGGTGTGGATTATTACAGTTTTTTATTGATATAGTGGGATAAGAATATAGCCTAACATTCAAGTTTAACGGATTGTTTTGTTTTATGCATGGTAGGTACAAATGCAGGTGGAGACACACTTTGTGAGTGATACACTTCGTGGAGACGACTCGACTGAAATGCGAGTTAAAATGGTTCGCTATTTGGAGGAAGAAGTACCTGCCGGAGAAGATTAGTGCAGGGAGCGATATATACTTTACAAAGTAAAAATGAAAGATTGTACTAGCATGTGCTACATATATACCTAGTGAATTCTTTTGAATGTACATATGTTATTGTTTATTGCCTCGGAAACGCATACGAGGGTCAATCTGCAACAAGTAATAAAGCCAGGCCTTATGTTAAAATAGCTGGTTTTCTAGTCAAATAACTCACATTCAAAATTACAATGCTTACCATGCCACGTTTACATTCTCCAAAAGCTCTCATTATACTACGACATTCATCAGGAACATCTGCTCGATGTTCTTCTTTAAAACATTCTTTGACAGTATTTCGCTTTTTCAAGACACAGTCTGATTTTAACATGCATTCTGCTAATTCTTGTCGTAATTCCTTGCAGGAAGAAGGCATCTCTTGTTAAATACAATATATTCTTAAAATGGGAACAAGACAGGGCTTCTCCTTTTTTTATTATGCTCGGAGCGCCTGTTGAGCGGAATTATGCTTATACAGTTAAACAAATTTCAAGGGCGGAAAATTAACCGAGAGTGCAGGAGAACAGACATCCCCACACTTCTCTAACATCTCTAGGTATGAAAGGTGTCTTTCAATACCAGGATTTAGCTACTTCAATCTTAAAGTACTCAAACACTTACCTGTAATTTATTTGTATAGGTTAGTTAAGATAACATCAAGAGAAGCGATTTATTAAGATTGTTTGCAGTTAAATAAGGCAAGTTGGGATTGCAGGTATCAGTGTGGGTAATAATTATAGAGGATTTGGATGTGTACTTTTTTCCAGCTAGTAACGAATAAATAGGATAGATTTACATTGAAAAATGGATAATTTACAGAAAAGCGTATGTCTTTTCCAACCAAAAGGAAAATGGTAAAAAATTACGAGAGTTTAGGTATTGCTGTGCAAGTCAGCTTTAACCAATAGTTGAGAAATAACGTTCCTGACTTCTGGCTCAAGCCTGGAATTGGCATCTTCCCACTCGTCAGTTGGAATGAAGTCATGGTACCATTTAATAACCTATGAACAGCGTTTTAGTAGCTTTGTTATAATTTTTAAATTAAAAATGGTACTAACTTACATCAACCAATTCTTTCGATAAAGTTATGGAAGGTGCTTTCAGTATGGATACGGCGTGCAATAACAAACATAATTCCTATGGGAAGACAATAAAATTAAACTTTCGGCAAAAACTTCAATTTTATCAAGTCATACTTACAGGGCGTGCATCTTGTACACTCAACTTTATCATCAAACATAAACCTATGAATGCAGAATCCTTCTCTTCCCCATCTCGGACCGATAAAGACTTCTCTAACCAAGGCTTTATAAAATATTTCAAATAGGGTGCAACTGCTCCGGGGCAAGCGTAACCCAATCGACCCAGGGCAATCATTGCATTCTCGTGAATTGAAGGCGGTGCTTGCGGATGTGTTAAGAATCGTAAAAATGCATTTAATAAACTTGGTATATCAGGGTGAACATTATTTCCCCACCGCATTATAATCTCTCCAAGTGCCCAAAGAACGTTGTTGTATACGGATACCGGCATGATATTGTCTGCGTTACAAAGGATATGTATCATTTCCGTAACGATGCCATGTATAAATGGTAACAGTAAACTTAAACTAGCAGAAGCAATGTCTCCTATTAAAGCAAAAGTTGATTGTAGTACTTCCGGAACAGGATCCTAGACGTTATAACACTAGGTGAGCATCGGCAATAAATAAGCGATAACAAAAACTCTTACGTGTATGCACGTTATTAATAGTGGGAGTAAGGGTGGATCTGTTTGCGCTATTAGGGGGTTTATTTCTGAGCCCAATCCTTGAACGATACCGGAAAGTAAGTCGAGTGCCGCAATGAGAAACTCAACATTTGGTGGATACACTTCTTCCGGAAATTGGTCTGCTAACAGTTGCTTTTGCAATGTAGATGAAATAAGCTTTACACATCTCGACAAGACTGGTTCAACATACTGTTTAAATCCGGATCCTAGAGCAGCAGTGATATTAGATAAGCACTGTACGTTTTAAAAACGGTTGGGAACAAGAAAATAGAAAATTAGAGTAGCTTAACTAATTTGGTAAAGAAAATCCCAGTTACTACCTCTAATAGCGGAAATAAGTCTGTGTCATGATCTGACAACTCATTCCATTTGTTGATTAATGGAGGCATCAGTAGATTGATATAGTCAGGTCGATTTAGTTCTGAGCCAACGGCATCGGCTAAGGTACCTAACGCGTCGTATAAAATAAGCCTATTTTTGCGTCCATATAATGAAAATGCTATATTTGTTTGGATGAGGGCTGCTTTAATGTATGGTATTAGGCGAAAGGATGCTGCCTCGCCTATAATGACAAATGCAGTGCAAGCGGATTCTTGAACTCTCTTATTACTATCTGTTATTCTCTCGAGCAAGCCGTACAGGACGGATTCAAAAAAGGTTGTACTAGAACGACTTTCCGCATTTGTATCATCATATTGATGGATCAACCAACTGGAAAACCGACTGAGCGCCCAGCAGGAAATAGATCGTATCAGTGGCTATTAAAGACCAGTAATGCTACAGGTTTAGTTTTACTGACCGAGGAGTTTTTGCAATGTCTGGATTATTGAAGACTTACATTACCGTCCTTTGTTGACATTAGAAGATAAGGAATCAAACAGTATAGTTGTTCACTGATTATATTTATTCCTCCTGCAAAGAGGCATATAGATAAAGCAGAGTTAGAAAATAGAAGTCAGTAAAACTTTGATGTAGCTCACCTTCTGCTATCGCACCAAGCGCTAAAATTCCACTTTCACGAATGAACCAGTTGTCGCTGACAAATAGTCGACTCTGTAAGAGGTCTAACGTGACCTTGGCTATATCATCTTTGAATGATACTGATAAGACATCTAATGCTGCAGCACTATATTTTCTAAGTGTATAATCAGAGTAAAATTCTTCATCTTCAAAGTTGTCCACCAGATTGTCCTCAACTTCATTATCTGACTCCTGTTCGTTATCCTGCTTTTCATCACCTTCTTTATCAAGTACTTCTTCTGATGATGAGTCAGACTCTTCTTCGTCGAAATCACTCAGAGATTCATTTCTGTTAGTCGTGCTGTCCTTTGATGGTTCCTGAGCTTCTATCCTGTTTCGGTAAAATCTCGTCGTGGGTTGAATAGATTCCTCTTGACCTGATGAAGTTTCAACTATTCTTGTAGTATCGTCGCTTACAGTAGAAGTAGATCGGTCGTTAGATAATTGTAATAGTTGCCTGTCAACGGTATTAGTCGTGCTCAAGATAAGATCTGCCTCGGAATAAACCATTAGTTTCAATAGAGATTCCACCAGTTGAGGTAAATAGCTAACGAGTTCATTTCTGAAGTAATTGCTCTGGGCGTACTGCACCCAGAAACCGCACGCAGTCAACTGAGTTTCTTCGTCAGGGTCCGATAATGCATTTATCATGAATGTAATGGTTTGCTTTACATAGGGCACCATTTTTTGAGGGAAAGCCTCCAATAATGCAGATAGTATCCGACCCAACTCCCGTCGAACAGGAGTATTTGTTTCGTCTGCTGCCATTTTATACAATACTTGCAAAATATCTTCCAATTGTTCAAGGAGGGAAACTGGTTTTGAAAGGATGAATTGACTAGTCATATAGATAGCCTGTGTTCGTATTGTTGCATCAGAGTGAGTGTAGAATTCGATGAACTTTCTGATCAATCTATTTAAAGGTCGGACACCTTCGGTAACTTCAAAGTCAAGCTCTGATGCCACATGCTCACAAATAATAGCAAGTGTCCGAATTGACGTCTATGACGAAAAGCGAAAGTACTGTTTATTTTCATACACATATATGGAACATGCGCGAAAAATCTTGTATACCCTGAGAGTGAACTTGTCCGAGCTTCCTAATTTGTCAATAAGCGTTTGAAAAATCTCGGGCCAATTGTGAGGCTGACCATAACGAACAACTGTTGCAATAATAAAAGAAACCGACTGGTATATTTCTTCATCTTCATTCGAAGGACATAGGATGATATCTGTGCAACATTTTTTGATGTATGAAAGTACTCTTAGTGGAATATTGTTGAAGTCATTCTGGATATTATTATTTAGTAGTCTTCCGGCCGACAGACGTATATTATGTTGTTCATTCTTCAGTTTGGTTAGTATATACACCAAATGCAAGTTGAAATCTGGGTGCTCATTGAACGTATAAATTCGCTATTTGTGTAAAATTTATGCCGTCAGATTAAAAATGACACCGCTAAGTACAATCTGTATCTTTAGCTACAATGACTGATTTTCTATTCCTTTACTTGACTTATCATGCCCAAATCACTATTGATAACTTTGTTTGCCTCAGTGAATAAATAAATTAACTCTCTTAAGCCTTGCTGTTCGGGTTGCCATGTCCTCATCAGATCAGATTCGTGCATTGCGCTACTGTTATAAAGTTATGTGCGAGCTAAATCAATAAGCATATGAATGAGTCTGAAACAACAAAAAAAAGGTACCTAATTATATTTCCTTAGTTGGATAGATAAATTTTTCAAAGATTCTAATTTATATCAATTTTCTACAACCAGAATCTTGCTGATGTCAATAACATTCAGATATAACAAACGAGATGAAAAATGAAAGAGGGACTAAGGAAGAAATATATCAAGAATGATCGAAACTATGACCCGTGACATGAAATAGAAACAGCACACAAATCAAGGCGGTCAATCAAGCCTCATGTAACACGATATTATCGAATTGATCCTTTGATGGGAAACAGACTGTGTAGTTTTTAGTAGTTGTACACTTTTGAAAAGATGAAAAGTGCAAAAGAATCCCTTCAATACCTCCTTTTTCACTGCGGCAAAATAATGATCTATTAAAAGAATGCCGTTATCTCCTCCTCCTCCTCTTATTAGAAAAAAAAGCAAGGTGTGAAAGCCCTGCAATGCACGCTTAAAGCCTATTTCAAGAACTAATAAACTGGTCTGTGCCCCTGCTGTTACTATACACACACGGCTGAACTCCACTTTAAGGAAAGAAAGGCTGGATACCTTTAAGGGTAAAGACAATGTACACGGACACTATTATACTACGCTGTTGTGTTGCTGTAACATGCGCACATCATCCTAAATGTTAGTATAGAAGACCTAAAAACTATTTTATTTCCTTTTCTTATCATATACAAAGCTTTGCATTATAACCATCTGCTTACAGGGATTGGGTCTTGACGGACTAAATAGTAGTTGAATAACAATTGTTAAGTAAAAGCATTTCAAGTGGTATAGGACTGTAATGGCTCCCAAAGACTCGTAATAGAGATCGTAACGATTCGTAGCAATTGCTTTATTGGCTATCTGCAGTACATAAACATTCATCTTCGGACAAATAAAATAAGCCGCAGCTGTTTAATGTTTTCAGAGTAAATTGATATGCACCTTATTCAGAAATTCTGGAGCTGAAGTTTATGAATAAAAGGGGTAACGCAGAACTGGAAGTAAAAACACACTTTACACGTTTCACAGAAAGCAACCTTTATATGAGCATAACATAGATAAAATGTTTAGATAGGTTTATTTATTGTCCATAATGATTGTTTGTCTGATGAGACACATCAATGACATAATAGTCAAAGGCTTGCCATAAATTTAATTATTTTAAATGTTCTGAATCGGATGGGACTCTGACGCTCTAGCTACTGTTTGAAAGAAAATCGTCATGCTAAGAAGAAAAGGAAACTAAAGTTTGTGAATAAATATGTAATACAGCCGACAGCAAATGAATGATTCGATGAGTGTTTTGGTAATCAGACCAAAGAGTTGCAGAATTATGCCGAAATCCTCGCAGATATTGATGGTCCAACGATTGAATGCTGCGCTAAGGTAAAAAAGCAACCGTCGCACACGCGCGTAAAGCATGGTCTTTCAGCAGAAGCACTACTCGTAAACAACGGTAATCGATTTCCGCTGTGCCAATTACAGAAAATGTGGCCACATCTAACGATCGATAAATTAAGTTTGTTGATTTGGGCATCCTTTTGTTGATTGTACAGACTTTTTTCTTCTTTACCTGCGGCAATGATGTTTACGTTGACGCCAACTAAACTTTAATTCACAGTTCCGGTCGTGGCAGACATGCACCAGTTCATCCTTATCCCATTTATTTCTTGGTAGAAGAGTGAATTTTTCTTGACGATCTCTGAAAGTGATATCAAGAGAATATTCAAAATGATGAACTTTGCTGCTATGCTTCTCAAAGGACCAAGTAGTAGTTATAGCACTTTGAAGCTGAAAAATCAAAATACGTTACAACAAAATTAGCTGTTATTGTTATTAAACTCTTATATTCGTGCTGATCAAATATGACCTTGAAACGCTCCATTCTTACCTGTTTTGGTATGTAAGAAGTTTCGGTAGTTGTACAAACGCCCTGGACAGAGAAGATCGTATCAATTTCCTTTTTATCAGGTTTCTGCCTAATAATTATTTGTCGTGTTGCGTATTTCGGTGTTAATGTGAAGATTTGGCGTATCGATGTTAGAATAGAAAAAGAGGATCGTGCTGATGCTACTACTTCCTTTTGACTACTATTTTCAGCAGTTTTAGAAGAAGTAACCAAGATTAACGGTGTGTCCGAACAATCATTAGTAGCTTTCTGTGGTAGTTTTAGCATCAAAGCTTCAAGTTCACCTAATAGCTGGTTCTGTTTCGCCGAGAGAGCTTTGCATTCATTCAATCTTTTTGTATCTAGAGCTAGTCTGTTCGCATACGGTGTTTGCCCTTGTTGTGGCGTACAAACATCTTTGGATAAGTCTTCGATATGTCTTGAGTAATTGAGCATACAACAGAAAATGTCTTTCTTGATAATATTGATCTGTTCGTTCACTGTTGTGTGCAAAGCTTCTCTTTTAGAGCAACTTTTCTGTGAAGAGGAAGTAGAAAGAGTAGTAGAAGTATTGATATCGGATGGAGCAATGTCTGATGTAAGTGACATAGGTGGGCTAACTACGTGCGGTAACAAAATGGTTGACTTCTTCTCTACATCAGGTTCTGCGAAAGTGTTGAATGTTGCCACGGTTTTAGTTGGAATCTCAATAGCACATGCTTCACATTTTCTCAGTACGATATTGTCTCGGTTGTGGTGGTGTTGCTGCTCATGCTGCTGCTGCTGCTGCTGCTGTTGTTGTTGTTGTTGTTGTTGTTGTTGTTGCTGGTGTGGTTGTACTAACGTCTTATTGAAGGGCGTACTCAACGTTTTACCCATTTTTCTTTCCTCCACCAATCGGACTTTTGCCGAAGTAGCCAGGGCAGCAGTTGTTGTTTGGTGCCTGTAAAGGTCTTTAAAGTTTGCTATGCTATCAAACTTTTGAAAAGCAACTTGGGGTTGTGATTGTGGTTGTGGTTGTTGTGCTTGATCCAGCCAACTCATTCCAAGGTCGTTATTGGAAAGGGTTCGTTTACGACTTGGTAGTGCCGTAATATTGTTGTTGCCGCTATAGGGTTGCTTTCGGGTATGAGGAAATTTACTATTTGATAGATTCATAATACTGTGCCTCCTTTGTAACATTTGTGGCGCGTTGCTGCTGTCTATCGAACGCTCTCTTTGTGTCAGAGCTCGCTGCTGTTTTATAATCTCTGCAATATCATTTACTCTCACATCTTTTGAAATGCTGGATATAGTTCCTCTTCTTATAGAAGGCTTTTGTTGAAACATGGTCGTTCTATTGAGACTGGATGCGGTGCCATTTGATCCTGTAAAGTAATCGGCTGTAATCATGTTGGGAGTAAGTTACAAATAGTATTATTTGTTTGTTTAAGAATAAGAATAAAAAGTCAAAAAGATGAAAAGAAATAAAAGAAACCCAAGACATCCTGTGGTATAAATTATAAGGTGTGTTCCATGATATCATGTGCCTTAACTTTTTTTGTTTTCTTTTGAATATCTTTATTTCAAATAAAAAAATAAGGGGTAAAACGTTTTGAATTCACCGTACATCATATGAACTTGCTAAAAAATTCAGGATTTCCAAATATACTTTGGCATATGTAAAAACAGACATTCTTCATCATGGTTAAGTTTTATATGACTTTTGTTTATATTAAGACAGCAAATTTATTTCTAGAAAATGGCTACAAACATAGAATCCATGCATATATCATATGTTCAGTTGAAAACGAAGAAGGAGCCGTACTGCTTAATGGAATCACTGAGATACATTAGATATTCCAAAAAAATTTCCAAACTTGGAAATGTGTTCATACAAATCGAGCAAGTGTTTCTTCTACTATTGAAATATGTATGGATTTAAGCTATGTAAATTGTTGATACTGTACAATTTTTATATCCAATATGCACAGCCGTTTTAAGCTATAATTGATGTACACACGCCATAAAATATCTCAAGACAATAATGGTCGCCTACGGTGAGCGCAAAATAAAATCGCTGGGTATACAATTTCAAGCTACATATTTCATTCTTGGAAACGGGCAATTAAAACCGTCAACGAACAAAAGCAAAAATGCCATAGGATGAACTTGAGGGATTGATATTTTTTTGATAAAAATCTTCAACGTATCGAAAATATCAACAGGCTTACCCATCTGTTTAAGAACGACTGAGAGATAAACTCTACGTGATTACGGGTGAAGTAACTTTAAGTATGAAGAAGACAAAAAAGAAAGTGGAAAAGGGTGTAAGGCAGCAAAAACTGCCAGCGTATCCAGCGAAATTGAGCGTACTGAACAAACATGGGCTAACAGTTTGGGGTGGGGGACCTGAAATAAGATATACATCAAAAGCAAAGGAACAAAAGACAAACGAAAAACTGAGATGTTTATAAGAAAAGCATATAGATTTAATTATCAATCTATATGAACAAAACTATCAGCCAGGTGTTATAGACATTGTTGATATTCTAAGGAAATCGTTCAAAATTTTAGTTTGAGAGAATCAGCATTCGTAACTCTATGGAAACCGTATACAGAATAACAACCTTGTGCTCTTCCCATGTGTCCACCTTCGGGTCGGTCAACAGTCGGAACACCTGCACATGCTGAAACCAAGTCGATTAAAGCAACCTTCGTCAATACTAGCCACCATTGGCGCAATGGGGGTTTATTGATATTGAGTTAGAGTCTCACAAAGCCTAAGGTTTGTAAAATCGAAGGAGGAAGAAAAAGAAAGCAGGCACCATAGTTTACGCGCCAAAGGGAACTACAATCAGTCATTACTTGAATCTTATATGAATAAAATCCTCACCGAAAGGTTTTTTTAACATCATGCACAGCACACCAATTCATATACATCCTGACATCAATAGTTTAACCACTTCAGAGACTATAGAAGTATACCCTTCCATATACGCCGAAATCAAATCTCAACAAGCATTTTTGGCCCGTTGTAAAGAACACAATCTATGCGTTAATTTCTTTTTACACTTTTATTCATAGATGTGTAAAGGCTGTCCATGCCAAAACGCATGTGACGATAATATCGATCAGTTGAGCAATGATATACAAGGTCACTAGCTTTCCTAAACTACGTATATTTCGCTTTACATCACTCAACTGTAGCCCCATCCCAATACTAACGAAAGATAGTGTTGAGAACCATTCAGAAACGTAAAAGCAATAGTTATTAATCAGCTGTCTCAAATTGGTGTCATCATCGATGGTGGTGTTAAACAGTACAGCTGTGATAATAAAGCCAATGACAAACTTTGGAAACCTTTTCCATAACAAAACGTAGGCGCTTTCTGTCGGGCGAGTAGCTACATGGATGTTGCGCGGATGTTTTACAGAGGGAGTATTACTATCCTCACCTCCCAGACTGTCATCTGTTATGTGTTGCTGCTGCTGTTGATGTGTTTGAGCCAATGAATCAATATTGCGATTCCCTTTATCGTTATCGGGATTATTTAGCAATTCCTCTTCTTGCTTATAGGCAGCCTGTAACTCATAGCGAGACCAAGCCCAAGCCAAAATAACTGACAGAGGGCCAATTAAAACATTCTGCATCATTTTTACAATAGCCGAAGTGTTGATTGCATCATGATCACCATAAATACTTGCTGCAGCGATCACAGCGCCTGTCGAATCGACACATCCGCCAAACCACGCGCCACTGACAGTTGCTGACAGGGCCATACGTTTAGCAATATAAGGCAAGGCGATAATACTTGGAATGGTAAAAATAGAAATAATCGCAATGGGAAACTCTGTTTTATGAGGCACTCCCATACTTGACCCGAGAGCAATGGCTGCGGAAGACCCACAAATAAACGTAGCGCCTGACATAATGATAGCTGTTTGTCTGTCTATTTTTAAAATCTTCCAGCCGAAATAAGCAACAACAATAAACAAAGTGGGTGTATCGATCCAGCTGACGAAAAGAGCGCGAGCTGCCAGTGGACGTAAAACACTAATATCAATGCAAAGAAGGACTAAACTGATGGCGATGTAGAGTTCTGTCTGTTGAGCAACTTTAAGCCATGGTGGCAAAATGTTTGATTTGGTGAAGAAGGATAGTGCATTCCGTAAACAACAGCCAAAAATGATAGCCCAGATGGAGTCACCAACGCTGCCTTTTTTTAATACAACTACAAAAATCAAAAAATTTGAAGAATAGGTTTAGGTCTTGTTACAAGTAGATTCTCTTTTCTCTCAATTGTTCTATCACTTACCATTACTTGCCAGCATTTTACTAATCAAGGCAACAAAGAAGACAATAACATAACCTATTGGGAACTTTCTCCAATTCGGTGCATTAGTAGACGCCAGAGCAATCCATAATAATGCACCCATGACGGGGAATAAGACTATCAATCCAAAATTTCCAACGGTTGCAAACGTCAGAAATGGATTTCTGTCCCATATTAGAAACTCAGGTGAGGGGATTCCATCTTTGACGGCAGCTGTAATGCAACCGAAAAAGATCAGACCTATCCAGCAAGACCACCATTCTTCTGAGTTCCACCATAATAGCCATGATTTCAGGCTCATAAAAGACAGCAAAAAGGATCTCTTTTTTTTAAACTCTGACTGTGCATTGTTAGTCGTCGTTATACGGGAAGAGGTCGATGTTAGATTTGTAGAAAAAGAAGTTGCAGAATTAAAATTCTCTCTAACAGTTCCTATATCCTTGTCACTATTGCTCGGTGTGATAGATGATAGCTTATTCAATTCGAATTGTTTGCTTTGTCTATCTCTAGAGGCACGTCTACCAGTAGGCATTCAGTATGTATATTTATCAGGGGTGAAGGTATGGTTGGTTGGTTCAACGTTATAATGTGGAAGGAAAATTGTTGACAATTCAAGCGATATTTTAAGTATCTTATTCCCGTGACTTATCTTCCCTCTATATTTAAACTCCCAAAATAAAAAAAAAGTAGAAAACGTTTGCAAGTTGAAGCCGGGCAACGGTTCCTGATTTAGAGGTTATCGGGATTCAACTGTGACAATCTCAAACATATTTGATGGGATCAGAAATGCCTTTGAGATTCATTGACTGCTTTTAGAGAGCTAAGTTTGGTATACCTTGATACTTAATTGACCCAAACGATTGCCGATATTGAATATCCTGTAATTTGCCATTGCAGCTTAAATGTTTTAGGACATCAATTGACACTTGCATTCCTTGGTGTTTCACTGTCTATCTGAAAAGGAATTATACACGGATGAATCGTTTTGTTTTCATCAGATGCCGGCTACATTGTCTCTTGAAGCAAATAGATTATTTAAACAAACAAGCCAGACAGCATCTATTGTGGTATTGATGCTTTGTTCCTGACCACGGGTTTTTTTATAATCAATTCAACTTTTTTTTTTCTCACGATTTATTCTATGGCTATTTACGTAATTGTATTGACAGAAAAGGCAGTGTCCTCTTACCATTACCTAAGAATACGGATTATTTGTTAAGCTTAAGATACATTTTAATTTTTATTAAGATTATTATGACTCTATAATATGGAATTATAGAAGATGGAAATAAATAAGCATGTGTCAAATAAATGAACAGTAATATGAAAGATGCAAATTATAGACAGGGTATATGTATGTTAATCCTTTGGAATATTGAGTATGTACATAATTAAGAGCTGAGAATGCCATTGACGGTGGTAAAGGAGCTTGCCACTGTTGGTTGAGCACAACGTTTGGGAATAGTAAGATAATTACGACGTTTTCTGTAAATAAGAGGAACCCAAGGGTATGCGGTAGATGATGGATTACTGGCCTTATAGAGATGATGTTTGACAGCTCTTTTCGTCATCCAAGGTTTAGCCTTTTCCATGACGGCCGAGAGTAAAGAATTTGCTTCATGTATATTGGAGTTGGTATTAGAATTATTGGTTGACTGTTCGATGGAATAAGCGTTTGATAATACATCATTGTTGAACTGCTGAGGAGCATCAGGAGAGATACTATGCATGCTGTTGCAGGTAGATTCTGACTGTAACGACGTTCCTTGATCTTTCATTTGACATTCAAGGGAACAGTATAGCGATTGGTGAGAATTAAATGTTTCGTCCTCCACGATGCGCTTATCACACATAATGCACCAAGAGAGATCCATTTCCATCTTGTTGAACGTTGGTTTGATGAAATTGTAGGATTACGATTTAAACGTACAACAGAGAGTGAAGAACCGAACAACGTGTATATTTATACTTTCAACCATCACTGCGGGTTAATTTGAATAAATCTGTTTCAGATGACTTTGATGGAAATTGCTGGAGAATTCCTTTTTAAAGCGAAATTAAAAATTATTTTTGATTTGTCAAAAAATCCAAATGTTCCAGAATTTTTCGTGCAAAACGCGAAACAGATTGAAGTTGGGCATAAAAAAGCTGTTTTCACTGTCTGCAGCTTATCCGTTCAAATAATCAGCAGACGAACTTTTCTCTCAATTCTTTCTGCACTAAATAAAGCCGAGATGATATACCTGACATCGAACTGAATTCAAAATGAGCGATGATATGATATAGATCTCAATATTGAGAGCCTGCAGAATATGTTGGTCAACCTTCATCAATGTATGCATGCTTTGCTGGCTCAACTATCCCACTACCTTCTTACCAACATTTCACAGCTGTAGTAATCAGAGTAGCCTAAAACATCTCGAAGCTCAATTTCAGCACACTTTCACTACACTCAGGGCATATTTGTCAATGAACTCTCAAGAGCTATAATGCGCACTATTCGCAGGACTTGATAAAAAAAACAGTTTTAATATCATAAGGCCTATAGGCTCAACCCCTTGGGGGCACAGCTTTCAAAATCTTGGCAAGATATCTTTGTACTTTCCCCTAAGGCTGTACTAGGCTTTTGTTTTAAAACATTAAGCGGTTGGGCTTCCCTTTTCTACAACATTCTGTACGGCGTATCTCGGCATAGAGCTGTATGTGTTGATCTTCCGACTGCATCACTAATCAATGCGATACGATTATAAGTAAAAAACCAAGAGTGCTGATATTTTATCTTTTTTTCGTCAAGCTCAGTCGCTGTAAGTTTTATTAAAAGAAATAACAAAAATCTCTCATTTCCCCTGACCAATTGTCTCAAAAGCGTCATTGTGTCTGAATTCCAAATTGACGGAATAAAAAATCCTAATTTTCCTCCAAAAGGATTTCCACCGTAGTTCTTTTTTTACTGTTTTGTTTTGATCAGTTTAAATGAGTACAACTGTCAATAGTTACGGAAAAAGCACCTTAGTTTTGCCTCGGAAGAGAGGAAGACCACGTAAAGACACTAATGAAGTTACTGCTATTGATGTTGAACAAACACCTCTGCAGCAGGCAACAGCATATAATCAAAGCAGTGCTGTTACGAATGCATCAACCATTGAAATCACAACGTCCGCAAGTGAATACAGTCAATCACTGAAGAGAAAGACTACCGATAATAGTACAACACAAAAGAAAGCAAAGGTTATACGCCTCAAAAGAGAGAAGGCTGTAGCAATTACAGCACCCCCAAGGATAGCCAAGCAAGAAGCAGGCCAATTATCTGTTCCGAAAAAGGAACGCAAGAGGAGAGAGAAGGTTCAGAAAGAAGCTAAAGTGAAGAAAGAAGCTAAAGTGAAGAAAGAGCGTAAGAAGAGAGTAGTCCTCAAGTTACCTCCTGAAGCTAATATATATCTGTCCGATGTAAGCGCTTTGATTTATGAAGAATATATACGCTTGTTTATGAGCATAAATGATTAACTTGCAGCTTTTAGACTATGCGTGGTAGAGTGTTGAGAGCGATGAAGCAAAGAATGTTCGTTCTCTCCAGGCAACTTTCACCTGAAGATGATTCAGTCGAATCCTTCGACGTAATTGGCAGTGTTGGCAACGTAAGTGAATTACTATTTGAGCTGTAAGATTGCTCTGATTGAATGAAAGATTTCCTTACTGAAGCAAGTGTTTTTTTCTTAAATAGACATATAAAGTATCTATCGGCCACAGAATCAGTTGTGAATGCATGGATTACAGAATTCGACGTACACACTGTAAACATATTCTCATGGTTCTATTGAAAGTTTATCGTCTTCCTTATGACAGCCCATTATTTCAATCAATGAATACCACCCGTGAACAGCGTCTCATCGCCAGGAGGTTCGGTAGAATGGTCGATCCTTCTGTTTTGGTTCCTCTAGCCATACGCGAGAGAATCCTGCGTATGACACATCATGAACACCCCGATGTACCCACTGCAGAAGTCAAAGAAGAGGAAAAGAAAGAGGAAGAACAAGGCATGCGTCGACCATTAGATACCTCAGACTGCCCCATCTGTTTCGAAACGTTCGAAGAACAAGCTATTGACGATATTGATTTCTGCAAAGTTTGTGGTAACAATATTCACACAGAGTGCTTCAATATGTGGAGATCTTCCAAGGGCAACAGAAATGTCACCTGTGTTTACTGTCGTTCCGCTTGGGTATTTGCTACTGATAACGGCAACAGCACTTCTAATGGCATTTCAAGGCGACCAGTTCATGAACTCGACCGTGACCACATCTTTGAAGGCGTTCCTAATTTTGCCGAAGAATTAGCTCTTCAGCGTAAACGAGATACATCAAGTTACAGTCGTGGGCCTCGCTATGGTTACAGCTTCAGCTTTGACTAATTGGAAAGAGAGAAGTTTCATGCTCATGGATACCATATCATTGTCATTTTTTTATTTTTCTTTTGCAATTTCAATTATATTCCCCCTTTACACGAAGTTTGATATCTCATTATATCTTATCATTTTTTAAGCCGTAAGTTCTCTCATTCTATTACCCTATATAACTTAGCTTTTTCATGAGTAAAAAAAATTAATTTTCTGGTTTGCATTTTTTGATTTTGTTCGTCCAATTGCTGAAATCACAAGAGATGGGTAGAAGAGTTTTCCTTGACATTAAAATAGGTGATATCGCCAAATATGAAGATGAGCTTTGTCGTTATAACAAAGCCAAGTCTTGGGTCAAACAATGGGCCGTCACTTACGGTTTTGCTACTGATGATCTGGATGAGATCGCTCTGGAAGACAAAGAAACTTTACGCGATGTATTAGCTAATGACCCAACTGCTACAAATGAAAAGTGGCTCGTTGATCAACCTACACCTTTAGCAGGCGGGAAAGTAACCATTGAGTTGAACGACAAAGAATGCCCCAAAACTGCTGAAAATTTCATTTGTTTGTGTAAAGGGGGTAAGGTCGGCAAAAGCTCCAAGAAAGAATTGTACTTCAAGAATACAAAGATGTTTCGCTTAGTGCATGATTTTGTTGTACAAGGTGGTGATGTGACGAGAGGTAAGCGTCAACCAAACGTCAATGACGAAAGCATAGTTAATAAAGATTACTTCATCAGGCGATGGTTCCGGGGGAGATAGCATCTACAACGGCAAGTTTAACGACGAAAAGCCTGGATTGGCAAAGAAATTTGATACAAAGGGATTAGTAGCTATGGCAAATTCAGGAAAGAATTCCAACACATCGCAATTTTTCATAACATTAAGTGATAAGCACCCTCAATTAGAGAAACTCAACGGCAAGTACGTTGTGTTTGGTCAGGTTGTAGAAGGCTTAGAAGTGCTTGACCAAATTAATGCAGTAGAAGAAATCAGTGAACAGCCTCAGAAGACTATTACAGTTGTTAACTGCGGCGAATGTTAAGTTATTAGCCAATTTCTCGAGTAATTGACAAATTTTGATACAGTAAAATAAAAAGCTTTCTATATCCATGCATGCAATAACTTAATGTTCAATATCCTCCATACTTCCTTTATAACAAACGAAATGATTTAATAACTTGCGAAGAAATTGAGTGTGAAGTTTGCGTTGTGTGATATTCAAATCAACGGCATATTTAATACATTATTCACAAATGTAAATGATAATATTGAGAATAAAGAATTTACTCCTGAGATCTAAGACGAGCACCGGCGTTGATAACCTTAACGTCCAATTGAGCAGCACGTTCAAGGATAGCGACACGCTTCTTGGAGGAGACGTTGTGAGCAATCTCAGCAGCATAAGTGCGGTTGTGCATCAACAAAAGGTTGAGTTCACGGACATTGGAGATAGTGAACTTACGGAAACCGTTAGGCAAAAGGTGACGGGTCTTCTTGTTGGAACCGTAACCGATCTTGGGCATAGGAGCTTGACCCTTGAAACGTCTACGCATGTTACAATCAATACCCTTGGGCTTTCTCCAAGATTCCTATCGTTGCCATTAGACAAAAGAATCATTGTAATTAATATCCATATCCTGTTGATATTGAAAATACAAAATTCGAGTGACACTTACACCAACACGCATGAAGCGGTTAGATTGGTGACGCTTGAAGTGAGCAGTACGCTTCTTCACGATGGTGTGCTTAACGGCAGGAGTAACCATTTCAAAGCTGATATGAGAATGAACAAAAAAAAAAAAAAAAAAAAAAAGTCAGTGTACTTATTACTTGGTTAATCCAGTCCAACAAAACATAATAGGTATAGAGAGTAGACAAAAGGATCAACAATGCAAACGTTCAAACTCTTAAAGCTGCGATGATAACAGTGGCTATTGATTGCTTTGTTGAGAAAAGTTCTCATAATAACATGTAGCATGTACTTAACATACTCTGAATACAGCTAACTGATCAACCATGCTATTTTCGCAAATTGTGCTCCAGCTTTTGTCCATCTTCAAGCCGTTGTCATCCAAAAATCCATTTTCGTTTCGATCCATCTGTCTAGTATATTGATATTCTTGAACGAAGCTTTCATCATACCCTCTATATCCGTATTATGTTGTTTGACTATCACATTATCCTTCTGATGGATGTGTTGCAATTACCTTCTGACTGATGTTGGAAGAGGAGGATCTGTCCGTTTATGCCTTTTCCCACTTTAATTTTTACTTCAAGCTTGTCGCTGTCTTGCCCTCTCTCTGTTTCCGTTTGTCCCATCTATTCAATGAAGGCTCCGACAAAATTCAAATTCTTTTCGATCCGGAACCTTCTAACTTCGATGACGTAACAATCGTGTTCGGAGTTGTCACTGACCAAGGGAGGAAGTAATAAAAAATAACAAAAAAGTGGAGAGGGAAACTATTCAAAATTACCCCTCTTTTATTACAGTAGAACTTAACAAAAAATTAAATAATGTCTGGTGCTGCTGCTGGTTTTGGCTTTCACCCACATATGGCAAGTTTTACACATCGCTTTGTTGGTAAAGCGTTAGGTGCAACCATGTGGTTCTGGATGATGTATCGTGCAAAACAAGACGGTCCAGTTCTTTTGGTAAGTTAAAATTTAATTGCTAGCGTCATTGACAATAGGAACTTATCATGAACAATAGGGCTGGAGACATCCTTGGGATCACCACGGTGATGATCATCATGAAGAACATCATTAAAGAACAACAACAATAATTGCCCGTCAGATGCGAGGAATATAGCAAGCATTGAACAACCTGTCAACTATAAACTATCATCCAACATACCAAACTATTTATAATCAATAAGATTACTAGCGCCCTTTCAACGCGAAAACAAAACAATAAAAAGAAAAAGAAGGAGGAATTGTGCCTCAGTTTGTTTGATTCTCATCTCATTAACGATAATGCAAATATGTTTAATGCTTAAAGATCATAGATGTGTACTGAAAACCTCGCAAAGCTTAACGATTATACTTCACCCATTTGTTCAGCGCCGAGTTCGTTTGAATCTTGTTTCTCTACGCATACGTCTGATAAAGTAGTATATAGAGCAGCGGACAAACGGAGGACAGTTAGAGAATGGTTCAGAATGGTAAAGCAAAGTTTAGGTGCATACCTAATGTTTCTTTCTTGAGCTATAAGCAATTTCTCTAATTCATCGTTTGAAAGAATTTCCATGTGGGGAATAAAATCCTTCGCCTCATCCATTGGCCTGTATGCATTGTCCAAAGAGCCTCTGATTTCACCTTGGATATAATGCTAGTGTTGAAGTGAATAAAATAGAATATTGCGATTGAATACACAGTGGATCCGATCATATCCTGCGGCTACTATCCTCTTACCTCATCCATATATTGTCTTTTGTACCTATATGCTTGTTCTCGAATAGCATGTGATATGATCGCTACATACTCGCCTCCTACGCCTAATTCAGCAGCTAATTGTTTGCTGAAAACTTCCGGGGAATTGCTGCCTTTCTTATCAGTGTTTTGCAAAGACCATTCAAATTGATCTCTGTAATTAATTTTTCCGATCTGTAAATCGAGCTGTTTTATTCATGCCGCATTTTTGTTTTTATAGAGAAAAAAAGGGATGCGGGTGTTAGTAGTCTACTTTCACAAAACAAACTAAAAAAAAGACAGCAGAAAGGGTATGTACATTGATTATCACTCGCGAATGTTCAGGTGGTATTTCCACGAAGTATGTACTTTCAAAATCTAATACCTGTGTACGTATTGATTCAGCAATAGGTTGTAAAAACTTGTAAGCAGGTAAATCAAGGTCGTCACATAGCAATTCAGCAAACTTCTCGGGTGTCAAGAATTGCTCTAATCATTTAAAAGTACAGGCAGTGTATCGGACATGCTTAATGATCAGTTTATTTGTTTCTTTCTCATTCAAGATATTGTTTGTCCATTTACCATTCATATTCCATAAAAATCGATCTCTCAACTTTATTGATTCGATATCGATATCTAGTCTTATGGGTACTAACACCTCTTCAATATTGGATATGATATTTTGATCTCTTGAAGAATAGAAAATTTCACTTTTTTTCCTAATTGTTGTTCTTAACTCTCCTGAAGCCAAAGCTGCGGCTGTCGAGGTCGATATAGGTGGTGTTGCTATATAATCATTCTTTGGCACTGTCGATGCAGATGATTCCCCACCATCCCTTTCATTGTCTCCTACACTACCGACTTTTGACAGTCTCCTTTCATTTTCTTCATCATCTGCTGACGAGGAGTCTTCAACGAGCTCTTCAAAGTCATTCTCATCGTCTAAATTATAAGTTCCAGTGAAGCGCGTTCGTCGTTTTGTTATATAAGTTTCTGGTAAAAGTAATGATCTGTCATCTGAGGATTTCAGTCGTGATCCATACGTTGAGAAGACGCCTTGTGTTCGTGGTGAAGGCTGAATGTTAGCCATCATTGGATAAGCGATTTGAGGCATATACGCACGCTGTTGATGTTGCTGCTGAGAGGGATAAGAATGTGAATATTTGTTTTGCATTTTAACAACTGATAGATTGTATTGAAAAGGAAAAGCAAGAAGGAAACAGAAAAAGAATAGCCAAATTGATTTTAAGGGGAAAGGGCAAAGAATCATGCATCAAACTCAGTCAAAGTGATCTGATTTATTATGGTTCATTTTTCCTTACGTTATTAAAGTATTTTGGTGCAGCTAAAGGTAACCAAGATGACTGTATAGCTGAAACGCCCCTCACATAATGCTTGGTTGTAAAAACCAGTTCGTTATACATAAGACCCTCTACTCTTTTACCAAACATAGCTGATGCAGGATGAATTTTCACTAATTGACCTCCTGTCACACTCTTGTACGAACCATCAGGCTGTAATAGCGCGGTATTCTGAAAGAAACCTGTTAAGAAGCATTTCAGAATCTGGTCTGTCTCTGCGCCGCAGCTTGCATTTGTGTCCATATCAATACGTTCGCAAAAGCGAATCAGTTGATTTCGTACTTCCATCGCAATCCTCATGTTTCTACTATTGATAAAGTTTTCTTTACACCATTCCACATCGCCTTTGACTTCCCAATAGGACTTTAATACATTCAGTAAAGTGAGATGATCGCCATCAGGATGGAGAAATTTCTTTCTGGCCTCAGCGGCCTGCTCTCGTTTATCAGATGGAGTAAAGAAAATGGTATCCACGGAAAGCAAAGAGATGATGGCCACAACTTCCAAAGTGCACCCATACTCTTTGGATTGTATCAACACTTTGGAAAAGGAAGGATCCAAAGGAAACTCTGCCATCTTCTTACCCAAATCAGATAGTTCTCCGGTATCATCAATAGCATTCAAGGCGTATAGTTCTTCTAATGCTCGAATAAGCGATGATCTAGAAGGCCGATCCATATAATCAAATTCTAACACATTACTGATCCCTGAGGCTTTGAGGGCTAGTACAGCAGAGGCTAAATTACATCGTCTAATTTCGGGTACGGTATCATCTTCCAATTCACGGAATGTATTTTCTGTATATAATCGATAACAGACACCGGCTGCTTCTCTACCTGCACGTCCAGTACGTTGCCATGCTGAACTTTTGGATATCGGATGTAATAACAGTGACTCTACGCCAATTTTGGGATTAAAGCCACGAAGCTTAGCTAAACCACAATCGATCACATAACGAATGCCTGGAATGGTGATACTGGTTTCAGCAATATTGGTGGACAGAATGACTTTACGGGTATTTTCTGGTGCAGGATCAAACACTTTCTGTTGTTGAGAGGGCGGTAGGGCGGCAAAAAGAGGGCAGGCCATGAGAGCTTGTTGATGAGGGCGTAGTTGTGAAGCATACTCGTTGACGAGCGCTGCAAGACTTTCAATCGCTTCCTGACCAGGCAAAAACACTAAAATATCACCCTTGGGGTTATTCATGTGAATTTGAAATATGGACACAAGTGAAGCGTCCAAATAATCAGATTGAGGTTCGGTGGTAAACATAGTGTCCACAGGGTATAATCGACCGGATACATATAAAATTTTTGCGTTATTGAAGAATTCACTGAACTTCTCGGCATCTAAGGTAGCACTCATGATGATAATCTTGAGAGGCTGCACATCTGTTTCGCCTGCGTTGTATTTCTCTTGTCGAATTTTCTGGATCTTTTTGATCATACCAAAAAGCATATCTGTACGGAGTGTACGCTCATGGGCTTCATCAAGAACTACAACCTTGTACCGCAATAATAGTTCGTCAGATAAAATTTCTCGTAATAACATACCATCGGTGAGGTATTTGATAATGGTCTGCGGGCTAGATGTATCGTCAAAACGCACGGTATAGCCTACTTTTGACCCTAGTCGGCACATTGTTTCTTCTGCTACACGTTTTGCGAGGTTTACGGCAGCAACTCTTCTCGGTTGGGTGATAGCTACTGCACCTAATTCTTTGGAAGCCAATCCTGCCTCTACGACAAACTGAGGGATTTCTGCAGGAAAGAAAGAAAAAAAAAAGGTTTTAGAATACTTTTTGCATGGTAAAAAATTCTTGTGTGTTTTATTGAGAAATAGCAACAGAACTTACGAGTTGTTTTGCCTGAACCTGTCTCACCCATCACGATAATTGTGTCGTTCTCTTTTAAACTATTTATAATAGCGTCTCGGCCTAACCATTCCATGACAGAAGATAAAAAGAATTTAAATATTCTAGTTTTCGGTCTATCCTTTTCTTGCATTGTGCATTTTACCTGAATAAATAGGTAACTGCTTTCTGAATGCTAACATTTCTTTCTTCTTTTTAGTGAAATCTTGCTTGTCAAGCCGATTTGATTTAGCATTCAATTTTCCTTCGTGATTCTTTTTCTGCTTTTTGACTTCATGCTTTATGGTGTGCTCATTATTGAACTCCCAACCAATGCCGCCGGCATCCTCGTTTTCTTCAAAGTTTACAACTCTTTTCATTAGCAAATTACTCTTTTGTTTGTACAAGATCAGAAAGATCGTCTCAGCAGTTCAAGCTTTATTTGTTAACTTTTTCTCAAATGAAATTGAACTCATCTATTAAGTCACAGACCCAGTCCTGTCAGGAATGATAACGACAATTACCTTTTTTTTTAATTTGATACACAAAACAACTAAGTGCTCTTTTCTCAGTTAGGGATGGATTTCACAAGTCTATGTCTATGTTAACCCTTTTAACCTTTCTTCTATTTCCTCCTTCAGTGATTGTAATTGTAGCTCTTTTTGATTTAATCGATCTATAGAGGCTTTTAAGGCATTCATCGATTGCTCGTATAAGACATCATATTGCTGGAGAATGGTCTCAAATGGGATAGCTGCAAAAGGATCACTGTGAGTGGTTTTAGAGAGAAAGGGGGTAGGATTGTCAGTTAGTGAGTTTGTTTTGATAACGCTTCACTCTCTCTCTCTCAATGGTCTTTACCTTTCAAAGGGACTTGTGTTATTGAAATTCTCGCTTTCCAGCCGCAGTGGTACAGCAGCGTTTGACATAAATTGTTTGTAACCTAGTGTGCTTTCGTTCATATTCGAAATGTGCAAAGGTAGTCTCTTTATGCTTCTATTACTTTCATCAGGTTGACCAGGTGGGATGGAACAACTCTTCATATCCCAGAACGCGAATTCATACGTTTGTGTCGAGTTATCCGTGTCAGCATTCATGTTTGCAGTAATAATAGCCATGCAGCCATAGGGTATATGTGAAGCATAAGATGTCATCCACAGCTGATCGCGTAGTGATAGCTCTGTTTCAGTTTGTCGTCTAAACTTGAAATAACCTACTACAGATGAAAGAAGTTGTTCTGACGGCAAGGCCCTCAGCATTTTGCCTTTGCTGAGTTTGCCCTCGGCATCATACGGTTTGTCCTTCGCCATTTGATATCCATGAATGACTACAAAGCGTGATTTATTCAAAGTTAGCCATCGACGTCTCATGAGGACACCCACGCTGAGTCACAAAAAGGACTTTGCTCGTTACTTAGATAGTCCTCTCTCTTCTCAAAACCTTGCTCTGCAATGTCATCGTTCATGATGGTTTTTCTGACAGACAAGGTTCCGAAAAAGAATCCTTCCTATGCAACGATTTCAACTTGTCAATAAGCGCCCGTATGGGCCATCTGTAACGACAGCCCCTTTTTTGTTGTAACATCTTACAGCATCGTTTTCTGAATTTGCGCATTCGTACAATAAAGATGACAGAACAGTTCCACTTATACGAACATGATATGACATGGCATTTCTGTTAAAACCAAAAAAGAAGACTAGGGGAGGGGAGAAAAAAAAATAAATAAAAACGGTTTTATTACTACTGAGGAGGAAATTTCCAAGACCCTACGAAAGCTTCTCTTGATCTAGTTTGAGCAGAAACACGCACGCAGCCATCCCTTGAACTTTAAAGAGATAATGCATACATGGTCCAGGTCTTTCTCGGTGGCATGATGTTTCTCAACCATACGAGGATTGTGAAGTATCAGTATTTGTGGATGATAAAACCCATTTCAAAGCTTTGAACGCTGCTTCTATTTACCTTCAAGTTGTATAGAGATACTACGTATAGTAACAGAAACTATTCTCAAGATATTTCTTTTCAGATTGAAAGTTACAAAAATGTTCGATGAAGGTCAAAGGCTATAAAGAATGACAGTTTTATCTTTTGATATTTATTTGAAAAAGTTAAGCAGGGTATTTAAAAAAAAAAGGTCGAATGCATGACAGTAATATATGTTACAAGGTTAAAGTGAAAGAGAAATGTGTGAGTATAATAGTGTGTGTTAGTTTTTTTTTTTTACGTTTCAACTTTGAGTCTCTTATTCATATTTATCATATCATAAGAACTATCCGGCTCTCGCCTTTTGTTATTATCGGTGGAAGAACTGATGGGGAAAAAAAAAAAAAAAAAAAAGTTAAAGGTTAGATCTATTCAACTTACTGATACAATATTGACCAGTGTGGTGCGCCCTTACCCTTCCTGTTGTTGTTGTTGCTTTTGCTGTTGCGCTTCAGTTTTATACGTATTTAAAGGAGAAGGCTTATAGCCTTTCGATGTGGATGCTGACGATGTTGCTGTTGTTGTTGTATTGTTATTGGCAGAGGAACTACTATTACTATTGTTATTACTTGGCGGCCAATTGAAGCTACTCGATGTATTGACTGGCGTCATACTAAAATTCAATGGACTTGGCATCATTTCCAAATGTTGATTGAAATACTGAGAGGGAGAGGGAAGATTCTGAGCGAACTGAGAGGGGAGAGCAGATGGAGGGTTAAGGCTCATGCTTGTACTGGGATTACTGTTATTATTGTTACTGCTGCTACCACTGCTACTATTGTCGTTACGACTGGATTGTTGCTGATCTTGTTGTGCTTGATGCTGCTGCTGAGTGTGCTGGTCAGAATTTGATGGTTGTTGCTGTTGTTGTTGCTGTTGCTGTTGCTGTTGCTGCTGCTGGGGGTGGTGGTCTCGTGCCTGAGAATATTGTGTTGGTTGTGGACTCTCGCTTGGGATTTGAACACGCAGGTTAGGTCGTTTACTACTACTGCTGTTGTTCCGGGAATGGCCGGGTGTTCTACTTCCATTACTGTTACTACTGTTACTATGATGCAAGCCTTCATGTTGTTGCTGTAATTGCGGTTGCTCGTAAGTGCGGTGATGAGAATGAGGGGAATTACTGGAAACGGTTGTAGACGTCATTCTGTCCATGGAATCGGAGGAAGGTGTAGTCAACGTAGGCACAGAAGAAGCTGCTGCAGGCATGACGTTCGTAGAGCTATTGTTATGTTGGGCTCCTTGAGGCGGTGGTAATGAGCCCCATTGCATTGCCGCCTGCTCCTTATTCACAGACTGAATATACATTGGTTGCGGTGAAGGCGAAGGATAAGTCATTCCATTGGCGTTTGTCGGAGGAGGATAAGGGTGTTGCGACGGTGGTTGTGATGGATAATGATGAGGATGCTGCTGTGGGTGGTGAGAAGGATGAGCCATGAGCCCCTGTGGATGGTTTGGAGCTGCTTGAGCAGCTGCAGAGTGGTGAGGATGCGAAGGGTGCATAGGAGGAGGCAATGGTCCATACATAGCCGAGGGTGGCCTTTGAGAATATTGCTATAGCGATTATGTAACGGTTTCAGAGAAATTAGTAAGCATTCTATAGGGATGAAACAAAGCATGTGACATGCCCACAATAATGAGCGCTCTCTTACCATATTGTACATGGGAAACACTTCGTAAGCAGGTGGCATTGACCGTTGATGTACCATATTTGGATCCGCTGCAGTTTGTCCAGTAGGTTGTGAATAACTGCTCATCATGGGTGTCGCATTGGGTGGATGATAAGGTTGGGTGTGAGAAGTATAAGGTCGATGCTGTGGTTGCTGGGATTGCACAACAGCGGGTGCTGCGGTCGCTGCTGCAGTAGTTGCTGCCGAAATTTTGGTGGAAGCCGCAGTTGAAGCTGCAGAGGCTGATGTTGTGGCAATACTAGCAGCTGGTGCAGGAGTTGATGCGGTAGTACTTGTCTCACTCATTACAGTCGTGTTATTATTCTCTTGATCTGATCCATCATCCTCGCCTTTTTCGCTAGCGTTGATGAACTAGAAAAAATTGAAATAAAAAGAAAAAAAAAAAAATTTTTTTTTGTTCATAAAAAATATGAGTAAGACTCGATTTAAACATGTTTTTTCTAGTTAAAAGCTTTCATTATGACTTACATCTTCGTTACATTTACTTTCATAAGGCTCATCATACTATGATAAATTGATGTGATCAAATAAGTAACCTTTTTTTTTTTTTTTCCCTACAAAAATTTTCATTATTTATAATAGTGCTAACCTCAGTATATCTCATGAGTACTTTATCAATATCATGACTTGCATATTGAACAAGTTTATTGTTGGAATTGTTGAGAATAATCAATGCAATTTCACAATTACATAGGACACTCAATTCATAAGCTTTCTTCATCAAACCATGCTTTCGCTTCAAGAAGGTCACTTGTCTGTTTCGATCGTCTGTGATGGGCTGAATTCTAATCTTTTTACGTCCCATTGTTATTTCTGCGCTTTTTGTGTTGTGGCACTAAAAGTTTGGTGTTTCGCTGGTATTATATTTTTATATCACACAAAAAAATACTCCAGGGGCTGCTGCTGCTATTGCTATTACTACTGCTGCGTTGGCTTGGCTGAATGAAAATTTTTATTTTTGGCTCTTTTTTTTTTTTTTTTCTTTTTTCTTTTCAAAAAAAAAAAAAAAAGAAGTTTTTTTTTTAGAAAGAAAAAAACAATAAAAAAAGAAGTGAAAGAGGGTAAAAAAAGAAAAAAATTTAAGGTTGCTCTGTTAAATAATCCTTTGTCGTCGAGAAAAAAGGGGCGACGATGATACAGAATTTATTAGAAACTTTCGGTTTTTCTGTGATTTTTTGCAACGATAAGCATTGATGTTGTTTAGTCTTTCTTTTAAAAGCACTGAATGTGAATAGAACAGAAAATTTTTTTTACCTTGTCTAAAATCCTGGTTTTTTTTGTGCTTGAGACGATAACCGAAAATAGGCCAAATTGAACGAAAAAAGCTGGGAAGGCGCAAAATACAGGAGATGTTAAAAAAAGAGAAATGGAGAAAGAGAGAGAGACTTCGAGAAAGGACCAAAGTGGAAAAAAAAAAAAAAAAAAAAAAAAGCTAAATTTATTATTATCTTTGAGTTTACTTAAACTGCAAATCAATTGAGAAAATAGTAGCAGGGGGATGCTTTGTGATTGGTAGGAAAATAGTAGTTCCTATTTTTAGATCTCCTTCTTTTAGGTACTCTTTTTCAGGGATAAAAATGGAAATTTGGCACTCAACTGCGACATGATGATGCTGCCAGCAGCTGCCACGTTAAGAGACTCGACCCTTGGATCCATGGGTATAGATACTTTGATGACATTGTCCAGCAGAGAATTGGCACTAAGTCCATGATGTTCATCGCTTAGAATCAATGCAATCTTTTTCTTTTCTAGTAAATGGCTTAAACTTGCCCCCCGAGTATTATTTTGTTGGAAATTGTGAAAGATTAACCCTCCTTCCGCTCCACTGTTACTTTTCTCGCTGATCTGAGCAGCATTTTCTAGTGACTGTTGTTGCTGACAAAGAGAGCAAATGTCTTCCAAGGAATGTAAAGTAGTTGTGTTTAGTTTTGTGGAGTTCCTAGGCAACATATCAGCTGCAATGGGTGTAAATCCGTTTTCAACCAAAACCTTTAACAGTTCCCGTCGTGGTATGACCTTGAATTGCCATAAAATGGTTAATGCTCGTGAAGCACGCACCGCTTTATCGTTATATAAATCACAAGTGCCTGTCGTAGTAAATCCTTTATCCCAACCTAATCCCATAGCTGTGCGGACCAAAGAACCAATATTGCCTGGATCCCTCAAACCATCTAAAATCAATAATTTATCAGTTTCGCTGGTAATGAAACTTGCCGTTGTTGCTGTTGTTGTTGTTGTTGTTTCATTGTCATCTTGACGACTTTTCTCGTCCTGACCGGCGTTTATTGCTGTTGACTCTTTCATTCGAGGCACTTTAACCTCCGCATAGATCTCATGAGCATTGGGTCTCGATGAAGTCCCCAGAATGCGACGTGTTAGGTTGACATCTGTAACGTAATAATTTTTTGCAGGTATCAAGTCTGGATTTCGAAGAATTTTCTTGGCCGGATCGTGCGTCTCAACCTCAATGTCCTGTAATTCTGTTTTCGCAGTAGCGATGACCGTCTGAACTTCAACATTCTGCTTTCTTAATTCTTGAATCGTTTTAAGACCCTGGACCAGAACAGTACCATGATCTCTCCGATACTGAGGTCTACTCATAAGTGCTAGCATATGTTTGGCTTTGTCGTCATGTGCTGTTCGGATGCGTCGGAATGGGCGAGGAATATTCTCAATTAATTTACGTGCTGCTTTTCCTACCATTGTTTATTTGAGTACTGTATCTATCGTTGGGTATAATGCACGAAGGAAGATGGGAAGTAATTTCTCTCTCCCCCTGAATTTGCCTTTTTTAAACAGAACTTTCCTCCATGACTGTCATCTATCATGAATGATTTGAAGCTTTAGTCATAAAACTTGCCAATGTGGTTTGCGTTTCATGAAATTTGAATAGGAATCTTAAAGCGGAATACCCAATATAAGCAATCATAGCAAGCCCATGAGTGTTTCCTCGAGAGCTTACAATAGAAAAGCTTAAAATACGAGAGAGTGCATTATATGAAAGCTTCAAATGGTTTACGGTCCCTTCGTGGAAATCAGGATAAAAATATATTTGTACCGGTCTTCTATGCCAAAGATTTTTTTTTTCGTATCAGGGAAGCCTTGACTAGAATTCATACCATCAAATTCGAGTTTAGCAGTAATTTACATTCAAAAATCTGCACGTAAAGGGTTCTCTCCAGCCGTAAATGATATTCATTTCTTCACAATTGCGGCTAATCTCGCACCCGCAACCCCCCCCCCCTGTATAGTGCGTGCAGAAAATTGTAAATTTTCCGAAAAGTATGATTCTAGTCCCAAAGAAACATGGACCTCCACGTTTAAGAATTGCTTCAAGACATTATATCGCTAAGCAGAGCATACACTAGGAGTGCAAGATATAGTTAGCGTTGTCTACCTGATAGGCTTTTTCATATTTTCTTACTACTTTTCAACGTTATACTTTCGACATTGGTGGTATTTTTATTCAAGGATTATTATCAAGAAGCCTTGATCTTGTCATATTTAGTACTTTCTTAACCATTTAATAAAGTGACTCTATCACATATCCCAAGATAGATCACCTGTCGTCACACCTTTGTTCGCTTCTAAGAATCAGAAACAGATGTTCGCTGCTGTGGAGTGAATGACCTTATAAAGTATGGAGCTATTATTAAGGCTGCTCGAACGAAAAGAAAAGCACAAAGCCAGAACAGAAGCCATCTATCAATTATACGTTTCATATGGCTGATTCCGCATGTAATTCATATTGCTTTGAAATATTTCTGATATAAGCATACCTTACAGGTTCGATTGGCTAAACAAACCAACCGAAAAGAAGTAGAAAGTTAAGGCCCCTTTTAAGACTCTGGTTTATTGCTCCTTCAATTGCTACTAACGTTAGATGATAGAGCGATACGCTAACTAATTTTCAAAAAGTGAAATGACCAATACTGTCTCTTTTTCAATCACTGGCTTATTAGACATCAACGGTACATCATCAAATAGCTTTTCCTTTTCAAATCTTTTATTGATTACACTTTTGTTAATAGAGTTTGAAGTAATTAAAAGATCTGCTTCGATGTTTGTCCATAATCAATGCGCATAATAATGTTGATAGTTCGTTAAATTTGCTGAGGTATCTGTTGATTAACACTTTTGCCCTGCCAAATCGTAAAGAAGCTTCTTTTAAGCAATTGATAAAATGGAAGATCACGAAGGGAAAAAAAAAAGTTTCAGAAACAGCCTTCGTTTTGCATGTGATGACTCATCCTGTACACGCTGTTTTTTCCAAACTTCTGCTAATCCTACAAATGCACAAGGATAAACTCCAAGTTGCGGAAATTGCTGTAAGCCAAGACATACTACTACAGCAGTATCTTTTTGATAACGCAATATGGCATGTGGACATGTAATATACCGTCATTTTGACAAGATATAATGTCTTTATATCGAACAATGATAATCTATGTCTAAAAACACTTGATGCACATGATAGTGATCAAAAGGAGATTTGAGTACATGCTACCAAAGTTTTTCAAAATCATCAAAACTTTTGCTTTTGATCACCTGCATGCTTTGGCCGTTCTACCCTTGCGGGAAACCTTAGAACCGGCCTAAATAAATGATCTTAATGTAACCTCGTCTCAAATATCCTTCGCTCTTTTGTTCATCCAGGAATTGTACTGGAAGAAACCATATAACAACTTTATAAAGGTTTGTAATTGCCTATTATCCTTTCTATCCGAAGAATATACTGAAGCAAATGAATGTATGTATATTTCAGGCGTTGAGTGCAAATTTCCTATTTTATGATTTGCGGGGAGCGCACATCATGTTTCTGCTTTTCTACCAATTGTTAAACCAGGAGCTGTTGTAATTTCCGCAATCTCGGCCTATTTTTTGCTGTCTTACCAAGTTTTCTGCTTCAAATTTGACATATTTGTTTCTCTCTTTGTTCCTCTCTTTTTGCTCTCTCTAAATTTTTAATTATCTCCATCCGAGGCAACACCTTCATCAAGATAGTGGAACCATTAGTATGCCTATTTTCGTTCCCTTCTTAACTGGAGCGAAGGAACTTTCAATTGATCTAGCTGAGCCTGTTGTTATTCTTAGAGGCACAGCTGCTGATGACACTAAGCACGTCCTCCAAGGTGAAGTTAGTCTTGTTTTAACAAGGCCAATATCTGTGTCAGAAGTCAATATTAAGTTTGTTGGAAAATCTTACAGCTTGTGGCCGGAGGGTACATATCCATTTGGTTTAAAACCTTATGCTTACTTATATGTTCAACATTCTTAATAATACACTTTCATCGTCCATACAAAATTTAGGACTTGGGCATAAAAGCAACAAGCTGTATCACAAAAAAACAATACACACACAAAGTATCATTCTGGAGAATTTCAATGAACATACTAAAAAAGAGGGTGTTCTATCAGCGGGTATTCACCGCTGGCCATTTCAGTTTATCCTTTCAAATGCATTGGCTGAAACAATCGAAGATGAAATGGCCAAGGTCTTCTATTACCTCACCACCACAGTGCATAGAACTGGAAAAGGGACGACCAAGCTTCAAGCGCGGCAAGATGTTCTGATTCTTCGTCTGCCAAATTGGTCAGATACAGCTCTTACAGCTAATTCATTGCCTTCCTCATCTATTATATCAGATCGTCGCTTAGAGGTCTGTGATGCCATCATCTGTATCGAGAAATCATATGTCTCTTCCGGCACTCAATTTCCAATCGCTTTCACTATCTCACCCAATATGAAAAACACTTTTATAGAGTCGATTTCAGTCTTACTGACAGAAAAGAGAAAATACAAACTCCCTGAATTCAATGCCCGTCGAATAGAACAACATGATTTCAAGCTGTCACTCACATCTTTTACCAGTCTGTTAGCAGATAGTGAACTGACGACAACTCAGGCGTTCTATGCGCAACCCACATTAAGGGACATGCGTCGACTCTTGAATGTGAAGAATGCTCATATGCCATTGGATCAAGGTGCCTTTCGACATCGTCTTTTGTTTACTTTACCCAACTGTGTCCAGCTAAACCATACTTCTACCTATTCGGAAATCAGCATTAAACATACTTTGAGGATACAGATTGAGCTATCCTCACCGACTGCAAGTCATAGAAACCTAGATCCTCATAAACCACCGCAAGACACTGTATACACAAAAGTACATTTAGAGACGCCTATTACCATTTTAGATTGTCGACTGAAAGAGGATTATAATACGTTACCGACCTACGAAGAAACCCTTCTGGTATCATCTCTTATTGACGACGATATAGCAGAATCGAAACCGTCTGGATTCTTTATGTGCCCTTGTTATTTGGAATACAGAAAGAAAACTAAATGCAGCCGACGTGATTGGATCAAAATACGAGATCAATTTAGTGTATTTAATGACTCTACACCACCCCCATCTTACGAATCCCTGCAATGATTTTTTTGGTCCATTTACTCTATACGAATCATAATTGGACATTTACCTTTTTACTCTCACTAATTTATATTATTTAATGATAAATCTGTATTTTCTATCACGCATCTCAAGCATTTGTAAATAAATCTTTCATTATCCAATCATCGTCCATTGAGTAACAGAAACCATAACATCAGATACGCGATCTAAGAACAACGTGGTATAATAAAAAGCAGCCGCATACTTTTGGAATGTTAGTAAATCGCTTTCGTATTTTACTTGTAATCAAGTTTAAAAGAATAGCAATAGCATCAAAAAAATGTATTAAACAACTCAAAGCGAGCTCTTATAGTTTCCAATCCGAATAAGCTTAATATATCAGTTTCATTTTAGCAGACAAAGTTCTGATCGTATACTTTGGTTTTCTCAATCGTGGAGGACAGCAATTAAGGTAAAATAAAGGATGAGTGGTGAAACATACCTCTTTTCCCAACCTGACATTTCATATCCGTCATGCTTAGAGTAATAGCTCGTCTTTAACGACTTTACCTTGCACGGCGTTAAATATTATGTACACAAATTAGCGATGCGTGCAAATACTGAACGTTGTTGTTATATCCATAGATGCCATAGTATATATAATTGGATTAAAAAATTGTTGAGAATATGAGAAATATCAGTGCTTCATATCTTCATCAAATTATATCAACCTCTAACGAATCGTGTATCTTTTCATACCACAACAGTAGCAAGTCTGCAGCAGAATCACATGGGTAGAAATTCCTACGTGGAAGTTGAAAAGAATTGTAATGGATTCTTTATGGTTACCGTTTGTAGGGAAGATATGCAAATAATGGTATAAACGGTAAAAAAGGATGGAGAGAGAGAGGAAGAGAAAAAAAAAAAGAAAAAGAAAAAAAGTTAAACATGTTCTTCAAGAGCATGCCAGCAATAACAGAAAAAGAAATACAAAGACACTTAGCAAACGAATGAGGTCTTCTTTTGTTTCAACTATAGCAGGTGCGCGAATTGTCTTTCCCTGTTACATATTCAACTAAATCTTTGCTTGCATAAGTAATCAATGAGGACAGTTCAATTTGCAGTTGATCAAGATCACTGACAGTATAACCAACTATTTTCTTCCAGCAACCCCAAGAAGCCCTACATGTTGAGCGACGATATCTTTTCTTGAGGTCTCTGAACAATCGGAACCGGAATTAAGAGCAGAAAATTAGTCTTTGCGATCTACTTGCTAAGTATGGAAAATTTTTCCACGAAAAGAAATACATCGAATACGAAGCATTCGAATTCCCTGCCACTATTGGATTTTGGTACGACGAGTCACCTCCGTCTTCAACATATTTAATCTTTATTCTTGCAGTATAATATTCTAATTGAGAAGAGAAAGTATGTACACGCTCTAAGAATTCTATTGAAAAGACGTGATTGGAAATATTGGCAGCACTAAGGAACTATCTTGCTTGTGCCTCTATGAGAGCTCAAAAGAAATTCTGATTATTCAACGACACAGTACTTACCATTCACATAAGAATATAACACATCTACGCTTTCAAGAAGTCCAAGCTTGCGGATATCCCTCACATTGCATTCCGTATTTCGAGAATTGAACAGCTGATAAATGCAGGGTCAGCTACGCTAACTAAGCCATCATCGACACAGTAACAATGAGAGTATAGACTGCGACATTTTTTCAAAGGATCGATGATGTCCTTGCTCTGTAAAGCAGCATAAATACTTTCATTACCATCACAAGCCATTGAGAGCCTAATAGTGATGATGATGCTGTTACTTTTAGGGTAATAATTCAACATTCAGAACTTGCTTAAGTTTGGAAATATCATTTGATTGCGGTAAAAATGTATTGCTATGTTACTGAGATCGAGCTTTACCTGTTGGTAGAGCGTATACTGCGGCGACATAGCAAAATGACACGATGACTGCTCCACTTTTGGTTTCTCTTTTAGAGCACGCGTATAACGGATATGAAAGGACCAAAGTTGGGACGAGGAAGAGAACATAGCTTTGAGGTTTATAACATCAGACAGGACTTGAGTATTAACACTAATTGTGTGTTATATCATTGTTCAGAATGGACTCAGTTTTCTTATTATGATTCAGCAAAAAAGTAACCATTGTAAATAGGTATGAGAATGTTGTATGCTGACCAATGACAGTGAATCGGATTGGATGTGACATTTCTTACTGGACGTACTGTATGTCCTTTGTGTTAAGCACTTCGTTTGTCTGGTGCTCAATAGCTTTCAAAGTTGATAAATGATGAGTATACATATTACTTTATGCAACTTAAACGTTTTGTGGTCGGGGATGTTCCGCGAAGGAGCGGAGAGAAATTGCTCAGGCACAATGACAAGACAAGGATATACAAAATGAATGATGAGCTGTTGGTTGTCTTAGACATCTTTTAATTGGAAGCGTAATTCTTGAAACAAAAATGAAATAAATACGATTTTTTACATAATATTTTGAATATAGTACAAGGCATTCACGCTGATTTACGCATTAATATCAAGTATTAGTTTTGGTGATATCCATTGATCCCAATCTTTTTTATGCTTACGATCTCCGAAAACGCGAAGAGCTCTGACTTGTAATCGATACTCTCCCGATTTTAACACTTTAACATGTTGGCCTTTTCTCTTTCTCTTATTGTTTAGCGGGATATAGTCACCGGCCCAATACCAAGAGTAGAAGGTATTTGAGTATTCCGTTATACCAAGGGTGTTACGCATCATAAAAGAGCGTGATGGATTGGGTGGAAGCTCACCTATCACTTTTTTACCCTCACCATCCAACACCAAAATCTGGAGCTCCTCAGTTCCCATTAGCAAACGTGTCAATACGTAAGGTCCACCTGCCATCGCCTGTATCTCTTTATCATAGTGAATTCGAAAGGAACCCGAGTCTTCTCTGTTGGAAATAGTAAAGTTACCGTTGGGTAGTCCAATAGATGGAAACTTATAGGGTGCTTCTATAGATACGTTTGCTGTTCGATCAAGTATTGGAATGTCTCTCATATTTCCAATCATTCCGAAATATGGAATCTGAGCTGTTATTGTTTTCTTTTCCTTTATATCGTTCTTGATGCTATCATGATCGATCTTCTGAAAGGTAATAAAACCTCCATAAATAACATGGTCTTCCGGTCTAAATAATTTTGTAGGCGGTTCAATGCGCACATACACTGTAGCAGTCTGACCAGCTGGTATAACAATCTTTTCTTTTGAGAATCGAACATTGGCAACTGACGTTTCATTTCCTGCATATAGCCCCACAGGCTCTGTGGGTGTATAGTTTTCTTGTTCGTGTTCTTTTAACGCATATCCTGTTGCGGTCAAAGAAGGCTGGTGACCAATGGTCAATGACAGGTCGTCCTCCAAGTTATGGTTATAAATAGTTATTTTGCGTCCGTTATTGAAGTGAGCCGTGTCATTCAAGTTGAGCACAGCAGGTGAAACATGAAATTGTTGATAACCACGTATGGTTTGTGCAACATTAACAATACCAGCACCTTGCCTTATTGGAGAGTCAGCATAAGGAGAAGCTGGGATAGGTCGTTGGACTAAGAGAATAGTGCAAAGTCAATATCGATAAACACACTATGTGGAAAAGCGTGCTATTTATGTCATGAAATTACCTGGAGATGCAAAGTTCATCAGTATGTTTTTGGCTAACGCAGGATTTATCTTATCATTATTAAGGTTGGATAATAGCAGTGCAAGGTTTCCAGCAATAAAAGGGGTAGACATGGAGGTTCCTGATCTGAACCCATACGAATTTTGATATCGAGGAAGTGTTGAGAATACATTTCCTCCAACGCCCACTAATTCAGGCTTCAACCGAAGCTCATAAGTTGGACCCAATGAAGAGAAAGCAGAAATAGCGTTGACTTCTTTTTCAGGTGCACTCAGAGCTACCAATGTGTTTGTAAAGCGTCCTTTTATATCGTCCCTTTGGGATAACCGCTTGTAAATAATAGCTGCTCCATCATTATTGATAAATGCAACAGGAAGAACTGCATCTGTGAGCGTCTCAATGCTAGTTGTTACATTTTTATCATCTGAATACAAAAGAACAGCTCTGGCACCCGCTTCTTGAGCATGTCTGATCTTTTCCAAAGAACTGCAACCGCCTTGGTGAATTAAAACAATGCTGTTATTAAAATTGTTTTGTTGAGGCGGCCTACTATGTCGCTTTGCGGTCTGATTTTTAAACAGACTATGACATGCATCCTTTTCTTCATTGAACTTGCCACCTGTGGCAGTGAAAGGCAAAGCATCATTAAGAGCCAATGCTGTGTTTGTAAATGTACGGTAGGCTACAAGATCATACAAATCAAATTAGAATACCCAATAAAAGAAAAATGAAACCCCGCAATATCAGACGATTTCTTACGCACGGTTTCTTCGCCTTCAGGGCGCATAATTTCCACCAAATAACCAGGAACATGGTCGTTCATCGTAGAACCAACGGCAATAGCATTTTTTGCGCTAGCAGGCGATGCTGCCAAGAAAATCCCGCTTGTACCACTATTACCCATAGCAGTTACAACTGTGTATAGCATTGTGAAAATAAAACACGTGAATGAGTCACCCGTGCTTTTTTTTATTTTCTGACAGCACTTAACATTCTTATGTTACCATGAACTCCATTTGATACCAGTCGATCGGCCATGACAGAGAGAATATCTTCTTCCCAACCTCCGCTGACGCCAAGGGAAATACTGATTATATCCATACCAGCCTATTATTAGAACAGCAAAAATTCATTATGGAAGACAGTATGATGTATTTATAAGTATAAGTATTACGAACTATTTATAATTCTATTGAGCACACACAATTTCTCCTGTCAAGTTTGCCCATGTGAACAACCTTCTTGAATTTCTATTTTTAAACCATTACTAACCTTGTAAGCCATCTCCATAGCTTTCAAAATTATATCGTTTGGTGAGCTTGCATAATTACAGCCGTACACTCTATCAGAAGTAGATCCCACAAACACAACTTATTACAGGTTATCCGTACAAGTCCATACCTGGATTACAAAGATACTTACTTCCACATGCCTAATGTAGCTCCGGGAGCAATACCTGTCCAGTTCTAGTAACAAAGTATAACGCTTTCATTTAGTACTGTACAACTTATAGTACGATTTCAGAAAGGTTATTCAACCTACATATTCTTTATCTTCAGCAGCAATCATGCCAGCAATAAAAGTACCATGACCGGTAGCAGCAGCTATTATACACAATGTTTACAATGAGTAAAGTTCGAAGGTTCCTTTGTTAAGTCTTTCACACACATGCACGTTCAAACTTACTTGAATTCTTTGGACAATCATCAATCGGATCGTCACTTTCATGGATAGACTCGACACTGCCATCGAAGCTGTTGCCAACTAAATCATAACCGTAAGCCACTTTACATCCTTCACCAAAACAACCTCCCAATGCAGGATGCTTATAATCGACACCTATTGATAGGAAGAAAAAGAGTGTCAGTTTCCAAAACGCATTCCAAGAGGCTGTAAGACAAAGGCTCAATCTACCAGTATCAATAATTCCGATTTTGACACGAGAACCATTTGATCTGAGATTTCTATATTGCATGTATGCTTCAGTAAGTGTCGGAATAGTACCCTAACAATAGAAATAAAAAGAGTCAGAGCAGCTACGAGTGGATTGAAGTAGAAAAGATAGAAAGGGACCTACATTATGTTGAGGAAAGAACCTTGGCGTAACAGAGGTCTCATTCGCAATCATACCAGCCTCCTCATTTTTATTTTTATGATGTTTGTAATCTGTTGAACCTGATACGGCTGCTTGATTATGGTGCCGAATAGGCCAAGCATTTAATACTTGTGGATGGTCGTTTATTAGTTGTCTAGCTACTTTGTCATTCTTGAATTCAATGGCAGACCCTTTGAAGATATCGATATCATAAGTATATCTTATCCTTCTGATATTTTGGTTCTGTAGGTTTTCTCTTAGGAATAGAGCACTCGCTGGACTTTCTGCTAGCTCAACAATGTAATTACTGGTTCGTAAATCGTATTGCTGTCGTTGATGTTTGTGCTGATGACTATAGTGATCATAATGATTGTGCGCCGTTGCTGCATTGACGTACATTGTACTACCAGCACAAAGAAGTAGTAAGATACAAAAAATCAACGTCAAGGTTGAAGACGTTGGAATAGTTTTCAACCTCATAAAGAGCGTATTTCAACAAGTTGCAAAATAAATAAATAAATAAGCAAAGAACGAAAAAAAGGATTTATTAAGGATGAAAGAACGAAGAAGAAACGTGTTATAAATAAGGGGTTAGGGTTGAAAAAAGAGAGCAGAATAAAAAAATAAAATAACTGTTTCCATTTCAAAATTCTGTAGTTTTACTTGGTCGGATGTTTAATCTACTTTGTCAGGACTCCTAACTCGTCTTCAATTTTTCATTTGGTGCATTACCGTACAGTTTTTTAACTGCGGGTTTAGACGCAGCTTAAAAATAACTGGATGGAATGACCAAAATTTTGAGACGATTGAGTTAGAGTTTGAAGATCGAACTACACTAAAATGGAGACGTTTACCTGTAAATATCAAGCCAGTTTCGTTCTGGCGATAATAAAAATCAAAAGACTAAGAAGTTGTCTTCCGGCTGAACTCCGTAGGACGTTCCTTGTCTTTCCATACCGAAATGCTGATGGCCATCATGTTTTTTGCTGCATTGACATCGCGGTTCCATAGTATCTTACAGGTTTTGCAAACAAGGATACTACAGCCACGCACGGTGTCTAATGCTTTCAATGTGTCTGAGCGACAACAATTGCATATGCGTGATGTCAAGTATTCATCAATTGTCACGGCAAGGAGATCACCAGCAGCCTCTCTTCGCTTCAATGCACGCCACAAAACACCAACGACACCAGTTCTAAGGCCTTTTAGATGAACGGCGGATTTATTGAACATGCCGTCACCAAATACAACCAGAGGAACTTTTTTGCGATCACTCAGCCTGAATTTCTCAGGGGCCCATCGTCTGTTGAAGGAAGACAGTAGATTGAGTATACACAAATTCAGTGGACAGTTAATCGCTACAGACTTACCGAACGTGGTTATCGCTCTTTGTCTCTTCTTCTTCCCGGATCTCCTTCTCATTCTCTTCTTCCTGTTTTACTTTCACTTTCTGTTTCGTCTTCTTTCTTCCTTTTTTATGCTTAATTTTGCCCTTCTTCTTTGGCCATTTCATATGTTCTTCCTTTCTTTTCTTCCGTAATTCTTTGTCGTATTTGATCCCTCCATCGACAAGCATGTTCACCATCATGTCTGCAGCACGCTGTCTGCCTTGATGCAGACGGAACCTTGTTTCACCCATACCTGGCCCATAGAATGAGAACAGGATCTCTAAATGTTGTAGTATGTAAATAGTATATCTCTTATACTGTTCAGGCGAGCCTGTTTTACTACTCGGTATATTGCTTTCTATCGCTTTTATCATACAACCGGCCTTTTTCCTTTCTAATTCTGCACTGACACGAGTACTACCCGTCATGTGATAATATTCTTTTGTCGAGCAGCGCCGTATCTCATGTCTGTTTGTTTCTAACCCGATTGCTGCTGTAAATACGGTCTTTCGGCCAGGATCAACAAATGTGGGTCTGTAGTTTGTCGTGATTTCTTCATAGGAGAAGTCTTCCAACGTCAAGTCATGATGATCAATGATGGCGTCTTCTCTTGGTTTCTTCTTACGACTAAAAAGGAAGTCTACAGTGAAGCCATCAGATCGAATGAGATTCCTGAAGAGCATACTTGTGTTTGTCTTTAACTCAGCAATACTATGATATAAGTGAAAGAATAATCTTGAGAACAGAGTCTTTTAGCAGAGTGCTATTTACTTTACCTTCTGAAGCCTAACTTTTTGAAGTTGAACACCTTACAAAATTGTTCAAGTTGATTCCAATAGCCCTTTACAAGTCTTCCAGGAAATAAAAAAGGAGTAAGGGCGTTTATGCTGATGGTAATGAAGCGCCATGATACTGAGGGTGTTGGAAAAGGGAAGAAGCGATGAGGTAATGGTAACCTACGAACATCGTAGGCAAAATGATTAGAATGCTCTTCTTCGTAGTAGTCCTGGATAAACCACAAGGGCTTGACAAATTTGACCGGATCGGCCGCCAATGATAAAAGCGTAACCTTTTCCTCCACAAGGTCTGCAAAGTTCTTGCACAAATTATCTATTCTTAATTTGTCATCACTGCTTAACTTGACTTTACCAGGCCATTTGGGTTCGCCTTTGCAAATCGCTTGATAGCAGTATTTTGTTGCGATTTCGTCAACATCGCGCTTTACCATGCTCTAAAGAGAAAAGAATATTGACTTTGCTGCTGTTTGGTTTAATGTAAAGTTAATCCTTACCGGGAACAAATTCTGCAAGGTATAGTATAGATATTTAAGCATTCGCTGCTCAAAAAGCTCAACAATGCTGTTTGTATATGTGGTACTGAGCTCTTTACAAGCTTCTGTCAAGCATTGGCTATAGCCTTTGGTGAAGCTATAACTTACTTCGACAGCTGGATGCTTCTCTTTGAACTGCTTATAGAAGTTTTTCATGGAATCATTTATTGCTTTCTTGTTGGTTACTGTTTTACCTGTTACAAGTTGTCCAACCGAATACCAGAACTGTTGGGTGAAAATTTCTTTTGGTGTGTCTTTCTTATTATGGATGAGATAAGCGTTAACAAATAGTTGCGAACGAAACACAATAGCCCTAATGTCATTGCAGCACGAAATGACTCTTTCTCTGAATTTCTCGCGGAAGGTTGGTAACACCGCACTGTCGATGGGAAGCTTTCTTGTGAATACAGTAGCATCATCACCAAGAACAGATGAAATGAGTTCTTCTTTCGAAGGCGTGTGTTTGAGGCATTGCGGCGAACGAGCAGTGGTATGGCCATCTTGTCCACAGCTGAGGCACTTTACAGCTTGTGCGGTGGTCTTTTTCCGTTTAACTGCTTTCTTCTTCTCTTTCACTTGGTCACTCTGTTTTCTCTTTTTGCCACTGCTACCAACTTTAAGGAGGTTACTCACAAGCAATTAAGTGCTGTGTGTAAGATAGATTTAGGTTTATTGCTTACCATCATCAGCATTTACGGCTTTGTAATACTTGCATTTGTAGTAACGCTTGTCAAAATGACCTGGTTCATAGCAGTCTCGACACTTGGTATGCTCTAAAAAATTACAACAAATATCAGAATCCTTATATCTTGATCTGACGGTTCTCCTACAATTATCAAGCATTTTACCAAATGGGTTCCTTTTAACCTGGTTCTTATGCTTTTCTTTAATAGATCTAATCTTCTGTATAATGAAACTTTTGTACATGAATAGAGCTGTAAGTTACAAAAAAAGCGAAATACGGAAAAGAAGGGATCTTATTCTCGTTTAAAAGAACCCCTTCATTATAATCTAACTTTGACAACAAAACGCGAGAAAAGAAAGACACGTCTTTATCATTGGGCAAAGTTCCGAAAAAGGCACTGACGAACATCTGGTAGGGTCTTATAACACATCGTCAAATGACGAAAAAGTTGTCAAGCTTTTTGTAGCTCGTCCTATTGCAAAGTCACGCCAATAAGAGTTTTCTTAGCGACCTCTTTACTATGAGCACTCATTTTTAGGACTAGCTTGTACGCCATCCTTAATGCTGCTTGGATGATACTGGATAATTGATTATCAGCGAAATCGTCCAAGAATAATATACCGCTTCATCGTAAAATAATTGAAAGTTGTCTAAATTAAGATTTAATAGTGTCCAATAAAATTTGTGAAAAGTCTGAAATAGTAGTTAAAACACCGTATTTTTTGCCTTAGATTTGAGACTAATTTTGCAATCTGTTCTAAACGCTTTTTAAAGATAAAATTGGACTGATGGCAAATGTTCAGTGCAAAACACCTTTAGGAATGGGAGCATAACAGTCTGACCAACCCTTCTCTCACATATTTTTCTCTTCACAATCCCTCTTGAAAGGATACAATATAGATCTTATTGAACTGAAAGCTCTGCAATTGCAGATTCCGTTCGAGCATACGAAAACCAGATAACATTTTATTACAATGAGTGATGATCTAGAGAAAGTATATGTCTGAGACCGTTATAATAGATGGCATAGGAGAATAGGTAAATACTGTGTATATTTGGCGTAGGTGATCATTAGAAATCTCACACTATCCGTACCTTGTAAAGCCCACAATGTTATCCCCTTGAACCTATCTTCTCAGCTCTTGCGGGAAGCGGCTGCTCTTGACTAATTACCGATACAAATATTGTCTTCATCCTTTCCATATCCCACCGCTATGTGGTATGTGACTAATTTGTTACTTTTCAATAAAGTAATCTTCAAAAAGAAAACTATTTTCAAAGAAAACTCACACATTGTAGAAGACTTAGACGATGTTAGCAATCAACAGCCTTCAAAAGTAGCTGAACCGGACTTATTAAAATGGGCCAATATAGTGATAACCAATTTATGTTACTAAGAACTCTAATTTTGATCCATTTGATGCTCTTAGACTATTCTTTAAAGCTAATCTACTTCACTACATCTTGCTTCAAGAAATATCTACCCGATATTTATTGTTTTATATATCGCATATCGCTTTGATGTGTATACAAAAATTCCCAATCAGAAAACTTATAAAGTAAACGAACAAAAATGATTGAATAATGTTTATTGCGCTTGATATGGAAAATCCTGAATTTTTTGATGGATGAGAATACAACGAAAAGCAACGTTTTGGAATATACACCACAGTTCGCTATACATGACAAGGAGGAAAAAAAACATTTTTTTGATAAAGTTAGTGCGAAGGCCAGCAACAAGAATTGATCTTTGACTATGAAAAAGGAATGAAGTCTATCTAGAAGTTCATGCAAGATAAAGCCGATAGATAAGGCATTGAATTCTAGAAGGTAAGCAGAAGTGAAAAACAACAGTCTTAGTGGGAGCATTCGCAAAATATGGAAAAAGGAAACATACTCCTATTATTTTGTTATGAATACTCAAGAATAATGAGCCTACAGGTTTATACAGGACATATTTTTTTTAGTAACACTCTTGGAATAGATCTGATCTATTATCTTTAGTATGATATGAGAGTTTCGAATATAATGTAACGCTTGGTTAATACGTATGATAAATATTGCACTTTTTTTCGTTTGTATACGTTGAGGAACTATTAAGTGTGAGTATAAGAGATGAGAATATAAATCAAGGTCGGCACCAAATTTCGCAAATTGTAATAAATACAGCCCGTATTCGAAACAAGATTCTCTAATTCATTGACTGCAAAGAAGTATTGCGGTATTTTAGAGAATGAATACAAACATTTAGTACGCATACAATGAAAGACAAGACGTTTGTAGATAAAAAAAAAGCTAATAGCATATTGAGGTAATTATGATTATTGTTTTTATTTCTTGTTTGGGTATTATTAGCTTCTTTTAAACATTTTTTATACCGAGGGCAACACTTCTCCTTCAATTGGGTCTTTGAAAAATTCTTTTTGTCCTTGACGATAACCACAACCCCCACAAAGGAATCAAACGCCCGAAAGTGTGCAATCTACTTCCGGAAAAGGGGTGTCTGTAAAAAAAAAAAAAAAGCCCGTGAAAGTCAACTCGTTTGAACGTACACACATACGCTTTGTAATGAAGCTGTATAGTGCTGATGTTTCTGTATTCAATCTTTGTAATTAATATTAACTGATCCAATGTCTATCGACGGTGGCAGAAGGATGCTAGTCTGATAATGCTACCAGAATGTTTCATCTTCGTTTTAATATCTTGTGTGGTTGCCATAAAATTTTGGTAAGAAAAACGAATGAAGATTTTTCCAATGCTGAAATTGTATTTTCTCGCTACTAGCACAATATTTGTACATGCTTTCGCAAGTACATGATAAGTGAAGTCCATTCGATCATACTCTGGACAGTTGATATAGTTTGTCTAATTTCTGGTGAGCACAATTTTTGCGGCAGGCTCCTTTGAATTTGGAGGAAGTTTGCATTCATCTGACAGTGCAAGAATGTCTAGAATCCAAATAAACAAATGTGTACATTCTGAGAACAAAGAGATAGAGCAGAAATCATTTATTTGGTTACAGACACTTTGGTGAAGACTGCATTGCCAACTACATCATGCAATTGATTGCTGAGCTTTGCCCCCAACAGATGCTTGGAGTGTTGCTTTCATCTTATCAAAGCCCAAATCAAGAACAATTATAAAGCATAAAAAGAAAGAGAAAAGTCTGCTTCATCAGTGCATCTTGAAAAACATTTTTTTAATTGTAGAAAAGTCAAGCTCGACCAAGTGAATTCTGTTTAAATCTTGAACAGAAAAAAAAAGAAATTTTATTAAAGAGTAAGGATTATGTACAAGAAGAATAGAATACTATTAATATACAAATAAGAAAAGAAAATAAATATTAAATCTATCGTAGAAGACCTAAACACAATTAGTTTTGTAAAATAAACCGAAAACATAAGTGCATCTGACTATAATACATAAAAGTTTTAAGCAGTAGAGGAAGTAGTAACAGTTGTAGAGGTTGTGGTAGAAGTTGGTGTGATTGCTGAATTGATGTTCTTCTGTAACTCGAGAGATTTTTCGATCGCATCACAATAATTTTGATATTTGATGATTTCACGTAAAAGATATCGCGACTTTTTCTCCCAATTTGACAAAGCTTTGACTCCTGATTTACTAGAATGATGACTAGTACCAAAACGAATTTCCATTTTAGCCTTCAAATCACGATGTTGATCCAATTCTTGGGTCAACTCCTGAACATGTTTACGAAGAGTTTCTAATTGATTTACTTCATCCAACATGCTACTATTGGTAGGAGGTTCAGGTGCCTGCCAATCATTGATCACGATGTGGTTGTTATTATCCGTATTTAAGCAATTTCCCCAACCATAGTCCATGGAGCTGACACCATTGGGCAACGGTTCCTTCGATTCACGAGCGGCCCAGTAATTGCAAGTAGAAACCCATTCATGCAATTGTTCATCAGATCCGACTTGAAAAAGATGCACAGCACCATTGGCATGCTCAAGAGCAAAAGCATATTGTCTTTGACGACTATAGCCGGAAGGTAAAGCATTGGCCAGAGTGTGTTTGAGATCAAGGGACCCAATTAATTGAGCATTGGCCATCCAATCGCCACCACCTACCACAGGCTCATTCTGGCTACTGTATGTCATTGTGGACGAAAGAGCAGTTGATCTCGTAGTACCGGTCATAATAGAAGAGGTATCTGTTAGTGCTATAGAAGATCTCGATTTGTTAGCATTATTGCGAAGAATAATATGATGAGGCCGTCTGAGATGATGCCGGCTAGTTGTTAAAGAGGCATTTTCCAGTTTGTACATACGAAGCTGACTACGTTCAATGACCATGAAGCATTCTTTCCAATCACGATGTTTTGCTTTTTGATTGGCCTTTTCCATGAGGTGCTTACGTACAACCATACCTTCTTTGTAATAAGGAGCGTTGCTTGTGTAAGAGGTAGGAATATCAGAAGAGAGATGAGCAGCAACGGATTGATATTGCATCACTGAAGTGGCAGAGGATTCAGTAGAAATAGTCGATCCGAGCATGGAATCATTATCATTGTTGTTGTTATGATTGTTGTTGTTGTTGTTGTTGTTGTTGAAGAGCTTGCTGTTGACACTACGCTTGAGAATAGTATCTACACGATAGCTGCGAATTGATGTTGCAGGAGAGTCAGGAGTACTAATTTGTGAATTGCGGATATTGGTGTACAACTCCTTTAAAAGATTTTTCATTTCCATTTGCCACGCTTTAGAGCCTACTGTAAGGGCTAATGTAGTATTTTGCGAAAAAAATGGGGTCTCTGAAGGTTGGATACAGGCTGTGGTATGGGTAGTGGTAGCATTAGAGCGTGTACTGAAGGCACTGTGATTGCTTGGAGTACGATGCAGGTGATGCATCCAATCAAATGATTGAAATGAAATGCCGCTGGCTCTGTGATCATCGGAGAGAGGAATATCATTGATGTTATCGTCTATCAATGCAGGAGTAGTTGTGTTTTCGTCCAATTGGGAGTAAATAGCATCCATGGTATTTTTCACAAAGGCAGCTCGAGTCATCTTCTTGTAGTCACCTTGAGCAACATGAAGATCAGTATTCAAGAGTAATAAAGAGTACACTATAGCGTGAATAATGCCTGCAACCAGAAAATAAAAGATGAAAAGTTAATATAAACTGTGCATACGTTTATTGTTTGGGGTGCGAAAAAAAGTAGAAGGTTGATTGTTTTTGGAAAAATGGTCTTAAACTACTTTACCTGCTTTTTTGAAAAGACATGTGGGATTGCATTCAAAATAACGAGTAGAGAATTCAGAGAGGATACGATCGATTTGTTGTGTTTCGCCTTTCAAGTGTAGTTTGAAGCACAAGTTACGAAAAGCTTGTTCGAGTTTCAAAGAAGAGAAATCGAAATGATTCATATATGCTTTGAGAATAGCGTTGCTTTCAGGCTTCCCGTCGCCAATCCATTCGACAATTTGATCAAGCTTCTGATAAACTGTTTTGTCTTCATCCCAGATACGCTGCGCTGTTGCGATAGCATGATTATTGTCGAGAATAGGAGAAGGAGAGGAAGAGGAAGAAGACATTAAAAGAGCGTTTTTGTTGGAATATTGCTCAGGAAATGCATTTTCAATCAAGGTCGTCGCCAATGAAATGTGACCGTTAGTGGCTGCTGTTGATTTTTCTGCACTCACTGGTGTTGCTGTTATGGCAATCGTTTCAGGGGTAACTATTCCGTCTTCAACCTCAACGTTGTTAATGTCCCGGTGATAATTGCTCATGGCAGAGGTTGTTTTCGTAATCATCGCTTTCGGTGTAATGACTGGAAGTGATGCCGACTTCTTCCATTTCTTTGTGTCAATTGGAATAAAAGTAGGATTGTAGTATGTATTTGATCTGGTTGTGTCGCATAAAAACGATTGACTGAGCGATTCTTTGCTCGCTAGCTTTTTAAAGAAACGACCCAAGGCCTAGATTGAAGTGAGAAGCAACACGTTAGACAAATGTGTGACACCAAGATACCTCTGTTTTTGAGATGTTTTACCTTTGCTTTCTTGGATGTTGCTGACTTGACTTTCTGTGTGGGCGGAGTGATGAATGGAAGTGCTGCTTCTTTTTGAGCTTGAGTAAATTTATCTGACATTTGAAAGGTCCTTTTAGGTGCAGCAGTAGTGACAGGTGTAACTGAGTTGGTCTTTGCTGGCTTGAGATTTCGGAAAATGCTGATTTTTTTGCTAGTGGTTATCATTTTTTTATTCTGCGAAATGCGCGAAAGAGATTGACAATCTTCAGTATTGAAGTTGTTTACGAGAAAGAAGAAGTAACAAATAGCAGAAATGTGAAATAAGATACTAAAAGGCGAAAAAGTGTAAACAAAGAAAAGAATGAAGATGACTGTCACTAATTGATTTGGTAACTGATAAGAACTATTCATATAAAGAATAGATACTGCAAGGTATAATATAATTTGATTACTGCTTAAGAGATGAGAATGAAATGAAGATTTTTTTGATTTGAAAGACAAAGTGTTCATCCTATTTATATGAATTCTTATCTTATCAACAGATCCCCCCAAATCCCCTAGCTGCCTATTAAGCTTTAACTGATTCTTTCGTCGCAAATTAGTGGCCTCTCATGAAAAAAAAAAAAGATGCAAAAAGTAGAATGGCTCAATAGCGCTTGGCTTACACTAATAAACTATCTATTTGCTCTTAATCTACTCGGTATGGTGCTTATAACCAAAAGCAAACATTCCTTCTTTACTTTCGTTTGACTGATTAAGGTTCTCCTGCACGCTTAAGTTTTAGATTTTGGGGGACTTCATTTTGGTGGGTAGGCTTATAATCTTGGGGGACTTCATTTTGGTGGGTAGGTTTATAATCTTGGGGGAGAGATCGTTGTTAGCAGATGCTTAAATGTGAACATGTATTATAGAAAACTGCAAGCTACTGAATGTTCAGAACAATAGTGATCTGAGTAACGAATTTATGCAAATACCAAAGAAGCATTTAGAGACTTACTAAAATGTCAATATCACGAATTATGTAGATTTTATTATCATTAAATGGTAAGCTTAACTACCTTATTTGCAACTATAGATAATAGAAACACGAATCAAGATCACATTAGTAAAATCCGATGAGCACAAATAGTACTTGGTATGCCTTAAAAGTTGTTTTTGTGGGTAGGTGCAGCTTTCTTTTGGAAGACCAAAAAAAGAAAAGAATGGGGGAAGGAAATGAAAAGGAGCAGTTGAAGGTAAGGTCAAGCATACAAACTCTATACTGTATAAGTATTGGTATTGGAAATCTGAAGATGCCTGTAATCAACCGATTAAAAGAATCGAGTGTTAAACGCATGTCTAAGTGGGGGTGTTCAGAATGTGGGGGGGGGCGGGAAAGGGAAGTGGTAAGGAAAAGTTCTTTTGATTGGCGATTTGGCAGATCTTCATTTTAACATAAAGCCGCAAGATTAAGCTCTGCTTGATTTATAAGAGTTGATCACAGAAATAAACGACAATTCACGATGGCAACAGCTATACAGAAGAGAGATGGAGGGGGAGGGGGTGTGTCTGAAAAGAACACCAGGTAGACTTACATGATTCTGTAGTGGAATTAGGGGCTACATGAAAGCTATGCATACAATGGATTGAATAATTGGGGGACCAAATGGGGGCTTTAGAAAATGTATAGACCTTTCCTATCTGAAAAACACTAGCGAGATCTTGATGAAAACGTCCAACGCCTTTTTTAGATTATGATTGAGTGCATTGGCACAATGCATATACTGTTCCGCTGCTTGACTTCGAGAAATATGCTCAATAAGCTTCAAATTGAAACATTATAGAAATACTATTGTTGAATAATTTACAAACATGACTTTGAGGTAGCTACTTTATGAGAAAATTTAAGTGGTTGGAAGTAACGTGGCGGGGTGGCACAAGGTAAAGGCACAAAGCTCGATTGTACCCTCAAATTACATGATGGCTGTTGAGCCTAGATAGTCTAAATAACTGTAAATTAAAATACCCACTAATACTACATAATAAACACTAATTTCAATTGCACAATCATAGGATATTCATAACTCGCAATACAAAAAAAGAGAAGATCACCATACACAAATCTTTTGTTGCAATAACATTTGACTCGTTCTCATTGCCGTTTTAAGGATTGACATTTCTCATTATTACAGATGATTACGAAAAATGGGAGCTTTCTTAAGATCTACTTAAGTCTTCAATGATAACCAGTAAGCCAACAACACATTTTTGTTTCCAAGTGGAAATAGACACTCAATGACAAAAATGTAACAATTTACAAAAAAAGCGAAGCGTATCCAAGTACTGAGTGAGACAGAACGAGTTGGGTGTAATGACAAATTTTTTTTTCTTTTTTTTTGCAGAATTTAACGTTATACAAATGTCACCAGCAATTCCAATCCCTCAACAGAAAAGATGTAACAGCGCAGAAAATTGGGTGTATGGACTTTATACTATCTCGAAAACTAGAATACACGCGAATATTGTTGTATGGTTGGAAGAAAACAAACAAATAAAAATCAGGAACGTAGTTTGCAAATCCAAAAGGCCAATAAACTTGTTTTCGATCTATAATCCTTACTTGGACATTATCCGCTCTCCGCAAATAACTTTTGAATTCCTGCACTCGCAAGTGATATCATACCAGTTGGCAATACTAATAATTGACAAAGAGCTTATTTGCAAAGAAACAAAGGGAACTTTTTACACTTTTTGGTATTTTGAAACTATAATACAAGGCTGTTGTTGAGCAGAATGATTAGGGATATAGAGTAGAAAGGTACAAAATGAGTATATAGTATAAAATAATGATAGTAGTTAGATGAAAGGATAGCATATTATTAAGTAAACCTCTATACTATAATAGCTTGGTTTATAGATCAACAATTTTTTAGTGTGTTTTCTTCCTCGACTTTTGTTTTGCACTAGTTGCATTTTTAGGCCTCGTTATAGCCTTTTTTCGATGCTGTTGTTGCTCTGTTTCGTATTTCTCTTCTAAAACGGCGTCTATTTGTCCCAGCCAAGTATCATTAAGATACCAAAACCCTTGTTCTATTAATCTTGTCTTTTTATCTTCTCCCACCTAAGTTAAGGAAGAGTAAGTTATGTTAATAGAAGGATCGAATATTATTTTATTCCTTCAACCTGTTTCTAAGGAAATGCATTTAAACTACTCAGAGCAACACAGTGGTGGTTAAATCACTAGTGTAGTATACGTTTGCTAAATACTTACCAAATAATTTGCATGAACAATATATGGTTGAATACCATGCTTATTTGGTAAATCGTTATCAAAATATGCAAAACCATTTGGAAAATGCAGAATGTCTAGTAATACAATTGATGTGGTTCTTAAATCCATATCTAAATGGTTTAAGGCAGCATTCATGGCTCCTTGTTGTGTCTTTTCCCCCGCATCTTGAATTTGAATAGTCTCTGCCAATAATTTCTTCATTTCCAACGTCGGTCGCATCAAATAAAACCCAGTATTCACTTCTTGCTGATTCAAGCCTTCTTGCTGAAATAATACATGTGTCTCTTGTCGCAAATCCATCAAAGTAGTAACATAATCTACCATTCGTTTTCGAAGCCAAATGACATCGACATCGCTAAAAAAGACATGGATGTCCAGATAAAGAAGTTGCTGCACTACTAATGTTTTGGCATGAGTGATTACCCGATATTCTTGGCTGAAATATGTTTTGAAGCCGGCTTCAAGTTGAAGATCACGGAACCAAACGTCAGGAATTAAAGTTGCATGAGCTTCATAGCCAGCAAGTACAAGATGGTCGTAAAGTTTTTGATCGAAGCAAAAAATGAGAAACCTATGCTCATTTGTCTTTTTCAAGGATTCTATCCAGTTGTAAACATGGTTGCGCATACCATAGTTTGCGGTAGCGACTATAAGAACTTTATCTTCCTTATTATTTCCATTTTTATCCAAACGGAACAAATTCTTCTTGATCTTTTTCATTAAAGCCTCAGGTGGAGGCGGTAAGGATTCCGGTACGTCAATCTGTTGCTGTTGGTTCTCATTCAATAAACTATTATCTATTATGGATTGTACATCTTCTCTCATCTGTTGAAGACTATTCTTACTCTTGTCACATTGACATGGTAATGATATATTAGGAGATTCTTCTATAATTGTGTGGTTGTAGTTGATGGTATCAAAGAAAGTCTGTTCATTCGTTAAATAACTTGAATCAACAATGCTGGTTGTGGTTGAATCAGTATCAGTGGTTTTAGTCGTTTGGTAAAGAAATAACGAGAAGGTGATTGTAGACAGGAATAGGATGCTTCCTATGAATACGATAGTTTTTTTTTTACTATGATCTATTAGAAACAAGGGCATATTAGTTTATTCTTCTTTAACCATGAGTGTATAGAAGAACTTTGCTGATATAAAAGGGGAAGACTTTAGAAGGAGAGAAAGAGGCTGAAGACAGGACCAAAATACTAGCTTTTAAAGATAGATAATTTTTTGTGCTCCCAAGGAACGAGGTAGATTTAGGTTGTACAGACAATGGTCTCTTCTACAACTTTAATTATCTTAAGAACCTTTGTCCCGTAAAAAACTAGCTGCTGCATGCACAATTGAGCTAGCTTTTTGTCTGTGCATTCAATATTCTTTTATTAGGAAACAAGCCCTAGATCACAAAGACAAGCAGACTTTTAAAGAACTATACTCAGCATGTCTCCGAAAGAGAACACTGGCCAATTCATCTAAGACTGCTTGTATAAATATCGAATGTCCGTTTAAATACTCAAGTATTTTCGACTGGTATTACTTTCTCAGAATCAATTCTCTCAGACAAGGTGTCTTGATCTCGAAAGCTTTCCAAATTTTGCAAAGAAATGTAATGGTTACCAATTACGCGAGGACTAAAACGAACAGTATCTATCTGGCTTAAAACATAGAATGCTGTCTTTTAATGTACAAAGTAATCTGTAAATAACTGTGGCAAAATATGTATAACTTGGTATATAAAACCCTCCACAGCCACATCAAATGAAAGCATTTTTCACATATTATCCTAAGAAATGTTGTAGTAACAGCGGCATTTAGACAATATTCAAGGAAACGTTTCATAAAGATCAGGGCTTGTCGAAGCTTTACTGAATGATTACTTCAAAGACAAAAGACCATTTATTGTTCGTATTGTGGGGAGTAGGAAGTTACCGCTTCATTTAAATATTTGAACTATTGTGTAACGATTTTGACTGCAAAGTTCCCGCAATTTTCGTAAATATTATTATGCAATAATGAAGAGGTTGATAGTGATGCCCTCTAAAGGGATTATCTTCCATACTTGAACTTTGCTTCGGTGGACACGACCTGTGCAAAAGTACGTAGAAGAAGCTTCTGATTTCTCAACTTTTCTTTTTATCAGTTTAAACTCAGTCCATCCATCTGTGGAATAATGCTCACTCAAATTTCTGACCCTCCACTGCAATTGCCAGTGTTTACAATCACCACACCAGTTTATCCTAAACCACGACAACATGCCGCCCAGAAAGCATTGGTCTAATAACAGAAGCCGACAGAACAACAAGAGGCTTACTAGTAACCCTCATGTTGATTGCATTAACGATCAATTACAGACTCTCCGAAAAGAATTAGTATGTTCAGCTTCATATATTCTTCAGAAATCTATTTGTTAATCACTTTTCCATTAATCATAGGCAGATATAGAGGCAATAGAAAAAAGTAATGGTGAAACAACAACAGAGCAAAAAATTAATATTGCCAAGAAGAAGGCATCTATCGAAACACTTGAGGAATCGTTAAAGCGATTCGTAAGTATATTAAAAAGTATTGTTATATATATTGAAGGTTTTGAACGTTTTCCTCTTTGTTTTCCATATTAAAGCAAGAAGAACCTTGGAGGACCAAGATCGGTGTTTCTGCCAATTCTCTGGTTAAAAAAGAGCGTGAAAAGTATAAATCTCTCATCTTGAAGATACTGCAATTCTTTTACTTTGTTCGATTAGGACAGTATGGTTTATTTGATTTGCTTCCAGCACCAACACAACCTGACAAGGATAACAATAAAGATTACTATCAAGCTTTCAGCAATTTATGTGATCAATTAATTGGCGCTGCTGTATATGAAGCAGCTCCGAGTATAAAACGATCCACAAGAGAAGACAAGAGGGAAGAAGTGTTCTATCTATTGAAGAAGTTGGACACCCAGTCAGACGATCGGGTAGTATTGTTCAAGGACTACCATTACAAAAATAACAATGATCGGACCAACAATGTCACTTTTAAAGATATACAAGTCTACATGCAGCATGTCTGGGATAATACAGCGCATGAGGAAGCTTTAAATAAAGAGAAAAAGGCAGAGAAGGATCAAGCATTAACAACCATAAAGGACAATCTGGAAAAAGAGGTGACAGCAGGATCTGGCAGCACTACAATGTCAGATCCGGACAATGAAAGGGTATCTGATGCTTGGGCCGCACTTCAGTTTAAGAATATGATGGACATGCCAAACGACAAAAGGTCTGGCTTTGAAGATGAATCTCATAAAACTCCTAGTAATAGAGACACTCAGATCCCTACATTAGCAACAACGAAAAATACCTTCAATAAGATTGACCAGAACGCAATAGAAAAAAAGGACTTATTTGATCGTGGAACACGGCCAACCGTTCCGTCGGCTGATTCACCTCCAGCAGTCAATGATGAAGCAACAGTTATCCTGATGACGCCTGATTGCAGATCTATTATCATCGAGCCTGGAGAGATTATCAGCAGAAAATTGTTAGCGGTAAAGTTAGCCAAAGTTGAGGTGGCTGCAGGAATAGGGAAGGATACAGAGGCAGAAAAAAATATCAACGAAAACTTGACTCATTTATCACAACATACCAAAGACCTGGATAAGTTTGAACAATTGCTCGAAGCGTTGAAACGTACAAAGGAAAATTTCGTTAGTCGTTCGACCACATCTATGAGCGCCGCAGCTGACGAACAAAAGAGTAATAATGATGTTACTAATGAAACACTAGCAATTACAGCAGCACAGGAAGTAGCGGAAGATGAGAAAGAGTGCGGGTGGGGCGAACCACCTGTGAACACAAGTGTGGATAAATGGACTGTCAGTGATGAAAATGCTAAAGAAGTTGCAACAGCCACAGACAGGAAAGCGCAAGTTACAGTGAATGCTAGCAATGAAAATGATGGCTGGGGTTCTGTGCCTGCGGACAAAATGGTAGATAACTGGAAAAGTAAAGAGGGCCATGACAATACAACTCCCACGCAAGAATCTCCGAAAGTAGGAAAAAAGGAAAAAGAGCAAGATGGTTGGAGTGATGTGCTTGCTGATACGCATATTGATAAATGGAACGCTAATGGCGACCGTACCGACAAAAATTCAGCGATCAATAAAGCACGCGAAGCTACGAAACTGAGAAAGCAGGACAGTTGGCGTAGTGCACCTTCAAATACAATCGTCAATCATTGGAGGGAAAAGGGAGGCCGTCCTGGAAAAGACACAACAAGAATTAGGAAAATGGGCAAGCAAGCAGATGGCTGGCGTACCACGCCTGCAAGTATGGTTGCGAGGGATTGGAGAGCTGGCAACAATCGTACTCACGCAAGTCCAGCATCTGAGAAGGCACAAGGAATGACGGGAGAGTTGAAGGAGAATGGCTGGGGCGATGCGCCTGCCAGTATTGTAGCAGATGAATGGAATAACACTAGTAACCATTCTAACACAGAATTAGCAACTGCAAATCATTCTCAGACGACCCCTTCAAATGATGATCGGGAAACTGAGGTTTACACCTGGACAGAATGGAAGACTGGTAGGAAGTCGAACGATAGAAAGTCAAGGAAAAAACCCACTGGAGAGAAGGATTCCTCCAGATCGCCTTCACATTCAAGAACCTCCTCGCATGAAGTTGATGAAACAAGCAACAAATGGGGCAAGTTTGTAGACAAGACGGTGAAGAGATATGACGAAGATCGCTCAATCTCACCCTCTCCTTCCTCAGCATCTTCTGCCGTTTAATCAAGTCAGGTCTTAATACTATGTTTACCCTCTAGCTCTCTTTTTTATCCTAATACCATATATCTTAGCTTGTAACAATGTAGTATTTACAAAACCGTCATACTAAAATTCTTATATTTGCTCAATTCTTACAAACGACAAAGGAACGCTCATTCACCCGTTCCATTTCATTTTTAAGAACTTAATCGTACGTTTATTGAAAGTATAACGTATATAACAGTATACAAAGGGAATCATTAAAAATACTGCTACATCTAATTTACCACTTAATGTCTACTTTTAACAACTAGGCAGGCACAAGCATCCGCTTTTGGCGTTGTGAGTAGCTACTCGAATGCATTATATATTTGAAAACAATTTGCCCCTTAAGTACTTTCAATGCTAAAGCAAGGAATATTTTTGGAGAAAGCCAGTAATCGATCTAAAATATAAGTGTATTATTTGCAAATCTTTTTTTTATTATTCTTTATTATTTTGAACAATATATATTTGTATCAGTAACCATAGCGTCTTTTTTAATGCATGGAGAAATAGCTGGCCTCCTATTGCGGCTGCGCTCATGCCATAAGCAATTTGGAAGCCGCCATCCTAAGCCACTGCTTATGGATAAACCAGAAAAAATCTTGACAACTCAAAAAGCCCGGCAGCAAATTTCGACAAAAGGGAAATCGTTATACGGTCTGGATAGCTATAATCTCTTTTTCGAACTCTCTCTTAGTATCTTTTTCCTTCGTTATTTTTCTTTACTTTTCTGCAACAAATTAGCAATGTCTGCAAACAGCATCTATGTTAAAGGAGATACAGAAAGCCAAGTAAAGTATTTTGTAATTTCTTTACGACGCGTACTATTAGGAAGGCCAGAGAGAAACGATATACGCCATATGGTATCTGTTCGACTACAGCAACTGTCAGTAATAGTTTGGCATACCCCGAGCATATTGTTATTCATGAGTTATTGCAACAATGTCAGCTTGGCAAACAAAAAGAAGAAAAAAAAAAAGAAGATTTATTGACATCTGTAATCTTCAATAATCAAGGAAACCGAGTGCCAATTTAGAATTGCTCGCAACATCATACAGTTACAATTCTATTCACATCATCGACAGATACCTGCTTGGTTCCACTTTTCTTACTTCTAGGCTTTTCATTAGAAACCATATATTCTTGATGACAGACATTAATCATAAAAATTCGATTGTTAGATTACCGACTTGGCCCTTTATATTGCTAAATTAAGAGGTGAAGATGGTGATATGGACGCACCTTATGTTAAAGAGATTCAGTCTATCTACAAAGACAAGAAGGATGCAGTTTATACTCAACTTGCTAAGGATGCTTCGATTTTTCTGACTGAGAATAACAAACGTAAATATAGTTCATCTTGTAACTGAAGGCAAGATTATTGTTGATTAATTAAACGGTTTTTTTTCCATTACGAATTGTAGAGGTCGAAGGTGCTTTTAACCTACTTGTTGTTCTCGTATTGCAAGCCCCAGAAGCCGTTCTTAAGGATGCAGTTTTTACTTTGATTGATACATTGACAAAGACGGAAAGTAGCAAAATCGGTTTAAAGCAAAAGATGTAAGAGATGATGTCGATTAAATATACTTTGGAACCATCACTGATCGTTATGACATTCTTCTGAATAGTTTGCTCAACTTATATAACGCTCTTCCCAACGACTCAACTCTTCGTTACAATGCCTTCATCGCTTTGATCGAAGTAACTGCACAAGCTGACGAATTAGATTCTTTGATCGGTCAATTAGAATATGTTGATACTTGGGCTAAGCAATGGGGAATTGGCAAGGAAACCGAACGTCATTTGTATCAATATTTAGACGAAGTTTTATTAAATGCTGGTGAAGAGTAAGTTTAGTAGACATATCAGAACGTAGGATAGGTATATCAATCTAACTTGAATCTTCTAGAAAACTCTCTCTCAAATTTGCATTGAGAAACCTATCCACCTTTGAGGCCAGGGACGAAAAGTCAAAGAAGATCGCTAAAGATGTCATTATCCGTGCTATTGCTATGGATAATTATTTTGCCTTTGAGGATTTACTTCAATACCCTGCTGTTCAACAACTCAAAGAAGACAAGAACAGCGAAGAATATGCTTTGTTAGATGTCTTCTTGAATGGCAATTTGTCCACCTATCAGGAATTTGTGAAATCACACCCTAACGCTGTTAAATTATGCCCATCACCCGAAAATAATTTACACAAGATGCGTTTATTATCCTTAGCTTCTTTGGGTTCAGAAAACCTATCTCGTGAATTGAAGTATGCGGATATTGCTGCTAATTTACAAATTTCTGAAGACGAAGTTGAAATGTGGGTCATTGATGTTATCCGTGCTGGTCTCGTCGAAGCAAAATTGGATCAATTGAATAAGACTGTTTTGGTACACCGTAGTATTTATCGTGTCTTTGGCACAGAGCAATGGAAGAAGTTGAGCACATGTCTGAATGCTTGGAAGAATAATTTGAATGAAATCTTGACTGTTATCGGTAATGCTAAGTTGATTGCTGGTGGAAACACTGCTGCTGTTACCTCAGCAATTGAAAACAATGCCAATGCCAATCAATAAAGTAACAAAAAAAATTGTAGCCTTAATATAGTATATATAGTTTTCCCTTAGTAGACGTATTCCTTTTTATTCACCTTCTTTTCTCTTTCCTTTATGGATGCATTCTAACATCAATTAAAATGTAAATGTAAAATTCTTTTTTCAAAATGTTTACTAAATTTGCTTATGATGATATAGTCTAATCAAAACTTACTAACAACGCTGCACTGACCGACATATTCGCATGTTCTCACTCTAAAGTGTATAATTTCATTGTACGAAGCTATGGAAGAAGTATTCGTTCTTGGGCTAATCATGGATATTACTTAGCGACTCAATTGATTGCGGCCATTGTCTACTTTTTTGTCTTAATTCCTTTAACTGGAGCATTTACAAAAAAAAAAAAAAAAAAAAAAAAAGATAATCAGTAACAATCCGGTATTACTTAAAGTGTCGACTGCCATCAATTCACCCATCCAGCATAGCATTGCCTATTTTGTCAACCATTTTTACGGAGCCAAAGAAATGTGCGCTTATCACTTCGTTGAGAGAGAGATTGTTCCTGAATTTTTGGATGAAAATACTGTCCGTATCTTTTATATTTCTTCGTCTTCATACGTGGCTTTCTTTCTGGTTTGCTTGGCTGTTATATCAATACAAACTAGTACAACCCTTGAAGACTCGTAGTATAATACTCGAAGCCGTTCAATGGCTATACTTGCAGCAATCTCAATTAGGTAATTCATAGCGGCTTGCAAGTCAGCTTGGAATATAACCATTATTTTGTCTTCATTCAAAACCCATAAGCTATTAGTATTATGGCTTAACAAGGAAATATGATTCCTCGCCTTCGTTGCCAGCTTTGACGCTCATTATCCTCTACAGTTGCTTTTTTTGGATTATATGATACCTTCTCTCACGTTTTCTCATCATCAGATGGAATTGGTTAATACCGAGGGTTTCATGGTTACTTGAAGCATATGCTTAAAGCAACTTAAAGCATATGCTTAAAGCAACTTAAAGCAGCTTAATCCATTTCAGCATATTCACTTGCTGGACTGAGAACGGCAATTAAATTGCTTAACACTAGCAGTTTAATTCACATAGTGGTAGGTTGTTCTGCAGCATACGACTAATAAATCTTACAAAGCAACTAGCCTGGTTCTTGTAGACGAGCTTTACTGAAATAGATGACATTTTATTATAAGAACACTGTAATAATGAATTTGTTCTGGTTTAATGACACTCTGAAAAAACATGATGTGGAAAGTGCTACCTATCTTGAAAGAGAGTATCGATGTATGATTATAGTACGAGGAATGTAAAGAAACAAACATAGTATAATTAGGGAAACGTAAAGAAGGAGCTTAAATAAACAATGTAGTAGTATATGGTAGAAGGATAAATTGAGCTATTTACAGGTGGTCGTGACAGACCAAGATGTGTAAAGCGGTGGCATAGTTATAGCATTTTCAAGATTGGGATTCTTTTTTTCGTTTCATCTTTTTATGCAATGGCTGTTGTATGGAAGTGCCTGCTCCGGCTGTTCCTACTGTGGTTGTAATATTTGTAGCTGTACCGGGTGATGCCAATCCTTTTCTTTTATTCCGTAATTCGGTGGAACAGGCTTGGCAATACCAAGCACCCTTCGGTGGAGCATCCAGCCCCACACATTCCATATGAAACCATTCGTAAGGACAATTCTCTCCATCGCAAGCGACCATTTCGCCATAGGACACCTGTTGACAGAAGCAATATAAAGGCTCCTCCTTTTCCGCTTCTCTAGCTTCTTTCTTTTTTCTTTTCTGATTACGATTTGCTATTAGTTCTGATTCAGATTTCTCGATAAATGTTGCACTGCCCGGTATTGCTGCCATATTCCCGTCGATGAATAAAGACTCTCCTGCTAAATCATTGTTATCTTCATTGTCATGTTCGTCTGTCTCATCAAAATCAGAGTCTAAAACTGTGTCTAAATTTTCGTTAGAAGTGTTACGAATTACATTAAAAGGATAATGAAGAAACTCGCAGCAAAATGGTGCATAAATAGCACTCTAACGAAGAGTATAATAAACTTACTTCTCCTACTGCTGCCTCGACTACTACTTGTGCTTGTTAAATTTCCATGCGTTATTGAATAATTCTGTGAAGGCGTTGCTGGTAATGATAGTGAGGGCGTTGCTGCTGCTAATTCGGGATGGTCGCGATCGTGTTTGTCTAAATCTTTTTGCAGTTTACTCAAATGACGATCCACCTACAAGAAATCACCAAGGTCAAAAGTATAAAAATTAGTTGAGCTTATATAAAACTCGTGTATACACAAAGGCAACGTTAAATTCGGTATGTTCTCTACCAATTTTAAGGCTTCTTCTGCTAAAGATACACGCTCGTTTGCCAAATCTTCCAGTCTGCTAAAATCATCTTGTATCCGTTTTATCGTGGCAGGCTGGTTTTTCAATAGTATCTCTTTCTTATCTTTATAGTCAGGTGAAAACCACTGTTTATGAATGAGAGCAAGATCTCGTTGCCCACTTTTTATACGTTTTTCAGATACTAAATAAGAACAAGCATAAAAGTTGTTGTGAACCAACAGATAATTGAATTGAGTACAACAACTCTGTCTAACTTGATAATGGTTTCTATAATATAATGCATACGCTTCGCTTGATCGTTTCGATTCTTTATTTCAGCCCAATGATATTGTATTTCACTTGGCAAATTCTCTAGACCTTTAAAATATAGAAAAAAACCAGTGAGTTTTCAAACAAAATAATACTAATTTCTCTGTTACTTTCTCTTACTTGATATATACTCTTGTAAATATCTGCCAGAATCGTCGTGTATATCTACTGCATTATCATTCATTCGAAAGGCTGAAACTGAACGATATCGTGTTTACAATAACAAATGTTAATAAGATAAAGCTTGAAAGATGAAGAGAGAAGTCAGAATACAAATTTTACTTTCAAAAAGGACATTTAAAAAATATACGCTCCTTTACTTTGAGTCAGAACGATTGACGAGGTTTTACTTACATTACCATCATTTGTTTAAACTACAATTGACCCTTTTTGAGATTTAATTGGTTAATGTTTTACAGTATTTTTAAAAATTATTGAAACACTTTGGACTAAAATTTCAGACACTCACTAATTGGAAACCGAAACGGACAACGGCTTGGCCACTGACAGAATCAAAATCCGGTCAAAAAAGAAAAAGATAATGGAACATCTTTTCTGCTTAAAGTTCGTACATTTGCTGAGCCCTCAATAGTATTATAAAATTGAAATAAAATGGACAATGTGGTCTTTGGAAGATGGTGGGGGGGCGGATTTGATGAAAATGGTGTGCGGTTTACGTAGTTTATATGGATGTTGACACAGTTAACTATCCCATGAATGCTGTTACTGATTCCGATACGTATAGTGACTTCAACCTCCTGAAAGCATGCTGAAAGCATGAAAAGAAGCCGATCAGAAAAATAACCAACAATAAATCTGATGGAAAGAGGGTTTACTCTTAACATGCCCTTAGCGCTGATATTGTGAGAATGATTACATGTTAGCTTAGAAGAGATATTTGTGCGTGTTTTTTATTGCTTGCAACTACAATTTCATTAAGAGAATGGATTTTAAATTTTCTTTTTAGCTGCACTCTGGTCGTTGAAGTTTCTCGCAATCACTGAAATCGCCGAGATTCGAAATCAAATTGACAAAGTGCGACGCCTAGGCAATCAAATGGGGCGAGACGCATGCACTGTGTCACACTGTATTGATATAGATCATTTATTTCAGATTACATTTATTGTAGCGCTAGGTAAAGCGATATGCAAATTTATTGGGTAATCTTTCCCCTGAATGACAATAAAGGCCTTTCATTAGTTGATAGTAGCACTATTGGCTTTAAGAGTTGGTATGTTAATATTATTGACGATACTGTAGCAAATGAACCTCTTTAGGGAAGAAAAAAAAAAAAACTTTTGAAGGTTTTTATAAGTTCTGAATATCTCTAGTAGCTCATTTAAGCAAAAGGATTAACAGGGTAAATGTTAACAATAGGTGGAGAGCGTTCAATGTTGATCTGAATTCTAACTGTTAGCTTCGATAAAGGCTGAAACTGTTGCGTCTTTTTATTCTTATCAATCCAATCCTCCTTCACTGTTCCATCCGAAATCTTAACAGCAACCTTAGAAGCAGCTTGTTCGTCGTTGGGAACTTCGCTTGTGTCATATAGTAATTCTGTACCAGAAGGCTCTCTGTAGTTTTCGTCTCTTTTTCTTTTCAAATCAAATGCACGGCAAGCTTCCACCCCTTCTTTCCAGTAGACAGTCAGAGAATCATTTCTTGAATCGTAAACGAATTTGTCGATAGGAAGCATATCCATATGTATACGCTTCTCTAAACCATATTCAGGTACTAAGATTTCAAAACAATCTTTCATCACTTGAGTTACAATAGCAGAACTTATGATTGGCTTTCCATTCTTTTGCTCCAACAAATGAAGGTAATGAGAGAGATAAAGTTGAATATTCATATCTTGAGCGTTCTTGGCGCCCTCCTTACGTTCGTTACAGTGAGCAGTTGCTTTCTCTACAGAATGCTTCTTATATCCACAAGCTTTTTTCTCTTTCAAAGCCGCTTCAAGCTGACGATGAACAATAATGTCTGCAAAACGACGAATAGGTGATGTGAAATGAGTATAGAGGGGAACATTTAGAGCAAAATGTCTATATTTGTCAGGTTCGCATGAACCCGTACAAAAATATTTTGCGCGTTGCATAGGTTTGACAAGGAGTAGTTTCAAGACAGACTTTACATCCTCGTTATCAATGGCATTGATAGATTTTTGAATAGCGCCAGCAGAAGAACCATCAAAGGAGTAACCTAGCTTTTCTGCAAGCTTTATAAAATCATTCTATAATTGAAGACATAATCAGTAAATAATGCTCAACTTTGACAAGTATTTGTTTTTACATACCAAACCCCTTTCATGAGGGGGTGAATGTTGACGAAGTAGAGCTTCATTAGGATAGTGACTACTAATCTTTTTGGCGACACTCATATTTGCACAAAGCATAAACTCTTCAATGAGACGATTTGCATCCTTCTGTTCATACACAGAGACACTACAGGGTTCACCTAATTCATTGAGTTGAAATGACAAACGAATAGAGTTGATAGACAAAGCACCATTTTCAAAGCGACGTTGACGCATCTGCTTGGAAATCTCAAACAAATATAAGATATCCTCTTCCACTTGAGACTGTTCAAAATTGTGAATGGACACCTTTTCCGGGAGTCTTTTCTTTTCAATAACACTTTGAGCATCATCATAAGATAGCTTGGCACATGATTTGATTACAGTCTTCCCAAACCAAGTATCGCGAATATGCCCACTTCCATCCATCTTCCATATAACCGAAAATGCGAGTCTTTCCACACCAGGATTCAAACTACATAGCTGTTCACATAACAGAGAAGGTAACATAGGAATTACCCTGTCGCACAAATAAGTACTGGTACCGCGATCAAAAGCTTCATGATCTAACGCGGTATGTTGACGAACAAAATGCGACACATCAGCAATATGAACACCCACTTCGTATTCATCTCCGCCTAATTTAGTGATATGAACAGCATCATCTAAATCTTTGGCTGTTGCAGGATCGATAGTGAAAATACGCGTCTTTCGCAAATCACGCCGTTTCTCTATTTCATCTTCGTCGATAGACCAAGGTGTAGCCGGCAAGCATTTGAGTGCTTTTTTGCTAAACGACTTTTCAATAATGTGATTTTCCTCTAATATGCCTTGCGTTTCAGCTGGTATGTTTCCAATATGGCCCAGTTCACGCACAACCATACCGAAAGGGCATGAAGAATCAATCGGCCAACGCGCAATTTGACCTACCATAAGTAAATTCTTATACTTCTCTCCATTTGTAAGTATATCAGAGGGAGCATACTTAAGCTGTACAGCAAATATAGGTTTACGAAGATCGATGGGTTTGAACCATGCGAGTCGAGCCGTTTTCTTTTTTCCTTCAGTCTTTTTATTATTTAACTGTGCTTCCCCATTCTTGTAAGAAACCTCTGTTTTCTCGTCCTCATTATTATCTTCTTTGCCGCCACTAACATTGTTTATATCTTCGAGCTCTGTTGTGACCATATCTTCTTCTTCTTCCTCTTCTTCTTCTTCTTCTTCTTCTTCTTCTTCTGCTTCTTCCTCCTTGAAATGATGATCAAGCGAAAGTATACCGACGCAAGTGAGGGGCCTGTCTGCTTTAACAATAGCGACGACTTTACCAACATATTTCGGTTTTAACTTATCATCATTATCTTCATCTGCAACTGGCCACTCTTCAGCTGTACTATGTCGCTCTTCCCGTCTTTTTACCATTGCATCCTTCTTTTTGCCCCAAACCGTTTCTAGATTCAACAGTTCAACCACCACTTCGTCACCATCAAGAGCACGATTACGATCACGTTGACCATAAATAAGAATATCTGCATCCAAATTTTCACAAGTGACGTAAGCATCCTTACGGTTTCTTTTATTGATGCGAATTACGCCTCGATAGAGTGCTTCTTTTATGACTTTTTCTCCAGAAGTCTTTGGATCCATATATCGGTCGAAAAAGAGTCGTTTTCTTATAGTGCTGTGTATAATATCATCTGGATGACAATAATCCACTTGTCTGATCTCTTTCATTCCTTTCATAATTTCACGATTCTCCGTTTTCTTTTCAGTATCAGTAGCTTTGTTCGTCTTTTTGATAGACACAAGAGTGCTATTTTTTTTCTCTTCCTTGACAAAAATAACCGGCTTTACTGGCGCACCTATTTCTTTAGCTGAACTGCGACTGGATACAGCACTTTTCTGTTTCTTCTTACTAGTATCTCTATCCTTCGTTGCCTTATAAGACGTGACATCATCATTGCCGAGCTTCATGGTCAGCTTATTAAGTACTTTTTGTACAGGCACCTTTTCGCTGCTTTTACTAAAAGTGTTGGTAGGTTCAGCAACTCGGTTATGGGACATTTTCTTCTTACCACCTCTGCTGTGGTGGATCAATGAAGAAGGAGGCGGTATTTCAGCATGACGATCTAAGACACAAAGAGGGGAGAAATTAGCATTGGGTGACCCTGACGTACTTTTCCTATAAACCAATTTGTATACTTACTCTTTGCAGTAGGTCTAAGCTTGTTTGCAGTTCTCGAGGAAGAATCACTAAATAAAGATTTATCGGGTCGTGAACCTTCCTTGTTCTTACTTCGGAAAGTATCTGATGCCGCAGCAGTAGACAGTGAAAATGATGCTGAAGAAGATCCTGCTGCGCTTATGGACTGGTGCTGTTGCTGCTGCTTACTTTGCAATCGTTTTTTATTGACAGGCATAGGAGCAAATTTGAGATTTGACACTTGTTCGATACTCTGAAAGCTGAACGAAGCATCCATCAATTCGTTTTCGATTTCCTCGTAGTCAAAAACAAGGTTTTCCTTATCATCTATAATTTTAGTGTCCTCCTTCTTATTGTTCTTGTTGAAAGCTGTGTTCTTTAGGCTTTTTTCATGAGACTGACGTAGACCTTCTTCGTTTGTTTTATCAATTTCATCTCGCTTTTTTGTTTTATTTTTAACCCTACGTTTGCGAGGCTTTTTGATGGGATCAGCTTCATTGATTTCTTCACAGTTGTCAATTTTTTCTTGTAGTCCAGGTTTAGTGTCATCAACCTTGTTATTTTTAAGAGAATTCTCAGCTGTTGACTTTTTCTTTTTTGTTCGCTTTTTGCGTGTCGACTCTGATGGCCTTTCTGACTTTTCTTCAGAGGAAGTCTTTTCATGCCTTTCCTTGTCTAAAGTGCTGGCCTTTTTTCTTCTATCACTCTCTTTTACTTCTTTACGAACATTCTTTTCCTTGGCTTCGTCTTTTTTACTGCTCATTGGATGTTCTACAGAATGTGAATCCTTTTCGCTCTTTTCGTTCGTTTGTACCTGTTTGACAGCCAAGCAAAAGTCAAGTTAGAATTTATATGGCCATTTACAGATAATCAGAGGACAAATAAAACTGATACCTTGGCAAATTTATAGCTACTGTCATTCATAGCTGTATGATTTGAAATATCTTCATTTCTTTCTTCCATATCTTTCTAGTTGCGCTTTAGACTTGTTTATTATTTTCTTTCAAACCTGGAAAGAGAAGGGACGTCAAATCCTACAACTTTAAACTACGTGAAAGATAGAGAGAAAAAAAAATACAAGCAAAATGGACTGCTGACAGATTTTACGTTTCAAACGCCGATCAAATAGAAAGCTTTGGAGTGGTTCAATTTTTATGCATCTGAATAGGAACAATGGTGCCAATGATAACGAAAATCGGGTTTTTATATTGAATATGAAGTTTAAAAGTACTACTGTCAGGAGTGTACCTTCATAGTCACTCGTGGCTTTCAATGTGAAAAAGATGATAGGAATTTATTTCTTTTGGTAAATTACATTATCATGGAAAGTTTATACATAAAAATGAGAGTAAATAGTGCAGAATAGGCTGTTACTACCAATTATCACCGAATAAGTCAGATTTTTGTTTAATCCAATGAGGGTCTTCGATAATTGCTAGTCTTTGTTTCTTCACTCTTCCCAAATCAAAAAGCTCAGGATCTTCATCATGACGCATACGTCGTTTCACTTGCTGTACGTCCATCGTTGTTGTCACTGCACCATCATTATGTACTGCAGTTGTAACTGATGAGTTCGCTGTCTTACTGGTTGCAGTTGTTGTGTCTTCCATAACCGCATCCTCTTCTTTTTCCACTTGAAGTGCATCCATCTTTGCCTTCAATATCATATATCCTAATGCTTGTGCGTTCATTCTTACTAAGGGTGGACAAGGATTACAGCAACCAATAACACCACTGCTATCCGTTGGCATACGTTCTACCAAAGTCATTAGCATATGATTTGGTAAAACGTAACGAGTGGATTCATCTTCATCTCTGGCTGTATGATCACGCCATGAATGGAGTGCTTTAAAGACGGCATCTTGTTGAGTGTTCAAGGCAAATTTCCATTTTGACAATAAATTCTTCCACCCCACGGGCCCTTCTCCTGATACAGAATCATATACGGGCTTTTCATATGTGCGCAGGGCGACTTCTTGAGATTTTTCCAGACAAAACTTTACAAGATTACCATCAGCGGAGGTTGAGTTGTTCAAAAGCTCGTTACGTAGATTGTCATAAATAAACAAGAGAAAATGTGTATCTGAGCGAGCGTAACTTAGCATTTCCTCAGGAAGCGGTCGAATACGCCAGTCAGCCAATTGATATTTCTTGTCAGTGTCGAAATCGCAATACTTCTTTAAGAGGTACTGCAGACCATGGTGAGGAAAGTTGAGCACTTTCGTAGGGAAATAGGTATCAAATAGGTTTACAACGTAGAGACCAAAGTCACGCTGCAACCATTGTATATCCCAATCCGCACCATGAAATACTTTCACAATGTTAGGGTTGGCAAAATATTCGTTCAATTGCCATAACTTATCGCGTATTTCCAATGTATCCACAATAAAGTCTCGATCACGCGTACTAATTTGCATCAGACAGGTAAAACCTTGGTAACTACGAAAGTTGTGATGTTCCAAATCGACAGCAATTTCTTCGTGGTCCTCGAGATGATCCATCATCACCTTCAACGTTTCGTCGTTGTCGACCCAAGTGGCGGTAGTGGTATCAAAGGGTTGATATGGCTCGGGATCGTGTATTTCAAACATTTGTTTAGGATATTCAATATGGGTAATTTCATACTTGTAAGGATGCGGTAGTGATCTATCTTCAGATTCAATATTGGAATCGAGTGGAACCAAAGCGTGTGGTTTATATTTAATTTTTCGCATAAAGGGAGTAGAGTTGGAATTGTCAATTTTATCTTTGAATTTGAGTTGAGGACGGATAATATTATTTGCATGTAGTAGATTAAGATCCAATTTTCCCTATCAAAGTTGTTTAAACGACAGCCGTTGAGACATGCAATCAATTCAACCATAATAAAATAAGCTGAAGTTACCTTTGCCCTTATTTGTGTAATTTCGGGCGCTGTCTGCTTCATTTCTTTAGATTTGCCTGCGCCTGTCATCTCGTCAAAACAAAAATCCTACACAAGCAGATTGTGAGCAAGCAACACATCGATATGCTCAACCTATTATTTGCTTACAGCCTTTTCCAGTAAACTGTCACAAACATCAATAACTGATCCATAACGATCAACCACATCATTCTCATCCTCAAATTCGGTAACATCAACAGCGCAATCCAAAGCACAATGATTCAATAACGTATTGCCCAAGCTCAAGCTAGTAATACCAGCTTGATCAAGATCTTTAGAATATGCCATGTCGAGTGATCTATGAAAACCATAATCTTCCATGGAGATTTGATTAGCAGCATTGGTAGCAGAGATTAGAGCTTTATATAAAGAATCCTTGAAAGCTTGAAAATCCTGAACTGCATCAGGTACTGCTTGTTGAGCTGACATGTTGTTTTTATAAGTTGATCTGATTTATTAAAAAGTAAGAATCAAAGGATTTTCTTTTAAGTGCACATTTGTGTAGCTGCTGTGACTTTACAACGAAGTCTTCTTTAACCGGCGGTTCAAACGTTCGCCGGAGATTGTCATCGTCGTTACGGTCATGGCGAGGTTGCGCCGATAATGCGTTTAAGTGGATGGCATCAGAATGGTCTTCTTCTGTTCCAAATGGCGCTAGCAGAAGATCTAGTGCTTTCAGTATCATTCTTACCAAAACCATATATGGCCTTTGAAAGTGTTAACTTTGAATCGAAGGGTAGTAAGATGTTTGCACCAAATAGATTCCTAAAGGTTGTATTACTTGAACTATTCAAACTGTTCATTTATGATGCTTCATCAAAGCTCTAAGCAAATTATCATTTTATAGTTCCTAGCGTTCTTAAGCTTGCTTCTCCAAAAATCCTTCTTTTTTGGGCGAATGATTCATGATAGTTGTTGGTGGTTGTGAGTGCTCCACAATTTGAAATCCGCCAATCCTTAATTTTCAATTTTAAAACAATCCCTGGAGGGCATTTTTTTCCTTTATCTTTTTTTTTTTTTTTTTTTTTTTTTTAATTTATTTTGTCTTCATAATCAGTCAATGTCATCTATTTTAAGTTATCAACTTCGCCAACAGCAACAACAAAATGAACAGAAACAACAGCAGGAAACGCTAGATGCTAAACCTTCTAAGAGTAGTGTGGGTGGTGGTCTTCCATCTCCACCCAACTCATTCTGTGGTGATGAAGCATCCAGCAATTCAGCAGCAACAGGAATCACCATCACTATTAATGACAAAGTTCCTTTGAAAGTAGTCCAAGAAAATATCCGCAGGGATTCACTTCCCACTGTATTTAACGATATGACATTGAAAGACTATTCAGTGTCATTACCCGAGAATTACACCATAGACCACTCACAAATCAATAGTAACAATAATAGCATCAGTAACAAGAAGGCTGTACTTGCATCTACTGCCGCTACTGCTACTGCTACTGCCGCTGCAACTGGGGGTTTAACTATTCGTAATCGTCGACCTTCTGAAATCAACATGGGCCGTAGAAAGAGTAGTTTCACAGGTACCCGTATACTCTCCGAGTCCTTCAGTGGACAATATCGTTGCATGGACTGTGGAAAATCATACAAGTCACCCAATTGCTTACAAAAACATCGTTGGGAGCATTCGGATGAATGGGAGTTGACTAAAAAATTCCCTTTAACAAAGCATCAACAAGTACAGATGCTTGAAGCAGCTGCCATTCTCGTTGGCATGGATCGTAGAGGAAATAATAAATTAGAAAATACCGAATACAATAACAGCAATACCAGCAACACTACCATTAATACTACAACTACAACCACCACTACAACTACAACTACTAATGCTAATATTTCAGTTCAAAACTATCAGGCCGACGATGATGATGATGATGATGAATCTATCCATATTGACGATTCCGACGTCGAACCAGCGGAAGACGAAGATGAAACTATCTCGATTGTTTCGAACGATTCATCTGGTATCTTTATGGAGGACCTTTGAAATTGTCCTTATTCCTTTTTATCTCTTTCCTCATGACTCGGCGAACGACGCAATTTCATTTCCATAATACCTCTATTTTTATGTATATATTTAAATCCTATCTCTTATTATCATATCATATCAAATATGTTTTCCATTTACTTTTTTTTTTTTTTTTTCCCTTTTTGATCTCTTGTCTCTCTCATCCCATACTTTCTCCTTTTTGTTCCTCTCCAGCCACTTAAGTCACCTGTGCTAGAGAATAAAATTCATTTGCAACAATTTGTTGTGATTGGTTGGGAAAACACTTCCGATACACTTCGCTGCTGGGGAAAGGGAAAGTAAATTTCTGCATACTGTTTATTCAAGAACTAGTTCTATTGTGAATTTGTACTTTTTCGCTTTACTCTAATTATGGATTGACAGTTCTGCAAATGACAGACTAACCCAGTAGTCTATCTTTAACTTTGATCCGCAGTTGAATGCTGCTGATTCGCGTCGACAGATACTTTTAACATGGAGAAGTAGCCTCGCGTTCATTGAATGTATGAAAATGTTTGTTTTTTTTGTGATGCTCAATAATGCTGTAGTTGTATTTAACTTAAGAAAGAAGTGGTATGAAAGGGCGTATCAATGATTATATAAAGGCGAGCAACTGAATTAATACATTGTGGAACTCATAAGATGTGAATCTTCCTCTTCTTCGCCTGACCCTGCTCCTCGACTATTCAAGCGGATCCTCCTTAATTCCTCAAAAGCCCGTGAATAGAAGGGTTTGATTTCATTGATTTCCATTAATGACATATTAGGAATCTATGGGTACAAAGCAGCGCATGTCATGTCAATATAGGATTCATACTACTTGCTCTACTCTATAGAAGCCCTTACATGAAGCCATCGATCGTCTAGGATATTCAGACCTAACTTTGCTTTCACTTGTCTGGTTTCTCTTAAATCTTTCAATGCCTGTCGTACTTGTTCTGCATCGGGTATATCATCTGGAGCACTGCAAAAACTCGCTGAGTTATTCTTTGTCTCTCGTAGTCAATTGTTTAAATTCAAATATGAAATTGCGCTTTAAATGATACATTACGTTTCTAATAACATCTGTGACAATTCTAGATAATGGAAGGGCACCTTACTGAACTCATCTTCTTTCTCTTCCTCGGCGTGTCTTTGTTTCAAATATTCTGTTAGACCGTGTAAGTGTTTCGTAAGTATAATGACAGCTAATTTATTTTTCTCCATCCTTTGCTCACTCATCGATCGATGACACTGATCCTTGACTTTACCTACGTCAAGCCACTCTGGACAAACGATGGAACATTTATTATTCTTTTTCATCAGTATGGCCAGCCAAACTGGTACCTCTGCTTCTATTGGCGGTTGGAATGGACCAAATATGCCCTGTTAAGCCCAGCCTAAGTTACTAAGGAATGATCGCTTCGTAAATCACTGTTTATGATAACTACTTTACTTGAATGAACTGCAATTTGTTCATCTTTTCTTTCGGTATAATCTTTATCATTTCGTTGCCAGCAATGAATTCCATCTCGCTTGGAGTAAAAGCGAGTCTGTGTTCTGGTGGTAGGGCCATTGCTGAGTGAAGTGGACGGTGATGAAAAAGAAATAATAGAGCTATTGCAAACCAATGCAAAAAAAAAAGGCTTCTCGCTCTTGCTATTTTCAACGACAACGCGCCCAATCCAGCCCCCGCGAAAAAGGTGGTATTTTATCTCCAAGTATACATGTTTGTCCTTTCTTTTCATCCTCTCCTGCTTTTATTCACACACGTTACAGATATAGATACTGTCCTAATCCTGATATTATGCCTTCAAAAAAAGTCAGTACTATATGAGTGAGACGATTTTGAACAAGATAAACACTGAATAAAGTTAAGCACACAGAAAACTGAGGTTTAATAAAAATGAGTATGCTTTTGAGTTCCTATATCCTACCATTCGAGTTTGGATGAAACCAGCAAGTATCAAGTGGATTGTTATACATCAGGAGCAATACAGCTGATTTAGCGATTGAAGGGTCAATAATTAATCTAATGTCTTAAGGAATAATAGCGAAAATGTGGGCAACAGCAATGCGATCTTCCTTGATAAAGATGGTATTAGTGATTACACTAAACAGAGTGCTCTCAGCCAAGTACTTGTAATGCAGTGAACAGCAATTACTGAATAAACGTACCTGTGTCCTGCTGATAAAAAATGACACCCATATCTGCTCTTACTGTCCTAAACTCAATAAGTAATAATGTACATATACGACCTTTCAATTTGAAAAACACGGATGTCTACCTACAATTTTCTCTTCGTTTTCTAGCTTTAGTTTTCATGGTAGCTGAAGTTTTGGCTTTTCTAAATAAAATGCTTTGCAAAATACAAATGTAGTGCGTGTACCTGTTTTGCAAAGCATACATGAAACATATAAAGAAACTTGGAGCATCCACAACGATATTAGAAACCTGTATATTGTCTCCACATGTATCTAACCAACCTATCAGGCTATCGTGTAACATCTTTAACAAAACATTTTTTGTAAAATGGAAGTGGTGCTGTTGAATTCGTTTATAAAGGTTTGATTACCATACAACATGTCTATAGTTGTTTCCAAGTAAGTAAACACGACAACCCGTTACCTGATACTTTTCTGAATAGAGCAAGACGTAAGACACACTCATAAACCATGCTATTTGCATCCGATCGATAGAGAGGAACACCCTTAGTTGATATAAGTCATCTGAATTGAAGAAGTAATGCTTCAACTGATAAAACGCAAATGACTGGTTGTGATTGCATGACATCACACGTTTTCGTAGCCCTCTGTGATTGAAGCGACGAATATTCACAAGGTGCTATCCAACATGAGAGCTACTAGTGCGGTGTCTATCGTAGTGTGTGCGATTACTCAAATACAATAATACACACAACGTCACTTGCTCATCAATCAATAAACAATGATGAACCATGCCAAGTAATTGTGAAGTCTGCTCGCTGTAGAATTTATTGGAAGTTTTTGTCTGCGACTCCGTAACAGTGTTTTGGAATGTCTAAAGCAATTTAGAATGGTAGGCTGATATTAAACTCTTTCTTAATACAGTTTTTTAGCTTTGGGTTTAGACGAAGCCGCAATATAACTAGACGAAAAAAGTAAATTTTTGAGACCTTCAAGTTATAATTTCAAGATTGAACTACACAAAAATTGAGATGCTTACCTGTAAAAATCAAACCAGCTTCGTGCTGGCGATTAGAGGATGGTGTTCAAGTGGTTGATGCGGGTGATTTTGGTTTTCTAGAAAACTCCGCAGGTCTTCCCGTTGACTTCCATACCGAAATGCTGATGGCCATCATGTTTTTTGCTGCATTGACATCGCGGTTCCATAGTATCTTACAGGTTTTGCAAACAAGGATACTACAGCCACGCACGGTGTCTAATGCTTTCAATGTGTCTGAGCGACAACAATTGCATATGCGTGATGTCAAGTATTCATCAATTGTAACGGCAAGGAGATCACCAGCAGCCTCTCTTCGCTTCAATGCACGCCACAGAACACCAACGACACCAGTCTTATGGCCTTTGATGGGCACTGCACTCTTCCCGAACATGCCATCACCAACTACAATCAAAGGGATCTTTTTAGTGTCGCCTGCACTAAAGGGTTCAGGCTTCCACTTGTTCTTCAGGGGATTACTGTAGAAAGCATGAGTTCTATCAATATTTCTGCGAATAGTGGATGAATTGCTTATCATTTAAAAACCTTACCTATCTTTCTTAGCGAGAACATCGCTTACTTCTCTCGCATCTGCTTCTTCCTTCTCTTCTGGAACCTTTTGCTTCTTCTTCTTCTTCTTTTTACGTTTACAAAAGGCCATTCTGTCGGTATTCTTCTTTGGCCACTTGCTTCGATCTTTCTTCTTCTTCAACCTCAATTGCTTATTGTACTTTGTGGTTCCATTAATAAGCAAATTGACCATGTTGTTGGCAGCACGCTCCTGACCCTGGTATAAACGAAATCTGTCTTCAGCAGTTCCCTCGCCGTAAAAAGAGAACAAGGCTTCGAAGTGCTGCAATATATATTGTACATGACGGTCATGTTGTTCGATGATAGAAGTTTTGGCGGTTGGTATGCCACTTTCGATCATTTTAATTGTGCCTGCTTTCTTCTTTTCCAGCTTTGCAGCGTATCTGATACTTCCGGTCATATGATAATATTCCTTGGTAGAGCAGCTGCGTACTTGATGTTTGTTATGATCTAGTCCGATTGCCGCTGTGAAGACAGATCTTCGCCCTGGATCAAGGAAAGCGGGTCTGTAATTGTCTTGTACTTCGTCATAAGAAAAATCTTCCAAAGTCAAGGTATGATTATGAATGGTCATGTCTTCTTTTGTTTTCTTTTTGCGGCTGAACAAAAAGTCTACAGTAAAGCCGTCCGACCTAACCATGTTTCGAAACATTACATCAGAACTTTCCTTCAAAGCGGTTAGACTATGACAGAAGCAAAAATAGGGGTGTGTTTACTACTAGGCATAATTTTGCTGAAGAAGTTCTTCTATAGTTTTACCTCTTAAAGCCAAACTTTTTGAAGTCGAAGACTTTACAGAATTGTTCGAGTTGGGCTGTATAACCCTTGGCAACTTTTCCGGGAAACATGAAGGCTGTAAGAGCATTTAAACTTATCGCGATGAAACGCCATTTCAGCGATGGAGTAGGAAAGAGAAAGAAACGCTGAGGAAGTGGTAGGACACGGACATCGTACGGTTTATGCTGTATATGTTCTTGCTCGTACGTAAACTGTATGTTCCATAACGCATTAACAAACTTTGCAGGAGCAGCAGAAAGAGAAACGAGGGTTACTTCTCCTGGAATGAACTCTTCAAATTGTTTGCAGAGTAATTCAATTCGGTTTTTGTCAACAGCCGCCAGCTCGAGGTTTTCTGGCCAATGAGGATGACCATGACAGACAGATTGGTAACAATACAGCTGTACAATTCTTTGTACATCAGTGCGTTTGATATTCTAGAATGTGTATAAAGAGAAATAAAATGAATAAAACAGCAGAGCATTAAGAAGGTACTCGGTTACAGCCTTACCGGGAGCATAGTTCTCAACTTGTAAGTAAGGAACTTTGTTAAGCGCTGCTCGAAGCGCTCTACAATGGAGTTCGTGTAAGAGACGCTCAATTCCTTTGCTGCCTCTGTAAGGCAATGACTATATCCCACGGTCAGCTTGTGTTTTACTTCGATAGTAGGGAACTTTGCCTTGAAGTCTGTATAATACTGTTTTATGTCCTCGGATAATGCCGTTTTGTGAGTAACTTGCTTGCCCGTTATAAGCTGACCAACTGAATACCAGAATTGCTGGCAGAATACATCAGGAATAGACCTGTCTTTGTTGGCTTCTTTACTGTCTTTCTTGCTGTCTTCTTTGTTGGCTTCTTTACTGCCTTTGTTGCTGTTTTTATCAGTGTCTTTCTTGTCGCCTTTGTTAGCATTCCTTCTATTCTCCTGATAATGAATGAGGTACGAGTTAACGAATAATTGACTAGAGAATACTATTCTCCTTATGTCAGAGCAGCAAGAGATGACTTTTTCTTGGAATTGTCCGCGAAACGCTGGCTTTACAGCAGACGTAAGAGGGAGCTTCCTCGTGAATACAGTGGAGCCTTCTCCAAGCGTCGAGGTGATAACTTCTTCCTTTGAAGCAATGTGATTGGGGCATTCGAGAGAACGAGAAGTAGAATGACCCTTTAAGCCACAACTGATACACTTGATATCTCCAGTTGTTTGCTTCTTCTTTCTCTTTGCTTGCTTCTTTTCTTCCTTGATTGTAGCTGATTGCTTACGTTTCTTACCGCTACTTCCAACTAAATTTCCGTTAAGCAAACATAAACTTGTCTTGCAGTGAGAGCATGATACTTACCATCAGCCGCAGAAACTGCTTTGTAAAACTTGCATTCATGGTATGCCTTGTTGAAATGTCCGAGTGTTTTGCAATCCTTGCACTCGATGTTTACTAGTCATACAAAACATAATCTGAGGATTACTACTATAACTTATTTGTGGCAGCGCGCTCATGTGTTACTTACGGAAGGACTCATCTTTGACTTTATTCTTATGGGCTTCTGCCACCGATTTGATTTTTTGCAAGATTTTGGCTTTGTACATGCTGAGTAGTAGCTATCAGGATGAGGAAAGAAAGATGAAAGAAGAATAAGAAGAAGAAGATGGAAATCAAAGGAAAGATGTCAAACTTATTTTCTGTAAATGCTAGTTTGACAACATCTTATTTTTTATTAGGATTGACAACAACGACCGTTATCTACGCGGCGGAAGAACGTGTCTGGGATTAGTTTAACGCGTAGATCAATTCATATGATCCATAAATAAAGTCTCGTAAACCACAACCATGTATCTATTGCTGATAAGACCTGTTTTACACTAAAATACTCATTACGTCTCGTAGTACTTTAAAGTAATGCCACTATCAATTGAAAAATGTCCACTGACCTTCAAAATAATGTCTACAATTATTTATTCAATAAATCGTCCAAGAATATTATACCATTTCATCCTAAAATAATTTAAAATTATCTAAATTGTATATATATATTGTCCAATAAAATTTGTATAAAGTGTAAAGTTGAAGCTAAAACACTGTAATACGTTCCCCCGCCTTTTTTCGGATCCACATTTTTTTGATCTCCTGCGGAAGACCAAGTTGTAAATCTTAAATAACAATTCTCCGGATTTGTGTTCAAGGCGGATCCAATCTTCTAAGGTTCAGCATCAGAAATATATCACGATATAAGACGCTATTTATTATAGATGGAAACACCGTTTAACAAACAAGTACTGGGTCCTAAAATGAAGTCTAGTACAATATAAAATTGAGTACATTAGTAAAGGGATGTGGTGAACCTTAAAGGGATACATATATGAGAGTATTTAATGTAGACTGTCCTCGGTGTAAACCGAAGGAGTCATTTCATTCAGCAGCCAATGATAACAAACACGATTTTGACGTGCGGATCAAATAACTTTTTATCCCCTTATATGCATATTCTCATGTGTATATTTCCCGTGCTCTCCTTTTTTCCCTTTTCATTTTACTTTCTTTCATAACTTAATAATATAAGACTTTTTGCTTCCATGAGCGCACACGACGACAAAAGTGATGGCAGCAAGATCAAAGCCGCTTCAGAAATTGAACAAATTGAACGTGTTCATACAAAACTGTCGGTTAGCAGCCATGAAACGAAGGAGGAGGACGTTGATTACAAAGGTGTATCCGAGAAAACCTCACACCATGAAGAAGACAGGACGAAGAAGAATATCTTTCTTCGATTCAAAGATTCGATTTATTCGAAGCCCGAGAAGACAGAAAACATATGGCATTTACTGACAAACCTTACAAATACTCAGAGAATCACGTTTGCTGCAGGTAGATGGATGGTAAAAGAGTTATGATGCCACTTGGATCTTGTATTAACGTCGTTTTCGCTTTTAACCTTGCAGCCTTTTTTGGATGGACGCTGGATGCGTTTGACTTTTTCTCAGTGTCTTTAACAGCGACACGAATAGGTAAGAGAGTTTGCTATTCATGAGAATTCGAGTGCTGAAGTATGACTAAGACACTCATCTTGATCCGATTTGATATCCAAACGACAGCTGAAGATTTTGGTGTACAACCATCTGACGTTACAAGTACGGCGGTATTTCTCGAAATTTGAGTTTCAAAGATTTGCTGGTTTGACTAAAAATGGTTCATTTATTCAAAATAGGTGCAATTACGACAACTTTGGTAAGTGTGATAGAGAGCACCGGAGTACAGAAAACATATTGAGAAACGAAAAAAAAAAACCAAGCATATATGCTGATTTCTCACACACGCTCGTAAAAAAATATGCAAAAAAAAAACCCTTGGATATGCGTAGATGCTTCGTTCTATTGGTGCATTGTTGTTCGGGTACAGATAACTTTTTTCTTTTTTTTCACAATATCATCATCTATGGGATATTGCTTGGAAAAGAAAATTAGCGTGCGTACATGGATTGACTATCAGCTAACTTACTTCTTCCTTGCATAGTGCATTAGCTGATAGATATGGGCGTCGATGGCCGCTCATGATTGATATTGTGCTATTTTCAGTCATCAATATGGCGAGTGGCTTCTCCCCGAATCTGCAGACCTTCATTGGCCTTCGTGCAGTATTTGGCATAGCAATGGGTGGTGAATGGGTAAAGCTTGGAGCATAAAATTTATTTTTATTTTCTTGGATATCCGTGTGTGCCCTAATCCCATATCGTTTTTTCGTTCCGTAGGGCTTAGGCGCGAGCTTAGCGTTGGAGACTCTCCCAGTAGAGGCTAGAGGATTGTTTTCAGGCATATATCAAGAAGGTTACGCCTGTGGTTATTTGTTGGCTACACTTGTTAATTATGCTATAGTACAAACAAACTCTAGCTGGCGCATCATCTTCTGGGTGGGTGCTGGTTTTGCGTTGCTAGCCGTCGTTATTCGAATATGGGTGCCAGAATCGCCAACGTTCGAAAAGCAAAGAGAAGCAAGAAAAGTATTAAAGCGCTCCTTATGGACAGAGACTAAACTGGCCTTCAAAAGGCACTGGCTGCGCATCATTTATATGGTCATTTTGATGGCTTTTATGAACTTCTTCTCCCATGGTTCGCAAGACTTGTACCCAACCTTTCTTACAGCGCAGCTGGGTTATACCCCCACCGAACAAACTGTGACGAATGTCATTATGAATATTGGTGCTATTTGTGGTGGTATCATCTTTGGTTACTTGTCGAATTACTTTGGACGTCGTTTTATCTTGAGTATTTGTGCTATTTGTGCTGGTGCGTTCATACCTTTGTGGATTTACGCTCCCAATATTCATGCACTGCAATTTGGAGCCTTTGTGATGCAATTTTTCGTACAAGGAGGATGGGGGTAAGTAGTGTTTTACCTAAAAAGTAGGATGATTTACGGAAAGTGAAAGATATACCAACATGAGTTTGTTGATAGCGTTATTCCTGCACATATCAACGAATTGGCACCTGCTTCTTTCCGAGGTTTGATCCCAGGATTAGCTTACCAGCTTGGTAATCTTGTAAGTACAACTGTGGTGGGGGGGGGAGGGTTAATGGACGTGAGGGGCATCTAAAAAGCCGTTAACCTTAAAAATAATTGCCTATGAAACTAGGTTAGTGCGGCTTCTAGTCAAATTGAAGCCACTATAGGTGAACGATATCCACTTCGAAACGCAGACGGTAGTTATAAACTCAATAGTAAGGGTAAACCCATTGCGGATTATGGCTTAACTCAAGCAATATTCATGGGATGCGTTTGCGGTTGCCTATTAATCACAGGTAAATACATCATTCTATAAACACTTTTCAACTGATCACGCTTAGCTCACTCTTCACTATTTTCTTTTAAATCAAAACAAACTGTAGCCTTGGTAGGCAAAGAGGAGCGAAACAAGAACTTTTCTGAAGACCTCGCTGAAGGTCAAACAACTGATGATAGCCCTGTTACTTCAGAGGATGTCAGAGCGAATCAGATTGAACAAGGACCTATGAAAGAGTCTTCTGAGACTTCGTAGACCGTTTACTTTTGCAAAGGTTCTGAAATTGTTCTTCTCAAGTGTACATAATATCTTCTATACTGTATTCTTAATCACTCTTATTGTTTCTACAACTTGCCTCTGTTTCTCAAGGCATGACAAATGTTGAATACTCCAACTAATAAATTGTTATCTTGATGAATAATACAAAAATAGGAAACGACTTCAATTGTGCCGCAATAATTTATTCGACACACAATGATCAACGTCGTCAGTTTGACACTTACGACGCGAAAAGTGCACTGAACGCGTTTCACATTTTCTTAAAGATGGAAAAAGATATAAGAAAGAAAAGGTTTTATAACTTTCTTATGCAACACTCAACGTTAAAAACGACTGTATTTCAAACTGAGGTAGAAAGTTTTGGCTCTGTCTTTCGACTCTTTTTGTTGAGCATGCAGTTGCTTTGCTGATCTGCCGGTCGATACGTTCAATTGAAGACTGAAAATAAAATAAATAAAGTTTAAATTAGATTGAACCGGCACAATCATACAGTCTTTTCAGGCACAATAGCTTTCGTTGTATGAATGCTAGCAAAATAGTAACAACTGTATACCAAAGTCATCTTCCCTAAAATTGGGGATTGCGCTTTTTTAAAATTTTTGTATGATTTGAACGGTATAAATAAAAAATTCTTTGCCTCTTCTAACCCGTTCTAAGCATTTCTACAGATTTCTCATGCAGTTGTTACCTTACCTTGAAGCAGGAGCAACGAGAATACCTCTGAGTACCTCGTACTACTTGGGATCAATTGCTGCATTGATTTACGCTCAAAATGTCTTGGCTGGCGTTAAACCCACCACGATGTCGACATCTGTCAAACGGATTTTGGCAACTCCTCTGATCTTGACAGATCTTCTATTTCCGGTCTTCGTTAGAGATGGCGCAAACTGTAAGTGTCGCACCAGTCCCCGACAACGGTTGACTTTTCGATAATGAGCTTGTATCTGATTGTTTGTCATGTTACTTAGCTTGGAACTTGCTTGGTGCAACCATTCCATTTATGGCATTTCTCCGATTTCTTGATCTTTTCTGGGTTGCCCCCATGGTACAGGGCGTTGAAGCGTTCGCCACACAAAGATACTTGCATGAAGAATTCTGGTCATGTTTACGTAAATTCCCTAAAACGAAGGAAGAAGAAGAAAAATATGTCAAAGACAAGGTTTAATATTTATAGGGTTTTTGAAGGGTTTGAGAATAAGTCTAATCATCGCTTCGTTACGTCTTATCCTAGTAGAAATTCTATCATATTATACCACATTATCTTATTCATGCTATTATTTCTGACATTATCAATACTTGGTTCAAAACGTTCACCGAGGAAGAGCTTCTAAGTACATACACCAAGAATCCTATCTTTTTCTTTGGATATTTCTGTATGGTTTTGGCTTCTATGTGTGCTGGTTTCAATGCGAACGGTTACCTATTACGGTTTATTTATGTCCTTATTTATGAAAAGGGTTCTTATTGCAGCGGTATGTACCTTGGTTTATTGTGTATTCCACACGTATAATTTTCTCTACTCATTTGGACAAATCTATCATTTTGTGCAGCCCAATGGCGTAGATTGATGGAGTTTCCTCTTTGCGCTACATCCCTCGGTGACATTTGGTCCTTCCGTTGGCATCAAGCTTTAAAGCCCACCTGGCGCAACCTTCCTTTTGCTGAAGTTCGTATCCTGAGCGAGCGTGTGTTCCGTAAATGTGGCATTAAAAGCTTCAAGCGTCTCGGAATTATGGCGGCGGCTCTTTCTGTTTTCATGATCTCTGGCGTGTTACATGAATACCTTGTATACGTCAATGCTGGTCTGAAAGAGTATAGGCTTCTTCGCGGTGAGGAAATGGCTTTCTTTACTATTCATGGTGTAGCCGTTATGGTGGAAAAGTTTGTCAGCAAGGCCTGCGGAAACCAGCCCTGGACAAAGAGCCAGCTTGTCATGATTTTGAGACGGGTTTGGACGCTCGGTTTCGCCTGTTTAACAATCCCGTTATTCCTGCGGGGTTTCATGGTGATCAATTCATGGTACTCGGGCGCGTTCACCCCTTTTGAACCTCAAATCTTAGGAATAATGCACCAAATTCCTGGAATGCATCGTTTGTGTGGAAGTCTATTTTGAAAGTAAGAAGGTCTGCCGAACATCTCCACTTCCCAGTAATCTGTATTTAATGGACCGCTGGCTTACTAAGCCAGCGGAAAATAGACTGCAAATCTAGCATCCCGCTGGGTTTTTTCTTTTTTCCTTTTATTTTATTTTATCACTGTACTTTCACTCCAATTGTTAATGTCTATTATTATAGTAATAAAAAACGCGTCTTTTTATGTTTGATTTAAAAGCTTTTTTCAGTTTTGATGTTGGAGAGTGTTTGAGTGTTGAAGTTAAATTGTGTTTACGTTCTTATAAATCCAAATAAAAGACATTTTTGGGTTTACAATTTGTCATAAGCATGGTTGAAATGTATCAATTCTACCATGTTGAAAGAAATGCAAGTTTTCCAGATCTTTCTTGTATTTGCGATAAATAGAAATTATACAGAGTTAATAATTCAAATTCTTTAATTTTCCAAAATGGCTCATCTGTTTCTCAACGCACGGATTGCAGCCATTTAGACAGCCGAAAGGATCCTATAACAAGAGAAGGTGGTGGAAAGAACATGACTATTGGATCACTCCAAGCATTACCATCTTCGCGCGCGTATGCCAGAAAAAACTCCAGAAAAAAAGTGTAAATCCAAAACATCATAATGCTTTCATTAATTGATTGTTTGCAAACTTTACTCGATAATTTGCTATGTGTACATTGCAACTTCTCGTTTGAATTTCGGGGTCAGGTTAGGAAGGGGAAGTTGTGACACTAAAACTGTAAAGCGATTCCATCCCCTCACTACATCTTATTGGCTTTGTTTCATAGCTTATAGTTGCTGCTTAAATGAACACACTTAAAATTCGCTTTTGTCATTCACTGAGATGTTTAATACTTATATGTGGGCACAGATTATAAATGAGCATCGCTTCTTCTTCTTCTTTTTCTTCTTCTTCTTCTTCTCTATTTCTTTTTCCAGATTTTTCTTCAAACTTTTTTGGTATCTGATATTTTCAGGCGCCTTTGCCCATAGTAACAAAAGATAGAATTGGCATACCATCTTCTTTATAGCTACATTCTATAAAAATATATCCGTTACTCAATTTATATAGTTTGGTACCTGAAAAACCTTAATAAGAGGATAAAGGCTGACACTAGAGTCCCTGACGCCTTGACATAATATTTATTCAGCTCACATACTAAGTGATTATTTAAAGGATTCGGCTAAAGTTGGATCCCTTCCATTAGAATTTGATAGTATTTGGGACAAACGTATTATTCTTTAGAAAAAACGAGGACGTTCGACCAACTTTGTCCCTTGATCCATTCCATTTCGAAATGCTTAATCAACGCAATGCACCGCCAGACGACGCAAGTAGCCAAATTAATATCCAAAATCAGAGCCCAGACTTGCCCTATTATACCGTATGATTTTATAATGTTTTTTGTTTTTTTTTTTTCGTTGTTTTTGCAGTTATTGCCCGTTGATGATTAAACGCATATTGTACTTGATATTCTATCATAGTTAGATGACTTTTATACATCGTTGCTCTCTCAGACGTTTGAAACACAAACGGGTGCCATCGATTATTGCAGGGATTTATGTCAATCTCACGGGTTTACGGTCAAACAAGAACAAAGTAATCATAAGGTAAGCCTAATCATTGGAACCTGTAGCCGTCACAAGTAAAATAACGGGTATCCCGTTGTTAAAATGTAGAACATATATATATACTGCTCACGAGAAGGCCTATCCGATTCGCATCGAAAGCCAAAACCTAAGCCTCAAAGAAACCGCACGTCGAAACGCTGTGGATGCCGTTGGCGCATTGTCCTCTTTGAAAACAACGATAAACGTTGGGAATTTCGAAAATCGCAGCACTCAGTTCATAACCACAGTTTATTGAATCCGAATGAAATAAAGAAAGAGTGGCCACGCGAAGTGAATGAAAGAATATTTGAACTAATCCGGCAGGGTTTAGAGACAAGTGTGATCAGAGAAGAGATAAAAAAAACGTGGCCCGAGATCTTTTGGGATGATAGACGATTCTACAATCGTACACAAGAAGAGCGTTCGAAAGTAAGACAACGCGAAGCTGCGTTAAGAACTGTTCGATTAACCAATTTGAGTGCCCAAATCTGTTCAGCCGCAGCAGGAAACGAAAAACTATCGGAATACGTTGAAAGTAAGTTGTTAACTCTACAAGAAACCATTTCAAAAATCACCCAATCGACAAGTGATACTATACCTGTACCTATTTCCATGCCATTCACAAATAAACCCACCTCAATAAGCGAGCCATCGTCACCAACATCCTCAAACTCATCGCCTTTCGGAACAGCGACGCATGAAGATATTGACAAGCTATTAAAAAAGGCAGCGATGATAACAAACGGTAATAAACGCGAAGCTGAACGAAGCGCAAGTAATAGTCCTGCTACATCTCATAACAGATTGGCCAAGGAGGATAACACTGATAATGTAGGTATAAACAGCTTTTAACGTGTATAGCTCGACGCGCTTATTGAAAACCCGTTTCATTATTATCTTACAAGATAAACGAGCTGCAGCGATCGAACATCCCTTTTAAAAATCTGGCTGTACCAATTTCTGATTATATTCTGCAAGTTAGACTATATAATAAAGACATGAACGACCATATCAACCGTCTTCTGAAAAATGCAAAAGACACAACCGAAAATCGGCTCAGAAGCAATCCAAACCAGCAACAACAAGATACTGTACAACAACGTGAGCCACGCAGACGACGGTCAAGGGCTCTATTTGCTCCGAATGAAGACAACGAAAATATGGAGCTTGACACACCTGCACGTAAACTATCCAGGCAAGTTGCGCCTACTATATTAGATGACGAAGTTGATAATATGTCAATCCATTCATCACCGTCCGCTCATCAGCCCTTACTCATGGGGGGACCGACCAGCAAGCTAGCAAGCACAGCAGAAGTAAGCCGTGAACAACGCGCTAATTCACTGATGAGTAGCACTCAGTTCAATCCTCAGGCGTCGAACCCAGCATCACGGCAATCTGCAGCCTCAACAGCGACAGTTGACAATAATTTGATTTACCATGCTTCTCAGAATAACATGGCAAGTATCCCAACTGAAATGACCAACACCTACATGAAGCCATCAGAAACACCGCAGGCTACTTTTTCTGCGGGGCAGTTATACTCCAGTAATCTCACTACGAATACTTCCAATCGAACCCAACAACCACTACCGCAACGCTTATTATATAACTCGAACGCTTTATTCAATCAACAGCAGCAGCAACAGCAACAGCAACAGCAGCAACAGCAACAGCAACAGCAACAGCAGCAACAGCAACAACAGCAACAACAGCAGCAACAACAAGGTCAAACCAACAACTTGAAGCTTTTGGCTACGCATCAACCTATACCATCCCCAGATCATCAAGAAAGGCCTTCTTCCCATTCCCTGACGTACAATAACGCGATGCCTACCGTTGTTAGAGCTTCGTCCATATCTGTTCCAAGAGATGTAGCAGTTATTGATCAGCAAAGCATGATTCGTCCTAGCGGATATCCCTCCACCTTTTCACAACTCCAGAATATTATCGACGAAAATGACGGTGAGTAACCCCTTTTTTGCTTTAAAGGAGCTAAATGGAGTCTCTTTAGTTTTCTGTAACTCATTGTACTTTGTATATGGTAAAAATCTACTTCCAAAACAGATAGACAAAGGTACTACACATATAGAAACACGTTACAACAACCTTCGGCCGATGTAACCCCACGGCCTCCTTCACTCACTACTCCCTTCCACTCTTCCCAAATAATCCAACAGTTTATAACACCTCCTCAACAAATGCAAGCAAATAGCATGTATACTACAGCAACGTACCATATGAATCCACATCAACAAAATATTTTTACTACCTCTTACTTAGCGAATGAACAAATATTACAGCACCAACAACAGCAACAGCGACAGCAACAACAAGAGCAATTTAACTTGGATTTCACACAACAGCAGTATAATGCCTCACGAAGAGCTAGTGGCCCAAACTAACCCTTTCTTTCTATTCACTATCTCTTTTAAAATACAATTATTACATTTTACTACAAATGATAAACGACCTCGTCCTAACGCTCATTAATATCTTAATATTTATATAGTCTTCTGTTTTCCTGTATGATCAAAAATTCGCACTACTATTTCTGTATACATTGTATTATAGTCGAATCACTTTTATAGAATGCACATTTGCTTTTTCACTCTCTTTCAGTTCTCTACGACTAGGTAGTACTGTCTCCTAATTTTATCTGTCATATCGTACCAATGAAAAGACTTTTAATGGATTGCAATTCATATTGCAATTGTTTAAGTAGAAGATCAAGAGATATCGTTGTTTCCCGGTATACCCACTATAGAACGAATGGTTCCTGAAGCTGAATAAGAATAGTATAGATAGTGATATCGTGGTGTTATAAGGTTATAATTTGCATGCGAGCTTGCTTTACTTCAGAGAAATATCGGTTCCTTAAATCTTTTCCCTGATAGCGATTTGTTGATGAGAAGACATAATGGACTGCCTGAATAAGTTGTTACAGATATATCACAATTATTTTATGGAACGTATTTTACTCAGATAGATAAACAAAAAGAGAAAAAAGCTAGTCAGATCACTTCAAGCCAATGGTTTTTTTTTTTTTTTTTTTTTTTTTTGTTATGGCTCACATTTTGGTTTCTGTTTTAATCCCTTTGCTTTTACTTAAAATATACATTGTTGGACATGTTAACAATTTCTAAATCTAAAGGTTAAGAAACATCAACAAAAAAAAAAAAAAAAAACAAAAAAAAAAACCGCTGATTGTGTAATTGACTGGGAATACAAAATTGAATAAAATATGGTTTCTACTGCAAAAAATTTAAAGAATGATTATATTTACAAGAAGAACGTTGCTTTTTTTTTTCCTTACACATACTATATAGTTTCATGCTAATATCAGAAAATAACACAATTGTCCTTCGAATCTATCAATGATTGAAGTGCGCTCAACATCTCGAATGGCCTTCTTTTAACTACACTTCTAGCCTTGCTGAGAGGCTGGAAATAGAGTAAAATAGAGAGTTAGCAGAAAGAAAAGCAATGACAAAGACGCGCTTTTCATTTTTACGTGAAAACCAACAGAGAAAACAAGAAATGTTATCAATATGGTTCAAAAAATCGGTTGTATACGTTGATTATGGTTTCGAGCTTTGTGAATTCAGCATTTATTAAATTCATTTGAAGTGGCTGGATGGTAAATAGCCTGTAACAAAATATACCGTAAATTAAAGTGATAGAGCAATGAGCGTGTCGTATTAAGGAATGTATTGCCAGGGCAGTAAATTATAGTTTTGTTCAGTCAGGCACTAGTAAACATTTCTGCGTGTAAAATCCCCCGTTTACGCAATGCTTGATTAATAAGAATATTACTCGCCATTACCTAACTATAACTGCGATTGGATAAGCAATATACTTGGTATTATGGAAGTTGAGAGCTATCGTTGTACTATAATTTGAACTGCGAAAAAAAAAGCTTTTTTTGTCAACAAAAATATACGAAGTGAACCCAGCGGATACTATACTTGTGTGGATGCCAAGAACACAATCTTCAAAAGCGGTGATGCACCTTATCGTTCAATGTCAGAAAATGATTTTGCTCTGAGATTATGTGCTTACAAGATAGCATTGTGCTTTATTGCTATTCATTTCGCGCACTATGCCTTATGAACTACATATCATTGAGAATCGTTAGTTACGTGAGACTCGCTGCTGCTAAACAGAGTATGGTTTAATGCACCATCTTAACTATACAGCATTCGCGGATTTGAAAACTTTATCTTTTTCAAACCTTCAAAAAGCGGTGCATTAGCGGCACAGAATGGAAGCAAAAGAAACTAACTCTAACGTACGTCTAACATAGAAAGGAATAAGAAGGGCATGTATTCCGCGGAAAAGCATTTCGGGGTTATAAGAGTACCACAGCTTTGGACCATTGGACAACGCTACAAAAACTAAATAAAGTGCCATCAAACAGCATTAAGTTAAATACGACAAATTGTTAACATAATAAGGAAATTAAAGGACACGACCCGCAAATAAAAGGAGGAAGCTGATGTCTTGGATAAAAGTTAGATTCATATCTTCCTGGGAAGGATTGCAAACATAGTACAAGAATGTGCAGGTAAACACATAGATTGTCAATTAATGGAGTTACACTCAACCATATAGCAGGACGTGGAGCCAAAAATAGCACCAACAAGTACATTGATTACTTAATTGCTCAATATATTCGAACAAAAGACATTGTAAGGATTACTACGGATGCAATAGTTGATGGGCTTATCCTAGCAGTGCTTCAAGCAAAAATTCAAGAAAGACTTTTCGACAAGCAAAAATCCAAAGTCGGTACGCTTTTGAAAGCGTGCAACTGTGAAGACAGTAAATGCTTCAGTCATTGTTTCTCAACTGAGGCCAGGCATTGCATTTTTCAAAACGAACCTGAAAACAATTAACCACAGCAGCACAAAAATTAACCGATTATCAATACACAGTGAGCATTTTTATGGAGGGGCTACGATAGTTTTTTATAGTATAGGTTCAGCAAATTCCGTACCATCAAACTTATCAATAGCAAATGTAGAACTCGGGAAAAGAAAGCAATGACAATTGTTTTTGGATAGCACGAATAACGTAAACACTGGCTCAGCTTCTTTCTGCCATAGCGATTTTTTAAAGTAAAATGTCGAACCAATACTGTTGTACCCCAAAAAGAACGGATGAAAATCCCTTGGAAAATGTTGCATTATACTTTGTTTTCAGAACTTTTATTTCTCATTTTGCACTCTGGTCATTGTTGTATATGTCTTTATTAAAAGATTAGCAAACTGTTTTACTATCGAAGGACAAAGTCTATTTTACGCTATATCAGTTCGACTTCACGCTGTAATAAGCATTAGTGAATTAATCACTCAATGAAGCACTGAATTATACTTAACGGTCACTTCTTCCACAGTGAGTATTTCTGCAATTACTAATCTAAGCACGTGTAAAAAAGTATTACCAGCGTCGAAAATCGTTATTTTTATCACAAAAAAAAAACAACCAAAAACAAAGGCAGTGAGAATCTAACCTGCTTTCCTGGGACGCGTTAAACCATCGCACGAAAGATGAAGATCAAGGAAACCTTTCGTCTCCTCAATCGAACAAAAAACCGATATGCATTGGAAAAAATGCCAGCAAAAACCAAATAGAGTCACTTTATGGTCCTCCTTGAAAAATATAATCCTCAGGAGCAGAACATGATTCACATACTTAATTTCAAGATTGTAATCTTCTTGATTTTTTCTCTTTCTTTTTTTTTTTTTTTTTTCTATAGTCTTCACTGTAACATCATCGAACAAACTATATTGATGACCTTTGACTTCGAAGAGCGACAAGGAGCTGACCTTTTCCAAACCATATCTGCTACTGACAGTATAATCATTTGTGTGAATGAGGAATTGAAGCTACCAGCCAAAGGTATTACAGGAACATTGCGTCAAAAGTTCGGGAATCAACTGTTGCAGGTGCAAATGCAGAAGAAACAAGTTGGGCAAGTCGCATCAATCATCCATGGGCAACGTCACATATTTTACATGATCACAAGACAAAAATCTTATAACAAGACCACTTACTCTAACATGGAACGCTGCTTAATTGAACTCCGTAGATTGTGTGAGAAAGAAGGCGTCTATAGCTTGGTTTTACCGCGCCAACTGGGTGGAGGTTTAGACGGCTTGCAGGAAAAGTATATAAAGGATACTATTTTTACGGTATTTCAAGGTTTGTAACCGAATGAAAGTTATTTTAATAGAAAAAGAAAGATAAGTAGCTCAGGTCTAACATAAAGCATAATTTATATTGATAGGATGGCAGGGTAAGCTAGTGATGTATATGGATCAAAATCAGTGACGATGTTTGAACCTGGCCACCGAGTCAAGTTTTAAGCGGAAATTCACACACCCACATGCCCACACACACCTTCTGAACTTTTGTTCTGATAAGGCACCTCTTTCTTTCGCTTACTATGATTTTCCTCACCTGATTTCAGTCCTCTTTCTACTACGAACCAAACTTACTGAAATAAAAAAAATGTCCTCTGCAGATGAGGAATGTTCAACCCTCCTTCCAAAAGCTGACACTTGGGCGCGTCATTGGAACCATATAACAAAAAAAACCATGGTAAAAACCCAAATGCAGAAGACGTTTTCCTGCATTAGCAACAGAATTAAAAAATCCTTGTGTGTCAATTTATTAAGCTTCTACGCGCAGCAGTAGCTTCGATGATAATGCTATGTATGGTTGGGGTAATCGGGCTGCTTCATTGGTTCGGTGCCAGTATGGCCCTGCGCCAAATTTTAATTCGTTGTAAGATCATTGTTTTCTTGTTAAACCTATTCAAACTGAAGAATATATACTTCGTCAGCAACATCTGGCCGATGTACTGAAAAAAGAAAAGGCAGAGGCATTTATTGTTGAAGCAGGTACTTCTTTGAAATACTATGTCAATATGGAATGGCATCCGACTGAAAAGTCTTTCATGGTGGTCTTTCAATTAGACAACAGTGAACTAACAGGAGTGCACATAACCATAGTCTCCCCTGCTTTCGAGGCCACCAAAGTTGAACTCACTCTGAAAGAAGCAAATTTACCACTAGAAATCCATCCTGATGTATTAACAGGGTTGGAACATGAATCATCATTTATGAGCCTCAGAAAACTCTTTAGAAACAGCAATAATGGTCTTATATTTGTAGACCATTATGTGAGCGCATCTATCTATCAAGGCATTATCGACGCTCTAGCAAATAATTCCTTTGAGATGGCACCCATATCCGTCCGTCGATTACGCATGACTAAATCTAGGGCTGAACGAGAAATTCAAGTGTGCACACTCAGTGACTAAATAGTTATACGTGCCGTCCATCTCACGTTGGAGTTGGTATGTCAGAGTTGAGTATTGAGAATCTGATGTAGAAAGCGTTACGAACGACAAATTAAGTATGGAAAGACCCAATTTTTATTACATATTTTATGATCAGTGTATGTTTAAAAATTTGATTATTTGAAATACAGATACGCGTTGTATATAATTTCTATGTCAATTGATGTGAGATGATACAATGGTATATAAAATTAGTGTAGAAAGTTTTTCAACAATCTAAGAAACAATAATCCGTGGTAACCTTGGAGGGAAATGGAGTTCCAGCAGGGAAATAAGCGCAAATGTCAGCTTTGGTTCTACCCTTACTATGTGCAACCCAACTACCGGCAGAAAAATTGATTTTGAACCGTTTGTGTTGCTAAGTATTACTAAAGAACTAAGACATAGTGTAGATCGCATTAGGACTATTCACGAGAAGGTGCTATAGTTTGAATGATAATTTGCACTAATTAATTTTCCGGCAGACGACTTTATTCCAGAGGTTAATCTTGCTTTCGTTTTAGCTCGGTAAGTACCGTAGCTTGGCCTCTCTACTGTACCGTCTACAAATCGCCTGTACTGAAGAAGCCTAGTAAGTGACTCCATTGGGTGTAACAGAAGCATACTATTCATTTGAGTTCATTTCTTAAGCAGTTTTTTTTTCTTTTTTTTTTCTAACACATGGTTTTGCTTACAGGTACATTTTTATTGTATTACAAGCAAGCATTAGCCTAAGGCTGAGATTGAGGGACAGATTGAGGGTTTTCTTCCAATTTTTTGACTCAATGAGAATGGAAAACTTAAGTGATGCTTTATTTGGCCCTTAATTAAAGCCGGTACAGCGCACACCCCCTCATTCTATTTTCCAGACTCGTTGCATTTGCAATGATTAGTCATAAGGTTGTAGAGTTTATTTGCTTAGTATACTTTCTCTATAAACTAAGAGAAGGGATATATTTTGATAATTTTCGGCTATGTTAGATCTACCAATGATGTTTATGGTAACTGGGAAGGCTCTATATTACGGGTTAGGGAAATATAACCACTTCCTGAATGTTGACCATAGGATAACAATGTCAGGTTTATTTCGACATAAAGTATGCTCTATCAAGGATAATAGACCAGTATTCTTCCATTCTTTATTGCTCTTCAATATAAACTACAGACAGTGATGCAGTTTTTCAAATAAAAAGCTATTTGACCTCTCTGAATCTTGTTTTAACGCTCTGCGGACAAATTTTTATTGCTATCATCAGCTGCTGTTCGGTTAATGCCTGTTTGATTAGATCACTTTTGAAAGCCCAGTGGCTTATAGGATGTTCTTTCACCTTTTCAAAATTGTATCTCAGCTTCAGTGATGCTCTTGCATTTTTTGTTGATCGTATATTCTTCATTGAACGACAGACAGTGAAAGCAATGTCAGATTCCAAGGATCTTGAAGTCCAAGCAATGGCTGAAAATAAGCCAGTTAACGATTATGAAGTGGAGTTTGATGATGATGACGACGACTACGATGACTATTTAGATGATGATATGTGGGATACTGCTACTGCAGGTAAAGAAGAAAGGGTCAAAGCCCGCAATTTTGGACACGGGTTACTCATTATACATCTTGTTAGATTTTACCAAGCAGTATAATAAGCTTCGACAACAAGTTGTCACAGCCAGTAGTGGAAGCACTTCCAAAACAGCGTCAAATATTCCACCTACTCGTAAGACAGCAGCTGCCACAGCTACAACGACTGTCGGTGTCCCTACTTCTTCGACTGCAGCCGGCGCGGCGGCTATGAAAGGCCAATTAGATAGTTTGGAACACTTTGCTAGTAGAATTCATATTGAGGAAAACTATAATCCTTCCAAAATGAGCTCTTCAGTCGTCAGTGATATTAAATTGGGATCAAAAAAAGCAGGTGGTGAAAGGTATTCGGCTTTTTTTTCCCGCTTCTCTCGCTGTAATGACGCTTGCAGTCATTCAATATTGAGAAAAAAAAAACTAACCATACTTATATGAAACTAGGCAAATACAGAAGGATAAAGCCGATCGTGCTACTGTGGAGCAAGTGCTCGATCCTCGTACACGTATCATTCTATTTAAAATGTTGAACCGTGGCATATTTTACGAAATCAATGGTTGTATCAGTACTGGTAAAGAAGCCAATGTGTATCATGCTATGACCGAGGATGGACAACATCGTGCTATTAAAGTTTACAAGACGTCCATTTTAACCTTCAAAGACCGTGATCGTTATGTTACAGGTGAATTTCGTTTCCGTCACGGTTATTCCAAATCGAACCCTCGTAAAATGGTCAAAGTATGGGCTGAAAAGGAGATGCGTAACTTGCGACGTTTGAAACAAGCGGGAATACCTTCTCCAGACGCAATTGTATTAAGAATGCATGTGCTAGTCATGGAGTTCTTGGGTGATAAGAATGGTTGGGCTTATCCACGACTGAAGGATGCACAGATTGAATTATCGAGATATCCTGCTTTGTACTATCAACTTGTGAAGAATGTTCGTACCATGTATCAAGTCTGTAAATTGGTGCACGCTGATTTAAGTGAATACAACATTTTGTAAGTAAAGGGGCAAAGGAAAGCTAAGTACGATTTGGTTAGATATTTACATGTTTTTTCTAAATGTAGATATCATTCTCGGAAACTATATATTATTGATGTCTCGCAATCTGTTGAGCACGATCACCCTCACGCATCAGAGTTTTTGAGAAAAGATATTGCGAATGTGACAGATTATTTTGCCAAAAAGGGTGTTCGGGTAATGAGTGTAATGCAATTGTTCAAATTTGTCACAGATATATCCTTCGGCAATAGCGAAGAAGAAGTGGATGCTCAATTGGAAAAGGTACCTTTCTTTAAGTCTGCAGACGTTGAACTGTGAATTCACCGTGGATTAACTTGATGCATCTGTTAGATTCAAGAAGACATGAATGCTAACCCCAACCAACAAGTCAGCAAAGAAGAAGAAGAGATTTTCTTAAAGTCCTATATACCAACCACTCTAGAAGAAGTGATAGACATTGAAAGAGATACCTTACTAGTTGAAAAGGGTGAAGCGAAGAATTTAGTTTATGCTGATTTACTAGGAACAGATGTGACAAAGTCCGTGCAAAATTTGAGGTTAGAAGATGAGGATAAGGATAATGGTTCCTTCGAGGAGGGTTGTGAAAAAAGTGAAGGTATTAGTGACGACGATGCCTCTGATAGTGCTCTGGATAGTGAAAATGACGACGAAGCTATTTCTGATTCTTCTGAAGATGAGGGGTCGGATGACGACGAAAAGAGCTCTCGAAAACCTAGAGGTAAAAAGAACGAAGACAAGGAGGAGAAGAAACTGAGAAAGCAAAAGGCGAAAGAAGAAGCTAGAGAACGCAGAAAACATAAACTACCCAAAGCAGAGAAAAAACGAAAGATTAAGACGAGTAGTAAAAAGAAGAAATAAGAGCATGCCTTGTATATATCACGTTTCATTTTAATTGTTTCCTTTATGTAAACGCTTCCCTTTTTGTACATCATCGAAAAATACTCTCTACATCGATAGGCATTTGATTTTCCAAGTATTTAAAGAACATTATCTTTTAAATCAAAAAAGTATTATTACAAAGAAACACATAATTGATCACGGGTATTTGATAATCTTGATAAAGAATACGTTAAATTGGTGACGAAGGGCTTGTTTACATCACGTGGGATAGCTTTTGTCTGTTTTGCCTTTTTGCCTTTTAGTTTCCATACACAAATCAAGCAATGCTTGGAGATCGGAATGCCAAGCTTGAAATCAAATATAAAACCATTGACTGGCTCAGCCAATCAAAATGGAAAAATTATTGGCTGATCCGGCTTTCCACTGCTGCTGTCTTATTGTTCTTTCCTCAGATCTCAAACAGAAAACAATAAAAAGTCTTGTTGTCGAGTAAAACCGCTTGAAAAGAAAATTTTTGTTTTAAAGACAAAAAGTCATTTGAAAGTATCTCTTTTTAGTATAGATTGTACGCAGAGAAGCTAGGAAGCAGAGCGAGCAATAAGGCTGAATATAAGCTTATAAAAGTTACTGCTGATATCACGTTTCATAAATTTATCCTTTGTGTACGCGTGTCACAAACACATTCAGAGCTTGTTTTTCTTTTCTTTTTTATTTTAACCCAAGTGCAATAATGGAAACTGTTTGAAACTAGTCAAGAATGACCCAGGATGGCCATGGAGGACAACCCATAGAAAAACCCTTTATTCTTAAATGTAGGTTAAGGAGGAAAAATAAGCGTCTCCTGGGATGATGCTATCAAATTTAACTTTATCAAACTTTTTGCCCGGGTTAAGGTTGTTCGCTTTAGTTTTATCATTTAAAGCTGAGCTGATTTTGTACAAAAAAAAGCAACCAGTTACACCAATTGTTTAAAAAGACATTTAAAAGGACAACCTTATAGGAAAAAAATCTCTTTTTTTTTTTTTTTTTTTTTTTTTTTTTTTTTCTTAGTTCTTTTCTTTTTTACATAATTTTACGGCTTTTCTTGTTTCTTTTGTACATACATTATACCTTTCTAATTCTCGTCTTTTTCAATCAAACATAATTTGTATATCTTTGTTCGGTATATAGGTTATTTTATACCAGTTAGATTATCTAGACAAATCAATCTCTTATTACTACTACTATTACTACTATTACTATTACTACTATCACATAATACTATTACTTTAATATAATTCAATCAATGAAGTCTTCACTGTTCAATTATCCTTTCGAATTGGTTGCACCCATGGCCGCCGTTGGTTCAGTACTCTTATTACCATTGGGCCCGCTCCTTATTCCTCGTATTTATATCATTTTTCTGTTAATCTATTTTACTGTATTCTTATACACTCAAGTCAATCATTTGTTCAAGTTCTATTTGACCGCAAGCAAAATGACAAAGGTTATCCGTAATTGGAACAAACGTAATTTGACCGAAAGCAACAGCATCACTACGATTACTGCTTTCTCGGATGGCTCTGCAACTACAACGACTACGAGCAGTTCTAATAGCAGCACAAACAATAGTGCTAATAATACAGCTCCCTCTTCACCTACTGCCACAACCACTCGTGAAAGAATTACTTCTGTCGAGGAATTGGAAGAAATGGAAAAGGAAGCCTTTAACTTATACGACGATTCTCATTTGATTCATGCTTTCATTGTACCAAATTATGCAGAACCCGAAGCCCTGTTGAGAGATACAATTAAACGTTTGGCCAATCACAAGTAAGTAATGCAGGCAAAACAAAAAAGCGAAAGGGGTTGGGGGTTAGAAAGGGACAGAGGAGAGGTGGCAGAGCAAAAGTGTTTGAAACCATTACAATTAAAAAGGAGCTTAGAGGAACAGGGCCTTCATTATTGTAATCTTTTTCTTTTTTTGCTCATATACTTACTAAACAAACTTATTTTGTTTTAATTCAACATCATTAGAAATGCACAAACGAACTATGTAATTATCTTAGCAATGGAAGCGTCCGAACTTAATTATGAAGAGAAGGCCTACAGTTTAGCAGACTACTTTAAAGACAGTTTCCTTCAGTTTATTGTTACTGCACACCCTGCTGATACTCCTGGCGAATCGCGTGGTAAAGGCTCAAACGTTGCATATGCTGCAAAACACGGTTGTGCTCAGATGTTACAGAAAGGAATCGATAGACGAAGAATCATTTTGACGGTATCCGACTCTGATTCTTCTATTCCTGAATTATACATCAAGGAGGTAAGAAAGCAATGGAATTAGCATAGTCCAATCATTAATCAAATTACCTAACGATGCTTACCACTCTTTTCAGGTCGAGACAGCTTTTAATAAAGCAGAAGATCCTTACTTTTTGTTATTTGCACCACCCATTTTCTTTTCCCGTAATTGCTTTGATGTACCTGCTGCTGTCAGAATGACAGATATTACCTGGTCTGCTATGGTGATGTCAAGTTTAAGTAATAGCCGTGGACTTTCTTTCCCTTGTTCAACCTACAGTCTCAGTATGATGCTAGCTGAACGAGTCGGATATTGGGATACAGATGCTGATGCAGTTGGTGAAGACATGCATATGATGCTCAAATGTTTCTTCAAAACAGACGGACTTGCTCGTTGCTGTCCTATTTTTGTTCCCATCAACCTTACCAACGTTCAAACCTCTGGATATCTTGCCAATATGCACGCTCGATTTGTCCAAGCTAAGCGTCATTACAACGGTATTGCAGATTTGGCCTACACTTTGCGCAATTCTTTTGGCGTCAAAGAAGACGGTGTTTTGAGTGGATTCGTAGCTGCAGCTAACAAGAAAACAAGTATGTATGCAGCACCCGGTTATTGGCTTGACAAGCTTGTCATGTGCACGAAAGTAATGGAGGCTCATCTGATTCCTGTCACTTCGGGTTGGCTTATGTTTGCCGCTGTACCTTTGATGCAATTCATCTTGTTCCCTCCTCATTCCATGATTGCTTTTGTTGACCCTGCTGACAATCCCATTCTCACTTCCGAACTCTATTCAACTTTGTGGAACATCGTAAAGATCATCACTCTGTTTTTGCCTATTCCATTATTTGGTACTTTGGCGATTTACGAGCACCTTCATCGTGTTGTCGATCGGGAACTGTATCGCAAAGCGGAGTCTCGTAGCTGGCGTAACGTTTTGGATTACATTTCATTACCAATAGCCGCTTGGGCTTTCATGACTCTGCCATCCACCATTGCTTGTATCAAAAGACTTTACAAGACAAATGATAAATACATTGTTGCAGAAAAGTTCTTTAATGAAAATAATGTATGATTTGACAGCAGAAAAAAAAAACCAAAAAAAAACCAACCAAATGTAACGGGAAACTAAATACACAACCAACGACGAATACATATCGGAACAATGAAAATTCTTTTGATATTCTTCTGTTGTAAAAATTACGATGCTCGTCTTCTTCAACGACGTCAAATTCCTTGTCACGTTAACAACAACAACAACAAAGCTGTTTATATACCTTTGCTTTCTGATTTAATCCTACTTACGCACTTTACACAATATTTACTAACTATTTAATCATTGTACGGTAATACGCTATCTTTACCTTTATTCTATTTTCTATTTTTTTATTTAATGACAATTCGAATGTAAATCTACAAAATAAAAACTTTGATCTCAAACACTTTTATACACTAAATTAAGAAAGAAGAGTAATCTTTTTTTCAGTAAAAGTATCACAAAAAAACTGCGAAGACCAAGAAAAGGCTAAACCCACATTCTCATTCGTATACACTCTGTTTACAATCATGTCATCAGTAATTCATCATTATGCATTTTAACTATTTTGAGCTATTATTTTCTTCATTAAAAACACTTTCTGTTGATTAAAAGCGTGCATGCATGCTTGCCTCAATAGTCGTCTTTCAGAGTTGAAGGAAAAATGTACCAAGCAAAGCTTGTAGAAAGTCGTAGTATCATTTCAAGATTGGCTATAGCGTAGCCATGAAGAGAGGCTATCATTAGCATCCCTATAGCTAGAAGTCACTAAAGTATAAACACTGTATCTATTACGCATCTCATTCAGCCAAACACACTGAAGACAAAAAAAAAACTCTTTTGACTGTTAACCATTTCGGCCATAATCCAGTTTGGGTATATCATATATGACGCATAATAGAAAACTACTAACAATTCAGAATATTGCAGCCTTGCAAACGACCATGAAGTATTAGGAGCCGGCATATCTATTTTGAAAACTTCCCGGTATTTTCTGGTACTTGCATCTTGCATAATCTATGAGCGCCAGGTCTGGAGAACCTTAATGAAGAAACCAGGAAGGAGTTTCGTAGTTTGAGTTCCATGTTTACATTCTGTGCACCAAAATTTCAATAAGAACAAAAAAGAAATACGTGGCTATGATATCTGATATTGATATTTTGAAGCATTTTCGACTTGTATAGGAGAGGACAGTTCTGCTTATGCTGCTTTCCTTTTCCTGACTGTACGTTGCAAATTCATTGTAGGTCTAGTTCAAATCTTTTATTGGATAACTAAATTACAAGTCACCTCTTTTGAATTGTAATGTTATTCCCGCATCACTCCTTTCAGCTTTTGCGTCTTCTTTTCAGATCAACCACGAAAATAATGTCTGCAATGGAAGTTGATCAATCCTCCTCGAGCGTGTCTCCTGCGAAGGAACCCGTTGTAACGGGTATTATTTATCCTCCTCCTGACATTAGAAGTAAGTTGAAACAATGCTCTTACTCAAGCAGTGCTAGGTTTAGTTTGTATTCAGCCCTTTTCTGACATACGTAAAATAGAGATGATCGATAAAGCCGCTGCCAATCTATCCACAAAAGGCCCCGAGTTAGAGAATCATATTAGGGAAACAAACAAAGACGGACGGTTCAATTTCTTGCATCCCAACGATCCATATTATGCTTATTATCGATTCAAGTATAATGAATTCAAGGAAGGCAAAGGTACGAAGAAATGTAATCACCCTTCGTCTCAAAACTTCGAAACAGTACAATTTGACGATTCTTTTTCATATTAAAAAAAAACCAAAAAAACATTAGTTTCTCAAGAAACAATACAAACAGCTGAAAAGCAAGAACCAGTTGAAGCAGTTCAATCTGTTAGCCAGGCACCCAAAGAACCTGAACCCTTCGAATTCTCAGCAACCATTCCTGCCATGTCGGCACAAGATCTGTAAAGTATTTGGCTTCAGTTTCCGTTCACAGACTTATGCTTAACGTACGACAAAAAGCTGACCTTTTCTTCACACTTAGGGATATCATGAAGTTGACAGCACAATTCGCTGCACGAAATGGTCGTGCTTTCATAAATCAACTTGCTCAACGTGAATCCAGAAATTATCAATTTGACTTTTTGCGTCCATCTCACAGTTTATTTCCTTACTTCACTGAATTGGTTAAACAGTATACGAAAGTTTTCTTACCACCTAAGGATCTTCAAGAGAAATTAAGGGCTGTTAAAAACAACAAATATCAGATTTTGGATAAAGTGAAGGAACGCGTTGAATGGAATGTTTGGCAAGAAGCAGAACGGAAGAAGAAGAGTGATGAAGATGAAAAAGAAAGAAGTAGGTTTTTTTTTTTTCAATTTCTCTTTTCATTAGTATAGCATAATAACCGTAACAATGCGTTATATTTTTTCTTTTTCTTTTTTTTTCAATCTTTTCGTTTGAAATAGTTGCTTATGCTAGTATTGATTGGCACGATTTTGTGGTTGTCGAAACAGTCGAGTTTACAGATGTTGACGAACAAGCAGAATTACCACCACCTATGAGTTTGGCAGAGTTAGAAAGCATGTCATTAGCTCAGAAACGATTAGCAGCTATGCCTTCAGAGGCTTTAGCAGAATTAGACAAAGAAGTGACAGATGAAGGATTAGACGAGGATGTAGAGATGGAACAATCTGACGAAGAGCCGATAGAACATGCAGCCTCTACTGCTACAGCAGCTCCTCTACCTACACCAGCGATGCCTATCAAAATTCGTACCGATTATAAACCCAGACTTCTGGGTGTTACTGCTGCTACAAATATTGCCAAGCCAACCGAGCTCTGTCCTCGTTGTGGTGAAGCTATTCCTGTTGATGAAATGGCAGAACACATGCGTGTAGAATTATTGGACCCCAAGTGGAAGGAACAAAAGATGGCCATGGAAAATAAGAATAGAGGAACTAATTTGTTGGAAGGTGCAGATGTTGCTAAGAATTTGAAGAGAATTACTCGTGTTCGTCCAGATATTTTCGGTGGTGCTGAAGAAACGGATGTAAAGAATATCATCAAAGAGATGACCGAAGAGGCAAAACAAAAGGAAAAAGTTATGTGGGATGGTCATACTGCCACTATGGCAATGGCTACACAGATGGCAAAACAGCGAAAACCAGAGTAAGTATTATATTAATGTATAAGCTATTCGCTTTACAATTAATTAATTTCGAAAAAAACCTACTTCTTATTCTTAGTGACCAAGTCGTTGATCAACCACCACAAATTGGCCCTTTTCCACATCAAGAGCTGCCTCCCGTAATGGCTCCTCCCGGTGTGGTTCCACCTCCAGGTATCGATCCTTCCCAACTACCAGAGGCTCCTCCTGGTGTTGCTCCTGCACACCTACCTCCTCCTGCACCTCAATCTCCCGCCAGCAAAAAACCTCGTACTTCTTAATTTACCTATCTCTTTGTACATAAATGAAAACATTATATCCGTACTATCTTTTTACTCTTCTCGCAAAAAAGTCCCATTGTAACCATTTCTTGAGGTTTATTTACTTTATGGTCATTCTGCGACTAAATACAAACATTTCATCTTTAACAAAAAATAAGAGTAAAATATTTTCGGTAATTACGTAAACAGTAACCATACCACATTTATTTCGTCCAGGCGACTATCTAGACAACACCCAATTGTAGAAACAAAGATGATTCACTCTTTAATAAAACTTACAGTACAGTTTTTTGCTTTAACAGATAACGAGCTCTTGCCGAGTTCACTATCATATTGCAACTCAATTTTGTATTAACATTTAAAAACTTAAGATTAGCAAACAGTTGAGAAACACACTCAATACACAATAGAAATTAACAAACAAATAAACCAGGGGTAAATCAATATAAAATACAAAATGCAACCGTACATTGTTTCAATCAATTATTTTGTTGTTTATCCTTTCTTGAGTTATGCGGTCAATAACAATCCACAGTGTGATTTTGTTTAGTGCCAGTACACTTTTTGCCTCATTCTTTACTGTAGCCAATGGTAAACCTGCTTTGGAAGAAAAGAAAAGGCAGTTTAAATTAACAATACAGAAGTACTATGAGCCAGAACAGCAACAGCAGCAGCAGGTAACAAGTTTCAATGAAACAGATGATAATTTTCTATCGTTCGTTTCTTTTCTTGCCAAAAAGCAAAAACAAGTTCAATATAACCATCAAACCGGTAAGCAAAACCCACGGAAGAAGATGAAAGTTAAAATTACGTGCGTGGAATAGCATTTATACTGATATAATTACGCTTTGAAAAGAATAGGTTACTATGGAGAAATCAGTATCGGGACGCCACCGCAATCATTCAACCTTATTTTCGACACTGGAAGTTCTGATTTATGGGTTGTATCGTCGGAATGCACGAATGATATCTGTGGTGAAAGGAAAAAGTTTGATTATCAAGCATCAAGCACATATTCGAGACAGCAAGTCAACGGTAGAAACCATGGCGACGACGATGAGGATGAGGAAGATAAGGAAGAGGATAATGAATTTGCTGCTGCCGATGGCGATAACTTTATCAGAATTGACTATGGCACCGGAAATATGGAGGGACAATTGGGACGTGACACGGTGCGCTTGGCTAACGATCAAATTATTATTGAGAGCCAAGCCATCATTGATGCTCACAGTTTGTCACCAAACTTCAAACAGCTACCTATACATGGTATTTTTGGGCTTGGACTCCAGAATTTAAGTAGTTTGAAAGGTTTTACTTCGCCAATTGAGTCCATGATAAATCAAGGCTTACTAGACGAACCTTTATTTGCTATTTATTCGGAACAAGAGACTGGAGAAATAGACTTTGGCGGCGTGGATACAAACCGCTTTGAAAACGATTTATTATACCTAAACGGGATCAGTGATGAGTTTTGGATGATATCAGCAGATAAGGTTCACTTTGGGACAACAGTCTATAACGACCGCAAAGCTATCATTGATAGCGGTAAGAACAAGACGAATTCACAAATGCAAACACTCATTGGGATTTATTGAATATTAAATCTTCATATTTTTTAGGATCAAGTTTGATCATAATGCCCAAGGAAGATGCAATAGCATACCATAAACAAATAAAAGGTGCTGTTTACAATAGAGACGGAACTTGGTCTTTCCCGTGCCAAGCAATTGATTCCATGCATTCGTTGGTGATAAATACTGAAAACATCAATTTAACCATTCCGCCAGAAGGTCTCTTTTTAACTCAAAGCAACTCGCTAGATAAAAAATGCTTATCGGGCGTATCTACACAGGCAACAGGAAATAGTGAAGTATGGATCTTCGGTGATGTATTTTTGAGAAACTTTTATACAGTAAGCTATCAATATTGTCTGCAGTTTGTTACAGTATTGTATCCATGTAGCGGCTATTTACAATTTTTTTTTCGTCTTCATTTAAAGGTATTTGATATTAGACGGAAACAAATAGGCTTCGCCAAACCAAAAAGAAGATAAAATATGGCTAATGTATCATAATAAAAAAATTCACTTAGTAAAGAGCACACATTTATACACTTTAATGCTGGTTCTCTTCGGCTTCTATTTTCTTTAGTACAGATTCCAATTCTACTGTTTCTGTATCAGGGACAAACTTGACAGAAATAGGGTATTTTAATTGAGCATTGTTGCGAATCATTGCGCTCAACGCTTTTGTCCAAGTTTTTAGTGCACTATGAACATTCTCCCGTTCTTTCTTTTTGACTGAAGTGAGTGTGTACAATATATGGCATTTCTTAAGATTCCGTGACACTTTGATATTTCGGATAATGAGGTAATTAGTGTTTAGCCATTTTGAAGGCATCAGTTCGATAGCAAATGTTGTTGCAATGGCTCTGTTAATTCGGTGGGCGAAGCGTTCCTGAGCAATGGTTGGTGAAGTGTCAAATTCATTATAACTGACGGGTCTCGCTGGTATAGACCGTATGATTTGCTTTGGAGTGTTATGCTAAAAAATTATAAAATATTATGAGCCAGAGCTGTAATACAGATAAAGAACAGAGTAGCACATTACTTACCCAACTAGTTGAACCATCGTTATTCTTTTTTGAGATTTCAAAAAACTTCAGGTAAGGGCCAGGGATCATATATTCTTCCAAAATGCGCTTTGAATCGGGAGAATAACATTCGTCTTTCTTAGCTTTAGCAATTGACGCTGTATGAAAAGCATAAAAAGAGCGTAAAGATGGCCGTCCTTGGCAGATAAATGTTGATGGACGCTTGACTAATGCCTGTCGAATGCATTGCATTGGTATACAAATTTGGACGAGAATGAAAAGTGGGGGAAGCGGAAAGCCAACAGTATTCAGCCTGCAACAACTATTGATATTGACGTTCCGACCGGAATCAATCGTAAGTCTCGTTGGAATGACAACCGGACTTTCTATTTGACCCCAGAGTCACTCCCGGGTGGGAAGCACTCTGGTAAGTGGAAATTGCTGGTTTAACTGAGGGACAGCAAACAATTGGGGGGAGGAGAAAGAATCAAGGTAGGAAGATCAGTTGGCCAACACTATCAACCTCCTCTTTTGACATACATCCATCAATCGAAGATGAAGTAAATATCCATCCAGATAGAGCACCATCATACATCTCAGTTCGACACATCGGTTAACAATATATGTACAATTATAAAATAGGCTCGAGATTTGTTCTTTCTCTGGTCACAAGATCTACCCCGCCAAGGGTAAGACTTACGTCCGTCTCGATAGCAGGTACTTAACATTTTGCCATTCTTTGTCTAGCGTTCGCTTAAACTAACTTTGTTATTCATATATTCCTGTAGAGTAAGTTAATTTCTGAAATACACGTTGAGCGAGCGTGGATTTTGCGAGGAAATGGATTTAAATAATATAGAGGGATTTCATGCAGTGGAGATGAGAATGGAATATTTAAAAAAGAGTGCACCTCATACACACAGTGAATTGTCAAACTTACCCTATTTTATATTCAATATTTTCACATTGCGTTCACCGTAGACCTTCCGTTTCATCAACGGTAAAGCTGCTTCTTATTTCCTTCAACGTTTGAACCCCCGTAAGGTCAGATGGACTCAAATCTACCGTCGTTTGAACAAGAAGGGTATGACCGAGGAAGTGCAAAAGAAGCGTTCTCGCCGTACTGTCAAGCACGAACGTGCCGTTGTTGGTGCCTCTTGGGACGCCATCCGTGCCAAGCGTAATCAAAAGCCTGATGCCCGTGCTGCTGCTCGTCAAGCTGCTATCTCCAAGTCTAAGGAAGCTAAAAAGGCTGCTGCCGCTGCTAAGAAGGCTGCCAACCCTACTGTAAGTAGCATTAATCTTACAAGATAGAAGAGATTGCTCGTTATATAGAATTTGATTGACTGATCCTGTCCTATCATCCTCCTTTTGTTATAGGCCAACCAACCTAAGGTTAGCAAGCAACAAGCTAAGGGTTTCGCTCCCAAGGCTGCCGCCACCTCTCGCTAAGGAAAAAAGAGTATAATAATCTAATGTTGTTTCATTTCTATTTTCTTGTTGAATAAAGTACACTATACAATAAAAACAGATAGTAGCAACAGCATACTGACGGTTATAGATTGATTCAACCGCAGGTAGCTTAATATACTTCGAAGTGTCTTTAGGACGGTTAAATGTGTAGTCCGCTTACAGCAATGGGCCTTTCTTTTAACGCGTAATATGGAAAGGACTTATTCTCCGGTTCAAAGCTCCACGCTTACGCGTGCCATAAAAAACCTGCGTTTTAAATTCTTCCAAAGAATAAAGAAACAATTAATCATCATTGACACGTTGCTCCATGGAAACTTATGGTTTTTTTCTTTTACAAGTCACCCCTTAATCAAAACCTCGAGTAAAATTATTAGAAACATTTCCTTTGATTTCTTTATGTGAATATCTAAATGGATATATCAAAGGTATTTCAGTGTCGAAATATTTCTACTACATGCGAGCATATATCCAAGTATTGTGAACTATACATAAACTCTTCCCTGAATCCGTCATCACATAATGTCAGATCATTTCACACATTCTTTCCGACATTACTTGTATATATTTTTGGTTCTCCAAATGTCAGGTACGGTCACTAACATGACAGCAAGACATTTAAATGCTTAGAATTACTTACAATGAGGCCTTTCTTTGGAAACTTCCAGAGGTTGGGCGCAAATAGAGACACTAGATCATGAAGACGAAGCAATTAAAAAATTGCTATCTGTAAAAGGTCACTTCTTCCAAGCATTAATCAAATTAAGCCAGTTTCCTGAGTATTCGTACGATCTTGTTACAGACGCTCTGCCGGTAATAATTTCATACTAGCAGGAACACGCTCGGATACAACGATCAGATCTAATAACATAATTCGACAATATAGGCCGATGTTAAAAGACTATTATCCACAGGAGCAATACATATTCTACCGAACGTCTATAAAAACTGTACTTATCTGAGCACATCAGCAATCAATAAGTCGGTCGATATAAAGGCAGCAGCCACGAGACAGTCGACACTGCTGGCTCCATTTGGAGGCGAACGAAGAATTAAATTCAATATGATTCAGTTTTACCTTTACTATTTTGCTAGCGTAGCAACTTGGTCTCCACAGCCAGTTATAAATACGAATCCTACAAATATACCTAATACATCAAATCAGCCTAACCAATCAGTATCAACATCTGCCTTATACAGTAGATTTTCGAACAATTCGCCTTCAGTGAACAATACCCCCAATCCCAGTTTCAACAACAATAATTATAGTACGAATCAAAACTATCCTCATTTAATTCCTGGAAAAGCCAGAGCCGTCAGCTACGGTGTATACAGTCCTGTACTTGAAGAATACATGTCAGAACTTATACCCATAGGTATTCGTGAAGATTTTCCACCGATCATTCAATCCTTCTTTTTTGATGTATTGATGGAACTCTTCATACGTGTAACGTACGTGCCTGTACCTTATCAAGCTCTTTCATCAGATCTCCTTTTTTTCATCACAGCTTTCGTGAAATTCATTGTTCGACATGATCTAAGACAGTATGGTATCAATCCTGTAAACATCCACTCCGAAAATAGCAATATGAGCAGAAAAAGCGTTTCATCAAATAATATTACAACACCTTTGATTAGTCGAGTATATTTGACAATGAAGGACGAGCTTTGTCTACTTATTTCACGTTTAGCTTTGAATTACAAAAAAGATGACGATTACTTGTCCGTAATAGATTTATGGGCTGTGTGGGCAGCACCTTGGAAGTTTGGTGTGACACCACGAAGTTCAGAAAAGTACGATTATATGCCTATTCAGCATGGTTGGGCTGCTTTTATATTGGACAATCTTCCGTTCTACCTGCACCATACAGATATTTTCCTACAGCGTGCGAGCACATTCATGTACAAGGATTCGTATCCGCCTAATTATAGCAGCACATCGAACACTGGACAATTACCTTCGAGAGCAACTTCTAATATTAGCTATAATGGTACCATAAGAGGCCAACTTCGTATACTGTATCGAATTATAAACGTTATAAAGGCAAATGGTCTCTTGGAATTTTTGGGATATATTGAAAAAGCAATTGAAAGGTTACAAATGGGTTCGTCAGCAATTGATAGTGGTGGCAATAGCAGTACAAATTATTTTAAACAGCTATCTATGATAGCGTATGGAACAGAGAACATGGATTCAATTGTTTGTCAGAAATTGAAAGCAGCCTACGACTTTTCAATTCAAGTAGAGAATTCCAACTGGAAACCAAAAGGGCTCTTTACAAATGATATTCAACCACGATCTGAAGCTTTATTGAAGACAGTAGGGTCCGTTTACTCTGCGTTTCGTACTAAACAGACTGAAAGTAACAGTAGCTTAAGCAAACTACAATTGAACTCGACAGCTATTAAGGATACAAAAAAGTATATGTTACAGTTGGGAGAAGCCTACGAATTACTGACAGCAACATTTAAAGTGATGGACTCTGCTGTTACAACGTATAATGCGCTTCCCAGCGATGCTAATCCCACAGCCTCAAATTCAGCAGCAGGGGGCACAGCAATTAACACTTCCCCCACTGCTACCGCGAATAACCTCCCACAACGAAAACCATATATCCCTAAATATGCTAGCTTAAATGAAAACGGCTTCTTAAGAGAACAGGACAAATTAGCTATCATGGAAGGCAAGGTGCTATGTTCGCATAATAATGTTCGCGCTGTAGGAATTCGTGCTGAAACTCATGTTCGGTCATATGAAGTTGCTTCTTTGGTAGCCTTAACATTGAAAGTAGACAAAAAGATGAACTATTATGTAAGTTTAAGACTAATTAATTAATAGAATAGATTTTCTCACTGACGCTCTTTAACCATAGTATGATCGGTATCTTCCACTCCAGTTTAGACCAGGTTTTCTACCACGGAAGTTGACAGTTAGATTTTTAGCATGTCCGAAAAACCTTTTTTGGACGACCGTTCTACTTGCCATCTTATATAAAATCGTGTTATAAAGATCCTATTCACTTCTCCTAGACAGGGTCATACAATTCTTACTGTTTATATTGTTATTTCCTGCTATTTATTTATTCTTTCCTTATAATTTGTACACTTGCCTTGTTTTATTGAGTAGAAAGTAAAGTCTGCCAAAAAAAAGAAAAAAAAAAAGTTTACATCTTTTATTATGTAATTTTTTAAAACAATTAGAGATTTAACATTAAAACGATGTATTAGATTAGCATGAAAATATATGTACAATATAGATAACGAAAGAATATGTAGGACATAATGATGAGCAAAGGATGATAAATAAGTTGAAAATCAAAGAGTAGATTATGTAACAAATGATGCAAAGTATGTAGTAGACGTTATGAAGGGGACAAAATTGGTTTGCAGTAAAAACTGAGGAAAACAAAAATAATTGAAAAATTGAAAATGGATGGACATAATGGTAACTAAGCAATCGGCTTTTCTTCGTTAAAATTATAGCGTTTCACTTTGTCGTTAATTCCATCTTTGTCATCTGTGGGTACTTTTGTTTCAATGCTGCTTCCATTCATATATTGGTAATTACACTTCTTTTCAGACGACCGTCCACTGTATAAGACCAATTCCTGCTCTCGAACAATATCATTATCATAAGGATGGTATTGATGCAGATAATGCTTAGCACAAATACGAGGAAGGAAGCAGGCAACCACAGTCAAGATAAGTGTCATCCAGTAATTGCCAGTGCCGAACAACTGATGATGTCCCATAAATATGAATGTATTGATTTGAGAGTATATACAAACGATTGCGTAGTAGACCAAGATGGACAATGATATAATACCCACCTGAAGCCATGTAAAGCTGTATATAGAAAACATTACAAAGAAGTTCGCAACAATAACAGCAATACTTGACACAATCGTACCAAACTCGTACATGCCATTCTGATCGCGACCTTGAGGGTCCAAGGGGCCACCAAGCAACAACATGTAGGGAATGAAGAAGCAAACAGCCGATTGAAAGATGGAATCAAAGACGGTCAAGTAAAACCGCCAAGATTTGAACTTATCATTGCGAAGGCCGGTGCGGTACATTTCCGGGTAAAGGAGGGATATTCTAGCATTGACGTCTTGATCCCAAATGCCCATAAAAATGACTGGTAGTGAAGTAAATACCAAATTATAACAGACAACGAGAATATAATCGTATGTCATAGATCCGTTAAATTGGCAGAAGATTTGGTACCAGAAAAGAACAAACGTCCAGACGATATTCTTAAAAAAGAAGGTCATAATCATTTCAGCTGTGCGAAGGTAAGACCAACGACCATGAACTAATAGGAGCTTTTGTAAGAAACGGAACTGAGCAATAGCATAATCAGAAGCCATAACCGCTTGACGGCCTTCAACACCGGAAATACCTATACCGACATTAGCTTCTTGAATCATCGAAACATCGTTGGCACCATCACCAATCGCTAAAGTCATAACATTGAGACCCTTTTTAACCAAACGGACAACTTCAGCCTTTTGCTTAGGACTGACACGACAGCAAATAACACTAGCACATTGAGTACCGAGGCTTAGCAGAAGATCCTTGTTTTTCGGTTCCAAGGCATATTTCAACGTAACTCCATCAATGACTAAGGCACAACGTTTGTCTACGCCAACAGATTCTATTTTTTTAATAGCCTTTTCAAGCTCTCCAACAACTGAATCACGGTCATCGGCTTTCACAACAATCAGTTCCATTTCCAACGTAAGTAAATTACATGAAAAACCGATGTTAATAGCAGTTTCTGTTTTGTCACCAGTTAAAACCCAAAGCTTGATACCCGATCGGGCCAACAGGGCAATTGTTTCAGGAACCCCATCTTGCAAACGATCTTCAATAGCAGTACCACCAATCAACAACATTTCAGTTTCAATCTCTTCACAGACCTCGTCAATCTTATCGTCACGATTATAGATAGCAGCACTAGCTTCCTGATAGCGCTTATTCCAGACCTTATAGTCTTTTTCCGAGATAAAACGGTAAGCTAAACAGAGGGTACGTAAGCCCTCATTAGCAAATTTTTCCAGATGTTCAGAAGTAGTGTCTTTCAGTTGAGTTTGTTGTTTTTGTAGCTCTATCTGATCGCCAAAGTCAGAACATAGACGTTCGTAAATAACGGAATCAGCACCTTTACAGAGCAAAACAATTTTGCTGCTATCATGAGGTTTAATGATTACGCTCATGCGCTTTCTTGTTGAATTGAATTCTAAAACATTCAAAAGCTCGAATTTCTTGACTTGACCCATAATTTCTGCTGTTAATGTATTGGCTTCGCGACCTAAGAATACAAAACCGACATCGCGCGCTGATGCTACTAAGGCTGCTTCATCAGGTGACTGAGCTTTATATTCAAGGAAGTAACGATTATTCTTATCAGGACGTTCAGCAATTGCGGTGTGACATAAGGCCAAAGATGTGTAAAAGTGAACCATCGCAGCTGCATGACTTGAGCCTTGTTGGCTGAGATCTTCGAAAAATTTAGGATCGATGAAAGTTGGATTAGAACCGAGGTATTTGTTCTCGAATAACTCTCGTTGTTTCGAATACATGGCCTCTTTGGCCTTTTCCATGTTAATGTCATTGCCTTGATTGTTGCCATCGAAAGACCCACGTCTAATATCAGCGCCCATTGATGTTTCTGTTTTGCCCATACCGTAGGATACGCCATTAATGGTGCATTTTTTGGCTTCCATAACATTTTGAGTAAGTGTGCCTGTTTTGTCTGAAAATACATACTCAATTTGTCCAAGATCATCTGAAATATTCCATGTTTTAGGTATACAAGGGGTATCTGTTGGCTCATGATACATGTCAACATCGGCATAGATGAAGTACGCCTGAAATAAGATTAACAGGTGTTAAAAATGAAAACAAGCGAGAACTACTATTGGTGTAATAGAGTCACTTACTGCAAGTGTTTTGACAATTTCTACTGAAATATACAAAGAGATAGGCACGATGTTTTGGTATAAAATTAAACAGACCCTGCAAATAGCAACCACATAGAGATTCAGTAAAGTGCAAGTTAAGGCAGTACAATAAAACTGCTTACCAAAATGTGATAAAGCCCAAATAAGTCGCATTGGAACCTTCGATTCCATAATTGAAAAAATGAGCTGAGCCGGGCGAATCAAAGTTAGCGTTGGCTAAAGCTGAAGAAACAATTGTAATGATAGCCAGAATGCAAAAGTTGGCAATGACCTAAATTTTGCGAGATATAACGCTGTAAATTATGCATTTTCAAGGAAGAACGTTCATGATTTAACTTACATATGGATTGGTTTGTTTCGCTATTTTACTACGTTTTGAGGGTGTTTTACCAGAATTAAGCATAATCTTTGTTTCATCACCGGTGAAAATGATAATGCCAATAGCCCATTTTGTATTTCTTAATATTGAACCACGTAATAATAGATTGTTGTAGGTCACAGCTTCAGTCTTTTGATGAGATACTGTTGTCTCTGCTTGAGCAGGCTCTTCAATATTCCAACGCATAACGCCGTTGTATTGGTATAAATTGGCGTGAGGTGGTTCTGTCTCGAAATAGAAAAATGCTCGTTCGCAATCATGAACTGATCGCAGTTCACTTGTGGCACGTAGACCTTGACGTACTTTCAGGTTAGTCTCGCCATCCAAATTTTGCGTCTCGACATAGCATAAATTATCTGTTTCTGACGTTGACAAAATAACAATATCTGCCGGAACATCTTCGTTATTTCGAATCATAACATAGTCACCGACTTGCACATCTTGCCATTGAAGTTCTTGCCAACCTACTTGACATGTAGGCACTGGGGGGTCGCCTGCTGGAAGATCTGAGCATTTTAAAGCACCAGGATGGATAGAGGAGGACTTACGTCGAATGCTGGGAGTGGGAGCTCTCTGTAATACGTTGTGAGGAATAGAGCCAGGACGATAAAACTTCTTTCGAGTGGCTATGCTAAACATATTGCTGAATTCTGATCGAAGTGTATCTGATCGTTGTCTTACTTTTGCATAAAAAGTCTTTTGCTGCGGTGGAGCTAAATGATTCGGAGAAGGTAAATCTGTTGTGATATCGGCGTCTTCATCCTGTTGCTGCTGTTGACGTCGTCCTTGTATTGATCCATTTTCAGGTATAGTGGGCGTTGCTGACGATGATTCGGTTTCTTCGATACTGCCATGCAAAGGTGATTGATCATCATCAAAATTCAAAGCGACTTTTGCAACAGGTTTATCCTTGACAAGCGACATTCGATAGATATGAGTATAATGATTATCCACACCGGCAAGAGTACAAAAAAAGCCAAAAAAGACATGAAGAAAATGTAAAGAACTCTTCTTCTCCTCTGGTATATTGACATTTTTCCAATGACATAATGTGAGTGTCTTAGCGCAATTGACTTTTTTATCACTTTGATTTCTTTTCAAATCTTCAATGCCGTCTTTGATTGCTGTCAAAGCAAGAATACAGATCAGTGGCATGGCTGATATTGCAGGATTGGTGACACCAAATACAGGAATGCATTGTAAAATGACGAGGAAGAGAAAGTATAAGTTTGCAACGTTTCTAAACTGCTCAAACAAGTTTTTTGGTATAAAATTAAGAGTCGTATATTTTGCTGTACGGATTCGGTTGGGCACATAGGAATGATTATGAAGTCGTCCGTTTGCGTCCATTTCTGATGTTGGTGGCTTCATATTGACAAATATTTTTCGTCGTTTTTGCATATAAGACGATGTTGACTCTGTTCTCTGAATCTCTGCCTGAATCTTCTCATCGTCCAGCTGTCTTTTCGCCTTCCGTGAAAACAGGGCTTTAAACCGTAATTGTTTGTTGTTCATAAGTGATAATGGTATGGATAAAAAGTCTATAAATGGAGTATCATAAAAATACAAGGAAATATGTCTATAATAAAATAAAATTGGGAAGCTATGTGTATATGTAATAAAAGGTCAATTCTCTTTTCCAAAGTTACGACAGAAGAGAAATTGAAATATGTTACCTATTTCCGGCAAACAAAAGAAATACTATTTGGATATAATAATAAAATTATATCAGAGATACTTCTCTATATTGACCAATGAGAGCTATACCGTGATTATGGTAACCAAACTCTCTAACTATTTTGTCGCTTCACAAACAACAACAGCAAAAGGAAAGAAAGATTTGAAAAGATTACAGATATCCAAATCGAAGAAAGGGTTCTACTGACATTTTGCGGACAATGAATTAATTCGTTCTGTCGACACATTTTCTGTACTTACAACAAAAATGATGCTGGGATCAATTCTTATCCGCTAATAGAAAATTCATCATTGGTAGATGACAAATCGGACTGTTTCAGGACAACGTTTTCCGTAGCAGGTAAACTGAAAAAAATGAAAAAAGCGTCGAATTGAGAGAACCGGCAGTAGGTACAATTGTTTAGCCGTTTATAGCTAGAATAAGAATTTTTTATAACAAGAACAAAGAGAAGAAGATATTTTTTAGTGAGGCCAGCTTGCTTCCTCTGCTATTAGCTAGCATTGGCTGCCTTTTTTCCTTGTGAAAAAACACATGGGAGCATTTCTTCTTAGGTAACAAGTAAGGCTTCCCTATATTCTCCTTAAAAGACCGCTTGAATGTTCGAAAATTACAAGCACTAACACACAGTTTTGAGACTGATGCTGGGTTAGTATGGTAAATGAAGTCTTTTTTTGTTTTGGTTTTTTTTTCACTCGTAATACCTTTTACTGTTTTTCTTCGAATGCTAAACTGATTCTATCAGATGAAAAGGATTCTATAACAGTCCAGCTCCTTTTTTTCTTCATTCCATTGCATCAACAAAATACAATAGGCTCTTTATGTAGCACTTCAATTCACTTATTTTGGAATTAACCGACTCTATAGCATGAAACTGTAACATTGCTCTCAATTAAATATCAATTTTTTTCTTGGGGGAAATAGCTTCGAATTTAGACGACCGTACAGTTTAGAAGATTTGCCCGACTATAGATAATGCTGCTTGAAATTTTTTCTATAGCTTTTTGATCAGACACTATAAACTAAGTAATAGTAGGATCTTGTGCGTCCCGTTCATGATTCTCATCGTAATTATTCAATTTAGGTAAATCTATTCTGGTCTTCTCCCTTAAATGCTCAGCATGATAGTTTCAACTGAACGATAAAAGGCTCTAGTTTTCTACGTTCAGGTTCATGCAACTTGCTGGTAGGTCGAACGTTAGCATCAAATTTGGATGTGAACTCTTGTCTTAACTGTGATTAAAGCAAATAAGCGCAGCCTGACTAAGCCCGAGATATCGCTTGTGCTTGGTATCAAAATGCGTCACTAAATGCGTCATATTACAAAAAGGGCGCAGGCATACCTACAAAGACTACTTCCTTGTACACGTTGAGGACGTTGGGAAGAGAGACCAATGACAATTTGGCTTTCAGCACATCGCCATACAATGGTCTAGGAGGAAGCATTTTTATCGTGGATGTTACTTTCTCAATCACAAGACTCCCAAAGCTAGTTAGTGATTGACAATGCCCGTACAAAAAATGATATGGTCATACTTATCTACCGGTGTGCATTTTCCCTCGTTGATATTAAACAAAGCAGTAATATTAGGCTTGATATTGATTGCCTTAAATTACTCATTCAAAGATTACTCAACCCGTCAATATCCGTCTCAAGGGGTTCCTTTGATGGACTTGGTGACGCTGTTAGTAATTTCATCTAATGAATGAACAATATCAACCGCCGAAACACTATCACCTACGACTAGCACGTTCTATTTTTTGTGCGCAGAACTAAATGTTTTCAACTTTAGTCATTATTTATTGATTCATGTCCTATTCGTTTATTGAATATCCCCTTTTCAGCTTATTCTTAATCTTCAGGTTGTCTATATTGCAATGAGTGAATTGCCTTGCCTAGGGAAGCTTGTTCCCAATAATTTAAGTCCTTAATTCTGGTACGTCAAAGTGCCTGAGCAGCAACAAAAGCATCGAAGGTTTCCCTTCATCTTGTTTCCTGCAACCTTTTACCGTCTTTTGCATTTCATATTTGCTCAATAATTCCCATGTTCTCTTTTATGGTTTTTTTTTTTTTTTTTTTTTTTTTTTTTTTACGAGTTCACTGTTGGAATTGAAGACGTTCAATTCTAGTAAATATATTCCTTGGCATAATTTTGGGAGTGATCAAATGTCACCTTTCAATGGCCCCATAAAGGTGCATTTTCAGTGGGTGGAAAATCGGGAAACGCGAACAGTCGTGCGGCGATATTGTTGTATAAATCTTGATAACAAACAGAGAGTGGACATTTTTGTGATAAGTATTGCTCTGTTTCATCAGTTATGTCGCGTACTTTCGTCTGTGGTTATTTGTCAAATAGTGGCGCATTTAATGCTTCAGGATCTATTTTTGATACAATATGCTCGTTGGTCATTCGTATTTTAGACTGCGTTTGTCAGACTAGACCTTGAGAGTGAAAATGTTGATCATAAAAGACAAATTCGTAAGCGTATCCGAAGGAACATTGAATATGTTTATGACATTCAGCATATACCGCCTACGGTAGAATTTCTTTCAAACACTTTCACATTGAAGCCAGCATCTCACAAATGTCTAGGAGCACCAGCCTACAAAATATTACAATAAGCAAAAGCAACGCCTGAAAAAAAAACCCCCTATAAGCAAGCATAATAATTGTCGTATTATAGTAGTAGTAGACTTTATGCCAGAAGGTCCCCGCTCCAATGACTGCGACACTCATGATTCCGTGCTTAAATTCATATGGTTCTTTCAAACCAGTTTTGCCTCTTGTGAGCAGCTTTCTCTTACAACTTAAAGTGTGAAAAGCTTTTCGTCGTGGGTATATTTAAAACTAAAACCTGCTCTATGTATGTAACACATTTGATTGACCGCGAATATTACCACTCTATGTGAGCAATTCAATCTTTTTTTAACAGAAAGTATAAATTCATAATTGAATCGATTGTAGAATAACTTTACTACAAAATGACTGAGAAGCTTAATTTTAGTGTTTGAAGGTTTCTCCTCCTTCTTGCCGTATCTTGTCTTTCGATTTTTGCAGATTTTCCTCCGAAACAGTCAACCAAAGCTGTGCTGTTTCTTTTCCAAGAAGCTCGTAATTCTCTGGGTAGTTGTTAACTATAGGGAGAGGTTGACACTTTGTACCTTTACTTTTAATCTGATTTACTGCATGATGATTCAACCAAGTAACAAACGTCTCACGTCTTCTGCGATCACCATCATTCCATCCATTAGAGTCCGTAGCAGGTGTAAAATCAGCCTCTGCTGTAAACTTTTGCATTAAGCTGTAGCTCGGTAGTAGAGCTTGACCTCCCCAGACTCGAGCAACTGCAAGAGCTTGTGCATCGTAATGCCATATAGTACTAAAAAACGCTGTCATACCTACAAAAGCTACTGTAGGATCATCAATCAGAAAAACATCACGATAAGTGTTAAGGGGACACTTAGGACCCATCACTATATGGCTTTCTGGAACCTCTTTAGATGAAACGGTATCTGATAAGAATAGTTGTCCTGTTGTTTCTGTAGACTGAACTTCCATAATATGATTTGCAAAGTACGATAATCTATTTATGTAGCCTGTACAAAAGATAACGTAATCAATATCTGATAGAGAAGTACCGTCAACAAATTGAATAGATCCATCAACCTCATCATTAAGGTTGGCAAAAGCAGCAATGCTTGGTTTAATATTGACGCACGCTGGTATTTTTGATCGAACAAGATTAATAATTGGAATCGCTGTTACAAGAGGTCCTCTGATTGACATGCTGATAGAATTCGCAAATCCGTCTAAAGCTCGAACAATGTCGACAGCAGAAATACTACCACCCACTACAAGTACATTCTATGCAGTAGAGCTTAGCTCTTCTAGTACTATATCACAATTCAATACAATGATTTACCTTGTTTTTGTATACTTCAGGCTGTCTGTACTGGACTGAATGTGACACTCTAGATGGAAATAACTTATTATAAGCATTAAAATCCTTGAAATCAGGAATGTACGGATCCTGGTAGACACCTGAAGCAGCAACAATAGCATCAAAAGATTCTTTCCATCGGATTATCTCAATTTTGCCATTTTCAGAGTCCACAATGTATTTACAAAGTGTCACTTCCCATTTATCGCATCCAGTCTCAGTATCTTTTTTCTTTGTAACTAAATCGACATTTGTATTGAATTCTATGAGCTCTTTCAAACCAAATTTATCTGCGTAGCTTTCAAAATAATTCAGAGTGGTTTCATGGGGACACCATAATGGTGTGCCTTCTGGAAATGGGTGATAATCCAGCGCAAATAGTTTTGTTGCGATATTGTTGTGAAGGTCTCTGTAACAAGCTGAAGGCGGGCATTTCTTCAAAAGAAAGTTATTCATCTCTGGAGTCAATTCATACGTTCTTTTTTGACGCTCGCCTGCTTTCAACCCTAATGCTTCAGGGTCAATTTCTCTAGTAACACGATTGCTGGGCATTTTTGGTTTCGGACGTGCTCTGTCAGAATAAACCCTTTCCATTCGAATGATTGAAAATGGATATCTTCTTTTAAGACGAAATCAAGAATGCAACATTATAGACAATAATAAACGAATGTTTACCATACACCGCCTACTGTAGAATTTCTTTCGAAAACCTTCACTTTCAAACCTGCATCAGCCAAATGTTTTGCCGAAACAAGCTGTGTCATATGTTAAACGTATAATGCTTTCTGCACAGTCATTTAGCCAAATCTGTCGCAACTTACTCCACATGGACCAGCACCTATAACAGCGATATTTTCTATTTGATTCTTAAAGACATAAGGATCTTTTAAGGCTTGCTCAGCTTCTTCAACAAGTGTCTTGACAAAATTGTCAAACGACAAACAATTATTTTCAGAAACCATGAAAGAGTTATTCAAGTGAAGAATGAAAAACAACGAGAGAATAATAAAAAAAATCCTTTGTGGAGGTTGAACAGTTTAAGGTTTTCTCTAATCACGTGGTGCCTGTATATTAACAGACTAATAGAATGAAGGGAAGCTTGATGATTGCTGCACGAGTAGCAGCATAAACTATTATTCAGCATGTACAAGCGTGTCGAATAGAATTCGCTTAATTTCACTACAGAAAAAGCAGCATATTCGAGCACGCTTTCCTTCTGACCCAAGCCATTGAAAGTAGCTAGCCATGTCAATTGACAATTTAGGCTAAAAACAATTACTTACAGCAATTATAAGAAAAATTGGACCTACACTGATAAAGTTGGGTGGGGGAGGGGTTTCCTTGATTTCTTGTAGTAAAGTAAGAGAGCTCGAATTAAGACCACTACTTGAAGCACATTTTGAACATCAAACTTAGTGAGATGTATTGCTGTTACGAAATCGTATACAGCTTGGATTTCATCAAAGATGGAACTAATCATGCATAAATGACGAACGCCTTTTCCCAACCAACTTATTATTCTCATAACCAAGCTAAGGGGATAATCTTATTAGCATTCAGAATCCTTGAGATTTAAGCTACAATACGTATCTATATGGCAGAGAATAACAGATAATAACATAGTAGGTGATTGGCGGCGGTAGTATACATGCTGAATCCGTTATGAGCTATATATATCGTAGGTTAGCGGTTGCTCATTTTTCACGCGGATAATTTTAGACTAAGTGCTCACCTGCAAAGTTACAATTATATACGTAACAGATTCTTCAATATTATGTAAGATACCAATAGATGAACTTGAAAGTGATATTATGGTGATGTCGGAGCCGTTCAGAAAACCAGCATCTGTTAATTTCAGGCTCAATGCTTCATCTGAGTGATAGGTATATTATGATCCTCCTCAATTGTGTTAAATCAAACATTCTATTCGAATAATTGGTCTTTGTCAAAGAGATTTTGGTAGTTAGTAAACCATGTTTGTGCCATGCTGCCCTCCTAACTTTGATGTTTTTGTACAGTTTGGAATTGATTATATTTTATAATCCAGTCAATACATTAGAATTGGGCACAAACAGTTAGGAGAGAATGGTATCAAATTACTGTTATTAATAGCATCTTCAAGTGATTCTTGAGCATCCTTTGATTTGTTAAACATCGTCTGGAAATACTTTAATGAGCTACCAGACCGCTTATTTTTGCCACGCACAAGTTAAAATTCTTTCTTAGCTGCAATTGTGGCTGTAGAAAGAGTAGTGGTTTCCGTCGTGTCTATGTTAGAAGCTTCGCAATTAGATACTGGATGTGAGCTAGATTTATCAACCAGTTTCCGATTGTACCCTCATGTGCTTTATCTGTATGATGTTTGGTATGATTTCAAACGCCTGCTTTGATATTTCTGACGTAAATGGTTTAACACAGCTATCCCAAATTTTAAAAGCTTTCCAAGTACAGGCTATAAATACGTCAAAGACTTTGTTCAAATTTAAATAGTAACATCAATTTCTCCATACATACGAGTTGTTTTACCGATAGGAAAAAACATAGCATGCTCATCTACAAACATCAGAAAGAAATAAATGAACGAATGAACGTTTGATAGTAGGCAAACAGTCCATAGATAGGTTAATACTTTACTGTCCGTTAAAAGAACGTTTGACAAGAACTTAGATTCTATCATACTGTTTAAACGAACAAACTAGATCCACAATTGCTTTCCTTTTATATTTTACGTGGGACTTTGTCCAGAAAATTATCACTTACGCTCAGACTGATATTGCAAATTGTACTCTCCCATGGATATAACGGCCTATGAAGGCTCAGTAACCAAGCTCGAACAGGTTTACTGATCTGAAACCGTACCTCATCGTCTAAACTGCTGTATGACCATCTCCAATGAGCAAAAGGATTCACTGAATAATAAAAATCTGCGATTGATTGTTCAAAATTGCTTCTGTTTCATATTTAGAGGCAATTTTTAACAGTTTGTGCGAAAGACAAGGATATACTTTTAATTTCAACACATAATTCACTTGAAAACCCCCTTGAAGCAGGTGAGATCAATTCAAGTACAATGTACAATTGTTAAAAAGTCATCTACTAGCAAAGTAAACAAGTTCTGTAGACCCACAGCGTGTAGAAATAGTTATTATGGGTTCTTTTTTCAAACTTGAAGAATAGTTTATAGCTGTGGTGGAAAAGCAAAAATGAAGATTCAAAAGCTTACCGGTGACTGTTCAAGTTCCATAATCTAAGTGCTTTCCTTTTTCTTCCTCAGCTTTAAGAGCCAAAGATCGCCAACCAACTGCTGATTATTCAATGGAAAACATCATTAGCATTACAGAAAAAAGCACAGAGCAGTTTATTCAATTCTTTTACCCAAGTTATGATACACAGCGCCAGGTAACCGACTGCTATTTTGACAATAAAAACCAAAAATATTTGATCCTGACTATGCAAATTAAAAGAATCTAGGAAATTTATATCGAGACTCCTCTGCGATTTTGTGGAATGGTCAGAAAAATATTCTTCAAAAGACATTAGAAACATAGGCTAATCTTTTCTGTGCGTTTTACAGGAAATGCATTTTCTGGAGCCCAACAATATTCAGAGTTTTTAGGTCGTTTACCATTGTCACATCATGAAATCGATGTCTACGATTGCCATCCTTTACCAGCAACTATGAACGCACAAGGAGCTTGCAGCATTCTGATAAATACTTCAGGCACGGTCAAATATGGCGACAATCCTGCTAAACGTCATTTCGCACAGACTTTTATTCTGATGCCAGATGAGAAGCAAGCAGGAAATTACTATGTTCAAAGTGATAACTTCAGGTAGTACAGCATATAATCGAACCGCGCGAACTATGAGGTGCTCATACCTTTCCAATTGTCTATAGATTTGTTTAATCGAATACTATTCAAAACTTTATGGCGGCTTCTCTACTCAATTCTTTGTAAATAAACCTATGTTTCTGACTTCCTCGACCATACTCTATAGTTATTCGCCCCTTTTTTGTTAACTTTTTGTTGCTTGATTATGAGTCGTTTGGGACTCAGCGTTAAGCGAAAGTTGTTCCAAGATCCTGAACATCCCGATGTCTCTTACTCCCCTGATTTCGATACTTAATAAAACCTTGCAACAAAATTAGAGCTATTTCACGACCTACCGCATAGTTTCACTTATATGTCTATGAATAAGCGATTAAAGACAAGTATGTTCCTTTATACGCCAACATGAAGATCGCTTACTAAAAACCAGATCAAAATTTAGATCATGTTACTGTAGAAATAGAGGATGAAGATGAGGACGAGTTTATGTTCGATGACGATATCGATATCGAAAATGTTAACATATCAGCGATACTTGAAGCAAAGAAAAAGAGAGAAGCGAAAGCTGATGCAGGTAGCTCTGCCACTCAAACACCCGTCCAAATTTCAAGTTTTGTGCCTGAAGCAGCAGACAGTCAACAGCGTATTTATAGTACCACTGTAAAATATTAAATGCTATTGACACTGCTCAATTGCGAGACTCACAGCTTCAAAATATGTAGAGACGAAAGTTTAGTAGATATCTGGTGGCTAACGTAACTCACGGCCAATATACGTTGAACGATGATAGTTACCCAGAGAAAGTATGCTAAACCTCCTGCAATGAGCTCGTATTCAGAATACATACTCTAACGAGATTTTCCTTTAAGGTCTTAACATTATCAGAAGAGTGTGCAAACTGCTCAGCTATTGCAAGGCTTCGTCAAGATTGGAAAAACACGATAGTAGCAGTGGGAGACGTGATTCACATTCCCTATATTCAAAACGCTAGAGAAATCATAATTGACAATGAGAACAACTTTATTATCGTAAATCCTGACCAGCTAATCTCATGTACTGCAGTTGCCGATAGTTTTGCATGCTTACGAAAATCGGTTATGCAAATGAAAGTGAAAGGAGCTAGCGAGTATAGCGAAGCGCTTGTTCATGGCAATATAATACACAAGGTGCTGCAAAACGCATTAGAAAGCGATGATTTCTCAATCGAAAATATTCGAAAAAACTTAGAATTGGTGGTACAAAATTCTTTAGAGGATTTGTACGCAATCAGTCAAGATGAAAAGATAGCTATGGCTGTTCTCGGAAACTATGTAGATAGTATTCACAACTTTGGCGCAACTTTCGTGAATGATAATCCAAAACCAAACGCACGATTGAGTACTGATATAGGACCTGATGCATTAAAAGAGATGGGCTGTGATTCAATTGCTATTTCGAAAGTCTTGGATATTGAAGAGCACTTATGGAGCCCTACTTTTGGGTTAAAGGGTATGGTAGATGCGTCGGTCCAACTGAAGCTGAGCCCAACTAAAAAGGTCTTGACTGTTCCCTTTGAATTAAAAACCGGAAGAACCTCTGCATTCCTTACAAATCGTGCGCAAACTCTATTATATACGCTACTGATGAGCGATAGATACGGTATGCATATTAATGCCCACTATCTGATATGAGCGTAGTTGACGAATGATTTTGTTTATTCGAAAATTAGACGTTGATATCCAGGCCGGTGTACTGTACTACTCAAAAACCAACAGCTTATACGTAGTACCTTCTGCACGCAGCGACATTCGGTTATTAATCATGGCTAGAAATGAACTAGCTGTTGCTTTTAAACATAAGGCATCGCTGCCAGCAATGATAAAGGATAGTCATACCTGCCAACATTGTTTCCTAAATGACACTTGCAGCATATACCACAAAGCCATAGAAAATGGAACAGGTGAAACGAGTGGATTATACAAACTTTTTGAAGAAAAGACTGACCATATGACAGAGGCTACTTGCGCCTTCTTCAAACATTGGTGGCAACTGTTAGAGAAAGAAGAGAGCAACATTGATTATGTACGTAAAGACATATGGAGCCAGCCAGCCAATATTCGTGAAATGAATGGACGATGTCTGGGAAATATGGTGCTAAATCTTCCTGCTTGTGAAATTAATCATGAAATAGCACGCTGGAAGTATTCCTTTGTTCGAAGCCAATCGAAGAGAGATCAGCAGTTATTATGTAATATGAATAGCGGGGATCCGGTTGTTGTGTCGAGCATGGAGGGGCATATTAATTTAGCGATGGGATTTATTACGGCAATTACACCGTCAGAAATTATATTGACTTTGGCAGAACCACTACGGAGTCCTCCACAGGCTGGTGAGGATTTTATACAAGGAGAAAATGAATCTTTTCATACATTTGTTCGTTTTAGCGGTGACATTGAAGGCTATTATAGTCGCCGACACATTGAATATAGAATTGATAAAGACGACATGGCAACTGGTATGAACCTGCTCCGTCACAATTTGGTCAAATTGGTGGCGAAAAACAGTAATGACGAGAGAGGACGAAGACTCAGGGAACTTATCATCGACTTAGAAAAGCCGATCTATAATACAACTAACCTCCACTTGCCCCCTACACCACATATGAATCCAGATCAGCGAAATGCCTTGAAACATGTATTAAAGGCAAAAGACTATAGTTTGATTCTCGGTATGCCTGGGACAGGAAAAACAACGACAACGGCAGAGATCATCAACTATCTCGTTTCTCAAAACAAAACAGTGTTAGTAGCCGCATATACCCATTCAGCGCTCGACAATATATTACACAAGGTTCGAAAACACGGCATTGAACTTTTGAGATTAGGAAATGTTGATAAAGTGATGCCTTCATTAAGGGACTGTGTCCCAACAGCCAATAGCACAATCAAAACTGTAGAAGCGATGAAGCAATACTACGAGTCTAAAAAAGTAGTGGGAGTTACATGTTTAGGCATTAATCAGTAAGATACAACCTTATTTAAATAGAAGCCGAAACTTTTTCTGATGGCAAAACTTTTTATTTTCACTAAGTATCATTTTACAGCAAAGAGTGTTTGATTATTGCATTATTGATGAAGCTTCCCAGATCACGTTACCAACGTGTATAGGGCCACTTCGCTATGCAAAAACCTTTGTGCTCGTAGGTGACTCATATCAGCTACCGCCTATTGTTCGTAATAAAGAAGCTTTGGAAGATGGTTTGGATAAATCGCTATTCAACATTTTAGCCGAAGCCCGACCCGAAGCTGTTACCTATTTAGAATATCAATATCGTATGGCGAAAGACATCATGGATGTTTCTAACTTGCTTATATATGACGGCAAAATGAAGTGTGGTAATCATCGAGTTGCCACGAGATCATTAAAAATTCCCGCCTTAGAAGCTGGGCTGAAAACAATTCATCAGGGCACATCGGGGTGTCTTGGCTCTTCTACCTGTTGGTTACGAAGTATCTTGGATCCTAGGTAAGTTTTAAAAGGTCGTTAATAGTCTGACTGTACATTAATGCCATCTATTAGTCGAAGAGTTGTGTTTGTGAATACAGATAAACTGTCAGGAAAAGAGAGCAGGCCATTTGGCAGTTTTCTTCAAAATGAAGTTGAGGCTACTCTAATCCATCATATAACAGAAACGTTGGTAATTTGTGGAATTACTGAAGATCAGTTAGCAGTCGTATCGCCTTATAGAACGCAGTTACGTCTTTTGAACAATTTATTGAGAAATAGGAGTGGAATTGAGGTTGCTACCATAGACAAATATCAAGGTCGTGATAAGGAATGCGTTCTGTTGTCGCTAGTCAGGAACAATGAGCAAGGGAATGTAAGTTCTTAAGCTACAATAGTTTTACTATTGACACCACGTGTGTTTATGCTTATCTCTGACGTTAAATCCATTGTAATAGGCCGGTGATTTATTAAGGGATTGGCGTAGACTGAATGTTGCTATAACAAGAGCGAAAAGTAAGCTAGTCTTGGTTGGCTCTGTATCTACGCTGAAAGGAACGGCGATGTATAGTGATATTATGCAGCATTTTGAGCATAAAGGATGGGTAAATTCTCTTAATGCAGCTGTATTTTGATTTGAGCGTCCCTAACATAAGTCCTTTTATAGGTCTATGAGCTGGAAAAAGACGCGGATAAGAAGCATATGATACGAATCAACGATGAAAATATAAGCCCAGGAGAAGGTGTTTGTGCAGAAACCAGAACATCCAAATCTATCTTACCTACAAATGCAGTTCTGAAGAAAAACACTGTTCTTAATGATATTTATCAAGGATCAATCTAACTCCAAAAAAGCCCGCTATTATCCCTTATATCCTTCTTAGCCTCTCCTTATTTAAATTATATGTATGCATTTTCTCCAATGTTTATCAACTCTTTGATTTTCTTTCTTTTAATATAATTTTGCCATATTTAATTTGCTTTTTGACCTGCATTCTATATCATGAATTATCCACCAACAATAAATGAATGCCAACTTTGGATTGTCGAGCATTGCCTTTCAATATTAAAACTAGTCGAAAGAGAAAATACCGCTACTACAACAGGAGACTTAATGCAGAAAATTCATAACACAATTATACCTCTAATAAATGCTTTGGAATTAACAAAAGAAAGCAAACGGGAACTGCTGGAACAGTTGAAACTGGAAGATTCGTACAATTATAAAGAACAGGTGATAGTTTGAGATAACATACCAAGTCCTAAATATGCACTGTGCACTTACTAGTTGGTTACAGGCTTTGGCTGTCTTAGATGTTTGTAATAAAATTGACGGACTTTGCGTACAAACATTAGCAACTATACCAAATGGCTTCTTAAAGGAGGAGCAAAGGCTACTTGTAAATAATGGAGAACATCTTTCAGACACAGATATGTATCTTAATAGATACGAACCATTGATGAAGACAGCCTACTGGTTCAGAAAGTTTTTTGTTGGAAAATCGTATATTACACTCATTGGGCCAATATTCGATAATACATCTGACAATGCTGTAATAACAATAGTAAATGAGGTCGTGGACAAAACACGTCAGCAATACAAGATCATCATTAGAACAACACAAGTAAGGTAAACGACTTGGGCATTAAGGTCAAATGTGAGTAAAACTCATCAATAGCAGTAATTTCCTTCGTATATACTTGTACGCCACACAGAATATCAATATGACATTTATCGTCAATGAGCTAGATGTTAAAGACTTTGTACTTCAACTACAAAGCACAGGACAGATCGGCAAATTAGATCTGAGGACCGGTTCCAAGCGCAACCGTCCTTTACGTAGCTTGTCATCTACGATAGGCTTCAGTGCAGCCCATCAGAACACCCTACAACAAGATCAAATCTACCAAAATAAACAAGATTGCGCGAGATTTATGAGAGCGTCACTTCTTTTCCTATTCCAAGATATTGATTTTCGTTTATTAGAAGAACTTTCAGCAGAAATCACGATCTTGGCAGGATTAGAAAAGGAAATTTTGAAATACGACGAGATAGGGGTAAAATAAAAAAGCAATCTAATCGTACAAATTATTAAACTCAATAAGCCTTATTGAAATGTTTAGGTTCCCAAATCCTATAAATTTGGAATACTAACAGTTCATGAAGGCCAAAATACGGAGGAAGAATGGTTCGGCAATACGACTTTATCTACGCAATTCAAAGCGTTCCTTAACATAATTGGAAAGCCGATCAAACTGAAGGATTATAAAGGGTATACAGGCGGTTTAGACACGAAAGGTATACAAGATATTTAAGTATTCCAAGGTCTAGTCTTAGCAATTGTTCTGATAATGCTAGTATAGCGGATGAATCAGGGGAAATAGCTTATGTATCTTCATGGAAAGGTTATGAAATCGTATATCACGCTGCTCCACTCATGCCTTTACGTTGTAATGACCTGCAGCAAGTGCATCGTAAAAGATACATTGGCAATGGTATATGTGCTCTTTATCTTCAGTTTACTTCTAACTTATTCTAATACCAAATCATTTCCGGGTATATATAGATATTGTTTGCATAATCTTCTTAGAAAGCGACAAGCAAAAATTTGACCCGAGCATCATTCGGTCACAATTTATACACGTCTTCATCGTTGTCAAAAACGAGATAATAAACAACAAAAGCGCATGGAGGTATGTAAGTTGTTGTTTTTTTTTTAAAAAAAACCCATTAGGTTGAGATAGACTCTGATATTATGTCTATCTTTCAGAGTGGAAGTGTTACGTAGAAAGGAAGTAGAGATGTTTTCGCCGTTTATTACATGTCCACCACTATTCTATGATGACACCGTATTCCAAGAATTTTTATTAGCAAAACGTAAGGCGAATAATTGTGTATATCCGAAACTAGTGCTAACGCCTTGACTATTATGTTGCTTATAGTTGTCAATGGAGAGATAACCGCATTGGAATCTGATAAATTTTCATTACCTACCAATAAAGCAAAGCTATCTATCTTTAACGGCCTAGTTAAGAAAGGAATTGCAGCAAGTAAAATTGTAAATAGTATAGATAGCAGCAACACTTCAAAAGATGGCCGTTGGACAGGCAGAAGAGTAAAAGAAAGGCCAAAATCTACAACTGTTCAGCTTGGGCAGCAAGCAATGGAGGGTGATTGCATTGATCCTTTTCAACAATCGAGCACTAAGGATGCTCAGTTAGCATTTGTAGAGCTTACTTCGAGACCCACTAATATCAAGCATACAATGTCCAATGATGTCAAAAACTTGATCCGTAGAAGGAGTGCCCAAACTTACCGCCGTTCAATGAAAGATTTTTCTGGACAGTTCAAGAATGCCTTAACAAAGAGCACTAAGGATGATCCGTCTTCAGAAGCTGTCACTTCTGACAAGCAAAAGACTATTGTAGCCAGTAGCGGTAAGCTCGACATCAGAAGGTATCGAAAGTATTATACTGATATAGAAAGTACTTTTAGATGCATATCCTAATACTGGTGTAAATGAATATGTTGGCAATGATGGTGCACAAAATAGCAGCGATACCACTTCTAGCTCGAAAACAGGGATCCGTATGAGAGCACAAAATCTGATGGCGACCATGATTGGCCGCAGAAAAACTCTTCCAAAGTGTTCTGGTAGGTCATAACATCATAACTTAAATTTCTTAATACTTAATACATATCTTTGGATCTATTCTATCTTTTACTATTACTACGTACTATCATTAATCTGAAACATCTCGCATATCACGCTTTTTAATAAATAATTTATTCATAATGCTGCTTTGCTGAATCATAATACGTAAATCTATTACAGAACAGCAGGTGCTGCTGTTTAATGTTGTTAATCACTGAATGCAACCTTTCTAGTTTTGCCAGCGTTATAAGTCTGGTATTTCACAACCGAATATGTGCAGACGATCTTTTTTATCAAGTTTTAACTTTATTTTTGATGTGGATTCTGTATTACAAGTACAAAATAAGGAAAATTTTTAAAAAGTTATATTGTTCAGATGAGGATTAATACGAAAATAACGGAAATAGAAAAACAGTATGAAAGTAAGCTTTACAGATATTCATAAAAGAGAGATTCTTTTGAGCGTGAGGGAATAGTTAGTAGTATGATATGTTGAGCAATGGGTGTGCGGTGAATGATAAAAAGTGTAGTTGTTCTTTTTACAAAAGACCAACATTACGCAAATTTTCATGAACTACAATATCATTTACAGCATTCATTACAAATTTGATCTGCTTTGTGTCAGTAGCACATGTCAAATGAGTATAAATCTGTTTCGTATCGGCCTTTGTGTTCAATGAGACAAATTTCTGTAAAAGATATTGACAGGCGGCATCGTAGTTGTCACCACCTCTGTAGTCGCTAAAGTAATTACCCAACGGACTGCGTGGAAGTTTTTCAGCGAATAGATCGATTTTGTTGAGAAATAGAATTATAGATGTTTTTATAAACCATCTTGAGTTACAAATTGAGTCGAATAATGTTAAGGATTCTTGCAGACGGTTGACACTGGCATCTTCGAACAGAACTTGGTCATATTCTGAGATTGCCACCAAGAAGACGAGTGCTGTTACATTTTCAAAACAGTGGATCCACTTTTTTCGTTCGGATCTTTGACCACCGACATCGAACATACGATAAGTCAACGAATCGATGACAAAGGTAGTTTCTGTAATGCCTGTGGATTTAACACGAGATCGTAGCACATCTTGATCACTAGGCATGTAATTTGGTTGTCCGATACGGAGGATTGAATCAAAGTAACTATTTCAGAAGGAAGAAGAGTGAATAACAGTGAGTTTACCCTTGATGTCAAAGCAGCACGTGCGTTAGATGCGAGGCTTACTATCGCGCTGAATCATTCAATTGGAATTCGTTCGATCTTTGGACACATTCCTGAACACCTACGTCATCCCAAAGCGAAGCGATGGCTTCAACAAGTTCATGGCCAAGATAATCAATTTGAGGTGGTGCTTCCATTATAAGACGTTTGTGTTGTTCATTCTCGCTGTTTTCAAACATAATGCCAAGACTATCCATTGCCTCTAATGTCACTCTCATCGATTGCATTGTATTGCTGAAAATGACTTCTTTGAAGCTTTCTCTTTCCTCGGGTGTATACCCACCATCATGTATTAATTTCATCTGTTTCAATATGGTCGACTTTCCCGACTCACCAGCGCCTAAAAAGAAATAAATCAGCAATTAGCTGATAGCTATACTATTGAAGATCACTAAACAATCTTGTGTCTAAAGGTGTATGAAATACCTAACAGTAGCATTTTGATTTCCTTTCTCATGTTGACCCGGTCTCTTTTGATTTGTGCGTCAATTTCATGATTTCTTTGCTTTTCTTCAACAAATTCTGTAGATTGACAGCAGCCCATTTTTACTAATGATGCGAAAAGTTTTGGAAAAGGAGACGGGAAGCTTAATTGTTATACACCTAAGCTGCAAAAGACAAAGATTGAGAAAGTGGATAAAAGGGGTCTGAAATGAAAGTAAAGTTTTTGATATATTTTATGAAGAAAGCCTATTTGTCAACCCCTTTCATTTTTTTCTGTTGTATTTAATTTTTAGGGAGTATAAGAGCAACATGACACAAACCATATACGAACAAGGAAGGGCAACTGTTGTGTCCATTCCAGAGAACAGCTTGTCATTGGTTATTAACGGATGAGAGCTTTGACTATCAAGACCAGAATGAAGTAAAATGTGTTTGATTCGGCATTACTACGTAGATCGCTTGAGAAGAAAGGCTTTTGATCTATAGTGCATTCTCTCCACAGATTCTTTCTGTTTCTAGGAAGGCAACTAAAGGTGATATAAGAAATTTATTATAGTTACACAAGGAGCTAGAATGAGATTGGGCAATGTCAAAAAAAAAAGATAATCCTAGAGCTACTTTTGAAGCCATCTATAGTAGTCCAATGAACATGGATCATGGAATTACATCTTTGATAATCTTCAGAACACCAAGGTAAATTTTATGGACTACAATATTTTACGAAAAATAACCTGTGGAAGTAACGACACGAGAATTCGGGCTAAAGTTTGGTAGCATTCAACATTAGCAGAGGAACTTTAAATCGTATTTGAAGCATATGGTTGTGGCTACACAAGTAAAAAAAGCTGTATTCCGCCTTAAATATAAAAGTTTCCGTCAGCGTCAATGCATTAGGGATTACTGCTTTCTTCTTCACATCTTTCCATTCTGTTGGAATCATATACAAATTTAGTCAGTTTTGCGAGGCGACATTATGCTTCTATGTTGGCTCTGTCCGCCCAGTATGCCACTGGGGCTCGGTTCTAGATTGAATCTCACACATTAATAGCTGCCATGCATTGAGTCCAGCATATTCCCATTTATATCACAGCCCGAATCCCTTCCGTCAAAAGTCAACCTTTGTTAAGTTTCATGTATAGCAATTACAATTGCTGGAAACTAAATAATAGTGTTGTGAGTACCACTTAATTAGTCCGACTGTGAAAGAACTTCTAAACTCTGATCTCAATTGAGAAGTTGACATTTTTTATTTGACAAGCTGTTGACAAAATGTTGCTTATGTTGAAAAAAGATACACAATCTTAAGTATCAGAGTTATTTTACATCCCTATTACAGCAACAGAACTAGCTTCTTTCTCATTATTGATTTGATGGTTGAGACATTACATCCTATGAAAGAAGATCGGCGTTTATTGATTTTACTTGAGTAAAGAGCTGTATGAAAACAGATTTAGAAGAAAAAGAGGGTTGATTTAAAGTGGCACTTTGTTTTTGCGTCTAACCACATGCACAAAGTCCACTGAAAACACAAGCTTTTTTTTTTTTCTGACTTTACGCACAGATTACAGTAGAAAATGCTCAATGCTTTTAAATCAATGATCTATCAGAGAAAGCTTATATCCGTATCTATCAATTGATTCACAATGATGCCATATTGTCTGTAAAGGAAAAGAAGAAGAAATGAACAACTAATAGCCTTTAAGATTTTTCATGTTGACCCTTTGCTCATGGATTCCATACTTCCGTTTTGTGTAAATTGTTTGAAATCTAGCAGTATACTAACTTTTTTTCTCTTCAAGACTCCTTAAATCTTTGGACCTTACTTTATTTCGCTCTTTCTTATTCTTTTCTTCCTTTACCTCAGCTCCTTTCATTCTCTTCTTCGTAAAGCAAAAAGTATGGGACTCGTTTGTTGTAAAGAAGAACCTGTCGATCTGTTGAGTGAAGGTACAGTTACTAAGGAAAGATTGTGGCGTAACTCTTGTACTTGTGTCAAGAATGGCTGTAGCAAAATATACTGAGTGCATTGATTATATAGTTGAATTATCACACTTTGTACTTTTACGATCGGTTGGCAAAGGGGCGTTTGGGAAAGTTCGAGTTGTACAACACAAAGGAAACAAAAGATTGTTTGCTTTGAAGTATATCAATAAGGATAAATGTATACAGATGAATGCAATGGACAACATCATCTCAGAAAGACGCCTTCTCGAGAAAATCAATTTTAATCTTATTGTCAACTTACGATACGCTTTTCAAGATGATGAAAATCTATTCATGATACTTGATTTAATGCTCGGTGGCGATCTACGATTTCACTTGGATAGACTGGGTCTTCTACCTGAAGAATATGTTCGATTTTATGCAGCAGAGATAGCCTTGAGTTTGAATTACTTACATAGCAGGAATATCATTCATAGGTAATACTATGCTTTTGCTTCTTATCACATATAGCAAAAATGAGAACAATTGTCTAGTCACTCTGTATTGAGCCATCAAATTAACCACAAAAACACAATACTCAATTAGAGATTTGAAGCCTGATAACATACTGTTGGACGAAAAAGGCCATGCGCATCTATCCGATTTCAATATAGCCGTGCAGTTGAATCAAAGGAGAACAAAGCCTCTGACCTCTATAGCGGGCAGTCTTGCATATATTTCCCCCGAAATACTGAAAAAGCAAGGCTACTCATTTTCGACGGATTGGTGGTCACTCGGGATCGTCATTTACGAACTTTTATTTGGTCAGGTACAGTTCATCGTCCCATAAAATAGTAAAATGTCACTTAAAAAAATATAGGTTGAAACAACAGCGTCAAATAAACAAAAAACGTTATTTTTTCTTTGATTTTAGAGGCCATTCCAAGCAAAGTCTAACGAAGACTTACAAAAAGCAATACTGTCAGATCCCGTTGAATTCCCAAAAGAACCTAAAATATCTCCTGAAGCTGTAAATTTTGTTAGAGAGCTTTTGACGAGAGACATTCACAAAAGACTTGGAGTAGGGGATGCAGGTTTCAGGAGATTGAAAAAACATCCATGGATGAAGGATATATGCTGGGACATTTTAGCATCAAAATCAGTCGGTGCACCGTTTATCCCAGATGTAGGTCTTTAGCGTGCGCTATGAAAGAACTGAAGCTTATTCAACTTAATTATGCTGACCATTTCTCTTCAAATAGGAAAAAAAATCAAATTTTGATCCCACACACGAATTAGAAGAGGTTCTGCTAGAAGAAAATCCACTTAAGGTTAGGAAGAAAACCTCAGCAGGCAATAAAAGAGACTCGATGAATGCAGATCAATATACATTTGAAATTATGGAAGAAAAGAAGATCCTAGAAGAGAAGTTCTTGCCATATGATTATACTAAACCCATAGAAAATGATTTTCGATCTTCATCGAAATCTGCCTCTTTTAATAAACACAAAAGAAAGGTAAGTTTTTATATGGTAGACTACAAGCCCTGAAGAATTAACTATTAAACCGTCCGATGTCAAAATGTAGGATGAAAGAAGGAACTCGACGGATGAAAATTATCCTATGCTACAAAAGTTTTTAACCAAAGATAAGGATGCTAGGAATCTAAGCAAGCCGCCAACTGTTGCTCAAGTAGCTCGATTAAGTAAAGTCTCTTAGTCATCAATGGTCAAAGTTTACTTTTGCTTCGTTGCAGCACACGTTTAACGTGATGTTCACCTGTAAAATCTTTTGAACATATTACTTATTGATCCAAGCATAGCAAATTACTATAATAAATAATACAAATTCCAACAAACTATTGCAATTGAAACTTATGAAGCTCTTACTTCAATTCGTCTCAACTCTTTGGCACTGAGTAAGTGTAAGATCTTGTCTGCAAAGGCTTCCCATCTGAATGCATTTATATTGCTGCTGTATCTTTATTTAAATTGCCAAGTTCGCTCATACAACCAGAGTTGTCACCATTAGAAGTGTTAGATACAGCAATTTTGAGGGAAACTAATTAAGCTTTGTATGTCTATACACCTAGTGTGAGTAGCAAAATTGTTTTTGTACAGTCAACAATAGTGCAGGCCTTTGCATTACTTAATATGACTAATGTATGCCTTTGGAGTACGAAAGGAATCCTATTTAACATCTTTGCACTGAATATGCCTAATCGTAAGATTTTGTGCCGGTCATCACATTAAATAACATACTTCACTGCTGGTCTTCAAGACTCCAGAGGTTCATCCACCTTAGTTCTTTTGTACTTAACGCAGGTTTTTGACTGCTACTAATTCCGTTAGTAGATAGGAACCGTACTGTCTCACGACGTACTTAACCCAACTCACTTACCACTTTACTCAGCGAACAGCCGAACCCTTGGGAGCTCCTATGTGGTATTTCTATACCTCCTATAATATATAAACACGAATTAGACACACCTTCAAATACTAGACACGTTATTATGATCATAAAATTATAATAACATTTGTACACGTCACCTTGTACTCTAAAGACATACGTATACATCATGCTGTATTCCTACTGGTTGATAAATTAAGGTACGAGTATTCCTTTCCTTCTTTCTTGTGTTGTCAAATACAAACTTTCAGTTCGCCACGAACGCTCCTCTCTCTGATTTTCAGTGTTTAATAAAAGGACTAAGGAGACTCATTTCACCTTACAGTTTTCATCAATTATAAGTCGCATTCACAACTACAAAATAAACCTCAAATATCACAGACCAAACGAATGGCTATTTTAACGACTATTTGGAAGAAGATAAGACACGTTGATGATTGGAAGTCAAAATGACGAGCTATTAAACATTGAGTTAAGCAGCAGCACAAGACAACTTAGTGAATCATTAGCAAAGCAAAAATGTCAGAATTAACAGCTGCATTCATAACCAGGTTAACTTAATGACTGACTCAACAGACAACACTATTTTGTACTATGACTTTATCGGAAGGCGTGGATATCTGGCTCAATTGTTTGTGTAAGAAGATGTTTATATACGTCAAAAGCTACAATATATCATTATCCCTGTCTGTATGCTTGAATCGGAATTACTTCGTTCATCTCTGAAGTTTATGTTCGTTTATCACATGATCAACCTGGACAACAACATCACCTTCGCCAACTTAAAACAAAGAACAACAGTTCCTGCTTGTAGATATTAGCAGTACGACTAGTCCTCTTCATTCTCCCCCTCGTAATGGTCTGTCAGTTCAAGTGTACTTGTTGCCTTCTAATGCTAACAAGAGAACTCATTCATATATTTGAAGAGGACCAAAAATAATTGGATTACATTATGCACTCTGTAACCCTTCATTACATTCAATTAAGTAGTGTTTTAATTATAATATAATACAGCAGCCTAATAAAGGAGAAAATGCGGCCCAAAAAGAGTCGGACACTTTAATTAAACGGAACTTCCCTATCTCTTAGGATCGATTAACCCTAGATCGGATGATAAAAGATCCACTCTGCTGATGAACGGTATAGAAAAACATTTATTGTTCAAATGTTATAATTTAGCTATACTACTGGTGTTTTGACCGATGCAAATACAAGCCCACGGCGTGTTGCTTCGGAGATATTCATCAATTCTTCCTCGTCCTCTAACGTCCAGCGATCTCCCATTGGGATATCCTGCAAACCGTCCCTCTTTAAGCGCTTTTTGTATGTCACTCGCTTATCGCGAAGCCTACGATATAAGATTAAGTAAGCCTCAGACCTATTCTATTGTCTAATTTAAAAAGTATCATACCCTTCACGCTTCTTGTCCTTCCTATTTCCGGTTGTAATGCAATATGCCGTATTATCTTCCATATTGTGGTAAATTTGCTCAAATAGTTTCAGAAAGAAGCATTGCTTCTCCTCTTCTGTCTCTTGCGGCAAATCAAATCGTGCAATAATCACTTCTCTGTCTTTATGCAACATAATTGTTTTCTCAGCAACTGCTTCATCACTATCCACAGAACAATAATAATCTTTATTGTTTTCTGACAGCTTGGACTTCATCATTACGCTCAAATCTGCATTATGCTCTATAACTGCACCATGTTGATTTGCACGATGTAGATAATCTAAAATGGTTTCTACTTGTGACAGTCCTGTAAAGCCATAACTAAGACCGTAACGAAGTTTTCGTTCTAACAGCTCTAAACTGGCTATAGCATCCTCACAAGGATCATGTCCTTTGACGTCTCCAGGGCGCTTATCCTCATCTCTCACTTGAATTGTACGTTTGAGATATCGAGTTGTTAAGTCTCGAAGGGAGGGTTTATAGGGTGGACCATTTTTATGATGATATATAACTGAGGTATCAATGATGAATGGATGTCGCATTTTCAAGCATTTCAAATCGTTGACTAACCCATGGCCGACAAGTATTGTGTCGCTGTCAATGAAGGTGAGTAATTTTTTTTGCATATCGGCCAAAGTAGTTTTTACATTTTTTAGTGATGCCTCATCTACACCGCTGATATGCGTAACATAATCCGTAATTTCTTCGGTAGGCTTCACCAATTCATTGATCAAAACCTTCTTTTCTAATCCGCATGTATTTTAGGAGTCAATTAATTCTCTCTTTTTTCCTTTTAAACTGTAAATATTGTACCTCTATCAATAAGTGCCACTCTTGTCACAGCATAACCGTTGACAGTTTTACACTATCAACCAAACAATGAGCAACTTTGAAAAATGTTCAGCGAACAAATGTACATATCCTCTCACTACTAACCATTTCGCAATCTAGGGCAACTAGTCTCTTGGTTTCTGAACCTTTTCCTTGTAAAGTATCAACCCAGCCATCTTCTAAAACACTGTCTGCATCCATGCTGCTATGTATAGGAAAATCCTCTGCTACCAGTAACTCTTTTGTCATGATCAAAGCCTCAGGGTGAATGGCTTTACTTGGATCAGGCTCTTTATCCTCTTCTTCCCGCTTTTTCTTGAGTTCGCCTTTAGATAAAGGGACCTCCAATAAATCCCAAAATCGGTCATGAACACGTTTATACTGATCGAATCCCGCTGCACAAACGATGCCGAAGATGTTATTTTCGTCGTCGTCAGGTCTTTGCTGAAAATATTGTGCGAGCAATCGGTTGGCTTTTAATTGCTGATAAATATCGGGAGTTGTTGCTTTCGAGATATAACGAGTATTTATGGGCACTTGTAAGCTAGTAGGATCCAATATAGGTACATCTATAATGATTGCCTTTCGTACAGGTGTAACACCTGGGAAATCTGGTATTTCGGCTAAGCGAGCTTGCTTTCCTTTAGGTTCTAGAGCAGTCAACATCATATTACGAACATCTTTCATAGTTGCAAAATCATTGAATTGTTTGAAAAATATTTTTGGATAAACGATCTATTGTATTGTGACATATCATAGTGAGCATATAACTGTATCTCAGTCTCAAGTATATCGGATTTTCCATTTATATACCACATCCTCCTCCTTAATTGCATAAGGTAGACCAAGTTTCCGCGCTCGAGTTGCTTTTTTCTTTTGTTTCGCTGTGAGTTTTGGCCCTTCAGCGGTAGATTCGTTCTCTTTCAATCTCTTTTGATCAATAACTAACAGAGACATAAACAATCGTTTAGCTGATGATATTTCTAAACTGAGGAAACTGAACTATAGATCTATATACATTGTTTACTCATTTCCGGGGAATTAAGCTCAGTTGATCGCTTTCTGTTCAAAGATGCTGTTTGATCGCTATTCATGAGGAAAGCTTATCGACAAATTTTGAAGTATCTATTTTGTCGGGAAGTCAATGCAATTCTACTTTTTTATTGAGTGGCAGGCTGTAAAGAATTTATGTCTTCATATGAGAGAATGGGTTTTTGCCTGACATTATATTGCATAACTTTCGAAAAAGAAAAAATGAGACTCAATATTTGCTTTGTAGCATGCTATTACTATAATGGATTTTTGTAGATATACAGTATGTAGTTTCACTTCATGTGAGGATTTGCCAAAGCAGGCTCCAAAAAGCAATTGACAAATGTCATAATACTGTTACCACAGGAGTAGCAACTGTCAAATAGTTATCCTGAACAAAAACTTAATGAAGAAAAAACAACTCAAAGAAACTCTGAATGAACTGTAAGTCAATTTGTTTGTACTGTTGTTACAATTAATTTTGCGTTACCCCATATGAATGTAGGAAATATGTACAAGTCATTAAACAGGGAATAATGAATAGGCAATCACAGCTTGGATGCTTTATTTGATGCCAGCTGTGCAGCTTTTGCTAATTCGTCACGACGTTTTTTAGCAACCATTAAGGCTGCACCGGCTCTTGAGCTAGTGGGTCTGCCTAGCTGTTGTGAAATCCATTCGCCTGTTTCTACAAGAGCATTCAAATCGACACCTGTCTCGAATCCCATGCCGTTCAGCATATAAACAACATCCTCAGTAGCTACATTACCCTTTGCTCCAGGTGCATAAGGACAACCACCTAAACCAGCAACAGAACTATCTACTACACGTATGCCGTACTAATTGAAGGATGAATGTTCATTTAACAAATCAAGGAATAGCTCTATTAGGCTTAATTACGCATAAATGAAAATTACCTCCAAAGCTTTCAGTATGTTGGCCAAAGCTTGTCCATAGGTATCATGGCAATGAACTGCTACTGCTTCGATAGGTACGACTTTTAATACGTGATCTAACAATTTGGCCATAGAACCTGCTGTACCAACGCCAATGGTATCCCCTAAACTAATTTCATAACAACCTGCGTCATATAACTCCTTTGCTAATTCTGCAACCTTTTCAGGCTTAACAGCACCCTCATAAGGACAGCCTAAAACGCAAGAAAGGTATCTAAGAGATAAACCAAATGATACAATTTTAAGGGCCTGATAACAGAGTCATAGCGTTTCTTCCATATTCCTTTACCCTCTCACTTTGAGTTTTTGCTCCAATGCTTTTTCTAAAATTTCTTTGGCCCTCTTCACTGATTCAGCCGTTGAACAATTTGTGTTCTTCATGTTGAATGTATCTGTCGCGCCTGTAAATAAAGCCACCTCTTCAGCTCCAGCGGCTACAGCCGCGTCCAAACCTTTCAAATTAGGGGTCAATACAGGGTAAGAAACGTTTGGTTGCTTTTCGACAGATGTCAAGACTTCCCTATTATCACCCATCTATTTCGTGCACAACAGCAATTTCCTTTTAAAAATATATCGATCTTTTCTAATCTTGATTCAAAATACTCTCCATTGAAGCGAGAGCTATTTCTTTGATTTACCTGAGGCACCCATTTAGGACTTACAAAACTGGTGGTTTCCACAACAGGTAAGCCATTATTGGCTAAACGTTCAATCAACTCAATTTTCACTTTTGCAGGGACGAGAGCTTTTTCATTTTGTAAGCCATCCCGAGGGCCTACTTCAACAATCTTGACAAACCGCGAGGCTATAGGCGTACTATACTTGCGCACCATAAGGGAGGAGACCTGTGTCAATGGATATTAGCATAGAACAGCTTTCATTGCTTCGGAAAATGGCAAAACATCGATAATAACCTGGTATTTGTACAAAATTGGTCTACCTAAATTCTGCAAATTGAAAGGAGAAAGGAGACGCATGGTACTGTAAGGATACTTATTTTTTATTTATACAAATCAAGGACAAGAACAAAAAAAGAAAGAAAGAGGGATACACCAGCAAAAAATGAAATAAAAATAGATGACGGCAGGATCATGTTTGGAAAGATTATCGTGGGAGTTTTTGTCTTACGAGTCGGAAATGTCTGCAAATCCCATCGTCCATCAAGCCCAGACTGTCACTAAACCGATCATTAAACCCAAGAGTAAAAGACTTACAAGGCTCATGAAGCAGTTTATCAATTGTAAGTGTTTAGCTGCAGTTTTTTGTTTATATTCGGTATGCATAAAAAATCGCCAAGAGCCATACCACCACAAGGGGAAAAACAAAAAGCCGAACAATAGTAAAAGCATATCAACGCGTGCTGTCTTCCGTTGGAACAAATCGACCATGGCTATTTCTTCTAAGTGTAAAAACTTTTCACCAGTAGGTATAGCTGTTACTGCGGTAACACTGAGCTCGTGATGGTTGGAGTGCTGCACAGTTACTGTTGTTGTAGGATCTACAATAGTAATGTGGCGGTTTTCAAGCGATGTCTGGAAACTCGCTGTGCTTATCATTTTCTGAGGATAGTTCGAGATGCGCGGAGGTAACGAGGAAGTATGAGAACTGGTTGAGGAAGTCGTAGTCGAGGATGACGAAGATTGAAAAGGAATATTGGAAGTATTGTTAGTGGATGCATCATCTATGGGGAACATAAGAATATCATCCGGGTTTTCATCACTATTACTGTCTAAAGTGATAGGATGATCGCTATGGAATTGATACTCTCGGCTTTTTTCAGAAGCATGACTATATCGGCTTTGCTCTTTTGTATCTGTCTTATATGGAAGCTGTCCTTTGTTTGCTGTAACAGCAGTAAACTCGGAGATATTCCTAGAAGATTGATGACTAGCTCTACTACTATCATTTCCATGCAAGGTGGTTGTTAGTGTATTGGTTGCAGTGGGTGATGAGTTGACTTCCAGCATATTAGTAGGTACATGGCCTTCATGATCACTATTCGATAGTAGCCAGACAGAAGCATGCTGAGTGTTTCCATTACTATTGTTGTCATAAGGATTATGAGTGCTTGTATAAGTAGTTAATAAATGGCTGTAGGATGATGAGGCTCGTTTATTATGGCTGTACTCAGAAATTTCAAATGACGGATCTGTTTGAGAATTTGATTGTTGTAATGTTTTTTCATTATCCAATATAGGCAATGAAGGTTTTAAATGCTTATATTGTCTAATACTTTCCCATTTTGTTTGTAGTTCTTCGTCTGGCAATAATTGTTGGGACAGACTATGATTAATCGCAATGGGCAAAACCCTGCTATTGCTGCTAACGTTCGTTGTAATGCTATTGTTTCTTGAAAGGCAAGATATGACATTTGCTAAAGTCTGTCGTTTCTCTCTCCTGGAATGGGGTAATGAAAAATAATGTTTATAGTATTGTAGCTTATTGTCAAATTGCTCATTGTTCAATTGCAGAGTTAATTGTCTATCCTGGGTTGTGTTATTGTGCGTTTCATCGTAGATAGAGCTGGATTCGCTATGAATTTCACAGGCACTATTATCTACTTGTTCCTTCGCGGAAACAGCAGAAGATAGGCTGTTGCAGAATTGCTGTGAAAGATGAATGCGTTTACACTTTCTAAATGAATGTTGCTGCATATCGCAGTCCGTTTGATGTGGTTCAGGGTTGATGCGACTGTTTCTTTTCCTTTTGGACGACCATAAGCAAGAATTGTTACCACTTATCTGGCTCCTAACTCTTCGTCGGCTCAATAACGACGGACGTCGAAGTTGTCGATGCGTTCGAATATCATGCTGAAATAAGAACACATCATCATAACTACCATTGTTAAAAGTATAATAATAAGGACACATAGGCCAAGAATCATGAAGAGCGTTGATCGTGTTTCTACGTTTCATTACTGAATATTATTACCAATTGTATAAATAGGATAGAAATAAAAAGAACAGAGAAATGTACATGAAATAAAGCCAAAGGTAAAAGCTTAAAAAGAAAGTGCAAACAAAATATCAAATCACCATTAAAAAAAGCCATCATTTCCATTATTATGCCACATGCTTTTCATTGTATTTGACCAACTCCTTATTCATCAGCTTGTTTCAACAATGGAAACATGTCACTCATTGACAACATTTCTTATTCCAACAAGTGTTCATCAATGGGTATTCTGATACGTATCTCCTTCTCCATCATGACGTTGACAAGTTCGTTCGTTTCTCTGGTATCCATCGTGCTTTCAAATAGCTCTATGCCTTGCAAATATAACTCTGCAATAGATAATGCATGTCAGTATCAAGGTTGCATAAACATTATGTAACCAATGGTGGTTTACCTTTGGACCAAGGGCATTCTCTCACCGCCCTATAAAATAGAGTTTTGGCCCTTTCTTTATTGTTCTGCAGCATCTCAAATTGGATATATAGTTTCCACAATACAACGGAAGCTCTTGTTCTAACAATAAAAGCAATTTATTAGTGTGAAGCTCGTTACGTCGGCCATTATAACCTATCACTTACTTTGAATCCTCCACAGATCGTTCAAAGAGGTCTCTTACTGAATTCACTTGATATGGCTTATAACGATGTAGCTCACTAAATATGGCCGATAGATACAGAACAATATTTGAATCCCTAGATTTAGCAAAAAATGCAAGCTGATGAGGTGAAAGGTTCCTATACTGAAAGTAGTTCGTATTTTTTACCTATGTAATGCATTGCTTAAAAGCTGTTGAACACGATTGTATATTTTTGTTCTTGACTCGTTCCAGATGTAAAATGACAGAAAGATGGTATTGTTTGGAAATAGAGCAAGAGCCCTTTCCATTAACTGACGTAGTCTACTGGGTTTGTATAGATCATCACCGCTATTACCGCTTTTGATAGTAACATTTCTAGCATGTTGATATACAAGTGTAGCATAGTCAATCCATATCATTTCTGACTCATATCCTTTCTCTGCTTTAGATTCGACCAAGTACTTTAATGCATGCTCGTAAATTAAACATGCACTGTCAAGCCCACCAGACAAATACTCAAATAAGGCATAGCATCGTGTAAAATTGATCGCTGCTTCTCTCTCTGCATAATTGACTGCTATTGTCGACACATGAGCTAATTTTTGCAAGAAATACTTTGCACCACCAAAAAAGAAATCAGCATCATAAAAGTGCAGAGAAGCCCCTTGATTTTCAAAACTTCTTACCTCTTTTGTTCGAAGTACGACAGGTACAGTTACTGGTGGTGAGTTTGCATCTATTCAAACAATACAGACAAAAATGGTTAGGTACCATCTCCACCTATGAAATCATAGTGAAATACGTCATCTACCATATGCTTGATCGCCGGAAATGCTGGTAAGGACTTTCAGTGCTTCATGAGGTCGATTACTGTCAAACTCCAGCCTTGCTAGCATATAATACAGCAAGGGTATATATAATTGTTGCGATTCCTGTTTGTGAGACATAGCTATAGCTGCAAGATATACTTTTCGAGCCTAGACCATGAATAAAAATAATTCAGTAAATCCCTTCCTACGCATGTTGTAGACGTAATCCTAGTCTTACCTCTTCAATCCGTCCATAACCTTTTTCCATACAAGCGTATGCATTCCATAACGCTAAGTTTGTGCTATGTTCCTTCAGTAACTTTTTCGCCAATTTTCGACCCCTAGAGAAAAAAATTGATCATGTTGAGAAAATATGTACACTAACTAGTACTCGCAAGAAGAATAGCTTACAGTTTATGTCCGCAACTGGCTTCAAATGCTAAATAACATATCCTTAAGTGATCAGAGTTTTCAACAACCAGTAATTGCTGGAAAACCTCCCTATAACATGCATAGCCAAAATTAGACGAAAGGGCTTCCTCCTCTTTTAAAAGTGACCACATCCTTACCTTGTAAACTTTATATCTTCCTCATAACGGATATTCTCCCTTCCAGAGCATCTGAACCATTCGCCATATTTGGCAAACATTTCAGATATGCCTACTGGATACGAACTGGGTATATCGTACGTATTGGTCTGTTGCACAGTATTTTCCGATCTCATAGGAACACCTGCCACATACCAAACAATTTGTTCTAGGGAATGATTTTTGACCGGCCAAAAATGGTCTAACGAGATATCATTGCGGGTGAAGGTGTCTGTGAAGAAATGCGTATTGCTACCTATTTCCGGTGGTGTGTACGGCAGACCTAGAAATACTAGCACGCTATAAATCAAACTCTGACGCGCTTCTGCTGTGGTTACATCAAACAGAAAGTTTTTGACATCGTCTGAGAGGGGCACACGGAAAGGATCAGTGCCAAGCAGTTCATCATCAGCTTGTACCATACGGAGAGGTAGACGCCGGTTTGATTCATTGTTCGTTTCAGCGACCAACCAATCTCGCAGATTTATGAATTCATCCTCTTCGTCTTCGATGTTGGTATTATTGTCGTTCATATCTATATTAGGCTCTGGGATTTGGTCATCATTATTAACAGCACGATAATATTCATGCCAGCCTTGAGCTCCCTTTTCGCCAAAACGTAAAACTTCACTGTCCCAAAATTCAACGAAGGCACTCACTTTTTCTGCGTGCTCATGTGTGATAGTCTTATAGATCGAAGGCTGGTATAAATTGAATTCAATAGAGGCTTGAATTACAGAGAACGCCCTTTCTTGATAACCACATTGTTTCATAAACAAACAAGCGCGCAGTAAAATATATACCATAAGGGATTCAATGTCTGCACGTCTGTCTACTTCCTCTGTTTTCTTTGCCTGTCTCATTAGGATGGATAAAGCGTCTTCAAATACATTGACACATTGCGTAAACGTAAAGCTGGCAAAATTAGTTTGGCGTAAATTGATGTAGCTTGACCATAACTGGATGGAATCAGGGAGTCGTTTAAGATACTTGTCCCACATCTGCAGTAAAGGTAATGTTTCCCAAGTCTCTGCTCCACATTCCAAATAGGCGAGGATCAATTGTTCACTTTCAGGGTTGTGCTCTAGTGCTTTTTCAAAAATACTTAATTTCACTTCGTTCAAACTAGCTCGCTTACTGCTATTGCTACTAGTTGTACTCTTCTCAAAAATGTTCGAATCCAACCCTCTAACAGCTTCATCCTGAAATCGAATAAAATCAAGCCAGAGCTGTACGTTTTCGGGTTCCCGGTCGAGCTGTCGGTTAAATTCAATGGTGCGCCGCCGAATGTATTCATTAAAACTTTCACCTTCCTCATCTTCCTCCTCCCCTGCTTCTTCTGACGACTGGGCTGAGGGCTTTACTTTGTTCCCTTCTATAGATCTATAATCCACTCCAGTGTCATACAAGTCATAATCAATTAATTGATGCTCCTGTCGCACTTTTGATGATTTTTGCGAGTCAGTATCTTCTAGATTTATTACATTGGCGTGTTCAGCGAACAAGTCTTTATCCTCTTTTTTGGGACGAATTCGTATCCTTTTGAAATCCTTATCAAGTTCTTTCCACGCATAATTAGATGTTGCCGATCTCTAAAATAGGCGAGATATACATTCAGAGGAGGTCATCAGAGAAAAACTTGAGCCAAGCGCCCACTATGTGTCTATCTTACCTTGTTTTCGCTCAAATCTATGATAGCAATTTCTCCTGATTTCGGCGGTTGTGTAGGATCAATTCTGATGTTGGGTGGTAACCCCAAAATTCTTCCTCTTCTCGCTCTGTGAAAGGATGGCACTGAGTAGGCATGATTTTTTCCATAAACCAAATTATCCGGATCACCACTCGTATCCATAACGAAACTGATGCCAGTATCCAAAGTCCCTGTGTGAACTTCTGACTCTTCTGAAGACGAGGAGGAAAGAGAAGACGACCTTCTTCTCCTTTTCGCATCTTTGTCTCTTGAGCTTTCTGACCTCCTTTTACTGCTTATACGATGCCGGTGTGAGGGCGATTTCGATCGCTTCTTCTGTGAATGACGAGAGTTCGGAGAAGAGCGTGAATGTCTATGATCACTGCGATGGTGAGAAGGTGAGTAAGAACGACGATGACGACGGCGATGGTCGCTGCCGCGATAATCGTCCTCATTCCGTTGAATTGAACTTTCCCTATGCTTTCTTGAAGTTCTATCGTTGCTTTTTGTGTCTTCACGTTTTCTCCCAATGTCGTTTTGCTTGCGATCTACAAGATGTTAAATATTGTAAATCATTCGGCGTTGAGTCCGCAAGTCAAATTGGCGTTAACACTGTATAATATACTAATTATTACCTTGTCGTTGATGCGGTATAACTGTGGATGAAATGTCTGGAGCACTTGAAAATGAAGGTATGGATATACTGCCTGTACTAAATGAAGGTGCACTGTCAAAAGACGGTGGAGGTGGTATTGATTTTGGTAGATTCTACACATTTGCTTTAACATTCCAAGTAAATACATTAAATTATAGTTGCAATAACAACTCACTTTCTTAAAATGGCTGTTTTCAGTGTTATTCATCGTAGCAGTGTAAATTCATCAAAAAGCTTAGATTGAAAGGATTAAATGAATGTATACTTTATTTATCTTTGGTACCTTTCCATGTCAGATTTTTTATGCCTGTCGGCTCATTGGACAATAAAAAAAAAACTCAAAATTGTATCTGCAGTGTTACTCTGTGTTTGTATGGATTATATTTTCTTCTTACAATGTATAATCTTCGTCATCTTCGCTCGAAACGACTTCGTACCCATAATCTAAAGATTAATGTAGCGTGATATGCTTAATTCAACGTAGTCTTGATGAACAAAATTATACCTTTTCCTCTTACCATCCTCAAATTCATCACTATCTTCCTCCTCAGGATAATCGTTTTGGTAATAATCCTCGGCTAAAGAGCCAACAGAAACTATTAACATCTGACAATCCATTCTTTTTTCAAGCCAACCCGCTTACCATTCGAGTCCTCATCTAACTCATCACCCAATTCACTATTAGAATCGCTGTCGTCGATGTATTCAGATTCATCGTCAAACCAAACAAGTGAACCCACATTCATTGAGTTAATGCTCTGTTGACTCAATATTTCCGCGTCGTCTTTGTAATAAACATCGTAAACATAGTCGTCTTCGTTTTCCTCTTGTGGTTGATTTTTGTCTTGCACTATACAATTTTGAGCAAATCAGTTTGAGCTAAATATATTGATGCTTAAGAAACCCAATGCATTATACTTGCAGGTCAAATATTCTTTGATCATAGGAATAAAGTTGCACATTATATCATCGGGGTCTTCAATATCGTCATCTAACATGATGCTACATGTACCCAGCAACCTTTAGTATATTCATAGACACGAGCAAACTTAAAAGTAAAAGACAACTTACTTAACTTTCGGTTTCGATGCCTTTTTATCTTCATCTTTTACAGCTTCAAACATATTGAAAAGGTCCGTTGCAGCGACTTCAGCTGCACTGCGTACACTATATGAGTAACGATGTGTTAGCATGAAGGAGGTCATTCTCTAAAACTACGCTTATAACAAACCATACACAGGTGGCGCATTTTCTTGCGCTGCTGCTTTTGCTCTGTTTTGATTAATGAGTCTGTATCTAGCTTTTGTTGATGCTTCCTGTAGATATGTAATCCAGAAAATATCAGTGGGAATGATTGGCTTTAACCCTGTTTATATGGTTCAACCTTTTGTTTCTGCACCAAACGGTCTTTTCTATCTTCAAGTGAAATGGGCGTCTGTGGTCGACTTGTTCCAGGTTGCATACGTCTAGACATGATACGGTCCTTCAACTTCTTGGCTTCGTCTATATTAGCAAAACTCTTTTCTTCTACTGTCTCAGCAAGTCTAAATAGTGTGGGGAAAGCTGCACCGGAAACTGAACGAGCAATAATGTTGTATAGACAAACGTAAGAAACAACATCGCTTTGTTGTAGCAAAGTTACTCATGACCATTTCTTACTTTTCAATTCACTGGACTTATTGCCTTTTTCTACATTCTTTTTTACACGTTTTTCGTTTTCTTGGTGCACGACTTAGGTAGGTATGGTTTACAAATGCATAAATTAACGTCAAAGATCAAAAAGCAATAAAATCTTCAAAAAAAAAAAAACAAAACTCATTGAGGCCTCAACATTTACGTAAAGCATCCAAAGGCTCTTCTGTTCTTTTACGCTTAATACGTAAAATTGTTATCTGTCCTTGATCGGTCTTTTTATTCAAAGAAGTGTTATTCATATTGCTGATGATTAATGAAGGAAGGAATCTTGAACATTTTGGAAATGAGAAGAAACTTGCTGAAAAAACGCGGAGTGATTTTCGTCATGGTCGTCGTCACCTTTACCTTTTCTTTGAAAATTGTATTTTCCTGATCTAAGGTTTTGCTTTTTTTTTTTTCCCAAAGACATAACCTGATTTGGAGGTTGAAGTTCCACTAAGTTAGCTTTTTGGTTCTGCCCTGCTGTTGTTTCCTTCCTTCTCCTCCTTATTCTCGACTTGTTCAAAGTTCTTTTTCTATCTTTTTCTTTCACATTACTTTTCCCTTCCTCTTCCGCACCCCCGCTCTCTCTTTCTCTCCTTGCTAGTCTCTTTCAATGTCTGAAAGGCAGAAAGCTCCTCAGCCAACAGCTCCCATTGCTTGGATGAGTCAAGTTTATGACGCATCTTCTAAAGAAATCCGTCCACAGAATAACGACTTTGTTAGTACTAATGAGCAGCAACCTCATTTTCCTCAACCATCACAACAACAGCAACAAGGCATTTCCAGGGCAAATACGTTAAACTCACCCTCTTCGTTCTCAGCTTCAATGAACCCTAGTAGTACGCTCACATCAGTGGAGAGGTAATGATTATTGAATGAATGAATGCTTTAATATACACAAAGTAAGTTTCGAACCTTCTTTTTCTCTATTTAGTTTCGAACGTCCTGAATCACCCACGTTACCACCCGAACAAGATCTCCCCTTAAACGATAACAATTATCATCAATTGGATCTATCAGTAGCGCACTCTTCATCTAACTCACCAACAGGACATAAATATATAGATACCTCAATGCCACCACCACCACCGACGCCTACTGGTATGTTGCGAATGCTGATCGTATTTTGTCAATGAGTTGACCCATTTTTTTGCTTCTGCTTTCTGCTATAGGGCCTTATTATTCTTCTACCTTGGATAGAAACAGTAATAAGCATATGGCTAATTCATTCAACCCCACTTCTACCCATACCAGCCAAAATATAAACGATAGCGGTATTAGCAATAACACTGCATCACATCATACCAATTTTAGTAATACCATTAATACAGCCAATAATAATAGAATTCATCCTAATGACTATCACCCACAGCAACACTATAAGCAGCAGCGTAATAATAACTCACAGCATCACCCAACAACAACGGTGTCTCAAGCCCAGCGTCCTCATCATACCTCACAGCAACAGCAACAGCATCATCACCACCATCATCAACATCAAAAACTGCCAAAACGCCCTGTGCATATGACAGACCAAATGGCAGCCGCTGTTGAACTCAGTGTGAGCCCTAATGTCCCACCAGCCCCCGCTGCTGGTATGTATTGGTCCAGAGCCCTCACTTACGGCCGATCCCCGTCTCGTCCCTTACGTGCACACTCTGCCAATTTGATCGGTGAATATTTATACGTGTTTGGAGGATGTGATATGAAAGCTTGTTTTAATACGCTTTATATTCTGGATATGGATACTCTCACTTGGTCTAAACCTAAAACATCCGGCCAAATCCCTCCTCCTTGTCGTGCTCATTCTTGTACCACAGTTGAACGCGATTTAGGCAATGGTAAAAAGTCCTATAGTCTTTTTGTGTTTGGTGGTGGTGACGGACCCAACTATTTTAATGATCTGTATGTACTGGATATTGATACCTTGACATGGTCTAAGCCCAAGACGGAGGGTGAACCACCCTCTCCACGACGAGCGCATACTACTTGTATTTGGAACAAGAAAATCATTATCGTAGGTGGTGGGGACGGTGCACGTGCGCTGGCGGATGTGCACATGCTGGATTTATCATGCCTGGAACCGTCCCCTTCAACTACAGCTTCCTCTACTACATCACCACAACAGCAACAGCAACAGGTATACCAGCAGTCACAGCTATCACAGCAGCAGCAGCAGCAGCAGCAGCAGCAGCAGCAAGTGCCAAAATGGACAAGGTTGACACCAGAGGGGACTCCACCTATTGCCAGAGGATATCATACAAGTAACTTAGTAAAGGATAAATTGATTATTTATGGAGGAAGTGATGGTCATGAATGCTTTAGCGATGTTTATGTATTGGATTTAGGTAAAATATAAAGGGGAAAAAAAAAAAAGAATAATTCTTCAGTTTGTGATGCCTCTATTGACATCGAACCTTTTTCCATAGTCGCTAACAGATGGAGTCAGATTGATTTGGATCGGGCAGTGCCTAGGTTAGCCCATTCAGCCACCCAAGTGGGTTCTTATGTATTTGTGATTGGCGGACACGATGGAACAAGATATTCCAATGAAGTTTTGCTGTTGAATTTAGGTAAAGGATCCTGATCATGGAACGATGGTCACAGACTGAGCAGTATGTAACGTTTTTTTATGTACAAAATTAGTTACCATGAGTTGGGAGACGAGAAAGATATATGGTGGGGCACCAAGCCCTAGAGGATACCATACAGCTGTTTTACATGACTCAAGATTATATATTCTAGGCGGATATGATGGGAGAAATGTATTTGATGATGTATATATGTTAGAACTGAGCGCCTGTGCTTATCTGCCTCAAATTACAAATTTTGAAATTGATGTTTAAACCAATTATGAATGCCTCGTCAAACAAAGGGAAAAAAGATTTATGCAACCGTGACGCTCTGTGCCTTATTTTTTTTTTTTCGTGTTTTCTTTTTTTTTTTTTTTTTTTTCTATTTTCTATACTTTTCATTGTTTCTTTCTGTTAGCTTTATAACAAGAAAAGAAATTCTTTAATATGACAAAGAAATCTATTCCACCGTCTCAAAACAATCCACTCGGATACTTTGAACTGGAAGACAAAGTAAAATATTTATACACTAGTTGCCCTCGTCGGAAAGACTTAATGACCCAAACATGTTGTAATTGTAGGATTCTAATTTTCTAATCGTAACTGAGAATAATGAAGACGAAAATGAGAAAGAAGTTGAGCAATTAAAAGATAACAGTGCCCGCAGCTCTTCTACACCAACGGTAGCACAAACACCTCCACCACCTCCACCTACAAAGCAGGGTGAAGTGGAAGAAGAGAAGCACATAAAGGATGAGGTATGCTCTAATGTCCGCACTTCAGACAGGCATTGGAACTTACTTATAAATGATGGTGGTCTTTATAATTTAGACTATCAACGATACAACAGTAAACATTCTCGATGAGAAATTAGAAAGAGCCAAAGCGAGCGAGTCGAAAAATAGCACAACGAAAAGCAAAGTAGATGGCAACATAGAAGAGGACGAAAAAGAGAAATCAGCTTTAGATGATTTTAGCTTACTCGAGCAGAATTTAAAATCATTACAACGAAAGAGGATAGAATCGAAAAAAGACGTAAAGCTGAAAAACAGGATGCTCTTAAGCAAAAATATGATTGATTTACTGATGTGATTTTTAGTTTCTTCAAGAATCTTACAAAATTTTCAAAAAAATACATGATGCGAGAACGGCTTCAATATGCACAAAGCAAGCTGATTCACATAGATTGACAGTGTTTGATGAGGACAATGTACCAGATATAAATAATTTATTCCGACAGTATGTAGAGTTAGCATCGAGTTTTGTCGATACAGAAAAAACAGAGCCTTTATGGGATTTGGCTCAATGTCTCTACTTCTCAGCAACAACAGAATCATCATCAAATATTGCAACACGATTGAAGGATTGGTACGATGAATTTTATCCAATGACAGATTTAGAAAACCCAGAGAATCTTGAAGTTTTTGATATATGTGTTCACGCTAAAAAACGCTTACTACGCGGCGATCTGGATCAAACAAGTGATCTGCTGCAGCGTATAATCGAGAAAGTTGATGAAAAAAAAAGTACCTACATCGTTAAATTGATTGAGCTTATAGAACAATACGAGACAGGATTATATGAACAAAATGCTACTGAATATCTAATTCTTTGGCAGCAATGGCATCAAAATAGTCAATCTTATTACCAGAACTACAAATCAAATTTTATTAAGGAGGTTACATATGCAGATAAAATTGATAACGAAATCCTATCCATGTATGGTATCTTGGCTGGTGTCGAAGAACATTTACGTGAATGGAGTCATGAGAGTGGTCGAGATTGGCTGAACAGCATTATAGGCACCATTCTGTTTACCAGACCACAAATTTTAGTATCGCAATTAAACTCATTAGCTCAAGATATTGGATCCTACACCAAAGACAATCTAGCTACGCCAGAAGAGCAGCATTTTTGGCCTATATATAGTTCATTGATTATGGGTGCATTTGATGATGCACTAGATGAGATGGGGGATTATTTCTGGTTACAGACCCATCTCGGACATGCTTTAATAGCCAACGGCACCTATTTTGCTATAGCACAACCGACTGATTTAGCAGAGCAGGATCAAGAAAAGGAATCTCCGTTATTGGACCCAGTCTATCACAGCATCCACTCTTACGCAATGATGCTAGCTCAAGATTTTGATATGTGGAACGAAGCCGTTACATACATCAGCTGTTGCTCGCTAAACAAAGAATATTGGACTGAACAGGTAAAGTGGAATATGAAAATAAGTTTTGACCATCAAGATACCGTGTGTTTATATGATAATATATAGCTTCTCGGAAACCCACCATTACCAACGAAAGACAGCACCTACCTGGAATCCATACTTGAAACTGCAGAATACTATCACTTGCGAAATGTCGTAGCTCGTATTAATTATGAATTAGGTCGTCGTTGCGAAAAAGCCAACAATATTCATGAGGCAACCGTTCGTTATGCCTTAGCTTCAGATACTCCATCTTTGGATAGAATGGCTCGACAATTACTGGATATATACTTGGAGAGAAGGACCTTACAGAGTATTGTGACAGATGAGGAATATCATGGTATCAAACTTGACTTAAAAACCAAAAGCAATCATTACAAAGCTCTATTGGACTACAATCATTTTAGAGGTGAATTAGCTGCAAAGAAGTGGTCTGATGCCGCAAAGTCTTCTGCGCTTTTGATACGAAATGAATACCTACCCAAACAATTTAAAGCTGTCTTAATGGTTGACATTATGCAAATATTAGAAGGTAAACTTTCTGAAAACATAGTAACTAACAGAAGTAAATGCGTATCTGATCACCCAACACTACCTGTTTTAGATTCTCAACATCATTTTACAGCTAAACAAATGCGTCAATTTATTGATCTATTTCATGAATTGACAGAGAACTCAAAAACTGAAGCATTAGTAGCTGAGTATTACCAACAAACTCGAAACACGCAGTCGGTTTGCAAGGACATCATAGCGAGAATAAGAGAGAGAATTTCTTATAAAGCAGCAACAGCACCAGAGAACTTAGCTTGATCGTTCAAAAATCATAAAAGAACTCCTTGAAGAGTATTGATTTTCTTTATTTGATCAATTAAATAGAAAGCTGTTTAAACAAGCAATGAGAAATATACGAGATACTTTGAAAATGCGACAAAATTGACAAACATCGTTTGAAGATCACTACACGGAAAATGAAGCCATAAATGTTGCTTCAGAAGTTTCTATTGTTTGGTATCCTGGTGTTGATTTGGTTGTGGTTGATTTAATGCCTAAAATCTCATTCAAACTTTTATCACCTGCTGCAGATGCCATTTTTTTGGCTCGTAAAAACTTAGCACGGGCACTATCGAAAAGTAATTTTAGTGAACAATGAAGACAATGGCATGCCCAACAAGCTAAAGAATGTACTTACGCATTTCTTAAGACGACAGGTGCTGGTGTCGATGAAGACGAAGTTGATACATTATCCTTGTCCTTTTTACTCTTTTTGCTCTTCTTATCCTTCTTGTCTTTTTTACTTTTCTTCGACTCTTTATCTTCATCGTCATCGGCTTGTTCTCTAGATCTCTTTTTGCTGCTCTTATCTTTTTTATCTTTTTTGCTGCTATGACTACTGGATTCCTTTTTCTTTTCCTTTTTGTCTTTTTTACTACTCTTTTTCTTCTTGTCTTTACTCTTCTTGCTCTTTTTAGTATCCTCTCCATCTTCTGAATGTTCCACATTTGTGGTCTCTGATTTGTCCTTGCTTTCAATACTCTCATCCCCATTCATGCTGCTAGCTTCAGAGTTGCTTTGCGAATTCAAATCAGCTAAAAGTCTGGAGAATGCATCGGTATTGCCAAGCCAATTATCAATATTCTTCTTTGTCGCGCCTACACCCAAGTTGTTATCCTTCAAGCGGATCTTGACATGCTCTTTGTGGCCATCTTCGTTCACACCAAGACCTTTACCGGGTGCCCAACCCATCTTTTGTAACATACGAAAACCGAATTTTGATTCATCTTTACTCCAAAATAAATTGTTCGGATCAGCACTAATGCGTTGTTTGTCTTTCTGGCCAGCTAATCCCATTTTTTTTTTTTTACGAATAGGTATAGATAAAGGTAAGGTAAAGTTTGTTGAAATTAAAGTAATTTTTTTTTTTTGGAAAAAGAAAATCAAAGCCAGGATTGACGGTCACGAATTCAAAAAGCACGAATACAAATGCTGGATGTTGCAGCAATTTTGGCGAACGTTTATAGTAAAAAATGGCAGAGCCTCCAGAGTTATTTTGGCAGGGGAGTAGTACATATTACTATGGCAGATGTTGAAATGGCAGAAGTGTCTCTCATACTCAACTCTCAAAATAATGATTCTTGGCGTTCAGATGAACGAACTGAGCTTTTAAGATCCTGAAGAGAGCACATTTAACGTTTATGACAACTTGATGAGCATGATGTATATGCATAAATGGCTGAAGGAGCTGCTGCAAAGGGAATTGACGATGAGGTTAACAACGAGCTATTCAAGGAGGAACAGTGTAACCTGAGCTGCAGTCACTTGTGGATTTGCTGTAGTCACCCGTGGCATACATTTACAATTGAAGGAATAGACTTTGCAATGGTTAACAAGTCAGAACATGGTTCTCTTTGGTGGCTGATAAACGTATCCTTTGATATTGAATTCTATCCTTATTACCTCTAGGAATTAGTTCTTTCAAGATTATATGAATAATACTGTACTTTATGAACACCTTATGCTTAGGACTACGTGTACCTTATGAATCAATTATACTATATGAAATGCACCTACACTATGACCTTCATTTCCCAATTTTATTTTATTTTTTTTTTATTTTTTTAATTTTTTTTTGTTCAGTCAATTTGCAGGAGACAAAGATCTCGAGGTCGTTGGGACAGACGTCATTCTGGCGAGAATGGTTGTGCAGCTCCAACTGATTCCCAAACTGTCTGTTTTTTTAATGTTGTTAGGAACCCCTATTACATCTTATATGAGTGTAACATTGGTGCAAGATTTGGCATAGAAAACTTGCAGCATTGTTTATTTTAGCCCTAAGTTGTTCTTTTTACCCCAGTTAAAATATGCACGGTTTTCGCTGGTTGTGTATGTGAAAATGAATGTTTGGGCCCATCGTCAATAAGTCCAGCTGGTTCAAACTTGTGCTTGCTCCTTTATTTCAAAACGACTACAAAAAGTGCTATGCTGTCGTCCATATCAGGCAGCGTTCTCATTCTGTTTACTGAGTTCAAACAAGCCTCCACAGCTTAAGTAAGTCATATCTTCACCTCTTTCAAAAGCTCCTACAAGATCTATGTATGGTGAAGCTATATGGTTAGCAATATGCTTTATATTCTGTAGTGATGATGCTGAGTCTATTTCATTCTGATGGTTTTTCTTTTTTATTATTTGTTTGTAGCTACTTCAATATCTCAGACTTCCTCTCGCTTCTGTCTGAACGGTTCAAAACGTATACAGGGAAATGATACAGCCACTAATCTCAAATATCACAATCCAAGGATTACAAAGTTCTACCCCACCATCTGCGATATATTACGGAAATTGGAACATCTACAACACCCTGGCCACATTGACTCACCTAACGCTAGCAAAGTTGAATGTCCCTGTTGTATCCATGATACTACATTAATAAGTCGACCTCAATCCTAGCTTAACAATTCTGACGCATAGCTATTCTGCAGGTGATCCCGCCTCTATAACGCGTAGCGCATCTTTAAAGGTTACAGCTCAGTTGTATAAATAGTTTAACATCAGTTATGATCCTCGTTCTCATATTTGAAGAGACTACCTCAACATTTTGAATAAAAATCATCTTTGTTGTGTCTGGTCATTTTTATTGTCTATAATAACTATTGCTGGATATATCAGTCCCTTCCTCAGCTGGTTGATAAAACGCCTACCAGATGCACCTCCACCATTAGGATTTCGATGATCCTATTGAAATATAGTACAAATTAGTTAGTCTTCCCCTTCTTTTTTCCTTCTTTATGAATACTATTCAGTATAGCCAAACCCATCCTCACCCTTTTATTCTTAATCCCACTTCAGGTTTTTTAACCCCTGACCCCTTTTACGACTTCCAACTCTTTGTGCTATAAAACAGCAAGTAAACTGTTTACCCTTTCTTTTCGTTTCAATTTTGGTTAGTTCAAAATAAATTTCAACAGATACCATGTCATCAAAAAACCATATAATCACACATGGTGAAGCAGCATGTCTCGTGCTTGATCTTGAGCCTACGGAGCTCAATCAACAAAGGGCGAGTGAAGAATTTGACAAGTACATTTGACAAGTACAAGGTCGATGTTTGTTGTATATTGAGGCATAAGTCCGTATATAGATATTGACAGAGACAAATAAATCCTGCAATACTTGCTATGTGACTATCCCATAATATGACATTAGTCTCTTCTGGTACTTAATCATTCACTGTTGAGATTACATATGGATAAATGATATTCTTTATTGTCTGTGCATTATGAGATAATATTATTATAATAATAGAGTCCAATGCTACAGCATGTTCCATACATATTTTTATCCTAAGCCAGATAATATTAAGATAGATCCAATGGACATAATAGACTGAGGTATTCATGATATGAATGGCGCAGCAGAGACCTGAAGGTCGGATAAAAGATCTCTGGCTCAGCAACACCACTTGTATCAGGTATAGACCCAGACATTATCCAGAAAGATCATGTCTATTCCAGCAATTTCCATATTCTCTTAACATATCTATATCCGCCTATGAATATCCAATTGTATTCTTCCACATAGTCGTATCAACTGATATCAATGATATGGATGATTAAACATGTCTCATGTTACTGTTCTGATTTCCTAGAAATTTCCAAGCAAGCAATTCTAGAACTCCGCAAGGCATATCTCATTCTCAGATCAAGTTCCTGAAAAGTATAAATATGATCCCAAGTTGAAGTGTAGAAAGAAACTAGTCTTTGTCTTATCTTTATCTTTTGTCTTAATCGACTCTTAATAAACCTACCACGAGTTTTCACAGACTTTCTCTTTGTCTTTCTATTCTTTTACTATTATATTTTGCCCATACACAACAATGTTGTCTACGATCGTGAAAATGGACCTCTTAAACCTTTTGCCATGGGAAGATCATTGATCGCAAAACGTCCATATACATATTTAAGGTACCCCAGGTTGTCAGCAACAGAAATGTCAGTGACAGCAACAAACATTAACAACGACAATCAGCTCAATGTTAGCCTTGATATTGGTGGTGTTGCAGACTATGACAACATGGGCGAGGAAACCGCTATGATTGCCGATAACGACAGCATTTCCAGTGCTGAGGCCACTGAGAATTATAGTCGTTCGTCAATAATCGCAATACTCAAGTCTTTGTATTACCAAAATGTTCAGACAAAGAGTTTATTTGATTATGGGTTTCATACGACGCGCCAAATCTATGATGATCTGACAACTCACTTGCCTCGATTACATAGTTTGGTTACCTTTGAAACTTTTAGCAAATGGATCACAGACGCTGAGTTTGGTCCGAGAGTGTCCGCGCGTAAAAATGGCAAGCCAGTCAAAGGCCGCCAACTCTACAAGGTGAGGGAAAGTGCAGCGGGTGTCCTCACTGAGACATCGTCGGCTCTACGCCAAGAGCTGAATAATCGTGGCGAGAATTGGGCCTTGGTTGGCTATGTGCGGAAGTCAATCACTAAAGAATCGGACGAAAACACTGTGGTATTTCCATACCTCCTATAATATATAAAGACGAATTAGACACACTTTCAAGCATTTGACTCGTTATTATGATCATAGAATCATAATAACACTTGTACACGTCATCTTGTACGCATATGTAATGCTGCATTATTACTGGTTGAGAAATTCAGGTACAAGTATTTAACTCTTTTTTTTTTTGTAACTCTTTCCTTTCCTTCTTTCTTTTGTTGTCAATACAAACATCCAATTCGCTATGAACGCTTCCCTCTCTGATTTTTAGTGTATAATAAAAGGTAAGAAGACTCATTTCACCTTATAGTTTATATCAAAGTTATAAGTCGCGTTTACTAAACATAAAACAACTACAAATATCACAAACACGACCAGATTACTGCAATTGATGATCAACAAATTGCAGAATCGTTGTTTTTGCTCCCGAATCTACGCTTCGCCCAACAGTCCAGCATCCAAGGCTATCATGGAAAGGGACTTCGACATGTCGGAGAGAAACGCCAGCATAATCGATAGCCTAGCTGGCTGTGACGGCAACGCACAGGATATGCTACATTTTTTAACGCACACCACTAAGCGTATCCAGCTCTGCGTCATTTCGTATGCCGGACTATCTACTAGACCAGATGACGTGGAATGCTTTCTTCGGTAAAAAAGAAAGAGAAAGGAATAAAACCGAGCCAAATCACATATTTACTATTTGTACTCATACATAGCGCGTGCAAGATGGTCAAGAGCGTGACAATTGATCATGATTCACACATTGAATCAATCGATAGATACGCCTTGTTGCATGGGAGCAAAGAGAAGCTCGAGAAATTCAAGTCTCGAAACGGCTGTATCAAGCGCTCCAAGTGATGGCGGTATCCTTACTGTAAAATTATTCCGCGTTTTCTGTAATTCTCAAATAAAAAAAAAAAAACCAAAAAAAAACCAAAAACCAAAAAACGACTTCACGGTGCAAGCAGATTGTTAGTGAGCGATTCGAGCTAAATAACTCAGAAAATCTTGTAGTTTACAACAGTTTTCATTAATTGCATCAAAATTGCCCGGGGTAGATCCTCATGAACACATATTTTAATTATTTATGGCTAAAAATCCCTTTTGGAGCAAGTGTCAAAAAGGTTTTAAACAGTTGTGGTTGCCGAACTGGGAGTCAACCTTTGTAGTAAGGCATCATCGAGAGGTGGAGCTGGTTGAGGGGATTAATGCCATGGAAGAGGTGACCCATTTCATAAAAAAATATAGCAAATGATTGGCCAACGGACTTTCCACGATTGGCGAGTAATAAGAGAAAGCGGATGGTGTGTGGGCAGTTTGTTCAACAGATAAGACAGTGGGTCAGGAATGGATGCTGGCATTATGAGACGGTTGTGCATCTGTAAGCAGTGTAAGGCATGTTGTTTGGTCATGAGGGTGTGAGGATGGCGGGAGTAGAAGTTGAAATGACCGCCTGGAAGCCAACCGAGGCGCCATCGGATGCAGGGGCTACGTTCACCACTTGTCATTGGGGGCCATAATATAGGGTCGAAGCTTATAGATGATCGGCATGCCGAGAGGAGTTCGAATTTTGGTGTGGCTGTCGCTGTTGATGTAGGGTTTTCTGTCCGGTAGGCATGAATGCATTAGTTGAGAACTTTATTATCAGCAGATGGTTGTTGTTGAACTCGATTCCAAAGGTGGGAGCGGCTAATGCGGACGTAAATAGATTTGCTGGAAGGCTGTCGGACGAACGGGCGTAGTAGAACAAGGAGCGCACCATCTGGTAGATGCTGTGAACGGAGCAGGTATTTGGCTTGTAAGATGGCGCAGCGTTCTTTCATAGATGGGAGGTTAGCCAGATGGAGCATCACTTTTACAGCGGAGCGGGACGAACCGTCAAAGATTTTTCGGATACAAGAGTTCTGGGCCTTTTCCAGTTTAGGTGTATTTGTTTAGGTCATGGGACAGATGGCTAAACCATATTCTAGCTGTGGCCGGATCATATGAGCGTAAAACCTGAGGTAGTGTTTCTCAAAACCAGGGTTGTTCAAGCCAATAGTATTGACCATATTCGTCGTAGCCAGTGCTTTCGTAGTGTTTATATGGACGAGTTCAGAGGGATCTTAATAAACATTAGGACGGAAAGGAACACCAAGATAGTGAATTAGATGATTGGTGTCAAGGGAGTTCCATAGAGTCGATAGGTTAGAGGGCCATTATGGGGATCCAGAATGAAACATTTGTCAGGGTTCCACGAATAACCGAGAGTGTAGCTGTGTTGTTCACATTGGTGTAAGAGGAGTGGAAGGTGACGGCGGTCTGCTATCAGTACCACATCATCGGCATAAGTAAGCAATTCAGGCGGCTCGTGAGTTTTAATGGAGGTAGGTGATTCACGGTCTGTCGGGAGCGTAGGATGGCTGGTAACTCTTTGATGTAGTAGTGAAAGTTATTTAAGTAGTAAATAGCTTGAGTTTTTTAGAAGTTGATGAAAATAGAAATAAGCACGAAGAATACGTCGTAAAGCTTAGGTATATTAGTGTACTTTAGAATAGAGACCAAGAACTAAATATTCTGAGAGCTATCCGAAAGTATAAACACGCGTTCTGATTGTAGTTGAATTGAGCTTCCTATTTGAGATTACCATATTGAAAGGCAGACATGTTTAACTGAAGCTCATCGTCTCCAGTACCACAAGTAGGAGTATAGTAAAGTAGATAGGATGGAACTTTGAAAAACACCGTTGGTGGGGTTGGAAACGGGTGGACTTGGCATTTTGGAAAAGGATATTAATCTGTACATCGTCAAAAGGATTTTGGAGTAGAGGTTGAAGGAGGCTCGGTACATTTGATTCACGTAGGCTGCTCCAAACAGGCCGGCGGTCTACAGTATCGTAAGTTGATTATATATCGAGGAAAGCGAGCACTGGAGAGGTGGCGTAGTGTCGCCGTAAAATGTTGCATATTTCAGTTAAGCAGAAGATCCATTGAACTGCGAGCAATACGGAAACCACCTTGAGCCAGATCGATGGGTGGGCCAGATGTCAAGACAATGTCTTTCAAACAGTGCTCAAGAATCTTACCGAAAGTGGAGTTCGGCTCCATTCTTGTTGAAGATGCCTGGTTTGGTTAAGTAATCCTTGAACTCTTTCAAATGAATCTGATACCTGGCTTCAGTATACAAATTGTGCGAGGCAACTTCACGTTCAAATCTAATGCTGCTTCATTCTTACATGCTATTGTATTCACCATAGCAGATACTTCTGTTGTGCCCAAGGCTCAACTATGTTCTTTATTATTTGACAATCAGTATTACATCTCGCTCTTATATGACAAACTCAACTATAAAAACTTTTAGATGGCTCTAACCAACTCAGTTAGCACTTAGCAGGTTTTACTATTGAACAACATATTTAGTTTACCAAAATCTATTCAAAAAAAAAGGACACACAGAACTCAATAAAGGATAGCTTTTGTGTCTGGTTAACCTTTGGACACAATGTTCTATTATTTTAAGTGTCTCTCATTAAGCGGATACAACAACTTCCTTTTATCAAATTATATCACACCTGCCGTAACCATACATGTTTAGCAGTATTACAGAACAGCTAATAAGTAGGTGTTTGCTAATAGTTCTAACGCGAAGGTCTCAATCATCCTACTAGTATTTTACGGGAGCGAGTGATTACCCATTTATTTATTTTACTTTTTTATTATATATCAATGAATAGTTGTTGTACGTCCTCCTATTCTATAATAAAGGAAATCAACGGGGATTCACTTCGTATCGTCTTATGTTTCCACCAAAGTACCTCAAACACCAAGATAAACAAGTGACTACAGCAAATCCGCAAGTGACTACAGTAAATCCATAACTGACTACAGTCAAACCTACAAGTGACTACAGTCAAACCTACAAGTGACTACAGCAAATCCAAAAGTGACTACAGTGAATCCGCAAGTGATTAGTAAATATCAAAGTTGACGAAACGAAGGCTGAAAATGTGATACATGCTCTCTGAGCCACGCTTTATTTTCCTTTTTTGATAATAATAAAATGTCTTTCCTTTCTTCCCTATATCTTCTAAGCTAAGCTATATTTTTTATTTTTTTATTTTTTTGAGGGAGGGAAATAAATGATAATGTAATACTAATAAATTTGTTGGTTAACCGAAAAGGCGGTACCAGGGTCGGGTATGTATCACATTTTGAGCCTTCGTTTCGTCAACTTTGGTATTTACTAATCACTTGCGGATTCACTGTAGTCACTTGCGGATTTGCTGTAGTCACTTGCGGATTTGCTGTAGTCACTTGCGGATTTACTGTAGTCACTTGTAGGCTTAACTGTAGTCACTTGCGGATTCACTGTAGCTACTTGTAGGTTTAACTGTAGTCACTTGTAGGTTTGACTGTAGTCACTTGTAGGTTTAACTGTAGTCATTTGCGGATTCACTGTAGTCACTTGCGGATTCACTGTAGTTACTTGTAGGTTTAACTGTAGTCACTTGCGGATTTGCTGTAGTCACTTGCGGATTTACTGTAGTCACTTGCGGATTTGCTGTAGTCACTTGCGGATTTGCTGTAGTCACTTGCGGATTTACTGTTTTTTATAAACCCGCTGATGTATATACGTTTAAAGAATAAAAACTTCATCTTAACAAAACTTCTCTATCTAAGCATCTGTCCCAAAAAGTTTCGGAGTGTCTGATCCAACCTAAGCAATATTCTACAGAGACTGAGAGGCAGGCTTGCTTAATTCTAGGAGTTAAGGTATCATTGGAATCTAAAGGGTTTCGTCGAATGATACTTTTAATTTTGGACCAGCACTCTTCGATAGGATTTAGAAAGGGTGAATATGGTGGCAGGAAAAGAGGCTTGATCCACGTAAATTCATTGCTTTCACGACAAATTCAGAATGTTGCATTCTGCAGTTATCCATAACAATGAACATATCCTTTTTGTTAAGCTGATCCAAAATATCCATTACACTCTCGACAAATTTAACAACATGATATGTGGTAGTCCTTTTCCTAAGCTTCGGTTTTTCGTCATTGTCTCGTTTCCGTTTTTTCTCACTTTGGAATTCCTTCGAAATGATTTCGGCCTCCTTGACTGTCATAGAGTTAACTTTTGAAAAATCGACAATACCGAAGTGAGAGATACAGCCTATAATACTGATATTCGAACCCTGTTGAGGAAATACTTTCACGTTTGCTGCTTTCCCAACTTTCGGCCATGTGCGATTTCTGATCATATGCATATTGAAGCCAGCCTCATCCATAAATACACAATTTGTTTGAAAATCGACGCCTGCAGCCTTCCATTCTGTTATAACACTGACACGAAGGTCAAGTGTTCTAGGTGAGTCTCTTTCAATAGTATATTTGGATGCATTTTCCGAAGAAAGAGCACATTTCTCAGTTATATGCTTCCATAAACCAGAAATAGAGATAGTAAAACCCTCAAAATTACTAATCAATTCTAGACGGACTAAGGAAAGAGTAAGTGACGAATTTTCGTCAAATAGTTTCAAAATGAAAGCAGTGTGCTCAGGCGAAAACTTCCTGCTGGACATCGTTCGTTTCTTTAATTTATCTACTGTAAGGTTTAATGGGATTATAGTACCATTACTATCGTTGAACTTCTTGACTAACTTGTATGCTGAGCTGCGCGGAATCCCTGAAAGTAACGCAGCTTCTGTAACACTTTTGCCTTCTTCTTGCAAAAGATAAATCATTTTCTTAATTTGAGCGGTATTATACCCTCGTCGTTGTTTCATCTCCTTGATACAAGCGCCTCCATATGCGATTGCAGCTCATCAACTACGTCAGACATCTCAACATTAGGAGTCTCTGCAGGCTGTTGTGGTTCACCGTATTGAACCAGTGTTTGAATATCGTTGTAATCAATATCCATTTTACTAGATTTATTGTCTGCTACATACTAGCCTTCTTTGACGGGGTCAAAGTTTTTTTGAAGACAGAAATTCTAGACGGTGTGCCTAAAAAAATAATTGAGGTTCAAATGAAAGTCATTGAAAGCTAGAGTAAAGCGTAAAAAAATAAGTCAATAGGAAGTATTACTTATTTGAAAGAAGTGGATATGAGCTTTGTAGACAAGATAGTGTCATGAGCTTCTTTATTACTGGCAGCAGTTTTTAAGAAGGAGTTCATTTCAACCCTGCCATTAAACAAATGACCATTGATTAATAGCCTATCTAATAGATAACACAGGTTGTTAGTGAAGTAGAAGTCAAAGAAATTGGTCAACAAAATGTAGATGCGCAAATACTGTTCGGAATGTTCAAAGCTGAAGTCGATGCTGCTAGTAGAATATTGTCGAAAATTTACCTATAATTCACATTAATTAGCTGTGTGGTGTCGAATTATACGGCCATGGCGAACAGGTGCTGTTTATTCTGCTCTAAACATTTCTTTGAAAGCAGGCCAAAGCAAAGGGAAGGAAGACCCTTTGTTATACGGTGCTGAAGGTTTATATAGTATCTATCATTCACATCTATAACGCCATATCAAACCCGATTACTCACAGGCTTCAATATTTACGAGTAAAGCCGTCGAGCTTTTACATTCGTTCCCAACTTTTCAACAATTTGAACTTTAACACTAAAATAATTTGAAATTGTCTGATTTACTAGCTCAAGCTTCTCAACGAAAAAGCCGTCAGAGAGATCGAGCACCATCATTAAGGTTTCCTACTCAAAAAGTTTTGCCTGGTTAAACCAAAATTCTTTTTAATATAAAGGCAATCTATGTACATAAGTTTACAAACTTCTATCTCAATTCACGAGAATACACAAAATTTACAAAAAAGGCGTACAATGCTTGGAGATTTCTTCCCAAGCTCGATATTCTTCTTTATCAGAAGCGAATGCCAAGGCTGTATGTACCCAGGCTAAGAGTCCATTGTATTTGATAAGGTTGGTTACCACATTGGGAATAGCCATTGCCTGTTCCAGGATCTATTTGAGAGAAAGAAAAATAAAAGGGAAAAATAATAATAAGAAATTATTAGTATTGAATCTGCAAAGGTAGCTTTTCTTTAGGTATTACCTCAAGAATTGCTTTTTTACTAGCCATATCTGCATAAGCAGAACTATAATAACTTGCAATCACATCAAAGATACGTTGTCTGGAGAATATTTTGTAATCTTCAAATGTTCGTAGCGAAGATGATAAGACATGCAGTAGCCAAAGACGCTCTTTCTTGTGGTTCGCAGATGACGAATTGAATAAGGAAGAGAATAGAGGAATGTACTATTAAGAGAAAATTTAGCGATGGAACCATAGTAACAACGGAAAAAGAAAAACTTACATTAAAGTCGAAAGTTGAATTTTGTAGAATCCAAGTAGTTATGTGAGGCAACATAAAATGATCAGGATGAAGTAAAATAGACAAGGTATGCGCCATGCAAACAGAAATGGCTGCAGGAATACGAGGGGCTTCTTCTGCTTCGGATCGATTCTTTATAGAATGTTTGAGACTATCCAAAACGAATTTGATTGTGCTTTGTTCTTTAAATCGTGCGTGCTCCAACATGATATAGAATTGGTCAAGCATCTGAAAAGCAATCTCCCGAATATGAGCATCTGTAGACGATATGCCAACAATAACGAGACCTAAACCATTGCATTCAATGAATTTGCGGCAATCAAGGGCACCAGAAGACATAAGGTTTGCAAAGAGAGGGTAAAAGAATGCTGTGTCATAAACAACCGGCTTATTGTGTTGAATAATACAAAGATCTGATTCATGAGCAGCAACAACTGACAAACCATGATTGTCGGGGAAGTGCGTAAACGTATATTTCATAAGTGCTGGATCTATCAGACCAAATGTTTCAATCGAAATCGAATTTGTTTGTAATAATGTGCCGGCTTGAGCATGACTTTGACGATTGCGGTCAGAACCAGAACCCCACATTAGCATTTTTGGCAGGACTGTCTCACGACCGTGTGTTTCGCACGACATCATAATTTCCAGTATCAATTTATCGGATGAATTTGTTGTGGCATTATAACTAGTCAAAAGTGGATCTAGTAAACCATGATTCGCTGCTAATATCCCGGGCTGTATTTTATTCAGCAGTGATAGTATTTGAATGATTACAGACCTTTGCGCACTGTTTTCGGGAACTTGATAGGCTAATAATTTACCGACATCTAGTGCTGTTAATCTTTGATAATCACCATGTTCCAAAATACGACGGATGTAAGTTGCAATAGGTTCGGACTTGTCAAAGTTTACATAGAATCGCTTTATCAAGCTTTGTACACAATTCATAGCTGAAGCATTGTCTAGAGTATCCATTATCGAAGTTAATATAAAATCGCGAACCGCTTCTGCTTCTAGAATTGCTGTCATGTTCAATTCTTCTGGTAAATAGTTCAAAAACTCTGCTAGTTTTTCATAAAAATCATCTTCAGGTATTGTTTCAGATATGGTATTAGCATCAGCAGCAACAGTGAGTTGCTTGATGAGCTTTTGCATGACCGACTTAATGTACTTTTGTTGCTCCAATAAATTTTCTGGCAGCAGGTCATACCCAATTTGAATCACGTCAATCAATCCAGGAACCAAATGGAATGGCTTTTCCAGACGTTCATATATAATTCTAGATACATCAATAGATTGGTTGCGGCAGACTTCTTTTAATTTAGCCTTCTCTATTGAAATACTTTTCCCAGAAAGGATGTATTCAATTATTGGTTCACAATAACAATCTAAAAGTATCATGATAGCTTCGTTTTCTATTTCGCCGTTACTGCCTTTGATTATTCTTGATTCCAAAAAGAAAAGAATTTCATTTCTGATATTTGAGTTTGCATTTCTTTTTGCAAATTGAGCAATGACATCCCATATTCTTTCCGTATTGATTGTTTCATAGAATACATCTATAAAAATAAATGCTAGTTTCAAGCACTATAACCGTGAAAAAATGTTAGATTTTATAAGATTTCATAGGAACATTACTGGTAGACAATTTTGCAACCTACATTGGCATCAACATTTGCACTTTCGCTGGTGAAGCTATCGATTGTGTTAACTAGTGCTGAACTGACACGTTCTAAACTAGGGTGATAGAGTATATGTGCCTTGATATCGCTTTGTAATTTGAAATCGGAGAAAGAATTAACGGATTGGAGGATATAGCTAATAAGTGCAAATGCAAATCGAAGCTTGTCGAATTTTTGCCTTTCATTGCCTATCAACGTCATATTGATGAGCTGGAACAAAAATGAGATAGCATTGAGTATTTTTCTTCCTTCGCTGATATCTAGTCTTTGTTGCAGACTTGCAAGGCGTTCATCGCTGAAGTCTGACACTAAAATGGCCTTGTAAATGGACGCAATAAAGGGGCTGAAAGCCAAAATAGAGACAATACGCTCACTATATTCGAAAGCAAGAAATAATTAATCGTCAATATTGGAATGAAAAAAAGAAAAGTTGCTCGGCAATCGATGGACTTACTTATCAAGTCCCAGATTCGATTTGAAGCGAATTAGAGCATGCTTCATATACTTCTCTTCAACAAGTTCTTCAACTGTAGGCTGTTGTTGTTCGCCTTGGTTGTGAATTTTCAGATCTTTCGAAATCTCCAAAAGGTAGAAAGGTGTGGTCTGTGTGGTGAGAAGCACAACAAGCAATTTTTTAACGTATAATAATGCAGGCCGTTTATCGCCCTTGATGAATTTCAAATTTTCGCATAAAGTCAACAACAAAGGACTGAAAGGATGACAATAATCAGAGGCGGTTGCAATATTTGATTGGGAAATCAGGAAACTGCTAGTGACATTAAGGTTTTCATGTTGAACCATGGATTCACTTGAAATATTATTGACAAGATCGACTAATTTATCTGTATACTTATATTGTCCTTTACTGAAACGTGTGATACAGTTGTCGAGAAATTGAAGTACAGCTTGTTGTGTTTCTGTGATGCTGTTATTGTCAGACGCCGATTCAGCCTGTGGTAGAACTTCCAGCCAAAGCTGAACTTCATCAGGGTTATGAGCGAACATAAATGACTCGGATAATACTTGGTACAATAAATTTGCAGTAAGTTCACGAATATATTTGTATGGTGTTTGGAGATATAGTTTTAGAAGTGTGACAATATGTGATGTTGAAGATCCAGCTTAACAATAGAATAACAATGTAAGCGATCAAAGTGTAGTGTACGGATAGTATGTCCATTTGTTTCCAATCAATTACTTACATGATTTACCAGCTAAGTTGAAGTGGCGCATGTTCAATAGTAATTTAAGCAAGTGAATTAAAGTAGCAGGTTTAACTGATAAAATATCAGAGGGTATCAAGTTGGTGGGATCTATGTTGGACTCCATTAAGGTCTCAGGGACGAATTCTTGATAATAACGTATCAATCTGAATGCAGTATCTTCCAAAAGATCATTCTGCGCTCGCAATTCTTCCTCATTTGGTCCATTTCTAAGTTCGGTCTTATTAGTTGTTTGCTTATACAAAGCGATTATTGTCTGAATCTCTGGAATTCGTCTACGGACCCCTTCTTGGACGCTATCCAAACACTTTTTCCAAGTTTGTGAAGGCTTTTGTGTGATAATATCCTCAGTGTTGTCTGTCTTTCTATTCTCTGCTTCAGACTTTTCAAGAATCATAATAGCATTCCTCATTGCTTTGGATACCTTATCAAACTTTTGAAACACTGTTGCCAAGTAAGTCATAGTTACATATCGTACTAGAGGACTAGCGTGCTGCAAGCCTTTACTGGAAGCTGATCGATTGAATACATTGGGTATAATATTGTCGAGAATAATGTTCATTGCAGGCGGTTCAGCTGGATAAAGCCCAGTTGTTCCGTACATTAAAGAAGGAACCGATAATCGCACGATTTTTTGTAAAACTGTCATATTCGCTAACCATTTGCTGGAAATTCGTGGCTCGAATGTTAGAGTTGTGCCATTCCAATATCTGTAGAATTTTGTGTTCGTGAGTATAATGCTTTATCACCCTTCGAATTGATTAAACTTACTCTTTCACAAGCTCAGGACAGGAAGCCAATATTTTAAGAAGAAGTTCCTGCTGACGCAAATCATCTGCCGGTCTTAGAGTTGTGATAAACTTAGCGAGGACTCGGTTGGTAATGCGTGTATTTTTAACATCAGGTGCAGTATCTTCCTTCTCGAGCTGGGGAGGGTACCATTGTGTGTCTCTCAAGCAGATACCTACATCAGGAATACTACAGATAGAGATTAAGAAGTGGTGTACTAAATCGGCTGGAATTCTAGTCTCCCCTCCTGCTATTTCCTCTTCTTCGTTCCGGTTGTATATTTTGGCAAGTTTTTCAAGGATATAAGATGAAAAGAAAAATATTTTGCTACTTTTCGGTACACCACTGTCGAGCATCAAATTTTCATACGTAACAGAGAGTATTTGTTCCATTAACTAATTAAAGTTATGTGCTCTTTTAATTAACATCGGTAGCAGGCCAATAGCGAATATTTCAACTTACAGGATATGCATCTTCATCCATGCCTACATAGATTGCGCTGACTACACCTTTAACACCCAAAAGTTGTTTTTTGAGATCACAGCTTCCATGTTTGAAAAATGCCAGTATAAACTGGACGTAATTCGTTCTTAAATCTATTGGGAAAAAGAAAAGAAAAGAGTTCATATCACTTTGCATCTATTTTCGAATGATAATCAGGAGAATTACCGTAGAGATAGCTTTGTGGTTTCTTATTTTTCTTCATCTGCCTATACCGCGAAGCTTTCATAAATCCCTACGAAATGCACTTAGTCCCTTGCGATAACAAAAAATTGAGTAAATTGTATCTTACTTCAGCTTGAAAGTTGAACGTTGTATAGAAATCCCTTGCAGCAGAATCGTTAAAAGAAACAATTGATGTCATTAATTTGAAAGTAGATTGACTTTGAGATATACGCATGGAAGAAACACCACGATAAATGAGTTTCATTTGTCTCTGTAAAATAGTTTGAACAATTTGAAGCCCATATGAACGGATAATAGGTGTTGTACATAGTCTAATGAATAGACCGATGATATCAGGCACCATGCACTCCATATCCTGAATATTAGACTAATTAACAATATAGTTAGCTTTTGCATAACAATGTGTGTTGCTTATTTGGATGTCTTACAGAAGCTTGATAATCCCATAAACCATTGAGATCGTGACTATCAGAACACGATTGACAATATTCAACAAGTGGCCGAGTATACTTTTCCATAGGATCAACTCGAACTCTTGTTGCATGACTCAACTGAGCTCTTAATACCACCAGACCTAAACATTCCTAGTTGTGTCAATAAGAGCTACTAATGACTTGAGCCTGTTATTTTTGTTACCTTTAATAAGGGATTGTAAATCTTTAATTCTAAGCGCATTAGCTACTTCCTTGGGTGTAGTATAGAACTCCTCTAATTTTATAGTCTTTTCTCCCATCTATTTGCTTAGAATCTGACAGATTTTAAACCATGTAAGGCATTGTAACTTTTGGTTTCTATATATTCTGTGATTCAGGTGGCTTACATTAACAAATGCCTGTTGGGACTGCTAAAGTTAATTGTTCATTTGCATGAATTTTGTATTTCAACCATTTCACTTTTCAGGAACAGTAATTTCTAAGGTAAGCTAGGGTATCCGTAAATCAACTCCATATTGTGCTGCAGGTGGTTTGAACAATCATCAAATGCTGGCTTTCCGAACAAAAAACACGCCAAATGAATAAACTGCATATGTCGCCGTTGAATGACTCAAAAGATCTGCTCTCTTTCCAATAAGTGATAATGCACACACCAGCTTGAGCGATTTTTATTCTTATCAGCGAGCTTCATAGCGAAGAAGCTTTAAAAGATTTCATTTGTTTCTTTTTGAAGGATAGCAAAAATTCATTTTTGTATTCATGTTACGTTTAAAGAAATCTTTTTATTACAATATTTAAAACCCAATGAGCACCAAAAATTGCCCGGGCAGATCCTAAAGTTTCTATAGTATAAACTATATATTGCTAAAAACCCCTTTGGGAACAAGGGTAAAAAAGGATTTAATCAGTTGTTACTATGTGAGGGCTGGGTCAACCATTGTAATAGGGCATAGCCTAGTGAGGGGTCTGGTGGAGGTGGATCCAATCCATGAAACAAATGGTCGAGTTCATAAAGAGTATTCATGTTACAGTATTTTTACTTTCCGTACGAGACAGTTTTGAATTATTTGGTGGATAATTTGAGTTTTATTGGAAGATGTTTCTAGGTAAAACAGGCCACGAATTGAAATACCTGTTAAGACCTTTACACTTTAATTGGAGACATTACTTGAAGGTTATTAGACATTTTTCAATTGATAGCGGCACCATATCTGAAGTACTACGAGATGTATTGAAACTTTCAGCGCGACACAGGTTTTATTAGTAATAGACACAGGGTTGTGGTTTACGAGACGTTATTTTTAGATGAAATAAATTGATCTACGCGTTATTCCGCCACATACGTAGATAACGGTTGTTGTCAAACTCGAAGCATTTAGATGTCTTTTCTTTAACTTTTCATCATCACATTCTTCTTCTATACTTTCTTTCCTCATTCTGCAAGCCATTACTTATCATGTACAAAGCCGAAATCTTGCAAAAAATTAAATCGGTGGCAGAAGCCCATAGAAATAAAGTCGAAGATAAATCCTTCCGTAAGTAACATATGATCGCGCTGCCACAAGTAGGTTATAGTGACAAGCCTCAGATCATGTTTCGTATGACTAGTAAACATCGAATGCAAGGATTGCAAAACACTCGGACATTTCAACAAGGCATACCATGAATGTAAGTTTTACAAAGCAGTTTCTGTGCGTGATGGTAAGTATCATGCTCTCGCTACAGGATGATGTTATGTTTGCTTAACGCAAATTTAGTTAGAAGTAGCGGCAAGAAACGTAAGCAATCAGCTAAAACCAAGGAAGAAAAGAAGCAAACAACTGGAGATATCAAGTGCATCAGTTGTGGCTTAAAGGGTCATTCTACTTCTCGTTCCCTCGAATGGAAAAGTTGCCAAGGGTTATACAGCCCAACTCGAACAATTCTGTAAAGTCCTCAACTTCAAAAAGTTTGGCTTTAAAAGGTAAAACCTGTAGAAGAACTTCTTCCGCAAAATATTATCCCTAATAGTAAACACGCCCCTACTTTTGCTTGTGTCATAGTCTAAACGCTTTGAAGGAAAGTTCTGATGTAATGTTTCGAAACATGGTTAAATCGGACGGTTTACTGTGGGCTTTTTGTTCAGCCGCAAAAAGAAAGTAAAAGAAGATATGACCATTCATAATCACACCTTGACTTTGGAAGATTTTTCTCATGACGAAGTACAAGACAATTACAGACCCGCTTTCCTTGATCCAAGGCGAAGGTCTGTCTTCACAGCGGCAATCGGACTAGACCATAACCAGCATCAAGTACGCAGCTGCTCTACCAAGGAATATTATCATATGACCGGCAGTACTAGATACATTGCAAAACTAGAACAGCAGAAAGCAGATACTATTAAAGTGATCGAAAGTGGCATGCCGTCCGCCAAAACTTGCTTCATTGATCAATACAACTGTTATGTACAGTACTTATTGTAGCACTTGGATGCCTTGTTCTCTTTTTACAGCGAGAACACTGCTCAAGACAGATTTCATTTGTATCAGGGTCGGAAGCGTGCCGCTGACAATATGGTCAATATGCTTATCAATGGAACTAGAAATTACAATAAGCAATTGAGGTGGAAGAAGAAAAAAAATCGAGACAGATGGCCAAAGAAGAATAATTACAGAACGGCCTTTTCTAAACGAAGAAAGAAGAAGAAGAAGAAAAAGTTTCCGGAAGAGAAGAAAGATGATGAAGCGAGGAACGTAGACGAAGTTATCGCAAAGAAAGATAAGTAAGGTTTCTAAATGACAAGTACATCATCCACTATCTGAAGAAAATATAACAGAATTTCATAGCAATTCCGTAAAGAACATGTGGAAGCCTGACTCCTTCAGTGTAGGCGACGTTAGAAAGGTCCCTCTAATTGTGTTTGGTAGTGGCATGTTCGGGAAATCAGCCGTGCCCATCAAAGGCCACAAGACTGGTGCCGTTGGGATTCTTTGGCGTACTTTGAAGCGAAGAGAGGCTGCTGGTAATTTACGAGTGATAACAATTGATGAATACCTAACTTCTCGAATATGCAACAATTGCCGTTCCAACACTGTTGAGGCATTGAAGACTGTTCCAGGCCAAAGTATCCTTGCCTGCAAAACCTGTTCGATACTTTGGAACCGGGACGTCAACGCTGCAAAAAACATGTTGGCAATTAGCGTGTAGATATGGAAGTCAATGGGAAGACCTACTGAGTTTTGTAGAAAACCAAGGAAGTCACCCGCATCAACCGCTTAACAGCATCCTCTCATCCCCAGAACGAAACTGGCTCGATTTTTACAGGTAGACCTATCTGGGAAATTGTAGTGGCTGCTCGTAAATTTGCTGCGGAATTCTAAATATCAATCTTACTTCGTCTGTAGTGATATTTTGACCGTCTCCACCACTGTATAAGCTTCCTTTTTTTGAAAGTCAACTTTTCTGGCCGCAGCAAAATACAACAGCAGCCGATTTTCAGAGAGTATAGTTGAAAGAGTCATTTGATACAATGATACGGCAGGATAATGCGTGATTTTATTCCTTTCATACCAGCCTCTACAGAAGGCGTCAGTATATCAATTTGGGAAGCTGCTCTGGAATCTTGGCTTGCAAATTTAACAGAATTACTGAACTTGTCAGATGAAACCTTTTTACGCGAAATTAAGGCAAATACGTCACTTCAACATTTCATCGAACGAGTACTAGAAGAACAAATAGATAACGAAAACACCATTGACGGCAAACTGTTGCGTTATGTCTTCTATGTGTACAACAGGCTGGCCGAGTTATGTAGTATGGATGATGACTATTCAATGCTGAAATGTCAACCCTTTTGCAACTTTATTATTGTGTTTAATCAATCCAACACCGAGCAAGTACGACGAATGACAAAATTAGTATTGGGAAAGTATAGCGACCTAGAAGAAAACATCATATCCATCATCAATTCCCTAGTTCAAACTCTTCAATTGTTTTCAAACGTACTGGTGACGCCGATTCCCCAAGATGTTTTGATTCGAGGTTATATGTCTATGCAGATACTACAGACACTATTGTCAGCAACCTTATTAGTAGACTCTGTTCATACTGCCTTCATCGAACTGGACGCAATATTGATTGATTCCTATAATGATCTTACGCCTAATCTTAAAAAAACAGTTGAACTTAGTGCTGAAGCCGCAACCTATGCCTTTCTGCTTAAGAAAGCAATTGTGTCTGTTTTCAACACATATGTTGATTATCATTACTTCCAACCGCTGGGATACACTACTTCCTCTAAGAATCCCAATCGCCTTATTAAAGTTTCGACTGCCAATGAATCGGTTCTCGATCATTTACACCAAAAAATTCTAGAATATGTAGAGAAAAGCGATCTGAAAACGACGCAGAACGCATTCGTTGATGGACCATTGATTATGGATTGGGAGGTAGAATATCACATCGTTGAAAAGTTGGATTTCATTAACCGCGAACTCTTCCATGGAGAAGATGAACGTACAATATTTCTCAAATTGATAATGGAGCAAGTTCATGACAGTAATAAGGGAGAAGAATCTTGGGGGGACAGCCTTATTACAGAAGATGATAGTGTAGGATCGGAAACCGCAACACAAATGGATACGGATTTGGAAAACATGGCCAAAATATCACAAATTCATGATCTCTTTCCTGACTTCGGCGAAGGATTTATTGAAGCTTGTTTGCAGGCCAATAATGGCGATACTGAAGCTGTAGTGATGCAGTTATTGGAAGATACACTCCCTCCCACTGTCAGCAATTTGGACCGTACTATGCAAAGAAAGGCTCTGCCTAATGAAATCGCCAGTGTCAGTAGTTTTCAAGATCTGGAGAATGAGGAACAAGCGACGGCACTCAATAGAAATCAGCCACGTAACGATGGCAGTATTTTGTCGACCCGACATAATATTTATGACAATGATGAATTTGATGTCTTTAATCGCAAGAATATTGATACAACGAGAGTCTACGTTGGTAAAAAAGATAAAGGCACTGCTGATGCACTTCTTAAAAATGAACGTCTTACAGAAGAAGATAAGAAGAAGGTCATACAACGTGTTGTGGATATTTATGACGACGAATATGATGATACATATGATGATATAAATGATGCGGGCATACCAGCCTCAACTGAGACTGAAGATACCGATTCAGCGATGGATGTTGTCAAACGAAAACAAGAAGCTGTAGACCCTGGAGTGCAGAATGAAAGCTTGTTAGTACACACATTTGTTGATAATCCACAGTTGTTTGAACGTGGCGGTGCTGTTCGTAAGTCCGCTGCTCGTGCTGAACTACGAAAGCGAACTTGTATGTCGGATGAACAATTGGAAGGCTGGGCAATTATGTTCAAGCGGAATGTAAGTGTGTTAAGGGTTTGGTGAATAGACAAGTGGGGATAGTATTAGACTTCGAAATTGACTGACATTTCATATATGATTTGTTGACTGCAGCCACGTAAACAACGAATTCTTGACAAATACATGCTTTTCGATGGGCAACAGGAGCAAGTATCAGAAAAAACTACTGAAAAACAACGACAAGCAGGCAAAGAAGACGCTAAAAGAAATGTTGTGTCTGAAACAAAGGATCATGCTTTCAAGCAGAAAAACAAGGCTCGTTTTGCAAACCATAATCGAAAAGCACAAAGGGATAGAAAAATCGCCAAAGCAGCTCCTTCTTCTAACTAGTTTCCTTGTATCATGTTTTACAAATCCCAGTAGAATTACCATAATAAACCTAGTCTACATTTTCAGTCAATATTCACCCACATGCATCATGAATATTTTCTTACAACAACGCTGTTTAATCCTTGATTATTACAAAATGCTAATGGGTGATCAGAAGTTATTGAGAGATAATGACACTCTTGAGAACTGTCAAGCAACCTATTTTGCCTTTTTATTACTATTGGCTGAATCTCTAAGATACTTTCTGCGCTGAGCTCTCATATGATTATACATCACAGGAGATCCTGGTGCATATAATAAAACAACAATAATGTAAAGGTAAAAATAGATATTTCCCCATTCGGCTTTGACGTAAGGTAGGGATAAGAAAGTCATAATCAACTCTGAGCTGATACCGGTAGGATATAAGACCAAAAAAAACGTATAACGTGCCCAGGTGATGAAAGCTGGAACTGAACCTAACAGGTTAGTGGAGTAATATGAATATCTAACAATCTCGGCAATCGACCATGAAATAATCATGGTGCTGTAAGACCAATGAGAGTGAATTTGAGGGAAGGGGTAATTGACAGCCCAAACTAGGAAAATACGTGAAAAGACTTGCATCACAGTGGTCATAAGAGGCGCTCTCACCCAGCCTAGTAATACATGAACAATCTTATGGGAAATAATATGTCAATACATATCACAAAGTATTATAGATCTATTATTCACGTACTTCTAGAAGAGCTGTTGTCTGAACAATTAAAAGAACTGGCCATGTCTTATCGAAAACATGTACATAAGTTCCGGACTGTACTATTTGAAGAAGAGCCAGCGCAAGCACATATGCCCAACCACTCAAAGAAGCCATGTTGTAGGCGAGCAAATAGAGCTTCAATGGACCAAGAGTACTCCTTTCTCGAGGCTGGCTTGTAACTATGTCTATTTTGTAGCATACTATTTAATTTTCCTGGCGTGAATTCTATTTGAGATCGTTTTCGTACCTTCTTTGGCCATTGAAACGTCAAAATGTCAATTATAGGAAAAAGCTGGAAAAGTTTTTTGCTCAGAAGCGCTCAAACTGCTTATCAAACATTTTCAGGAACCGACAAACAACTTTTTTTTTTATTTTGAGGAACAAGATGATTTGATGACGTGAGTGGACAGAAAAACCCGCCTCAAAAAAGTGAAAAAGTGTGGGCCCCCCACAAAAAAAGGCGCATGAAGGCACCATCGAAAAAGGGCAACTTTTTTTCTGACTCTGTATTAATTATTTATTGTTCAACTCTCCCCACTCTTCTAATCTAATTTACTTCATCAACAAGTATGGCTTCCAGGCTCCTTAGTAATGCACTTCAAACGAACGTCAAATTGACAAAGCAGGTACCTCTGCGCTTTAACAACGAACTATCTCACTGTCGAATGAAAGGAAGGCAGCTAAACATTATTGTAGTTTGTACGTCCTTTAGCTACAGCTGCTAAACAAGCTTCAGCTATTCGCATCACCCACTTAGCTAACGGTTTAACCGTTGCAACCGATGAAAAGCCATCTACTTCAGCAACTGTTGGTGTTTGGATTGAAGCCGGCTCTCGTCAAGAAACCGCTAAGACCAATGGTGCTGCCAACCTTTTAGAACAAATTGCTGTTCAGGTAGGGATATTCAGTTATACTTAGTATTATGGGGTACACCTCAAAACTAGAGAGAAAATAAGAAAATGCGTGAATCGATATGGATCTGAATGTGGATATACATATTGCAACACACAAGGTTCAAAATATATTTCAAAATCTAACGCATATTTACGTACCTGGGACTTAGGGACAAGCCAAGAAGTTCGAGAAGATTGGCGGTATTCTGGATGCAAAAACTGGACGTGAAGTTACGTCGTTCTCTGCCAAGATTTTAGGGTCTAAAGTTAATGAATCAATCGAACTTTTAGCTGATCTTATTCAAAATACCAAAATTGATGCTTCCGCTGTTGATAAGCAACGTCAAGCTGTATTGAAGCAACAATTAGCTGCTGAATACGACTATGACGCCGTTGTTTTCGACCACTTATATGCCACAGCTTTCCAAGGCTCATCTTTCAGTCGCCCCGTTGCTGGTATTAAAGAAACCGTTGAGCAATTAACTGTTGATGATTTAGCTGCCTTCCAAAAGGAAAACTATAGTGCTGACCGTATGGTTCTCGTCGGTTCCGGTGCTGTCAATCATGATGAACTTGTTCGTCTTGCCGAATCTAAGTTTGGAAGCCTCACCTCAACCAGCATTTCTAGTCAACAGAAACCCACTTTTACAGGTTCCGAAATCCGTATTCGTGATGATGTTTTACCACAAGCTCGTATTGCTCTTGCTGTTGAGGGTGCACCTTATCTCTCTAACGATTATTTCAAATTACTCATTATGCAAGCCGTTATCGGCGCCTATGATAGAAACCTCGGTGGCGCCCCTAACTTATCATCCAAATTATCCACAGTGACACATGGTAATCATCTTGCCAACTCCTTCGCTTCATTCACTAAAGGTTATAAGGATACTGGCCTATGGGGTATGTACTTCGTCACTGAAAATAAGGATCAAATTGACGATTTTGTCCACTTCCTTCAAAAGGAATGGAATCGTCTCTCCACATCTGTTACTGTTGCAGAAATTGAACGTGCAAAACAACAAATCAAGGCTTCTTGGTTATTAAATAATGATAGCACTTGCACTGTCGCGCAAGAAATCGGTACTCAAGTCCTTGCTACGGGCAAATATTTGGATGCTGGAGAATTAAAAGCTACTATCGATAAGATTACTGCTGATGATGTCCGTAAAGCTGCGTACCGTTACATTTGGGATCAAGAGATTGCTGTGGTAGGACACGGTCCTGTTGAATGTTTAACTGACTTCGGCAGAGTTCGTGGTAACATGGCTTACAACAGGTAAAATGAAATAATGAAAATCGATTGCCATTTGAATCATTAGACTCTAACTTGCTATGATCACTTCTCCCATAGATTCTAAACATATACATTTGTACTATTTAATTAATCCAAAATCGAAAATTGAAAAGGGAAATAAAAAAATAACAAAAATCCGGCTAGAATTCGATTAAACATAGATACCATCCTGTCCTTTTATATAAAATATACATTGATTAAAGGGCATAACTGATAATTGCAGAAGATTATATACGATATTTCTAAGCTAAATTCAAGCCATGTATCTTTTGGTTAACATTTTCAATTTATTGCATAAATATCTACTGCAAACATGATCCACAATATTGTCGGAAGAAAGTATTAACACTCAGTAACTCGATGGTTTTATCTCCAATTGGTGTAACGAAGGGTAGCTTATCAAAGCCCCAAGGTGCAAAACTAGTCATAAACCATGGAAGTGTCCAGAATGCGACTGCCACCACGTATAAGTGGCGGAGTAGTTGTATTACTAGTGAAGTACGTATAGAGCGGGGAACTGAGTGTTTTAAGGCCTGCTCCAATACCTTCTCGGAAACAACCAACATTCCATGCATACCGAAGAAGATAAGCTGGTCACCAGCATATTGTTTTCTATAGATCGCCCATCCAGCATTGCAAAGCACCAGGTACTCATGCATTATACCTGATGCTAAAAATACAGCGAAAGTAGCTGTACCTAGAGCAATATATTTGAAACTTGGTATATGACGCGTTCGTTCTCGGAGCAAATAATAGATGGGTTTAAAAGCACAACTTATCCAAGCAACTCGAAAAACACGATGCCACCGCTTTGACCAGATATCCTCTAACGAGTTTGCCAATACAGGATAGTTCATCATTAGCCGCCAATCATCTGTTTGAGAGAGCGTTTGCTTAATATGTCAAGTATAATGCGACCTATAATTTCAAAGTAATTGCATTCGCTATTATTACCAGGAGAGTAGCTGCCCTGCCCTATTGTGATGGCATAAGCAAGTTGCAGCATTTGACCGCAAAAATTAAAAAGTGCCGTCATAAATGTGACACCCGAGAAGAAGACGATGAAATAGCGAAACTTATTATGCTTTTGCATGTAAAGTATATCATTTCCATTGAACGTTCTTAGGTGAGCAGCAAAAATATCACTGAGGATGAGGTGCATTACGATACAGGGTAGAAGGTAGTAAAATTTCTTCAGAAAAGCAAAGCAAAAATAAGTCAATTCTGTTCTGGAAAAACTTTTAGCTGTGGAAGGCTTACTCTTTCTGCTTTTTGGGATGTATTTTTCTTTTTCGCGGTGCTTTCTTTGGAAGCCCTAATGCGAACGGGAGACCAGAACTCATTTTTCAGATCAGATATCGAAATGTAGGCATCTGTTTTGTAAATGAGAGGTCGAATCCAAAATATTTCACTGAATCGCTGAAATGTCGAAAAAGAAACCACTTGACACAGGACACAAAATAAACCTAGAATAATCTGTAATCAGTTGTAGTTTGCAAGTTGGTATATTCTCTAAACTTCAACATAGCATTTATATACCGTCTTTTTTGTCTCTGTAAAAATACGGAACTGCGACTAAGCTCACCATAAGTGGTAAAGCTATTGCTTGTTTAAGGTACGTGTTTAAAATATTTGGTGGTTTACTGGCGAGATAATGTAATGCAAGAATTGGGACAAAGACATCGATTGTATACCATCCTGACGACAGAATCCTACGGTTCGTCCCAATCTCACCATATTCATTCATAATAATAGGTATTAAAAAGAGCACAGGCACACAAAACGCAGGGAAGGAACTGCTTTTCAATCTGATCTTCAAAGGAGTCCATAAAAAGGGTGATCATTCGTGATAATGCTCAAGATTGCAGCGTTCAAGTAGTGCAACTACTACAGCTGCTTTTGAGGAACAAGACACCAACTACTTCTAAGCAGTCATAAAGCTCTAATGTAAATTTCAAATTTTAACAAGCATAGATGAATACTATTAAGCTGTCCTTCAATTAAGGCGTAGCTTCAGTAACAATGTATTAAAAAGCAGCAGTTTACTGACGAAGTAGTGTGAACAATCTTTCAAGCGAAGGAATAATCTTCGTTGGCAAATATGTTAAGATCAGGTGTAAGGTAGAGTTAAGATACCAATGAAGACACAGAGCATAGCAAGATTACAGTATTTGATTTAGACCTCACTTATACAGTTTGACTACTTCTCTATGTGAGCTTTGATAAGAAAATAATATATGGAATCTAATCGAAAGGGGCGAAAATTTCAACTATAATTTGCTGGCATCCCTTGATAATGTCTTGTTACGTTTTTCTTGTTCTTCTTTCGATAAACGAATTATTCCTTCTTGAGCAGTGGTAGCAATCAACGTGCCATCTCTGCTATAAATTCTGCCGAACACCACACCGCGTCCACCGCTTGTACGAGGACTATGCATATCATACAGTAGCCTAATACATACAAAGAAACAAAAAAAAAAAAAAAAAAAAAAAAGGGAACTATTTGTTACTATTTACTAATGGTAAAGGAAAAGCACTGTCAGTAACCGTTACCATTCATCGGCGCGTGTAGGAACATGAAACCACATGGAATGGTCCAGACTGGCAAGCATACCAATTCCTTTAGAAGGTACACCATTAGCTCTAGCGGCAGTACCAATAAAGCCGCTGTCAGATGCATATGCGACTACACAGGCGTGAAGTCTTTTGTCTGTATCAAGTTGCCCTCTAGTCTTGAACCACCGACGCTAGAAGATTATTTTATAGTTATATGGATGTGTAAGCCACACTTTTGAATTAGATAGCCAGTATATGTGAAGTTGTAAGTGCTTACAGATATGAGAGTTTGACCGGTAATTTCAATCTTTCGTACATCGATTGGTGAGCTTTCTTCTATGCGTAGTTTGAGATATTCACGGTATTTAGGGTTAAGATCTTCTTGTTTTAATGCCTTTTGTATGAGTTCAGTATCACTAAAGAAGAACAAAAAAAAACGGCTGGTTACTATAACTGGCTAAACTATGCAGAGCAAAAGTTGGTTGCTAGAGCTGTCATACGAGGGCAGCGATTCAGGAGGTGGAACCTCAGGCATTTCAGTTTGATGATTTAATTGGGTCGATATGTCAAGCTTGTTGAAACTAAAACTACTGACAAAAATCGCTTTACCCTTCTGTGAAGCAGTAACGAAACGAGTGGCAAATGACCTGCCGTCTCGAAGACGCTGCACCTGATATATAACTGGCACTTCCACGCTGCCAGGCAGGATGAAGTACGAATGAAGTGACTATAAGAAATATTTGAGGTAAGATTCTTTCACCAAACATTAAAAGTCCATTAATAAACCTTATTATATTACATGAATGTCAAATTCGTGTCCTACTGTGGCAAATGCAGCTCGTAAAGCTTGAGCAACGATCTGATTTATAACATTGATTAACAAAAAAAAAAAAAGTCATTATGTTATGAACCATCCAGATCATTCTGTCATGTGTTCTCCATTTTATACCTGCCCACCAAAGACACCACGAGCACCGGCTGGAAGCCAAAGTTCTTTACTCATATACAAATTTGCATCAATTTCCTGTACATCAACTGCATTCAGCATGCGAGCGCCAAAATCCTCATCATCGGCGTCTCCAAATTTAGCTGTTATGACTGGAGATGAGTTTTTCTTATCGGCAAATGATATAACTGCTGGGAAAGTGGAACTAGGCATTTAAAATCGAATAAAAAATGTATATGAAGGTAAAGGATTTAGGAAGAAGGTATAGATTTGGAAGGCGAATCTAGAAAAAATTAAAGGATAAATGATTTAGGTCTTCTTTAAAAGTCACGGATACCTATTTAGCATTACTAAAGCACCTTTAGGTTCTACACTGCGGAATTCCATAATTTTTTGAAAGCTGAAGATGGTTCCTGAAATTTAGCATGCTCACAACAAGCAGTAAGAAATGTGGGGTTGTAAATTCAATAAACGATCGCAACTTGAAACAGCGCTCTGTAGGTATAATGCTTTTGGTTGGTGAATTAACTTTCGAGGGCTAAAAGCGATTGCGTAATGAAATTTTCATTATTTCTTCTGTCATTAAAAGCACAAGTATAAGGTAATTCTGTCGATATCCGTTTCATATAAATCTTAAAAATCTTCTTGCCGGCTTTTATTGCCATCATATCTATCACCATCATTTAAAGCCTTGGAATAATGTGGTTTGGATATCTTAAAGTGTGTGTCAGAGTAAATGGTGGATGCAAAAGCCATATTTGGAATAAAATAATCACATTCCAAAAGTTTATGTAATTCTCTTGTCTGGCAAACATTGGTACTCCTGTGTAATGAAGAGGCATTTTGAAAGAGTCAAAAGTGTATATATGCTCAACGGCTATGTTTGTTTAAAAATGTTCGTAAGGTCGAGAAATGCAGAGATTCGTATTTTTCGAGAAGGATTTGATATGTTTATATCCATACAAATGGTCACTGCATTTTCCCTAAAATGCTGCTATCTGATCATATAGATCTGCAAACAAATCAACACAATCAAAAGGTTGTATTATTGTGTGCCTTGAATTGCGTCCTATATGTATGTTTGCTGACGGGGGGGGTTTCCAGGTTGTTTTGAAGGCTGTTCCAAATTTATATTGCTCTATACGTAGTATAATGTAGTTGATGTGTCTTTGAAGAAAGCCTTCGTTTATTCGTGGTGGCATCAAAATCATATTATAGACGTTGTTGATAACCCCAAAGTAAGCCTACTAAAAATATTAATACAGATGTCAGAGACCTAGGTTGTCAATTGTGTTTTGACTTTTCAGTATTCCAAGAGTTGATGACTTTCTATGCTTGGTTCTGTTATCAGGCGATTTATAGTGACTGCAATTTTGTATTGTTCATGAGAGACCGTCAGGGCATTATCTGAGTAGGCAATCTGCTCAACATCACAAGCTTTTTGACAAATGATTATTGAGGTGGCATGACGAACAAGGTTTCATGCAATTGTATTAACGACTCAGGGGAGACTGATCGATTTTATGGTCCCATCTCTATAGAAAGATGAATTAAGCATATTAGTTCAGAGCATTTTTGGAAAAGATGCCTTAATATGCTTTCCTTGTTGTATATTGTTATGAGTCATGCATGCAACTTTGCTATATTTATTGTGCTTTCAGAATTATGGCTATTCGTTGCAATTTTTGAATTGCTGTATACATTGATTTTATTGTTGCCATAAGGGTTTTTATTTCCAAACTTTAACTTTTTTGAAAACAACAGCTATAAGTTAACACCCGCCTCCGCCTTGCTAACAAACGAAGCTGAAGCTGGTAGACAATGGTTGAACTGAGACAGCAACTGGTATTTAGCGTTCTTGATCACAGGAACTACAGTGGAGATTAAGGAAAGACAAAAACTGGATTAATATCTTAGTGAGAACCGTAACAACTGTAGCTTTTCTTCCGCTGAAAAAAAAAAAAAATTTCAAAGGACAAATTAAAATCGGGACGGAAACCTCTCGGTTTGCCTTCTACTTTAGGTGCGAAGAATATGCTTTGGTTTTTCAATCATTGTTGAAAAGCTTTAGGTCTGTCAATTCAACAATTTTGACAAAAGGAAGGCGTTCTGAACTAGCCGTATATCTATTAATGTGTAATTAGAAACACTGCGAAACTATACATATCACGGTCCTGTTTGAATCACCATAGACGTGATGGTTTTATCTTAAATTCTTTCTTAACAAGAGAACACAGGATCTATAACGCCCCCTAGGCATATTTTAACTAGTGTAGTAAAATTAATTATCTGCACTTTGTTTACTCGGTTAAAAGCAAGAGATGCTCTGAATCGAGCAAAACCAGTTTGCTGAGTTGACGGAGAGACGCCGTATTTTCAGGAACGGTTTCAAATTGTCTGGCTTTTACAATCTGGTATATCATCTAAAATGAAGAATGCGTGCGTCCCACGGTAGTAAAACTGATGTATGCATTCAGAAGACCTTAGTTCAATTAAAAGTAACCACAATTTTATGTAGTTATTCAGCCGTAATTCTTTCACCGTACATTTCAGTTTGACCTACTTTTTAGCATAGAATGAAAATTAATATTCCAAAGGCTTTTGCATAGTGTAACCGTACGGTCTGTCAGCAAACAAACCTGATCCGCTTTCCCACTGTATCAGTGTGAACGATTGGTTACGACAATTTTTGACCGCTTACGCTGCCATAGCTGGTTGCTTGGCCCATGTTAAACATGACACAGACTTTCTGATGTGACTTGATAGAAATATTATCCACACAGTAATCCTCTTTCATTGTGATCTACTGGAACTAGTGTCTAGAGACAAAAATCAAGCTATAGAATAGTCCTTCAACCGTTGTACGAAATGTTAATTAGTATAGATCTCACCGAATCAAATTCAAAGGACGAGCTTATTGGAGGGATCACGATCATGTATAAAAAGCGTTTTCTTGTCAAATAAGAGTAAAGGACAGTTTTGTCCTCTGTGTCACATTGAGGCTTATTCTATTCATTTAAAAAATAACCCAAGAGTAGAAGGTCATAAAAAGCAGAGGCATTTCCACCCAGCCTCAGGGAAGGGTAATACAAAAGTTAACTAAAACAACAAAAACAACCATTTGTTATGATAAGCCTTTTGATTTTTTTTTTTTTTAAGCTCTTTTTTCCTTTTTACTTTTTTAATTCCAAATTCATTATATTTCTGTCTACGTAGAACGCTTTTCTATACTAGTTTACCTCTAGATTGACCGTTTGTTACAAAAGTCTTAAATGTATCAACCACCACCAGGGCAGAAGCCAGAACACGATCAATATCCTTTACAGGACACCCAATTCTCTCATCAACCACCAATGACCCGTTCACCGTTTGATGACGACCATTACCCTGCGGATCAGAATATGCCGCCTTACGACCATCAACCTCTCTTATCGCCAGCAGGGCCAACTTACCCGCCTAGCAGCAATCCACAACCATATCCTCCTACTGGAATGGCAACCTATCCTCCAATCAGTCCAGGTGATTTATCACCTTATCCTTCGTATGATAGCAGTTCACCCATTGTTCCCCAATACTTTAATCCACCCTCACCCAATATGCATTACGGAGAAGCACCAAAGCGTCAACCTCGTCGCTACAAAACAAGTAAGTTCAGTTGGAAAAAAAATGAAGAAATGAAAGCTAAAACGCAACCACAGGGCTTAGAGAATACGATGGATGAAACAGAGGGGCTCGAGAAAATACAAAAGATAAAAAGGTTGTGTGCTTAAATATAACCTTAAAATTTTTATTAGCGCGACAAGTAAAATTGACAAAAGGTAATTTGGTATTGGATTGTCCTGTCCCCACTGCCTACTTGAAGGATGTGCCCTTGAAAGATGAGGAGGAGTTCACGCATATGCGCTATACAGCTGCTACCTGTGATCCCAAGGACTTTGTTAACGAGGGATATACACTTCGTCAACAGATATACCGCCGTAAAACGGAATTGTTTATTGTGTTAACTATGTACAACGTAAGTAATTTTTAGGCCTCTTTAAAAGATGTGAATTCTTTACAAAATTCTTACCATTGCATTTTTTGCCGTCGTTAGGAAGATGAAGTCCTATTTACACGTACAATGCATGGTGTGATGAAAAATATAGCTCATCTTTGTTCGCGTAGCCGTTCAAAAACTTGGGGACCTTCTTCTGGTGGACCAGGATGGCATAAAGTCACTGTTTGTATCGTTTCTGATGGCCGTAACAAAATCAATCCACGTACGCTAAACGTCTTGTCACTTTTGGGTGTTTATCAAGATGGTGTTGCCAAGAACGTTGTTCATGGTAAACCAGTCACAGCACATATATATGAATACACTACACAAATTTCGATAGATCCCGATATGGAGATCAGAAAAGCTGGTTCCAAGAACGTTGTTCCTTGTCAACTTTTATTCTGTTTAAAGGAAAAGAATCAAAAGAAAATCAACTCTCATCGTTGGTTCTTTCAAGCATTTGGTCCTATTTTGGATCCCCATGTGTGTGTCTTGATTGATGTGGGTACTCGACCTGGCGGCACTTCCATTTATCATTTATGGAAAGCATTTGATATCAATTCTAATATTGCAGGCGCCTGCGGTGAAATTCGTGCTATGTCTGGTACAGCAGGTGTAGCGTTGTTGAATCCTTTGGTAGCTGCCCAGAATTTTGAATATAAAATGTCCAATATTCTTGATAAGCCTTTGGAATCAGTATTCGGTTATATTTCTGTCTTACCAGGTGCGTTTTCTGCGTACCGGTTTCAAGCTTTACAGAATGACGTGGATGGCCATGGTCCTTTAGAAAAGTACTTCTTGGGTGAAACTCAACATGGCGGCGATGCAGATATTTTTACAGCGAATATGTATTTGGCAGAAGATCGTATTTTATGTTATGAATTGGTAGCAAAAAAGAAAGCGCACTGGGTTTTGCATTATGTTTCTAGCTCTTATGGTGAAACTGATGTACCCGATAAAGTAGATGAATTTATTTCTCAACGTAGACGTTGGCTGAATGGTAAGTAGAAAGACAGTTCAAGAGAATAAACATTGTCGTATTGGACAGTTGGCTTACTCTTTTCGAGCTACTTTCTAGGGTCATTCTTTGCTGGTGTTTACGCTCTTTATCATTGGCGCAAGGTCTGGGCATCAGATCACTCGTTTTTGCGTAAAATGATGTTCATGTTTGAAGATATTTACAACACCTATAATTTGATTTTTTCGTGGTTTGCCCTGGGTAACTTTTATTTAACATTCTTTATTCTGACAAGAGCTCTGATTCCAACAGATGACCCAACAAGTTTATCCAACGCTCCATTCTCCGCCAACGTCGCCAGTCTTCTTCATAATATCCTCAACTACATCTATATCATTTTGATCGTGATTCAATTCATCATTGCTCTTGGTAACCGCCCTCAGGGTTCGAAAGTCGCTTATACGGGGTCTATGGTGTTCTTTGCTTTTTTGATGATCTATATGATGTTTGCTGCTATTTGGATTACCGTTGTAGGAGTGACCACAATTGTCGAAGAAGCCAATGGAGATTTTATGCAAATGCTGGGTCAAAGCGCTTTTAGGAACATCATCATTTCACTCTGTGCTACTTATGTGATGTATTTTGTTTCTAGTTTCATGTTTTTGGACCCTTGGCACATGTTCACCAGTTTCCTTCAATATATCCTCTTATCCCCGAGTTATACCAATGTGCTCAACATCTATGCATTCTGTAATACCCATGATGTCTCATGGGGTACAAAAGGTGATAACACAGTAGCCACGGATCTAGGTGTCGTCAAGGCAAAGAAAGATCAATCGGGTGATTTGGCTGTTGAAGTTGAAATGCCGGTGGAAGAGAAGGATATCAATGGTGCCTATATTGATGCCCAAGTAGAACTAACAAAAAAGGTGGAACCAGAAAAACAGCATCGTGATGCAAAGACAAAGCAAGAAGATTATTATCGTTCTTTCCGTACTCGTTTGGTACTATCATGGATTATTTCGAACCTGGCCTTAGTGGTTGCCATCACCAATACGTCTGTTATCACAACCGGAGACCGATCCGCCGTTTATTTAGGCTTTATCCTTTGGTCTGTTGCCGGTTTATCTTTGATAAGGTTTACGGGCTCCACTCTCTACTTGATATTTAAAATATTCACTGGTTAAATCAAAATTCCCCATTTCCCAACATTCATCGTATCTTATAAACATAATTAACCATATTCTTTATATAAAATGTATATGTTTTCTAATGAATGACTGAGTTCTTTCTCTTTCTGCTTCTACCAAAAAAAGAAATAAAGAAAATCATCGCGTCGTATTACCATGGTCTGTCGCAGTTTAACTGACTCTGCTTTACAGTCTAGGGTAAAACGGAAAAACTGTCGTATTTTAACGTTATCCGGACACTCTTTCTCTTAATTTGCTAGCATTGAAGCTGAGAATTAGAAAGTTGCAAAAACAATGGAGTAATCAATGAATTTATGCCTTATGCTAAACCTTAAAAAAATCTTATCAGATCGTCTTTTATTTGTTGGAGCAACGTAACATTGTGCTATCATCGACAGAGAAAGCCTCAACACATGGGGGTCGTTGGGAAAAGGATTTATTTGCCACATTTGTGCAATTCTTGTTTGACGGTTTCTTTTTCTTTTCATCAAACATAGATTTTTCGAAAAAGCGCAAAGTTATTTAATCAAAATGGTATAAATCAATCGACATTTACACTCGTTCCGCCGCTTGATGTTAATAATCAGATAGTTTCAAAGCGTTATAAATGTTAATAGCAGTAACAATAACCACAGACAACTATTCGGATCAATATCAAAAAAGAGAAAATTTAACGGCAAAATGAGCATGATGAATAGTTCGTTGGTGAATGGAAGAGGAGCCTCCAACAATGAACTTATCAAACTTTGTACAGTCAATGCTTCAGGCATTTACCTTCCACCATCACCCTCTGATAGATTCAACTGCAATGAGTTCTATTTCACAGATGAAAAGCAACAGCATCAGCAAAACCAAGTCCAAGATATGAACCTCACAAAAGCCTATTATGTTTATTACAATAGAAGGGTATTTATAGACAAGGAGAATACAAGTAAGGCTGGTAATGATACTGATAGAGTACATCTGTTCCACACCCCATCCGATTATTTGTAAGAAAATCAGATCAGATCAGCTGGCCCCAAGTGGGTCGTATGAACAAAATGTCAATAATAAAATTTTCAGAATCTTCTTCGTTTCCTGTTCAAATTAGGGTTTCTCTTTTTTTCTTTCTCTGCTAATTTCTCTAATTCTTCTTTGTGTCTTAGAGCCAGTTCTTCCTCTGATAGTTCTGGAGATGGTTCATGCGCTTCTTTTATCTCCATGGCTTCGGTTGAGGAACTAGCTTTTGTTACACCAACAGTAGCATTTACTGGTTACAAACAAAAAAGAGAAAGTGATGGTGTATAAGTATGAGAATGACTATGGTTGCGAAGATTCGTCACTTGTTGGGTTTTTTTTTGTTTTTTGATTCTACCTTTCCTTTTATTACGCTTTTTGGTCATATTTAATATATAGTTTAGTGAGGTTGCGGAATACATCGTGTTATGTATTTCATCCTGCAAATCCAAGTAGTAGTATAGTTAATACGAAGCGCTGCCATGTATTATCCTTAATACAAAATTTGATTTACCAAGTTTATTTCGATGGGCGCATCATCTAGGTTAAATAAGATGTCAGTGACACTACATCGTGCTCTGATTCAACTTTAACGGCAGTACTCACCTGATAAAGACTCTGTGAAATAGTTAAAAACTGCCTGGCTTGGATATATGAAATTTTCAAATATCAGCTCTGATCCCGTCAGAAAGCCAGAGGCACCTGGGGCTACCATCTTCTCCTCTTCAATAGTATCTGTTGTAGTTCTTATTTGATCCAGTAGCTCACAGTCAAAAATCCAAGAAAATGTATTTATTCGGCTGTCGCTGCTCGACTTACAATGCAATTTTAGCTTACGATTGTTATCTGTCAAGCTGATAGTGTGCTTCTTATTACTTAGAACAGTTTCTGTGAATAGCTTTTTTATTCTAATGAGCACAAGTCTAGCTTCCTCTTCGCTGTCAATATCAATATTAAGCAATCTGGCATTCTGTTGAATGCGCTTGAAATCGCCATGTTCAAACCATGCTAAACGCAGATCAGTAATCAAGATGAAATATTCGTTGATTTCAAAAGCATGCTTTATGTAAAAATCTTTAGAATTATGTCTACGACGTAACCACGGTACAGTAAGTAACTTTGTGTTATGTTTACGATCTAAAAGCATTTATAGAAATTTTTGTATAGTAGCTATAGACGAAAAAGGGAAATCAAAAGCCTTTGAATGAATTCTGAGTCAGATCTGTTATTGACTGATCTTCAATGAAAAATCGACGTGAGGCACACCTTGCGTGATGGTGCTCATACTAAGAATATCAATATGATCACAGAAATAATTGGCGCAAGTTTCATAAGTGATTCCACCACTGCTTTCGATAAGGAAATGCGTCTTTCCTTTAGCACTCCATCTTTCTTTTATCCTCTTGGCAGCTTGCTTTAATGCGTCCCCTGTAAAATTGTCCAGCATGATAATATCAGCACCTGCTGCAATTGCTTCATCAGCTTCTTGCTCGGATTGGCATTCGACCTCGATTTTAAGTGAGAAACCACATGCTTTACGAGCATTTTCTACAGCCTTTGTGATAGATCCTAATATTCAAATCACAGTTCATGAATCACTCCCTTTTCCTCGTATCATAGTCTACACACCACTATACCTGAACTCCAAATATGATTGTCTTTAAGCATAACCATCGACGAAAGATCCATTCTATGTGTATCCAATCCTCCGACAAGCACACCGTACTTTTCAACCAATCTAAAGCCTTTATATTTTGTAAAAGCAAAGATGAACCATTAAGGCTTGTATAGACTTCTTTTATCAGTTTTTAACGAGTGATAAATTGCCCCTCTACCTGGAGTAGTTTTTCGAGTAGCAGCTATAATTCCTTTGAATCCTTTAGATTTCTGCAACTCGCTTACTCTTCGTGCTCTGGTCAACCAATGTGGATTTATCAGTGGTTTATACGTGCATTGATTGTGTATCATTCTTCGTTTCACATTTACCTTAATGCGATACCACTGCAGCGACAAAGGATATTCAAGGCAGTTCTTTCGCCCAACAAAATATTACGTGCTTTACCGGTGACAGTTGCAACAGCTTGCTTTCCTTTGGGTTGAAGATAATCCCCTTCTTTTACATTCCATTCAACTCTTCCATTCCCCAAAACAAATAATTATTAAATTAATACCCCACATTATTTGTAATCAGATGACACATAAAACCCATGTTTCCTCTAATAAGAAAATGGTACTTTACTTGCAATCAAGTTGTCTGAATACTTCGTCAAAAAAAGGCACACCAGCAACAACACCTTCTGCCTTACAATATAAAATGGCTTTTTGTTCTTTCTCACCCACTACAAAGCCTCCGTAATCAAAGGAAGGAATATCTTCTTCAAGATAACCCGTGATGAGTGTTTTGTAGTTGGTTGCAAGCAAGTGTGAAAAATCTGTCATTATCAAAACGTGTAAAGTGTGAAAGAAAGAGATAGAGAGACAGAGACGGGAGAAGCAAAAAAGTAGATTAAAAAAAAAAAAAAAAGGACGTGAACGGGATATAATAAGCCGTTTATTCATCATCAAATGCTCTGACAAAATCAATTGCCCAAGGGTGGTTTCTGATTCGATCTTAGATGTTATACAGATGGGACGTCTGATTTTTAACTTATTAATGACAGCTATTTAAGAGTTGAGATCTCACGCTTGAAGAAGTTTGTTGAAATCCAAGTAGATCATTAAATTACTGGCTGCTCAAGCCTTCGTCATGTGAAAGCTAACACTATCGCCTTATGCAAACAAAGGAAGATAACGAGTGTTGCCGCGTTTGTCCTACAAAAACAGGCATTTATCTTCTGAAAGGCTTGAGGGTCTATAACATTGCGTGAAATTGGTTAAGCCCTTGTTGGGCTTGATTGGTCGGAATACTCGAAGAATGAGCCTGCTGGTTTCGTTTAATCGTCTCTTATTTCAGTGTTCTTTATTGAATTGTGTAAGAGTCTGTGAAGCAGAGTACTTGTTTTCTGTAATGGAAGAAAAAAGCAAGAAACTATAAGAAATCTTTTAATAGATAGGAAGCTACTACACCTTACATCTATAGAGCCACTGCACCTTTGTACTTGACTTTGGTGGAGGTTTGAGGCACAGGTTGGCATGGCGATGTTAATACCCTATGTAGAAATAACGTGTTTGTACGACCACAATATGAATATATATTGAAGGGTGTACTACCAACTCCTTGATTTGGACCTTGAGATTTACATCGTAACCCATTTACTGAACACAAGTACACTGACATTGGCGCCTCATGTAGCTTGTATATATTGTTATAAAGACAAATACAACATGCAGAATACACTAAAAACCAAGGCTCTTTTACATGAAAAAAAAAGCCAACTTTGGTGGGATTAAATAAGCAATTTAAAATTTCATATACTTTAATTAGAGAATCGCAGGCCTTTTGTCCATCTTTTTTCCTTTTTCCTTCTTCTCACTTTCTTATTCTCTTTTATTGCCAAGGCAAGACTTCTGCAGCTTTTATGCTGTATCTTCTATTTGTACATTAGCCTGTTATCTGTGATCTTTACTGCTTTTTTCATTCATTTTGGGTTTTTCTCTTTCTTCTCCACCCTACTTTTTTTTTTAATTTTGCCCCTTTATTTCTACTTTTTTTTTATTTTAATAACAAACATTTCTTTGTCTAAAGTGCATCAACTGTGCGTTTTATTTTATTCTTTCACACTTATAAAAGCCAACCTTGTCCTTACGTACAAGCAGAATGACAACAGAAGAGATCACTCTTGTAATTCAGACATTACAAGATCAACTCAAAGAAAAGCAAGACATTGAAAGTGAGGTAAAGGAAATAACTTTTCTCGCTCATTTTTAAACTGAGTTGGTGTATCACTTGAATATCTTTTAATTTCTGTGTGTTCCATTTGTTTTAGCTTAGACATGAAATTGATTTACAATTGAAACAGCAAAAGGATTTATCAAATGATAATGACTACCTCAGGCAGGTGTGTAAATTGTGATACATATGTCGATACTTCTTTATGAACATGATAAATAACAAACAGCACACGCATATGTAGAAATTAGCTGCAATTCAATTAGATAATTCAAATCACAACAATATTCGAGCACGATTAGAGACACAGTTGTATGCCCAGGAACAAGACATGATGACATTGAAAAAAGAAATTCAACAACTGTCAAAATGGAAAAAAGATGCTGAAAAAAAACTGAATACAGAAACTGAAAGTTACGAGCATGAAAAATCCCTTTGGCAGCAAAAGGAGGCTGATTTGTATAACCAGATAAGGAATTTAAGCATACAAAATAACAATCTGAATGGTGAACCCCGGACACCTCGTACACCGAGAAGAAGATCCAGTATCAATTTGACAAGCAATGGCCTTTCTCCTTTTTATTCGAACGGTTTAGGCGATATTGATGAAAACTCAACTGTGGAGAGCAGTCATAGCAATAATGGCAGCAGTGATGCGGTAAGGAATGGAGTTGAACATGAGTATATCAACAATAGGCCTACACCCAAGTTGGCACCGATTGATTCATCCTACTTGAGGGAGTCGAAGATTGCCCAAAGAACAATCAAAGCACAAGACAAGCTCATTTTAGAACTAAAAACTGAAATAGAAAAGCAAAAAGCATTGCTTCAGGAAGCGCAAAAAGAAACTCAGTTACAGTCGCTGAAAGTAGTCCATCTGGAACATGAAATTGCGAGTATTAAGCAACTTAACCGATCTCTTATGGAGGATAACGAAAGCTATCAAATCTTGCTACACGAAAAAACCATGAATGGAGAATTCATGATGAATCCAATCATGCAGGTAATATAGTGATGTCATTGTGAAGGTACCATACCCTTGCCCAGAGCCGTTAACATTGAACTGTGATAAAATAGGTAGACAATGATATCAGCCTTAAAGTCAGCAGCAACAATAACAATTTGGCAATGAAAGAATCTGCCAGCACGTCTTCATCCAATAGTGGTGGCGGTGGACTGAATTTGGCAGCAGAATTGGCATCATCTATACCAGATTGGCCTAGTAAAAATGATACTGAATCAGACAAAACGATTCAAGAATTGAATGATGAAATAAAAACGCTACAGGACACCAACCGTGCATTACAATTATACATGAACAAAATCCTTATGAAGATCATCAACAATAAACAATTAGTAGATGTCCTTAGCATTGATCAGCCATCTTCAAAACCGAGCAAAGAAGCCGTAAATGAAGCGACGGCAACAAATGCAACAGAACCAACATCAAAGAGTGGACCCATGCCTACAAAGACAGTATCCACCGCAGCACATGCGGGTACAATGTCCAAAGCGAGTAGTCATAGCAAAAACGGCACTAATACTACTAACCGCCATCGTAGAAGGACTATTTCATATTGGGGATCAAAAGCACCCTCACCCCCGCCGCTATTCGCAGGAGAAAATGCTAATTTACAAGAACAACTGCAAAAGCAGCAACCAAGCGCTCCTGCACCCAAGCCAGAACGATCGATTTCAACAGCCACCCATAGCAACAGTAGTAGTGGTGGCAGTGGCTGGGCTAAAGCTTTGAGAAGAATGAGTGGTCTGGCTTGGTCTTCTTCTTCCTCTAATTTCAAAGAGGAGTCTCCTGTACCCACAACTTCTGCAGCGATGGGAACAAACTCACCGGCATCAGGGATAAATAATGACAGTGCCGTTGACTCGTTCGGTGAAGATGACACAGAGAAATCCATAGAAAAAGGTAGGAAACAATCAGGATCCTCCACTCCATCTATTTCCTCTTTTAGACCCAGTAATGACCTTGGCACACTTGACGAAGAAGATTAATACACGGTCGAACAGATTCTCTATTGTTTTTTCCTTTTTTTTTCTTTTTTTTTTTTTTGCCATAACGCCTAGTACTTAAATTAATTTCTATAATATTTTCATTACAAATACCTTACTTATGTAAAGCCTCCACAATGATGTTCTGAGTATGGTCGTATACTCTTGAAGAGGCCAGAAAAGAAATGCCCAACTAAACAATAAATTCCCCGAATGTGATACCAAAACACTAAAAATTGTCTGTGCGGATCACAAAGCAGCTGCTTAAACAGATTCTCCGGATTTGTCATTTTTTCTTCAAATTCTAAAGGAGAAAGTGAAAAATGCATCAACAAGTACCACTTCTTGACATTTGATCTTGCTTGAGATCTCAAAAACACAGAATTTCAATTCATGGCCAAATCAACACATTTAACTTTTCTTAAGTAGCATAGCGACGAATATGTTATTACAATACCATCTAACAAGTATACAATTCTTATTATCATTCATATTCATCCAGTCAACTTGTCAGGCACAACTCGACCAACAACAATGGCACCAGCAATTCTCATCTTCCTCAGTCTCTTCCATGACTCCCAGTTATAGCGTATACACTCATAGTTTTACTTATTTGGGCAATACACCCTACCAAAACCAAAGTTCCAGCTCTTCTCCTATGGCTAATGATCAAATAGCTACGGCTTTACGAGTTCAGCGAGATATTGCTGTTAATGTCACTGTAGATCAGTTGGTGCAGCCGGCCATTGACTTATCTACTGCATTCTTTGGGCAGAACTTTACCAATTCCAAAATAAATCAAGTGGATACCCTTCTTCTCATGGGGTATAAACGGCTTGTGGTGGATTTATATTGGGATCCATTGATGTCTGATTGGCAAGTGTGCCCGTTTTTCATGAATTTAACATCTTCTCTATCCTCTTCGATGAACGAAATTAAGAACAGTAAGGATCATTCGCTCCCGTCAGCGGCTTCCGACATGGCTTTCACAGTAACGACAACTGGAAATAGAGATACAGATATACTCGTACAAAAAGATGGTTATGTCTGCAACTATCAGCGTTCAAAGTTTCGTGATTTTTTAGAAAGTATAGATAATTACTTGTATTCAACGGAAGAAGGACGCGCTTCACAAAAGACGGACATTATTTCTATTATTATGAATTTGCATGAATATGCGGATGCAAATATCAGAGTAAGCGACAATGATACTATCACCATAGCAGCAGCAGCAGGAGCAATTGCTGATATCCGTCACAACAACACCAATAGCAACATAACCAACACGCGCAATAGCAATGACGCTACCAATGCTTTTTCTCGTGCTACAATAGCATCACCTCTCTTGTCAGAGGCAGTTGTGCCCATTGCAGACTCTCATTTGAGTCAGATCATTTCAGCCTCACTATCCTTGTCTTCCACACAATCTTCCCGTGTCTATACACCCAAAAACTTAACAGCAGATAGGGAGCAAATGCAAGCGTTGCACAATAAGATGGAGACGTCCTTCTGGTGGCCAGAATGGCTGAATTTGATAGATAGAAAAGTCCAGATTATTTTTGGCTTTGGGACGTTTGATCCACCCGTGTCTAGAACGTTCAAACTCACTTCATTTGATAACGATATGATTTTCAGCGCAAGTAGCATCAACGGCCTTATGAATACAACAACGGCTGCCACTGACGTTGCTTGTTCACCCACTTTGTCGTCGCCCGTCAACAGCAATGTATCGTGGGCATTCGTCAGTGATAGAATTCGGCCGTTCACTTATTTCTCCGCCAATAATGCCACACAGTGTGGCTACTCTCCTTACTTTACGCATGCTAATTACTCTGATTCAGCATCCTCCATCCATAATGTAGATGATACTGGCCATTTATCAGACAATGTTCTTTCCACTATTTGGTCCTGGGATATCAATGAGCCGGCCGTGACGCCGGGTCAAGGCAACAACATGTATCATAACAATCAGAAACGATGCGCTGCTATTGTGAAATCGACAGGACGTTGGCGTTCTATGGATTGTAACGGGTATTATCGCGTTGCTTGCAAGAGAATGGATGCACCGTATGACTGGCTAGTTACCAATGATACTGTGACCTATGATTATGCATTGTCCCCTGATATTTGTCCTCAACACTATACCTTCGATGTACCTCGACTCCCGCGCGACAACACTGCACTAAGATTCGCCTTATCAAAGATGGAAAACAAATTGAAAGAGGACGATAAAGTGTGGATCAATCTGAATCTCGTCTATACGGCGGATGATAGTTGCTGGGTGATTGGACGTTATGGAAACTGTTGGTGGTTGCAAGAGGTAATTATTTTTATTTTTGTCAAGACAAAGGTGTGCGACATTTTCACGCTTTTTAACGGCTAAAATAGACAGGGCAAAGGTTCCCTGGATTGGTAACCACATCCATTGTTTCAGGTCTGATCATTCTGATTTTGGTTGGTTTTTTTGTTTGGGTGAAATGTGCGCGGCTGATCCGAAATAGACATTCAAAATCGCGTAAAGCGATGGTGAAGAAAATGCTTGCGAAAAGAGAATATGTAACTGTCCCTGTAAGTTTGCTTTACACAGTCAACGTCTGATACAATCGTTCACATTGTGACTAAGTGCACTCTTTTTTCTTTTCACGTTTGCAGGCATAGTTACTCAAGATATGATTGACCTTTTTAGAACCTATACCCCTCCAACACGTTCATTTTACTTTTTATAATACAATAATATCTAATTGTACCTTTGTCAGCACTAATTAAGATGGAAATGTACCTACCTATTGTATGTTTTATGTTTTGCTCTGCTAGTCCTAATAGATTCAATACTTTTTGAAAGATTGATCCGATTCACTTGGAAAAAAATGCTAAGGAAGAGCACGAATCTAAGTTTCCGCATTCGTCAGTCTCCTTTGATTTCTTTTGTCTTGAATGATTGACAACGGGATAAAACGCTTCCACAAAACGAGCGATGTGTTTGTGTCTTTGTGTGTGTTTGTTTAAAGAAGGGATTATGCATTTTTACATGCTGCTAAGCTGCCTAATAAAGGCACGTGTTATGGTCGGCTTGCAGACAACGATTCGGTAAGTAAGCTAGTATAACGTTTCAATCTTTCTTACAGGACTGCTGATATCCTGCTTGCTAGATGAATGACGCCTCGCTCCTTTTGTGCGTTTTAATGCGGGATGATGATATGTAAAAAAAAAAAAAAAAAAAAAAAAAAAAAAAAAAAGGTCATAGACTCAGCTACAATGTACTGCTATGGCTGAAAATAGAGTGTATTAATGCATCACGGCTGGTAAAACGGCAGTTACGAAGAAAACTTCAGACTTGCGTCGTTGTTATTATCAGCTGCATAATAAGTGGTGCATCAACAAGAGATCAACATATTCATTGTAACAGCACGATTCACAGAGTTTTTATTTGTTGCTTATTGGGTAGTAATATAATGTTGGACAAAGACATGAATTGACATCGGGTCGGAAGAACAGCTTGAATGGTGCGGTAAGGTAACAGAGATGAAAAGAACAATACTTTTAAATTTGACTAAAATACTAGCAAGCAGAAGGCACTCATACTTCTTCACGTGTTCTATCACTAGGCGTACTTGGAAAGTAGTGAATGCGAAAAATCGGGGCTCACTGGTGTGTCTTATACTCTCCTGTTTCTATTAAATACTACCCATGAGTCAATGAAAGGATATTATTGAATCACTTTTCACACATGACTGGAGATATATACTACATGATAAAGCGCTCCACTGCAAGTCTTATTGTTTTTGAAATAGCATGACGTGCTTAAATATACAAAGTACTTATACATCGGCAACTACTGGTATAAATAAGGCTGATATGAGAATTTCTTTCTATTCTGTTTCTTTCAAACCGATCCCTATTTCATTGTCTCCGTTAACGCCTCAACAAGCATGGTAAAAGCATGCATTAAACGAGAAAAGCGCACAGTGAACGGCTAAGCTCATTTTTTCCTCCCCAAATGTTGCGATTGTTAGGACAACAGCCACAAAAACCGTCAACGACTAGCCGAGGATCCTTCTTCCTATGACAAGGCTTATCGCTATCTTATCAAAGAGGAGAAGGATGTCAATAATTTGTTGAAGCATTTTGAAGTTCTTGGGGACGATATCAACCGAACCAAAGACAGCATTTCAAAAGAAAACTACTCCAAACGAAGTCAACCTCATAAAGTCCCACCAGCACCGTCTTCTAACCCAGTTGGCCTTGCCTGGAAATTGGATGCTTTAGTGAAAAACATCAAGGCTATCTTGCGAATTACACCAACGAATAAAAATGCTTTGGAAAGCGCTCTCCGATTGCCTTTCAGGGACAAGTTATTGCTACTGAGCGCTGTTGTAGAGCAGTAAGATAATACCTATACACAGGCAAATGAATGAAATGTTTGACCTGATTCCATCCGTTACTAAATGCCCTACCATCCTCTTGATTATGTTGCTACCAAGATTGCTAAGTAATAATGCGCCCATCAACGACCGCAACAATACTTTAGAAACGGTGATCAATATTCTACGAGAAGCCAGGCCGGAAGACAAGGACTTTGTGAAAGTCGTATTGAGCAGTTTTATAAACACTGTCTATGTAGGTCGTTCGTTTTGTTTCCACATCAAAGACAACTCCACATGCCAGGCTGTTGCTTATATTTATTTCCATTGTTAGAATGACATACCAAAGCCCTTCCATCATTACGCTGGCCATCAATTCCGTAGCGCTGATGGCAGTGGTAACAGTCTTCTTTTCCCTGATGTGGTACGATATCGATAGAAGGGGTCCTGGACCATTTGAAAAGATGTCACTGATAATTCATGATCTACCCTCTTTTTTTAGGGCAAGGCAGGAACCTATTATTCAAAGACGGTATTTAACTCTACCCGAGACGTGATGATGCCATTGCCGGATCCCAAGGAATTATTTGATAGACTACTGAGACGCCCAGAAGGTGTTTTTAGGAAGCATCCTGAAAATTTCAACATGTTGTTGTTCCACTTTGGTACTTTGCTCACACATGATTTCTTTCATACCGACCCAAAAAATCCTGCCATCAATTTGACGACCAGTTACATAGATATGTAAAGTATAGCTGGGGTTTTTATACATTTTTTTTTTTTTTTTTTGCGCCCATGTACTCATTCATTTATGCCATTGGATCCATCTATTGCAGGTCCTTCTTATACGGAACGAGTCGAGAAGCACAAGAATCTGTACGGCAAATGAAAGGGGGTCTCTTAAAACCAGATCAATGGTGGGATAGACGCTTTCTTTTACAACCTCCGGGCGTGAGTGCATTGCTGGTCATGTTTTCGCGAAACCACAACTATATTGCGCGAAAGCTATTGGAGCACAATGAAAACGGAAGATTCTCGTATGGACCCAAAAAGGCGTTGTGCTCGCCAGAAGAACAAGATGAAGAGCTGTTTCAGACAGCTAGGATCATCAACAACGCATGCTACCTGCGAGTCATTACGCACGATTATGTTCGAAATATCGTTGGGTCCAAATCGAGTGCGAGCTTTGTGTTTATTGACACGGAAACCTCTCCCACTGACCCACTTTACGGCAATGCAGTCTCTTTTGAGTTTAATATAGTGTATCGTTGGCATGCTGCTATCGGACAAGAGGACACACAGTGGTTAAACAAGGTCTATAAAGTCCTTTATCACAGTCATGCACAAAGAGACGCTACATCGTCAAGCACGAAAAGGATCGACAACACCCCACATGAAGAGCACCAGCACGAGCACGAGCACCATCACCAGCACCATCACCAGCCTGCATGCAAAGACAACGAAAAGTGGCCCAGCTGTAACAAACTAGCCACCAAGGATGACCTCTTTGACAATATGCTGCAATTATTAAATCGAGAAATGATCCATGCCACTCCTAAGGAATTAGAGCGAGGGTATCCTATTGTTGGTACACATCGTCGTGACGACGGTACATTCCCTGACACTGATCTTGTCACGTTTTTAAAGAATGACTACCATCAGATGGCTTCTGAGCTGGGGTAAGGATGCTTTTGTTCTCTAAGGAAAAGGAAATGAATGACATTTATCTAATGGGGGGGGGCGGGTATGGCACCATTTTACTTTTTTATCGACATGCAATAGAAATGGACGCAATATCCCCGCTGCTTTGGAGCATGTAGAAATTGCTGGTATTCTGCAGGCACGCAAATTAAACCTGTGCACGTTTAACGATTTCAGAAGACATTTCAACTTGATGGCTTTGAGAACGTTCGAAGACTTTTCAGAGAATGTTGAGGTTCAAAAAGCATTGGAAGAATTGTATGGCACCCCAGAGAATGTGGAGCTTTATGTGGGTCTTTTGATTGAACGAGCACGGCCTTCTGGCATCCATTTTCCATATACAATGGGAAGGGCTATCCTGACGGATGCTGCTAACATTGTAAAGAACGGTAAGTGAATAGAAATGAGATATTTGCTTTTTTTTTTTTTGTTCCTCATAAAAGTTTGTTCTGTGCAGATCGACACTTTATGAAAGAATTGACGCCTATCAATTTGACAAACTGGGGTTACAAGTATGCAGCGGGAGACCCTAAGGATTACGATCGAATGCTTCCTACTCTACTCACGACGCTTTTCCCTCATGCTGCTCCTGGTGTTGTTTTCTCTGGGGATGCCCTTAAGGAACCTTTCAAGGTACCCACTCATTAAAACATTTTTATACCACTCGTTGAAATAAAATTGATTGCATCCACAGCCATCATGCATGGATGGAAAAGCTTTGCCATGATGTGTCATCAGGCTTCATTGATGGAGGCTTCATTTATGATAAGCTTTCAAACGGGGGCCCTTTTTATCATTTGCTCACTCACATGACCGTGGTGCCCGAAGCCTTTTGAGATCGTTCCGAAGCCAAAGCTACGATGCATCCATTGTCGATAAGGTGATGGGTTCTATGAATTTGTAGACATCCACATTTCTTATTTATCTGTCTCTTGAGAGAGAGAGCTCGTATGGCTCTTTGGATACTCTTAACACATTGTGAAGTATGATGGGTGTTTTTTTACTTTGACACGAACGATGCATGAAGAGACACATTGGGGAAAACTTATAGTGTCTGCAGAAAAGGCAGCACTCGCTTAAGATAATTCTTTTCCTATCCGATAGGACCGTAGTATGGTTTTGTACTGTGTCCAATAGATTCGCTTTGGCTCGTAAAAATAAACGAAGAAAAACTTTGATAGGGAGCAATATAAACTTGCATAAGACCAAAAAATGACAGCAATTCCAAAAAGAGAGAGAGGGGGATGATTCAGCGAATCAAAAAAGACCCTGTTGGCTGCATTTTTTTTTCGGACATTTTTGAGCAGAAAGGTCTCACTTTATAGAACATTGAAAGAAAATGTGTCAAAGAGAAAATCACATCATTCCTCCTATGGAACCTGATGAATCAGATAGTTTCCAACACGCTTAATTTGTAACTTTTTTTGATTTATTAGCAGGATTTTAATGCCTTTTGACTTGATGGAGTTGAGAAAAAAAAAAAAAAGCGAGGAGGGAATCATAATAACGAAATTATTATTTGAAATAGAATAAATAATGAGACATGTTGTACAATGAGCTATTTACAATAGGTAGGTAGGGTTGGATGCGATGATTGTGGGATTGGGTGGGCTGAAGAGGTAAAATCTCTTAATAATGTTGGTATAACTGTTGGTGGTTAGCAAGATTACCAAGGGAGTGAAATTTTCGTTGGCAAGTTTCGCATCGAACTGCAGTCGATGACCTTCGTCTATTCAAGTACGTCGATTGATCGATTTCAAAGGAAGAATAAGACAAAGGAGAGGATGGCGAAGACAGATCGTCGTCGTCTTCTTCTTCTACTGCTTCTACTATTGCTGGTGGAGGTGGATGTGAATGCTGATAATGTAAAGTATGTATTAAGGAGCTTGTGGCTATTGTCATGATGTTTTCTTGTAATTCATTTAAAGGCCAGTCATGTGGAATTTGATAAAATGCGCCCTTTGAGGGATTCTCCGTTGGCATAGAAGTAACAGCTCTAGCGGCACAGGAATGACTTGTAGAGGTATTACTGACAGGACTTGATTTAGACAGCGTATTTGTAGAGGCGGGAACAGATGCTAACATGTTGTTAAAAGCAGGAGAGTAATTATAATCTTTTTGCAAAAAAGTAGATGAGATAAATAGAGTAATCTGATTGAAAAAAAAAATTGGATTTTTTTTTTATGAAAAAAAGGAAATTTTACAAAGTCCCCTTCTCTTTTATATACTTTTTTTTTTTTTTTTTTTTTTTTTTTTCCTTGCTCTGTGCATCGTCGTTCTTTTTTTTTTTTTTTTTTGCCCAGATGATGTAAATAGCGGGGCAGGACCTGGGGAACCAAAAATGGATATGGGCACAGCTCCCTTTTTCATGACATTGCGATTACACCATTTTTCTGGGACCAAACTCAGACACACAATTTTTAGAACATAACTGTAATAAATTTTGAGACAAAAAAAGTAAACAATGGTTGAAAAGGTGGGAACTGATGCTATGCCTCTTCTGTAAATAACTAAATTCGATGTGCTTTTGTCTGGGACTTTATTGTCGTATTGGCGTTACGAATTATTGTTTGTGACAGTATTGAAACCTACGCAGATTCAATAAACCTACCCTTTCATCCTACCGTTTGGGTGCAGACGACATGAGATTGAGAAAACAGAAACAAAGATCCCTTGAATTATAAAATAGCCACTGTTTTACTTTTAAACGTGTTTATTCCTCTCAATGACTGCTCCATAACCAATGTAGATAACTGTTCTAAGATGTAGAAAACTGTTTGATAATACAGCTTGCTTGGTAAATTCTTACATGTTTTGTACAAAAACTTTAAAGAATGCATCTCAAAAGATCATTTACTAAAATGAGCGGTTGATGAAAACCGATAGTTCCCGTCCAGTCAAAAGAAAAAAGAAAAAAAAAAAAAGAAACATAAAAAAAGAAAACTCCGTCGATTTTTATTTTTTTATTTTTTAAAGTTTTAGGCTTGTCCGAAGAGGAGAGAGGGGAGGAAGGCATGCAGAAGGCGCTTTGGATGAAGTGAGTGGAGGTGACCTGCTTGTCATACATTCCGTTTTCCTAAATGTGTTCCTTGGAGAATCATTAAAGCCAGTACAAAATGAAGATAACCTCACATGTTGCAGGCGCACTTACTCCATAGCTATAACGGATATGGATCAGATGAACCATTTTTCAGAATGGGAGAAGCTCCGTAGGTTGCGTATCATGTCGATATTACGGACGATAATAAGTGAAAGGACCTGTACATTCATGCAGTTTTTACAAGTAAAGTTTGATGCAGTTTCAAAATTGTTGTTAGAATACGAAATACTAAAAGGTCCCACCTCCGCCAAACCTTCTTACTCCTCATTGTCACTGGCATCGCTCTTCCAAGCCATGACCTTATAAATGGCTGTGTTTGCTATAAATCAAATGTGACCGTTTGGTACAACCAGACACTGCAACCTAAAGGCCCTTCATGTTGAGTGGCCAAAGTAGAAGGGATCACTAGAACTATTTATAACTCTAGAGTAGTTAGACAGAGCCGCATCCGCATTACTAAGAAGAACCATTCAACATTCAACACTAGTGTTCATTTACATCCTACTGCAGAGTCTCTCTCTCTACCTTTCATCAGACCTTTTTGGGGGATAGTGCTGATTCATTCTCTTTCTTATCCTGCAACTGTTGTTATGAAAGGTTCAGTATGCCTGTCACTTACTCAGTGTGTGTGGTATCTGTTTTCATGGGGTTGGATAGAGGCTTGACTTTTTTATCAAAGAAACCCACTCCAACTTGCCGTCGCCCTAGAGAGGCTATGATAACCATGTGAGATAGCGCCAAGTAGTCGAAGGAAAGGTAAGAAGACCCGACATCATGGGGGCGGCAGATCATCTATAGACACTCTCTTGTCCAAAATGACTTTTTGTAAACAATTCCAAAAGTTAAATTCAAAAAGTATCAAATCTGCTTTTGCCTCATTTATTTCGTCTATACAAGGAAAATTAAAATCGGGGTTTCTTCTCAATATCAGTTACGCTTCTGATTTTGGTAGGTAGTTAAAGTCAGACACATGGGAGATGGCCAGATTGTTTTTTTTTTAAAGTTTATAGCTTTTCCCGATGCTTCAAGCGCCTCAAAAAGAAAAAAAAAAGACGGCAATGGAAAGGAAAGCAAACAGGCTTCTGTCTCGTTTTTGGCACAAAAAAGGCGCCGCTTAGAAGGTAGAAGCAATTCCAGCCATCCGTTGGTTATTTTATCCTTGTTACCCCGTCCGTTCCCAAATTGGGGTGTTACAAGGAGAGACGTTATTTGGTGGGGGAAGGGCAAAGGTGGAGGCAGAAAATAATAAAGACCCGTCTTCTTCACATTTCGCTTACCAAACCAAAAGCCGATCCGGTGACACAAATTGCAACGTTTACACATAATATGCTTCAGACGGGGACTTCCTTTCACTAGGCTCTTCTGTGTGTGCCTTTAAGAAGTCCATTCGTCTCTTGGCCTTGGTGACTCGATTGCAAATCACTCCACTGAAGTGAAACTTGCTTCCTTTCGTAATGTATCACAGAAAAAAAACTTTCTCTCGCTGGTTCCCCCACTGTGCCAACATCTTCACGTCATTCAATAAAAAAAAAAAAAAAAAAGTCAGTTATCATTTGGTTCATGCAGCTGCTCTTCATTCATGTTATTGAAATGGACTGTCAGATAAAATCCCTTAGAGAGGTTTAACGCTTTTTTTTTTTTCTGGTTTTGGGCTAAAATAAAATAGGAAAAAAAAAAAAAGAAACGCCTTTTGAACATCATAAAAGTGGAATATATCATTTTCAAGATGACAGAAATGTGAATTCAATGGGAAAGCTGCAAGGCAGCATCACTTATTGAGAGGGATTGCTTAGCAATGACCCAATAGCCATTTCCTTACCGGTCGATGGTCTTGCCATCAAACCATTGAATTTTACATTTGCTCAGTGGTGTGCTTGAGTAACCTGATGATCGGGGCCTCGAATGAAATGAAAGGACACGATATATAGAACAACTCCTTCAAAGCATTGTCAAAAAGAAAGAAAAGCTGTTTTATTATCCTACAGAGAGACAGTGTGTCTCTACACTGTTCAATAAGACCCCTTTTGGCTATTTCTGTAGCCACCGTCCCTTGCAGAGGAAGCCGTTCCACTTCATTTGCAAACTGATAAATGACTTGTCGCCCGCAACCCCTCCCCTTTTTACTTGACCCCGCTTCCTTGTTTCTATTGGCCCTATTGACTTGAAAGAAACCCTTTTTGGGTTCTTCTCATTTGCACCAAAAAAAAAAAAAAAAATGAACCCTTATTTTTTCGTGAACATTAAGATGGCGATTGAACGGACCTTTCTGGTCCAATCAGGCACAACGGCATGAAATTACAGAATGAGGGGTTCGTCATTCTGATTGCATGGGAGGTTCAACAGGCTTCAGTGTGTGTGTCAGGTAAACAACACTTGGTAGCATGCGTCTGGCTCAAGATTTTTGTATAGTCAAAGGTGGTCAAATGGAGAAGAAGAAACGGCTTGGATCAAACATGTTTTTGCGATTCAAAGTATAACAGAGCAGACAGCACTTTTGAAACAGATGAATACTGAAAGACAGGGTATATCTCTTATCTGACATTAAGCTTATCGTGCACGTGCTTTATTTTAAGAGCAGAAAGGGTCCCAAGAAGCCTTTCAATCCACGTTGGTTGGCCAATATCGGACACAAGAGGCTCGAGGACGTTTTAGACGGTCTACTTGCAAGAAAGGCTCATTTTCGCTTTTGCATAAAAAAAGGCTATGATAGCAATATTCGTCCCGCTTTGCAAAAGAAAAAAAAAAGGAATTACTATTTCTCCGTCAAAGGATAAAAAAGGTCGATCCAATATATCACCTGTGAGACTGCATTCGGGGACCCCATTTCGCCGTGCATTATCCTCAGCAGCGGGAAGACAGAATAAAGCAGGTTTTAATGCATTATCCGTATCCGTTTACGGTAACGGATGACGTTAAAGTAGACCAAATGTCACCTTGTCCGGCAAAACAACCACCGTTCTTTCACACTATAAAAGTTGGTTTATTTATTTCTGCCAAAAAACTGAAATACATGTCAAGATACGTAAATGATCAACAGAAAGAAAGATGGCCTTCTTCTGTAGATCTTTAATGGAATATGTTTTTAGGAAACACTATCATGAGAGTCTATTTCCTTCGCGCTCATCGATCCTCGCAGAGAAAATAGAACACTACTTGTGCGCAGGTGGCCTTGGGCTTGGCTTTATACAAAAGCCTCCTTTGGCGTTCTTTACCAACTCTATGATTTAATGGGTTCCTTGAAGATTCTATTGACTGAAAAAAGACCCTCGTCCAACTATTCGCGTACATAAATAAAGGACGAGATACCTCTGAATCTTTATCGCATTGGCATCATTTCCAAATGATAAAGTGTCAAAGTATCCTACGCTGCTTAGAAACGGTTACTTTGAGAAAAATGCAACCTCAGACCAGGCAGACGCAAAGAAAAAAAAAAAAAAAAAAAAAAAAAAGAATGAGTGACGTTTGAATGGCTTTCCTTTTTTGGAAGGTTCTTTTTTTTCCTTTCTTTCAATGCTACGAGCAGCTGGCATACGTGTCGCTAATGAGAGTGACTAAAAAAAAAAAAAACCTTGCAAAACTTTTTTTCATTTCCAATTTCTCTTTTCTTTTCTCTTTCTTTCATTTCAATTACAAGCTGTTCAGAATGGGCGCGTTGGTAAATCAGCAATAGAAACGTTCAGTAGTTTGTATTCATGTCAACTCACACTATTCTTTGTCCATCAGCAAATTACCGTAAAGACTCTTCAACAAAAGCAGTTCAAACTCGATGTGGATAGCTCTGATTCTGTATGTTTTTCAGAAAAAGTTTTATTTTATATAGTAAAAAGACTCATTCATCTATCGATTGATAAAGATTCTTTCAGTAAAGCAAAAAATTCAAGAAAGCCAAGGACATGCTGTGGCTCAACAAAAACTTATTTTCTCTGGCAAGTCTCTCAGGAGAGAGCGTTTTAACTCTATCAAACGAAAACACTGACACGTTTGTGTTTTTTATAGGTAAAATTCTTGCGGATGATAAAAAAGTAGAAGACTATAATATAAGTGAAAAGGACTTTTTAGTCGTCATGGTTTCCAAGGTAAAAAAAAATCAGAACGAGCACCTTCCCTCCTTCCAAAGGAGCCACCCTCATTCATTCCTTCTTTCTTATACTAGCCAAAGACAACAGCTGCTTCATCCTCTAAACCAGTAGCTCCGGCTGCCAAGGAACCAGCCAAGTCAGAAACACCTGCTGCTGCTGCTGCTACTGCTGCGTCTACCACCACGGATGCAAACATCGAAACACCTTCACCTGCACCTGCACCTGCAGCCACGAATGCTGCTGAAACAAAGACCCCCTCAGCTTCTTCTACCACCCCTAGCGACACAACAACAACACTACCGGATGCGAACGATTCATCCTTAGGTAAAAAGATAAAAGTTCATACGTGGATAAGGGACAGTCTCATTGAACCTTGCAACGTGATCTATAACATAGTGACAGGGGAAAAACTCGAAGGTGTCATCCAGAATATGATGGAGATGGGTTTTGAACGTGAACAATGTGTGCGCTGTCTTCGTGCTAGTTTCAACAATCCTGACAGAGCTGTAGAATATCTTTTCAATGTAAGTTGTGCGTGGACAAGGGTTGTTGAATGTTCCTAGGCTAGGCAAAGCGGCTTTTGCTAAACATCATCGTCTGATGGTAGGGTATTCCTCAAAATATATTGGACGAAATGAATGCTGCTCAACAAGCTCAAGCACAACAACAACAACAACAACAACAATCGCCTAATAATACAAACATCACATCACCTACTAGCGATACAGGAGCAGCAACAAATACAAATGATCCTAGTAAATATGCTTTTTTTTTATAAATTCCAGAAAAAGGATTGACTCATCATGCCTATGTATCTGATTTTCACTGTCCCTAGATGCACCTTTGAACTTATTTGCAGCTGCTCAACAACAACAACAACAACAGCAACAGCAACAACAACAACAACAACAACAACAAGGGGGTGGTAATGCTGAACTAGCGGCGTTAAGAAACACACCTCACTTCCAGCAAATTCGTCAATTGATTCAATCCAATCCAGCCCTACTTCAACCCTTATTACAACAATTAGGACAAAGCAATCCTGAGATTTTGAGAACCATCAATGCGGACCCTAATGGATTTTTACAGGCTTTGTTGGAAGGCACAGATGAAGAAGATAATTTACCTCCTGGAACCAATATGATTCAGGTGACCCAGGAAGAAAAGGATGCTATTGATAGAGTAAGTGTCGTTGTGGATCTCTCTTTAAAATGTGAACTTTCATCTTTATTTTTGCCTAACGATGATCATGGGGCGGGGCGGGTATTAGTTGGTTGCATTAGGTTTTGATCGACACCTTGCTATTGAAGCCTACTTTGCATGTGATAAAAATGAAGGTAAAACAGTGCTATCTACACGTGTCTCCCCATGTATGCATTCTCATTCACCTATCTGTATTTTATTCTGTAGAAATGGCAGCCAATTACTTGTTTGAACATGGAAATGACGATATGGAGTAGAAAGCAGGATAAAAGAGGACAAAAAAAAAAAAAAAAAAAAAAAAAAAAAAGCAAATTTGAAGCATTCCAAAATAACCAGAAAAGCCTGTGAAATTTTTTTCTTTGGGGGGATATACAAAATCATGAAGTTCGAATTTTTTTCTTTTTTTTTCACCCCCAATGATTATCAAAAGAAGCATACCTTTTGTCATGATCTTGTGGCCTGCTATTTAACTTTCAAATAAAAACACCAACATCCATAATGGAAATAAAAAAAAAACCGTGATCGATGAACCATGCGTTTTTATGAAGGCATAAGCCGAAACACTATAGATTTCTCAGTACCGTCACAAATGAGCACAGACAATAGGAAGGATGCAATCGAGATTGGCTGTCCATGTTGATCTATGGACTATGTATGTATGCATAATTTACCATTGAATTGAAAAAAAAAAAAAAAAGCAAAAAAGGTACATCGTGTTTGTGGAGCATAATTCCCCCCGCTTTTTTTTTTTAAACAATTGCTTGGGGACGACTTTATCTAATCTTGGGTTCGTTTTCTCCCCTATGTTGGGGCAAAAGAAAAAAAAAATTCCTTTGTTATGGTTTTTTTAAAGTCACAGCCAGAAAAAAAACGAAATAAAAAAAAAGGTTTTTTGGCAAGAAATTTTTTAGGCAAAGATGGGCAAACTGGAAAGAAAGCGGGCACAGAAAATACGCTTTCATCCCAAAAAAAAAAAAAAAAAAAAGAAAAAAGAAAAACAGACCCTTTCCATTATTTTTCCTTTCTTTTTTTTTTTTTTTTTTTTAATGGATCAGCAAGGAGGTAACCAAAGTTTGACATGTTGACAATGTTGGACGACAACTTGAATGCTCATGTATCTTTCCCCACGTTTTATTAGTTGACATCAAAAATAAGAAAACTACTGCTCCTACACCTCAAAACACACCCATCAACACAGCACCCATTAGCTCTCCATTCAACCCCTCCATCGCAGCCATCTCTGAAGAAATGGAAACTATTACTACTCCTGGTAAACTACTATACACTCTATTCCAACAACAGAACTATCCATGCGTCCGACCAAGGAACCAATAGTCATATTTTTTTTTTTTTTTTTTTCATTTCTATCCGTAGGTGTTATGAACATGCTTCAAGGTAAATTAGGATACCTTAGTGGTGAAGCCAACCTGCCTCCTGCCGTCAAGCGCCGTATCAACGGCTTAAAATATCTTCAATCCAAGCACACCGAATTGGAAGCAAAATTCCAAATGGAAATCTTGGCTTTAGAGAAGAAATATCTCGAGTTATATCGTCCTTACTACGACAAGCGTGCCGACATTATCCGTGGTAAGTACGAGCCTACCGAAGAAGAAGTCGCTATCGGTGCCAAGGTGGATGAAGAAGAAGGAGAAGACGCTGGCGAAACGGAGGAAGCCAACCAAGAGGAAAAGGAAGCCGAAGATAAGCAAATGGAAGACGTCAATGAGGATGATGAGGACAATTTGAACGGTATCCCCGAGTTCTGGTTGACGGCTCTCAAGACACATCCTCAAATTGGTGAAACTATCTCTGATGAAGATGGCGATGCTTTGAAGCATTTGATCGATATCCGTGTCCACTATCTGGAAAAGCCCGGCTTTTGTTTAGAATTTGAATTCGAAGAAAACGACTTCTTCACTGACAAGGTCCTTACCAAGACCTACTATTATCAAGACAATATTTCTGGCGGTGATTATGTCTATGATCGTGCTGAAGGTTGTAAGATCCACTGGAAGGAAGGTAAAGATTTGACAGTGACCGTTGAAACCAAGAAGCAACGTCATAAGGGTACCAACAAGACACGTGTCGTCAAGCGCACTGTTCCTGCCGAAACTTTCTTCAACTTTTTCAATCCTCCTGTTCTACCCGTTGACGACGCTGACCTTGATGAAGAAGAAGCTGAAACGCTTGATGCCAAGTTGGAAGCCGATTATGAAATGGGTAAGTCCTCTCACCAACCACTCCGCGTTTCTTGTTATGAGCAACGCGACATCGTTGACTTAACTTTCTTATATCCTCTTGACTACAGGTGAAGAATTCAAGGAAAAGATCATTCCTCATGCTGTTGATTTTTTCACTGGCAAGGCTCTTGACTATGAAGATTATGATGAGGAGGACGATTTTGAGGTAGGCAATCATTTTATAAGCGTGTGTGTCTATGTCGTTTCGGTCGGGGATATTGACGCTCCCCGCCACTGTCTTTTATAGGATGACTTTTTCTCTGAAGATGATGACGAGAACAGCGATGACATTGACGACGATGAAGACGACGATGATGATGCTGCTGTAAGTATAAAGCGTTTCTTTTAATGAGCTCTGTCAATGGAAGAAGGAATGAATGTTGACCCTCTTTATTGATAGCAACCTGTGAAGGACGAAAACGCTCCTGAATGTAAACAGTCTTAATTCCAAACATACATTAATCCCCCATCAACCTATTTTTGTCAGTTTTTCCCCTTCCTTGTTTGTTTTATTTACGTATAAAATCTACCCATCTACGTTCCATTTGTAACATTTTTGAAACAACGTAACCATGTGTTGACTGTACCCTTTTTTTTTTTGGTCATTTGACTTACTGGCTATTTCAGTTATTCGTCCGTTGGCCCAAAAAGCTCTCCTCTTGAAATGGTCACTTTGAAAAAATACACATTCGTAACGAAACTGTCCATGGGCGATGAGAAAGCGTAAGAAAGATGAGGCTGCAGGTACAATAGAGAGCCTAACGGTCAGTTTAGCTTTTTTAAATGATGGTCAATGGCTAAGCCTTTGCTCGTGTTTGTTTCAAATCAGTCACTTGAAAAATGCTGTCTTTGTGAAATTGACCCACCTTCTATAGTATATGAACAGCATTTACAAAAAAAGTCCCAAAGCTGCCCACTTTTCATCGTTCCTGATGATTGGATCAACATTGGATTCAGCCAATAAGAAAATCTCCTAATCATTACGAGTACCCAATGCGCAGGTTGGTTTTTTTCTTTTTTCAACTTGAAAAATTGTTTTTCACTCTTTCTCACTATCTTCATTATGGTGCAAGTACTCATATCCTTACCTACTACCAAGTCTGCCATCTGCTTTTCTATTGAAGGACATGGAAACACAGCACAACATATTAAACAGCACATTGCTGCAACAACAGGGCTTGATGCTCGTCATCAGATGTTACGTACAATCGATGGCCATATTTTGGACAATGATGAAGCTTTACGGATGGTCGATCAAGATTTTATGTCTCTCCAACTTACTTGTCGTCTTTTAGGAGGCAAAGGTGGCTTTGGCTCCATGCTTCGTGCTCAAGGTGGTCGAATGAACGCACAAAAAACCACCAATTATGAAGCCTGTCGAGATTTGCAGGGAAGACGCATTAGAACAGTGAATGAAGCCAAAAAGTAAAAAGACCTTTTTTTTCTCTCTTTTTCAAATACAAAACACTGATGTTTCATTGACTTGCTTGTTTAGACTTCAAGAAGAATTAGACGCATTACCACAAAGGGAAGCCGAAAAGAGAGAACGATTAAAGAGAAAAATTGAAGAAGCTTTGAAAGAGAGAGAGCCTCGAAAATACTTGTTTGACGATAACAAATTTCTGGAAGATAAGGAAGAAGTAATTGAAGACGTCAAATCAGCTATCGGAAGTGCGTTGAAAAAACAAAAAGTGAATCATAAACCAGCAGCGTCGACATCCTCCAGTTTATTTGATGATGATGTATCGTCCGAAGAAGAGGAGGAGGAGGAGGAAGAAGAAGAAGAGCAATCGGATGACGATGAAGTGAAAGATCAAAAAGTCGATAATAAAGACAAAGAAAAAGAGACCAAGACAATAAAGGGAAAGGGGAAAGGCAAAGCTTAAGCCTCCTCAATTTTGCAGACAAACCAGCCGTGATTGCTACTTTTTAACAAATGAGAGAATCAGTTGTATTCATTATTCCCATTTCATATCGCCCATGGCACAGTCCGATTTTGTTTGTTTAATCTAGCAATTCAATGAATGGCTTGTTCAGTTTATTGTAGACATGGTCTGTTATAAAAGATGTAACAGCGCAAATAAAATGTATCTCTTTATTGTAAAGCTTTCGTAGAGTGATCGCATCCAATGACCCAAGTTGCACTCAGGATGGAGAATAAGAATGATAGAGATGATGGATTCATTCGAATGTTCGTGCAATCGAAAACACTTTCTCTCCTTTGTAATCGTTTCGCGAAAACGGTCTTTTTGCTTAGCATCGGTGAACAGGGTTGAGCAATAGCCGTTCAAACTAAGCTCAGAGGTGACATACTGTTTATACAGTTGATGAACAATGACATTTTGGTTGAATTTCACATTGAGCTCGTCTTTGTAGAATTGTTCGTAAAGACGAAAGAGCCCAGATGTTTCCTTTCCTTCAATGTCAGTGACAGCAGTAGGCGTACGGACAACTCGTAAGGATGGTGTGGATGTGGCGGCCAATGTTGAACCTTCCCCGCTGCTGACGGCTGACACCAAGGGTCAAATCCACAGGGCAGCCAGTGACAGGGTTTTTTTTTTGTGATGGTGGGGTAAAGAGTATAGATCCTAGGCACGACGTAGCGACGCAAACTCACCATCCCTCTCAAAGAAACACTGTCCTTCATCAAACTGTAAGCTAAATTTGTCAAAAGCTTCATGTATGGCTATAACCACGAGTATGTCAAGGGAGTAGGATATGTTGGCTCGTCATTAGGAAAAGAATGGAAAAATGAAAGAAAGGGGTAAAACGAAAAGAAAACTCGTTTTACTGCTGTGTTTTAATTGGCGCGACTGCACCAAACCAAACGGCATAATGAAGTGAAGGAGCAGTTTTTCTGATAGCCGCAACTTCAGAGAACTCTAAAGAGACATTCTGAACTTCTGAGTCATCGATGCTTCTCAGTAAACTAGCAGAGAAGCTGGCAGCCAGAAAGGCGAGAGCGTATAAATATGATCCGCAAAAGCGAATGAGGATGGTCAATACCTTACAAAAGTTTATTCCCATTGTCAGGTACAGTTGCATACCATCCAAACGTAAATGAACAACGTACCAAGGATGGTCAGAGATTAAGCAAGTTTGGTATTGCCAGCTTTTTGCTCTTCTTTATAGCTATTGCTTGGCTATTGTTGTTGCCATACGATGGATATAGCAAACGAACCTATATCTCTGAGAATGCTTTGTTACCGGGGCAGGTAGAGCGGCAATACAGAATACACTCTCACTTTATATGGATTAGCATAAATAATGCCTCTCATTCCTCCTTTTGAAAAACGTAGGTTAATTTAGAATATGGATACAACGATGTACGAACAGCGGAAGATTTCCGTCAGAAATTGATACACATCCAAGGTCTAGACAGCGAAACGTAAAAGTCGAAAAACCACTTTTTTTTTTCATAGAGATCAATAGTGTATACCCTAATACATTACTAAACCTTTTTTGAAACTTAGTCGAGCCAACTTTATACAACAGGAATTTAGAAAATCCGGGTTTGTATCAGCAGTACAGCATTTCGTTGTGGACGGAAAAGAACCCAAAACGGTAACTACAACGTACATACCTGATGCAGCTTCATTAAATCACCCAAAAAAAAAAAGAAAAAAAAGAAAAAGTCTTACACTGATAAATGATTTAGGGCGTCAATACTTTCGCTATAAATAGAGCACCGCGTAGTGATGGTAAAGAGGCATTGATATTGAGTGCATCATGGAAGTCAAGAACCGGTGAATGTAAGTTAATGAACGTATGTGCATTTGAAAGAATATACTTAGCACACCTTACTTCTGCTTCGTCTTCTGCGCAGTTAATACAAATGGTATTGCTCTACTGCTATCACTGGCAAAGTTGTTCAAAAGAAATGTATATTGGGCAAAAGATGTGATACTATTGATTGCTGATGAAGGAATTCACGGAACACAAGCCTGGTTAGACGCCTATCATGGCACTGTTCAGAATGGTAAGTTATCATCAAGGAGATGTCACGTTATGAGACAAGACACAAAAAAATTGGATATTAATCAAAAAAAGTTAATGCATATAGATGAGTTTTCTTCTATTGTCATGCCTCGATCTGGAGCAGTACAAGGAGTCGTTCATCTTGATTTTCCTGGAACACAAGATTATGAAACTTTGGGCATATTTTTTGGTTAGTTCATTGAGTTTATGAATTTCAGAGATGATGGGACCTTCTATAGGAATTAATTACTATTTCATTCAAACAGAGGGTGTCAACGGGCAACTACCTAATTTGGACTTGGTTAACACCATGATAGCCATTGCAGGTAGAACAGGTCCACCAATGCGTGTTACACTTCATGATACAGCAAAACACCCCTTTGAAAGTCATCAGTATGGTCCTTATTTGGGATCATTATATCATTTGCTACAAAGCATGAAGTACCTTGTCTTGGGCAAGCCATCAAGTGAAGCTGGCCTTTATTTGCGGTAAGTTGATCGTTTTATCGATAACTGTTTGAGAATCAACCTGCTGAGTCGATTATAATTAGCTATGCAATCGATGCTGTAACCATTCACGGCATTGTAGGCTCTGAACATTTGCATCAATTGTTTGGCTTCAACCGTATCGGAAAGTAAGCATGAGTATTATCTATGAAAACACGAGGAAGCTCGTCAAATTTGAGCCTTATACGAATTCATTATCTATTAGACTTGTGGAATCCACTTTCAGAAGTTTAAACAATCTGCTAGAACACTTTCATCAATCTTTCTTTTTCTACTTACTACCGCACCCCTATCGCTATGTGTCTATCAGCCAGTATATGCCTCCTGTCGCTCTGTTTGCTTGTGCGCTTATCTTTCAGTCATTATCATTGTATTATTTGGGTACAAAGAAGCAGACCCTTGATAACCTATCAGCAGGTACCTCTACAGATGCCACAGCTTCAAAAATAGCCGGAATGGTACCGCCTGCTTATTCATTGAAAAAACGCCATATACGGTTTCCCTTCACTATTATGATCATCGTCCATATGGCAGGACTTGTTATCTTCAATATTCTGCAACCTAGCTTTGGATGGAATTACCTTGGCCATTTAAAAGAGAATGAGGTAATAAATCATAGTACTATCTGTGTTTAAGGGGGTTGGGATAGGGGGGGGGTGGGGCGGCTTTAGAGGTTCGATCACCAAAAAAATTTTTAAGTTCTATAGAAAAAAAAAAAAAATAAAAAATTAAGCTTTATTCTTTCTCGTTAGGCCGTTGAAGTACAGTATGGTATATCAGTAGCTGTATTTATCATCACCATAGTTTCTTGTATTCTATGGATCAACAAAAGTCAATCTCCTGAACACGATGGCACCATATTGAAATCATTCTGCCTTGCCTATAGCGCCCTAGTTATAGCCACCGTCTCACTGCTTAACTTTACATTAGGTGTCGCAACCGCTATCCTTATTTTGATCCCGTACAGCCTCGCTCAACCTTCTTTTGGTGCTTCTTCAATCTACAAGGCTGCTCAAACTGCTGTATTGTTACTCTTATCCCCTGTGGGTCTAGCCCAAATATTCAGTTGGGTCACTCACATGTCCTTAACGGATATACTCAGTTCCATTTTATCAGATTATCATGTCGTGGGAGCTTGGTTTTTAACTTTTCTCTGTACAGTTTATTGGCCAATGAATATGGCTGTCATCATTTTAGTCTACACGAAAGCATCATCCTAATCAACAACAAATAAAGAAACTGTTTAATGATCCTAAATAAACATACGGACAAAGGGGGGGGAGGCATCAAACTGTGCAATGCATGTTCATTTTATTATGATTCAAGCGACATACAGAACTTGGAGGAAAATTTTCTTAAAAAAAAGGGGAAGTGGCTATATGTATAAATATGAAGAGATAAGGAGAGGAATAGTGATTGTATATACAAAAGTGTTACTGCTGCAAGGCTTTCAAAGTACAGTTTCCAAAGCAAAGAATACATGATCAACATGATATCCGTATCCAGACACAGAGGGGAGCAGAAGAGTAGACTGTTATATAGAAAGGGAGGCGGAGTGTCTTTACATGTAAGGTTTCTGAGCGATGATGGTATGCCAATTGATATATGTCTTGGCACGCTTCCATTCTTCGGGCAGGCTATTGATGTGATTGTCGTATTCATCGGAACCAAGGTTCATAACCGTTGATAACCAGGGTTTTAAGGACTTTAAGAAGAAGAGATATTGACTCGACACAGCACGTGCAAATTCAGAACAAGTAGTGCTTCCTTTTTGTTGCTTCGTACACTTTTCCGATGCTTGGTCTGCCGCATTCTTTTCAGAAGATAGGTTGGTCTCCATCACAACACTGTTTGTCTTGGAAGCAGGTGCACTGTGCGAAAAGCCCCAGCCCAAGGGCAAACTTTCACCAAAATCTTCAACGTGACAAAAGCCATTGATCGCAAGCATTGTGGGCAATCGATGAGCGGCATAAGGGTCTTGTTGACGCAATGTTAAGCCCGTGATCAATTGATCGTTCATGAGGTATTCACTTTCAAGACTATTTTGAGTTTCAAGATCCTAGTAACAAAAAAAAAGAACGAACATTGTTAGAATAAAAGGAAAATGACCGTATAGTGTAGCAGATAAAAGAAAAAGAAAAAAATCGTTTGGAATACTTTACGGGTTCAACGAATTCTATCCAACCGCCTGGCTTCAAGACACGCAAGCATTCCAATAAAAGGGGCTGCCATGTTTGACCCATCAAAGCCCAATTCATGTCACGCTGATATATGTAGTCAATACTGTTATCGGGGAAAGGTAATACTAAAAGTTTCTCACAGTCGTCATGGGTATCTTCTTCACTTGCGTCATGATGACCGCCATTTTGCAAATGACTATGGTTATTTAACTGTAACTGCTGTTGCTGCTGTTGTCGCTCTACGGCGAGTGATGCACATGTCCGGAAATGGCAATTGCGAGGCTTGATATCTTTTGGAAAATAGGCGTGCTGGTCAACACCGATGAAAGTGGATTTAGGAAAAGCAGTGCTCATTTCCATGGTCCAGGTGCCTGGACCACAGCCAATGTCTAACACGATTATTCCTTTCTGAAGTTGGGATTTGACAGGTGACTTGAAGTCAGATCCAAAGGCAGTTCGTAAAAGATAATGCTGTGCAACCAAACGGTCTTGTTCATCGTTATCTTGCGATAATACATAAGGCATAGCAGAGAACGCAGCCATGGCTGCTTTGATACTGTTACTACTATTGCTGGTCAAATGACCACTGTAGCTGCTGCTGCTGCTGCTGCTGCTATTGCTATTGCTCGAAGGAAATGATCTTTTATTTTGCAATAAACTTGATTTGTTGCTTTTTTGTCGTTTCTGAGACTGCTGGCTGTTGCGACGACTCGGAAGTGACATGGATATAGATGGGGTTAAAAGCGGCTTGTTTTGGCTGATCAATTTGTTTAAACGAGACTGACCGGACGCGGAGGATGATGTGGATGTTGAGAGAGATTTAGTTATTGTAGGCGTTGTTTTTTTCGTTGACAGCAATGCATGTGCTATCTTTTGTTGCTCAAATTGTTGCTGCTTCATCAGTTGTTGATCCATGAGTCTGAGTAGGAACTCGGAGCTTAAAGGACGTTTACGACGTGGTGAAGGAGGTGGAGATCGTTGTCGTTGGTGACTGAGAGGTATTGAACTGAAATGCTCAGGAGTAATAACAACTGAATCTGATAAGGATGAATCATTGGTAAGTAAGGATGCAGAAGGAGTTGTGATAGGCGATGACTGTTGCTGCATGTTGTATGTCTTGGTTATTCTTTTCTGACATATCGGTTGGAATGTATAAGTTGTTGCAGCTTTTTTAGCAGCTTGGATCTGTTTCCTCCAAGGTCTTTCTTCAGTAATAATGTCTGCTGTATACAAAGGTCTAATTGCATATTTTGATTCTGGTTTTCGTTTTAAAAGTTTTTGTAGAAAAGAGGGGCTCTCAAATAGTGAATGAGGAGTTATACCGGTCATCTAAAGTATTGAATGTAGAGAGGTATGGTATAGTTATATAGACTAAGAAGAGGATATTATTCGAATAAGCGGGACCGCGTACTTGTAGGGTATTTATATATGATTTTCGGAATTTGCTTTCGATACTTTTTGGGTTAGCCCCTTAAAGGTATAATTTGACAAGTGAGGAGATCCATGAATGAGAAAGTTACTCATTGATTGCATTTTACCTTTTTATGGGAATTCGTGCCATCAACAATACAAGCTGCATGTTGCGGTGTTGCTTCCGCGTTTGTACATGTACGTAGTATCAGTTTTCTTTTTTTTTTTTAATCTCTCCTAGCTTTACTCATGTGCTGGGAAACGTTAATTTAAAGGCAATATGAGAAAGGCTTGGTCTACGGCCTCTTGCAAATCAAATACGTCAGTATCGAACCTCAAATGCAACAACAAGCAACTTGGCAAAACCAAAGTTATAACATGTTTCAAATGCTAAACTTACCTACACTTCCATTATAGTTACGTTTCAATTATAGAGCTAGTTCTGTTGAGGCCGTGCAAATGCAGCTTATTTCTACTTATGGCTAATCGACTTTTTTAATTTTACTTTCATATGGCAACATTCAAGGAGAATTTATCTAGCATGCATGCATATTTTAGACCATTATCAGCCGAAGTAGGGCTTTAAATAATTACTTATATCTTTCTATTATTGTCATTTACATGAAGGTTCATAACTAGTGATAGATGTAATTTTTCGTTATATTGACAGTGTACATAACTCAAGTAATAACAGTCATAATTGTAGAGTATTAAAGTATACATACTATGTTTAACATAATCAAATGCATGTTTCTTCTTGTACTACTAGGGTTCGAGGATCAAACTGATAGACGGCTTTCTTGTTAGCATGAATCTCTGTTGCTACTGGCTATTATACTATTATGAAAAGCAAGGGGGAAATTGAAAAGAAGGGGGAAGTGTAGGAAAAGTTAAAATCGCATGTAACACGCATGCCGGCCAGAAGAGCAAATAAGGGTTTTTTGTCAATTGAGTCCAACTATCTATCCCTTAAAATAAAAAGAATAAAAAAATTCTGCAGTGTTCGTAAGATACTTCTTTTAAATCAATGTCCGTGTCTTTGCTTCCCTGGCTAGTGTGTCTTACCAATACGTAACAATTCTAAACCACCAAGTACAGTAAATTAGTCTTATTGCATCTTTATCTACTTCCTATGCCGTATAAGCAACCCTAGTATATACTCTAAATAATAGATAATTTAGAACTAATAGCGAATCATGCATTCAGCTAATACAGTGAGTGCGTGACAGCCGTTGAAAGTAAGTATTATTCAGAAAACATTTTTGCATTTGTGTCACTAATTAGATGCTGACATAGATTTTATACTTATTGTTCTATGTAAAGAAAACAAGTTTCCTAAGGACAAAGAGCTAAGAAAATGCTTTCATCTGACTTTCAGTGAAGTAATCATATAGAATGAAAAGATAAATTTGATGTTGTATACTCCGAGTGATTACCAATAAAAAAGTAGGAAATTCAGCCTATAGACAATATTAAGCTTCTCTCTACCGATACAACTTTTAAAGAAAAAACTACTATGTGCTGCCTGTTTACTCATCAATGTCCTAGGTTTTGCCTCTCTGATTTGGCCGAAAACGTATCAGTCAAAACCCCATATTGCCTTTACTCAGAAAGAAGCATGATGCTAGTTCTGCCGTACTATTTTTCTGGTAAAGGTAAGCCTTCAATGAACAAATAGTCTCTAATAAAGTGATCCTTATCAAGCGATAGCTGGAAATATGATAGGTTAGGCTAAAATATTATGAAGCTCTTTGCAAAAATCGCAGTTTAAAATAGCAAAAAATGATAAACACATAACTACTGGATAAGCAAAATGTTGTGTACGCTTAAGGAGGGAGGTGCGGCTGGATACACGCGATCATACGCTTTATTAATTCACGTAACCTTGGAAGCTGCAATAACATTAGGAAAATGAGTAACAATGACTATCTGATTACTATTATATTCGCTGTACTTTTTCAAACTTTATCTCGGCGAGCTAACTTCCTCTCAGCCATTCCACTTTTCATGTTGCAACCATTTATTATATTCTTAGCGAAAATTTATGTCAAGCATAGCAAATTGTGGGTTTTTTTTTTTTTTTTTGTGTCATTAAAAATGTGCTCGTTTCCTGATTTATTTTTATCTATTTCTTGGTATGTTGGTTATAGGAGGAACCAACTAACAAATTACAGTGTATCAACTACCCTTCCAGATATACTGGCTCTTTCTCTCTCTGTACTTTTATGTTATCATAAGTAATTTGTTTAAACTAACTTTTACCAAAAAGTCGGTAATCTGCATATTTAAATATGATCGAGGGACACAAACAAGGAAATAGCACATTTGCTCGGCTTTTATATATCTGGTCAATCGAATTTCAAAAGACAAAACCACTTTGAAGAAATGTTCAATCATTCCGTTGCTCATAGCCACTATTTCGAATAAATGGTTAATGAGGACAAACTATTCATTACTATACGATTTCGAAACTGGAGACAATCTGAGAAAAAGAAAAAAGAAGACTATCATCATATATTTTCCCGTTTGTTAAAATCAATAGCCAATTGTACTATTTATGCTAAGGTTTTTGAGCTTATCTCTGTAGTATAGGAAAAATTATCCATTGTAACTGTCCTTCGGTACTACCATAGGCAATCATAGGCAATCATAGGCAAACAAGGGGCGTTGTGAAGCTTAACTAATTGATAGATTCTACATCAAACGGCTGGTTGTAAATGTTGTTTTAATTGATGTGCCTTTCATTAAGTGAACGCAAAGAAAAGCAGCAAATGATAGAATTGCTTTTATAAACGGAGTGTATGATTTTTCTTCTGCTTTTACAATATTTTTTTGGTTAAGTATGATACATGAAGTTTGTTTCATCTTGTTGTAATGAAGCCAAGTTGGGTAGAATGAATCGCTACCGAATTTATTGCATTGATTTGCTGTCCAGCAGAGCAAAATTGACTTTTAGCGATTTTGATGGCAATTTATTTAGGCTAAAGAAACATACTAGATACAAATACAATTTTCAATATACTTAAGAATGTAAGTTAAGCTCATAGAGAACGAATACTTTGCATGGACTCTAAGAGTGAATTACTGCTGTCGTCCATTTCAAGTGACCAGAGCATCATTCCGCCTAGCGCCTTTTCCTTTACAAATTGCGTCTTCAATCCTAAAGATTTAGGATTATCGAAGCTAACGAACTGCCGATTACCTGCATGATAAGAAAATGGCGTATCTGTGGTTTTATCCCAGAAAGTGGCCCAACCATTGGTATTACGGTCCGCGCCTACTTGATTGATTGTTCTCCATTGCATTTCGCCAGAATAGGACCCTATGGCACCCGGACATGGGTCAGTTTCCACGCTATCGTATTGATCGCCTTTTATTTGAGGAACACTCCTATCTAATGGCACGGAAAGACCTGCTTTACGGGTCATTTTTTTGGTTGTCTTCTGGGTATAGCCATAAAAAGGAACACCCAGGAAAACTTGGTTGGACGGAATACCAGCGTTTATCCAGGCTTGTACAGCAGTTTCGCCACTGACTTGATTTCCTGTCTTTCCAAGATGAAGAGGTGCATTGGCAGCAGTAGTATTTGACCAAGAGCCATTGATGTCGTAAGCCTAGATAAAATTGTGGTTGAACAATGTGGCAGTAATTGAGTAAAGTATTCAGAAAAAGAATACTTTTGCATTCGAATTGTCAGCGGGAATAAGCCATCAATGACATACCATGATATAGAATGCATCCATATCTGTAGCCCATCCGCTGTCAAGGCTAGAAATGGGCTTCCCATCCACACCCTTGAACACGCCAGCACCAACAGCAGCTGTTATAAGTTTGCGTTCTTCAGGAAAAGCTTGATCGAGTAGCTGCCTCAACAGTTTTATAAAAGTCAAAAAGTTGTCTGTATCTTGAGGATCCCTACCAATTAGCAGCAGTATTATTAGTGTCAGAGAGGAAATAGACCTTTATGTTGTTTACTCACTTTTGGTTACAAGATATGCCATCAGGATCATTTGGATATTCTATCATCAGATAAGTCTGTCTTAGGCACGAACAAATATCATGTCGTTCAAATATTTTTCTCATTCCTTCTTACCCCAATCTAAATTGACGCCGTTTAATTCATATTTTCGTACCATGTCCACCAGATTATCAGCAAATTTCTTCTGACTTTCTGCGCTTTTTACCAAGCTGCTGAAATATAGAGAGCCTGTCCATCTAAGGCGAAGCAGGGTTGTCGTCTAAATACAATAGACAGATAACATCACGAAAAAGCTATAACGGTTAACTTACCCTCCTACAGCAATACTAACTCCAATATTTCGCGTATGAGCTTCCGAAACAACTATAAAATATTTCGGTAGATCATCAATAACACGCAAATAATCAACTATTTATTATGATCAGCGTAAGCTTACCTTTCTGTAATTGACTTTCTTGATAACCTTTCAAGTTACCATTCTCGTCAGGCACAGCAAAAGCGTATGCAATATGATCCAATTTTCTCCACGGTATTTCGTTCGTAAAGTCCTATCAGAGTTACAATAACCTCAGTAATGGATCCTTACAGTGGTTAAAAGAGAGCTGAAGTCTTACCCAGTCTACTACATAGGCAATCAAGTGATGATTGCCATAAATCTGTGTTGACGCAGCAAAAGAATATGTAAATAATAAACTACTGAAGGCCAGCAAAAATGTTGCTGATTTGAACATGGCTTTTCTTGTTCTGGCTGTAGCGTAGAAGTATAGAAAATGAAGTAAAAAGAAGAAAGAAAAAAGAAAAGGGAATTGAGATACGTACAATGGAAAACGTTAAGCACACAATTAACATTTATACAATTTCCATTATTAAACTAACAAAGAGACCTGATACGGATTGACAACATTATGCAGTTCAGTAATCATTTATACCATAGTCATAATAAGAATGTTGCTATATTTGATTGTCTGAATTGATATAAGCGTTACGTATTATGGTTGGTCCAAAGTAGTAGTTCCATGGGCACACTGGATTAAACACAGCTTCCATTTTTGAGTTAATTCAGGAACAAAAAATTGAATATGTAACTTAATTAAAATTTTCTTACAGAGTCGTATTTAGCACCTGACCTAACTGAGGATCGAAGAGTATTCTTGCTTCCCTTTGTTAATAGGTTACTACATATGTGGACAATTTCCGTTTGAAAGGACGAAGGAAGAGAAACAAAAAACCGTGACAGAGGAAAGAATAGTATCTCCCTCTTCAGCATAACAAAAGGTTAGAATAGGGATGTGATTGAATAGTAGTGTTTTATGTGAGCAATAATAGATATGACCAAAAATGACAGAGTATAAAGAGCTCCTATCCATCCTACACCTTCAGAAGGGTTACAGTTGATTCACATTCCTGCAATCATCGCTAAAAGGTGCGGATTCTCAATCCCAGAAGCTGAAGCAATACTGTTGATGATCATTTCTTATACTTAAAAAAGATGTAAGCTATTCCATTTTAGCTACAAACTCTTTGTAAAGATGCAATATCGTTGCAACCGAAAAAATCTCCAAAGAAAAGTCCGGCGCTTAAAACATTTTCTACAATTTTGGTTTAGACGTGGTTATCAGAGATATCATGTTGTTATGCTCAACTTTGGTCAGTTCAGGCAGTATTCAATTGTTTATAAATATATAGAATCAACTTGCTTTTAGTTTCATAATCTGTAATTATTGCAGAGTACGACTTAAATGAGTAAACTCATTTATTATGCTTGTGGCATCGTTACTTCGTGGAGCAGATACAAAAAAAAAAAAAAAAAAAAAAAAAAAAAAAACCAAAAAAACCAAAAAAAAACAGCGTCAGTATTGCTGCCTATAAAAATGATGCAAAATATGTGTCCAAGGAATTATGTCTGGCATTTTGTAGCATAACATCGGCGATTTTCTTACAATCTTCCTATGGTTGATTATACGCTTGATAAATAGTGGAAGTATTATGTCTGCATTATTCATTATAGCATAACAACATCAGAACCGCGTTTTTTATTTATTTTTTTCTTTCTAAAAATGCAAACGTAACATGCTACAATTAGAGGGCCAAAAGAGAGTGTAATGGTTTCCTCAATTAGTAAACAGTAAGGAGACAGCTTCGAACAATAACGGTATAAAGAGAGTCGTTCCTGAAATTATAAGCCAATGAGAATGCGTTATTCTTATGAGACTGTACAGACAGTCTAAAGTTTCGTATACAGCTAATATACGAGTGCTATCATAGCATCCTTTAAATTGAAGTTATGACCCACTTCGGCATCTGTATACGATGAAAGATTATAAATACCAGGGTTTCGCTGATTTTTTAGAAAAAGTAAGAAGCTCCAGTGTGTTTTTGATTACATGGTCAATCGATCATCATGCTTCTTTTCAAATTCAGTCATACAGATTCTTCGGAACCAATGACAAGCCCATAGAATTGTACAGTGCTTGTACATCTTCTTTGTTTATTTTATCAAGATCCCTTGTCACACTTTTAGCAAAATAGCGACTGCATTTTGTAAACTCTATAGTCTCAATGAAGCAGAGTCAACTGTTGTCGAGGCATTGCAAAGTATGTGTATCGAGGCGATTAGCAATCAACCCAGTTTTGTCATTCACAACGAGGCCTTGTATCCAAAGTCACAAAACCAAAGCTATCTACTCAATTCGGCATTATACAACCACTACTATAGAGAAGCAACTACAGCAGCAACCACGAAAATCACTTGTCCGTCGTATTATTAATGGTGCTGCCATAATTACCTTAGCCACAACTGCTACCGTTGGTATTGGTGGTGCCGTCCTTTATGAGTCCAGCGACCAATTTCGTCACGTTGCCAATGCTCTCAAACGTTGTGCTGTCGCTGGTGCTGTAGGTGTCCAAGTTGCATATGACTATCATAAGACGCTATCCAAAGATTATCCAGATGAAAAAACATTAGAGGAAGCGAAACGAGCTTGTCATCAACGATGCGCCAATCGTGTTTTAGCGGGTGTGCAAAAATTGGGCGGTGTATATGTCAAGCTGGGCCAACATATCTCTGTCATGCAATATCTATTGCCCGTGGAATGGTGTAAAACCATGAGTGTGCTACAGGACCGTTGTGATCCGACTCCACCAGAAGCTATTAAACAATTGTTCTTAACTGATTTTGGGCAGCCTATCGAAAAAATTTTTGATGAATTCGATTGGGTACCCATTGGGGTTGCATCGTTAGCTCAAGTGCATCGAGCTCGTTTATCCGAATTTATGTTAGAGCAACTTAAGCAGCAGGAGGAAGTGAGTCGAAGCAATAGCAGACTAAATTATCTGGATAAAAATTGTATCGATGAAGAGGATAGATGGGTTGCTGTTAAATTACAGCATCCTTATCTTGACGAATATTGTAAATTGGATATGGATACAGTCTCTTTTATTCTTGAAATTGTTAAGCGCGTCTTTCCTGATTTCGGATTCGATTGGTTTGCTGAGGAAATGAGAGAATCAGTTCCTAAAGAGCTGGACTTTGTGCATGAAACGGAAAATTCAAGAAGAGTAGAAGCTAATTTCGCGGAAGATCTGAGAAATAAGACCACCTCTCTTGTGGTCCCTAAAGTTATATGGGCCAAGAGACGAATCATGTGCATGGAATGTAAGTAAACTATACATTCATCGTCAGGCAGAGTTTTTTTTTTTTTTCTTTCCCCTAAAAAAAAATACTTTTCACATTTAGTCATACATGGCTCAAGAGTAGATGATTTAGAATACATGAAACAGCATAACATTGATCCCAAGGTAGTGTCTGCAGAGCTTACGAGAATCTTTTCTCAGATGATTTTCATACACGGTTTTGTGCACTGCGACCCTCGTGAGTAACTGTAAACTGAACCCTCTGTCCAAATAGAAAAGCTTACTAACGCATGTACTTTTAAAAAATGTAGACCCTGGAAATGTTTTCATCAGACCAACCAAAAACCCTAAGCATTCTAAGTACAATTTTGATCTTGTTTTGCTGGACCATGGACTTTACCGTGAATTATCAGAAGATCTGCGATCGAACTATGCTCATCTATGGACATCATTGATCAAAGCTGATGAAGAAGGCATTCGTAAATATTCTTACCTTGTCGGTGGTACTGATATTTACCAGCTTTTCGCTTGTATGTTGACTGGACGTGAATGGGATGTTATCAGTCAGTCCGATTTGAATAGTGTGAGACAAAAAGATGAAGTTGGTCGTATATCCGACGGTGCCTTCACTTATCTGTATGAAGTGACAGATATCTTGGGTAAACTACCACGGCCCGTGCTTTTACTGCTAAAGACCAATGATTTACTACGACATGTTGATGAAAAGCTTAATACTGTGGCGGATGATCGTATGACTTATGTAATTATGGGTAGTTTCTGTTCGAAAGCTGTCTGGCTTGATACCAAAAAGCATATCCTGGACAAGATTAGATCGTCTACTGGCTTTAGTTTTGCTCTTCTCAAACAACTAATTCATGCTTGGTGGCAATATAAATCATTAACTTATGCTCTTTGGTTGTATGAATTTAGTCAAAAATGGGTTGAAAAGTTGAATAACCTTTTAGGAAAGGATATGAAAGATGTAAAAGCAATACCTGCAGCAATATAAATCCAACCAGCACTAATTATACCTGACAAGACCACAACTACTACTTATATAAATCAGTAACACCGGCAAATTACCACTTACTGTTGACAAACCGATTAGTAAGAGCTGTAGACACAAAACCTTTATTTATTAATCTTTATTTAAAGAAAATCACAATGGTTAAAATAGATTCTGTAATAAAATTGTACTTTTATTCAGCTGCATTGTTTGCGACGTGTTTAACCTTAGGGCTATCGTGTACAAAAAATCCGCACTCCTGAATTTACGAACAGACAAAAACAGAAGCTAAGACCCAAGGGGTCTATGGGTTTCGTGACTTTAAGTGTGACCCGCTTTTTCTTTAGAAAAGTATTTTCTTTCACGCTTCACTCCACGATTATCGTTATTTAACTAAAATCTTAATAAAATGAGCGTTCAAGGATTCTGGGGTCTAGCTGTCAAACCTGGCACAACCTACTCACAAGTTGTCGCTGCACCTTTCCGTGTTGCTATGGTAAAACTCCAAATAAAACCCTAATTTTTTACATTTAGAAAGGATGCGTTTAAAATGTAGTGGGAACTGACACTGTTTCAAATTGTCTCTAGGCTTCTCTTACTGAAGATGTGAAAAACAATCAGCGTACCTCAGTTTATGTTCGCGCTAACCAACAACAATTTGTTCTTTGTACTTTGGCTCCTAACAAGGTAAAGCTAAAGTAGCTCAGCTTATGCCCTCTTCCAAAATGTTTCAGCACTGACATATTTATACAGGTCGAGCAACAACCTTTGGATATCACTTTCGTTGAAGGTGAAGAAGTTACATTCTTTGTCAAAGGTGATAATTTGGTTCATTTAACTGGTAACTATGTCTTCAGTGATGACGATGACGAAATGGCCTCTGATGAGGTCGAATCTGCTGAGGAGGAGGAAGAAGAAACAGACGAATCAGCTGAAGATGACGAAGAAGACGAGAGCGGCGATAGCGAAGGTTCTATGGATATCAATGAATTTATCAAACGCTTACCTAAGGATATCACAAAGGAAGAATTAGAGGAGCTTTTGAATGCCCAAGGCTCTTCTGATGAAGAAATTGATAGTGATGAAGTTATGAGTGATGAAGAGGAAGAAGAAGCTAGTGATATGGAAGAAGAAGAAGTAGATAAGAAACCTACCAATAAGAAGCGTGCTGCTGAGGCCCTTTCATTTAAGGAGCAACCTCTCAAAAAACAAAAGGCTGAAGCCAAGAAGGAAGAACCCAAGAAGAAGGAAGAACCTAAGAAGAAGGAAGAACCCAAGAAGAAGGAAGAACCCAAGAAGAAGGAAGAACCCAAGAAGAAGGAAGAACCTAAGAAGAAGGAAGAACCCAAGAAGAAGGAAGAACCTAAGAAGAAGGAAGAACCTAAGAAGAAGGAAGAACCTAAGAAGAACAAAGTCACCAAACTCCCTAATGGCCTTATCATCGAAGACGTTAAGATTGGTGAAGGTGCCTCTTGCAAAGCCGGTCAAAGGGTTGGCATGCGTTATATTGGCAAGCTTACCAATGGTAAAGTCTTTGATAAGAATGTTAGCGGCAAGCCTTTCAACTTCCTCTTAGGACGCGGTGAAGTGATCAAGGGTTGGGATATTGGTGTTGCTGGTATGAAGGTTGGGGGTGAACGTAAATTGACGATTCCCGCACCATTGGCCTATGGTAAACGCGGTGCTCCTCCTGACATTCCCAAGAACGCTACTTTAGTATTCGATGTCAAATTAGTCAGTATGAAATAAGTATGCCCGCTAATTTAACTTGCCCTTATAATAAAAAGTTCATTATGATTATATAAAAGAAACTACAAAAAGTAATTCTGTTTTGAACCCATAAATACAAATTTGACAATGCCCAGTAATTGAAATCTTCCTAAATCAATGTTGATTTTAACTTTATTGAAGAGGATTTTGAATGGTACATAATTATATCTACAGTCTAAGACTTAACGATTCAAAATTGTATTCTGGTTCTTTAGAAGAACTAGCATTTAAGCATCCCAAGAAGAAGAGGCAGGAGCTTCGGTTTCTTCGGCCCAGTCAGTAGGAGCAGAAGCGGACCAGTCAGCAGCAGCGGCGATACCGGCAACACCTTCGTTATCACCTTCAACAACCCAGTCAGCAGCAGCGGCGTCACCAGAAGCGGCGAGGTCACCTTCGACTTCACCTTCGGCGTTGTCACGTTCAACTTCCTCGGGATCACGGTAGAAGAACATATCAACCATAACTTCCCAAGGAGTGTTATAGTCGAGAGTACCGCGGAGACGGAGGACAGCACGAGCCAAGAGCCAGTAGATCAAACCGAGAGCGTGCTTACCCTTGTTGTTGGTGGGGATAGCAACATCAACGAATTTGAGGACAGCATCAGTATCAGCCAAAGAAATGACAGGAATGTTGACATAAGAGGCTTCGAGAATAGCTTGGAAATCAGAGCGAGGATCGGTACAGATGACCAAACGAGGTTCACGGAAAGAACGGGTGATGTAATTGGTGAAAGTACCGGGAGTGAAACGACCGACAATAGCTTCAGCACCAATATACTTAGCGAACTTAAGAGCAGCACGATGACCGTAGGGACGGGCAGAGACAACAACGATGTCTTGAGGCTAATCATACACAAATGGTGTACCAAAAAAAAAACCCAAAAAATGCACGAAAGAAATGTCAGCTGTCAAAATAAAGTTGCCCTGGAGAAATTCTACTTCAACGACAAACTTACGTTTTCAATGGCGGCAATAATACGGGCAGCCAAGATAAGCTTTTCCCAAGTCTTACCAACGTTGATCAAGTTGATACCTACATTATTTAAACGTATTATTACAAATTAACAATCGATTCTCAAACTTTCTATTACATTCACAAACACTTTACCATCAGCACGACGCTTGAAGATATAAGGAGCCATACGAATGTTGGCATTCTTGGTACCAATGTGACATTGGGCAGCCAAGAGCATTTGAATATCTTCTTCAGTGGGGTTGAGAACTAGAAAATAATGTAATGCCCATATTAGTTACTTGGTAACAAACTTGAAATTTGACATTCAACGAAGAGATTTACCGGAAGGAACACGGGACATCGTGAATAAACTGCTTTCAATCTATTTGCGTATGTAACAGATGGTTGTTAGCATTAGGTGTGAACTGTTACAAATTATACGGTTCGTCTCAATGGATGATGGATTCATTGATTGACTGATGGATGGATACTTTACAAAGTTGGCAGGAAAAGAGAGAGTTCATAGTGATGGCGCTTTTGATTTGACATATATTCTTTCCAATTTCTGAGCTTGCTGTAGCGCACGAACAATAAAAACACAAGGACTTTTTTGCCCGGGATAATTTAATCCGCCGGATCAAAAAATTTATATTGTTTATGGTCAGAATTTTTTTGACAGGTGCGTCTCATATACACTCTTTTCAGAAAATAATGGCGCATACCTTGAAATAAAAATGTCATTACACATAAATAATTTTGGCTCATGTCCACAGTACTTTTCCATATCTTCAGGCTTGTGAATAGGAGAATTGTCCATTACCAAATAATTGCTCTTGAACTCTTCGAACGGTTTCGATAAAGTTAAAATAATGACCAGTAACGGTTCCACTTTTTCTTGTGGTGATAGTTTTGCTGTTTCCTGTGATTTTTCTTTTTTTCTTAATAGAGACAATGGTTTAGGCAATCTTATAGAAACTTGCACAGCTCTATTTGGAGAAATGGCTCCAATGAGGGTAGTGATTTTTGCCCTGGGTTTGCGTACCTTTACTGTTGCACGAGTTCCTTTCTTCGACTATGCAAAAGCACGTTTCAAATTGACGTGAAAGGCTGAGTATACAATTGCTGGTGAAGTCCATATCTGTCTCCAACCACTGTTCAACCCGGTTGACTCTTTCCTCCATTTTGACTAAAGAAGTTCGACCAACAGAATGAAACTATGTTTTTCTGAAGCCTATGCAACAAATCTGGGTAATGAAGTTGTAGAGTCCGGTTTTGAAAATCTGTAGTCCCGCAAATCTCTCTGTTAACCCAGTCATCCTTTGTCTCAATGTAAAGAACGGATGCTTATCGATCAAGCTGATCAAAAAATCTGCGTGGACTTCCCTTAGCTTTGTTGGACGGCCAACAGGTCGTCCACTGCCATTAGATCTGCGTGTTTGGTCATCAGAATCAGGACCATCTTCGTCCTTCTTCACGCAGCGCCGGGCGGCGCGAGGTGCAATCTTGAATCCCATTGCTGCTGCTCGGACGGACATGTCTCGTTCATACATTAAACTAAGAAAAGTTCTTTGTGCATTCGTATATCGGGCGTCAAGATGTGATACATTTTTTCTTTTTGGAGGTTTTTCATCAATAACAGTTTCTAATTCTTGCTTCGCTGGTGTTTCTGGTGGTTTCAAATCCACGTATTCATTGTAATTGGTAATGCTTTCAAGTGAGTATGTTTCGTTATCTACGTTCATTTCCACTATAACTACTTCAATTCCTGCATCGTCATACATAATTCCTTCATCAATGCATACTCAGTGTTTTTATCTATTTTTCTTCTAACTACATTTGTTATAATAAATCATTTGCAATATAAAGCTTGTCCTATTGTAACAAGTTATATTTTGAAACGTTAATAACGCCAACCCCTAGTTCTCCACCTGTTCTAATTGGTTCTAACCGTTTCTGCCCACAGTTTAGTCGTTACATTCTACTAGGAAATTCTCCACTCACCAAAATCTACGGGCGCTTTTGAAGTCCATCTACCATTTTATGTTCCCTCATTGTTTTGATTCAATACGCCGGTACAATAATGAGTCATTTGGTCTCTACGTCATTCTCCCAACGTTGAAAGGTCAAAAATCACTATGTATGTCCGTGTTGTGTCGCGCACCTTGATCTTCTAAATGCTCTTAATGACCATTTTCGCACTGACCACCAAGGATACTTGCTTCACAACAATAAACAATTCGAACCCGCTTGACTTGGTAGCTCAAATAATAATGAACACAATGATCTAGACCACAACCACATAATTGTAACTGAATACGAACACTAACAAAATGCTGAAGTAAGATTTCTTAACTTTCTAAAAGACCAAAAAGTCAGATAAAATGTTAATTAAATTTGAGAACATGAAGGTTTTGTATTGTTTTTAGAGGAAACTTGGCTTATAGATGTCAGAAAGATGCAGTTGCAACCAATAAGTACTAATGGATGGAATTCTGGGAATACAGTTGTTGGTCGAACTATCAACTTTTACGTGTTGATCCTGCCTGCCACCCGCCTGCCCGGATTTATTATTCAAGAACTGGGCAACTTTGAGCCAAAATTTAATTCTCTGTTGTGCCATTTTTATTTCCAAGCATATACCATTACTTTCTAAAAAACTGTATAATGCATACAACTCAAAAATTCATCCAGATTCTCTAAATTGACTTCTGATAGGCATAATACAAAAATATATATCTTTGAGCATAAAGAAGATTTTATTCAATTTTCTTTTCTTTCATAACGTGAAAAAGCAAAGTGCATTGAAAAAAGAGAAAAAGATAAAGTTATAAAGGCTAGATTGGGTTTAACGAGACAATTAGAATCTAAGCTTGCTGAAGAACCACTTGTTCTTGCCGGTTTGATAACGTTCTTCGAAGAGCTTCTTGATAACCTATTTCAAATCAATGTTAAGAATAAAATTACCCAAAACGTAATTTATCATCCAGCTTTGTTTCTTTTTTACCTTCTTGGCTTCTTCACGTTGAGTGGGTTCCTTGAAGGTTTCGGCAGAGATAGTACCCTTGATTTGTTCCAATTCCAAACCATAACTAATGAATCGTGATAAAATGAAAAGTCAATCTGCTGTCCATGCAGTGTTACTCTTTTCCAAAATGTCATTTGTGCCATACCGAGTGGGCATCATGTGGTTGTAGTTAACGATCTTAACAAAAGGCTTGACCTTAGAACGCTTGGCAACCTTCTTCTTGTTCATGGCCTTGGTGACCTTGAGAGGGGTACGTTCAATACCAGCAACAACGGCATAACCATAAGGTCTGTCCTTGGTACCTTCATCGTGGTCTAAATAAAGTTGAATCGTTCTGTTAAAAAGTTGTTACGCTCAAAGAGTGATCCACAGTTTAGTTTTGTAACGTTTGACTAAAATTGCTCTGTTTTTATCTGACATGCCACTTTCTACAAGATCCCCCTTCTATTTTCTGTATCCACATAAACAACTGTGATAAAAGTTGGAAACGATGCTTACTACGAACAACGACGGCCTTCTTACCGGCGTAACGGCCATTCAAGATAACAACAACCTGCAGTCAACAGAAGTTAAAGAATGATTAGTTTGGTGAAATGGAGATGCCAGTGGAAATTGCCAATTGAAGCAGAAGATTTCAGAGTGGTGGAGTAGAGTATCGTGTCAAGAATTATTTTATCATTCAAATGACTCGTATATGTATCAATCCATCCATTTCAAAACTCATCCATCTGTTGCATAGCTGTTCGGTATTGGTTCGATACATTACTTTACCAGCCTTGATAAACTTAACCATGGTTAGAGGAAGTATGTAAAGGAAGAGAGGGAATCTGAGTTTCTGCCTTCAACCACAAGAGGTATACTACAACTTGGTAATGAAGCCGGCTGGCGTTCAGCGGCGTTTGAATTAATCATTTTCACTGATCCCTTCAAAGCAGCCTCCATTGTTCGCGTTGCCAGTTCTGCACCACGAAGAGCATCCCTTATGGCGAAAGACTTACATGGTTGTAGAGATGTTGTTTGGTGAAAGCTACTTTGCACGAAGCTTGCTAAGTATTGTCCCAACGCTTTCTTTACTACTCATATGTCTTAGTTTTTGCGAATAAAACAATTCGATCCTTACAACGACACATAAGAGTGCTAAGATCCATTAAAAAAGAAGCAATATTTATCTTTCATACAGCCCCTTGTTGATAATATCAGCTAAAAGTTAACTACGGTAAATGCTAATCAAAAATAGGATTGCAGCCAGTTGCTTGGTATTCGGATGCAAAAAATTCGCTTCATAAATTTAATGCCTCAAGCCACCTCAAGGTAATTGTATACAACTCATTTTTTTCTCGCTGGTAAAGACTTCAGATACCATAAAGCTCAGAAATGATCCCACAAAAAGACATAGATAACGTTTTTCTAAAATATGTGAAGGAGTATCAAGGTAATAAGTGTTTATAACATTCATTGAGAACTGGTGATATGGATTCATATGCATGCTTATGTAATTGATATAAGATATAAACGGTACTTATGTTCATGTGTATGAAAAACCACCAAGTGCTTTGGAATTTTTGAGGACCTCAGTGCATACAAACCGACCTGCTATCATCAAGGGTAAACGATATATACTAAAAGCATTTCATTTTGACCTTTATTGATCAATGCCAATTCTGAATTTTTCTAGGAGCTTTTGACCATTGGCCCGCTCGTACAAAATGGACGAATGAGTACCTGCGATCGAAAATGGGTGAAACTAAAGTCACTGTTGCAGGTAAGAAGCTCCTAAAAGCCTGTCTCTAATAAAAAGCTGTTCTTTATAACACGTATTTGTTTAGTCACTCCCAATGGGTAACAGAACAAAAGAAAAGAACAAGGAAAGATATTTGATAATTTACCTTTGGATTTGAATTTTCTTTCCCCGTAGTTATGCAGATGCAGTGACTTATGATACAGTGTCAGATAAAGAGTACTTTGTTATGCCTCATGAAGAATGTATGGAGTTCAATTCCTTCTTGGATATTATCGAAGGCAAGAAGATGTCTAAGAACGCCAACTACATTTCGTTGCAGAATGGCAGTCTGACTAGAGAATATAGTGCTATAGAAGAAGATGTAGATAAAGATATTTCATGGTGTTCAGAAGCCTTGAATAAGATGCCTGATGCAGTAAATTTTTGGTTTGGCGATGAAAAAAGTATAACATCTTTACATAAGGACCCCTATGAGAATTGTTATGCTGTTGTCCGTGGTACCAAAACATTTATCCTATATCCACCAACCGAGTACTACTGTATGCATGGTAAGACTTAACAAACAATCAAATGTATATTGAAATAGTGCTTCTTTTTTTTTCGCCGTTGATAATTGATTTTTATGTAGAAAACGTATATCAAAATGCTATTTACGAGCCAAACCCGAAAACAGATAAACTTGAACTGAAGGTTTTAGAATCAACGACACCTTGGATCCCTGTCAATCCACTTTATCCAGACTTTGTTCGTTTTCCTCGATTTGCTCACGCTTGTCCCATCACAGTAACAATTGAGGAAGGTGATATGCTTTATTTGCCAGGTACATATATCGTATCTATAGCCCATACAGATGAATCAACTAACAAGTTTTTGATGATGCTAGCTTTATGGTTTCACCAAGTCATGCAAAAAGGTGATGAGGGCGTTATCGCCATTAATTACTGGTATGATATGGACTACACAAACATGCTTCATCCAACCATGGCTATGTATAGAAGATTATTAACGGGGGTGATGGAAAATAATCGAGAACTGCTTGAAGATGATGCTGTCGCCGAAGAAGATGATTAATGATGCTCTTAGTAATTAACAATAAAGATATAAACATAATGAAATTACATTGTTGTAGCAAAAGTTCGATTTCATTATCTTCTTTCTTCTTGAATTTTACCTTATATTTCTGCTATAATGAAAAGAAGAAAGATAACAAAACTCGTTATAAACAAACAGTTTAGATCATTAGCGACTATCTAACTCTATATGTTTAATAGATCTTGACACTCAAACATGGCATACGTGTGATAAGCGAACTCGATACATCCGGTCTTCGGAGCTTTAGATCGACAAATTGAGGAGTGAGAATTCGCGTTTCCATTGATTGCTCTACTTAATTCTATGTGTTAAGTTTAAAAAGAAGTGGTTCCTTTCCTTCATTTCATATTACTCTAACCTTTTTAAGCTACAATAACAATAAAATGAAAAATGGAAAACAACAACAGCAGCCTTCAGATACAACGTTGACGGATTATTTATGGCAAACACCTCTATATTACAATTGCCAATTCGATGAGACAGTCAAACTGGATATTTTATCACACTGTTTCGCAGCCTTATGGAAAGACAATAAAGAATTTATGCAAAAGTACTTTTTCCAAAGTATTGAAGAGCTACGAGATGTTGTAATGAACCAAAGCCGCCGACGCGATGGCAAAGAGAGGAATGTTATTAACGATCCGAAATTATGGCATACCAATGCTTTAATACCGCCAACCGATTTGTCAAACCAGAAGGGAAGACAGTGTGGCCATGTCTTCCGCAAAGGGGAGCCTGTGTATCGTTGCAGGTAAGAAAAGAACAATGCATATTATGGACATTGAACAATTTTTTGAGATAATCACCCTTAATACCCAACATTTCAGGAACTGCGGTTTAGATGACACCTGTGTATTCTGTTCAAAGTGCTTTCATGCCACCAACCATGACGGGCATGACATCTTCTTTTCAATAAGCCCCGGATCGGGAGGTTGCTGCGATTGTGGCGATCCAGAAGCTTGGAAGGTGCCTTTACAGTGTAAAATTCACTCTGCTGTTGGAGAGAGCGAACAGAATAACTATACAGCTGATGATGGAGGAACCGAGAAACAGCATATTGAACCTGAATTAATCGACTCGATAAGAAATACAGTGGCAAGCGTGTTGAATTTTCTATTAGATATATTTGCTTTAGCTCCAGATGAGATTACTCTTAATGCTTCTTCAGAGGATATAATCAGGGAAAATTTAGAACAACGACATATTTTGAATAGAATGGGTATACCTTCTCAACTAGCGAATACGACAACGACAGCAGCAGCTATGGCTAACCAGGTGAATACTAGAGTTCGTATGACTACTGAGGAGGACGTAGAGATGGATAATGAGAATAATCAGCAGTTTAATAATGCAGAGGCTTCCTCATCAGCATCAACATCGCAAAGTACAAATGATTTGACCCTGAAAGATGGAGAACTCTATGCTTGTATAGTCTGGAATGATGAAGCCCATGCATTTTCACATGTTTTAGAATCTATAATGACAGCAACAGGCTGGGATTGGGAAAAAGCGAAGCAAATCGTTGACGTTATTCATGTACATGGCAGAGAGATAATTGCTGTATCGAAAAATATTGAAGAATTACGGAAAATAGCTGCTCCTCTGTCAGCTATCAATCTCAGCGTTACCATAAGACCAGCAAAAGAGACATTCAGAGAACAAGTTGCTGGTTTATTGGTCGAATGGTTAAACGAATTAGTCAGTGGTAATAAATGCTTTTTCACTCGAGTGAAAAATGGCGATGCTATTATTCGTGGAATCATATACGAGGAGTTGTGTAGAGAATGGGAGCTTCGACTACCATTAGCTATATTGACCGCAGGAGCGCGAAGCGGAAACGCCCAAAGAGGAGAAGAGGAGGATGAAGATGAAGATGGTGTTATGAAAGATGATATGGCCATGTCTATATCGGATATTGTAGAGGATGTTGAAATGTTTGAACCAGATTCGGACAGTCAGATGATGAGTAAGGACGGCAGCCCTGACTCAGGCGCTTCAACCCCCATTTTATATCGTTCGCAATGCGATGTTGCTACCATTGATTGGGACCCAGCCTCTATGGTAAGAGAATACAACCGTTTACGCAATGAGGAGATAGCTTTTGGAGATTATCTCTTGGATAACAGACATCGTAACGGCAAACAGCCCGCTACGAAACCCGAAAATGTGTACACATACAGTAAAGAAGCAGCTTCTTCAGCCTTGATTATGCAACGAGAATTCGGGCAGAAATTGCGGCTTGACTATTTCATGCTTTACGATCTGAAATTATGGAAAGAAGTTCGTATTTCGTTGCGTGAACTGTATATCGCAACTTTGGCATCCAATGCTGAATATAAGAAAACCTTAGGCAAACGTTTAGCGCGCAATTATGCTAGACTGGCAGAATCATTCTTACTACGTGATCGCGAACCTGAAAATTCAATCATTCTGTTCTCCGTTCAATTATTGACAGTGCCTACCGTATCTGATTTGCTCGTACATGACTACTACTTCTTTGGACTCATTTGCTCGACATTGACAGCGTTTTTCTTAACAGATCGGCTATACCTCCTGCTACCTTCAGAACGTGCAAAATACCCTGCTCGTATTAATTGTGAATCCCGTGCTTTTCGTACACGACGTTATTTCAATGCCTTTCATGATTTAAGATACATTATGAATGTAGAAATGATCAAACGTGAACTTGCTGAAGATCCACTTTACTTAAGACAATATCTGGATCTCATCAGCTTATTCCAAGGTATGAATGCTCAAGTCTGTCAGAAGGATACCCACGTCGAATATGAATCAGAAATTTGGGTCAATGCGTTTAATGTTACACTACAGATAGCGAAGTGTTGCCGTCAGTTTGCTGATTGCTTTGGTAAGCTGTCAACATCAACTAAAGAGGAGAAAATATCTTCAGCTATTATCGTATGCAGAGCCATCTCTCGCTTGCTGAAACGAATTTCAGATTGGGGCTCTGAAGAAGCTAATGGACAAGCAAAGACGAGCGATTCAATAGCCACCACATCTCCAAAAGTTGAGGGTATTGCGGCCCAAATTTATCACACCATTAGCCTTAGATACACAGAGCCATTTGAAATCATCAAATATGACGTTGCCAGCCAACCTGTTTCTTTTCATCATCCATTGCATTGGCTTTTAGCTGGAGTATTGGAGTATGCTCATTTATTAGATAACGACACTCTCAAACAAGCAGGTTGGGACGGCGGCTTCAAAAAAATGATAGTCCTCTTCAGTGAAACAAGAAATGCATCACCAAGCATCTTATTGCCTATTCTAGACTACCCTATCAGAACAATAGTGTTCTCTTCACAAATTAGGGCTGGTGTATGGGTTCGTAATGGTTATGGTATCAGAAATCAGGTATTTAAAATTCTACACGTACTTCAAGTGAATAGAAAAATTGACTGAATAGTCATTACTGTCCTAGGCGCATCATTACCGTGACATATCCTTACGTGAAAATACCTACGATGCTGATGTCTTTTTGTTACAATTTGGTTTTGTTACAATTCCAAGCAATCGCTTTTTAGCAACTTTATTAGATCGCTTCAACCTGGTAGATTGGTTCATGGGTAAACAGAATCATGATACTTATGATAGTACACAACTTGTATTTATGGTGGAAGATCTCCTCAACTTGTTGATTGTTATAATATCTGAAAGAGCCAATATTGATGGTATGTCGATCACCGATAAAGTTCGCCGCGAAATCGTTCATAATCTGTGTTTAGGAAGTTCTGCTTATTCCGACCTTAGCAAACGCATTCCTGAGCGTATTGCGGAGCATCCTGAATTCGATCGTATCCTTCTCGAGGTAGCAAACTTTAAGAGTCCTGAAGGTGTTAATGATCATGGCGTCTACGAATTGAAAGATGACTATTTCTCTATGATCGACACTTATTTCTGGCATTTTAACCGCAATAATCGTGAAGAAGCAGAAACAATTCTGAGGTCTCGCTGGAAGAAGGAAAATCCCCATAGAGATGAGAAAGAGTTCTTCGTTTTACCTCAACATATTCCGATTGCTCCTGGACCTTTTCAACATTTAGGTTCGTTCTTACAATCTACAGTCTTCGTGCAAATGATGGCTTTTGCTTTATGGAACATTTATACCGGTGATACTCACAAGAGTGACACTATATTGGACCAAGTTCTACATTTGGTTATGCTAGCTATGACCGATAAGAACTCAGAAGACGTTTCCAATTTCGGCCAGGGCAAGTTTTTCGATTATGTTTGCTCTTTGTACTTCATAATGGAGGTACCACAAAAGGCTGAAGAAAATGCCAAACCGAAAACGAGTCGTAAGCTCTGTTTGTTCGAAATCCTGGCTGAACTATACGATCAAGAACAATACGCAGAAATTAAAAGCCGTTTGAAGTGGATTTTCGAAGAACTTCTCAATAAGGGAGTAGAAAATACTCGTACTAAGGTCTATGATTGGAAAGCAAAACGTGCTGCGCAATTAGAAGAAGAGGCCAAAAAGAGTCAAAATAGCGGTACAAAATTATCTGAAGTGGAGAAAAAAAAGCTGGCAGCCAAAGAACGTCAAAAGAAGATTATGGCTCAATTCGCGCAAGCACAATCACAGTTTATGGAAAAAAATGAGTTTCTTTATGACGAAGAAGTTGAAGAAGATGAAGAGGAGACATTTGTTGATGCTCCTGACAATCTAAACCATGCCCAGGAGGAGTCTTCAGATAGTATTCATCGTTTCTGCTCTTACCCCACAGGTACATGCATTGTGTGTCAGGAAGATGCCAATGAACGCTCCATGTCTTATGGTTTGCTTGGTCTCATTCAAACTTCAAACATTTTACGTGGAGCACCTATGGATGATGAAAGTTTGTTCAATGATATTTACCAAATGGGTTCCAATTTGGATACAGAGTGGCAAGACCACCAATGTTTACCAAATGGTGAATTAACTGTTTCCGGGTTTCCTGCCAAATTACACAAAACGGGTCTTTATGCTTCAACTTGCGGTCACTTCATGCATATCAAATGCTTCGAAGTGTACTGTAGCTCTATTGATTCCCGACACACTAACCAGCTAACTCGTAATCATCCGGAAAATCGATCAAGAAAGGAATTTATGTGCCCTCTATGTAAATCCTTGGGGAATGCTCTGTTGCCAGTATTTTGGAAAGGCAAGAAAGAGTCTTACCCTGGTGTACTATCAAAATCTGGTGGTTCGCAAGACTCAGCGTTCTACGAGACTCAAATAGGGGAAATTGTCGGTAAACTTAAGCATACCGTCGTTTCAGCGTTGAGAAATGCACAATTGCGCAAAAACACTCGTGATGTCTCAGCTACTAATCGAATGAAGGATGTCATGGCGCAACTTCTGCCTAACTTACCCGTAGCTGCACTAGTTGCTCCTATGCCTGGTCGTATGCCTGCGAATCGTGAATGGACGCCAACCACGTTCCCTGCCCGTCTTCCGATCCCTACACCTGTGGATACCAACACTAATAACCCGCAGATTGGGGCCGATAATACCATCAATAACAATATGGCTAATCTCACAAATATTGCTGGACAAGCTGGGTTGCAAGTAGAAGAGTTGTTACATCCCAGTAATATAATTGAGGAAATGGACAGAGATGCAGAAACAATGTTTATACAGAATGCACTTAATTCAAGCTCACTTCGTCCGCCAGATGGTAGACTGGGTCCATTCGAAAATGGCATACTACATAGTACAGCCATGACAAAGGCTCCTTTTATTCGAAAATCCTATCGACGTTTATGCGAGGTGCTAAGTACCATATACCAAGAGATCTGCTCAAACGAAAGTGAACGCGAAATGTCAACTGCTGCTGAAAATGTTGATATGCTTTGGGGTATGATGGGATATACCATTGCCGGTGTTGAAATAGCCACTCGCGGTAATAAGAGTACAAAAAATCAAACTTCTGGTGAAAATGCTACTACCACACATACCCTATTTGATCAGATTCCCTCTCAGACTCAAATATTGCTTCGTATATTAAGCGACACTGTCATGGCTTATACCACCATCATGTGTCCCCGCACTGGTGATATCAAGACAAGCTCACCAAGTATACCAATGGCTCGTGTGAACTTATTCTCTCTTGGTCGGATGCGGCAATTGTTCAAAGTCAATATCGATGACATCGTTGCGATCACAGCTGGCTCATCTCAAAAGCTGATGCTCTATGAAAACGCCCCTCTTTTAGAAGATGATCCTTTTATGATTTTGACGGAGATTGCTCATCATATAATCCCTCTGACACAAGCTGATATCTTCCCATTCATTCAGATACTTTTATTAGCTGAATTCGCCAAGATTGCTGTCGGACTGTTACAGGATCGACTTAGCAGAGATATTTCCAGCCAACAATCACATCAAACTGCTCCCATTGAACCCTCTCAAAATATTACAGCTGCTTGCTCTTTCGCCTTCTCATTGATGCAAAAATTGCAATTCACATCTGAGGAAGCACAAAGCACGTTCAAAAAGTTTGGTAGCGAGGCTTCTTTCTGTGCTTTACTCAAATTTTTCGCTCTTCCATTTTTGCGACGTACTCTTATTTTGCTAATTGTGCGCTTTGGCTTAATTGTACCTCCTATGATGGAAACGACGGATACCGCTGAAAGCATCGATGAAATAGACCGGTTAATGGAAATTCTTCGGCTACCAAAGTTTGCCGACTTTTTGCAACCAACCCCTTATACAGACAGTCTGTTGAATTATTGGTGTGAACAGCATATTCGCGGATCAGAGCATCAGCTTCAAGTACAAGAGGGACATGTAGGTCCATTGACAGCGAATCAATTGTTACCTATTCAATTAGATCTGCCAACTCCTCTGCATCTTGTTGCCCTACCGGAAAGGCTAGACAGCCTATTTGCTGAAAGTATGAAACGGGTATGTCAAAAGTGCGGTACTGTGCCTAGTGATCCCGCCCTTTGTCTATTATGTGGTACCTTTGTTTGCGCTCAGAGTTTTTGTTGTGCAGAGGATGAAGAAGGAGAATGTAATCTCCATACACTAGAGTAAGTAAAGCCATTTGATTATCGTAGTTCAGAGCACTGAAAATACTTTCCTTAAAATGATAGATGTGGTGGAGAAATTGGTCTTTTCTTATCAGTCAAACGCTGTGTTCTAATAATGCTTCATAACGGCAATGGTTGGTTTATGAACGCACCCTATCTGGATCCACATGGTGAAGTCGATCAAGGATTAAGGTATATCTGAATAATAATGGATTGTGCAATCAAATTTCTAAATTGTTACTATTTCAATAGTCATAATAGACATGGTAGACCACAGTATTTAAATGCAAAGAGGTATGCTGAAATCCGTAAATTATGGTTACAGCATAACATACCGATATACGTTGCTCGACAAATCGAAGCAAACTATGATATCGGCGGTTGGACTACACTCTAAAGGTTCATAGGAATGTACGGCTTACAAATGCAGGACTAATTCCAAAATTATTGATATACATACACCGTGGGTACCTTTATTGGTTTAATCATTGAGTATCTGTTACGCATATTGTTACTTCTCTATTTAAAAGTTCTTTACCCTCCTTTCAAACGTAATATATTTCCATGTCAATAAATCTCAGATGACTTTGTAAAAAAAAATAAAAATAAAACAAATTATTGATAATGCCTGTACAGGTCTTATTCTGAAAACCTTTTATTTGAAACCCACGAAAAGGTTATAATATATTTATTGAATTGTTTGTGCTAGTATAATATTGGATATGAGAGTTCCGTTAGTAACAGGACAAACAGATGCAAAACATTCCATTACTATACCTGACACTAGAGCCTTCTCTGCGAAGAATCGTACATCAACATCCTTGTCCTCACTTAAAGTTTTAAGTATGTCCATTACTTGCGTATTGACTAACTCTGCTGTTGTAGTGTTTTGATGTAAAATAGGTATAAGTACTTCTAATGCTTTAGCTACGTTGAAACGAACGTTGGGAATGGGGTCATTAACCAATCCAATAATGGTAGGTAAAACTTTATCTTTGATAATGTCAGCTGTTAATGAAGAAGACATTGTCTACATCGGAATAAAGTGGTAAGCAAATCTTGCGGAAGAAAACGCAAATGTCCAATACTAGAGACTTACTGATAATGTGAAGAGAGTTGTCATTCTGTATAAATAGTTCTCATTCTGTGCCATCTTCATCACTTGAGGTAAAACCGTATCTTTGGCCCAATCATGACCAAAAATCTCGACTAATTTCTTGAAGTTTGTCGTGGCAGCATTACGAATAGAGAAAACGGGATCGCCAAGCCATGATAAGCATAGGCCTAGGAGCTTTTCGTCAAAAAATGCAACGCCTAGTTGAGAAGCTAACAGAGGTATATATTCTATAATGGCCAATCTCACTCTCCATTGTTTGTCTTCCGCCAACTCAACAATAGCAGGTAGAAGCGATTGCGCCAAACGTTCGACGCCGATCACTAAGGCCGACGATCAGATCCCTTTGTTAGTTTTCACAATATCGTCTACAAGCTTTTTTTTTTCCCTCCTTTCTTTACCTTGATTGACATTTTCTAAATTGGAGATTATATTGAGTCTTACATCAGGAAAGTCATCCTTTAGTAATTGAAGGAATAAGGGCAATAGATATTCAATCGTCCTATTAAAGAAAAAAATAAATATCAAAAAAAAAAATAACCCAAACATAGAGGTAGCATTAACTTACATATCATTGCCTAAGATAGGCGTAAATCCGCTTATATTTGTAGCAACTGCAGCACGAACATGTTGGTTTGTATCAACCACAAGTTCCTTGATGCAAGGCGTTATTTTCTCGAGCACAATTGTTCTGTCCAAAGTCTTTGCAAATGCTATTTTATATCACGCAAAAAAAAAACCAAAAAAAAAAAAAAAAAAAAAACATCAGATTGATCTTCTGGAATATAGAAACTCACTTTGTTTGTAACGTACCAGGCCCTTGACCAATAGCTATGATCTTAACTTCACCTTCTGTATCTTTAATCAAGTTGACAAACATTGCTACCATATCTTCACGGCTGACTGACTCTCCTAAAGCTTCACATAGCTTATGATGAAGAAAGAGAAGGTGAGTTTCTAAGAAAATTTTATTGAAACTTTTTTTTTATTTACTTACCTCATTGAAATGAGTCGCGACCATGTATCTCACTCTCCAGGATTTATCTTGCGCCAAATTCTTCAGTATCGGTAATAAATATTGTCTACTTTCGTCGGGGGTAAATATTTTTGCTATTTGCACTAAGTCCTCTACTGTCAATAACCGAACTGTATCTTGATCATCACTGGTTAATCTGAGAAACAATGGCAAGATATTCTTGATAAGCTGTTCTTGTGAAAGCTCTTTCGAAAAACCCTAAATTGAATGTAGTAGATTAGCTACCTAGTAAATACAATTCAAATTTAAAAGTCGAGTATATTGATTTACAGCTAAAGCTTTTGCTGCTGCTCGTTTCACCATAGGTGTATCGTCTTGAATAAGCTGAGCAAATGCTGTTCTTAATTCTTCTTGCTGCTCTGGTGTACATTTTGAATAAGCATGCGTGTATAATCCACAAGCAGAAATTCGCCCTGTGAACCAGTCAGCATTTGTGAGACGTTTCAACAAAGGCAGATAGTAATTCGTTATCTGTGTTGCGTTGAGCAATTCAACAATAGTGTTTAGAGAGCTAACTGACTAAGTTATCCGATTCCAATATTTTCCATAGTAAGCATACCAAGGTCACATCTTTTTTCTTCTTTTATTCTCGCTTAAATTACCTTGTCTCGCACAAGTACTTCCTCTACAGTTGCCAAGTTTTCTAGTGGGCCTAAAAGATAATGTGCATACTCAGATCCGCCCACGTATTCTGCAAAATTGGCTAATTCCTCTGCTACGGCTAACAGAACCTCGTCTTCATCGTCGATGGTTTCTAATTAGGTGGCTGTAGGTAAGTACACTTGCCACAATATATATACGTGTCCTTGTTTATCAGTTAGTCAGCTACATACCACTGAGAAACGGTATCAGTTCGTCTCGCGTTTTTTGCGGTCCTAACGCCAGGGCAATGGTACTCAAGTTTCGAATTGCATTTAAACGTAATTGAACATCCTCATTTTTTAATTCATCCACTAAGACTGCAATAGGATATAACTCCTGTTCTTCTGTTGTTGCTGTTAGTATCTGTTGTTCTGCCCCACGGTTATTGTTGTCAATATTGTCCATATTCGTGTTTGTCAATGAGGAAGGTGCTATTGTTACATCGGATGAGGAAGATGTTGTTGTATTACTTGTTTGATATGCATCCATGGCGTTAATATCATTCGATTCATATTTAACTGGGTTTTGTGACATGGTAGGCTGATCTACTTCCATAAGCTTCTCTTTAAAACTTTTCAAGGAAAGAATTCGAAGTAATATTGTGAAGGAAGCTTATTTTTAAATTCAAAAAAAAAAAAAAGAAACGAAAAAATAAAAAAATGGAAAAAAAGGGAGTTAATTTTCACTGCCAATAGGAAAGTAATCTTAGGAATCATTGACCCCTTAAGTCTCTAACTCCAACGGAAAAACTGCTCCTTTACGGTGAGATGTTTGTGTATATCCATTGCACAATGGATATCGATGTCCTTGAGAGACCATTTCGTGATAGTATTACTCATTTTACTACAGAAAAAGATGCAAATGTCCCTTATCTATTTGCCAGCTATGAAAGTGCAGAGGTCCTGAAACGCCATTTTAAGAATTTGTACAAGTAATATTGAAAAAGTGCTCATCCGCAATTGTGATGTTAAAAAAGAAGCCAAAAGCGTAGTTATGGCTTCTGATGGTGGTTTAAAGTCGTTTAACATTGAATTTTTTGTGCCAAAGAGGTATTCTTAATACAATCTGTATGGCTATTTTTAGTCAGCTTATTCATCTGTCATTCTTTAATTTTAGACGAACTCAGAGCATAAGAATTCAGTCAAAAGTCATTTGATTGGCCCATTGACACCCATTTGCATGATCAAGCTTAAATGCAGAAACCCCACACTTTTCTCGAGCCATGAAAGCTATCCTTTAAAGGTTTTTTCTTTCGTTTATTTTTTTTCTGCTCTGATGAAAGAGTCATTAGTATTTGAAAGCAGTATTACAATACTAAAACGTAGTCAACGAAAGGTATATTTGATGATTTTATTACAAATTGCAATAAACTGACGTTGTTGGACGATAATGTTTCGTTCGCTCAGCGAGAATCAAGAGTGTGCTCGTGTCATGTGCGGAAATATACGGCATGCAATCGCATTAGCCGAAAGGATACAGAGAGTTTTACGACTACTTTCTGGCATTATTACTTCTTGTTGTTGTTGTCTTTAATAAAGAAACTAGAGTGACTAAGGTATACGGCTCCCATGTCAAACATCCATTCTCCAAAATTTAAATATTTTTCAACATAATTTCGCACTGTTTTATTCTCAATTTTAGAAGTTGCAGGCCTATAAATGAGAAAGAAAGTTGAGAGAACATAAGCCAATGCTTTATATACTTTTAACTGAAAGCGGATTAACAGTTACTGCAAGCCTGTTGATTTCTTAATACCAGCTAATAATGCTGTTATCAATACAGCATCGAATGCATAATGGAATAGTTTGCTCATTACAATTTGAATGGAAGAAAGAGACTCAAAAGTTTCCACATCTATTTAAAATTGTAGCTGTTGGCGGAGTTACAATGTACCTTTAAGAAACCCAAAAAAGCTCTATTAAGATACAGTCTAAAATTTTGACTGGTAGGGCTATAATAATTTCTATCGCTTTCATTACAACATTACTTTGGGTAATTGAGGGTATCATAGAACTGTCGCACGCACTGACGTGATCTAATTCAATTGCGATATGGCTTCAAGATGCTTATTCACTATATATAAAATGCCTAACACAGTTCACCTATTAGTATTCAAATAAATCATCCTGAGGAATAGAGCGCCGGACCGTGGTATAGTAGCAATAAAGCTTACAAAACTCTCCAAGGTTTAAGCTCCTTCTCTCTAACCCATTGTTCAAGACAAAAGAGATTTTGTTTTGAGCAGTTGTGTGCGAGCAGGTTGTTGCCATAATCAAGGGTCATGGTCTTGCAGCTTGCCGTGACTTGTTAACGTCCAAATGTTCTCTTTCAGCTTTCAGTGCTGCCAATGCAGCTAATGCTTTTTGTCTTCTCTCTTTATTCCTTAATTCTTCGTGATCCACGCTTAGTTTGGGTCGAAACCTTGGCTATTATAAATGAGTAAGCGATTGCTTTTGGCCATAGAATAACATATAGTTTTACCTGACATCTCCAGGGAGCATAATCCCTAATTTGGTGAATATCCCCTTTTACGGGCAGCTCAGTACATTGAAGTCTTTCCCGTTCCATTCTAATTTTTAGTTCGCAAACTATCTGCTCCATCATATCAAGAGAATTACAGCCATCTAATAATGGACGTAGATTTTCGTTTTGCTTTAAACTGGCATGAAGCAATCGGAACAAGTGGGCTCGTACCACTTCTGCTCTAGTTGTTGGCTGGACTGATTTACAGATATTCAAATATTCTAGCGCTATTTCATACGCTAAGGGAGGCATATTTCTCTCTTTTTGGAAAATGGCTGGATTGAATAGTGCTCCTTCTGCACTCATTACGCCATCTGCGCCTGTCGCATCCAGACAGCGCTGAATATCTTCATGGTACAGAATATTCCCATTGGCAATGATGGGAGTATCTGGAATGGCATCTCTCACTGCTTTGATGATGGACCAATCAGCTAAACCGGTGTGGTGTCCCTTCTGTTCTCTACATCGCCCATGAACTGTCAATAACTGAGCCCCGGATTTTATGATCATTTTAGCGTAGTCGATCGTTTTTGACACATCCTTAAATACTCTAATTTTAGCAGTGATAGGAATATTGAGCTCTTTATCGGCAGTAGAGATTAATTTATTGATCAGATCCCAGTCGTCTTGTAAATAAGATCCATAGTGGCCTTTTTTGGCGATAGCTTGAGGACAACCGAGGTTTAAATCAATGGCATCACATTGGTTCTCAACCATCTTGGCTGCTTTTAAGAAATGATCAACATCATTGGCACAAAACTAACTCATGCAAAATAGATAATTCATTATTATTATTTTTTTCTGTCTCTTTTTGAGCCACTGCTGTACCCAAAACCAATAGTAGGCACTTCCTTACTTGAACAATCAATGGTCTATCCATAAGGCTGGTTGACCATTGTTCAAATCGATATTTTTCTCCACATCCAGGGTCTGTAAAGAGACGGGCATGAAACATGGGTGTATAGCACAGTTGGACCCCGTAACGTCTACATAGTAGTCTCCAAGCAAGCTCTGATTGTTCTACCATGGGCGCTAAGATATATTTCGGTGAACCCAATACTTTTTCGTAAAATTCATAGCCTTTCAATTTTCGGTTGGAATCATTGATACTATTGGTGGCGTGGTATGATCGCCATAATGTTGAGATCAAACGTCGCCGAACCAGAGGGTACTTTTTGGTTAAAATTGATAACATTAACAAATCGAATAAAATCAGGGACGGACCTACAAGGCTGCCAATTTTTGGATTTTGACTGAATCTTGAATTTTATGCAGCAGCGAGTCACGAAAAGTAATATTGTGGTTGCAAGCACCTTCGAGTTTAAAATCTTTTGTTACTCTACCCATTACCTTAGACTACGTGTCGGTATGTCAGAACCAACAGATACTACCGAGAATAAACAGTCTCCAGTTGCAGAAGCTATGATAATTGATGATAAATCGTCGATGGACGTTAAAGAGAATACTGAGCAGTTAGACGATGCACAGAAGGCTTTGGAGGAACTGGAAGCAATCCCCAGTATTATGGAGAAGGTAAGTGCGCAAACTGTTAAGCGATTGTAGTCATTTCCTCACTTGAATATTACTACTGTAGCTATCAGAAGATAATACACGATATGATTTGCACGTCCAGCTGATTGGCCTTCTGAAGAAAGCAGGGTTTGACGATCAACTTGAAGAAGCCCGATTGGCCATGCATGACATTTACCCACTAAGTGAAGGTAAATTAGAGAAGAATTGTTTACCTCTTAATTCAATAGAGGTCATTAATTTTGACATATTGATCGTTATCAGATTTATGGCTCGATTGGATCAATGATACAAAAAAACATGCAAATACTGTTGAAGGGCAAGCCAAGTTACAAGACTTATACAATAAAGCAGAGCAAGACTACTTCTGTAAATTTGAAAAAAAAGTCTTGTTTTTTTCTACCTTGACAATGTATGCTTAACTGTGTTTACGTTTTTTACAGCAATTAGAATTTGGAAAGATTATGTCGAATATGGATTGCATAAATTTCATGAAAATTTCGCTGGAGAAATGACAAATAAGGATGAGAGTATGATGGACTTGATCGAGGAAACCCGTGAATATCTTTTACGTGCTGTTCGTGCGACTTCGTCGCATGTTCAACAAGGACAAGAGATTTGGAAACCCTATTCAGACTTCGAACTTGAAGTTTTGAAAAACTTCGAAAATGCGGATCAAATTGAGCTTGTCAATAAAATGTATTTAGATCGATTGGCTGTGTTACATATTCAATACGCAGATACATTCAGTGCTTACTCAACCTTTATATCCAACTATGCTAATACAAACTACGAGAAGACTATGGTAGAAGCCAATAAAGTTTTTGCAAAAACGAAGAAGGCCGCCGAAGAAAGAGATGTGTATGAAATGAAGCTGACATCCGAACAATATAGTTTGGATTCATTCTATCAATATATCGAGTTTGAAAAGGGTGCCAAAAATATGTTCTCACTGAATCATGTGCGATCACTCTATGAAAGAGCTATTTTGCTACATTGCACTAATCCTGAATTATGGAACAACTATATTCTATTTTTAGTAAGGGACATTTTTATTAATGAGAGAAATGAAGATATTAGTAAAGTACTTCCTGGTAACTAATCAAATTTTTTCGACTCAGATTGAACAAGCCAGAATACCCTCGTTCTTGGAATCGACTTGCCTTAGAGCTATTCGTAACTGTCCTTGGTCTGGTATCCTTTGGACTCATCTAGCAAGGATTCTCGAATCGAATGATAAGCCAAATGAACATATCGAAGGTAAAGGACAGTGATAAATGATTGCTGTGTGTAAATATTAACCCGACAAAAATCAGAGGTATTTGATAGAGCCATGGGATCAAAATTACTTTTATCTAGCCTTGAAGATCTGGTAACTGTATTATTGGCAAAGTGTGATTACAAGAGAAGAAAAGTCGATTGGGAAGACTGTAAGTTGAGCATTAACGGGGCCATACCTTACCCTTCAACTTACTGAATTTATCTATTATGATAGTGGATGAGGATGTAGTGATGGATCTGCGTGTTACATTTGAAGAATGTTTAGAGTATCTCAATGAACGTATGTCTCATTAAATTTCTGTATGTGTCGAAAAGATCTTCTTATTCAAGTCCTTATCATAGTGTTCCCAGACACTGGAGACCCCTTTTATAGAGTAGAGAAATATTATGCTTACATCTCAAAACGACTGGGTGATATTGATAAAGCAAGAGAACTGTGGCAAGACATAGTTGATAGACATGGTTTAGATACAGAAGCTTGGCTTCAATTCATAAACTTCGAACGGTGAGTGAAGGCCGTCTATTTCAATGAGTACAACTTTTTTCATTGACTTTTCGATTATTTGTTAGCGAGCATGGCAACAATTCTCGCTGCGAAACTTTGTTCAAGCAAGCTATTCAGAAACGCCTCGATAATCCAAACCGATTGATGGATGCGTGGTCCACTTTTGAACGCGAAGTTGGCACTTTGGAGTCGTATGAGCAATGCCTTTTGAAAATCAATCATAAGACACAATTATTAACAAGACAATGGCAATCTCAATATGCACGAGAACAAAACAAAAAAGCACGTATAATGGAAGAAAAGAAGATTCACGAAAAGGTTGGATGAAATACTTCATAATACTTTCCTGTTAAAAACTTCAAGCCAACACAAAAGTTTTTTAAATAGAGAAAAAAGGGTCAGCATCGTGCCGCTCAAAAGCAAAAGGCGAAAGAAAGAAAGAAATTGGAGCAACATGAATTTAGAAAACCAAGTCAAAATTCAATGATGAAGAATGCATCAGAGACCTTGAAAACAGCAGGACAAGAAGGCACTTCTAATGATGAAATGGATGAGAATGTTGAAGAAAAAGAATCGAGCGAACAGCTGGAGTTTAAGAAGCCAGAACTACCTTTCAGCAGAGCGGGTGGATCAACGCCCATGAATACGTCGTCAACATTGAAGCGTAAATTATCTGTCGATGAATCAACAGAGAATGCAGAATCCAAAAAGCACAAATCACGAGATAACGCTGCAGTCGGAAGTAGCAATACAATCAAGGAACACATACCGGAGGGTTATCCGATATCGCGGCGTGGCCGTGGTCGTGGAAGATCTGTCAAACTCCCAGGCGGACGTATGAATAAGATTCCAGCAGGTACTACTGCTACGGTTACATCTTCTTCAACAACCAATGAAACAAATGTGACAGCAGACAGTTCAACAGCAGCACCAAAAACTAATGATGACTTCCGTGCCTTTCTTCTTGGCAGTAAGAAAAAGTGAATTGCCTGATTTGAATAAAATAAAAAATCCCTGGTTTTTGGGGTTTTTTCTTTCTGCATTAATACAGTATTTTACCTTATATTTTAGACGATTTACAATTTTTAATGGACAATATACATTTTAATTTTAGATTTAGTAAAAAATATTTTTAGAAAAGTCCATAGTATTTGGATATTTGGATACTCAATTATTCAGTGATATTCAAGCAGCATTAAGGATGACATACAATCGAACCCTAGAAATTAGTCTCTATCAGTAAGAAAGTCGCCAATAATGGTTTTATTGATGTTATCTTGCAATAGGACAAACTACAAAAAGCTTGACAACTTTTTTACTAAATGACGATGTGTTCCGAGACCAACAAGATATTCGTTGGTGCCTTTTTTGGACAAGAATTCCAAAAAAAGTTAACTTTGAATTGATTGACATCAAACCATTGATAGAGGGCTGATGGTCATAGTATAACAGATACCATAGCGGAATGGGATGGTTATATTAACTGTTGTCAATGTTTTTGTATGCGTTCATGGGTGACTTTCAAAGATAAGCACTATAAAATATATTGCTCTCTTAGAGTCAAATGTTGTCTCTTTCACTTTTATTTCACGTTTTTAAGATACATACTATGACCCATGTTCAAAACAATAATTTATGAAAAGAAAAAGCAAATTTTTGAAAAGAAAAAATCAAGTGCTGTTAATGGTAACTTGCCTTTTGAAAGCCTATATACCTGATCATATATATACGTAGAGATTAACCATCGTGTACTGTTAGATGTAACGTGTATTGATTGCGGTAAAGGGGGTCATTACACCCAACAATACTTTAAATGTCAATTGTATGAGACAGAAACTGCAGATCAAGGTAAGCACCTCATGTGGCTTCAAAAGTTGGTAAATTCATCGTTAGTAAGCGACCTCATTGTACCTATAGTTGGTTCGATAGGCAGAAAACGCAAACAGAACTTTGAAATCAAGAAGGAAAAGAAGAAAGCAAGGAAAGAGAATAATGAAGAACCGGATAAAGACAATACCTGTTGTACCAAATGCAAGCAACCAGGACATAAATCGGTGCGTTCTCCTCTGTGTCCTCAACATGTATTATCAAAGGCAGAGGTCTTTCAACATCATTTGGGAAGTAATTACAAGGCGTTTACAAGAAGGTTGCCTCTTGATAACTGCGTTTTTGGTGACTATCGCAACACATTCAAGTCAAAAGCTGTTGAAGCTTGTTCTGTTATTCGCAACTTGGTTCTTAGAGCGAAGCTCTTTGTGAATTATTACGTCTTGGAAAATGCAGCTCTTGCTGAGCCAAAGTGTATTAAATGTATCTTTACACAAAATTTCTGGTACTCTATGATACAGCTAGTGAATGGACAAAGACCAACAAATAGTAGGCTGATATCACAACAATTACTGAGCTCGTTTGATTCTTTTAAAACGACTTACCCTAAGATTGTCTTCCCTGTCAAGCTCTTTCCTGGACTTAGTCAAGCCATTACAGAAGCATGCACCGAAATTGCTACTTCCTATACGAACAGTATAGTGGAAAATTTTGAGGAGAAACTTCTCTATTTTTTGATATATAAAATACAAACGGCATTTGTGGTAAGTTGCAACTCAATATTACTTGGGGTCTTACATGAATTTTAAAAAAAGCTCTCATCTTGCGTAGTGTATGCCTTGGAAGCTTGTCAAAAAGGTCACAAGTGATTTCTGCTATCAAGAGATATGCCAAGGAAAACCTAAATGGCCAACTGATGACTACCTTACCAAAGATATAAAAGCAAAGATCCAAACCTTTTGTGAACCTTGGAAGAAGAAGCTGGGGAAGAAAGTGAACATGAAGACATTATCTGCTGATCCTGGGTCTTTCGTACCCTTTTTGTTATCTTTGAACGCAGAATTTGAGAGCGAACACGATGATCATAAACCATTTGACGTACGACGACGTCCTCTTCCAAAATTGCTATCCTTACTGCCAAAGGTTTCCGTTCAATGGAGGTTCATTACCTTGAGCGTGAACGCTCTGTCTTCTTTTGTGAAACGTTCTTTACCCCGCAATTACCAAAGCCAATTAGAGCTGTTTTTCCATGTCTTTGATTTCAAGAAACTCAGGTACAAAAGGTAAGCATACAGTTAATACGGTATAAAGTCGAGTATAATGTATGAGGTTTAACTTCTTGGGCACATGTAGTATCTCTGAACTTACACCGAATGGTGATAACAAAGAGCTCTTTGGTAATATTGTCAGAACGGATGGGTTTTCAGTTGACTTTCTTTTTTATAAAAGACAACAATCTGGCCATGGTGCCTCGTTCCAAAAATTTGACCTCACTCTTGATGATTTCTCTCTGGATGAAGTTGACAATACTTATTTACCTATTACCCTGGATCCCGGAAGAAAGTCTGTTTTTACTGCTGCTATTGGCCTTGAATATAACAGACAAGTGCGAAGATGCACTACATCCGAATACTATCATATGGCAGGGTCAACGAAATATTGTAAGAAATTGAACAGTATAAAAGCTGTTACAGGAATAGATCTAGTAGAAAGTCAAATCCCCTCGTCAAAGACCTCTCGTCTAGGAGTATATGAGGCGTTCATCAGTTATATGCTCAATAACTTAGACGCTCTCTTTAGTTTTTATGGACATGAAACAGCAAAGGACCGGTTTACGTTGTACCAAGGAAGGCAAAGAGCACCCGAAACTATGGCCAACATGTTGACTCATGGAACGGCCAAGTACAATCGCAAAAAGAGAAGCAAGGCAAGGAAGAGGAAAAAACAGCAGAAGAAGAAGAAGAAGAAAGGAAAGAATGTTGACAAACAGCCGCCAATCAAGTGAGTATCAATGAATTACATGTTCATCGTTTAGCTTACGCGCTGATTGATAATTTTTAGAAGTGACAAGAAGTGGAAGGCTGATAAGTACTCAGGATTCCCTAGAAGGGTACCATTGATTGTCTTTGGTGCTGGAATGTTTGGAAAAGATGTAGTAAAATTGAAAGGGCAAAGATGTGGTGTTGTCGGTAAACTTTTTGCAACTCTGAAGAAACGTGAAGCTGAAGGTCAATTGATTGTTGTCACAATCGATGAATTCAAAACCTCTAAAACATGCAGCCTCTGTTTCTATGATGATATGCAAATTGTTAATACTCCTGGATTCAAGGGTACCGGCGTTCTTCACTGCAAGCAATGTCTAAAGCTATGGCAGAGAGACATTAACGCTGCTATTAACATGATGACTATATCTCAAGCAGTTTGGTCCGGAGCTGGAAGACCCGACATTTTCAAGCCAGCGAAGAAGAAGAAATAATCGCCGTAATAAACACGGTTTTCCTTGTATTTCAAGGATTTAGATCATTACAGGTGAGGAATAGTACGGTTTTTTTTTCTTTTTTTTTTTTTGTTTCGCACTGCTAACAAGTTTTTGGAATTTGAATCATTGTTTAAACGGTTTATATTTTGGTCTACAACACAATTGCAACTCGTCCAAAAAAAAATGTATTTCATCTAAAATATTAGTTAAAATACTGTATGTGTTACACTGACTTTTAAACCTTCTGTGTTGACCACATGCTGAGGGTCGTTACTCCGTCTTGATGCTGCTTTCTTCTGTCACTTTGTATGTCACTTAAGAACGTAGATGCAGGCATTGAAAGGAAGAATAAAATGTGTCTTAGAATCACATTATAAAATTCCTTTACCTATCTTGTCTATTCTAATGGGTCGCTTACCTCAAGTATCCAGTTCCATTGAAGATGTCACAGATGAGAAACTTGAAGCTTTACAGTATGTTAAATCCTTGAAAGAAGGTTAGTTTTCACCCGAATCATAACTATTTGCACAATGAGCGGAAGCAAACGTTTTCTTGAAAATTCCTAGACGATTGGAGTAATGTTTATGAAGACGAAGCAGATGAGGTAAAGAAGGAAAAATGACGAGGTCTTGTTCATTGGCTGAACTGAACATTGAACAGTCTTTCCGAAAAGGAATGCCTGAACACGTCCATACCCTCGACTTCTTATAGTAAAACTCGACCTACTTCTCCTAATATACCACGTACCGATAACATTATGATATCGGCTTCAACAGACGGGTATAGTTTAGTATTAGCGCATAAATCAAAATTTGTAATGGTACGATTAAACAAAGAAGGAGAATATTCAGCATTAGGTCAAGGCTCAGGTTGTCAGCAGGAAGGGTAAAGATATTTATGATAACTATATAGTATAAAATTCGAAACCTCACGCTTATATCGTTCCATTCAGAGAGGAGATTACAGCTGTAGTATGCTTACCTTTATTTGTTCCATCAACTCGGTTAACGTAAGTACAACATACAACCATTCAGCTGCTTGGAGCTACAAATTTTGAATTCTGATCAAAACATCGTTCAGTCAACATTATATACTTTGCGGATACAATACAGGTTGGATTCGCGTGTTTTCAGAGGTATACTTTAATTATGAAGCACTTGGTTCTAACTGAGGCTGTGATACTTACGCTATAAAACTTACGGTAATCAGTCTGGCGTTTTGTTGACAGCACAGCAACTAGAAACGACTAGTGTCCTTTCTATCAAGGTCAGGGCGCCACCACCTGTGTTCAAAATAGCAAAACTTCGACAATTTGCGAATGAGAATGAGGATGTTACAATTCTGTTTCGAGGTAATAAAATTGTTACTATCGACGGTCAAAGTCTTTGGATGGTTCTACGAGTTTGTGATGGACAAAGAGAAAGCGGCATCGATGCCTCACATATGCATACAGCTTTTACATATAAAAAATGGGATCTTCAGCATCAAGATGAAGTGAATGATATTCTTAGTTTGGGTCCCTCTCCAACATACTCACAAATACCTTACAATGATCCATCTACCGCTATATCTACCACCAATGCATTCCCGCCAAAAAATGCTACTTCACAGTTTATAGCTGTTGGTTCTCATCCTATGCTCACCTATTATGCCACATCCGAATCATCGAAACCGCTCATGTCAGCAGCCTCCATGGCAAGTTATGTCGTGTCACGGGTTGCCTCTCCAGTATTTTCATTTGCCAAGTCCTGGTGGGGATCTTCCTCATCTTCATCAGGGTCTAACACTACCACAACAATAAGCCGACACTCTACTCTACACAACAATAAGACTGATAACCCAACACCCTATGTCCCTGATTTACGTCGTCCGCCACCCACTCACATCGAGCCAGCAACACCCCTTCCCGCTGTTTTATCTGTCAATGATGCTTACCGTAAAATCAATCATATTTATTTGTCGCCTGCGCCTTTTATCAGTGCAGTACAGCGTAACACTTTAGCAGCTACAACAGATGCTTTAGGAAGAGTGGTGTTATGGGATATTCACGAAGGGCAGATGTTGCGTATATGGAAAGGCGTCCGCGATGCAGTTTGCGGTTGGGTGGAAGTATTCGAGCATGAGCTTTATCAACAGCCAAAAAACCAAACAAGCTTTAAAAAAATTTTGTTGTTCCTTGTAATGTATTCTTCAAAAAGTGGTTTTTTAAAAATCTTCCAAATGAGACACGGTAAACAAGTAGGAGCCTACCATGTTGGTCCAGGTTGGCAACTGGTGTCATGCGGTGGTGAACCATTAGGAAGCTCCATGGTCTCTCCTGAACGGCGGGTGAAAGCTTCCAACAAGAATCATATCGGCGCTGAGTATAACGGTCTAGCAAATTGCCTCTTGGTAGGATCCGATGGGGAGGTTCGCAAGATCAAAATAATTTTAAAAGAAGCACTGTTACAATAAGAAAAATCAGCAGTAACAGAAACATAGTACCTACCGACGCAATGTCTTCTGAGCAATTACTTTATTTTATTTTATGTTTGGTTATTAAACCATACAATTCACTTCTTTCTCCGTTTATATGAACTTGTTCAAGCCTTCCTTTAAATTTTTCTGGCATTACTTTCTATAATTGTATGATATGAGCATAATAAGATCCAAAAGTATACAATAAACCTGAATGTATATAAAAATACATAGTTCATCTTGGCATGGCTTTGCTATAGTCAACAACTGTCTATAAAGTACTTTCATATAACTTGTTGGAATATTAAACACTGTTTGGATGTTCAGAGTTTTTAAAGCAAATTCTCTGGCGCATATTGTAGACACGTAGCAATTCAATAAGTAAATCGACTGAAAGAGGTTATTTCGAAGAGAAAATTTCTATCAAGGGTTTTCTTTTCATGAGATTTCTTTCTTTCCTTGCATGCGTCTACTAGTACAGAATTTAATCAAGAGTATCCAATTATATCAGTTGTATGCTTACACTAGTTTAACTGTTCACGTATATGTATTGCATGAAAGTAGCGAAAGCAGATCATTCCAATTTACAATATGCGCATGGTAATAAGAAGAAAACTCAAACGAGTACGCATTACTGGGTAAAGGGATAAAAAGAAGTGCTTTAGATTAAAATTATTTCTTTTATCTGCGACCGCATTTGAAAGATCTGCCTCAAACGAGTTCACGTATTGCTTGCAAACGATAGTAATTGCGTATGGTAGCTCAATTGCCGTCACTATCAGCAACAAAGAGAACGCTATTTCTACTAATACCATGAACTTGTAAGATTAGCACAGTCTTGGACGACAACAATAGAAGTTTTTAAGCCAATACTACGCAAGCCTGCCACGCAATCATATCACAGCGTATATTCTCTAATTTGAAACTGTTACTGTCAACAAAACTCACAATTTTAAAGATCAATGCGGGAAATAACAATACTACTGTATACAACTATTTTTGAATTTGATTTATCTGCAACGTACTGATAACATTTTTAGCATGAGTACGCACGATGTGCTTAACCTTAGAATCAAGAGAACAATAATCAGATGAATTCCTATCTTTTCAGCAAGTCAATGTACTCGATAATCAATTCAAGTCTAAAGATTCTCCTTGGCATTACTTTAATCCGTTCAAAGTTGTAACCAAGAGTGTAAGGATGATAAACAGCTTTTTGCCAGGTTAAAGACTAATCCTTCCTTATTTTAGAATGAAAAAACATCAAAAATGCCCTTAAAATTTGGTAGTAGCCGAATCTGTGACACTGACGCTGATAACATTGGCGTTTGGCTGTGTTTGGTAAAAATATTCAATTCATATAAACAAGTAAAGATTATTCTAACTATAGTTTATATATAAACAAGATAAAGACCTACGTAAATAAAATTTCCTGAAGCTGAAAATAGTCATTAGCCTACCTAATGATATACTTCCCGCTGAACCTTACATGTCAAGAATCTTCTTTTCTCCTGAGGACTGATAGTCATTGACTTACAACAATTACCCAATTCACAACCTAAACAAATACCTTACGTTTCAGGATCTACAGGGAAATTTATTTGAGAAGTTAAGTAGTTTTAGCTATGATTAATGTACAATCTGTTTCCTGAAAAGATCTCAAAAACCACCGAAAGCGCTGCCAAATATTTGATGAGATCTGAAGAAAGTACTTTAAATTAGACAATATACTGTACTCTTGGGAACCTTTATTCAAAATGTTTTTCATAAAGACGTGTGTTCAAATGGTATGTCTACAGACATACGTTCTCTTAAACTAACCTTATACCACTATCGAAGTGAGAGTCGGGGAGCACACTGGTCTGAAGAATGCAAATACAAATTCAAGAAGAACCTCCATTCTCTTTTTCAGTCTTTGAAAAACTCACAGACCATGGTTGTTTTAGTTTGCATGAAATCTGACGTTCTCAACATACGGTTTTACCAGAGGAAAGTATCTTTAAACAAGTAAATATTGGTAAATACAGGCAAACATAGGTAATCATAGGCAAGCATAGGCAATCATGAGCAATCATAGGCAAACATTAGAACGTACAATTTGATACTTTCCTCTTCAGCTACACGGTAAATTCGAAAGGTGTCAAAATCTCCTCTCCTATGCATTTGGTAAACGTTTCTATATGATTGCCTACGTTGTTGCTTATATTTGCCTATATTTTCCAATATTTACCTCATGTTTGCCTATGATTGACTATGTATAGTAGATTATAATATCTGAATCCAATGACTGTTAAACCCTAAGAAAGATGTTATGTCACAGGCTACTCTGCTGATCTTTATTACCCCTATCGTTTAAGCTCTCACCTTTTCATTGCCCTACATCGAAGAAACATGCGGCAACCAAGATAATAGAGCTTTTTGTGACGCTATTCAAGCTGAAGTTTGGTAAAATGATTATATTAAGTATGTGGCTACATTAATTCTGTTAGTTCAATCTGCAGATAATGATAAAGCATCATAAAGAGAACGTGGCTGAGACAACCATGAAAAATTACCAATTGAGTGATAGATCTGAGTTCCATGTCAGTTTGGTACTTTGAAGTAGTGCAGGACATGGCAAAAATCATTTCTTCTTGTTGCAAGTATGGTATCGCAAAAGTAATAGTATCAATAGAAAGATATACATCATTTGTATAGAATTGTTTACAGTAGTTAGGAGCATAAACATATTAGCTGTTGAGGGAGGAATGTTTATTTATGAATCATGTAGATTTCACACATAAAATCACGCATGCTCTTCAACTGTGTCATTTTCCACTTTTTGGATGCAACTTTGTCAAAAAATTCCCTCTCGTCAGGATTACGTTCTTTATACGCGAGAAGAGCCCTGCAGTTGTTATTATCTAAGAGCCAGGATAACGTATCGAGTAATACATCATGTGACGACTGATTATACAGCACATCTGCCAACAGAATTAAATTCACCCTACTATATTCTGGTACTTTTTCAGATCCCCACGGCAGTTCAGCTACTACAGTTTTTGTATGGTTATTGCACTGTTTTTCAACCAGATTAACATTCTGCTGCATAATTTTAAGCGCATCAGATAAATCAGTCAAGTACGTTTTTTGGGGTTTGAATAAAAGCGACGCGAAAATGCCAACCAAGCCTGTCCCGCTTCCTGTGGTAATATAATGAGCAAAGAGAAAGGTACGAGGGCATTTCAACAAAAAGGTAACTTCCATATGTGCGATGGGCAAGTATTTTTGCCTGTATCTTTACCAAGTTCTAAAATAGTGATATTATCCATATCCAACTTGTATTCGCTCAAAAAATAGCACATACCCATACCACAATCCCTATGTACAACAATGTGGAGCCAGTAAAAATTAAGGACTAAACAGAAACTACCCGTTTTCGCTCTCCTTACCAAACATGCCGAGCAATACTCTGTACAGCATCTTCTCTAATCCTTACAAGCTGTTGACGGTGTGGGTCGCAGGGTATGCATAATACTCTTTCGGCTTGATTGCCACTTTTCGCGGCTTTTTCATGACGCTGTTTGACTACAGTCGCCGTGATGGGTATAGACCAAGCAGGTATGATCCAAATGTTTGAATGGAGCGGGTAAGCGCCTTGCCAAACTTTATGGCTGCTATTTGTATCCAAATTGGATAATGCCATACTCAACTGTACAGCAACTTTTGTACCCAATGGAAGAGGTTCCTTTTTATGGCTGATATTAAGCGGCAGTTCCTCAACCACCAGTTTAGTAACCATACCACCCCCGCGGAACGGATCAAAAATGGTTGTAATATCACGTTTGGCTGCTGTTGCCGTGGTGGATGATAATTTATCATGAGGCGGATATGGAGAAGCCTTTTTTCTTTTGGTTCTTGTCGATTCATTTGAGTTTAGTAAACGTAAGCCTAATTGTTGGTCGTCATTACCAGGGCTCACTCGACTGGTGTGGAGAGATAAGTTGACGGTTACAGGTTCCAAGTACGTCTGATCTCCTAAATCATTTTCGATCGTCCAAACAATGGTGAAATGCTGCCCAACATAACAGTCTGTTGGGGGCGGCTTTAAGAAACGTAAATAGAATAAGGGATAGGTGGACATAACGTATATTTAACCTATTCGAACAAGATCCACAAAATTGATCTATGCTTGGGTTTTTTCCACGTATGTTTTTATTTAAAAACAGTCCAGAAAATTGGGAAAATAAAAAGCCTGAATTGAAAATTTTTTGATCTTTTCATGATCTAATTTGACTGGTAAAACTGTAAGACTGGAGTCAATAGAATTACAAAAAATGGGAAGCATTTTAATTTGCAATGAGAGCTTTGGAAACATTATTACTCTATCTTGCTCTGTCATTTTAATTGAAAAATATACATGTTGCTGTGTAAAAAAATGTATTGCTTCGTTTGTACTAGAAAGATGTAGAAGCGGAAACAAAAAGTAAAGGTTATCGCTCGATAGCAATTTACGACATTTCTCTACCTATCCTACAGTAAATACAAAGAAGTTCATCGGCAATCAATTACTCACAGTACCGTCTTACTCACAGCACGGGTCTTGCTCACAGCACGGGTCTTACTCACAGCACGGTCTTACTCACAGTATATAGTGAGATGGAGTTGGCATTATCATTTCTGTTATAAAGCCTACATTATGATTAAACATAGGTCGATAATCATATTGACGTGATTTGCTTATGATTGTTTAGACTGCTCTTACTGTTAGTATCGTTTACTGTAATCACCTTCCACTGGTATTGTCCTACTATTGTAAAAGTCAAAGTAGAGGATACCGAATTTGAAGAGTCCCGCGAATACTATAAATCATAAAAAGGTGAAATAGGTTCTAATGTTCTTGATGGAATGATGTATAAACATAAAGATAACATACGCTATAATCACTTTCGTGTTCGCCATTTTTGGTCTGCACAAGTATCTGCCTATCAAAAACTTTTTTCCGGTATGAATTACACTATAATAAACCGCTTTTGTCCTCAATAACTTTATTGACATTCCTTGAGCTATTTAAGACTTCGGTTTTACTAAATCAAATACATGAAATTATGAGGGTCTAATACAAAGTAGTCTGTCCATCTATTCATGAGACTTCTTTGACACTGGCTAATTGAAAGTTGTAAAAAGGGGACATTGTATTTACGAGACAAGATGAACAATAAGCTACTAAACAACATGGTCAAAGTCTTTATCCTACGAAGCATTACTTTTATAAATTATGTCCTGAAGAGAGGGTCCGTCTAGATATATCATCATTCGTACGTCTGCTGTAACGAAATGCGGCTACACTTAACAACACTTAAATCCTCTAGACACAGTGGATGAAGTCGTTGTACAAAAGTGACTATATTCGAGTTTTTGAGCTTGTTAGCGTACTTGGACTAATTGAATTATAGAACAATTAGCTGGTCTGATATATCTTAACCTTGTAAATCGAAGGAAATGCTGGTCTTACCAATTGCAATTGCTGCCACAAGGCATGATTAATTCGTTTTTGAATCGAATCAAGTTGCGCTCTGTTTATAGCCGATGTTTATATCTTGGCTCAATTACGAGTAAATTGTGTTGTTCACGCTTGGATTGAGTCAATCGAGGCAGTCACTGAAGAGATAATTCAGTTAATGTGTGCTCAACTGGTACGATCAACCTACTTCTTATAGGTTTTTAATAGTTATTGACAATATCTGTTCCATATTGCAAAGCAGAATTAGTGCAGTTGCTTTGACTAATGGAGTGGATAGTGGCATAGAGTTCAATGGGGCAATGGCCACTTCGTCTATTAAAATTTGGTAAACTTGTTTATTGGCCATTGGTTGGCTTACAATTAGGTAACGAACAGTCTGTGTAACGTGCTAAAGTTAATGCTATCTCTGACTGCTAAATCCTAGGTTATGTACTCACGTGCACCTTCTCAACAAACACTGTAGTGTTCTGTACATCCTTCTTTTTCTTTTTTTTTTTTTTTCTTTTTTTTTCCTAAGTTTGATATAGACACATCTTGTCCGTAATATTTCTTTTTCTTTTTTAAGCAAAAGAAATATCGTGATTGTTTCAACTTTATACAGATGTCCGATAACGAGTTGCGTCGTAGAGGTACAAAACTTAGTATAAACGACGATAGTGGTAGTGAGGCTACTGTTTCTGTCAATGAAGACTACGATGGTGATATAAAGAAGGATATGCGTTATTCTTATGGTAAAACTCCTGACGGAAAAGGTAAGAAAAGCTAGGAAAATGACTCTTCCGTAGATACCAAAAGGTAGACTAACGAGTTACACGATTAGTTTTTCGAGTGCCTCTTACCCGTGAAATGGTCTCAAATTTACTGAATCCCCAGATAAAGAAGGGTATATTCGATTGGATCACTTTAGGGATTATGTTTGCCGAAATTGGCTTATTCTTTGCTTTACCAGCATGGTTCAAAGGCGTCTTTTTCCTGTTTACCTTTTTTTTTTGGCGTTTGGCTTATAATGTCGGTTTGGGATTTCTTCTTAAATATCAAAGTGATAATCGAGGCTTAGTTCGATTAGCGAAAAAGTACCGCATATTTGATCGTGCAGCAAACCCGAAACTCTATCAATGGCTTCGACATCAACTTAGTATTAAAATGGGTGATGATTATGACTTTGACGTAAGTAGTAATTCTTAAGGACCTACTCTAACCTCTTTTACTCAATGCTTCATATCGTGAATATAGACCGCTCCTGTTGAATACAACACTTGGATGCTGTTTAGACAATTGGTTGATATTATTCTGATGAATGATTTTACAGCATATGTTTGTTTCGCGCTTTCTTGGTTTAACACAACTCCTCAATCGTCTATCTTCTTGGGTAACACGCTACGATGGATCGGTGGCTTGTTTTTGATTGTTTTCAACATTTGGGTCAAAATAGATGCTCAAAGGGTTGTTAAAGATTTTGCTTGGTGTAAGATTGTTGACAACCTCCTGTTATTGTTTAACGAAACACTAACACTATCTTTTCTGCTTATTAGATTGGGGCGACTTTTTCTTTTTGATAGAACAGTCGTTGACATTTGATGGTGTATTCGAAATGGCACCTCATCCTATGTATTCCATTGGCTACTTTGGTTATTATGGCATATCATTGATTTGTGCAAGCTACACCGTTTTACTCGCTAGTATTGCAGCACATGCATTACAGTTTGCCTTCCTTGTTCTTGTGGAAACTCCTCGTAGGTCTACTTTTAATACTAGGAGCAAGACTTATACTATCGAGCTTATTAACATGTATTATTGTTTCTATAAGATATTGAAAAGACATATAATCCACCAGAGACAATTAGACGTCGTCCAGCTAACCTGCAATCAGAGGTTAAAGAATTTACAGATGAGCAGCCGGCTACGACATATTTTAGACGAGATTTGATAGTAATGAAAAATTTTGACCTCTTCCGGGCGACAGATGCACTTTCAGCTGTAGTTATGCTTTACGCTTTTATAATGCCATTGCTTATGCCTGGAAACCTGGGGATTGTTGTTGCTATTGGACAGGCATTTTTCTGGCGAACAGTACACTGCCTAGGAAATGGGGTTCTTCTCCGCTTACAATCTAACAATAAATACTTTACTCGTCATTTCATAAAGTGGGGAAGCGACGTCTACGAAGCATTTCAAAACTGGAAAAGGTATTCAGAAAAGGCAATTTACGTGTATTGCAAACAAAGAACTTAACATGTCATACTAACTATCAAAAAAGTCTTTATAATCTTACGTTATGTATGACATATATCACATTTTTCGTTGCATGCTGGAAAACTTACACTTTACCCGATGATTGGACATATGGAATGACTCTTCTGCGCCATATACTTGGGTTAACATTCATTTCTCTACATATTTGGACATCCGTATCTATTTATGAGGTCATTGGAGATTTTGGATGGTAAGCGATCAGTGCTCCTCCGCAATATTGAACACTTATTAGAGTCATAACATAATATGACTTGTTTAGGTTTTACGGCGACTTTTTCATGGACGATCATCCATCTGGTTTACTGTATTCAGGCATTTATAGGTAAGCAACACTTTTTCAGTCAGGATCTATATTATACGTACTGAAACCAATTATGCTGGGAAAACAGATACCTGAACAATCCCGAAAAGATAATGGGCCATGCTGCATTCTGGGGTATGACGCTAATTGCTAACAATGCCACCATTTTTGCTTTGGCTTTGTTCTCTCAGATCGGTAACATTCTTTTCATTAAATATGTCGAAGAGTAGGTTGAAAATCGGCTGTCATTAATAATGCAACAATCACTAAACTGTTTTTAATGCGTTAGTCCGCACATGCGCAAATTGTATGGCGATCAAATCAGGAAAGAGGCGGGCCTCACTAAAACTCTTAAATCTGCTGCAATTGCTATACCAAAAACTATCCCTGAAAAAGTACATATGGAGATTGCCAAGATATTACGAGAAGACAGTACAAAGAACGTTGAACGCATCGTTAAAGAAACAGTTGAAAAGGTAGAAAAGGCAGTGGAAGAAACAAAGGATGCAGTAGGAGATATCGTCGAAGCAGCACGTCCTCGTTTACAAGAAGTTCTATGGGAAACAAAACACTTACTAGAGACATCGCGCTCACGCGTTATTGCATTAACAGCAGCTGATATTGACACATACGACCTATCGCGTTATTCTGTAAAAGTTATAAATAGCGACAACAATGTGCTTGAAATGGGTCAACAAATTCAAGTAGAGTGGGAGGCACCGGAGAACCATGGTCCACAAGATTGGATTGGTATTTTCGAAGTAAACAGTAATAAAAGCAAACATATCACAAACATTGTATCGCGTGGAATCTGGAAATGGACAAACGGGGTAAAAGATTGTGATACGGGAGAAACTCTGTTCCCACCCGACGTAGCAACTCAGACAGCAGGAACAGTTACCTTCGGAGGGCCTAAGTTACCTTGGAAGGCAGGTGTATATGAATTGCGATATCATCATGATAACAAGCACAATGTTATGGCTATATCCAAACCCTTTGAGATAAAAGCACCAGCTGTCCTGCAACCGATCAATATCGATACTACCAAACAAACAATATTAAAATGGATTCAGAATGTTTTGAATAACAATCCAGAGGTTATGCCTCAATCTCCAGAAGAAGAATATGTTGGAATGGCCGAAGTTGAATCCCGGCATCTGGTCGAATGCATCAAACTTGGGTATAACGTTGATTTTGCTTGGGAAATTGTTGCCATAGATAAAACTGCCACTCGACTTGCAAAACGAGTAAGTTCTATTGTGCCAATTCGAGCCGTAGGTATGTCACATTCTCATGATTTTTTATGATTGCTTTATTCAGGTCCTTCATGCCAGAGAGGCACTCTCACCTTTCCAAACAGAAGCAACAGAAACTCCTCGTAAACTCTGCAATACTCATTTGAATACTTGTACACCTCCGCTAGTCTCATAATTGTTCAGAAAATTGAACTTTTATGCAAAGATTCAACAGATCCCTCCGTAGATAGCCAGACTTATTTAAGCATACAAAAAGTAAAATTTACAAAAATTAAAAAAAAGATGTCGGATCTAGAGTAACTGTATATTCTATGATACCGAACAAATAAAATAGAACAATGTAACGACTACTTGAAAATATATTAGAGGGCATTTTTCACTTCAATTTCGAACGTGCCATCTGGAAGGTTGAAAATATCCACGTCCGTTAATAATCTTACAACGCAATCTGCACCCGCTTCCTTCAGTGGGTTTGCCTCATGAGTAGTAGTGCAACAAATGACCTGAGCACCGGCATCGTGGGCAGATTTCGTTCCGGCAGGCGCATCCTCAAAAACAATCGTCTCATTTGGTTCAAAACCCATTTCACGTATGGCCCGTGCATAGCATTCGGGGTCAGGTTTACCTCGAGAAACCTAAATTGTGGTAGCGGTTAAACAAACAAATTACATCTAGCCAAATTACCGTTTACGAGTCCGTACCATATCACCACATATCATAACGCGCGGGGCTGCAATGTCACACTGTTCTAACCGTTTTCTGGCCATATATTCATTTCCACCAGTGCAAATACCCCATTTACCAACAGGTATTTTTTCTAATAATGCTGATATTCCTGGAAGTACGCTAATACCCTCGGTCTCTGCAGCCAATTGCTTTTCTAAGTCTGCAACATGTTCGGGAGTTGCTTTTTCAGGAACCCACTTTGCTATAGTTTCTATCGTGCGTACACCATGTGAGCTGGCTAGTATCTAAACAAGCCATTTAATGTAAGTTATAAGCAGTAGCTTTTGTGCTGTATATTTTCATTTCACCTTATCTCCATCCAAACCATTCTGAGATGCAAATTGGTGCCAAAATCGCTCCACTAACGGTATAGTGTCAATTAAAGTTCCATCGAGGTCAAAAATGAAGCATTTTGCGCGTAAATATTTTGTTTCTGAAGTTGACATGACGAACGAGTATCAAGCTTGAAAGCAAATGGAAAAAAGGTATAACGTACTTGTCTGTCAAACTTAATTTAGCTTGTTTTCTGCATTTCAAATTGCCAAACTCAGTGGCAAAAGAAAATCTCCTTATTTTATTACGTAATTATTGTCTGCTTTAATGATCATCCTCTTCCGGTCCCGGACAGTTGGCCTGTAGATCCTCTGCATCTTTATATTTAGCACTACACCAAAAGCAATAAAAATACTTGTTGCGTAAATACTCTACGACAAGAGCAAATTTTTCATCTAATTCTAAGCTGTTCAATCTCTCAATTTCTTCTTTAGGGTATAAATCGATAATATTGTCTGTAGCTTCTTCTTCTTTGTCTTGCTCTGTATCTTCATTATTTTCCATTTCTTGGGATGCAGGTTCTAGCGTCCATAATATGTTTGTTTCTACTGAGTTCTCCTCATCAAACTTCTTGCAAATAGAAATAGCTGCAGTGAGGTATCTTCGTAATTGATTTTCCTTTGCTTGTTTTGCTTTGATGGTTCGAAAGGTTTCCAAATCAACCTTGGCCCTTTTGCTGTTTTCCATTTCCTCTTCTTCTAATGCTCTCAAACGCTTTTCTGATTCAATTTCCATACCGATTCCTTGTCTACCCGCCTTGATATTGACTTTGATCGGTTCTACAATACCGCTGCTATTCTTTCCAAGTGACATGCCTTTCTTGAAGCCCATTTTCATAAGCATTTTCATACCCTTATTGCTTTTGTCTTCTTCTAGTGAGCGTTGGAGAGCCTTTCCTCTCTCTTCTGCTTCCAGTTGGGCTCGCGGTTTTACATGAGCTTTTTTTTCTTGCTCGCGTAGTTGCTTTTTCCGCCGTTCTGTGTAAGTAGCTTCTTTCCTTTGCGATTCAAACTGCTCAGCATCTTGTAAAAACTTCAGAGACATATAATCATCCTCTTCTTCATCACTCATTATATAAACTGATTTACCAATATTTGGAGATAGAACGAAGAAGTAAGAATAGTCCCGCATTAAGCAATTTTTTTTTCTGCTTGCCTAAAGAACTGCGCGTAAAGAAACCAAAAATGGAAGTTGCTCTGGGTCCAATAAGAGAAATTGCTAATCTTTCCTCCTTAATCTTTGTTTTGATCGTCCTTTCTCCGTCATGTCAAAGCGTCAAAGAGAAGAAGCCTCCATTGCCTCTCTAAAGGCAATCTTGGGCGATCTTCCTGACGATCTTTTGACTAGTTTATTACATCGTGCAAATAACAACGTTGAAACAGCTATCAACCTTTATTTTGCCAATCCAGAACCGCCACAGCAGCTATTGACAACGTCATCGATCAGCCATACTAAAAGCGATCCGAGACAGTTTACCCGGTACTTCATCGGTGATGTAGTTGTTACAGGTAGCTATTGTGGTAAATCGAATTATATTCAACTTGTCACAATTATATTGATAGCTTAATTCAAGCTTGGTCTTTGGTAAAGGGTAATAGTCCAGTAAAAGAAGGTCAGAGAGTTGAAATTGTACGTGATAAAGTGGGTGGAAAAAATGCCCATAGAATTGTTCGCTTTAAAGCTGACGGTAGAGAGATTGGACGGCTTCCTAAAGATACGGCAAACTATATTTCTGTTCTCCTCGATCAACAACTATGTCAATTTGAAGGATCAGTTGTTTGGTCACCATATACTTTATCTATTGGAGAGGATGTGATTCTCCTGATAAAATGTTACCTGCTACCGCTCGCCTTAAATACCACATCATTCATGTCAAATACCATCCCATCATCAAAGAAGAAGAGTATTGTAAAAGGATCTGATGATACTCCAGTTGTCAGAAAGGTTGCTCTGTTACAGATGTTCAAGCAACTTGGATTACGTCCAACTCGATCTGCTATTCAAAGAATGAATGTTGATAGTGGAGGAACGGTTGATCTATTATTACAAACCTTCTTATCAAAGGATGAGAGCAGCAGTAAGGCAAATGAAGAAGATGGACAAGATGAGGAAGGGGAAGAGGAAAGAAAGGAGATTACAGATAAGCAATTGGATACTATTTATAGTAAAGCCCAGATCTTTGACGCACATATCAAACCAATGGATACACCAACGACCATGTCACTTGAGTTAAAGGAATATCAGAAAAGAGTAAGTCATGTTAAAATTACTCTTGTTACGAGCGAGGCTAAACTGATGTGCATGCGAATCTCAGGCATTAGCTTGGATGCACACAAAAGAAATTGGAGATTATGATGAGCGTGAAGCCAATATGAAAGCAATGCATCCTTTATGGGAGGAATATGAACTACCAGGAGAATTTGTAGACGAACACAGATTCTTTTACTTTAATCCTTATAGTGGTAAGATTCAATCCAATTATGTCATTGAACGTTATATTGAAACGGTTACTTTTAGGTGAATTAAGCCTGGAATTTCCTGAATCAAGTACCAGTGAAAGGGGAGGCATATTAGCTGACGGTAATTTATTGAATAAAAGTGATATACCAATAATCTGATAGAAGACTGTTGCTAATATACATCATTATAGAAATGGGTTTAGGAAAAACGATTGAGATATTAAGCCTAATCCATACAAATCGGTTCAAAGAATTTTCTGTTGGATACAACCGTGCAAATAGGTTTAAGTCACCTACTACACTTGTTGTATGCCCAATGTCGTTGATAGCACAATGGCGGGATGAATTATTGAGAGGATCTAAGCGTGATACATTATCTGTGGAATTATATTACGGTGACGATAGAAAGAGCACATTATCACATTTGTGCCAATGGGATGGTGGAGCTCCTGATGTTTTGATAACGACTTATGGTGTTATCTTATCAGAATGGACTAGATCACAGACCCCTATTGCTGGAAAATCCCAGCTATTCACCATCGACTTTTGGCGGGTAGTAATTGATGAAGCTCACCATATAAAGAATCGGGCTGCAAAAATTTCTCAAGCCTGTAGTGAAATCAGATCATGTCGTCGCTGGGCTCTCACAGGCACGCCTATTCAAAACAAACTTGATGACTTGTATTCACTTGTTCGTTATTTACATCATGAACCTTGGGCGAATCACACATTTTGGAAAACGTTTATTACTATTCCTTTCGAAAAACAAGATCCGCGAGCACTCTCGGCTGTTCAGACGGTTTTAGAGCCTATAATTTTGCGAAGAACAAAAGCAATGCGTGATTCAGCTGGTCGGCCGATGGTACCTTTACCTCCTAAAACGATCAATATTGAATATTTGACGTTTTCAAAGGAGGAACAAGACTTTTATGATTCATTTTATGAACATTCTCGTACTCAATTCTCGTATTTTTGTGAAGCAGGAAAGATCGGACAAAACTATGCTTCTATATTCCAACTGTTAACTCGGCTTCGCCAGATTTGCTGCCACCCGTATTTAGTTTTACATAGTAATAAGGAGTTTTTGAAAGAGGGCTCCAGTGACAAATTGACACTACAAGGACTTATAGCTTCAAAAAATGCTGAAAGCCAGAATATCTCATCGTATGAAAGTGGAAGCAGTTATGAAGTAAAAGTATTGCAAAATATGCTAGCTATGCAAGAGTTAGGTTCTTCCTCGACCTCTGTGCAAAATGATGGCTCGCAACCGAGCGCACCTATCAGTGACGAATGTCCCATATGTTTCGAAGTAGTGGATACCATGATTGGTACGCCATGTATGCATTTTGCTTGTAGACCATGCGTAATGGATTACTTTCAGAAACGAGAAAATGAGGGTGCGCAGGGAGAATGCCCAGTTTGCCGCCGACCAATATCACAGGCACAACTATTAGAGTTTACACAACAAAAAACGCCTGAGGCCGAGGAACCGAGTAATAATATCGAAAATCAACAATTTTCTGCTATCTCTTCGTCAACAAATACAAGTGGTACAATCCGGTTTGAAATCCAAAAAGCAGTTGGAGGATTCAAACCGTCATCAAAAATGAATGCTCTCTTCAAACATCTACGGCAATACAATAAAGAAGGGTTGAAAACTGTCGTGTTTTCACAATTCACTACTTTTCTGGACCTCATTGAACAAGGCTTGAAACGTGAATCAATAAACTTCACTAGACTTGATGGAACACAGACACAAGCACAACGTGAAAAAGTGCTTAAAAACTTTTCTATGGCTGAAGACGGGGCTGATGTACTCTTGATCAGTTTAAGAGCAGGTGGAGTAGGGTTAAATTTGACTTGTGCCAGTCGCATCATTATGATGGTAAGTGCCTTTCACCAGGCTTTTAATGCAGGATAAGGTTCTAAGAAACACTCTTCCCCTTTCATTGATAGGATCCATGGTGGAATTTTGCAATTGAATCACAGGCTATAGATCGTGTTCATCGTTTAGGGCAATCTCAAGAAGTGGTTGTTACAAGGTTCATAATGCGAGACAGCGTTGAAGAAAGAATTCTAGCGATACAAGACAGAAAGCACAGTTTGACGAATGAACTTTACGGAGCAAAGGAAAGCAAAAATAGAAAGCTGGAAGAACTGCAATTATTATTTAGCAAAAATTTATAACCCTCTTTACACACCATTAATTTATGTACATAGCATCCTCATTATCAACTATCATCTACATATAACTGTTTTGATATTCTATTCTTTTTATCCAAACGTCTCTAGGTATATCTCTAGATGTAAATCTCATAGCACTATTTATTTATTTTAATAATAATATTACAGGAAGTTTAAGCCTATACCAAATTGCAAGCCTCTCTTGACTTGATCATTTTTGGCAGCCGTTAAAGGTATACAATAGTTCAATTCCATTCGAGCAATGCTATGACGATATATCATACCGAAACCTATAGCAATACTAGGAGATTTTATCAGACGTTCCATGGTAGATTGGGAAGCTGTTCCTGATTTTTGAGGTATATTTGTGCCTGCATTGACGAAAAGATGTGCCCTAATGGGTTTAGTTTCTAATGTTGGTAATGGTGCTATTGCACTAATGCCAGTTGCCCAATACATATGACCGCCTAAAGCATCCTTATAATCACGAGGGCCAACACCAGCATTTCGAAACCCACGGATAGATAAGGGGCCGCCAAGTAAGAATCGATCAGATACGGTCGAAGCTTTTGGGTTGTCGCTGAGATCACCTAACCAGCCTGCTCTGAAAGTTGTACTAAGGACAAACCCTGGGTGTGTACCTAATACGTTGCTTTCGGTTTTATCCATCAAAAGTTGTCCACCTCCGAGCTGTTTGCAGAACTGTGATTCCAATTCCGTTTTGAAGAAGTGGGCATTTCCGATCCCGAAAAGGCCTGAAATCTCTTGCGCAAGGCGAATATAATGACCGTTTGCGGGTAACAGCATGTCATCACGACGTTCACGGATGAACGTATGGCTAATTGATGATTTCAATGAATCACCTACTTCCTTTCGAATACTATTGCAAAATTAGCAATCTTCCTTTTTCGAACCAAAAATTCAGATTTAACGAACCTGAGTGAGGCATTGGGAGACACTTTGTCAATAGTACGCCATGTTAGATCATAGCCCAACTCATGATAGCCATACTTTGAGACTGATTTATATTTCATTCCTACTCCTCTTGCCAACTCTTCGTATGATGACGTCAATGTATTGTTACAAAGTACTCTGTGGGCATTTATATCAACTTTGGCATCTGGAGAAGCATTGGTCGGCTTAGAAAGTGAGAATTGGAAGGCTGAACTATTTCTTGTGCCAAAAGCTGCAACTGCTTCCAGTAATTCGGCACCGCCGAAAACGTTACGTACTGTGATAGAGCCATTCTAAGGCAAACAAATTGAACCTTGTTGAAGATTTTGCACATTTATATTGAAAACAAATATCATAACACTCACCATATTTCCTTCATTATTGCCTATTTCTGTACCTGTCCTCAAAAATACACGGCTTTTTTCTTTCACTTGGTACACCACATTAATTGAGTCTGGCAAAGCTAGTGGATCACTGTCTGATGCCTTATCTAATAAAACCTGAACGTGATCAAAAATATCGAGCCGCTGCAATTCTTCAGCAATATTTTGCGCATTGTTAATTACATCGGCGTAAGTTGTTGAACTTAATACTGCCTTTGTTGCTTTTTGCAAAAACTGAGGTCGAGTTATTTTGGTTCCAAGAACCGAAACTGAATTAACATGCGTTTTTGAGCCAGCAGTTTCTTGCAACTATAGATTGATGGTTAATGGTACGTTGTCTAAGTCTGCAATCAAGGACATATTACCAAGTTCATTAAACGCCGGGCAGCTTCTTGTTGGAATTGTTGCTGATTTTGATCTTCATACCCTGCTGATCCCTAAACATTTGGCAATTGCTTCAGCAAATGCATCTCAAAACCATGTATGCTTCACTGCTAAGAATATACCTTTGGTTCTTCCATTGTCGAGGGTTCAGTTAGAACTAACAAATAATCTCACCTGTGATAGTCGTGGAAGCTGGTTCAGGGTTCGATTGCAACATACCCCGCGGACCGTGACAGTCACTTGGTGTAAATAAACTCCAGTTTATGCAGCAATTTTATAAAAGTTTGGTGCCTGAGATTTGGCCATATTTTACCTTCATTAAGAAGCTATCACAGGCTCTAGGGGCCTGCTGATTAGCAAATAGAATTATACTCCATAGAGCAAGCTGTGACCTCATGGCTACTTTGGCTTTATATCTGAATAAAACGCTTTTTTTCTTACTTATCCTTCTTACACACATGTGTGTTAATTGACCTCGCATTCGTAGGTTTGAGCCGTCAAGTATATAATATCAATATAAGAAATGTATTATTTTGCCAAACTAGCTTTACCTAGAAGGAAAACTATAACCTAGAGCACTTGATAACAGATTCAGTTGTAATTCATCAATCTTCAATAAAAGCGGTATAATTCTATTTGTGGATTTGCATACCTCTTATCGTATATGAATAAGAATTAGGCGCATTCTTAACAAAAAAGTATGCCATTATAATGAAAAATTATAATAGTACTTGTATACAACAATCAACCTTCAGAATCTACTTTTAACCCTTCATCTAGCGCCTTTTTAAGGATTAGCATAATAGTTCTGTCGCGATACATTTTAAAGCATATCAGATCCATACTTTGCTTATATATAGAGACTCTTTATGTTCCCCATCAAAAGGTCAATTCCCTTTGAATAAAGAAAAGAAGGTCTTGATCGTACTCTACTGGTTTTTATTTCAAAAAAATTTAAGTTTTATTTAACACGTAACTGTAACCCGTACCGTACCCGTACCCTTACCCGTACCCCCAAAAACCTGAACGAACAAGAAGACTCATTTATACTTCGTCTTAATCATTATTTGTAACATTTCTTATTCGTACCTATAAACCAAACCTTTATGAAACGAAATATCATACTTTACAGCTTCAGTTCGATATCTGCTTTGAAAAGAAAAAATGAAATGGCAAGTGAGTGCTTCTTATGCCGTCAATCCTCCCATAATAAAAGGTATCTTACCGTTACACCTGCTACAAGCATTCCACTTCCGTTGTCGTTGTATATATGGAATGATTGGTTATACGATGATCAACTTAAAAGAAATGATCTATCCGTGATATAGCATTGGTATTCATGAATTATATTTTATACATATGAGAATGTAGCTCAAACATATCCCATTATGAATAGTATGTTTATACTAAGAATGAATTATTTTTCTCAGCATTATGAACCGTTATCATTTGGGCATTGGGAATGGGCTATAGTGTTCCATTTATACCATTAATTAAACTGATTGTCAACCGCATATATTCCAATTCCACAATAGATCAGGGAATGCGTATCCATACTCAACATTAAAGAGGACGCACGGCTTCCATTGAGTCGATCGACAGCATCTATCAGTAAGTGCAAACCCTTTATTAAGTCCCGAAGCATCGCTATTCAAGTAGAAAGTTTCTTCATCTTTTTAAGCGTTTCTCCTTTTGTCCTTTTCATTTAATTTTTTTATTAAAGAGTATCACAGATACTCACAGGCCTTTGTAGTTGTCTTTTTATCCTAATTTTACCAACATTAACAGTTGTGGCCTAGCGTCGAGCGTACTAAGTTGCGCTAACAGTTGGAACCGGGAAGTAAATATCTTTCTATATGTATCAATTTGATCACATGTTCATGAAGCAATGATGTATTCATCGACACAAAAACCATCCTTGAATGATAGAACAGCATAAATCTTTTTAGATTCTCTACAAGCCTTTTCAAAAGAAAGCATAGGCAGCTCAAAGTAGAATCATATGGAGAGAAAATATGAAGCTTTTCAAGCAGTACGTCATTTTCAACAAAATGGAAAATCGTGAAGGATTAGCTCTCAACCATAAGTTTCATAGTAAGTTCGAGGGACAGAATCATCAAATCTTTTATATTAGGAAGGATAAAGAATACTTGTAGAGATTTATATATCCATATAGTTGCTTATCACTGTGCAAAAGTTTTTGAAGCTACGAATAGACGTTGTATTCAACATATTCTTTCGTGCTTTGTATACTTTTTCTGAGTAAATGTATAAAAAGCGAAATTTAACGTCTGCTAAAAACGGCAATTGACAGCTGCAATGCAAGTTTAAAGGTTAATGGACGGACGTTTCTTCCAAATAAGTTGTTTATGGCATCCACGTCAATTCGCATGAATCGGCCAAACTGTTCCGTCTCCGCATTATCGTTGAACCAAAATTTGGTATCTAAAATGATGCGAGCAGCAACCCCTCCTTCCCCCGTTCCTGTGTTTTGAAGATTCGTTTTCTCCCCCCATTACTTCTACGAATTTCTTACACGCGAACAATGATGTTACGGACACGACTATTACGATTCGCCTCCATACCGGGTATATAGATGCATGCTTGTAACTAATTCTCCGATTACTTTGATTACTAAAGGTATTACGATATAGCTCGTAGAGGAATCAGCGCAATCACATATAATAGTTTGACCAAATCTGTTACCCCGATGAGCAAGCGTTCGTTCACAAATAAAGTACCGGAAACACATATACGGTCATTTGGGCAGCCAACATATCTGACTCACCCAAATATAATGAAAAAAGGAGAAGGTATGCTGACACGTTTGCTTATTCAGCGAATTTCTACTGTAATACTAAAATGGATATTCTTCCCATAGTAACACCTGGATTCGCGAAAGAAGAGTTTGAAAGGAGACGCTCTAACCTGATGAAAAGCCTACCGGATGGCAGTGTGATTGTCAGCTTAGGATACAGTATGCGTTACATGACAAACAATATATTCTATCCATTTCACCAAAATACCGATTTCTGGTATTTGTGCGGATTCAATGAACCAGATGCAGCAATGATTTTGGGTACAGACTAAAAGTCGAGGTACAATATGTAGCATTAAACTCACATTTTTGCCACATATGCTTCAACTCTTTTAGAAAAGAATGGCTCAGAGCGCGGATACAAACAAACCATGTTTGTATTACCAAAAAACCCTAGTGCAGAATTATGGGATGGACCAAGAACAGGCATTGATGGTGTGAAAGAATTGTTTGGTGCTGATGAAGCATATGAAAACACTAGGTTTCAGTCATATTTCAAAAAGGTTTTAAAGAATGTAAAGCATATATTCATGGATGATCCAAGCTCAATGCCAACCTTGATCAAAAGCAGTGAAACCAAGGCATTAATCGAAACTGGTAAGTTGACTACTGACTAAGCTTTATGGCGTATTAAACCCTAATGATTCGGAGAGAGGTCTGTGACAACACGGGCATCATTTACTATTAATAGTCTTTCATTGAAAGGGAGGAGAGGGGAGGGGTAGTAAAAACATCAACGAGGCAAAATATGGTCGGTTTTATTGTTACTTATTAAATCATATTTTGCCTTTTTATGTTGGAATATAGGGCTGAAGCTGCAGACAATTTTACCTTTGAGCAAGATCATCCAAGAATTACGTATGGTAAAGAGTGATGACGAAGTAGAAATTATGAAGAAATCTGGGATGATCAGTTCAAAAGCATTCATCGAGGCTATGAAATGGACAAGCCCTGGCAAAACTGAATCACAACTCTGGGCTAAATTCGACTACGAGAACCGTTTACATGGAGCTTCCATATTAGCCTATGTTCCAGTCGTTGCAGGTGGCCCAAACGCCTTATCTATGCATTACGTTAGAAATGATATGGAGTTAAAGTAGGTTGAAAGAAATCTCTCAATCTAAATGGACATATTGATAGTATCAGTAATCTGATATGTACTACCATAATAGGGACGGTGACCTTGTCTTAGTAGACTGTGGTGGTGAATATAACGGATATGCTAGTGATATCACTCGTACATGGCCAGTTAATGGGAAGTTTACTGAACCTCAAAAAGAGCTATATCAAGCGGTGCTTAATGTCAATAAAGCCTGTATTAAGCTTTGCACTGAGAGAAATAATATTTCTCTGCATGGTATACACGCCCAATCTGTCAAATTATTGAAACATGAACTCCAAGCGATAGGTTTCGAAGTGTCAGCTTGGGTAATATCACAAAAAATTATTTCAAAACTGATAAGAGTCTCACACATTTTCCATCTGTATCATGTTTATCACTGGGTAGGATTTGGAACGTATCCTTTATCCTCATCACGTTGGGCATTACTTAGGGCTTGACGTGCATGATCTGCATGATCTTGACAGATCCCGCAAGCTAAAGAAAAATATGGTGATTACGATTGAGCCAGGCATTTATGTTCCTTTTGATAACAAATTCCCGGAGAAATATCAAGGTATCGGCATCCGTATTGAAGACAATGTGGTTATCGGTAAAGACGAGCCCTATGTCTTAACATCCACCTCACCAAAAGAAATTGTAGACATTGAATTCTGCTGTAGTAATAACAACTAACATTCTTTTCTCGTTTTCAAATTTTGGACATTTTTATTTTTGAGCACATCATAATTTATCTGAATACATGTTGAACTTGACTGTTAGAATATTAACTTAGCCCTATAGTTTTTGCAGACAGAAAGATCAATTAATTAGTTCTCTTTCTTTAATAAAGTGACCACAAAATGTACAATAGTTCTAATGTAATTAAGGCTTTACCTCGATCTTCTCAAAAGAGTTTGCTTTATGCTTGGGAATGAAGTTGAAATCCTCAGGTGCTGGGCCCAATAGCATTTCACTGATTTTTACCCAATCCGACGCTAAAGGGCTTGCCATTAACGTTTCCAGATCATTTCTTCCTTCGTAAGGGGGAGGTCTTTCATTCATACGTTGAGGGGGTCTTTCTAAAATTCCAACGGGTATATATCTATATAGGAAAGATTGCCATTCACAAAGGAATCGACGCGTCGTATTGACGCCCTGACTATCACTACCCCAATGTTCTAAACCATAATCACAGAAACGCTTTAACATATCAAAACGTTCATTTGCTGAAATATCCCAATTGCGCTGTGACTTGATCTCTTCAAAAAGCCAGGGCTTGATAAGCGCACCTCTACCAATCATCACACCGTCAACCCCGCTGATTTCTCTAAAATTATTGTAGTCCTCAAAGCTCATGATATCGCCATTGCCATAAAGAGGCATCGTTTTGGTCAAACCTTTCATTAAACCAATATATTCCCAATCAGCTTTCTTGGTATATCTTTGGGTACGGGAGCGACCATGAATCTTCAGTTTGAAACGAACATGTATTAATTCAAAAAGGCGCGCAATTAAGAGCAACAGCATTCGTTTTACTTACGGTTCCCAAGGCAATGCCTAGTTCATCAATACGTGGCACCAAACGATCAGCGATAGGGTAGTTGTTGTGGATACCCATTCTAAATTTACAAGTGATAGGAATATTCGTAACCGTTTGCATACCCTTTAAAATCTTCAAAGCACGTCCTCTAGCATCTAATAAAGCTGAGCCGCCACCCTAAAAAAATTTCAATTTATCCATAAGTAAACAGATTGATTCCTTCGGTAACCAGCTTCATCATCAATTATACCTGCTTATAGACAAGATCAATAGGACAACCCATATTGAGATCAATAAAATCGACGTCTACTTCATTATTTAGAGCTTCACAAGCTTTAGTAACGGTTTCGACCTTAGAACCACAAATCTGAACACCAAATATATCTTCAGATTTATGACGCTTCGTCAAGGCCCATTCAGATTGTTGTCCTCTCAATAAATTTGGCACCAACGCCATCTCACCGCAAGTAATGTCGACCCCATACTCCTTACAGATTCTACGGAAAGGTAAATTACCAACTGTCGTTAATGGTGCAAGATATGTTTTGTTTCTAAAGTCAATGATCTATCACATAACAAAGTTAGAGTCAAAACTAGCATATATACACCTTCTCAGAGATGGGTTACCTTTTTATATTTAAGGTCGATAGGACCAATTGCCTTCTCTTCCGTCACTGTTGGAGTTGAAGTTGCTGTTTCAATGGTCACATTTGTGAACTCTTGAGAGGCATCAAAGAAATCGTCATCATTGTCACTATCAGTGTTCTGTTGGCTTTTAATTTTCTTATTCGTTTCGGATATTTCTGATGAGGAGTTGTCCGAAATGGCTTTCCTTTTCAAAGCATTCCCATCTTTAACACGTTGTTCCTCTTCAATTTCTTTCTGAACTTGTATCATGTATGCCTCTGTCTTGGGAAATTCGTACTATAAAAACAAGAATGATACTCAAAGCCTATTAGTATACTCAAAATAACAATTTGACGGTAAGACGCCATTATTACCTTATTTTTCAACAACTTCTTTTGGGATTCAGCACTGATACCATTAAACGTATAAACAGGTTTTTCGCTATACTTCTTCTCATCAATTATCAATTTGTTATTCTCGTCCAAATGTGCTTTAAGAAAACGACATTTGTAGCCGTAAGGACATCTAAAAGTAATGTTAATATCTCAATGTTTCTCTGATAGCATATAGAGTTGGATAGCTTACTTTCCAAAGAGTTCGAACTGAATACACTTGTCTCCGAGATCCTCGGGTTTGGTTTTGAGATAGCCTTCCAAATCATGAGAATATCTACAACTATTGTTGATAGATGGTCAGTGCCATGTCGTTATTATTCTCAACGGAAATGATTCCTTACTCATCACCGAATTTGCATTCTTCTCCAAGCGAAGTATTTTTACAAAGCTAGGAGATTATCGTCAGTTATAGTTGATTGTAATCGAATCAAGTCTTATCTTGAGCTAACTTACTTTTACTGTATCTTCAATACGTTTCTTTCCTCTTTGACCCTTGTTAGCACCTCTTGCATACTGAAACAGATGTAAATGCTGGTGAGTAAATTCTTCCATCCAAGAAAAACAAACTTAACTCTAATGGTCTAACCTTGGTCTTCTTTTTTTTTCCATCTTCTGTTTCGGCATGTTCAGCTTCATCATCATTAGGAACAACTTCTATGGCTTGCTCTGCCGTTTCTTCATTAAACCAACGTTCTTTTCGGTACCTTGATAGGTAGAAACGAAATGCATTGTATTAGTGAGAGCGTTATGATATGTTATGATTAGTATAATAATTATAATTGTGGCTTACTTAGATTTGATAAGAGCTTCACCAGGTTTTGCTTCAACAACGTCAGACATTTTATTGCGTTTCCGTAATGGATATAAAGAGATACAATAGGAATACACTTGGGGACAAGAAGTTTGATGTTACTTTTTTTTTTTTTTCTGTCAAATTAATCTAATTGTGACTCTTATGTGACCTTTTTGCACTCAGCTCAGATCAAGGAACATTATGTAATCATTGGTAAACTGGAGGCAGGACCCAAGTCCTCGGATAAAAAGGCAAGCTTAGAGAAGATCGACGAAAACGCTTTGAAGTAGTTGATCTATTTCAATCAAAGCAAGCCATTTTACATTCTTTCTTCTATACAAATGCCATAGAATTGACGAAGCAATAAAATCACTAGGCGCATTTTCCTAAATAAGTATGATTTATGTCGCTGTTGAAAAGGAGCATTGAAAGGTTTGTAAAGGAGGGAAGGAAATAAATGAGGAACGAAAATGGTTAAATAAAAATATTAAAAGAGAGGAACAACATATCTGGTATACAAATGAGAATATAAAGTAACAAGAGGCTCATAATAGTCAATGTGTACAAAAGCTTCGATACCTTACACCAAAGCCAATTCTAATGTCCAGGTTCTCCGAGCCCATAGACGGATTTTGTGGCCCTCCAGCTCGACAGTGTTGCCATCCCACCAGCATTTTCTCTGTGTAAATATAATTTTCAGTGTTAAGGATTCAAAATAACAGCTGTCATAATAAAAGTAAATAACTTACAGCAGGCTTTCTCCAGAATAAAAATAGTTTTTGAGCTGTGGCCATATGGTTATCTGGGCCAACTGTTTTCAGTAAAACAAGTGCCATGCTACTAATAATTGTGCGTAAAGGCTCAATTTCACGATATCCCCAACGATCATCTCGATGAAACCCAGCATCGCATAGCATATCAATAAGGTGCTGTTCAGCTACATTATTCTCCCTGGATATATTGCGTTGTAGAGCCTCAAAAATATGGTCTCGTTTTTTCAGATACTGACCAGAGGACAATTTTAAATGCTTTACTGATTGGTTCTTTTCTGTAGGAAGGCAGAAGTACTCGAGTTCTTCTCGTAAAACAATGATTGGCTGTTTTGTCAACAGTGTATAATAAACAGGCGAAGTTGCAGCAGATGAGTTATTCAACATTTGTTGGATTTCAGTATCTTGCTGGTTCCTATCTCGCACTTCTGCAGCATGGCTATAAAATTTTAGGACATACTCCAAACAAGCTGGGTCAAAGTCAACAAAGTTAACTTGCTCATCGACACCAATGGAATGGCGCGAAATGTTATCGTAGTCTTCGTCAAAGTCGTCATATTCTTCCGATGCTGGTCTAGGTAATATTAGACCGTTAGGGAACATAGCAATGAGTAGACTTTCGGGTAAGTTGATTAAGGTATCTCTATCAAGGTCAATGCGAGTTCCTCTAAGGTCAAGCTTCAGTTTTTGAGGAATGGCTTCTTGACCTTCGAAATCGTCAATTTCATCCGGCAAAGGTTGTGGTTGCTGCTGATAGATAAGGTTATCAGCACTGTTCGTATTGTCATTGGGATCTGGTACTGAAGCAATTGGTGAATTTGAAGACATGCGAATATAAATTGAAAAGATATATCTGTGGAGACTATGTATTGTTAAAGGCAAACAAAGAAAAATTGCAGAAAAAAAAAAAAAAAAGTTCAAAATTTGGTTGTGGAGGACAAATTTGGGATAAGTGAAATGTTGAAATTGGCTGTGTAGCAGTTGGAGTGACATTAGAAAACTAACTTACTGCTTAACATCAAATTGAAATGAAAAAAATGATGGCTTTTCTAGCGTTGGGAAGTGAACGATAATACTTTAGAAAAAAGTAACATCTCAAATTGCGAAGGTTTTTTTTTGTGAAAAGTGTGTATGTAACATAAGGAAATTTTGAAAGGGTAAATATGTCTAATCTATAAAATGTAATGATGCAGCTTGTTAATTTACTATTAATGTTATGTCTATAAAAGTTTAACGTTTCTTGCTGTGTTTGAGCCAGGTATATGGTTTCCTATCCATTTCTTCATCGTCATAGCTGGGTTATTAAGAGCATTACTGTTGGGCAAATGACTTTTCTCGTTCAACAATATCTCTTCTGCATCTTGTCCTTTATTTGACGTAGGAAGAACATCAATTGATCTTTCGCAAGCTTTACTTTCTCCTTGGTCGACCTCACGTTTTGCAGATTGATACATCCATAAGCCGACAAATGTCAAAATGATGCCCAAGCTTTGAATTAAGCTGACCTGCTGACCGAACCAAATAATACTCATAACGATAACAAAGATACGCTTGACGAGTGAAGCAATCGAGTAAGTGACAGGTGATGACATCGATAGTGTTGTGAATGCAAACCAATTCTGTGCGAAATGCGTTGTACCATTCAATAAAAAATAATACAATAATTTTGTCCTACTGATATCTCTATTGGCTTGGTTGAATAGAATATGAAATCCGTCATAGTAAAACCACATTGGTGTCATCAAAACGAAGGCAATAAATGCTGAATAGAACATCATATTCATCTTGTCCAGTTTATTTGGATTGCTGCTTCCCTTCTTGGATTCTTTGAACAGCAATTTTTTGCTAAAAATATTTTGTAGGACAAATATTAGGCAGGACGCCAGAGCACATAGTAAGCCAATCAAATTGTTGGAAAATGTGAACGAGCAAGCGAGGATAACACCGGTTGTCAGAGGGATCAATGCGGTATAAACTTTTGAAGAATAATGTACTTTGAATATAAATCGATAGAATAACACTGTAAATAAGGGCGCTAAGGCCTAAACATATAAAGGAAATCCACGTCAATGGCCGCTTCACTCATTAACTTTTGCTAATATGTGGGATTTACCTTAATTGTATGCACTAAACTGACAGGTATTCTACTGATTGAGATACTGGAAAACACATGGCCAACGATCATGAAAATAGATAATGGTATAATGGTCTGTATAATCACTTTTGTCGGTTTTCTAATATTTTTCATGTTTACTGCTTTTTCTGCTATGGCACTCCAGCACGCCACAAAAATAAACTGTACATATGTCAAAGTAACGGGATATCTGAAATGGTTCATGATTTGCTTGCCAGTGTTGCTCGATAGAGATGAAGAAAGGTACCAACAAAAACAACATAGTAGAAATTTGGTATTATCTGACAAAGACAATGAATGACTTGGGCCATTCTTGCTCATCGAGCCTCTTCCAGATGAGGGAAAGCTGTTGTTGTTGTACTGCCGAAAGCTATTCTTCGTAGAAGTGATATTATTGAAGAATTTCCGTTGCGGCGGCTCTGTAAGCTGTGGTGCAATAAGTGAAGGCATTCACGTTGAGGATAATGAACAGAGGTCTTCGTGGTAATATCAATGAGAAAGAAGGCAAAGGGGAATGTTTAACCCAAAATATTTTTCGCTTTCTATTTTTCTGGTTGTTTCGATTTTTTGTTTAAATTCTTCGATTGCCAAAATCGGTCAAATATGAGCCAATTAACTTCACGCTTTGCGTCGGTTTCAAAAATCAGTTGGCTGTCAAACGTTTCAATAGAATTTGTTATAGCTTAAAACATGGATCTTCAAAGGTATAATACACATTAAAAAGTGAGCTTCTGAAATATATTTTTTCCATGCAAAAGAAATGTACAAAGTTTATTTATGACAAAACAAAAATATTACTTTTTTTTTTTAACGATGAGAATGCACATGAAGATCTAAAGAAATCAATATGAAAAGAGACTATACACTACGTTGAGAGATTAAAGGGACAATTTATAATATAAATATCAACATATCTAAGCCAACAAAGACTTGCCGGTCATTTCCTTGGGGATATCGAGACCCATGTATTGGAGGACAGTAGGAGCAACATCACAGAGAGCACCTTCGGCACCATCCTTGAACTTAGCATCATTGGCGTTAGCCATGATGAAGGGAACCTTAGCACAAGTGTGAGCAGTGAAAGGAGACTTGCCATCGTCAGCAATCATCTTTTCGGCATTACCGTGATCGGCTGTGATGAAAAGAGCGTAACCGTTCTTCTTACAGGCTTCGAGAACAACACCGATAGCCTTATCAGTAGCATGGACACCAACCTTAGCGGCTTCGTAGACACCAGTGTGACCAACCATATCAGGGGGGGCGAAGTTACACATGACAAGAGGATACTTACCAGAATCAATGGCCTTGGCGACTTCATCAGCAACACCAGCAGCGGACATTTCAGGTTGAAGATCATAAGTAGCAACCTTGGGAGAGGGAACCAAACCACGTTCTTCGCCAGGGAATTGAGCTTCAGAACCACCGTTGAAGAAGAAAGTAACATGAGCGTACTTTTCAGTTTCAGCAATATGCATTTGAGGAACATCGTTCTTGGACAACCATTCAGCAAGGACGTTATCCATAGTTTGAGCAGGGAAAGCGACCTTGAAGGGGAAATCGCCCTTGTATTGAGTCATGGTGAAGACTTCAATGTTCTTAGGGACAGGGGAATCGAAGGGACAAGGAGCAATACCAAGGGCTTGAGACATTTCACGCATACGGTCAGAACGGAAGTTGAAACAGAAGATGGTATCGTTCTCCTTGATTTGACCTTCTTCGTTGATGATGATAGGCTTCAAGAATTCATCAGTCTCACCTTGTTCATAACGAGCTTCAATGGCCTTGACAGGGTCTTCAACCTTTTCGCCCTTAGCTTGGGTCATACCGTCGAAAGCAATTTGGACACGTTCCCAACGCTTATCACGGTCCATAGCATAGTAACGACCGCAAATATCAGCAATCTTACCGTAACCAAGTTGCTTGAGAGCATCAACAAGTTGTTGCATATACTTGGCAGCGGACTTAGGAGCGGTATCACGACCATCACCGAAGAAGTGAATGTAGGATTCGGGGACACCAGCTTCCTTGGCGGCAGTCAAGAGAGCAACAAGATGATCAATATGACCGTGAACACCACCGTCGGAAACGAGACCCATGAAGTGAAGACGGCCATTGCCATTCTTGGCACGTTCAAAAGCACCCTTGATGTTTTCGACTTGACCGAATTCCTTGTTCTTCATAGCAAGATCGATACGGACAATATCCTATCATTAAGCGTAACCGCACACACACACACACGCACACACACAATATAAGCAAAATAGAAGGGCAGATTATTAATATATTGCAATTTGATCACTAAATCACAGTCACTTTTACTGGTTTTTTTTTTCAAAAAAAAAAAAATTCAATGCACTTACTTGATAGACAACACGACCGGCACCAATGTTAAGATGACCAACTTCAGAGTTACCCATCAAACCATCAGGAAGACCGACGGAAAGACCGTGAGCAGCAATGGGAACGAAAGGAACTTCCTTTTCGAGCTTATCCATAACAGGAGTTTCAGCGTTGTAGATGGCATCGCCAAGGTGATCTTCTCTTTCGCCAATACCCCAACCATCAATACAGATGAGACAGGCCTTGTTCTGGGCAGCTTGCTTGGTCTTGGGCATTTCACCTCCTCCGGGCATTTTGATAATACTTTATTAAGGAAATAAGTTAAGGAAAAAGAAAAGAAAAAAAGAAGAAAAAAAAAGTAAAGGTCGCTCTTGGTTAAGTAATTTTATGATACACGTGTCACAAACAGTGACGCAAACTTTTAGGGTGAACCTTTCCGCAGAAGGTCGATATAAGGATATTGTTTCATTTTTTTGAAAAAAAAAACCCCATTAATCTTCCGAAAATAAACAGTAGTAGAGACTCCCATTGCTTCTAGGTTCTAGAAAGTAAATTCTAGAAAGTAGGATTTAGGTTCTTTACAGAATCTATTCAATCTTATCATTAATAGAGATCATACGCGTCTTATTGTTTAGCAAACATGATGTGCAAAGTCTTCCAACATTCTTTGCATTTTCATCTTATGAAGCGGGATAGGAATCTCATTGGAAGGACCTTTGGTTTTTGAAACATGATTAAAAATGGTTTTTCAGATGAAAAAGTTTTTTTTTTTTTTGTTTTTTTTTTGGCACAGCATTTTAAATTCTAGGATTAATGCAGTTGAATGTTACCTAATCAAAACGTTTCACAAATACTGTTTAGTTGCTAAGGAATACGTATGCGTCAGTGCACGCTACCAGTATTTGGTTTTGTTTAGTCTTGTCAGATAATTGACATATGTAACTCAAATATAAGCAATATGTATGCGTTGTTTAAGCTTCTGCTGTGATTTCTGTTTGTGATCGATACGATTAAGTTTGATAAAAAAAATTGAGCTGGGAATAAATCCTAATACTCATTTTCCCTGCTTTGATTCGGATTCTCGTAACATTTTTTTCGGACTAATAAATATCATAGCTTGAGAGTGATCCACTGTTATAATTAGACGTACTCCAACAAAAATTTGGACAGAATTTTTGAATCTAAAATACCTTTTTTATCTGCATACATCATTTAATCAGCACGTACCATATATATGCCTATAACGTTGCCTTTATTTGATCGGTATATATTCATTTAAACTCCAATACATCAGGAGCAGTACAGTTTCCTGTTGTTGTATTGGAACGAAGCCGTAACGTGCATCACTAAAATGATTGTTCTCCAAATCATTGTACGTTTTTCTTCACACATTAAGATTTGAGTTCAAAAATAAAGTTAGCTCCATGTTTAATTGATGAAAGCAAACTAAAAACGAAAACACAGTCTTCCAATGTAACTAATATTGTAGTATATTGGCTCAATTATTTGGACAATTCAGTAAGAGAAGATAATTTTTGCCTGCACCTGTCATTTTTGGTCATGTCAATCAGTTTCTTATGCTATGAAGACAATGGAGAATATTCATGCAAGATGTTTCTTTCCTGCTTAGTGCTATACTTTGAATCTGATTCTGTAAATCTTTATCCCAACGTCTATCAAGACTTTATATAAACCTTCACGAGGTATTCATCCATTACCACCGCATATCCGCTTGCCAAAATTTCGGTATGCTTTTCATGACATAAATTTAATTTTAACTAAAAATACGAAACTGTCGAACATACTGTTATCATGGATAAATTTGTCCAGTTCTTGCAGCCTACAATGACTCGTTTTGTCCTTACATTGGCTTATAGAGCGCGGTTCATTCAAATAAATTGTGGTTGTTTACAGATAAATCCTTCCGAAAAATAGAGTATCTTTCCAAAAAATAAATAATTTGTCTCACTTTTTTAATATTTTTGTCTGAAAAGCTCTGCTCATCTGATCTATATTAGGACCGAAGGTTTTTGAATGTTTATTTCGGCTGGACACATTGATTGCCATATTGATGAATTAATCCAGCTTCGTCTTCTTTACTACTCGCTTTTATTCTAGTGTCGCTACTATTGTAAAGCTTACGTTTGACAGAGCCATCAAAAGGATTGAATGAATCAGTATGCCTAAATGCATTTTTATTCAGGCATGAAGTTTTCGTTGCAAATTTTTAGATGATATACCAAACAATCGTGAACTTCATTTATGTTTCCTTAGATTTAGAAAGCAATTGATAGTTAGATCTTTGATGTTAGCATAGTAATTGTATTAGATGGTATGAGCGGAATGTCTTCAATGTGCGGATCGAAATAGTATGGCCAGTGTATCAATGGAAGGTGTGTTGAGACGCCTTGCAACACGAAATTTGTTACGTTGTGTACACTTTTGAGTATAATCATGGTTACATTAGCATGCTCCGTCGATTTAACGAGATAACAGACGCCATTATTCGGATGTACCAACGAATATTATGAAGTCTTGCATGAATATACCAAACTTTTTACAGTAGCCATTTTCATCCAGCTTTTTTGTAATTTTCGAAAGATGCTAATGAAGGCTAAATTGCACATTCTACCCAATGCTAGTGAAGCCTAACAACTGATACTAAGATCAGTGCCGGAATTGCATAATAGCTGTTGCTTTTTTTTTTTTTTTTTTTTTTGTGTGTGTGTGTCCAAATTCTATGCAGTTGTTACACCTGCATTGCCTTTTTACAATTTGCGAATTTGGAACGAATCTCGGTTTATACTTCTCATCTCTTATACCTGTACTTGATAAATTCCTGAACTTATACAAACGAAAAAAAGTAAATTATTTTATTATGCGCATTGACCAAGCGTTAGATTATATTCAGAACTCTCATAGCATATTCGAGATAATGGATCGGATAGATACCAAGAGCTTTTACTAAAAAGTATGTGTATAAACCTGTAGTTTCATTATTCTTGGGTATTCATAACAACGTAATAATATTATACTAATTTTTTTTTCCTTTTTCCATATTTGCGAATGCTTACCCTAAGACTGTTGGCGTTTTGCAGTTCCAATTACACCTCTGTTTTCCTTTTGAAAAACAAAATTCTCAACCCAATGCCTTATCCATTTCAGCTCTATTTCCTTTGTCAGAGCTTATTTCTTGTTACTAGCCTTCGTCATCCTCTGACCTAAGTTCATCAGTTATCTTTTTTGTTTCTTGTTTCATCTAAACGAAATGTGATGCATTCCAAAATATTGCTTTTTGAGGTATTCTCTTCCTTCAAAAGGTCAGGATTTTCGTATATTGCGCACAATAAGCATAATTCAATTGTTTTAGTTCGTTTACTTATTGAGTTTCTTGATTGAAAATCTCTGTATATACACCAAAAGAAACGTGATGTAAAATTATAAATGTCAAGTGAGTACTTCTTGGAGCTAGATGCAGTGAAATGGCTTGGCTTGTGTAAAATAGTGCGAGAGCAGCAAATGGATCTTATTAGAGTCCTGGGTAACATAATTTTTGAATATCACTGCGCTGGCACGTTTTCAACAGTTTGGCCTACTTTACTAAGCCGGGTTCAACTACTTTTAAGGGCCGTTAATTGTTAACGTCGTCTAAGTCTTCTACAGTGTGTGAGTTTTCTTTTTGAAATAGACAGAAGTAACTGAAATTGTAAAACGCCAATAGATAGGCTTAACATTCCATTTGGAAATTTTGCAGTATACCAATTGAATCAACAAAACGCGATACCATCATAGAAAATCAGAAACAGCCAATCAAGGACATAAGCACTGCAAGCAATTTCCAACTATGTTCCTAATTACAGTTAAGCATCTATTTTATTGAAACAATTGTGACCTGAGAGTACGTAACGTCTTCAATACATTGGGCTCTGGCCAGTTCAAACAACTGCAAATGTTAGCTTTTTCACTTATAAAGTACCTCTACGACTGGGAGCATAACAGCTCGTATACTCCTTCTTTTACATGTTTTCCTCTTAAGAGCCCCTCGAGCGTAAAGCTCTGCAATTGCAGACTCCGTTGAGCAAACAAAAACAGATAACATTTACATCATTCCAATATATCAGACAGTAGCAGAGTAATAGATTGTTGTCAAAAAAATGTTGTCAGCAATACGACTCCCACTTTTTCTGTACCTTTATCCTTCTTTCTTATCAGTTGCTTTAGATTCATATACTCTTTAGCAGAAATTAATGACACGGCCTAAGCCTTATTACGAAGCTTAATCTCTAATCAATGAAAAGAAGATCGACAAGTATGTACCCCTAACATTGCTTACGGTATACTGTAATCACAGTATGCACTACTGTAATAGTATATTCTCACTTCTCTAGGCATAATGCCTAATACGTGCAAAAGCCTTTCGAACCTAGGCGATATGTCAAAAATCCCACTGGTACTGGTTGGTGATGGGTTGACCAATAGATCGCAAGTCCGCTTCAAAGGTTTGCAAGCGGGTGTCTGGAACAAAATATACATGCATTCGAAAAATAAAGAGAAACAAGGCTAGTGTAAATGTTAGATATTGCTGATTTCCGTACGTCAAAGGTAATATAATCAATTGCACTAATATCCTAATCATAGCTCAAAACTCTGATTTACACCAATCCGTGTATAGATTTGTAGTTCGTGTAGATCGTCGGATTTAAGAAAGTAACGTGCTATTATAACAGGGAAATCCATCATATACTTTTTTGCAGAAATTGTAGTACTTTAGGAACCGTGATGTAATGGCGGCTCAAAACATGTATCAAATTGCTCAAGAGGTTTGGGCTGGTCATGGAAGACCTGGTATTTGAAGATACAGGTAGTAAGTCTACATTTATCGAAAATATATCCAAAAATATTGTACTCTAAACTCTCAACTTTTTTGTTCTGTTGATCTTAAAAATTCAATTCAAAACTGAACTGCAAAGACTGTAACTTGGCAGCATGCCGTGCCAATATCTCTCTCAAGCTATTCTTTGGCTTCCAATGACTTTATTGAGCGTAGACGTTGTCTTCGTTGGAGATTGGGTTGGCTTTCAAACAACTACTCAGCCCACTGCCAATATTATCCCTTGCGTACTCTCACTAAAGCCCGCACCATTGAATTCTTACAAATGCACAACCGACTGCAACATCCAACAACCGTCGCTGACCCCATTTCTCACTTGTTGAACCAATTGTCCAAATGCTACTTTATGAGGTCGATTACCTTCAGCACGACAAAATGGCCCCTATCCCGTCAGAAACTAGTACAGTCTTTGTTAGAATAGCCATATCCACCCACAACTCTCAATGCTTGATCGGACCGTTTTCCTTAGTCTGCATTTGTGATACGCTACCTTTTGCCCTCGTTCCTTTAGGGTTTTTGATTCCCTACTGTATTTTGACCTGCCCAGGGCAATTTTCTAAGATATAGTTTATCTTTGTGCCCATTGGGTTCAAAACTATTGTCTTATTCGTTTCTCCCGCCCCCTTACTTGACTGCGATTTTTACTGCTGTCTGCTATTTTTGAAATTCATTTTTCGTATTCAGTCTACGTCAGGGTCCAGACCGAATTGGAAAAAGGATCTGCGACCAGTTAACTGGTATTGTTTGCCTTTTCCAAGATTCAACAGCTTTGTTTTCCAAAATGACAGACACTTCTTTTATCATATTCTCTGGCGGTTCCGCCTGCAATTTTATTGGTACCTCTGGAAGCACACAATATCGATTTGAGGACTTTCTATCTTAATTCTCATCTTCTTTTTAGTCAACGCATTTCAGTCCATTACTCCAAGCGTCTGTTATGTGTTGGGAGTGTCAGACAATGGAGGCTCAACTGTAAAGTAATTATTACCGTGTATTTGAAAACGTAAACTTTCGATTACTAACCAACAGCGGTTCGGTGTATATCAGAGCGAGCTGTTGAGAGTTCTTGGTGGCCCAAGTATTGGTGATCTTCGTTCTCGACTCACCCGTTTGATTAATGTTGATGGTCATAATTCAGAGGAGAGAACTGCTATTAAGGATCTACTCAGTTACAGATTGCCTTCAGTTGGAGATGAACATGCAATTCGAGATGAGTGGACAAGAATAGTCGAAGGACGCCACGAGTATGAAAAAAACCATACTGACTTTATTGTCCAATATAAGTCTTTCGGTTACTGACCGCCTTGATTAAAACTTTAGGCTCTGGAGACAGATCTCCATTGAAAAAAAAGAAACTATTAGGGGCTTTTTAGTTTTGTTCAACTTTGAAATTCTTAAGAGATCTCATAAGCATTTCAATTTTTGCAATGGATCTATCGGCAACTTCTTTTTGACTGGAGCGCGGCTATTCTTTGGTTCTCTTGAAGCAGCAATTTTTCTCTTTTCTTCAATCACCGCCATACGCGAACCAACCTATGTACTTCCTGTTATAAACACCAATCACACAGCTTCGATAGCTGCATCCTTAGAAGATGGCCAGATACTCCGAGGGCAATGCGAAATCAGTCATCCTGGCCTCAATCAGACCTGTATAAAGAGTACGAATCCTATAGATGCGTTTTCAAAGCTAGCATTACCAAATTCTCCTTTACAAGGTAGCTATGAAGACGGTCCAAATGGTAATCTTATATTCAGTAAATCAACCGATGAGAAACTCTCAGCACCGATTTCTCGTATTTATTACATGAATGAGTATGGTCAAGAGATTTATCCCATTCCAAACCCAAAGGTGCTTGATCATTTGTCAAAGCGAAGTGATTTAGTGTACTCCATCGGCTCACTTTATACATCAATATTACCATGTCTGATTCTACGCAAAGTTGGACATACCATTGCTCATTCTTCAACACTTCGTCGCAAAATCCTCATCCTAAATGGTACCCCCGATCGTGAAACAGAAGGTTACACCGCCCTGGATTTCATAGGAACCATCACCAATGCATTGAATGAGAGTCTATTAATAGATGCTCGTCGTAGATACTATGATACTCATGCTGAGGAAGATCCAATGGCGGGTTCTATGCGACAACATGGGCAATCCCATCCAGATTTCTTTCGTAGACCTGTAGATCACGGCTTTCGACATTGGCCACCACAGATTCATACAAATTTTTCAAAAACTTCACTCTGTGGACACAATGAAGGATATCCAAAAAGTGGCAATCTGCATCTACCACCCTTAGCATCCCCTTTCCCAGCTGAATTAGTGCCTAACAATCCTCCTTCTACATATATTACACACCTTATCTATCTTTCTAACTCCAGAATAGAAGTTGACATTGATGCTATTAAGGATTTGGGGATAAAATGTGTGGTTGCTGAACCTGATCCAAATAGTGAAGAGCCTCGATATAACTCAGCTTTATTAGAATCTGTCTTGAGAAGTATTATTGCGGATGAATCATGTTAACATATGCTATAGAATAAAGATTCCATTCAAATTTTTTATTATTCTGTTATCTTTGCTTGTAAGAAATTTATAGTTCCCTTGATTAAGTATATTAGTTTCATCCTTAACCATGGAAAATTTTTCCATCAATTTGAATTCAAAGCAATTACAACTTTTTTTTATGAAAAACAATTCAGTAAGATATTTGACTGAATGATCAGAAAACCGAATACTGTCGAGGTAGACAATCTTCGGGCTTCTACATACAATATCCTAAATTTTAATCATTATGAGTTTTACTGATATAAAAAATGCATAATAGAAAAATGATTGACTATCACAGTGAAATGTGATGTTAGATCAAGTTGGGAAGATAATATACGATGATGAGAGAATGCAAGGTATTTAGAGGATACCAACGGGGTTGGAAATAGCAGGGTGAAGACAGCACTGAGCACCACCGGGAACAACACCAGTATCGAAAGTTTCAGGCTCAACTCCACCAGGGCCTTCGGGAAGAAGAGGCCAGTTGAAGAGCTCGTTAGTCTTGTTTTGTTCGAAGTCATCGCCGACAATACCAAGACGCTTACAGTAGCCAGTAACCTTGTTCCAATCACGTTGGACGTTCTTGAGATCACGAGAGAAGTAACGGAAGCAACGTTGGAAGATCTTACGTTGAGTAATGGTGTCCATACGAGGGAAGACTTCACAGTACTTGCTGTAGGCCTCCTTGGGGTTGTTGACCAAGTAGTCAGTAGCCTTCTTGACAGCACGTAAGAATTGTCTGCACTTCTCGGGGTTTTCCTTGACGAAGGTTTCGTTACCAACGTACATGATCTATATTGTATATGAGAAGCAACAAAACCAAAATAAGTTAGGTAAGATCAAAAATTAACTACACAATACTGATGTATTGCATCAGTGACAAACAGAAGAAGTAAAGAATAACTTACGGAACAGAAACAACAACAACCTAAGTTAGCAAGATGGTCGATACGGAGCATTTCGACAGCATCACGACCCCAACCTTGTTCTTCAGCATAGTCTTCAAGCTCAACTTGTTGAACACATTCAATGCCAATACCAGCATCAACAATGCCTTTTTTAATGGCATCGACACAATTCATACCGACACGGACAGCAGTGTAATCGGAGGGAGACATACCGAAGTTCTTCATCAAGTCATCCAATTGGATCTTGCCGAATTCACCGACGTAGCCGATCTTCTTGCCACGGATATCCTTGAATTCCTTGATACCAGACTTGTTCTTAAAGTGAATAATACCGGTGAAGGGCTCATCCAAAAGAGTACCGATAGAGATCATGGGTTGACCACGAACCTTAGCAGCGATAGTATGGATCATAGCCTTCAAACCAAGATCGATCTTACCGGAACCGATGAGTTCAGTGACATCAGAGGGGTTGGATGGTTCCATAATAGCAACTTGAAGGCCTTCTTCTTCGAAATAACCTATCTTTTGAGCCAAGTAGAAAGGGGCATGGTAGGGAGTGGCGGTCCAGTTGGAGAGGAAAGTAACTTTGTTTTTAGGATAAGGCATTTGTGGCAGTTTGTGATGTAGATGACTGAAGTAACTTAACTGTTGTTTTTCCTATCCTTTATATATCAAATGTTGCTTCTACATTACGCTGAACACGTTCCCTTCGGTGCAGTAAAATATCGGAACTTCTATTTTTGAGTTCGAGAGCGTAGCAAATCAAATATGCTCAAACAACTGCATGCTCAATACATCCCAACGTCACCTATATTATAGCGTCCGTCTTTGAAGCTTACTCCACTTCAAAATGTGACTTTAACGTTCATTCCAATATTATCTAATGTGGTTTTTGATTCTACTCATGTATATTGGACTTGAAATTTGGAAAGCAGCAGAAACGCGCTCAATACGATGTATCGAACAAGACAAATTTGTTGAATCATTAACTACTGCTATGTTTGCTCGTAAACAGTATGACAAATAGAGCACTTCTATTAGAATTACAGTCGAACGTGCAAGTGGCGTCTCATTGACCTCTTGTTGTTACTGAGTTTTGTTCCGCATTTAGACTGAAGAATATAATCATCTTTGCAGGTTTAAATAAAGAGCATTGTCTCACAACAAGCGATAAAATTTATATTCTCAGGTTCAAAAATGTTCAGGTATAGTCTGAAAAGATGCCAGTAGCTAAATTATATGCTTTCTCTGGGCCAAAAACAACGCGAAGATTGAAAATATTGTCGTGAAACTAAATAACAACTCAGCATTCCTTCTAATACATTTATTCATACGCGAGAAACTCTCATACAAAAAGGAATCGTTTTAGATTTCGGAAACAATTTGTATACTGTTGTGGAGTTTTTATGCAAAAGGAGAGAAGTAGCGCACGTGCCTGTCTTTAGTTGCCGCAGAGTATATAAATCCACTTCAACTACCGCTGATTGATCTACAATGGTATGATGTGATGAAAGTTGGAGTGAAATTCTTTGAGATTTTGTTGAAGAGTAGTTAGCATTGAGTGTTACGATAATTATTCATTGTTGTTGTCAGGTGAACGTAGTAATCAGTACCGTTTGGAAGCGTGCACTGACCTTTTCGATTTAAAGTGCGAAGAGATGCACTACAAACCGCTTAAATTTTGAAAGTTGTAATTTGTCGCCATATGTAAAAGGAGCCATTTTGGAGCTATTGTTACCGTTGGATCATCATTGGACTGATCTTACTCGAATAGTCGCGACATGAAAAGTTTTGCAATGTATTTTTTTATTTTAAGACTTTTGAAGCTTAAATAAACTTACAACAGGCGCTATTTGAAAGTTTAATACTGTAAACGTGCCCATCTGTCTAATCAAAGGACAGATTTGGGTTATGCTGACAATTAAGGAAAGAAAGAACTTTATTGATCCGAACTTTGACTTCTTTTTTTTTTTCTGTCTATTTAAGACCTAAAAAAAGACAGGCAAAAAATCTTGCTCTTTTATAATTTTCAAACTCTTAAAGCCAGCCTTTTACATCAACCATGTCTGCTTCTTCTTTCCCAGTTCCTGCTAACCTTCATTCCGGTAAGGTTGATGAGTCCAACTCTCAAGCCGAAAATTTCAAGATCAAGGCTGGTTTAGCCCAAATGCTAAAGGTAAAGTGTTTGTGAAGTGTAATGGGCTAGGGGTGTAAAGCAGGGTGTAATATACTGTGTTTTGTTCAAAAACTCATACGATGTCTCGTTACAATTGTACAGGGTGGTGTCATCATGGATGTCATTAACGCTGAACAAGCTAGAATTGCCGAAGAAGCTGGTGCTTGCGCTGTCATGGCTCTTGAACGTGTCCCTGCTGATATCCGTAAGAACGGTAAGCGTCTTTTTTTTTCCCCACTCAGTTTAAGTTCAATGTGCGTAAGGTCTGTGCCAGATTTATTAACTATTTGTGCTTTTCATTAGGTGGCGTTGCTCGTATGTCTGATCCCAAGATGATCAAAGAAATCATTGAAGCTGTCACTATCCCTGTCATGGCCAAGGTCCGTATTGGTCACTTTGTTGAAGCTCAAATCATCGAGTCTATTGGCGTTGATTATATCGATGAATCCGAAGTTTTAACCCCTGCCGATGAGGCCAACCACATCCACAAGCACAACTTCAAGGTACCTTACGTTTGTGGTGCCAAGAACCTCGGTGAAGCTCTTCGCCGTATCAATGAAGGTGCTGCTATGATCCGTACCAAGGGTGAAGCTGGTACTGGTAACGTCGTCGAAGCTGTTCGTCATATGCGTACTGTCTCTGCCGAAATTCGTCGCGCTTCTGCCATGACTGACGAGGAACTCTATGCTTATGCTAAGGATATTCAAGCCCCATACAACTTACTCAAAGAAACTGCCAAGTTAGGCCGTCTCCCTGTTGTCAACTTTGCTGCTGGTGGTGTTGCTACTCCAGCTGATGCTGCGCTTATGATGGTAATATTTTTTTTTTCTTCAATGCATTTTAAAAACACTTCAAGTTGAGCGGCAAATTTATCCACTCATACTTTTCTTTTTTTTATCCCCCTGCTTTCTTAACAAATAGCAATTGGGTTGTGATGGTGTCTTCGTTGGTTCTGGTATCTTCAAGTCTGGTGACCCCGCCAAGCGTGCTAAGGCTATTGTCCAAGCTGTCACCCACTACAATGATCCTAAGGTCTTGGCTGAGGTTTCTGAAGATCTCGGTGAAGCTATGGTTGGTATTAACTTGGACGAATTAAACGAAAACGAAAAGTTCGCCAAACGTGGTTGGTAATTTATTTAAATATACCATCTCTTCCATCTATTCCATCTATCATTTTTAAATTATTATCTTGATAACTATACATATTTAAACAACCTATTCTTTGTAAAGAATCATGATTTTTTGTACTTATAATAAACCATTATCTCATCTGCTTTTTTATCAAATCTGAAGTCTCATCTTGTGTCATTTTCGACTGATCCTGTCTGAATTTAAACATAGAATACGCGCAGTTTGAAAATTGTGAACTTTAAATTTTCAAAAGCATTATGATAAACGGTTGCAGCAATTTACTATTATGGTATTTGGTAACTCCTAAATCTGATGATCCTGTGCCATTCCAACGAAAAATCTGAGCGTAATTTTTCGTTGAATAGTTCAAAGTCACTATCAATCAAGAAACGCGACACTTACAAACGTCCAAATAATCACAGTGATGTGGGAACAAGAGAGGGTTTCGAGGGTTGACGACCCAAATACAGCTGTCTTGCTTATTAAGAAGGGAAGCGTCTTTACGAGTTTCATTTGCCACATTATATGGAGCTCAAATTACGGTGATAAACAAAAGCGCAATTTAACTGCCACTCCTATTTTCTTACCGGATCTTTGTGATTGGAGTGAAGCGCACGTGCAGAGCCTTTCTCCATTGTTTCAGCTACTGGTTCACATTTGTTTTCTTTGAAAATATAATTTGAAAAGGTTGGAAACCTATTCCGATAAGCTCAATTTCAGATTTCTTTTTTTCTCGCTAGTGGTCAGTTGGAATTGTAGACGATTAAAGTGAGCAAATATTGCGTTTTATTTCTTTAGGACATGAAAAACCCTTTGTCGATATTGCTTGGTCCAAGCAGATCTACAGTTGAATGGTTGGTTTTATCCAAAAAGCTTATGAATAATATAGGCGCACGTTATTGCGGCGAGATCTTGCTCTTACGTATATTCTGATTTTGAGTAGTTATTTATAAAAGGGACTAAAAGAAATCATAACATAGCTTCGATTACATATATCTGATTTGCTAAAATCCCGAATACTTTAACAATCTAAGAAACATAAATGGCGCATAACCTACAAGAATTCCGATAGTTTATTTACGTGAGCTGAGCCTTTGATTTTTGCGGATTAAACGCACGTTGTTGGCTTCAAAATCATGTTGAGTTCCTGAAAATGAGGATTTTAGGCATATAGTAAAAGGACCCACCATCCAAGACAAATTACAAACCAAAAACCGTAGCAATCAAAGTTCCACAGACGAATAAGTGAGACCTGAATTCAGTCATACGTATGAACAGAAATTAAGGATGTAACCCAAAAGGGTTCGTGGCAAATTTGCGAGATAGCATCCATCAAATGCTAATGGATAACTTTAATTTACAATCATATACATTTATGAAGATGCTTTACACTCACAATAACATTTTTGATTTTTGATCTATAAACTACTAAATCTAGGCAATAATATACATAATGAAAATATGGAGATTGTTAAATACACTTATAAATATTTAACTGCCATATCGACGAAGAACTCATGGAGACGAAGGTCATTAGTTAATTCTGGATGAAATGCTGTAGCAAAGAGATGGTCCTGCAACACTGCCACTGCTGTTTCAGCTTCTGTTTGGCCATGTTTTTGTTCTAAGCGACCAACTACTTTAACTTTGGGTGACTTGATCTCTGCAATGACTGGAGCACGAATAAACACAGCCGCAAATGGTTCCTCTCCCAAAATTTCCGGTAAATGAAGCATTGTTTGAAAGCTTTCCTTTTGTGATCCGAATTGATTACGATTAACAACCACATCCAAAGCGTTAAATAATTGCTGGCCACCCTTCTTAGCGCCTGTTGCTTCCTTTGCCAACATAATCATGCCTGCGCACGTGCCCCAGGTAGGCTTCTTCTGAACAAAAGCACGAATAGGCTCCAACATATTACAACGTTCAGCAATGAGTGCCATAGAAGTGGATTCACCGCCTGGAATAATCAAGCAATCCACAGAATTTAATTGTTCTTCAGTTTTAACAGGAATAACATCTTTAACCTTCGGAATTCTTTTGAGCATATGAATATGTTCAATAAAAGCACCTTGCAAAGCTATTTCCAAAAAAAGTCCTATAAGATAACCATACTTGAAGGCCTTCATCCCATTGTGATAACTTACCAAGCACACCGACGGTAATAGTCTTAGAGTCGTTTGTCATATTTTTGTAGTAGCTGGTATAAAGGAACTTGATTAAAGAAGAAAAAGGATTTGAAAAGCATTCAACCTGTCAAATTTAAGGGATTCCGCAGTGATTCAAATAAAGTCACCTTTTTTTCCTTTTTTGTCATGTAGAAAGAAGAAAAGAAATTGGGTTCAGCTGCACGCAACTGTTGAGTGCAAATCGAGCTCCGTTGGCAGGAGTAGTCACCTTCGGCGTCATCTTCAAAATCTGCAGTAAATTGCTCTCTTTTTGCACGATCGTTTTAACCAAGCCAAATTCAGCATGTCCTTTGATCACAAGAATGATGACAAGCTCTCTTTTGAGACTTCTGAAAGCGTAATCTCTCCTAACGATTTTGCTCTTCTGATTAGTTCTTAATTTACAACTTTCCATATTGTCCATTTAGGTCAAGGTGATGCCCACCTTTGATGCTATCGGTTTAAAAGAAGACTTACTCCGTGGTATCTACGCTTACAACTTTGAAAAGCCCTCAGCTATTCAACAAAGAGGTTAGTAGAATACTTTTTTACCTCTCAATTCCTTTCAACTACATTTATTAAATTGCTTTTTTCTCCCACAATTTACAGCTATCATGCCCATCATCAAAGGCCGTGATGTCATTGCACAGGCTCAGTCCGGTACTGGTAAAACAGCTACTTTCTCTATTTCCGCTCTACAAGTAATTGATACCACCATTAGAGAAACCCAAGCTTTGATTTTATCCCCAACACGTGAATTAGCTACACAGATCCAAAGTGTTGTGTTAGCACTTGGCGATTATATGAGCGTGCAATGTCACGCCTGTATCGGTGGCACCAGTGTAGGTGAAGATATTCGAAAATTAGAGGCTGGTGTCCAGATTGTTTCTGGTACACCTGGCCGCGTGTATGACATGATTCGCCGTCGTACTCTACGTACCCGAAATATCAAAATGCTGATTCTTGACGAAGCTGACGAACTTTTAAACCGTGGATTCAAAGATCAAATTTATGACGTTTATCGTTATCTTCCACCTGGAACACAGGTTGTTATTCTCTCAGCTACGCTACCACATGATGTTTTAGAAATGACAAACAACTTTATGACAGATCCTATCCGTATCCTTGTTAAACGTGATGAATTGACTTTGGAGGGCATTAAACAATTTTTTGTTGCCGTTGAAAAAGAAGAATGGAAATTCGATACATTATGTGATTTATACGATACTCTAACTATTACACAGGCAGTTATTTTCTGCAATACTAGACGAAAGGTAATGATTGGTCAGGATGCTTACTACAGAAATAAGCATTACGTAGATTTATACTTATTTATCATATAATGTGTTAGGTTGACTGGCTAACAGAAAAGATGAGAGAAGCAAATTTTACGGTTTCAGCTATGCACGGCGAAATGCCTCAAAAGGAGCGTGATGCTATTATGCAGGAATTCCGTCAAGGAGCTAGGTACGATGGATTTTTTGGAGTTCAATCAGCTTATACTGATAACTAATATCTTCTTGCATGTAGCCGTGTATTGATCACGACTGACGTGTGGGCTCGTGGAATTGATGTGCAACAAGTTTCGTTAGTCATTAATTATGATTTACCTTTCAATCGTGAAAATTATATTCATCGTATTGGTAGATCTGGTCGTTTCGGACGTAAGGGTGTTGCAATTAATTTTGTTAAAAACGATGACCTCAAGATTCTACGTGATATCGAGCAATATTATAGTACACAAATCGACGAAATGCCTATGAATGGTAAGCTTTCACACTTACGCTAAACCCTCCTTCTAAATAGTCGACTCATTCTATCCTTGTGTTCAATAGTTACCGATCTTGTTTAGATTGTACAATTTAAAGCACCACGCTTTCACATATTCAAAACATTTTCCAATTTAATCAACTGCAGAAATTTGTTCTACTTCTTCAAAAAATAAACAACTCCATCCCACGCAACGTGAATTCGTGTGTTAGGCTCACATACCATGTATAATACAACATCTGTAAATGAAGAATAGCTAGCAGTTAAAGAATCTCTGTCCATTTATTAAAGTGTAATAGAAGAGTTTAAAATTATGAAATGAAGTTTTTTTGTCCTTTTTTCTTGCTTTCAATAGTTTAGACAACAGTACCGGAAGCAGAAGCGATACGGGGCCACAAATCAGCACATTCCTTAGCAACGGGACCAGTGATGGCGGAACCCTTCATTTCACCCTTGGGGTTGACGATGACACCGGCGTTATCCTCAAAGTAGAGGAAAACACCATCTCTACGACGCCAGGCCTTACGTTGACGAACAACAACGGCAGCCATGACCTTCTTTCTCAATTCGGGCTTACCCTTCTTGACGGTGGCAACAACCATATCACCACAACCAGCAGCGGGGAGTCTGTTCAAACGACCCTTGATATTACGGACGGCGATAACGTACAAGTTCTTAGCACCAGAGTTGTCAGCACAGTTCATGACAGCACCAACGGGAAGACCGAGGGTCATACGGAACTTTGTGCCGGAAACTTTAACTATTATTTAGTGAAAGAAAACGTATTAACAAACATTTGTTGATGACTCAAAGTGACATGAGCCTTTAGGAAGCATTTCAATTGAGATGGCACTGTATGCTGACACTGCTGAATTGAACATTCCGAAATGCGACGATGAGTCTAATCACATGTAATGCAATATCAATTGATGAAGTGCTCTGCTGTAATAAAATAGTTCAGCTCTGCAACGATCCAATATTTCCACTTGCAATAACATCCATCCATTTCAATAGACAGCATCCAGCTAATATTATTGACACTCATCGTTCAAAATGGATTCAGAACAACTGATACTGTGATACATATACATATACAAGTGATAAGGCATCGCTTTGAGATACATGTTACTGCAGTTCATCTCCATCCATCAATATAACATTTCCTATATCCATTATCTTAAGCTGGCTGTAATCCATCAAGCTAATCCAAATCTATATACATCCATCTTTCCTTCCATGTATCAAATGAAATGCTTCGGCTCTAACTATATTGCAATCAATGATCTACCTTTAGGCATTGCGTAGAGATACGGATGAGAGAGGAGGTTCCCTTTTCTTTCCTTTCACAGTAAATCTCATTACAGCTCCCGGTGAAGCAAGTTGAGGCCGTGACTACTAAAAACAATAAAATCGCTCAATTTTCTGTTTTTTCGTTTAATTGAACCTCTTACTCCATCCTTTGACCAAGTAATATTTTTATGACTATGCTCTGTTCAGAAACACTCGTTCAATTTTTTCATTCCAACTGCCTCCTTTCGTCTATTTGCAGTATGCCTTTTGACGTGCGAAAAGTGATAAAATAAGCCTATGGAATTGTTTCAAGCTATACGGCTGTATGTGTTGATTGATGCGCTTGTCCTGCCAAAATTTAATCTTAAAGGTACAAAGTGTAACTTAATTTTGGTTTGTTTAGTCCAAACGTGGATGGCGAGTGTGAATGATTTGTATTGTTGGAGAAAGCTCAATCAGAACCATATAGAATGTGGTTGCAACTGATTTAAAAACTATCAGACCAGGCTGCTTTCCTTCCCCGCTTTCGTTTGTTTTTGAGAGTGCAGCGATGAGTAGCCCTTGACTGTTGGCTGGTAGACAAATCAAGCATACTTGGCTTTGCTAACCGTCTCAAAGCTAAAGTCTTTCGAGACGAAATTGGACTAGAAACGCTCTTAATTCCTTTGACGTTTTGTACCACCGTGTATACAGATGTACGAGCTCTATTTCATTGAGTGCCATAAAGACAGACAGACGAAGTATTTTTATACGTACATCGATTGAAGGACGAGGTCTCATTTAAAGTGGCTCGGCATGATTAGAGCTTTCCTCTTTTTTTTTTTCTTAGAGAAAAATTAAAGAGGCTGTACGGAAATTCAAATCAGTATCTGTTCTTTCTTTTTGACATCTTCCAAACTTCATCGATTTATCGACATGGAGAATTTAGAAGCGATCCATATAATTTTTTATGTCCCTGAGGGTATTAAAGCTCTTCAATGCAAATTTACTATCTATTTCATTTAAAACAAGGTTTAATTTATCTTCTTTCTTTTGTTGCTGAGGAAAGGACTCGAATTTGTTGCAGCAGAAGATATAAAAAAGACACTTATTTTGCACAAGATCGTCAACGATGACCTTGCAACAACTACATTCACGTATGAGCCTCGAACAGGTCGTGTTCATTTATTCTGCCAAACGGACAGTATTGCTACTCTTAAAAGTCAACTATCAGCCACCCCACTTTTTTCCATTTACAGTATGACTTTAATTGCTTCCGAATCAGTGATACCTCCTGAAATATTCAATGATGATAACGAGCAGTCCACGCATGATTTTGTTGCCAGGCAAACCAGCGTTGCGCCCTGGTATACAGTTATTCCTGAGCAATCGACATTAGATGAACAGCAACAGCACCTACAGCAAGAATATGTTTGCGAAATGAAAGAGCCAATAACCTTTAGAGCTACTTTCAAAAAAGGATCAATCAAACATAAAGCTCGTAGCCAAGAAATGGCTGGCTATGTAGGCTTCGCTTTCAGCTCGTTTTTTAAACACTGGAAAGCGAAAATGACAGGTTTTGACTATGAAATTATGGCTGTGTGGATCCGTACCAAAGATCAACATATTTTGAATCGTTTACAACAAGGAAGATCAGAGGACCAGTTAAAAGTGGAGGAGGACTCTGTTATTTTAATGTTAGGCGTCACTATCCCAACCCAACATGATCAGAAGCAAAGAAACAGAGTGTTTGTGGGCCAAACAAGTCTCAATCCTTGTATTGCTTATTGTTTAACTTTGATATCTAATCCTCAACCGGGACAAATCATTTTAGACATGTGCTGTGGAACTGGTACTATCCCTATCGAAGGTGAGAATTATCTATAAATTATCCTTGTTACTGGTTTGTTTGTTATCTTTTCTAATGTATTCCGAATTAAAATCTGCTATATTTACAGGTGCTTCGAATTTCAGCGATGTGCTATGGGTCGGAAGTGAAGGTAAGTTATTTTCATGATGAGCATAATGTCGATAAAATGGTAAAGATAAAAAATATTGAATCAAGCTTCGGATTCTATAACAGTTAAGCATAAAACATTGACGCAAAAGGCTCTGGGTAATGTCCAATACTGCAATCTAAAGAATGTAGAGTTACTATTGGGAGACGGTAGAAAACTATGCTTAAGGGATAATACTGTGGATTCTGTTATATCAGGTACTAAGTGGAATTGCTCTTTCATTTGCTCGTCATTCGTTCTAAACTCTTTTATTCTTCTTAAGATTGGCCCTGGGGATTGAGAGAAAACTCTTTCACGCAAATTCAAAAGGTATTGTCATGGTTTTGGTAATTCTTGCCGAAAATGCGGGACTCTTCTTATACTAACATATGTGTTCAGCTGTATCCAAAATTTCTAAAGGAGATGTGGAGAATTGTGAACAAAGATGGAAGGGCATATATTGTGACGCAAGGGCGTAAGCTGATGAATAGAACACTGGATTATGACTGGTGCCAGAAACTTTGGAGTGTACATAAAGTAATTCCTATTGGTATTGGCGGTTATGAAGTGTATCTGTATATACTCATGAAAAAAGCAGCAGTTCCGTCAGCTCAAACTTCACCGCTCATGAATTCATTGTCATAGAAATTTAATTATACCGTATTTAATATTAACATTTTACTTGCTTCCTGGTTATAGAGTGGATACAGTTTAATAAAACTTAATAGAGGCCTTGAATTTGTAATGGTTGCCCATAATAACAGCAGGTGTTGTCAGATCTCGCCCATCGTTTATTCTTCTTATACCATTATAGACGCAACAATATATCATTAAATGCTAGCCAACCATATTTCCATCACTTTACAGAGATAGTGATAGGTATGTTGGTAGGTATTGCAGCTGCCACTTTAATATGCAGCTATTTACAAAGTAGCAAAATAAAAGTTACCTAGCCAAGGCTGACACCAGTTCTGCAAAATGATTGCTTATTTTTAAGGATGACTGTTCGGGTAGTTGATAATAACACTACTATGTTTTATATGAATACAGTCTCGATGCAACAATTACACGCAATGGTATAGAATTTATTCATTACGAAGTCTTCACGTTATTATGTCGTTGTTCAACACAGGATCCATAACTTGGTTTTTGTTTCACAGCCTATTGTGTATACTATGATTGCCCTTGATGCAAATAAACGACATTATAGCTCTGTAAGGAAACTTATCAACCAGCCAATAAAAACGAAGAATCGTCAGATTGAAAAGAATTTCGTGCCATCAGGAACCTGATTGCTACGATTATTTCCAGTCACTCTTCTTGACTCTGTTTCTACATTTCAACTTTTTTTTTTGTCACAAGATTAAAAAACGGTTGCCGACTATATGATTATCCAGCTAAAAAAGGTTGTATCACGGAAATGAAGGTGAGTAGAATAACTGGTATTATATTAATTGACCTTGTTTAATAACGTACCATTAATATTGAATGCGCTACTAATAGTTTGGGAAACGGATACAAAGCCAACAATTATTCGAGTGGAGCTGCCACTATCTCGACTACAAATGTTTGAAAAAATTCATAAAATCTTCATTTAACGACGATGCTGACACTTTGGAATCGAAGAAAGCTTCCTTTTTTTTTAAGTTAGAACGAGAATTGGAAAAAGTAAGACAGAGTGAAGCCACTTGATCTTCCGTTGAAATTTTATTCAAGTGTATCTCAATTTGTTGCTCATCTAATGTGTTGTAGATCAACTCGTTCTATCTCAATAAAGAGAACGAACTCAAAGTTCGATTAAAAACTTTGACAGATAAAAGGAAACTTATACAGCTAGACTCAGCTCGACTAGCTCAATCCTTTACACAGCTGGAATCCTTAGTAGAAGCTTTCACCCAGTTCGAAAGGGATCTCAACAAATTGAAGGTAAAACCACAAGGGGAATAGTTTACTAAGCCAACTTTTTGCTCTTCCGCTGAAACTATATTCTCGATTGTCAACAGAATTATGCCGAATTGAACAAAGAAGGATTCCGGAAAATTTTGAAAAAGTGGGATAAGAAGGCCAAAACGAATACGAAAGATCTATATTTATCAAGACAAATTGATATTCAGCCATGCTTTGACGATCAATTGTTTTCCGAGTTGATAGATACAGCATCAACGAGCCGATTTGAATTGTTAGAACTGATAAAGACCAGTAAAAACTATGCACATGAGCAGAAGAAGAATATGCCACAGCAACAAAAACAACATCAGCAGCTACAACAGCAACAAGCTTCAAATACCATGAATATGCCCATCGATGATATTGAAATGGATCTACTCAGGGCACTCTCATCAAATCAAATGTTAGTTGCACAAGCTGAATTGGAACGATTCTCAAACTTATTGATTGACAAGTTTGATTATCCTGATCGTATTTCACGCCTATTCTTTCACGCATGCCTTTTTGGAACATCTGTGGATATTATCAATTTGTTGATTGAGACACATAATGTTCGTTTTGACTACATTGATGATATCAACGAAAGATCGTGCTTACATGTTGTAGCTATGAATGGGAGATTAGATATTCTAGAAGCGATATGCCAACATTCTAACTTCACCAATACTTGCACAACTACTATTAACGTCAGAGATATCTATGGAAGAACGCCATTACATTATGCTGCGATGAAAGGTTACGATGATTGTGTGTCCTATTTGCTGGATCAACATGCAGACATCGAAGCTAGAGATTTAGATGGATTTAGCCCCTTAGTATGTGCTATCATTAATGGACGCACCGTTTCAGTTGATATTTTGCTTAATGCCGGTGCTAATATCGAGCCTGAAAACGACAAAGATCATATACCTTTATCATTAGCTTGCTTTTACGGCCATACAGATATTGCACTCATGTTATATCATCGTGGTGCGAAAACGAGATGTGATAGAGAATTACTTTATCCACTGCATCTTGTTGCACAAAAAGGTCATGTTGAACTATGCCGTATTCTTTCCAAAGACCACGAATACTTGGATAAACCTGATATTTATTACAATTGGACACCATTGTTTTGGGCTGCCAATTATGGACATATAGAATGTGTCAGAATCTTGATTTCTGAAGGGTGTCAGTTGAACTTGAAGGATGGCAATGGAAAGACAGCATTGCATTATGCTGCTTGGGAAGGACATACAAAATGCGCGCAACTCATGATGGATGCTGGATGTCACGGCAATGTGGATGCATTTCCACCTAAAGAAAGCATATACCAGAACATAGTGAATGACATTAATAAGCACCCGATCACCCAGCCGCCTTCACTCAATGACGATATTATAATGGAAGAGAATTTGGATATACCGTTAGAACTAGACAATATTCCGTCGCTGGAACTTCCTCCTCCAATTATTCCCTTCCGTATTTATGGACACAACTACTTGGATAAGAAATATCAGATTCACATCATGCTAAAACAACCTCCCATTCGGCTTTATGATAACACACCCATTTCTTCCATCAAACTTGTTATATCTATGAAACCAGACATCGGTGTCATTCCTCATTCCTTAATTCTACCTTTAGCTCACCGTCGTGAAAACATCTATTTTCATATTGATTCTCTGGACAATTTCCTGCTAGAGTTTGATGTTTTGCCAACATTCGGAAAGCGTATACTTGGACGCGGTGTACTACCTGTATGCGACTTTAAAATTTCCGAAGGTCATCGAATAATTCCATTATTAGACACACACTTGAATGCTGTCGGTGAGCTCGTATTTGATTACTGTATCATTAAACCGTTTTTGGGCGTGCAGCTTGAAATTGGTGGACGTATTGAAACATATTGGAAGTCAAAAATGATCGGTGCCACTCTTTTAACAGGCGTTACAGAAAACCTTAAACCTGCAACCGCTGTATCTTCTTTTGTTACTGCGTCGTCGCTATCCGGTGATTACGTACATCTTGTTGTACAATTGACGAAGGATCGCGTACCCATTATTTTTACTAATTGGATGATACCCTGCGATGGATTGGATTTGGCCGTATCTGACCTGGCTTTACATCAAATAAACCAATTAGTAGCGAACTTCTTGAGTCAAGGCGTTGGCAATTTACATGATTTTACAGGAAATGTCTACCTTATAGACGATTTTAAACTGGAAAGAGAAGTTCTGACATTACAAAAAGCCCTTCAGGTACAATAAGACTGTTTGTGCAAAATATGCAATAAGACAATAACTGAACTAGTATTTTGTGTTTCGTCAGAAACTACCGTCAGAAATGGGTGTTCTACTAGAAGTCAAATACCCTAATATAGATGAGTTAGACATTCACTCATTTTCTAACATTTTAGACAAGAACAGTTATGTGGATACTGTACTGCAATGTATATATGGCCATGTCCGCTCGCTACCCATTGGCGTGCCATCTACTCGTATCATCTTCACATCATTCAACCCAGCAATTTGTACAGTTATTAATTGGAAACAACCAAATTGTAAGTTAACTTGGATTTTTGAATGGACATATCATTCTAAAACTAATGATTTAAATATTTAAATTATAGTTGCAGTATTTTTCAGCACTTGTTGCAGGATCAACAAGCAAACTTCGAAATTTAATTCAAATGTGGATAATTTTAAGATTAGTTCCTTCTTGAGATCATATTCTGACTCTATAAGGACAACACTCAAAGAAGCTGTCAAATTTGTTAAAAGGAACAATATATTAGGCATCATGACAGATGCAGCCACTCTGGTAAGCATGATTTTCTGAACAAACAATAGAACTTATACTCATTGTCTTCTTTCTTCTCTTTTATTCACCTTCAGGTGCAAGTTCCATCCCTGATATCAAATATAAAAGAAAATGGTCTTGTTCTTGTGACATTTGGCCACTTGAATAATCAAAATGATCCCGAATGTATCTTGGAGCAAATTAGGCTGGGAGTGGACGCCATTATGGTACAAGATCTTTTACGCTTTAAAACAGAGATGACCAATGCAGTATTATAGTGCCAGGCACACAGGCTGAAAATCAGAAGGAAACTAAAAAATTAAATCTTAAACATATTTATACCGTATCAACCGCTATTTACAAAATCTCATCCTGACACTTTGAAAAATACGTTTAATCACATTTCTGAATAATATAATGGTGATAATATACAGAGATATAAAAGCAAATTCTAAGTAGAATTTTTACATGGAACACTAGGTTTTAATGGACACTAGTTTTCTAATATTGCGTTCCGAGTGCCAAGGCTTCGTTTGAAGGATATTCCATTCTCTATGATATTTTGACGCAGCAATACCAGCACGGCCTGCTTCATGAGCATATTAGAATCATCCAACTTATATTCTCTTTTGTAGCGGTTTTTCTAACTTCATATAACTGTTATTAAGAGTTTTCATAGAAGATATTGTTAAAAGATGAGTTGATTGAATGAATTCAGTATAATAATGCGCTATATAAATTGTATAGATCCATTTATTTTTAGAAGCAAGACCCTTAGTATCTGATCTATCTGATTAAATGTGATGAATAAGTGCGCGGCAACTTTCAGTAGCAGGGAAAATTTTACCCGTGATATGACATGACATATGAAACATGATATTTCCAAATATCTGTTCCGCACGGACCAAGCCGCCCTGCCCCTCAATTTTACAGTTACAACCGTTTATGGTAAAATTATAAAACTTCGCCCAGAAGCTTCTATACAAAAAGCACCAACAAACAAATGCTTTAAGTTCTATGGTAAATTCTCGAATTTTATTTCAAAGTATGACCTCACGAAGTTACAATAACAGGATAACAGCCCGAGGTACATTTAAATAGATATTTTACAGAAAAAATGCAAATGAAACACAGACTATATGGCGTAAGCATTAAATAAAGTGTATTGAAGGACAGACCAACGGTAACAATGAATAAGGGTTCAACCGAAGAAGGTACTATTTGTAAGCCCATATAATTAAGCGTTGGTGGCGTTGGTGGTAGCATTCAAAGTATGTGTCCATTGAAGGTTTTCGAAATAAGGATAAGAGATATTGTAGCAAGTGGCAACATCAATCACTTGCTTGTAAGCAGATCGGATAGCAGGTAAGTTATCAATAGCCATTTGCATCGTAGTGTTGTTGATTTCATGTGTCAAAACAATATTACCGCTATTGGCAAAGGAACCGTTCTTACCCATTTCAATGTAATTCTGGTAAGTCTTTTCAACTGTATCAATAGTAACAGTTTCACCAGCAGACCAGTCGTTAGTATCAAGATTCCAGATAACAGCAGTTAAACCAAGTTGACTAGCAATCCAACGTACGCGGTCATCAAGATCACCATAAGGAGGACGCCAGTAACGGGGTGTGAGACCGGTAGCTAACTTGATGGCCTTTTGTGTATAATAGAGTTCAGCAAGCACTTCTTGATTGGTCTTAGTCGTCATGAGAGGATGGGACCAAGTGTGAGAAGCGATGTGATGACCGTCCTTGACGCCACGCATAGCACCGTAGGGCCAATCAAGCACATTAGAACCGATGTAGAACATAGAAGCCTTCAACTTTTGTTGTTCAAGATAGTCGTAGAATGCATTGTGAGAACAATTAGGTCCATCGTCATAAGTTAGACCCCATGTTTCAGGTTCAGGGCAATTGCGAATATCAGGATTGATGCCTGCATGCTTGGGAGTTGTGCAAGTAGTTGCTGACCACCAGCAATCGGGGTCAGAGGGGTCGTATTGGGTCGTATCAATACCACCGTCAGAATTTAGTGTACGAACCGGAGCAGAAGGGCATTTGGACCAGTCGATCGAGTTGTATAGGTTTTTGAATTCCTCAGTTTCGTTCATACCATTCGTGGTCGCCACTTGCCAAATACTAGGCCATTCAGTAGCGTTGATAGCAAATAAGTTTGGATCAGGTAAGAAATATTTACATTCTGTAGTAGGATCGATGCTGGTTGTTTGTGGTAGGACAGGAACAGTTATGTTGGTGGGATCAATTTTTGATTGAAAGCTTTGCCAATAAGCTGAAGCATCGGCTGTTATTGAAGTAACAAATTGAGTCAAGGCAGCTGACAATGCTAGCGATTTCAATTGCATTCTAAAGGTACAATGAGAAGAAAAGAGTATAGATATCTAATGAATGTTGAACCTGAATTTTACTGCCTTTTTATAATAGTACGCTAATATCACGGAATTTGATTTTGGCGGGTCTTTCTCTGATAATTTTTCCACTCTTGGCAGCCGGGAAGCAGACAATAGCTGCATCTCAGTTTGAATGATGCATCCAGTGTAACGAGCTATAATTAGCACTAGATTAAGTGTAAGGCAAACCGGAGTAGGGATCTTCGCTAGATCAACACTACTGTATCAAATGACGTTTTCTGCACCAGAAAGCCAGAAATAAAAAACCAATTACTGGTTATTGTACGGTTTCAGAATTGATTTGATGACTTGGTGATTAAGTTTGGTAGTGATGAAATGCCAGGTACAAGTTTGAATTCAACATTTATGACTTCTTATTCTAATTATAGTAGCTACTATTAATATGAAGCTTACATTATGAATACTAGTTCTTCAGTACTCTTCAAATATCCTTTACTGCAGGCATTGTAAATCTACTAACAGCCACTCAAATGAAGTCCCGCATAAAAAAATTACGGAATTTGAAAAAGTTATAACGCCGAATTTCGCACGGTGTTTGTTCAAATACCTGAAAATATACTGTCTTTCGATGCTTCAGTGATCAAGTTTCACCGATAAAAAGTAAAGTGGGGTGACCGTAAGTCCAAGTATATATTTTAGCATAAATCAAGCGATGAGTGTAAAGGAAAATTGTCGAACGCTGAATAGCTTTTTTGAATAGATGGTTTCAACGAGCCTTAACCAAATGTGGTATTTTGATAACGTCGTAAAAAACAAAAAAAAAAAAAATTACGCGGTTCACGCTAAAATTGTGAATTGAGGTTTTTACTTTTGTCCTTCTTTACAAGTTCTCTTTTCAGTATTATTCTATTCAGCGCTTTATTAACCGTTTGCTTTTTTATTGTTCATACTATCAGTCTGGCCTTCGACATACATATAGCAATCATGCCAGTAGCCGACATAAATACGAAGGAGGCATTGATACAATTCAGTGATGATGGCACTTCTAGCAATTCTACTGGAAATGACTTATCCACAAGAAGGCCCTCTGAGGTGCTATTATATGCAGCAATGCAACAAGAGCAGCTTGAGCTTCAGCAAAAATCACGATGCGAGACAGCTAATAGTTGTAGTTTAAATAGTAAGAAAAGCTCACGCAACTCAGTTTACGATGAGCCGGATAACAATCAAACTGTTGCAGTTGACGTTGATATTAGCAGTAGCAACGACATAAATAATGGCGGCGGTATCAGCATGGATATGAATAATTATGCAAATGCGAACTTTTGCTTCAGTCTCTCTACGGACCCGTCAACGTCCACTACACCCTCTGCTTTAAACACACCTGATAATAATAGCACAGTGCCATTTCTAAAAAACTCTTTAAGCGCCATTCTTGATCTCACTGATCAGCAAGCCCAAGCCATCATGCATCCGCTAAACACCAATACTGCTTTACAACCAATCACACCTATGTTAGAAGATACGAAAGAAGATGACTGGAATATCGATCATCACACAACTGAACCTATATTACAACCGCTGGAGAAATTGAAAATAGAACATGCAAATTTACAATCACCCACTCGATGCGCATATACAGAAAAGCAAAATGTGTCTGCATTGCAAGAACAAGAACAGCAGAAGCCACAATCAATGGTATCACATCAAAACCAACAATTGCATACCTACCATCCAGCTTCTTACGACAGCACAAGTTCATCACTTTTACATCAAAGCACGACCTTTTCCAGAGCCGATCATCCCGACTCCACCTACATCATTATTGCTCCTCATGCCCAACATGATAAGACTCGTATAGACTCTGAAAATCAACAATTAGGCGACGTACTAAACTCTTCTCATAGTAATAGTAGTGCTAGTCATCTTCTCAATACATCAACTGGAAGCTATCCATTTACTCAAAACGCATTGCCTTCCCACACACACAGTGGCACTACTACTCCCACTAGCAGTACTTTTGGGCCTCTTCTACCAATGAATTCGGACTATCTACATTCTACCTTGACCTCTATGCTATCCTCGAATGCTATTGAAGCAACATCAGTACCGAACGTTTCAAAATCTACAAAAGCAATAACTGCATCAAGAATAACATCTTCCATACCACCTACAGCTATAAATACGCCTGCTCTCAATCACATTGCATCAGCTCCGTCTATACCATCTTCATCATTGACCCCTCCCACTTCCTCTCATTCAACCCCAAATTATTTTACACAGCGCCATAGTTTACCGAGTAGTAGTAGTTGCAATGATAGAAGCAGCAGCAGCAGCAGCACGCATTTACCGATCAGGCCTTCTGTTTCGTACGGCACATTGCCTTTCGCCCTAAATCAAAACAATTACAGCAATGATAGCATGCATAACAATCTGAACCATGTTACTCATAATGATAGTGGTCCGATGAATAGTACTATGCTAAATCAAAATCAATTCAATGGTAAAAGGGCCATTCTCCGGCAGCGAAGAACAAGTGCATCGGATGTACATACAACACATCGTCCTCAACGCACGTACGGAAGAAGAACCTCCTCTCATCCTTCCGTGGCATCCGTAGTTTCACTTACTGCTCATGAGCCTGTCTCGAAAATCATCGATGGAGTCGAGCATATTTCCTTTCTATACTCTCACGACCGTACAGTGAAGCAATATACGGTGCGTACAGATATCAATAGTGTGAATTTAGATGATATTTCGATGGACTTTCGAATACAAAATGCAGTAAGTTATAATTTACAATAGAATAGAAAGAGGGGGAGAAAATGATAATGAGTATTCTTCTTATTCGTTCATAATTTGTCATTCGTTCGTGCTTTGCAGATTTATCCGAGGGCAAATGTAGACAAATCTGAGTATGACGGAAATAGGTGGAACTACGAAACCACTTGTAATCAATTAGGTTGGAAATTATGCTGGCTCAACAAGGAACAACTATTTGGTAGAAGAGGACTTATTCAAAGAACCGTAGATTCGTATCGCAATCGTCATAAAGAAATGCGGTCTAGAAGAGTAACTCGCCAAGAAAAGGTAGCTAATGGTACCTTACGTAAAAGGCGTTCCAAAAAGCTTTCGTCACAGGATACATTAACGGAATGAATATTGCAAATTCAGAAGAAAAATATTTGTAAAAACCTATAAAGACCTTTTGTTTTCTATTCATATCGATAATATGTAATAACTGAGTCCTTGAAAACGCGGAATTGTCAAATCTGCAATTTAAAATGGTTTAATTCACTGGCCGTCAATTTTGGCAGGTCAAAGTAAGCCACAAAAGAGCTTGTCATCCATTTTGAGAAACGAACAGTTCATTTTCTCCACTTTTTTAACCGTCGACTAATAAAGAAACTAAACAAGCGAATGCTAAAAATGACCGGCGCCGTCAATTTCCAACTACAAACAGCCGAATCTAGCCTTCTTCGCAGAGGCGCCTTAAGCTTTATTAAGAAAGACAAAATAATTCAGACACCAGCATGTCTGACTTATACTCTACGTGGGTCACCACCTCATCTCATTTCTGACACGATGAAGCTATTGCCTATAGAGCTACTACACATTTCCCTCGAACAATTGTAAGACATTATGCATCGGGTCACTTTAATGTAATTTATATCCTAATAATAATGACTTCATTGATAGTATGGAACAGAAGGAACCAGCTTCTTTAAATTATCCACACGGTCTCCATAAATATTTGAACATGGAAAATTACCTATTGTATTGTGATATCCGTGATACCTTAAAGCTATCTCCTTTATCGTTCAATACAGATAAATATCTTTCGGTAGAAACACATGGTGGTGTACGTCAAATGACGCCTGATTTATGGGCGCAAGCTATAACTACTCTCAAGCCAGATATAATGGTTGCAATGGCGGATACTGTAACAGATTTAGAGGCAAAGACAAAAAGGATTAGGCGATCTGTTGATAGATCACTGCGGTGGTTGGATGACAATTTGGAGAAATCAAAGGTAAATCTGCGCAAAAGAACTTTTAAAAGTTCGCAATAGATCTGTATTAAAAACTATGAACAGGATACAGGCATTCCTATATTTGCTCACGTTATGGGTCATACAGACATCGAAGAACGCGGTAGGTCAGCCAAAGAAACAGCCGAGCGCGATGTTCAAGGATTTGTTGTCAACGTTCTTGGATTGAAAGAGGATCAATTGAGTCAGCTCGTAAAAGCATCGACAGAAAACTTACCTACAGATAAACCACGCGTTGCGTATGGATTATCAACACCAGAGGGCATTTTAGAGGGCGTGAAGAACGGCGTTGATTTATTTGACGGAAGTTATGCCTACAAAGTAACAGAAAAAGGCAGAGCCATTACATTCAGATTTGGTGAAGATTTAAATAAAGATACCAGCACTGATCATCCGAAAACGTTGAATTTGTGGGACAAGCAGTTATCACATGCATTTGAACCTATTGATAAAGATTGCGGATGTTATGCATGCACACGACCTCATACAAAGGCTTATATACATCATTTACTCAACGCACATGAAATGCTGGCTCCCATCTTACTGATGTCGCATAATATCTACCAACTGGACAGATTCATGGCCTCTATTCGAAAAAGCATTGACAATAACAAATTTGATGAAGATAAAGAATCGTTTATGAATTATTACAGTCATTCTATAGAGATTGATGGCCGTAGAGGCCACGAAGATGAAGTTGATACTGAATCCTTAGGTGTTCATCTCAAAAAGAAAAGAGCCATGTTACATGTAAATATTGAACAATAGAGACATATCTAGACAAATGCAGGTTTTTATTTCAACAAATCTAATAAAAGTTAGAAGTAATCTTCCATCCTATGTCCTTATTTGCATAAAAAGGCACTACAACGCCTAAATCTTCGGTACTTGAGATTTCAAATTTGGCAGGTACAACAGTGTTCGATTCTTTGACTAAAGTGACCTTCTTATCCTCAAATCCTTGTTTATGAGAGAGTCCATAAAACTGTCTACCATAGTGGCAAGCAAAGTTTTCTAACTTATCTAAGCATCCGATCTCCTCAAAGATCTTTGCCAAGTAAGGAAGAACAAGTGGTGTGGTAAAAACGCCTGCATTAGATTTGGGGCCTTCTTTAGCAGCGATAGGATGAGGAGCAGAATCTGTACCTAGGAAAAAACGAGGATGACCTGATTTCACAATATCTCGTAAAGCATCACGATCATGAGGGTATTTAGCCACGGGCTTACAGAAATGGTGGGCTTGACCTGCCCAGTCATCCACGATCAATTGTAGATGATGCACTGTGATGCTACAACCCACAGTATCGCCCAAACTCTTAACCATATCTACGGCTGCCTTTGTAGTGGCGTGTTCTAAGACAATTTTTAATTTTGGAAAAGCTCTGTGGATCTTTTCCAACTGGGGCAGGAATCTTTCTTCGGCATTCATAACACAAATATCCTTTTCAGCATCGCTAGGAATTTCGCCATGCAAATTTAATACAAGCCCCTCTTCTTCCATAGCTTTAAAAACAGGGTAGTAGACTTCATAATTCTCAATGCCGCTTTCGCTGTTTGTTGTAACGCCTCTTGGATAGGATTTTACGCCGGCAATACCAGCTTTGGCGGCCTTGCGAACTTCTTCAGGAGTAAGTTCAGGTGATAAATAGAGAGTCATGTAAAAGGTGACATTGGGCGCAAGGGCTTCCAATTCTGCTTTATATGCAAGTGCTTCAGCCGTTGTTTTGATAGGCGGTTGCAAATTGGGCTATATATGAAAGAGAAGTTTAGCTGTTGGAAGCCGACAAAGACGATCGTAATTCATTTGAACATATTCTACCATGATATACGCGAGAGAAACACCCCCTTCTTGAACCTTGGGTGTAACCATACGCATCATCTCATCTTGACGTAAGTGAAGATGAAAATCGCATGCTGAAGGAATGGTGATTGACGTAGTCATACTAAGAGTTTTTTTGGTTTTATCTTTTCCTGTTTGAAGAACACTTTTGATGTCCCATGGAGGCCCCTAATTCCACGAAATGTTTCGCAGTCCCAAAAGCGGTAGCGGAGTATATGAATAAACCCCACAAAACTGTTTGCATAACCTTGATTTGGAAGCTAGCTTGAACTGGTTCTTACTTCAGGTGTATTTTCAGCATTCGATGAGAGTACTACATTAATCTTATTGTTATAAAACTTACAGTATATTTACTTGGTTTTTGAACCTTTTCAAGGAAATTTCGGACGACTTCTGGTTTGAATTCTGGTTTGAAGTTTTCTTACTGTCTTAATGTCTCTTTCTTCGCGCACCACCGCGGAAATATGGACAGGGCAACGGGTTCATTCAATTCGTCGTCCTCTTGGACGCATTTTTTGATCTTTTGATCAGATATGAGTATAAATTTGCTCGCTCACACGATGTTTGGCAATAAAAATGTGCAATTAATACGAGAGCAAAACAAGTTTTCATTCAGTATATATAGTTTACTTATTCCACTATAATACCTTGCTATTATGGAGATGATTATACAGTAGAATGAATATACAGAAATGCAGGTTATCTGAAATGTGTAATTTGTATTAGCAAAATAACAAAATTGCACTATCCAGTACGTATGCTGGATTGGAGAAGTAAGATACTAGAAAATGTGAGGGATTATACAATTTAAGAATGGTAGATTTATAGCCGTATGCATAACCAGCGAAGGGTCAGCTATAAGCCTTGACAAAACCTTTTCAATGAACATTTGAATCTGATATCCAACTATTAGTTATTATTTTCAAACTTCTTCACTGATCGAGAGTTAATTTAAAGCTTCTTTACACCAATTAAGTCATGGCTATTTCTGATTAAGCATTGCTATTAAAGCTAAGTGCAACCCAACGGAAAATCCTTGCTCAACTTTACCTTGAGAACGAGCTGCTTTTTTTTTTTCCTTCTGTTTGGCATGCGCTTATTCCCAGTTACGTTTCTGGTTGACTGTAAGGCCAACAACAGATCCTCCAATTCTTCCAACAGAGAACGCAGCAACTTCATCTTTAGTATCTAAGTAAAAGTAGTAAACGATTATGAGTCTCAAGCATCACAATGACTGTTGCAGTTATTATATAAAAATATAAATAAAGACCGTATAGTTTTTATTAGCATTATCAAATCAGTAACTCAAGAATAACGATTTTGATGTAGTTTCATTCCGGCCTAATCTAGGTAAAGCAGCATGAAAGTATTGTGTCCTCCTTAGTCTTTTTTCATTCTAGAATATCATTAAGTAAAAAATATAGACCGAAGACAGTGTTGTGCTTCAAAGTAAATGCATGTCACTTCATATCAAGCAACTGATGAAATGTTTTAAAACTAATTAAAAAAAATACTGTAATAGTTACAGCGCGAAGTAATATGTAATTTCTACTAAGTCAATATGGATCTTTTCATGCTTCATTTATGCAAAATAGGATGTGATGGTCTGCTTGTATTGATTGAGTCTTTCAATATCCATAAATTCCCTTAGATGAGGTTTATCTATGGCTTGCCAGATCTTTTGCTGCAAAGGTTCTGTCAGCTGCACTGATTTACAAAAATAATTCAAAAACACCATGACTACTGCAATAGTTTTTTCGCCTGTAAAACCATTTTTCTCCATACTGAGGAACTTTTTATCCAGTCTTGGAAGTAGAACTTCCAGAAAGATATCGGGTGAAGGTAATAGTTCGGTTTTCAATAAAAGCTGAACTACTTCAAATAACTTTTTTTCAATTGCTTCATCTGTATGGTTCGCGTAAGCGACAAATAAATAATGAACTATTCTTTTGATGGATCGAACAACGTCATCTATCGACGCATTTGCCAAGAATAATTTCAGTGTGTCTAAACCTACTTTCTGTTTAGTCGTGAGGAAATCAGTAGTTTCATGCAAAAGATAGAGTAAGGAATTATCGAAGCATATATGAACCAAGTGCTTCAGCCCTATTTTTTCATCAGAAACAGTCTTAAGCTCACGCAGGATAGCATTAAATTTTTTTTTTTTTTTAACCAACCTTTTGTTTCTGTATCTTTCTCGTTTACGGGAGAATCATCAATAATTTCTGCTTGGACCAAGTCCTGATAACAGCTTTTTCCTATTTTTGATAGACTTGCTCGACAAGTGGACTGCACATCGGGAAGCTCGTCCAATGTTCCTGACAATATCACTGGTAAGATGCGATCTCCATATTGGTATCTTTCTTGAGGAGGCCAGTTACACAGTAAAGTGCTTAGCGCTGTATATAAATTGTAGCGTACAGTAGCGGATGCATCAAAAACCAAACCTGGTATAACAGGTTGACGGTCCATTTTCTCGTCATATTCGAACAGTAAGTATAATCCCTTGGGTGATGCCATTGATACCTCTGCCATCGCCTGTACAAAAAGTAAGTATTAACGCGAGTTTGAAAATTTTCACCTATAAAATTCAAGTTTTATCGAATAGTATTCCATACCTTTATGCCAGCTACTCTCACTGCCGTGTGCTTATGCGTAAGCAAGGGTATTGTTAACCGTATCATACGATCGCAGGCAAAATCTACATATTGTGGTGTCGTTTTAGCGTAATTTATGATCAGTTGTGAGCATAGCTTTCGAATATCAGCGAATGGGTCTTCAACCGCTACTTGCATAACATCCATGAATAAAACAGTTTCTTTTACGCCTAATTTGGCAGAACTCAGTTTTCCGAATAAGAGTATGCACAACTCCATCCATGCTACACGAATTTCCTCAGTTTCTTCTTCTCTTAAACGTTTGATAGTGTGTGATAAAGTATCTCGGATAGTACTCTTTTTGGGACTGTCCGGTTCGCATAAATCGATTAAGCTATGTGTTAAGTATAAAAAGCTCAGTTCGAAATCGAAGTATAGCATTTAAGTCATGTCAACTTCTGTACCTGTGCAGTATATTTCGAACAGTTTGCTCCCTTACACTTTCTATAGCGCTCTCAGTACATCCTAGTAACGGTTTTATTATTTGGTTGAGCAATTCAGGAGCAACAACTGTCAAGTCGGATTCGGCTTTCAGATCGTTTATTGTTGACTTGATCGCTTCAATGGCTTGCTTTTTGGCAGGGCGATCTTTCGTACTTAAATCTGATAGTACGGTTAAGGGGGTATTAAGGGTCTACAAGTTCAGAGTGAGAGAGTTGTATGAGTTTGGCTATACCTCGTCAAGATAATCGTGATTATTAGCGGTTACGCTTAGATAAGTTTCTCTAATTGTTTGCGCCATTATATTGTGTAGACAATAGAAGAAAACCTCTATTTCTTTAATAACATTTATACGAGAGTTTCCTGATCCCGTAAAAGTGAGAAGTCACGGAATTTTTATTTCGCTATTTTTTCGTGTTGGATTCCACTTCATGAACGAGGAACTAGCATTTTTCAAACTCTTCTAATTGAGTTAAAGAAAGATCTTTTACTTTTAGGAAAAGCTCCTCTTGCATCTTCATCAATTATCATACTCCCATTTCAGCAATTAACATTTTGTAAAGAAGGAAAGTTAGTTTAATGTCAAATACACCACCTACAACCAATAGCAATCAAGCATCGCCGGCCCAGCAGCCTCAGCAGGTTCGACAACAACCGCAACTCCAACAACAACACTCACCGCAGCAACCGATGTCGCAACCTTCAACTCCACAGCAACAATTACAATCGCCAAGACCGCAACAAGTCCAAGCACAACCTTCACAACCATCCATGCAACAGCAGCCAACTGTTTCTAATGCAACCGCATCGGTACCTTCATCTTCGCCAGCACCTGTTGCTAATGCTGCTGCACCTGCAGCACAATATTCTCCAGCAGATATTGATAAAATGGTCGCGTCATATTTGCAAAAGAAGGGTTATAAGGCTACTGAAGCCATCTTTTCACGCGAAGCAAAAGGTGAAAAAATATCGTTGGATGACATTTTAGGGGAAAAGTCCACTAATATAAAAGACGAGCAACAAGAAGCAGATACCTCTGCTGATTCCAGTAATATGACAACAAACAACAAAAAACGCAAAGATAAGCAGAAAGGCAAAGATACTGATGTAGTGATGGAAGAAGCTACAACTTCCGAAGCAGCAGAAGAACAACACCAAGAAGAAGAGGAAGAAGAAGATCCAGAATTGTACGATTTGAATTATAAAAATTTAAGAGAATGGATCGAGAATTCTTTAGATTGGTACAAGGTAACGAACAGTTGAGAATTAGAGTAAAAAAGAGCCCTGCTGTATTGAAACAGAAAGATCAATCATTAGCCTGAATTACGATCAGTATTATTTCCAATTTTTGTCCATTCTTATCTTGATCTCGTCAGTAAAAGTCAATTGGAGAAAGGTTAGAAGGAAATAAGGATTATGGTTAAAACCCTGCTTTTGCTAACTTTATTCTTTGCAATAGCCAAGCAATTTATGGATACGTATAAACGAGATCACGTCGAGTTACATACACCAGATTTAACTATACTCGAAGCTGTGACAGAGCCACACCACATCCTTGAAAATGAACTGGCGCAGATGTATAAGAATAATAAATATAATTTAAGGATGTCAGGTGTTCCTTTTGAATTATTTTTGAACTATTTACAAGATAATAAATTTATGTTACTGCTTCGAATTGTGAATCAATATCTAAATATACAAGGTAAAAAAGGTCCATGCGAGATTTGTTGAGCATTGCTTACTAAACCTGTATAATATAAACAATTACTATAGTGGTTCATGGTAAATTGTTGAAATCCGCAGGCGGACTAGAGTTAGATGGTGTGATTGGCATTACAGGACACCAAACACAACAGTTGGAAGAATTTAACAGACAGCCAGTACAGCTCGGATTAAACCAACTGGATTCAAACTTTAAAGAAGAGATAGAAAACACATTGAAAGAAATCGATAGAGCTAAGAAGGAAGAGAATAGCAAAAATGACAATTTCGATCAGTCTGAGCCTACCATATCATTATTAGATACATTCAAAAAGTATGTGCAAGAATATACAGCAGACGGCCCTGCACCAGACGACATACCACTCCCACCATAGTAAGTTTTGGCCTAACGTTTTAACGTACACCCCTTCCCAGTTTTACTGAGAGTTTTCCGTTATTACAGTAGAGGCACAGATATTACTGCACAAGTTGAATATTTGAAAAGCATCCATCATCGTTTACCCTTGAGCCAATCGTCTTTACCGAGTATATGCTGCTACACATTTCACAATACACATGATAGTTTGAATTGTATCGCTACGACCAAAGATGCAACATTAATAGCAGGAGGGTTTTCAGAATCGTATGTAAAAATTTGGAGTTTGAAAGGCGAAAAGCTGAAGTCACTTAGAAATACCATCAACCCAGCGCACGTTAATGATTGTAAGTGATGATGAATAACTTTGAACAAATGGTTATATCTCCTTCAGGTACTATATACTCAATCATTTAATTCCACCTCCTCCAAAAATTAAAGACAACGATTTGAATCGACAAAAGGAACGGCATGGATCAGAATACAAAAAGTTAGTGGGACATTCGGGTCCAGTATATGGACTCAGCTTCAGCCCAGATAAGAAATATCTGGTTTCTTGTTCTGAGGATAAAACGACTAGACTATGGAGCACACAAACTTTCACCAACTTGGTTATTTTCAAGGGCCATAATAGCCCAGTTTGGGATGTTGATTTCGGACCTTACGGATTTTACTTTGCGACTGGTGCACATGATAGAACAGCGCGATTATGGAGTGTTGACCATATAAACCCTTTACGAATTTTTGCTGGTCACTTATCAGATGTTGATGTAAGTCGCGTCAACCAGACTTGATTGTTGTTTTTTTTCTAACTCAACCTTTTTTTCTATTTAGACTGTCAAATTCCATCCTAACTCGAAATACTTAGTTACCGGCTCGAGTGACCGTACTTCCCGATTATGGGACGTCCAAACCGGTAATTGCGTTCGTGTCTTCACAGGTCATACAGGCTCTATTAAAACAGTGGCTGTGTCCCCCAATGGTCGTCTAATGGCTTCTGCTGGCGAAGACAAATCGATTATGTTATGGGATCTGGGGTCAGGCAAACGTATCAAGAAATTGACAGGTCATACTGGGTTCATTTACTCCCTTAGTTTCAGCGCGGATAGCTCTGTTCTTGTATCGGGAGGATCAGACAACGCTGTATGCGTGTGGGATGTCAATACTGATTCGACAAATGCTACTTACATGGATACGACAGCAAGTCAGAATAGTTTTAACAATAATGAACCAAAGCGACCGAGATTGGATGATAATGAAATTAACAGGAAATCTAAAAGAGTGCATGAAAGTCAAGAGCGTTTAGCCGTATTCCCAACAAAATTGACACCACTATATGATATTCGATTCACTGATCGTAACTTATGTATTGTGGCAGGGGCTTATACTCCTCAAAAAGCAAATGAACATTAGATCTTATAAAAACCTAATACATCCATTCATTCAATATAAGTTACTTGACTTTGTACTGTATCTATCAAACAGAAAAATTTATGTTACATAGAGGTTTGAAGTGATAAAAGCATTAGACCTTGACTTTTTACCAGAACGCGAATACCATCAAACTGTACCTGAAGGCACAGAACCGTACTCACTGCAGTTGTCGCCGCAAAATTATGAGGGTTAGTTATTGCCACTCTTAATCGACAAAGGAGATATTTAATGTATTATTGGTACTGCAATATATTTGTTGTCATTGAGTTGGTCATCCTTTTCGAAAGACATTTTATAGCAATGATGAAGGTATTTGCGAGGTAAAGTTGGTAAGGAAGATAATATAGAGGAAAACCATGGACTTAGACTGAAAGTGGCGATTTAAAGATGTGGACTTGCTTAAATATAGAGCGGATTAATATCAATGTAGCAAAACAGATACAACTTATGGCAAAAGAGTTAAATGGTTGGCTATTGACAGTTTATATATCTACGTTAGTGCTCCCCACAATTTAAAAAAGGGCAATAGGCGCACAATACAGTCTTTTAGTTATACTCATGCTGTGAAGCCACCAATTGATGGCAGTCAATTTATCTTCCAATATGTTTTTTTTATATCTTTTCATGTTTTTATTCTTTTGATGCATCAGCGGTATCAAAGTGTTATGGTGACTTACACGCGTAGAACATGTAGAAGAGCTTCCAGCCGCACGTAGAATTGATTAACTGTTGGATCAGCAATTGTAACATAAGCTGCTATATTCAAGTATTATCTTATGATTGCTTACACTTTTTCTCACTGATGATACTCTCAATCAAATTACAGTACCCTTGTCTATGGACTATAGATATGGCTCTTTACCATTCTAAATTGTCTATGATCTGAATTACAATTTCCAAAATGCGACTCTTTCTGTTTGATCAAACACTGTTACTGAGTCAAGTCACATTTTTCACGTTAAAAAAGAGAAATGCGGGAAAAAGCGCGTTCTTTTTCTGTTCTTTCTTTTACAAACAGTGCCCTCTTTCCCCTTCAAATCAATATCACAAACAACTTTTCCCTTTCTTTAAAGTCTTCGTCATGCCTCCCAAAATACAGCAACAAAGCTCACTGCTTTCTTTCTTTGGAAAAAAAGCTCCAACGACAGGTTCTTCTAAAAGTAGTAGTAATGATAACAATAGTAATGATAGCAATTCGGGCCCCAAGAATAGAAAGAAGGAGGTAAAAGTCAAACCTCTCGAAAGTGATGAGCAGACAACAGAGAGTTTAGCTGTGAAGAAAGCGTCTAAATATGTAAAGCAAAAGGAACTTGCAGTCGCAGACAATCACAAAACGGATACTGTCGAAAAAATGGATATTGATGATGAAAACTCGGAAGATGATATGCCAATGTCAACGAAGAGTGTAAGACGAGTCATACCACCAGTTGGGTGCAGGGCCATATTACTAATTTTTATCCGCACCTTTTCAATAATAGGGACGCAGCCGTAAACGTATCAATTACAAAGAATCTGACGATGAAGCTGATAACGATAACAGAGGAAGAAAAGAGATCAACCCTTTCGCAGCTGGTACAATTAAATTCCAAGAAAAGGAAGGATAAGTTCGAAAGATTAAGTCTAATCAAAATTATTTCGGTTCATGTATAGATAAAAAGAAAAAGCGCAGACTTGTTCGTCGCATTTTGAGTGACGACGAGGAGGAGGACGAATATATACCAACAAAAGCCGAAATGAAAGCTGAGGAAGAAGATGATGAAGATATGGCAGATGACCTTGTCCCAGAGGATGATGAGAGCGATGATAACAAGCCGACATCTCGTTTGACAAAAAGATCCACCCTATCTATGCCCACCGGAACAACTCCAGCAAAAAGATCAACATCTATGACACCTCTAGCTGAAAGATTGCAGGGAATATCAGTTAATACAAAGCCATCTTTAAGTGCTATGTCGAAAGCAAATATATTTAACAATAAAGCAGCTACTACCAAAATGGAGAAAAGACAAGAGCGATCACAGAAATTCAAAGAAAAGAATGATGAGCGTTATCATTGGCTCCAGAATGTCAAGGATTTACAAGGAAATCCTGAGGGCTCCCCAAATTACGATCCTAGAACATTATTTATTCCAAACTCTGCCTGGAATAAATTCACACCATTTGAAAAACAATATTGGGAAGTTAAGCACAAACATTGGGATACAGTAGGTTACATATATGCTTTGTTCATGAGCTTACCCTGCTGGTGCAGTCAGTCATTCAACACACACTATCGGTTTTTTTTTATATTAGGTTGTGTTTTTTAAAAAAGGCAAATTCTATGAACTATATGAAAAGGATGCAGATATTGGACATAAGGAGTTTGATCTCAAGTTGACGGATAGAGTCAATATGCGTATGGTTGGTGTACCTGAAATGTCATTTGATTATTGGACTGCACAGTTCATTGCAAAAGGGTAAATACATCAATGAAGTGAATTATAGTCCCGCCATCGCTTCCTTCATTAATGAAACCATTCTTTACAGATATAAAGTTGCTAGAGTGGACCAAATGGAAACAGCCATTGGCAAATCAATGCGTGAAAAGGCTGATACAAAGACAAGCAAAGCAGACAAAGTCATTCGTAGAGAATTAACCTCTATTTTGACAGCTGGTACTTTGGTTGATTCAGGACTATTAACGAATGAGTTGGGTACATACTGTATGTCTATCAAAGAAGTATGCGGTGATGAGTCCTCCGCACCGAGCTTTGGTATCTGTTTCGTTGATACAGCCACGGCCGAATTCAACTTGGTTCATTTTGAAGACGACCTTCACCGCACTAAATTTGAAACACTTATAATGCAACTTAAACCGAGAGAGCTTGTGACAGAAAAGGGCCGCTTATCTAGAACTTCCACCAAATTACTCAAGTCTATACTAAATGAGCCCCTCTGGAATATGTTATTGCCAGAAACTGAGTTTTGGGATGCCAGAACAGCGAAAGACGAGATTGAAATACATGAATATTTTGTTGGAGATCGGAAAACCGAGTTCAATATTGCCATGAAAGAAGCTGAAGCAGACCCTTTACTCATGTCAGCCTTCGGCGCTCTGATTTGGTATCTAAGATCTGTAAGTACCCGCCATGGATATTTCTGCCTCGAAATAGAGAATGGCTTTGAGAATACTGATTGAAAGTCGATTAATAGTTGAAGCTTGATAAAGAATTACTTTCCGCCAAGAACATTCATTTGTATGATCCTATTCGCAACGCTACTTCATTAGTGCTTGATGGCCAAACTTTAGCCAATTTGGAAATCTTCCAAAACTCGCACGACGGGACTACAGAAGGCACTGTTTATAAACTCCTGTCCCACAGCATCACACCTTTCGGTAAACGTTTATTCAAGCAATGGTTATGTCACCCTCTACGTAAGATTGAGGAAATTAACGCTCGATTGGATGCCGTGGAGGACTTTATGCGCTTGATTGAATTGCAGCAATCCTTGGCTAAACAGTTGGCCTTTTTACCAGATCTGGAAAGATTGATATCACGTATTCATTCAGGGAGAATCAAGGTGAAGGAATTCTTGAACACCCTTCAAGGCTTCGAAAAACTAAGCAATATCATGAATGAGATAAAGGAAAGTCGAATGGATATTCACTCTAGCTTATTAGGCGAATGGATAGATAAGTTTCCCCGCATTGATGATGAATTACAAAATATTCTTGACTCGTTTATTACCGCTGACGTCGAAGTCGATTACCAGAAAACAAGGACAATTATACCCCGCAGTGGTCATAACGAGAGATGGGATGAATTGAATGAACAGATTGTAGAGAAGGAGAATGAATTTCAAGATCATTTGAAAGCTGTGAAGAAGCAACTCAAGTGCTCTTCTGTCACTTTCAAGGATATCGGTAAAGACATATATCAAATGGAGGTGCCTAAGAATGTAAAGGTTCCCGACAATTGGATTCAACTTTCAAGTACTAGTAAAGTGTCGCGTTACTGGGATCAAACGATCAAGACCATGGTCACAGAATACAAAGAGTTGTTGGAGACAAAGAATGCATTCGTTAAAGAATTCGCTTTAGAAGTGTATTCAGCATTCGATAAGAATTACAATATATGGTTGCAAGCGGTACAGATTATCGCGAATGTTGATGCGTTGTTTGGTTTGGCAAAAAGCTCTGCTAATATGGGAGGTAATAAGATTTTTGGAGCTGATGAATACAATGAAGAAATTAAATCATCATTTACGTCTGTTTCGACCGTAGAACCTTGCTGCCGACCTGAATTCGTCGATCAAGAAAGAAGTGTAATCGAATTTGAGGAATTAAGACATCCTTGTGTCGTGCCTGGGTGAGCACCCCCTTTTTTTTCTCGTCATACCTGATTATAAATACAAGATAGCAATATTAACAAAAAATCAATTCGTAGCATCGCGACTGATTTTATACCGAATGACGTTGGATTAGGCAACGATAAAGCAAGTATCATTGTTCTTACCGGCCCTAACATGGGTGGTAAATCAACATTGCTCAGACAGACTTGTGTCGCCATCATACTTGCACAATTGGGAGGTTATGTACCTGCCAGATCATGTCGCATGACACCATGCGATAGAATATATACCCGTATTGGCGCCAACGACAATATTATGGGTGGCCAGTCCACATTTATGGTCGAATTGGCTGAAACATCTAAAATCTTGAAGGAAGCGACGCCACGCTCTATGGTCATTTTGGACGAACTTGGACGAGGCACTTCAACTTTTGATGGTTATTCCATTGCCTACTCTGTCTTACATTATTTGTCGACACATATTGGATGCCTTGGTATGTTCGCTACTCACTATCAAACGTTGTGTAAAGAATTCGAGCGTAACCCTGAAATCAACAATATGCATATGTAAGTATCATGCCACCACCATCGCCACGCACATTTCCCATTGATTGAAACATTATTGACTTTTATGAACCAACATTTATGCAATAGGGGCTACATGGTCGACGAAAACGAGCAAAATGTCACTTTCTTATACAAATTAACACCAGGCATATGTGAAAAATCCTTTGGTATGAATGTGGCCTCCATGGCGGGCATACCTCGTCAAGTGATTGAACGAGCAACCGTGGTAGCAGAAGAAGTACAAATATCTCACCAAGCTAAAGATTCAACGTACCATATGGATAAGGATAAGGATAATTTTATAACGCCAGCCGTGATTGCTGACCTTTCCTACCTCCTCACAAAGAAAAGACGTGATAAAAGGGTCACTGATCGTATTTTACGCAGTTTCAAGAATTTAGCCCTTGTTAAACAGTAGATGATTCCATTTCTGATATTTCCCGCATCCTACAAAGTGAAAAAAAAAGAGGCACTCTTACTTATGAATAGAATCTATTTCTCCAGTAATGGATACATTATCCTATTTGAAAACGAAAAAGCATTTATAGGAGTATAAAAATAATATCTTTGTAGGACGACATAGAGCCGTTTGTAGAGTATTATATAGATTTTGAAATTAGTGCAAAAGAACACCCATTGACTAAACTGTGTAGGATGCTTTCTTTCGCGTGTTCAGTAATGGATAATATTTATATAAGATTCTACGCCGCTATGAGATAGATTGCATGGCATTCGTTTAAGCTGATGATTTGAATTTCCATCCACCCATTCCCATGGTATCTACAAATTTCGAACCAGCCTTTGCTTTGATCTGTTCACGTAAATTGTCATACAACTCTTCACCTTCGACAGAAGCGAAATGAGCAGGTGTCCATTTCTCATCTTTTGTCTCGCGTTCTTTGCGAAGAGCACGTTGTTGATTTTCGATCCATGTTTTCTCTGTGGAAGCTGTGGCATAATCTCCTGATTTGAGAGCTTCCGAGACCTTTTTCCAAACACGACGTGATTCTAATTCATGTTGCTCTTCCACAGGTTTGACGGAAGGCATTGGCTTTTCGAGCTTTGTCAAATCGAGGAAGGGTTCTGCTTTATTCTTATTCTTTGAGATGGTCGATTTACCCGTCCACTGACCCTCAATGATAGTAGGGGTGGAGAGAAGCGTGTCGTGAGTGATAGAGGCTTTGAAATGATGAATTTCTCCGGAAATCCAACCTTTCGTGGTATATTCAATCGTTGCAAAGTATCCAGTGGTGGAGTGAATGAAGGAAGTGCCGTATAACTCAACATAAGGTGCTGTGTTTGTAAAAGAGGGTGGAAGAAGGTGTATGGTGAATCCCGAGAACAAGTAAGATTTCTAGTGGACATTCATCAGCTCTTTTCTGCACGCGTAAAACAACTTACCAGCATACCAGATACCATTCACAGAAACGGAAGGCAAAGTGAACAAATATGTTTCGTTGCGCTCCGTCAATTGGAGAGTGCAGTAACCAATTTGATCCACTAACATTTGTGTGCCTGAAAAGCGAGTCTTTTGGCCGTCATGGCCGTTTACAATCACACCCGCTTCTTTATTTTCGATATAGAAGCCAGATACAGGAGGATGATGCGATACTTGTTCACATACGATTCGAGTTTTGTCTTCCCACTGACAATGGAATTGTTCCCCAAGAATAGGGTTGAATGGTTTCTTTTCCCATTCGCCCTTAGGAACACGACTTGAAAAAGAGCCATTTAAAGAGGAGATGAACCATTTAACAGCTGCATAGAATCTCTCTTCCGCGTTATCTGGTTTACTAACATTACATAACTTAAGACATCCATAGTGCAAAAAAAAAAAAAAAAAAAAAAAAAAAAAAAGGTGAGACACTAGGCGCGAAGAGAAAAACAAGAAAAACCTATGTATACACTTACAAGTCCTGGCTGATCTGCCCAGAATGAGCTATGAGTGAGGGCGAGCAAATAAAAAGTAAGTTGCTGATGTGCTAAAGTAAATCAAGCACATCGCCAGCTGATGTTATTATGTAACTTACGAATACTCAAGTAGCGAAATAGGTGCCAATAAAAATGAAGGGCAAGTCAAGCTAGAGAGATCACCAGTGAATGAGGCTAATGTTTTCAAGAATGAGGAAAAACTTCCTTGCTGATCAGCAGGGATACTTTCGAGTGTATTGTCTGAAGAGGTCATAATAACCAACTAAAACGCAGAAGGAGGGAGAGAGGAAGAAAAGGAAATAAAAGCAAGGGGAATTAAAGGGAGTGAGTGTTCATTGGAATATGACTTTCCATTTACTTTATCATGTCATACAAAAAGGAAATCAGTTGCTGCCCTGAACAAGATGGTTTCTGATTTGTTAAGGTACCAAAAAGTTGAATTGAGTTTCAAGTCCCATTAATTTATTGAAAGGGAAGAGCAAAAAATCAATCTTTAAAATTGACCAAGTCTGTGCTAAGCTAAATAAGAAGGTTGAAGAACCCACTTCTAAATCTGAGAAATGTCATTATTGTCATCCCATCAGGTCGATGATGCATCGAAACGAACCTAAAGCTTATTGTCCGAATTCTTAAAGTGGATAATAAAACAAAGAGGAAAGTACGCCATGTCATTTCAGGCCGTGTTTCTCCATGAAGAATAGTGCGTTTAATTGTCTTTGGACGATCTCCAATATTGAAAGGAAGGAGGAGTTATGTTGGCTTGACTCCCATGTGAACGACAAAGAAAACCTGAGCCTACATTTCTTTCAAAGGTCCCTCCATGAAACTTTAAGTTTTTCAATTTTTGACAATGGCAAAAGTCGTCGTGCCTTTAAGCAAAACATCTCCTAACTAGTGTTGATTGATCTACAAATCTAGATTGTCAACCTTTGTTCGATTCGTTCGAATTGTAGTTGTAATATCAGGCAGAAAAAGAGATCGACAGTTCATATAGTTATTCTTGTTTCCCTCAACGAAAAAGTTCTTTTGCATTGTCCGATGAGAAAGGAGTGCAGTTATTACAAAGAGATTCCTTGTTAATACTTTTTTAATTGATTTATACGTGTTTTTACTTAACCGCTGTTGCCGATGCGTATATTGCTACTGCTCTTCATGACGATGCAATGGGTTTGCGCTTATTTCCCGCTCACAGCTCATTGAACAGGTTTTTTTTTTCTGAGAACTAAAACAGGCTGCTGGCACTATTACAAATAATAAAGACGGAAAAGGCCAACAATATTCATTATTTTCTCTTATCGCTGCTTCTCTCTCAGAAATGGGCTTCAGGTATAAGGTGATATGAAATTGTAACAAGTAACCAGCATGTTCACGTCTCTTCCCCTTTTAGCACACCTACTAAAAATGAGGTGTATGTGCCAGAAACCCTTTTGAAAAAAAGGAAAACAGTTGAAAAAACCGATGCTGAAAAAGAAGTGGAGCAAGCAAAGCAAGCTTTAGAAAAGAAAGATGCAAGAAAGCTCATGTTCAAAAAAGCCGATGCTTATATCAAAGAATACAGAAGAAAAGAAAACGACGAACTACGGCTACGACGACTGGCCAAAAGCAACGGCAACTTCTATGTACCAGCCCAACCGAAGCTCTATTTTGTCATTCGTATTTGCGGTATCAATGATATTCATCCCAAGGTGAAGAAAGTATTACAACTCTTTCGTCTGCTTCAAACCAACAATGGTGTATTTGTCAAGGTGAACAAAGCGACACTGCAAATGTTGCAAATCATTGAGCCTTATGTGACCTATGGCCCACCTAATTTGAAGACAGTACGAGAATTGATCTATAAGAGAGGCTTTGCCAAAGTCAACGGACAAAGAATACCCATCACAGATAATGCGCTTATAAATGAACACTTGGGAAAGCTAGGTATTATTTGTATAGAAGACGTGATTCATGAGATTTTTACTGTGGGTGACAATTTCAAACAAGTCAACAGCTTTTTATGGCCATTCAAATTGAGTAATCCAAATGGACATAAGAAAGTGTCGTGGAAGCCAAGAAAATTCAAGCATTATGTTGAAGGTGGTGATGCTGGTGATCGAGAGTTTGACATTAACAAACTCGTCCAATCGATGAATTAACGACATAGGCGATGGAAGTTTTCCATACAGAAGATCAGTTTATGTAGCCCGTGACTATGCAACAAGTTTTTATACACACATTTTTTTTTTTAATACATCTTTTACTTCTTCCCTTACCCGTTCTTTATTTTCATTCTTTCAACTCTCTTTTTTTCTTCCACCGATCTTTGCCTACTTTGTAAACAATAAAAATGCCTCAGGAAACAACAGCAGAATTCTTCAAAAGGTTCATGTCAGATGAAATGAAGTTTCAGGACTTTGTAGAGACAGGTTTTATGAAGTTGAATGATAGAGAAAAATACCGAAAGTCACTGAAAACTTGTAAAATGAAAGCAGCACGAAATAACAGCGAGCTCAACCGATATTCAGACATTCTGCCTTACGATGGGTGTCGAGTGGCACTTCGAAATCCACAACTAGGTGAAAGCGACGATGACTATATCAATGCAAGCTATATTATGGCACCTTTTAAAATAAAAAAACTGTATATCGCAACACAAGGCCCTTTAAAAAGAACCATCATCGATTTCTGGAGAATGGTCGTCGAGAATGGCGTAGCAGTCATAGTATGTTTAACGGCCGAGATTGAGAACAACAAAAAGAAATGCGAAAGATACTGGTCTCTGCCAGAGCAACCACTTGAGATGGAAAATGAAAAGGTGAAAGTGAAAGTATACCATGCAAAAAAGGATCAACACAATAAAGAAGCCGAGTGTATCATCAGAACAATGAACGTTGAATTTTACAGCCAAGGGGATGACGCAAAATTGCTGGCCAAACGTAAAGTGAGTCAGATTCAATTCTTGGGTTGGGCTGATCATGGCATACCAAAGACAACGACAAGCGTCATCAACTTGGTTGAATTAGCAAGACAATTGAATCCGGTACGGCAACAACCACCCTTAGTCGTTCATTGCAGCGCAGGGTGTGGGAGAACAGGCACTTTTTGCGTGCTTGATATTGCAGAGACCTACCTACGACAAAATCCTTATTCGCCTACAGATCCTATTTATCATATAACGAATGAAATCCGTAAAGCCCGTACAACCATGGTGCAGACCGAATCACAATATGAGTTCTGTTATAGAGCCCTTATAGATTTCATGAGCCGGAAAAAAGACGCTGAAGGAACTGATGGAGAAAAAGGAAATGGAGTTGAACAAAGCTAAAAATAGTTTCAGGACATATTTTGTTACTATATAGTATACTATGATTTACGAAAGGGCTCCAAGTACATAAGTAGTCATCGTGATACCAATGAAAAGAGGAGAGACGATAGTCTTTTTTTTTTTTTTTTTTTTTTCTTTGTTTTTCTTTTTTATTAATTACAATAAAAGGAGGAGCAGTCTAACAATACAGCTCAGAATAAAGATTGGATCGTGGTGCGCGAATATACACGCGTTTTCTCTAGGCTTTAGAAAAAATAAAATTAAATGTACGTTGTAAGCATGTGCTAATAGGACTGAATAAATTGCATGGCATCATTTGTTTTCGATGAGATTCATTGTACCCTTAAAAGGGATAATAAAGAAGCCCCCTTCCAGAGCAAAAGACACACACAAACACACACACACACACACACACACACACACACACACACACACACATACACTCACACTCACACACCCACACACATACCCCCTCCTCTGTAACATAAAGAAAAAAAGTGTTTCCTGACAGTACTGTATAATTTCATTATTTTTTATTACTCAGGAACAAGAAATTTGCAGTACATCATGGGCATGGTGGAACAATAATTGACTGCATAGGAGAGACGTTTATTTATCCAGCTATTTGAAACTGAGCGTCTTTTTTCCCAACGTCCCGATCAAGCCTGCCTGCATGCGAATAAGTTTGTTTTATATTTTTACGTAAATTCTTAGTAACAGAGCTTCTTGATCATTGATAATCAGATGAAAGGGTGTCGTAGTAGAGAGAACAATACATAGTCCTATTGAAAACTTTTTGGCCTCTATTTCAGGAGCTGCCAACATTCCATTGTATAAACTTTGTCCAAGCAAAATATTTATGATATTGTCGATGAATTTCAACTTTTTTCATTTTGAGTTTCAATGATCTATTAGAGCTCTCCTTTTTGTATGATGATGATACGTAAATCACTTTACTAGTGTTGATACTTTTTTTTTTTTTTTTTTTTTCTGTATTCTTTAATTTTCAGCAAAGAGATATTATATATCTGATCTATCAAATATTCCCCTTACTTTCGTCTTATTTAAATAGTCGGATTTTTTCTTTCCTTTCCTACCTTCTTTCTTTCTTTTTTTTTTTTTTATATCCAGTTCCGTGTATCATATACTTACCAATCCTACTGTATTCATCCTCTCTTCATATTCGAGTATAACTGCATTAACAGACACACACAGAGCAAAGATGTTTACGCAATCAAACCAACCCTATCAAATAAATGTTAATTCCAAGCAAGACGTGCAAACGACGCCAAACACCAACAAATTCCTGTCTAGCTACAAATTTCATCCTGCATTTCTTCATAACTACATCATTGGCGAAGAATTGGGTTCAGGTGGCTATGGCTTTGTTTTATCAGCTCGCGAACGCTCAACAGGTATAGAAAGAGCAGTAAAGTTTATCTTTCGTAACAAAGTGCCTTTACACAACTGGGTGAAAGATCGCGAACTTGGACCGATCCCAATGGAAGTCTATATTTTAAAGAATGTTCGACACCCAAGCGTTATTGGCTATGTTGATTTTTATCAAGACAATTACTTTTGCTACCTCGTCATGGAGTTGCATGGCACACAATGGTCAGCTACACCCAACGCTGTCAACAGCAACACCAACTACACAACTACTCACTTTGAGCAACCAAGATCTCCAGCGCTATCAGAAACATCTTCTTCTGGCAGTACAAGCTCCTATTGCTCTATCGACACTCCTCTTGAAGAGTACCCTTCCTTTGAAACAACCAACAAAATGAATCAACAACAGCAAGAAGCGCCTTGTGTTATCAAGAGACGTACTTCATGTGATTTATTTGAATGTATCGAACGTCACCACTCTTTCGAAGAACCTGTCGCTAAAATGATCTTCAAGCAAATTGCTTCCTGTGTTGCTTACCTTGACAAAATTGGCGTTTGCCATCGTGATATCAAGGATGAAAATATTGTCATTGATGATCACTTTCAGGTACCTGCCCACCCCCCCCACAATTTTGCAAAAACTCTTTTTTTTTTTTATTTTTATCTTTCTTGCTAACCCTATCCATGTCTCTCACGATCCATGATGACAGGTCAAATTGATCGACTTTGGTTCTGCTGTACTCCTACCGCGTCATTATGGCGATAACACTAATTATTTGTTCAGTCAATTTTACGGCACTGTCAGTTTCGCCTCACCGGAAATCTTATTAGGTAGACCCTACCGTGCTGAACCTGCAGAAATTTGGTCACTTGGTGTGTTACTCTATACAATTCTATTTGGTGAAGTCCCTTTCTACGACTCCAATATGGCAATCGCTGGTCAGTTTGCTCAACCAAAAAGAAGCGTATCTCCCGAATGTTACAACCTCATCTCTTGTATGCTTAATCGCTCTCCCGAAAAAAGACCTTCCATCCACCAGGTCCTTAATCACCCTTGGTTTTTCGAGTTTTAAACTATGGAAAATCACAGATATCCCAAATCGATACCAACAAAAAAAAAAACCCACAAAACAAAAAGAATAATTTATACGCATCATTCACCTATTAGCAACAACAGCAACAGTTATTATCTCATGTTTCAGTCACACAGACATACACACATCCTTATAAGCGTAGTCGACTCTTTTCTTACAGCATTGCATTACACGAACACAGACACAAACTAATCAGCATATAAACTCCCCTCCCCCTCAGCATCCCATACAAACGGTTGTGCGCATTTTTGAAAACGTACGCAACCACACAAACATACATCTTAACTTTAACCTTCTGCATGGCCTTCTTTTTTTTTTTTTTTTTTTTTTTCATTATAATTCCTTACATATCTTCTATTAATTCTTTCTAAGCATATCTTCTAATACATCTTCTCCCCTTCTGAATAATTTATTTGCAAAATTAATCTTCTCCCTTTTCCACATACTCCTCCTGAAAAAGAAAAAAAAAAAAAAACAGAAAAAAGTAATCCATATACAATTCTTATACTAGTGCCTTTAACAGGTTTCTTTTATAACATACACGCATATATATATATATATTGATATATATATATATATATATATTTATCCTTATGCAATACTACTACTACTACTACTACTACTACTAATACTCTATACCAAAGGCTTTCTATTATACCTTTAATCCCACTTTCTCTATGGCAATTTAAAAAAAAAAAAAAGAAAAAATACCAAAAAAAAACCCAACCCTAACGTATACCACTCCACAGAATAAAGTAATTCTTGTAAATATCTTTTTTCATCTCTACGGCATGTGACCATGGTTTTCTAGAGTTTTGATGAAGAATGAATTGTCATAGTAGTACTGCAGATAACTAAGGTTCTATAACAGTGCTTTCAACAGGGAAAAAAAAAAAAGCCGATCACGCAACTATGCACATCCATAGAAAGGACCCTCTTGTCGTTTTTTTTTTTTTTTTTTTTTTTTTTGCTAGGCATACTGACAATGAGCCTTCTTTTCGCTCTCCTGCAAAAGCTTTTTCCTTATTGTCATTATGGCTGCTGATATGGGTCTGTTCATTTCATATTTACTGTGAAAGAGTGCCCACATCGTTCATCATCCATTGAAAGAAAAAGAGAGATAGAGAGAGAGAGAGAGAGAGACACCAATGATAAGATATGCATCAGCCATCGTTGCGCTGGTGAAATACGCAATTTGCTCTTTAATAAAATCTTAGTGATTGCTGCTAGGGGTGGGGGAGGTGCGCAGAGCATGGCACATTGAAAACTTTTGGAGGGCCTGACTTGTTCTCTTTTATCAACCAAACAACGACGCCATGAGAAGCAAGAGGACGGTTTCACAAATGCCGTTGGTGCTGTAACAATACAACTGAAAGGCCCTTCTTTTAGTTTTCTGTATTTAGCCTTAAAAGGCGAACTTTTTAACTTTCAATTACATAATCAATGCATTATGCAAGCAACAGGACTTTTAAAAGAAAAACTCTAGACCCCCTTTTCCCTTATATGTCAAAAGATTAAAAAAAAAAAACAACCAAAACCAAGGGGCAAAAAACAAAAATTTTGATCATGGCCTTTTTGGCAGTAGCACCTTTAAAAAATTAAAGCCAAATTATGACCAAGAACAATAGTCAGCAAGGGAATTTAAAGCAAGCGTTAGTTGCCGGTGCTTGTGCAGGCACAGCTGTAGATACGGCTCTTTTTCCATTAGGCAAGTTCGCAACGAGCCGTAGTGATGTCATCGCCCGGATGTTCTCAAAGATCGAATGGCACGAATGAAGGCTAATGTCATTGTTATTGATTTAGACACCATCAAGACGCGTTTACAATCACAACACGGATTCCTCGCTTCCGGTGGATTTCGTGGCATCTACTCAGGTTTGCTGACGGCTGTTATCGGTAGTGCACCAGGAGGTAGGAGCTTGGGGGGAAACGACAGCATAGGATTGACACAAAGAAAAGCTTTTTAACCTCTCTGGCCTATATTTTTACAGCCTCTTTGTTCTTTGTGACCTATGAAGCCTCCAAACGTATTTTGGGAGCCACCATCGATGACAAAAAATACGCTCCCATCGTGCATATGACAGCAGCCTCTCTCGGTGAAACGATTGCTTGCACAGTGCGCGTGCCGACCGAAGTCATCAAGCAAAGAATGCAAACAAAGCAATTCAACAAAACGTCCGCTGCTGTAGCCCATGTGCTCAAAACAGAAGGTATTTTAGGCCTGTATCGCGGATTTTTATCGACCGTTGTGCGTGAAATTCCTTTTACATGTATCCAATTCCCTCTGTACGAATACTTTAAGCGTACTTATGCTAATCTCAAGGGACGCCGTACAGAACCTTATGAAGCGGCGTTCATGGGGTCGATCGCGGGCGGGATTGCAGCCGCCGCCACAACGCCATTGGATGTGTGTAAAACGCGAATTATGCTCTCCAACAAAAATCACACAGCAAAGCATTATGCTGGCATTGTTTCCACCATGAAACGTATCGCTGCAGAGGAAGGACCGCGAGCTTTATTTTCTGGCATTGGACCTCGTGTGATGTGGATTTCCATAGGCGGAAGCATCTTTTTGGGCGTGTATGAAAAGGCCTTGAAGACATTTGTACAGCTCAACATTTTGGAGGATAGATTTTGAAAAAAGTCACATTTAGAGATCCCCAATTGCTTGTATATTTTTTATTTTTTTATTTTTTTTTGTTTTTAATTATCTATTTGTTCGTGTTGTTACAGTTTGTTACCCATAGAATGTTCCTCTCTCCTGAATAAAATCTCTAGAATGAGTCATCTATCACTCGAGAAAGCTGTCGGAAATTACAGTACAGTGGTCCATATGGCCAAAACAGATCAAGTCGCTGTGTGGGATGTTGAGTTCATTAAAGAATGTATGCATTGGTGCATCTTCATCGAGACTGAAATGAGTGTCTTGACGGAAGAGCAAAGGGAAGCAACCATTAAAAGAGCCAAACGTCATCATCTACATACCGACATGGCAACTCCCGAACAATTACTCGATGCTTTGCATCATTTCTTTTATTTGTTACTTGACAATACCCATTTGAACAATCAAGTCTATTTATTCATTATCAAAAATTATCAGTTTTTAAACAAACCAGATCAACAAGGTTTATGCAAGGTGAGCCTACACCAGAAAAAGAACCAAAAACCAAACATCAACTACAAACTAACATGCAGGTCTGATATTGATAGGATTTGACAGATTTAGCAAGACAGTCAGCAACGACAAACATTTTAGAAGCAATACTCAGAGAACTGAATTCTACATAGATCCCGCATTTCCCCACCCGTGAAAAAAAAAAAGAAAAGCCGATATCCACGTTTTTTGAGAAATTTTTATTGTTCATTGCTTTTGGGCTTTTTTTTTTGGCAAAAATAAGAAAATAAATACAAAAGTTTTTTTTTTGTTACAAAAACGCTGCACTATTGGCAACTTGCTTTCTCAATGTTTCCAGAAGGTAGAGTGAATGAGAAACTTATTGCTTGGTGACTACAGTGAATAAGAGAAGGGAAAAGGAACTCATCAATGGACTGCGCGCTTTTAAAAGAGCGGGATACATTGATCACATAAAGTACTTACCACCAATGACACCACAAGCCAAACGATCACCGGCATTACCAGTGCTGGCAGAGAGCTCATGACCACCGAGACCGAGGTCATCTTCATCAGCGTGAACAATGACGGTACGACTGAGTGTCAAAAGATAAAAAACTTGTTAATATCCTGACATGGGGAGACGCCTACAAATACTCTTTTCTTACCCAATGATAGACAAAGGACCGATCAATTTCAATTGAGCATCTTCCATATGTAGCTTGGCTTCACCTTTGTCATTAGCAACGATGTTACCCAAGTCACCAGCGTGACGAACTTCAGCATCGGGGGCACCGTGGGTCTTATTATGAGGGTTGAAGTGGGGACCAGCGGAAATACAACCTAAATTTTTTTGGGATGTGTAAAAAGATTAGTCATATTTTCTTTTTGACAGTTCTATGGTCTTCTCTCTCTTTCTCTCTCTCTCTCGTCTGGGCGGCACACACTGCTCCATCCACACCACTCTAGTGTTTCATTTTTAGATACTTTACCGTTGGTAGTATCGCCGAATTCGTGAATATGGAAACCGTGTTTACCAGGCTTCAAACCGGTGAAAGAGGCATCAACGACAACCTTGGCATCTTCAGAAGCTTGAGTGAACTTGACAACACCAGAAACTTCAGCACCCTTAAGAACAGCAACAGCGACAACCATTTTTTGTGATTGAAAAAAAAATAAATATACGCGAGAGAAAAGTATAGCAGAAAAGAAGGAAACAGAATGAAAAAAAAAAAAGTGGGAGAATTTATATGACCGTTGTGGAGGAACGAGGCATTAATTTTATGAGACAGCTAAAAAGACCGGTGCACACAGTTTTGTAAATATGGTTATCTTTTCATCCAATCATAAAGATAATACGTAAGAATTTTATTATGTTCTCATTGGTCGATGATGACAAAATGAACCAGATGCATGAAATGAAGGAAAATAAAATAGTATCTAAAAGAGACCTGCTATCAAGTCACATCCTTGCACTTGTTACAATACATTAGGCTGATTAATCAACAATGATAAAAGATAATTTAGAGGGAATGCCCCAAAAAAAAAACGGGATAAAAAAAGTTTAATAAAAGTACTTTGAATCATCATCTCACATATGTGTATACGCGCCATAATTGTAACCAGGACGAGCCTGGTTGGCGTACTCTGAAGACGAGGAGGCTGGTGGTGTTTGTGTATTTCGTTGATTCATTGATGGTGAAAAGGGGTTGGCTGGAGGATGATTGGAGGGAACGTGATGATTGTGGTTGATATTATTAGTAGCGCTTAAACTAGCAGTAACCTGAGATAGCAACGATGCCAAAGCAGGATTGCCCGTAGCTGCCGTACTTAACAGCGCGGCAATATTAGGCTGACTTGCAGTGGTCGCTGCATTTGGAAAAGGTACTTGTGAAGATATAGGCGGAGGACTAAATGTTTGATTCTGCTGTATTGAAGAAGGTGGTGCGTAGGGTTGTGCTGGGGCATTCATACAGGCCGGTGCAACAGGTGTGGTATTATTGGAGGTTGTGACACCAGGGAAAATGGGCGGGGTTGAATGAGCCTGAGCAGGAGAAGGAGTATTCACATTCAAACCAGAAGCTAAAGTAGCAATAAGTTGACTTATGGAGGGCTGTACAGGTGCAACAGGTACAGAGCTATTTTGTGCTTGAAGCATGTTGAGAACTGTTTTCAAGGTATTAGGATCAATGTTTAATGGCGGGGCTGCAGGTTGAGATTGTGGAATATAGGGTTGATGTAGTTGATGTAGTTGATGTTGTTGTTGTTGTTGTTGTTGTTGTTGTTGTCGTTGTTGTTGTTGTTGCTGCTGTTGCTGATGATGATGATACTGAATAGGCTGTGGTGGCGCTTGAGATAGAGGTGCGAAAGTAGGTGGGTTGTTATAATAAGGCCGTGGTTGAGCTGGTAATGAAGGGGGGGCTTGAGGTTGTGAACGCTTTACAATGTTGACTGCTTCCATAGGAGTTACGCTATCATATTCTAAATCAAGACAAAATAGCTTTGGTTAGTTTCATCCTAATAATAAAGTATAATGAATCGCAATACATTCATACCATCAAAATGAACACCACCATTCTGGTTCATAGCAAACACTTGCAAATAAACTTTATGCTTGGCTTCATTAGCACGATCGATCATGACAAGCGCCTTGACCCCTTCTAAAACCATTTGCTTTACGACGTTTTCTCGATTATCCTTTGTATAATATAAAGTAGCAGAAGAAGTACTTATCCGATTTTGTACAAACATTTTTTCAACTGTCGCAACAAACCCTCGATAGGCATCACTCCATGATATAATCTGGACAACAGGTACAATGTTATTCTTACGAAGGATCAAAGAATTCTTAAAGTTAGGTTGGTACATGGAAGTCGCTTGTTTCGAGCCATAATTGTGCATAGCACCTGGCTTTCCAAAATCATTTCTACTTTTCGCTCTGTCGTGGTTATCCAAATTATGTTGTTCCTGGCGACCTCTGAAATTATTGCGTTCTAAAGCCTTAGAAGGATCGTTCTTTCGAACACGTTGACGTGGAGGTGAACGGCTTCGGTTGCGTCCCAAATCGACGGAGCGTTCACGGCGACGGCGTTGAGGCGGGGAATCTGTTCTACGGGTGGCAGATGTATGCACATTTTCACGAGCACGTGCAAAGAAAGGTTTCTTTTTGCATATCTCTAATTCTACATAGTATAGGATTCAAAGATAAAAAAACAAATACCGTACACACACACACAGATACAAACACACACACACACACACACACACACGTGTAAATGTACGCATACATCAATAAGGACATAAATAAAATAATTGTAAATTCTCCTTTTCATAATATAAACTTTCTTGAACAAATTAAAGTTTTTCTTACCTAATACAACACCATTGAATATTTTGCCATTCTCAGCCTTTACAGCACGAGCACACATGTCTGGTTTCTCAAAATGAACGAAACCAAAAGAGTTTTTCTGAACAACTTCAATAACATCACCATACTTGCTAAAGTAATCCATAACTTCCTGCTTATTCACACCTTGAGGGAGTTGACGGATTAGCATGCGCGACTCAGGGGAAACAGTGCTCCAATCAATTTCTTTTTTGGATAAAATCTGAACTGGCGAATCGCCATGCATAGAACTAGGAGTAATAATAGTAGTAGTAGTAGTAGTAGTAGTAGTAGTAGAATGACTAGCAGGAGTAGGATCCGAAGTCGTGTTAGACTGTCTTGATGAAGAAAAACGACGTTTAGATGGCTCTGTATTTTTTCTACTACTCAAGAGCGCATACTCATCAAACTCATCTAGGACCTTTCCTTTCTCTTCCACATTTGCAAAATTTTCAGTGATGACATCAGAGTTTTTCTCCGTAGCACGCTCATGGAACTCTTCTTTTTCTAAAGAAGCTGCTGATGGTGGCTGTGGGTGGTCTTCGGGTATAATACTATTAGCATCGGCATTATTATTTGACGACAACGACAACGACAACGACGACGACGACGCTAACACTGGATTGGGTTCTGCTTCAATAGTAGTGAATGACTTGTTTGGACTATCTGCTTTTGGAATAAACGGAGGTGTAATAATAGCACTGGTAGCTGTGGATGTGTTTGTAGAATTAGAAGGACTAGCAGGTAGAGTAGTAACTACAGCAGGAGCTGGAATATCAGAACTAGGACTATCCGTAGTACTACTAGCAGTATTACTACTTGTGCTTTTGCTCCCAAATAAAGCTGAGAAAAAGTCTTCTACAACAGATGGCTTATTTTCACTAGTGCTGCTTTCGGCCATTTTCAAAAAGTAGTTAAGGGTTAATGGATTTTAGGGCTTTTTTTTTTTGGGTTTCCTTTTTAACGATAAAAATTGGGTATTTCTTATAGCGAAACAAAGAAGAATAGTTGACTGTACTGATCAAACTTTTTTTTCAATATTGGAAAGACGATAAAAGTTGTTATCGAATATGTGGGTTATAAAAGGGTTGTGAAAATAACAAAGACACTTAAAAATCCTTGATTTTTTGGGGCTTCTTCGAATTTAAATGATTAAGGAAAAGAGAAAAAGGGAAACGGCTGCAAAGGAAAAAAAATTTTCTCTTTTGTAATCTCCCCCACCCCCACCCAATTGAAAAAGCGTCGGCTTTTTTACTTATATTACGTAATGCTCCTAGGTCTCTAATGCAATGGCTCACATAGTTTGTCACTTTAAAACTGCTGCAGTAAGTGTTCCAGTATGTATTTTCTGTAATGCAATAGTGAGACTAGAATTTATTACAAGAGTATTTAGAATCTCAGTGTTTGGCCTGAGGCCAAGGATGCCCTTCAAAAGCGTTGTATTGGTTACTGAATGAATAAAGTAGCAGCTAAACACTGTCAGCAAAATTCTCGAAATGAACTCCGTCAAAAGCGCTTTCCCGCATCAAGCTTTTCCACATTTATATACGAATTGTCTCCCCCTTTCTGAACGCTTGTATTCGTTTACAAAAAAAAAGGAACCATGGACGATCTTGAGAAATTAGAGCACTTGTCACTTGTTCAGAAGGTCGTTAGTGAACTTTACAACCATACCGGCTTACAAGAACAAGTTTTAGGTAGGGTCAATGGAGCGAAAAGGGAAACTGTCTTTCGGCTCAATCGAACTAACCCTCCTTGTTTTTAATGCAGCCGAGTTCATTATCCATCTTCATGATCAGGCTAATGGAGATTTGAACAAATTCAAGCAGTCTTTAAAAGACGCTTCGGCTGATTTTCCCGAGTCTTTTGTTGAGAATTTAGATCGTGTGATTAAAACGTTAAAGCCAAAAAAGAAAATTCATAGGGACGATACAGATCAAGAGAAAGCCCAAGCTTTCCCAGGCTTAGCGATCAAAGACGATGATGAGTGGCAGAAGAAAAGAGAAGAGGACATAAGAATTGCTGATGACATGATGGCCGAACTTGAGGGATTAAATGCAGTAGCAAAAGGAACGAGCAGCAAACGTAGGAGAGAAAGTCCACCGACCGAAAGACGTCGTCGTCGACGTCATTCTCGGTCTCGATCCCGCTCCCGCTCACGCTCACGCTCACGCTCACGCTCACGCTCACCTAGAAGAAGAGATCGGAGACATGGGTCACCTTCGAGAAGTAGCAAACTTGACGATTCACCCATCATTTATAAGATATATGACGGCACAATTACACAGATTAAGGACTTTGGTGCATTTGTTAGATTGGAAGGGATCAAAGGCCGAGTAGAAGGTTTGGTACATGTTACAGCTATTATTCCTGGGCGTGTGAACGACCCTAGGGAAATCATCAGAGTACATCAACGTGTCAAAGTGAAGGTGATGTCAGTCGCTGGCTCTCGTGTCAGCTTATCTATGAAAGACGTTGACCAAAAGACAGGCGAAGACTTGAGTCCCAACTTGAGAGTGAGATCAAATGAAGAATTAGAAGCAATCAAGTCGAGAAATCCAGACCGATCTTCTTATCTTCATGGACCTGATAGACAAACCACAAAATTGGCAATGGATGATACTCCCTCGCGATCCATTAAGCGAATGTCGTCTCCTGAACGTTGGGAATTGAAGCAGTTGATTGCCTCTGGCGTCGCTGATCCAGCAGACTATCCAGAGCTAAATGAAGATCTAGATTTTTCAGGCAATGTTGAAACAGAAGAAGAAATTGATGTAGAAGTACGAGAAGAAGAGCCACCCTTTTTACGGGGACAGACGAATCAAACATTAGATTTGAGTCCTGTCAAAGTAGTCAAAGTACCTGACGGCACAATGAACAGAGCAGCATTGTCCGGTGCATCTTTAGCTAAAGAACGTAGAGAATTAAGACAACAGCAACAGCAACAAGAAATGGATGCTGTGCCGCAGGATGTGAATACTGGGTGGTTAGATCCTATGGCTGCACCTAATGGAAGACAATTCGCTCAAGATGCTCGTGGTGCTGTTGCCAGTTCACGAACAGATCAGATTCCCGAATGGAAAAAGGCTACTTTTAATAACGCAACTACCTTTGGTAAAGTGACAAGTTTGTCAATCCAAGAACAGCGTGAATCGCTACCCATTTATAAGCTTCGCAGCTCTCTTATCCAAGCTATTCATGAAGTAAGTTATCACATGGTGAAAAAGGAGATGCTTCTTCGCATCCATCAAAGAGAAATTGTATGACTAAAAACGATTGAATGATTAGAATCAAATGTTGATTGTTGTGGGTGATACTGGTTCTGGTAAAACGACCCAAATGACACAATATTTAGCAGAAGAAGGTTTCGCAAACACGGGTAGGATTGGCTGTACGCAACCGCGTCGTGTGGCTGCTATGTCAGTTGCTAAGCGTGTCGCTGAAGAAGTGGGCTGTCGTGTAGGTCAAGAGGTCGGTTATACAATTCGTTTTGAGGATTGTACCAGTCCCGAAACACGTATCAAGTACATGACCGATGGTATGCTTCTGAGAGAATGTCTTATCGACCCTGAAATGTCGCAGTACTCTGTAGTTATTCTAGACGAAGCTCACGAAAGAACAATCTCGACGGATGTTTTGTTCGGTTTACTTAAACGAGCTGCAAAAAAACGGCCCGATTTAAAGCTTATCATCACCTCTGCGACGTTGGATGCCGATAAATTTGCCACTTACTTCAATAACTGCCCTATTTTCACTATTCCCGGTCGAACTTATCCTGTTGAAGTGCTTTATACAAAAGATCCTGAAAGTGACTATTTGGATGCGGCCTTGATCACTGTTATGCAAATTCATCTTTCTGAACCTCCAGGAGATATTCTATTATTCTTAACGGGTCAAGAAGAGATTGACACAGCATGTGAAATTCTGTTTGAACGTATGAAAGCATTAGGTAATGATGTGCCTGATTTGATTATCTTACCGGTGTATAGTGCCTTGCCTTCAGAAATGCAATCACGTATCTTCGATCCAGCGCCACCAGGCAGTCGTAAAGTAGTTATAGCTACCAATATTGCCGAGACCTCCATTACCATTGATGGCATTTATTACGTGGTGGACCCCGGTTTTGTCAAGCAAAACAAGTGGGATGCCAAATTAGGTATGGATTCCTTGGTCGTTGTTCCTATCTCTCAAGCTGCCGCTAGGCAGCGTGCTGGTCGTGCTGGTCGTACAGGTCCAGGCAAATGTTACCGTCTCTATACCGAAGCTGCTTATCGTAATGAAATGCTGCCTAATACCATTCCCGAAATTCAGTTGCTCAATTTATCCATGACAGTACTTACATTGAAAGCAATGGGTGTCAACGATTTATTGCATTTTGATTTTATGGACCCCCCACCTGAGAACAATTTAATTCAAGCCTTGGAACAGCTGTATGCTTTGCAAGCCTTGGATGATGAAGGCTTATTGACGCGTTTGGGCCGTAAAATGGCAGAGTTCCCACTGGAGCCTCAATTGTCAAAGATGTTGATTCAGTCCGTTGATTTGGGCTGCTCAGAAGAGATATTGACCATTGTCGCTATGTTGACAGCTCAGAATGTATTTTATCGACCAAAAGAAAAACAAGCCCAAGCAGATCAAAAGAAAGCCAAGTTCCATCAACCCGAAGGTGACCATTTGACACTTCTGACTGTATACAACGGCTGGAAAGGAAGTAAATTTTCAAACGCATGGTGTTTCGACAACTATATTCAAGGAAGAAGTATGAAACGTGCTCAAGATGTGAGGAAACAATTACTAGGTATTATGGACAGGTAAGATGGCTCGAAAAACAATAGTACAGATGCAAAGTAAGGAGTATTGACATTATTGGATATTAGATATCGCCATGATATTGTATCTTGTGGACGTAACTATACTAAAGTGTGTAAAGCGCTCGTGTCTGGTTATTTCAGAAATGCAGCGAAAAAGGACCCGCAGGAAGGGTATAAGACGTTGTTAGAAGGTACACCTGTATATATTCACCCTTCTAGTGCCTTATTCAATAAGGGTCCTGAGTGGTAAGTAATTTCTTTGATGCCTCTGTTCATTTTTTGCATCCATCCGAAACTAAAACTCGCTTCTTTTTAGGGTTATTTATCACGAAATTGTGTTCACAACAAAAGAATATATGCGTGAAGTGACAGCGATCGACCCACGATGGTTAACAGAAGCGGCACCTACTTTCTTCCGTGTTGCAGATGCTAACAAGATCTCCAAAAGAAAGAAGCAAGAAAAAATTGAACCCTTATATAATCGTTATGAAAAGCCTAATGAATGGCGTCTCAGTAGAGTCAAACGCGGCGGTCGTATTAGCCAAACCTTTGGTTAAAGAACCTCTGGAGAATTATGCATATTCCATTTACATTTATAGCTTCTTAAGTAACTTTTATTTTCTGATTAATGTAGAGATAATAATAAATTGGCGGTGCCCCTGGCTTGTCGTTGAGTTGAGTTACTTGAATGGGTATTTTACGTTTAGTTTTCCAATGGTAAACATTATTTGTATCTGCGTTCATTTGGCAATGATATTCCCGTTCACTTGAAAAAGATACTGAGAACCAATGTCCATCTGTTTCTGTCACAGAGAGGATTTCTGCTGCAAGTCTCTTGACACGACTCTGGTTGTCATCATCACCGCATGCAATTGTATCAATAAGACTCTTATCAATGACGACAGGGTATACTTTCTTTGGTAAATAGGACTGCAGATGATATAAACAGTCTCCTTTATACCAAGAAATACTCGAATAATTGATTTTTGCTTCAATTTCCCTTTTCTGTGTGACAGACTTCATGTACGAGATCACATTTTCAGCGTAATCTACATTTGTGATATTTCTGTAACCACTTTCAAAAATGTCAAATGCGAGTGTTGAATTTCCACAGCCTATTAAAGTTTGAATGGATAACTTAGTGGTTTGCGCATGTAAAATCAAGACATGTTCATAATTGAGCAACGATTTTCAGTACCAACATGAAGTATCTCATCAGACACGTTAAGAAAAGGAATGATTTCTGATTTTATGTTATTCCAAGTCAATAACCACTCAAAATGCTTTTCTCTTTTAAATCTATCTTCCCAGTACGATTTTTCGTGGAATGGGACGGCATTCAAATTCGTCATATTCCACTTCTTACAACAGTTGACCCAAAAAACCAAAAAAAAAAACAGAAACGGAAAAGAATGACTGAACGAAAGAGGAGGAAAAAAGTTTGATATGTAGACTTTGTGTCAAATAGAAAAAGTCACGGGATGTCACTTTTGAATCAAAACCTATTTTACCTCATTGTAATTGTATCCTGCTCATCTTTATATAAAAGTTTTAAACAAACAAATGGAGTTTTAAGATGAAGTTTATTTTCGCGGTTTTGTTTATTTATTACAATTCACTGCTACGAACTGATTGATCTATTTTTCTGTTCTGAATTCTACCTCAATATTATTGATAGCCACGGGTTCACCAGCCTAACAATCGGTATTGATTAGACACTATCTTTGCCCTCGCTTTCAGAATCATTGAATGTACCTTTTCATCATAATCTGCCCATTCCCCTTCAGTAAGGTCAATATCCTCAAATACTGAGTTGGTCTCTAAACCCTTGGCACTCCAAGGCTCCTAGATAAAACATCATACCATCAGTGTGATTCAGATGAAAATTATATGTCTTACTGCAAGACTATCTTTTATGTATATATATACCTTAGGCTGAAAATCAACCAACTCCATACCACGACAGTCAAATTGAGCAATCTGCTGGAATTTTCCACTATTTTCGGCATCATATTTTTTAATCTTAAAAGATGGTTCAAAACCTATATTGGTATGTTATTAACATGCGGTTTTCAGCCTACAATGATCGTCTTTCATGCATTTGATCTATACATACTGGCAGTCATATCACGCTTGCAAAACTTGCAGCGCATCACCAAATTGGCTGAGCCGCGTGAAGAATTCATTTCGTAGGTGTCCTATTTCATTGACTTTATAAGTATAAAAGCGTGTAGTAACTATATCAATCGTATTTGAGCGTTGTTTACTTGTTGGTTGAAAGTGATCCAGGATTCATCTATCTCGTGACAACTAGTGCACTGTACCTTTTTCCGCGAGCAATTGTATGTAAGTAAACTATTCGAGAAACTCATAGCTCCTTATAGTCAAACGGTACTATTGCATTAAATACCTTAAAGTTCCATTCAAAATCTTCGGCTGGAAGGAGATCGGTTACATTCTCGAGATCAGCTTTCAAATAAAGCCCTAATTTCTACGAAGAAACGAATCAATTATTCTTGTCAATAAATGAATTTATAATTGAAAACTCGGTACATACGACCATATTGTATTTAAAAAAAGTTCTTCCAAGGAAAACAGTCAATCTAGATGTGTCTGTTGGAAAATGCTTGCTTTATGCGTTCAGAAAAACCCAATTTAAACTCACAGCAGCAGCAGTACTGGAAATTTTGCAACTCAAAAGAAGTATCAAAATCGATTCAGGCTTCTAGCGAAACACATATGTAACTATGTGTGGTATACTCTTTTCTGTAACTACGCCGGATAAGCCAATAAATCAGGATGTATGGAACACTTTGCAAGAGTTGAATACAAGAAGAGGTAGAGTAGCCATAGTTTGGAATCCTCAAAACAGTAGATTAACTTTCTGATCGTCAGGTCCTGATGCACAGAATTTGGAGTGTGTACAGTTGGAAACTGAAGGATCTCGAACACTATTGCTTCGATTCTTCTCAACTGTTCTCCACTTGAGAGGGACTGAAATTAGCCCTCAACCAAAATATAATAAGGACAGCGGTAATATTCTTTGTTGGAATGGTGAAATTTTTGGTGGGATCGAAGTAAGTTGCTATAAAGATATAGATCGATGAGTGAACGCTTACTGATCGAAGTAATCTATTATAGGTTGGTCAAGAAGAAAACGACACGAACGTCTTGATGAATCACTTAGAGAATGCAAAAAATGAAAAGGACATCTTGAATATCCTTCAAAGCATAGAGGGGCCTTTTGCTTTTGTTTACTATAGAGCAGCCATGAAAAAGATATACTTTGGGCGGGATTGTTTAGGCCGCAGATCATTATTATGGCATCGATCAGCTGATGGTCATTTTATATTAAGTTCAGTTTGCATGGTTCCTAAAAAAGATTCTCCAGAAGAGAACAATGCATGGGAAGAAGTACCAGCAAATGGTTTTTATCGCATCGATTTGAGCAACGTTGATCCTCCTCTTGAATTACCCACAGTATGCAGACTTTCACTAAGCTTAATACCTTGGAAGTATGCAGCAGAGGATCTGGACGCCAAAGATACAGAAAGTACAATCCTTGTGAGTATCACTAGACTTAGGGAAATATAGCAGCAGATACTCATATCATATCAATCTAGAAACTGCCGTATCACAAATTGAACAAAGATATTCCAACTTTAGAAGAGATCGAGGATGCTAACGTTGAGCCAAGCATGAGTATTGAGATGGAACAAAAGGTGAATGAATTTGTATCAGTCCTTGGTGATGCCGTAAAGAGAAGGGTGGCGGATATACCATACTTAAAGTAGGATTTTAAATCAGGCGCGCTGGTTTACTTATACCGCAAACTCACTTTGCATTTTCCGTGTTCTATTAGCACGAAAGGACAGCCAAGAGTAGCTATTCTATTTTCCGGAGGTTTAGATTGTATATGTTTAGCAGCTTTGGCAGATCAATATTTACCATCGTTGGAGGCGATTGATTTGTTAAACGTAGCTTTCGAGAATCCCCGAGCTGAACAAGCCAAGTCGAGTGCACAAAAACAATCTAAAAGCAAAAAGAAGAAAAACAATAAAAATGATCACACGGCTGATTCGTTGCATATGGATGAACCTATCAATAACATATATGATACGCCTGATCGATTGACTGGAAGAGCAAGCGTCGAAGAGTTAAGGCGTATAGCTCCGCATCGTCTATGGAACTTTGTAGAGATCAATGTGCCCTACAGTGAAGCCTTGGAATACCGACAACGAATAATTGACCGGATGTATCCGTTGGACACCGTCATGGATTTGGTACGGGATAAGAACAAGCACTGATATTAAGATGGCTAAAATGGTAACAAATTGACCAATATTTATTTTACAGAGTATCGCGATGGCATTTTGGTTTGCATCAAGAGGAAGAGGTAATCTTTCCAACATGCATATAAACGTAACAGATCTATACTAATGTTTCAATTGAATCACAGGTGCTATTCGTAATAATGATGGTGAATTACAAGTAAGTACAAAAATTTAGTAAAACAAATAGTACCTACACTAATATATGCTGTAAAGGAATACGAAAGTCATTCTCGAGTTTTAATCTCTGGGCTCGGTGCGGATGAACAATTAGGTGGTTATTCTAGGCATAGAGAGGCTTTCAGACATGGCGGCTGGAACCGTCTAATAGAAGAAGTAAAGTTATTTTTTTGATATTGTTGGCTCAATTGTCAAAAGTATTCTAATCTTAAAATGCTATAGGTTCAGTTAGATATCGATAGAATATCGACACGAAATTTAGGCAGAGACGATCGTATCATGTCTGACCATGGTAAAGAAGTCCGTTTCCCCTTTTTAAGCACCAGCGTCGTAGATTGGTTATGTCGTCAGCCAATTTATATAAAGATGGATTTAAGGTATAACAGAGGACTGGGTGAAAAGCTTTTATTGAGGCATGTTGCTCGTCAGTTAGGGTTAATAAATGCAAGTCGCAATTGGAAGAGAGCTATACAGTTCGGCGCTAAGACAGCAAAGATGACGGGTGAGGCACGATCTGAGAAAGGTCAGCACAAATTATCTGTAGCTTCAACAACATCATAACGGAAACGAGTCAATAGCCCTTTTATATTCCGGACTGACATACTCGTAAAGTTCCTGTTTCGATAACCAAGCAAAGTCGACAATCTCCTTTCCATCGGGAAGGCATTGACCTTCTAACCAATTGGATAAGTAAAAGGATACCTGGAGAAATACAATAGCAATGTTGAAAAATGATTTTTTAAATATTTTGTATTTGAATAAAAATGCTGTATTCTTCACATAACTTTACGTTGGCACCAACAGAAGTATCCCATCTGTTAAAGTTTGAAGGAAATTTGTATTTATAACTGCCTAATGGATTTCTGTTCACAACATCAACTTTTATCTGTGAGCCACACTCTTCTCGTAGTTCCCGCAAGGCTGCCTCCAGACCTGTTTCGCCTGGATCTTGTCCACCTTGAGGGAATTGCCATGCATGCGTCTGTCGAGGTTTCTGAACAAGGAGGTACAGCGTTTCGTTTGGCAAACGGTTATAATTCCTCAAATCTCGCACTGTTGACGTCTTAATTTGAGTATTCAGCGGCATTCGGCGTACGATAATACTAGAAACTGCTCGGTAAACTTCAGTCATGCTTATGTACTGAAATCTTGAAATTGAGCAAATTAGCAACTTCACTCATGCTTGTCCATTGAAACCTTAAAAATTGATATCAAAAGAGCAAATTACATTATGCGTCGCCACTTAAAGTGTAAGTGGCTTATTGTATCGAAGGTATCAGTTCTCTTATTCTTGGTTTGGATTCGATTAGATGTGCCATGGCAAAGTCTCAACAGAAGGAAGAACTAAGCCAATTGGAGCCCAAAGCAGACGCACAATCGCTCTTTCAACTGTTTTCACCCTCGCTGCATTTCGAAATTCCTAAGAAGTCAACGAGACAAGGTTGGTTTGTATTAGCAGAGCAGTTTGTCCCAACTTCTAAGAATGCTTTTTGGCAAACGATTGTACGTTTCAAGCCGCGGAGTGTTTCCAAACTACATACGAACGTTGAGCAGTATCTGATGAATTGTTAATTTGTTAGCGACGATGGACGTTCGAGCCTCAGCTTGTTATTCCACCAATTGATAAAGCAGATGTTGAGGAAAATATGCTATCACAGAGTCATGAACATTGTAGCTCCACCGAAAGTCCTGTCGAATCTTTTACCAGACGGCTTTATCCTAAACGGAAATCAAAAGATCCTGTATTGGAGGAGACTGTAGAGTATTATGAAACCTGTAATGTCACATAATAAGCTTTGAGCAAAGAAAAAGCAAAATTGGTGAATGTAATCTGATGATCTGATAAGCTAGGGAAAGCAGAGTTGTGTACTTACCCAAACCTCCCGAGGAAATGAAGCTGCCGTTTTATTACCCAAAAGTATGCTCTGATCACTATCAGAAAAATTATTCCATACTGACGACTTTTAAAGGTGAAAGCGTATAGTTTTGTCTACAGCACCAAAATTAGTGAAGGAGGAGAAGCTTCAGAAAATTATACAATGTAAGTAGCGCTGGGATTTTCTAAAAAGGTAAGAATGAAAGTATTAACAATAATTGAATAGAAGCCCTGAAACTGAAGAGGGTTATTTAAAACTTGAAATTATTCCTTTGGATCTGAATGAACCTGCAACAAAAGATAGTAAAATGGTAAATCAAGCTCGATTTTTCTTACCTCCATGATGATCATTATCTCACCATATCGTATAGCAATATGCGTTGAAAAGTATATTTCATAAACTTTTCAAATGGTGTATACAACAGAAAATCGGCTATAAGAAAAAAGCAAACCATGATGTTCTGGTTCCGAAAGAAACGTATCAATACATGTATCAATACATGAAAGCGAAATATGGTGCAAAACTAATAGCGTACATATTCATTTAGTTGGCTAACAAAAATGTTACTGAACGTTGACCATTTACTTGCCATTTCTATTCTAGAGATTGGACTGAAAAGACTGATCCCAAGAAATTTGTTTACGAAGATCTAGCCATAGCTACTTATTTGATCTGTTTATGGAAAGAAGAAGAAATTAAAACACAAAGGTACGACTACAGTTTTTTTTTTTATGCAATCGTTTTATGTGTGGGGATAACAACTGCTTCGTTTGATTAGAAAGCAATCATTTGTCGATCTCGGATGTGGCAATGGACTTTTAACATATTTATTAGTTAATGAAGGTTATAATGGATATGGTATAGATTTAGCAGACCGTAAAATATGGTCTAAGCTCTGCGGAGGCCATAAGGGAATGCTGCGAGGTGAGGATGAGTTAGCTGGATTTCAGTTGTGAATAAGGAGTGAATGACTGTATAAGTATGAATAATATTCATGTAAACTGTCCATTATAGTTGATACATTATACCCATCCAAAGCAACATTTCCTAACACTGAGTGGCTAATTGGAAATCATGCAGACGAATTGGTGCCTTGGTATGAATGCAATTAGAGATATGCTTGTACATAAGTTTTCCTTATTTATTTGTTAATGTTTTCTAATACGTAACCCCATTTGCCCATACAGGATTCCAATAATTGCTTCAAAATCAGGAGAAAGTTGCAAGTAAGGAGTAGAAGTGTACACAGAAATTAAAGCATAAGGAAGCATGCAACTTAGAAGGCTTTCTTTGTTATAGGTTTCTGGTGATCCCTTGCTGTTTCTACGCCTTAGATGGGACACGTTCTTTGTCTCTTCCCCTATCGGAGTCAATTGGTAAATATCGAGCCTATACCAATTACGTAAAAGATATAGCACATAAAGTAGGCTATATCTGTGAAGAAGATTATTTGCGCATTCCAAGTACAAAAAACATTGCTCTGATAGGACGTGTAAAGCAAAGCAATCTTCAGCATACTCCAGTTGAAAATGACTTCTCTAAAGCTTTGCAGGTTGCAAGCCAAACATTCGTGCCTCGTAAAACCGACCGACAAAAAGAAGAAGAAAGGCAGGAGACCTCAAAAAAACCAAAATTAGAAAATCGTTCACTTAATTAATAAAGGATACAGTTTCTATTCAATTGATAATGTTGGATTGTTCTCTTGTTCTTTTCAAGCCTTTTTCCTACTCCATATTTACAACTTTTTGCAATTTTTTGTAACGTATACTTTCAAAAAACACTATTCAATCTGGGCATCCACTCAGCACAGTATATATCACCATATACAGCAAAAATAAAGAGAAAATGAAACTTTCAATTCATCTCATTCTTCTCTTTACTTTAATAATATCTCAAGCTATCAGCTCTATACAGTCTGAACTTTTAAATAATGTCTCTCACGTATTGAACGGTATTTCAGACCAAAAATCAGATTCAACAACCCATGCAGCAGACAATAGCAACAATAATATCAATAGTAATGCCAACGCATCGCCTTCTGCATCCCCTCAAACGCAATCATCTTCTCCTGCGACACCTTCTCCAGCACCACCTCCACCATCATCATCAACCAGTGCAGTATCGCCTGTAACTTCTTCAAAACCGGAGCCATCGCCTGTATCATCTACGACCCCATCTTCTGCGGAGAAGCCTCAAATTGTTTCTACCACACCTCAAAATTCACCTGAGCCCAACACAGATAAAGGATCAAGCACACATGCATCGAATAATAATCCTTCAACTGCTAATACACATACTTCTTCTAATGATAAGCCAGTGACGCCTAATAATGAAAATACGCATACATCGAATTCCCCATCTCCAGCTGTGTCATCTTCTTCCTCTTCATCACCTACAAATCTATCAAGCGCTAGCTCTAAATCTAAAAGTAACAAAAGCTCTACAATATCGGAAGACACAACAGCAGCAACCGATACAAACGTCCCTTCCGCTACTAATAATGTTAACCGTTCAGTATCAGCGAGCAATAACAGTAGTCCCTCTGGAAATAAGACAAGTGTGATTGTAGGTGCAGTTGTTGGGAGTATCTGTAAGTAGGGAAAGATATATACTTAAAAACATCGTTGTGTTATTCCTAACTCCCTATTTACGGAAATCTTACTTTTATAATCTTGAACTCCTCCTTACGGCTTAAAATCAGTTGGAATTGCTTTGATTGGTGGTGCATTAACATGGATAAATCGACATGGTGGATGTGCGAAAAGAAGCAATAAACGCTCAGCTGATTTTGATGATTATGGTTTAGCAGATACTGATTTCCCTCATAATTATCAACATCAACCTGAAATGCGTTCACCTAGTGTGCAGCCGATGAACCTTCCTGGACCTACTGCAGGCGCAACTGTGGCTGCTGCTGCTGTAGGAGCGGGCGGCTCGCCTACTATCCCGCGTTTGAACGATCAAGGAACATTCTATGGCAATAATGCAATGGATACTTCGTACAATAATCAAATGCAACTTGTATCAGGTTATCAACAAGACATTGGTAATGGCGCAAGCCCTGCGATGACAGCCGCTGATTATAACAACAATCAAATGCCTTTGGATTACCCTCAACAACAACAAGCTTATTATTATCAGCAATCGCATCAAAACGGAACTATGGGAATGACTGCAGGTAACACGGGATATTATTCTGAGCAGCAAGGTTATTACTACGAAGCAAATCACCATCCTCCCGGCGCCAACTATGACATGCCGGTTCAATACAATCAACATAATTATGCAGACCAAGGAACTTACAGTACAACAGTAAATGGAGATCAATTTTACAAACCTGATCAAGTTGATATAAATAATCAAAGACGGATGTGAAAAGCATTGTAACATTTAAACCAAGAGCTTAAGCTTTTTTCTTTTTGAAATACCAACAAGCTTTTCGATATCTGTATACAATACAGGTGTTAACTATTTTAATCTATGGACTTTTTCTTATAAAAAGTTTTTTTTTTTTTTGACTTTACACATAAATAACTTCTTATATAGTGCATTCTATTTAATATATAAGCATGCAAAGAAGATAACTTTCCTATTGTTGTTCGTTGTCTTTAAAAAATAATAGAAATGTCTGATGTGTATCGCTTTATTTAGAAGATTGAACAGAATAACAATATCATCGAAACAAAGCCCTTCTTCCATTAAACGCATATCGGCCACGGCAAGAATTAATTACTTCTTGCACATGCATGCCATACCAATCTCTTTCAGAAATATTCATACACCAAGAACTCTTCAAATGGGAGTGTCCAAATCGTTTTTTACAGAACCAAACGATCGGAAGTGTTATTATCCAAAGACAAGTTATGAAATTCAGAAATCGTAGCACCTTATTATCTATCCATCGCGAAACAGCAGCATCCGATTTCACAACAATTTTATGATCTTCCATTCTGAACGTAATTTCAACATTTTCGTAATAGCCACTGTTCCGGATAGCACTTGTAAGTGCACAGGTAAGACCGTTGTAGTCCCAACTGACTTCTTTTGTTAGTTTAAGTTCTTTCAATGCATTTGTTGAATGTGTATACTCATCACAAAGCTGCCGTAATGTTTTCTGCTCTCCAGTTTTAGGATCTGGAGAAATATACATTCCTTGGCAGACTGGAGATATATCAGCGCTACAATCAATATAAAAATGAAAGTCTTCAATTCGTTTTGTCGTCGGAACACGCTCCTCTACTGTTTCTCCATTATTATTTTTATAAGTTTGAGTTATCCATACGGTTTCTTCGTGGTAACCTAAACAATAATCAAGGTCAAAGTGAGATTAAAAATTCGCTCTGGGTAACTTTCACTCATTATAGACGTACCATAGAAATGCATAATCATGCGTGGGGGCTTATTGTTATGTTGATACAAGAATTGAAGCAATGCCTCTCCATCCTGATTGATATGCTTGTCCCTACTTATTATACCATCTTTAACAGTTTCATAAGTGGCTCTATAAAGTGAATATTGTGGTGGCGCAGGTCTTCCTGCAAAACTGCCCTCAGCACTATTGCCGTTTTTATAGATATTAGCTAATGAAGGCGCACTTGCTGACTCGGCAGTTTGTGCGTCATCAATTGCTTGTATTGCTGTTGGTATAACACTGGATGTAAAAGTTGGTACGCTACTGTTCTGAGCATATCCTTCGTAGTATGGTATGCTTGATGTAGGAGCAATGTTGTCCGATGATCCCGCCGGAGCAAGAGCTTCATCGTACGAAGGTGGTGAAGAGCCTGCTGCTGCTGAAGACGCTGACTGTGAAGTATGTAATGACTCTGGAGGAGGTGAAGTAAAAGAGTAGTAGTAATTGTGTTGTTTTTTCGACATAATGCCTTTAGATAAAGAATCAAATGCTCAAGATGAGGGAAGAAAAGTAGCAACCCAAGATTAAATATGCGCAGCCAAGATTTTCTTAAAAAAGCTTATGTGTAACATTTTGCTCCTTTTGACAAATATACCTCTCTGAACCCACTAAGTACAATCAGTTCATGCAAAACAATTTTTCTTTAAGGGCCGTGGTGGGCGAAAAAAGCATACCATCTAAACGGGGTAGGGAGAAGGGGTTAAACTAATCATTATAATTGGTAGGCTAAGACTCTGGGCGCGGTTCGGGATCTTGCTTAATAAAGCCTGGGCGGGCACCGCAATTATTCATAACTTGTTTAAACACCAACACCGACCGAGAACCACCTTGATAGCGGCATTAAAAAAACCTAAGGAAGCAAAGAGAAAGGATCAAAGCTGAAAAAATATCAGCGGCGTACAAGAATTGATGGAAAATTACTACGATTAAACATGATTTTATTATATAATTTTAAACCCAATGGGCACACAGATAAACTACATATCAGAAAATTGCCCTGGGCAGGTCAAAATACGTGCAGGAATTAGAAAAAACCCTAAATGTACTAGGAAAGAAAAGGATAAGGGATCACAATGCAAACTAGGTAAAAAAAACGGGACAATCAAGTAACGATCGTAGTGGACGCATAAAGCCAGTCTAGCTAGGGCTGTCCTAATATTTCTGACAGGGTACGGGGAATTTTCTCCTGCTGAAGATAATCGATTTCATAAACAAGCATTTGGACAATTGGCCAAGATATACTCCAGTTGACTAGGATATTGGCACGCTGTTTTATGGGTCGAGTGGAGAGTTGGTTCAACAAATGAGAAATGGGGTCAACGACGGTTGTCGGAAGTTGCAGACGGTTATGCATTTGTAGGCATTCAATGGCGTGGGCTTTAGTAAGAGTACAGAAGGGGTGGAATAGGCAATGAGTTGAGTAGTTGTTGGGGAGCCAGCTCAGTGTCCAACGAAGACAGCAACTACGCTCAATAAAGCTCATTGGGAGCCAAAGAATGGGATCAAAGAAATGTTAGGGCGGCATTGGTTCATCAACTTTGAGTTGGGCGCTGAACGTATGGCGTCTAAGTTCTCTTGACGATATGCTTTGATGGCCTGGTGTAAAGCCTTCCGTTTTAACATAGGCGTGGTCCCGTGACGTGTTTGTGAGGTAATAACTACAATACTCGAGTACGTACAACCAGGTAGAGAATAAATTCTACCACGTCTATCTATATTGCATGCAATAAAGGTTACGTACAAGTATTTAACATGAGGATTAAAGTATAACACAAGAAGCATCTGGACTTGAAATTAGTGACTACCATACGCGTCCTGAAATAATATAATTCCCATTAAACCTCACAAAGTATTTAATCCTTCTACTTCATCTGAAGAACAATAAAGACACCTAAGTTCATAGTCATCGACTTATAACAGTTATCAAATTTTATAATAAGCAAATACAACAGTTGTGATATTTGTAGTTGTTTTATGTTTAGTGAACGCGACTTATAACTTGATATAAACTGTAAGGTGAAATGAGTCTCCTTTAGTCCTTTTATTATACACTCAAAATCAGAGAGGGGAGCGTTCACAGCAAACTGAATGTTTGTAAAAGATAAAAAAGTCCTCGTTCCTTAATTTCTCAGCCAGTAATAATGCAGCATTATAGATGCGCATCTTTAGAAATACAAGATGACGTGTACAAGTGTTATTATGATTCTATGATCATAATAACGAGTCAAATGCTTGAAAGTGTGTCTAATTCGCCTTTATATATTATAGGAGTATGGAAATACCACAACAGTAAGTCTGTCCAGTATCATTAACTTTTTTTTTCTTTTTTTTGGAAATAAAAAATAGAAATTGTCCCCCATTTTTTTTTAAAATGTCCAAATAGGGTAGGCAAACTGGAAAAAAAGAGTGCTCTTGAGATTTTTAGCTTTTTGGAGGATGCTGGTTTTGAATGGGCAGCCCTTGAAGGATGCTGGTTTTGATTGGGCAGCATTTGAAGGATGCTGGTTTTGATTGGGCAGCATTTGAAGGATGCTGGTTTTAAATGGGCAGCCTTTGAAGGATGCTGGTTTTGATTGGGCAGCATTTGAAGGATGCTGGTTTTAAATGGGCAGCCTTTGAAGGATGCTGGTTTTAAATGGGCAGCATTTGAAGGATGCTGGTTTTGATTGGGCAGCATTTGAAGGATGCTGGTTTTGATTGGGCAGCCCTTGAAGGATGCTGGTTTTGATTGGGCAGCATTTGAAGGATGCTGGTTTTGATTGGGCAGCATTTGAAGGATGCTGGTTTTGATTGGGCAGCATTTGAAGGATGCTGGTTTTAAATGGGCAGCCTTTGAAGGATGCTGGTTTTAAATGGGCAGCATTTGAAGGATGCTGGTTTTGATTGGGCAGCATTTGAAGGATGCTGGTTTTGATTAAGCAGCCCTTGAAGGATGCTGGTTTTGATTGGGCAGCATTTGAAGGATGCTGGTTTTGATGTGTGTCAGATTGTTCAAGCTGGTACTGGAGTCGTTCTGTAGTTTTAAGACGTATAGTAGCATCTTGGAATTAAATGGGTTCATATTTGATTTTCAATTATGTATTTAATAGTTACTGCTGGTTGCAAATAACCAGGTTGTCTTATTTATGGTCCAACAGTACGTGTCTCCGAAACATCCAGATTCACAAAAGTGATCGGCTGCACTTTTGATCAAAATCAAGACTAAGTTGCCAATCAAAACCAGTATCCTTCAAAAGCTGCTTAATTCTAAACGTTTCTCTGTTTCTTATTATCGCTAATAATCATGTTTAAAATGTCCCATTAATCGGAACAATACGGATTTGGTAGATAGCAGTGGATTAAAAAAACTTATTATCTAAGAAAAATGAAATGTTGATAATGTATTATTGTTGGTGTCTATGTAGAGACGTTATGGTAGTATCATAAAGCATCAGTGGTGATGCGTAGGTTGTTGGTATTAGCTGGAGATCCAGTCATAGAGTAGTTCACCTATGTTTTCTTCCGGCTCAAATTGGGTTGGTGGATGGTAATTGAATTCATCTACCAGAAGCAGGATATTCAGGAGATCGTGCCACTTCGGTTTCCAGTAATCCAGTACTAATTGCTTTGCAGCAATGGTTTTTGGCTTAGCGGCAGGCAGACTTTTGAGTACAGAATCAATGGGGTGTAAATGGCCGTAGCCCATGACTCTATCAGATGTTGCGATTGATGTTATCCTGTACTTTTTGATTGTTTTTTTTAGACAGTTGATCTCGTGGTTGTTGGAGGCGGTTGATAAGTCAACTTTGTATTGTCTGTAGATCTGGTTTTTTCGCTTCAACTTTTCGACCAGGCTGGATCTACTATTTGAGTCAGCAATCTTTCGGATAAGGGAGGTTTCTTGTAGATACTGCAACCTTATGTTGTATTTGGCATTTAAAGATATCTTTCTTATTTCCATCGACTCGAGACATGTCATTACACGAAATGATTCCATTGATGCTGTTCTGTGACCTCCTACTATTGCTCTCAGGCAGTCATCTTGTATGCGTTCCAGGGCAGGAAGTTGTTTTTTGTAGAGGTTAAGGATACATAGTCCATATTCAATCTTTGCCCTTATGAATTGTTTATAGATGCTGTTGTTGGTGAGAATGGAAAACCCAGAGGGTCTCAAGCCTATCAAGGAGAACTTTTGGAAGTCATTCTTGACCTTGTCTTTGGTGTATTCGAGTTGATACTGGGTTTTTATGCCCTCTACAGATACTGCAATACCAAGGTATTTGAATTGAGTTTGCCTATTTATGACTTCATCGTATAGTTTGTATGTGATGTCTTCTTCGGCAGAGAGAATTACACATTTTTGTGGAGACCATCGGTAGCCATTCAGCAAGGAGTGTTGTTCAACAGTTGAGAGCATGTTCGAATCTGCTCTGCTTTGTGGATGAGTACCACGTCGTCGGCGAAAAGCAAGCAGTTGATGTTGCCAAGCTCATGTTGAGCAGTCGGTTGGTTGGTTGAGGTTGGATGTAGAGACCTGAGTAGTTGCGGTAGGGAGTTGATGAAGGTGGAGTATAAGTGAGGACTCAGTACAGATCCTTGTAGCACTCCTGTCTTGATATGGAAGAATTGGGATTGGTAGTTAGCATTGATAATCTGAATCTGTACGTCGTCAAATAGGTTCCTCAGGATGGCAATCATTCTTTGGTTGACGTGTTTGCCTGCTAAGGTATTCCATATGATATTTCTATCGACACAGTCATAGGCCTTGTACACGTCCAGAAACGCAAGGGTTGGTGGAGCCCCATGCTTTGCGTATGTCTGTATATTAGTTCATCTAGGCATATTACTTGGGCGATGGCAGATAGTTGGGGTTTAAAGCTGCCTTGTGCAATATCAATGAATGATGTCTGTTGGTATATCATTGGCTGTAGGCAGTATTCCATGGACTTTCGGAAGATAGATGTAAGGCTGATAGGTCTATAGGAGTTTGGGTCGCTACTATCCCCTTTTTTGTAAATAGTGACAACTTGCGACTTTCGCCACACCTCAGGAGTGAAGCTAGGTATCCAGTCAAAAGCTGCTTAAGATGTATAAAGCTGATTTATCAGACTCTCTGATACTTTTTGTATTCTTCGTTGTATAAATTGTCCATTCTGCTTATTGGGTGGTAAGCAAAGGAAGCCAAGTTATGACTAAAACTCATCTTCTCTGAACATATGCTTATGCTGGCTATCATTCAATTGTGTTTTAGTGCCATGGTTCGCCTCTTTTTGTTCTAACTCATGGTTTCTTCTGCTGGCCTGGTTGCTCGAACTTGTTACTGACAGATGTATATGCCGTACCTTGTGGCATTTCCATACCTCCTATAATATATAAAGACGTATTAGACACACCTTCAAGCATTTGACTCGTTACTATAATCAGGGAATCATAATAACACTTGTACACGTCATCTTGTATTTCTAAAGATGCGCATCTATAATGCTGCATTATTACTGGCTGAGAAATTAAGGAACGAGGACTTTTTTATCTTTTACAAACATTCAGTTTGCTGTGAACGCGCCCCTCTGTGATTCTCAGTGTATAATAAAAGGACTAAAGGAGACTCATTTCACCTTACAGTTTATATCAAATTATAAGTCGCGTTCACTAAGCATAAAACAACCACAAATACCCAGCATCCTTCAGAAGCTGCTTAATCAAAACCAGCTTAATCAAAACTAGCATTCTCCAAAAAGCTGCCCAATCAAAACCAGCATCCTTCAAAGGCTGCTTAATCAAATTTAGAGAGAGAGAGGGGTTATATTCACAAAGGAGTGAGAGGATCGTCAATGGTTATAATGACTTGTAATTGATTTTCGCTTCCGTGACGATTTAGGATTTGTAGTGTTGTGGAGCATGTTATCTGTGAGTGTAAATGGATCATTTGCATAGTTGTGGTTGCCGCTATTTAAAATATATTGAAAGCAGGAAATAATTTTGACGACCTTGTCCAATTGTGAAAGAAAAAGGGGCACATGATCAAGGGTAAAAGGTAGTTGGATATGAGCGATTTCACACATTGTATACAAGTCAGCTTGAGCGCGAGTAAATATGTAGAAAGTGGCATATTTGCCTAAGAAAAAAAAAGGTAAGGATACGAACAGCATAGCAAACTCAATCGGAGCTTACCGACAACAATGAAGGTAAAGATTTCTTTCAACTTGTGCTTATCGGATGCGGCCTTGGCCAACACTGCAATGCGCATTAAATCAATGCCAACCAACCGATGATTAAGAGCTTGGTATTGCGCTTTTACCTCACCGCAGCCAATTCGCTTACTCAAAGCTGCTCCGGTTATGATATTTATTGAGGCATCTGGTCGTATCGTGGCTTGCTTTTCTTCATCGCTGACGGAAGTCCTATTCAATTTACGTTATGATCAAATCGTATTCTTCTCTGAAATACCCATTTTTTCATGAGAAAGTTCTTTACTTACCATCGAAAAATTATATTATTATCCAAGTCCTCGAAAAGAGGAGCCAGGATTGCTTCCAAATGCCTTGTGATTAATTCAGTTTCTCTGGGCCCGTCTTCAAAGGTTTGACGGGGAAGTTTTTCTACCCTATTACTGGTATGAGTTCTTACTTATTAAATCGTCACATCTCAAGATACTTACATGTTACGAACGGCCAACAGAATCCTGTTTGTAGAATTGAGACTATCATCCTTCATCATTGCAGAGATTCGACAAGATGCTGTCAAACGCGTACATATATGATTTTGGTCGCCATCCTAACAAAAAGTTAAAAGCCATTGAGCGACAAGTAGCTGTTAAAAAAATTTACTTTTTTTTTACGAAATCCATTTGTCTCGAAGTTCTTCAAGTTGGTTCCTGGTTGAAGTTGGGAATGGTTGATACGTAGTCTGCTGCTTAGAAAGAATATGTCGACGAAGTCCTTCACAAGTGTTAAGATCGATGTGCCTGTGCAAATCTTCATGAGTGCGCGCAGGCTTTAGCAAGAGAATTGAGGATAAAGCTAATAAATGTTGCATATGTTCTTCAATGGTGAAAGTACCATCTTCTCGCAGCCGGCTTTGCACATCTAGCTGAAACTTATAAAACTGATTAGACACGTCGATATTGTTAAAGTGCAGACGACTTTCCATTGATGGCGGGGAAAAACTCAACTCATCAAGTATAATTGAAGAGGAAGTGGGTGATGAGGTCAAGAGTGTTGAAGCTGTTGATTCAATAAGCGGCGAGTCCTTGCTGGTATTCACAGAGTTTGTTGCTGTTGTCAAGGAATCTGTCTCGGTATTCACAGAGTTTGTTGTTGCAGCTGTTGGCAAGGCAACTGTTTCGACATTTAAAGACAAGCTTTCTCTGGGGTAAACAAACAAGCATGACAGCTGCTTCTTTGCCAAATGTACTTTCAAGGTTTTTGCATTTTTCAAATAGCTTGGACAACATGGGCACGGAAATCCGGAAGAAGTACGAGACACAGTTGTTTCTCCTTTACAATTTTTATTATAAGTATCAATACAACTAAATCAATAAATATAGGTCTCACCAATTATCACCATAGAGACATGTTTATCTATCGCGTGTTTATCGCGTTTGCTTTTTGTTTCAAATAGACTGTCGCAATGTTTACACTGAATCGGCATTGTTGGAATAAAGGGAACATGTTTAAAAACCAGCATCCTTCAAAAGCTGCTTAATCAAAACCAGCATCCTTCAACTGTTAATCTACGTTTAAACAGAGATTTTATTACATAAATATTAATTTTTTTAAAGCCCAATGGACACGAGATATTAAGCTTATCTAAATTGCCCGGGACAGCTCCAAAGGCTTAAAAGAAACTAAAAACCCCTTAGGGCTCAAGGGTAAAAAGGATTATGTACTAAAGGATTGTGGGAGGGGAAGAGGGTAACCAGTCGAGCAATAAGTGCCCTAACCGAGGAGTTGTAGGCGGCTCTTGAGAGTGGTGTAAGTAGTCGAGTTCAAACAAAATGTGACAAAGTGCTGGCCATAGAAAATGCCAGTGTTGTATTTGGGATGGGTTGTTGATCGGATGTGTAGGAAGACGGTTGAGGACATAGGATATGGGATCACGGACTGATGTGGGGAGTCGTAGGCGGTGGTGCATGTTTAAACAGGAGATAGCGTGGAACTTTGTAAGTAATGACGAGGGATGTTTAAGGCAATAGGTTCGGTGGCCTCCAGGAAGCCAACCCAAACGCCATCGGATACATCGACTGCGTTCATTAGTTGACATAGGAAGATAAAGGATCGGGTCGATCATTAATCGAGAACGGCATTGAGAGATCAGTTTGGAGTTGAGGCTGTTCGATTGTTGGATGTGAAGGAGGCTAGTGCGGAAGTTAGCAATACAGCGTCGCAGAGCAGCTGATTCAGATCGTTGATTGAGCGGAGAAGAAGTGTAATCTTGCCAGATCGGAGAACGAGCAAGCTTGCAATATAACGATTTACTTTGTTGCTGGCCTATATATGGGAGTAGTATCGAGATTAAAGTATCAGTAGGCAGTGAGGTAGAACGTAATAGGAACTTAGCTTGTAGGACGAAGGAGCGTTCTTTCATGGTGGGCAGATTGGCAAGGTGGAGCATAAGCCTGGCAGACGATCTACTGGATCCACCAAAGATTCGTCGAATACACTTGTTCTGGGTATCTTCGAATTGTTTATATTGCTTCGCGGTTAGGGGGCTAATGGCCAGTCCGTATTCCATCTTTGCGCGGACTAATTGGGCATATAACCGTAGTGAGAGCAGTTTTTCGAATCCACCAGGATTGACACCGATTGCTGCTAGTTGGTTCATCGTAGTAAGGGCCTTAAATGTGTTAGTACGTGCTAGTTCATTTATATCTATACTACCACCTAGTTGAAAAGGTATCCCTAGATACGGAAAAGTGAGCTGACGTTGTAGAGGAACTACTGTTAATCTACACTATTTTCAGAAATTTCACAGTCGAACAAGTCTCCCGAGAATTGTTTGAGACCGTCGGAAACAAATTAGCTCCCTCTCCTCGTTACGTCGAGCATTAAGATTAAAGAAAAAAAAAAATAAATTTTTTTTCGCTGTTAAATCAATAAAAGAAGATTAAAGCAAACTGTAACCTTCCGAATTTGTTTCCTCAGGCCTAAATATCAGTGTATAATAAAAGGACTAAAGGAGACTCATTTCACCTTACAGTTTTTATCAATTATAAGTCGCGTTCACAACAACAAATAACCACAAATATCACATCCTTCCTAATCAGAAACGGTACATGCGCTACAGCCGATGGCTGTAATACGTTTTGGTTAAGGAATATAAAGAATTGAACAAGACTGCCAAAAGCACTACTTTTTCTGTCAAATGTGTCATTCTGCTCAACTCTAACTTTGACACTACACCCAATACGTAAATATTACAGCATTTCTTATACCTTTTCACGTACTAATAGCATATTCATTTATCATATTTCATTGATCTGTCTCGAAATCGGTCTCATAGTTCATATACTCTATCAGTATATTACAACCTTATTAGCGGTTTACAGATTAGAAAATGCAATCAATTTTTGAAGTAAAATTCAGTTGTTATGATGACTATTTCTCCTTCAGCGATTGTCGAGTAAAATGGCTGTAGCTCTATGTCATATCAAGATATGTGCATATAATCTTTATTTTATAATTTATACGAGAGACGTAACTGATCCGACATGAATGGATAAGAATCCTTATGATCACAGGTTGATATACTGAAATATGAAGTTAAAGCATCCAAAGATGGCACCCAAATAGGTGCGTTGATACTAGTTAACACTTACAAGGAAAAATTATCCTAGTGTGCATTATGGCTAAATAACACAAGGAACTTCTTTTCTATAATTCAGCATTGCTATTGTTATACCCGCTATTTGGTTGAACGTCAAATGATAGTTTATTTACAATAGACTTCTTTCATTACAAGATATCAGCTGCCCATCTATCAACGGCAAAGGGAAGAAATTGAATTGGTCTCATGGTAGCGAAGCAAACTATCTTCTGCCTGCTTTGCTTCAACTAAGCTTCTTGCTTTGTCATAATAATGTTCTGCTATGGACTTGTCTATTATTCCCGTCAGACCTAAAGCATAAAAATCACCTAGACGGAACAATGCTTCCGCATCATTTGCCTCGCCTGCCATATGCCAATAGTACAAAGCTTTAGTATTATCCAAATCCGTTCCTAGGCCTTCTTCGTAGCATTTTGCCACGGGTATATAAGCTTCAGTGACGCCTGAATTGGCAAGATGCAGTAGTGTTTGAAAACCAAATTCGGGGTCCCGCTTTTTTCCCCCCCATCCATTCAAATTGTATAGTGCAATCATAACTCGTGCTATAAAAGATGCAGCAGAACTTAAATCGCTCGAAGCTTTTTCAAACCATGTCAAGGCATCTTCTCTCAAATCCTCAGCCTCTTTGAAGTCTTCTACTTCATCAGCCAACATGTGTTTCAGTTTTCCAATTGCCAATTCAGTCACAGCCCCACCTTTCAACTTGTACGCAGTTGTATACCAGTATAACGCTTGTTCAAAGTTTTGCTCTAATTCTTTCTGTAAATAGCCCTCTTCAAAGTAATTCCCAACCATCAACGCGGATACAGCATCACCCAATTGAGCAGCTTCGTAATAGTATGCAAATGCCTGCTTGCGATTTTTTTTGATAATGTTGATGCCGTGCGCGACCGATCCAGTATGAGTAAGATGCCCCAATTCTCTTAAAGCCTCAGGAACATGTTGTTGACCGGCATCTTTATAAAGTCCATAACCGTATAGATGATCACCATCAATACTCCAGGCAATTCGTCCAAGCTCATATGTCGATTTTGGATGACCTTGTTCCGCTGCCGCAGTGAGATATCTTTTAGCCACAAGAATATTTCTGTCTAAACCAGCTCGTCCGTACAAATGGAATACTCCAAGCTGGTATAAGGATTCTGGATGATTCCCTCTCTCTGTTGCCCTTCGATACCAATCCGACGCACTTGTATCGTTGTTTTCTTTGTCTGCATATATAGCACCCAATCTCCACATAGCTTCCGTATTTTGTGAGATATGGATAGAGTGTCGGTAATAGTTTTTAGCAATTGCCAAATTGATTTCAACGCCTCTACCATATTCGTAACATTGACCTAGCAGGTAGAGTGCCAATCCTAATGCATCCTTGATTAACTCTTCGCGTAGGAACTCTTCGCGGGAAGGGCAATAAGTCGTGTTTGACAAGCATTTCTTTTTCATGAGAATCATCCCTTCCTTGATTACTTCTTGTAGTGACTTTAATACATTTCTATCTGTCGAAGGTTGCTGGTCGATTTGAATACCATGGAACCTGTAGGATATGAGCATTACTTTTGCTTTCAAATTATTATAATTCAGTATTGCTTTTTGGAACCAGCTGATAGCTTCATCGTGTCGCCCCAGCACATCTCCAAGAATTTCGCCTGCTTTGATCATAGCCGGCTCATAATTTTTTAGAGCTGCTTTAGCATACCAATTTGCTGCCCTCTCCATATCTTTTTCAGGGATAATATTTCCCAAACTGTTTTCATGGATTTGCGCAAATTGGTACATGGCCTCAGTGTCATTTAATTGACACGCATTTAACAGAAGTGTAAAAATTCTGGCCTTCACTTCTTGATTTTTTTCAGCAAGAATGGGATCCTTTTCTTCTTCAATTAATATGAGAGCTAACTCTCGCATACATCCAGCATGATTCATACCTGCCCCACGTCTGAATTGTTTTAGAGCTTTTCTATCTGCATTTGGGATGTTGTCATGATTGTTCAAATAGTATACGCCTAATTCATATGCTGCATCTGCATCTCCTTCTTTAGCAGCTATCTTTAACCAGCCATGTCCTTCATCTACTGAGTCATATGTAGCATGTTCGTGTAATAGCAGATAACCTATACGCAGAATTAGAATCATAAAATATAATATTATAAAATAAATTCATAAACTTACCCAAAAAATATTTCATCCGGCAAGCCTGAGCCTTTGCATCTTCTGAATCCAACTTGGCCATATCACGCAAGTCTGGTTTGAGAATATCAAGATAAGCTAATGCTGCATGATAATTTTGTTCCTCCATACAGTTATAAATCAAGCGACATAAACACCTTTGCTTTGCCCAATGTCTCCGTTCTTTCACAGGCACTTCTACACATGTTGTCGCAGTTGTTACTATGTTTGTATCATCTTCCTCCACACATTCAATGTAATAACGGAAAGCCTCTTTTTTATTGGCATCAGTTCCGATTCCATTTTCAATACAGACGCCAATCAATTCATAAACTTCTGCAAGCTCAACTGCATCTTCTTTTGCATCACTGTTGGTTCCTTCTTGAACTATTGCAACCAATTCATTCAACCATGCGTACGCTTTATCTTTATCCTCCTTTGTTCCATAATTTTCAAAAATATATAGTTTGGCGGCTTCAATTCGCGCTTTTTTGGTGTAAAGAAGGCCAATAGTTTTCGAAGTAGCCAGTTCTTCATAAACTGTTATTGCATCCGCTGTCATACCTCGTCGATGATAAGCCTCTGCCAAATCTAATGACGCACTAAAATAAGCAATAGTGAGTTTAAGCCCACGAATTTCTTTATAAATACACAAAATTTAATACTTTACAGTGTATAACCTAAGTTACTCGCCTTTTTAAGACACTCAACTACTTTTTCAAAGTTTTTTGGTATTGCGGATTCTCCATTATCTAGAACATAAGCACCTTCATAAAAGTTTGACAATATATGCCACGATAATGCGTCATCTTTTTCTGCTGCCATTTGATAGTATTTGAATGCAGTGTTATAATTTTCTGCAGTAGTAATAGTGGTCCAACCAACATGATTTGATTCATCGTCCATCAAGCCTCTCAAATACAGGTTACCCAATTCTCGGTAGGCAGGTGCACACCCTTTTGCAATAGCTCTTTGCAAAAGATCTGCTGCCTTTTTTGTCGTTGTTGTATCCGTTGCAATTAAAATTCTTGCTAATCGTACCATAGCCATAGGCATTTCTGCAGCCGCAACTTCGTAGCAATATTTTGCCTTCTCGACGTCAGAAGAGAGACCTATTCCATTTTCATAATAGAGACCTAAACTATAATGAGCAATAACATGCCCCTGTTCTGCTGCTTTCATGAACCAAGGTAAAGCTGCTTGTGTACTTTTAGGCACGCCTAATCCATTGGCCAACATATAGGCCAGCTGAAATTGCCCATCTCGATCACCTGCTTCAGCCGACTTTTTATAATAGTTCAAAGCTTGCTTTAAATCGGGCTGTACTATCTGCTGATTATTTGTCTTGTCGTAAACACCTTCCTCATAACATGCTGCTAACCAGTAATGGGCATTAGGAAAGCCACTGTTGGATAAAGCTTTAAATTCTTGGAACGCCCAGAAACAATCCTGTTTTACACCGCCCCACCCATTGAAGCGATATCGGGCTACCATCAGCCGGGCTGTATTGCGTTGCGTTACGAATCCTACACTGAAGTCTAGTAGCGACATTTGTTCGTGTTTGTTATTGCTGTTTTGATTAAATGTATTTTTGGCAGCTGTTTCGAACCATTGAAAAGCTAAAGTATGTTGACCAGCACGCTGTAATAGTCCTGCCAAAGATAGCTGAGCTGTTAAAGATCCCGATTTAGCTGCTTTTTCAAACGAAAGAAGTGCAGATTTGACAGAAGTCTTATGTTTATGGTTTTGATGCTGGGTCATAAAACTAACGGTATGGGGATCTCCTTGAGCGATCGCTCTCTGTAAAAGCTCATTTGCTTTCTCTTCGTCCTTTGTAGTTCCTAAACCATCTGCATACATGATGGCTAAAGCTCGTTGAGCAGGTCCATATCCTAAATCAGCAGAGAATGACAAGTATTCTTTGGCAAGCTTGTAATCCTGCATTAATTCTTCATGGCCAAATCGATAATTGATACCCAGCAAATATTGTGCCAATGCTGTTAGATGAGGTCTAGGGGACAATTTTGCTGCTCGTTGATAACAATCAATTGCTTTCGTGATATTCTTCGGCAAAAGTATTCCTTCTTCATAAAGGGCGCCCAAACGAATCAATGCAGTGGCATTGTCCTAGCAAACATATATGATCAAGATATACTCTAGGTGGCATACTACAGCTACGATTGAAAAGGTAAACTTACTTGGGCGCTTGCTTTATATAACCAATTCAAAGCTTGCTGTTTAAGTTTTTTTTTATCTTCAGAGAGTGGAAAGATTTGTTCGTTAGTATTCAAACCCATCTGGTTTATTAACAAGCTAGCAACGGCTGTCTGTGCTTCTGCAAACCCTTGGTAAGCAGACCGTTCGTACCACATCCGCGCGGAAGTAATAGATTGATTAACCAGTATAGCATGTTCATAATAGACACCCATAAGAAACTGAGCATACTTATTGTTATTACTGGCGGCCATACTTATGTAATGAAGCGCTTTCTGATAATCTACAGGGACACCTTGACCGTGAAAGAGCATTAAACCAATCCGATATTGTGCGAAATGGTTACAGTCTTGAAGCTTCTTAAAATATTCGTATGCCTTAGTATAATCTTGATGGTCGTAGTAATAGCAAGCTAAAGGGTAATAGGCCTCTCGATGATTTCTCAATGCGTATAATGCTTGTGCGCCTTCTGCTTCATTTTTCGGTGTACCGAAACCGTATAGTTTGCATTGTGCAACCCAAACACGGGCCAGCACTGTGTCCTGCTTCACGAGATTGCTGTAAATGACATGCTCCGTGAGATGCTCACTGATATGAAAGTTGGACGCCAAACTGATTGTTGAAATGTTTGAAGGTGGTGGAACTAGTATATCTGCTAACTTTTGATTTGATGCATGCTCGTTTATTAATTGGTTCGCTGTATCTGATTTCAGCTCCACTACATTTATGCTGCTTGTGGTATTTTCAATTATATTAGTAATTCCGTTATGAGCGTGCTCTTTGCTTGTTGCGTTTCCCATTTAGCATACAGAATAAGGTCAAAAACCTGTTATAACTCTAGGGAAGAAAAATGAAAAATTATAAAGTCTTTCATATAATTCAATAAGATAGCAATATATCGAATTACTGTCAGAGGTAGGTACACAACGATCTTTATTTCCTTATACAGCAGATGTTTTAAAACCCGTACATTTTCCGCGGAAATTGAAAGGTTTTCCACAAACACTGCGGTCACAAGCAAGCCTGCAAAAAGGCAGAAGGCAAGCCCTACGTTGACAAATTCCCTTTTTTTTCCTCTTTCCAAACTCACTCTTAAATAAGTTGAAATAACTATTATACTGTTGAGCAACTTCTCACCTTCCTAATATCTAACAACAGACAGAAAAAGAAAGAAAAAGGAAAAAAAAGTTGTCAAACTTGTACATGTCATTAATTTGGAATCTAAATCTCGGACAGAAAGATAGCATAGAGCAGCATCAAATACAACATTTTCTTAAAGTCAAAAAGAAGATTCAATCTTAAAATTCTCAAATAACAGCTTTATTAGCACTCACTATATCTCAACACCAATTAACAATAACAATTCAATAATTCGAAATGGCTACTATCAACGTTAGACGTGATGTCAAGGACTCTTTTTACCGTTATAAGATGCCTCGTTTAAGCGCCAAGGTAAAGTTGAAATATATATATCAGTCAATATGAAGACTTAGAATATTGAAAAAAAAATTATTTAGGTTGAAGGCAAGGGTAATGGTATCAAAACTGTTATCACCAATATGACCGAGATTGCTCGTGCTTTGTCTCGTCCTCCTTCATGTAAGCACTGCGCTTTTGTACTTTATTCAACGCTTTGAAAAATTTTCAATGTCGTTTCTTATCTGACTTTTTTTTCCCTTTTTTGTCTATGTTTGAAAATCAGATCCTACAAAATACTTTGGTTGTGAACTTGGTGCCCAAGTCAAATGTGACGATAAAAATGAACGTTATATTGTCAACGGCGACCATGACGCTGCTAAGCTTCAAGATACTTTGGATGGCTTCATTAACAAATTTGTTTTATGCCATTCTTGTAAGAACCCTGAAACTGATTTTATTATCAAAGATAATGAAATTCAAATGGATTGCAAAGCTTGTGGTGCAAGAAATACTGCTGATATGCGCCATAAATTAGCTGCTTTCATTTTGAAGAACCCTCCTTCCGTCGCCTCTAAGAATGTTCGCAAGCAACGCAAAGCTGCTACCGCTCAAGCTAATAACATCGGTGAAGATGCTGATGTTGATAATGCTTCTCCTGGTGATGACGATGCTGATGGCGAAGATGACGATATTATTTCTCAACGTATACAAAAGCAAGCCGCTGGCCTTAATATGGAAAGTAAGTTGGCTTTGGAAGATTGGTCTGAGGATACCAGCGAAGCTGCTGTTGCTCAACGTATGAAGGAACTCTCGGTCAAGGGTGCTGGTGCTTTTACAGGTGACGATGATGAAGAAGAAGGCGGTGAGAATAAGTACGAAGCATTTGGTAACTGGCTTTTGGAAAACAAGACCTCCACAGATGATGCTATAATTGAAAAGGCCCGTGAATTAGGTGTTCTCGGTAAATACAAGGCCTGTCAAGTTTTGGCCCAAGGTCTCTTCGATGAAAATGTCGTTTCTCAAATTCCCAAGCGCGGAAACTTACTTGAAAAGTTTGTTGCCGATGAAAAGTGTCAAAAAGCTATCTTAGGCGGTATCGAACGCCTGGTTGGTAATGACTATAAGGATGCTTTATTGAAGAAGGTCCCTACTATTCTGATGAAGCTTTATGATTTGGATATTATTGAAGATGAAGTGTACCTCAAATGGGGTGAAAAGCCGTCTAAGCGTTATGTCGAGCGCGATATTTCCAAAGAAATCAAAAAAGCCGCAGCTCCATTTTTAGATTGGGTTGAAAATGCAGAAGAAGAATCCTCAGAGGAAGAATCTGATTAAGCAATACAGCTAATAGGTATTTTACTTTGATTATTTTATGCTTATTTTCAGTAAATAAAGAATTTTTCGCAAACTTTTGATTTGTAATCGACTGGAGTAAGCACAAGCACTTGACAATTTGACTTCCATGTAAATTTCAATGTTACGTTCGTTTTCAGAAAAACTCTCAATGAGTTGTGCGTCTAGATAAATGATCGAATGAAGAGTCCCGTATTCAATACAATACAATACATGACATATCATTCCATCCTGGCCTCTAAAGTGCCCTTGAGCAATCTATCAGCCTAAGGTCACTTCCTCCATTATGTATATTGAGAAGTTAAATAAAATAGTTTACTTTCTATAACTAACAGTTTTAACCTTGAGCTTTTAACGAGGATTTCGGGAATGGATAAAGTGTATATAATGACAGCTTTTAGAGTAGAATAAAAGATTAACAAGGAACAGGGGGACGATAAGGTTAAGGAAACAATAAAATAAATGGGAGCTAACTATACAATTTGTTTTTACAAATAATGATGATGAACGAGTACGAAATTACTTATTCAATGACCTTCGTAACGACACCAGTACCGACAGTCTTACCACCTTCACGGATGGTGAAACGTTGACCTTCCTCAAGGGCAACATCATGAGTCAATTCACACTGCATTTCTACATTATCACCGGGCATGACGAGTTTTTCATCAGGATTTTCGGTACCTTCAGGATGTGTAAGGCTGACGGTGACATCAGTTGTACGAACAAACATTTGAGGGCGGTAGTTATTGACGAAAGGAGTGTGTCGACCTCCTTCCTCTTTGGTCAAAATATAGATTTGAGACATGAACTTTTTGTGAGATTTAACAGTGCCAGGAGCGCACATGACTTGGCCACGACGAATTTGCTCACGCTTAATACCACGCAAAAGAGCACCCATATTATCACCAGCTTCACCACGGTCTAATTCCTTTCTGAACATTTCAATACCAGTCAAAGTAGTTTTGATGGTAGGGCCCATACCAACAATTTCGACATCTTGACCCTTTTGTACTGTACCACGTTCAACACGACCTGTGGCAACGGTACCACGACCGGAAATGGAGAAGACATCTTCAATAGGCATCAAGAATGGCTTATCTAAATCACGAACAGGTGTAGGGATATGCTCGTCAACAGCAGCCATCAATTCATTAATAGCCTTTTCACCTATCTCTTCATCACGGCCCTCGAGAGCGGCCAGAGCGGAACCCTTGATGATAGGAGTATTTTCACCATCGAAGCCGTATTCTGAAAGAAGATCGCGCATCTCCATTTCGACAAGTTCAAGCATCTCAGGGTCATCAACTTGGTCAACCTTGTTGACAAAGACAACCAAATTTTGGACACCGACTTGACGCGCCAACAACAAATGTTCACGAGTTTGAGGCATTTGACCATCAGTAGCCGAAACAACGATAATAGCGCCATCCATCTACAGATCCATAAAATAAAAGTCAACTACTTCTATTCTTCTCACACGAACAATTTGCTTTCGTTCATTATACATTTTATATACGCTTTACCTGAGCAGCACCTGTAATCATGTTCTTAATATAATCTGCGTGACCAGGACAATCAACATGGGCATAATGACGGTTAGGAGTTTCATATTCGACGTGTGCCGTAGAAATAGTGATACCACGAGCCTTCTCTTCGGGTGCTTTATCAATTTGGTTGTAATCCATAAATTGTGCACTACCCTTGGCAGCCAAGCACTTGGTGATAGCGGCAGTTAAGGTGGTCTTACCGTGATCGACGTGGCCAATAGTACCAATATTGACGTGAGGCTTACCACGACTGAATTTTCCTCCGGCATCAGTAGCCATAGTACGACGACCTTATAACACATTTCCCAAAAATATGAATAATGTAAGTACAATTTTACTCTTACTGGAAATAAAAAAGTATGATAATGATAGCTTGCTTCTCTTACCGAAAACAAAAACACGGGTAGGTGCAGCATTGTAAGCGCTGCGAACCAAGTTAGCAGTCTACAAAATGAACAGAGTAATTGACATCCACATCAATAAGTATGTTATGCTTACTTCTGATTTACTGACTGTATATGTACTTACAAACTTGTTACCAGCATTGAGAGCCATACGTGTGGACATCATAGCTATTAATGTAAGATTCAAGTATTAGTGTACGGGGTTCGATAAGTGCATAAATCATTTTCAGTAGATGAAAGATTTTTACCTGTTCTGGTAGCGCAAGTAGAAGCACATCTACGAGAGGCAATACGAGTAGCAGGAAGAGCAATCTTGTTTGCTGCAGTCTTCAAAGAAAACATTTTACTTAATGAATGATAAAGTGCTGGTAAGAAGAAGCAATAGTATAAGAGAAGAAAAAAAAAAAGAGAGGGAGAGGGGTAGGGGGATGTGTCAAATAAAAAAAGGATAGAAAATCCAGGCCCATTTTTCACCCCGGAGCAATGCCATAGGGCAGGCGCGCACTTAAAGTCACAGACCAAAAAATTGTGGGGTTTTAATTCTTTGAACACAGTCCGTAAAGAGGAGCCTTTGTGCAACAGGAAGCAAAGAAACATCTTTAAACGCGGCGAGCGTAAATATGTACCAGAGATACGGCTTTAAAATGCTAGTCGACCTTTTTTTAATTGAAAGATTTTATCAGTTTTCATTGAAGATCTTCTGTTTTCAACTGTAGGTTTCCTTGTTGCTTGTTACACTGCTTTCACTGAACTGTAAGAACCACCTTAGAGCATAATCATCTTTTTCCAAGTGTTTGTGATTACCAAATAGTCATCAATAATGCATGTCTTTTTGAAGTTGCGAAAAAAAGGAGGAAGTTGAAGCTCTTGCGGTAAGTACCCTGTTTTCCTCTATGTTTGGCTATAAGGTATATAAGTCAAACAAGAATATCAAAACCGCCTTTTGAGTCTCAAATGAGACTCGAGGCGCAAATACTGGATCTGCCATATTAAGATAAAGGATCCAAGAAATTTGGGTGTCATTCCCATTAGATAGCCTTTTTTCTTTTTTTCTTTTTGACTAGAGTGGCCTTTTCTCTCGTTTATGTTCCGCTAATGCTCCAATGAGGAACTCTACCTTTTAATGGATTACAACTCTTGCCTCACGTATATTACATTACTATGTTAAACTGAAGAATTATATAGAGGTACTTCTTTGGTAGTATTGTTTCTATTACGTCCTTGAAGATTAGCAAGCCTTTGTGGCCAAAGAACTGCCAGAAAAGTTTTTATTTGCTAAGCACTGAATTATAGCAACCTATGTGATTAACAAAATCGCATCTATACAATGTTACTTCTTTTATATAGAGATTTATAACGTTGAGTGTTTAGAGTTGGTATAAGAAGGTTTGTTGAAAATGCGTCTGTTGATGAAGGTATAGAAGCTCCAGCTTTAATTTCCGTTGTGTCTAGTTTACATGTTTATGTTACAAAAAAGTTATATATATATATATCGAGTGGAAGGCTGACAAACCTCCTTAAAGGTGGGGGAATCGTTATATAATGTTTTACAATTTTCCTTGTTCTTTCAATTCGTTCTTTTCTTCTTCACTAAGCGACCAAAAACGCTTTTTCTTATTCTGAAACCATTCACGAATCTACATATAAATATAGATTGCATTAGTTCCCACTATGCGAAAAAGAGTCAAAGAAATTTTACCGGTGTGTAGCAATTCTTCTCTGGCCCAAAATCAGCGAAGAGCACAATGTAACCGCTTATACCTGCGGAAAGAAATTGGCTTTGCTTAGTCCTGTAGTCGTTAGTGAACTCTTGAAAATGCAATACCTATTGACAAAGCCCACGTAAGTACGTTCAACTGCCGTGCCCTCATTGTCGGAGGCATAGCTTGAAGACGTCTTTTCATTTTTTCGTCAGCTTGTTTAGTGAAGATTTGTTTTTGAACTGTCATTTCAGTCATTAAAAAGAATGAATTGTGGAATGTCTTCTCCAGGGACGAAATAATGACAGTTAATTTTGATGTGGAATAGTTTCATGCTTTAACAGTTTACAGCTCAGTTTCCAATAGAAAGCCAAAACTTGTTTTGCTCTCCAATCAACACTTGAAGTAAGGCCGGACTATTAAAAACACCCCTACACAAAAAAAGTGCTTGCTAGAACAGAGGACACAGCTTTTACCTTCTTGCCGAAACTATTATAACAATGTCTCAACCTCAATTTTCTGAAAACGATCAACGTGAACTTGGACAAGTGAGTGTGAAAAACTATGACTCTTGTAAATAGCTGATCCGAATTTTGACTTACATGTCCCGTTTGCGCGTATTCGCAGTTTCTTGAAGCCGAACAAGCAAAGGCCCGTGTTCAGCAAACTGTCCACTCCTTCACCGATACCTGCTGGGTATGCATTAGCATCACGCATCAAATGGAGACTTAAAACTTACATTGTGAGCGTTTGTTTATGTTTTAGGATAAATGTATTTTCAAGATTAATAACAAGCTTGATCGCTCTGAGGAAAGCTGTTTAGTAAACTGTGTCGACCGATTCCTCGATTCCAGTCTGTTCATTGTCAAACGATTGGAAGAATTAAGAAATTCCGGCATGCAATAGGCATATGAATCTGAAGAATGATTGGATAAATCAAAATTATAATGAGTCTTAATGAAAGCTTGTTTATACACCCACTTGAAAGATCGTGATAAGTTAAAAGCGCACGATACCGCCAAGGATTTATACATAGATGAAAGCAAAATTGTGTACTATAGTTCCGGTTAATATCATTTCAAACCTAGCAAAATAATAAAAGTGATCCTCGCGGAAAGAGGGGCTTCTTCTCTTTGAACCTATTACACTGTAATCTCAGCATTTTTTTACTAAAAGTTAATATGATGCATCTGACGCACTTCCATCAATCTTTTGAAGCCTGTTTTTCGTTCATCGCTTACATGTTAAAGCAGCAGCTTTGTCAGTCATTTCACGCGAAATGCAAGTCTAGCTCTATAAAAAGGTTCAGATAGCGCCACTCGCCTTGCTTCTTGGGCGTCCTCTACAGAAACATCGCAATTATTGATCAAGTTTACAACTTCGGTGCAAAGTGATACTGCTGTAGAAAACGAGAGTTGATAATTACTGAAGCCCACAGGAGGCCGATAATCAAAACTTGTCAATGGTATCCAAGTCGAAGAATTTGCTAGGTCACGCATAGATATGAATATACAACAAATACACGCAAGAAACAATATGTTTCTATCCATATCATTAATGTCAAAAGAAAACAGATGTTTCCTCTATTGTAGCGCTAAGCTCCAATGAAAGGTTACAGAAGTTCTATGCTATGAAGAGTTAAAAGCGAGCAAGTAGAGTAACAAAAATTTATACTCTCATTTTTTGATCACATTAATAATCCATTTATCTGGATCAATCTTAGAGAAGGAAGTTTACTTTCTCTAAATTGCCGTTGCTTCTTCTTCCATCACCACGATCATCTCTTTTAATAGTTCCACTTAATTGGTAACAGCAACCATTTATATCCTGGAAGTGAATTGCTTTCATCTTCAATCGAAGCGTCAGGCGGAGAAAATCTATCGAAAATTCTAAGCTGAAATATAAACCAAGACAGCATTAATAAACCAAAGCAGAATTTATGATATCTATGGATGCCGTTTGTGTGAGAAAGCGTACACCAAATAAATAATAAATTCTGTTTCATCTGCATAAAAAAAAAAAACGAAGTAAAGTAACAGCAATAAGGTTTTTGATTTCAAACAACAAAACCAACCGTTTGTCAGCTGAAGAATCTTGACAATTGTAAGCTAATGATAGACAAACATCGGTTGCAAATGCCTCATTTGAACAGTAAATATCCTGAACATTCATAGTTACAATAGAACTAAAACAAATAACATTTATAGAATCGATAAATTAAGTGGAAGTGAGTTCTTGTCCGTTATATAACAATAGATTAGGAGTACTACGTCGCACACTTGATACAATTTGTCGTGTTGCATCTTTGACTAATTCCTTATACAGATTAGCGGGTGTAGGATTGTCTAATGATTTGATCAATAAGGCAGCAACACCAGCGACATGAGGAGCAGCCATGGAAGTACCTGACATAGTGGTAGTGGAAGTTTTGGATTTTATGAAAGTGCTCTTAATGTTATCTCCAGGAGCAAGTAATTGAACGCATTTGCCCCAACAGCTATAGCTTGCCATTTTGTCATTCTTATCAGACGCAGCTACAGCAAAGACGTTTGGATTACTCGCAGGGAGAACGTCACAAGCGTCCGAGTTCCAATTACCAGCAGCAGCAATTAAAGGAACACCATCATCGACTACAGCAGTGATAGCCGAGTTGAGGGCTTTTATAGCCGTATTAGATGTCTCGGATTTACGTACACCGAGAGACATATTGATGATAGCTTTTCCCTTTAATGCGTGCGTTTTAACATCCTTCGTTACCCATTGAAGTCCGGCTAATAAACTGGAAACAGAACCTACTCCCTCATCATTTAGGACTTGGACAGCAATAAGGTTTGCTTTCTTAGCGACACCATATGTTTTGCTACCAATAATCCCTGCTACATGAGTACCGTGGCCTTCTCCAAGTTTAGAAGTGTCTGAGTAAGCTGACCAACCCCATTTAGCGCGACCACCAAATTCAACATGTCCAGTATTCAAGCCGTCATCGATAACGTAGACATAAGTGCCAGAACTATGTGTTTAAGGGATTATTTTAAAGGAGCAGAAAAAGTATTAACAAATTGTATCCGTGTTACTAGAGACAGGGCTTAACTTTAGTCTGTACAAAAAGCTTACCCAGCGCCATCAGTATAGATGTAAGGCTTTGACAATGAGCGTTTACGTTCAGAAATACGAGCCAAATTCCATTGAGCTTTGGTTTGCTTCAAATAAACCTTCTTGGAAGAAGCTGGTTTCTTTTTGGAATTTGATGACATTTTTTTTACAGGGCCCTTTTTCGTGGTCGATTTCTTCTTACTATTAGTCTTATTCTTTGATGTTTTGCTGGTTGGAGCTTTCCTTGTACTGGTTTTTTTGCTGCTTTGGTTTTTTATGATAAGAGCAGAATTGTTTGAAATAGAATCTAAAACTTTATTGCTATGAGCATATCCGAGTTGAGAAGAAGTATGTTCATCATTAGGATGCTTGAACGGGCAATTGGTGTCATGTTCAAAGCTGTCAAAATCAAAATTTCCAATTCTTTTTCTTCTATGATTACTTTCAACCCGTTTGGAGCGCATGCTAGTTTTACCACTTGTACTTGACAAGTCAAATTCAATATCCTCGTCAGGAATGAATTTAATGATATCATCTGTAAAAGATGTCAACAGGTTTTGTACTATGTTTAAATGATTGAAATGAACGCTAATAGCTTTGAACGAACTGCCAAAATCATAGGCATCAAATACATGAACTTGGTCATCGCCTGTATCTCTGCGAGAAATTCGAGTGCTGGACTTTTCAAACAAATGCCAGTGAGGGTGTGATGAGTGGTTAAATATTTGAAAAGCACCTTCAATAAAGCGAGGAACGACTATATTTTTGAAGAATGAAAAAACCATCAATTATTCGAGTCGGCATAGCACAATTTGGAACGTTTTACTGTGAATAGAGCAAACTATACTACGTACAGTGTTTGATACAAGTTGTGTGGTTCAGTTGCAGGATATAGTTGCCATTTCCTGAAGTTAATAAATGTTCGAAGCTATTAGCAAATGCATGGCCGAGGAACGATGCTGCCATTAAAAGGCAGAATTGAAAGTATTTCATTCTTTGATCTTGCAGATAGCAAAAGGAAGGAGGGGAAGGGGAGTACTAGCAAATGAACGTAAGGGAAGTATTAAGTTGACAATAAGCGTGGAAGAAGGAAGATGGGGATGGAGAACTTTTTCAGCAATGTATTGTCTTAAATATAAAGACCTCGTTCATACCATTCCAAAATATGAAGTTATTTAATTGACTTGTGCAACGCAAGACGATCTTTATTTTCACTATGAGCATTGAACGTTAATACTTTGAGTGGTCTCGAATGACTCAGAACTTAACAATTAAAAGTTCCGTTCATGAATCATAGAAAAAGTTGGGTTTTTCTTCCTTTTTTTTTTTTTTTTTTTTTTCTTTTTATGGGACAGAAAAGGGACAGAAAAAATGCAACATCACTTAATTATAGAAAAGTGAGTGTATGTTAAGAATTAAAAACTGTAAATTTTAGACGATGTCGCTTACAAGTGATAAATGATTGAGTTTTCGAAGGGTATGCTTTTTTGTAATGTCCGTTGAGTTTAAGCAGTAATCAAGGTGGGTGTAACCTCAAATGATGTCTCTTCATCAGCTTCATCAACGAAATCGGCTGGGTCATAAATGACTCTAATGATGAGCGAACAGGAGGGACACTGTGCGACATCAGAACCGTCAATTAACTCGTCCTAATTGTACGTAAAGATGAATATGGCATGTTTTTACATCTCCATTGCTTGCTTTTTATAACAATCACTTACAGTGGAAATCATAAACTTGTCACCGCAGGGACAAGGATACGTATAAACATCTTCTTCCTCATTATAATCCATGTCCTCAATCTCGATCTATAATGCTCAAAAAGATTAATTCTAATGTACCTTAGTGTATAACCTAAACAGTCTTTACTTACTTCGTCGTAAAATGAAGCCATTTTCTCTCACTCTCGAGTCTGAAGGGAATTAGTAATAAAATGCAAAAAAAAAAAGAAAGCAAACAAATCAAAAAATAGGCACAATCAACTTCCCATATAAACTGTTTCTGTTCAATTGGGTCTCAGATTAAGTCACTCTTGAAAAACTGAAACCGAAGGAATGGCGGTATGAGGCCTTATCAGATGGAAACAACCTATATTTTCATTCATGCAGTTTCTTAATTGAAGTGGATCGACATGAATGCGCAAAAGCTAATTCTGGTTTAATGTAACACGAAGTGACTACTAGTTTTGAAATATGATACATACGGCCTTTCTAAAAGCCTTCAATATGCTTTTTACATATCAACCAATGTATGTACGCTAATTTCAAAACTGTCTTACACCGTTAACCGTGAAGCACAAAATCAGGTATTGACGTACAAAGAAGGGTCTGCTTTTATCAATAACTGAGAAAAAGAATAAGGTGAAATAATGGATTGGTAAATGGATTGATAGTAAGCAGAGAAGTTGTAATCTACAATAAATATAATATTAAACTCTAGAGAGACTTAATCAGTGGCAATTCTATCAGAATCAACAGGGCAATAGAGCTGTTCCGTTTCATTGAAATTAAAGACTCTCGGTTTTTGCTCTTGCTTCAAAAAGAGCTGATTCCAAATAATCTTCGAGACCCATTGATGACCTCTCAATCCTGGATGAAAACAGTCCAAATTACTACACAGCATGATTCATTTAGGTTAGATCGTTAATGCGTAATTCAATTTCCAAAAAATAACTTATTATACCTAAAGAAATCTAGAGGAAACCCTGAGATATTGATATTACTTTGTTGGTAAACTACTGCAAAATCATCCTTCTTTGTTTTTTGATACTTTTTATAAATAGAGTACAATCTTTCATTGTAAGCTAGGAACATATCAAAAAGCAAATGTTTGCCAATGTTAGAAAATCCGTTTGATTGTTACGCTAGGAATTACTGCTATCTCAATACTGGATACTTACCAGCAGATAAATTATACAACGTGGCTAAACCCTCGGGTGTCGCCGAACAAGCGCAAGAATGGTGCTCTTTCCCATTTGTTGCGTTTTGATTATGACAATACTCAGGGTGATTTGCCGTCAGCGGAAACACTTCAGAAACGTTGAAGGTGCCAATTAAGTTGATAAGGACTCGTGGAATATTTCGTTCAATCCTCTCAATAACTTTTTCAACATAGTTGCCAAATTTGTCAGGCGTCACTTCGTCTGAATAAGAAGTATTGCAGGCACCACACATATCGTTTGAGCCAATTTGAATATTGATCATTTTCCAATCCTTATCGAAATCAATATTTTTCATATTTCTCATTTCTATTCCAAGCGAAGCAAATAAATGGGTGTCAGTATCAAAGGTACGCAATTTCACGTCGCATTTTTTAATCGAGGTTCTTACGCTTAATTAGATAGTCCAATTCATGATCTAGGTTCATAGCTATCGCGCCGCTTTGGGCAGCATTCAGTTCATCCTGATCAGGTAAATCTTAATATAAGAGAACGTCAGCTTACGGTAAAACCTTCCCCGAGAATGAACTAGTTTTCTCAAACTTACAATTAGCAGCACAGTTATCAGCTATAATTAGGGGAAGAAATATATATAAGTTCGACGTCTAAATGTCTAGACAAATACATTGCTTGAATTTTACCATTGCAGTATTCGCCAATATGCTTGCCTGTTGAATATCCATTTAAACGTGGTTGAAAATGTTTGATATAGTTAGGAACTGTGTATGCTTTCTCATCGCCACCGATACTATAACTGAGTCCTCTATATTCATTATAACTGTCCAATAAACCGAGCAGCGGCGGTAGGGTGGCGTCATATCCAAGTATACCAAATCCTGCAGTAATACTAAGCAAAGTACGCGAAGCATCATTATGATACGTAAGTATCTGAGCTATTCATCTGATCTGCAAATACTTTTTACCTATCGCCCAATGCTCCCACTACTTTGATATCATCGATACGAAGATCGTGTACGCTGTTAGTTCCATTTCTAGGCGTCAATTTCGGGCAATCCGAAATATTTGTCACGCTTTTGCTGGCATTTGTTGGTGTAAAAGCACTCAGCGCCAAAAGAAGCAAAGGAAACGATAAACTAGTGAGCATTCTACAAAGAGTATCGCTGAAGAATCGAACCGTGAATCAGACGGTATAAAGAAAAGACAGGTGTAAAAAGGAGAAAGAGAGAAACATCAAAATACTTGGGCCTTAGCAAATCTGAGGAAAAGCGGACAATGGAAAAGCTGACCGATGATTACCATTCTACGACAAAATTAAAACCGAAACCGCCATCGAAACCGTATCGATCAGTAGCATAATATTGGTACTTTGGCAGAACTTCTTTTTGCTCTTCCTGCCCCATCATTTTCGCCTTCCAAAACGCATATTGGCTGTGCTGAAACCGAAGATCAGTCAAATTACCTTTTATAGCAGTAAAAGAAATACGACAAAATAATCATGTTTATTTACAAGTTATGAGTTTATTTCCATGCGATTAGCAGGTTCATAACATGTTTTTGATATGAGATTCAATTTAATGAACATCGCTATGAGGCATACATGCAGGGATATCCACTTCGGCGCCGGAAATATTCAACCGAGCCTTATAACGCTTAAATTTATTGCCGTTTTCCCTTTTCATTTCCATAAAAAGCTAGGCTCTTTCCCTTTTCCTTCCTTCTCTGTTGTATTGAGTAAGCAAACAACTCGTTAACAGCATCAATAAACTGCTGCAGGTTATAATCTAGTAATCCATACTTTTTGTAGTTGTCGTTCTTTATCATGCAAATCAACACCAATAGGCTAACAGGACATATATAGAAGATTTTAGTCGCTATTTCAGAAACGGTCCGTTTCTTGCTGCTCTAAGTTGTTTCGCAATCAGCTAACCTGTTAATTTCTTTCATGTAAAGGATATCTCCGTTTTTCAATTTAATAATGCTTGGCGCTTTCAAGGCTGGCGCCGATGCTTCAGCTGCGTCTGCAGATATTTGATAATGATTGTTGCTCTGTTTGTCAAATACGCTACCAACATTGAGATCATTGATTATATTTTCATCGTTTGGTGTGCCTTCTGAACCAAATAAAGGCTTTGAACCGCTTTGAGGACTAAAATATGGTCAGCAAAAAAACTGGCTAAATATGACATTTTTGATGTCAAATAGCCGATATATTTCTATCATTTACCCGTAAATGTAGTCTATATCAACAACTACATCAATCATATCTGAGCACAGTTCATACGAATCGATTTCCGCGGGTGTGCTGTCTGTGGCAATGTAGATCTTCGTTAGGATATCGAACAAATAGGTCTTTTCTAAGCCTGAATTCTACAATTAGAGTAGGTGAGAAAAATGACGAGCCTTGCGACTTTCTGCCATAAATCAGAACAAGATTGAGAAGCATTATCTTACGGCTCTCAATATATCAAGCAATTTCTCCAGCGCTGGTAATTCTCTTATTAACTTTTGGATGATTTTGCTAAATGCTTCATAGATTGAGTTATCATAAATAGTCGTCATATGATAAAACAAATGTATATCTTTCTCCTGTTTCGAGTCTATTAAATATTCATACATTTTCGTGATGATGTCGTTTCTAACGTCTATGCAGTTGAACGCCATATAAAGATCAATAACTGACTACAAAACGCTAACTTTCGTCGATATTTTTCCTATTTACCTTCTTTATGCTCCTCAGTCAGTCCATCCACTTTATGAATCAGAATTTCAAAGGTGATTTCAGGATTTATCTGGTAAACTCTAACAATCGTATACTGTAATCTATGTAAAGCATCCACATAGTCATCTTGAGCATCAATGACGAAAACAAGCGTTCCTACAGTGCCAAATATTTCCCTTGTATTATAAGGTGAATCGTCAAAATAATCAATTTGGCCAGGAAAATCCCATATTTGGAAGTCTATGAATGATCGACTTCAAAACGTAACTTATCAGTGGCCTGTTCTCTGTCTTTCTCTATTGACCTCGAACTTTTTTCCTTCTTACGCGACTTCTTCTTTCTCAATCTTCGATGTACTTTCTAAGAATATTGTATCGTGAGGTGCCATATTACCAAAAACAACTGCTTGTATACTTGATTTCCCACTTCTAAAGATAATAGCGGTTCCAGTCATAGAAGAAATTGAATCTTTTAGTCCAAAGGCCTTCAAAATCCGTACCACATCCCAACGGCTAATGCAAGACAGTGTAGTCCATTTTTACCTAGGTAAACCCATCAATAAAATACGTGGTTTTTCAATGGGTGAAGCCATCATGACTTTAGTGGTAACGGGTAAGCTGGAGCAATATGCTTATTAGGAAGCATGAATTTGAAAGCCATTATTTAATTGTTGGATTGGCATACCCTTTATCTGGTGTATAGTGCGTATAAGAAAAAGAGCCCTATATAACATTGAGGACCAAGTTGAGATACTTGTTTATTAATCGGGTATTTTATCTTCGACACATACGTTCATTGAGGATATATATTGCTGCAAGACTAATTCGAGAAGAATAAAGGCAACAAAAATGAAGCAATTAAAGGTCATTCATAGTGAAAAATGGTTGCGTCTGATGTCGTGCAAAGAATCTTTGTGTTCAGAATTGAAGTCATTCGATTCGAATACAATAACAAATCCATTTGTACACAAGTATATGCTGAAGTTGACAGAATTTCAGTTTACGGCTGATTTCAGCGAAACTGATCTTGCAGCAAATTCTTTTCTCTTATGCAGACTATCTCAAAATCCGGAGCTCTTCTTTCGAGTATATCCTTTCATAACTATTCTACTTACAAGAGTCTTATCGGTACATAATTATTTTCCCTGTTTCGTTTCTGCTGACGTATGCTGTTTGTTCTACTGTGTTTTGTATGATACACCAAACTATAGCCTAATTGTGAAGCAAAACTGCATATACGAATTGTAACAACCGCCTTGAACGAGATGACCCTCCTTCATCGAGCGGAAATTCAAAAATATGATTATGCGACTGCACCACCCCCAAGATTGTCAGAAGAAGCTGTCAAATTGGATTCCCCGCTTTTTCTTTTTCAATTTCTGATTTTCTTCCAGGGACACAAAAAGCCTCTTTTATAGTTTCTTCTTTTTACGCTTTTTTTGCTCAACTTTCAACAAATGTCCAACAAGAGACAGAAGCTTGATGATAACGTCGAAAGCAAGTTTTATAAGGGTTTATTCGAGCATGAATCCTTAAAGGCTATTGAAGAATCTTTCAAACAGTCCAAGCCATATCTTCATTGTAAAATTGACCAGCTTTTTGAAGATGGTTTGTTGAGAAGAGTTCAGAAAGAGATTTTACGTAGTTTACACTTTACTTTAAAGGAGACAGATATATACAAAGTACATATAGCATGGTAACTCTCTATTTTGTAATGTATCGGCCCGTTAACTTACTATCGATATTGGCAATATCTAACAAAAGGTACTCCAGACCGGCGATTTAGCGAATCTTGATGGTCTTCCTAAACATGAACTGGAGCAATTATCGAGCTTGTTCGAACTTCGCAATAGCATATATTCGTCTGAGTTCCGTTCCTTCATTTCTCAAGTAACAGGCTGCGGCCCTTTATCTGGATCTAAAATGGATATGAGTATCAATTCTTACCAAACTGGCTGTCACTTGTTAAACCACGATGATGTGATTGGCACTCGTCGAGTGTCGTATATCTTATATCTGACGGATCCTGATATTCCTTGGCTACCTAAAGAAGGTGGTGCTTTGGAATTGTATCCTGTCATAAAGAAGGGTACACCTGCATCCGAGCCTACTGTCAGCATCCCTCCTCAATGGAATCAATTTGTAATGTTCACAGTTCAGCCTGGTCATTCCTTCCACTCAGTCGAAGAAGTGGTCGGAACAGGAAACCGTTTAAGTATTTCTGGGTGGTTTCATATACCTCAAAAAGGAGAAATCGGCTATGATCCAAATGCAGGCAATGAAGAAGACGTTGCAAAATCATCACTACAACAATTGCAAGAAGAGCAAAATGCGGAGGATTACTATACACGGTATGCCGTTCAGAATCCTCAAGAGGAAGAAATTGTAGGACTTACAGAAGATGTGCTAGTAGACCTAGCAGAGTGGATGAATCCCCATTATTTGGATTTGAAAGTGATATCCCAAATGTCGGAAAAGTTCTTGGATGAATCAGCAATTCAATGTAAGCAATTTTTGAGTGAAGCTACCTTAGCTAGGTTGGAAAGTGCTACTATTGCCTTGGATAAGAAAGACAACTTGTATGAAAATAAGGAAGGTATTGTTCCTCATGGCACAGGCGTAACGAAAGACTGGGTAGTTCAAGGTCCACCACATCAACTCAGATACATGATCAACAAGAGCACAGATAAGAATGACGATATCTTTGCTTACTTGAGATCTAAGTTCGAATCGGAATCTTTTAGACTATGGTTGAATTCGATTGTACAAATTCTGCCTATTGGCTATCGTGGTGAGGCACGACGCTTCCGTCCAGGACATGATTATACTTTAGCCACTACCAACAAAAGAAGTCAAGGAGTATTGGATGTAACTTTTTGTACAGTGGATAAGGCAGCTTTATGGAAAGACGGTGACATTGGCGGTTATGAATGTTATATGGCACCGCATGATGATGAGGAAGACCCTGCTACATATAAAGCGGCTGATGAGGATGGTGCATTATTGACATTACCTGCTGGGCATAATGAACTATCAATTGTTCTGAGAGACGAAGGTGTTATGCGGTTCATAAAGTATGTCAGTGCAAAATCGCCAGGATCAAGATGGGATATCTGTTATGAATACGATTTACCTGATAAATCTGATGATGAAGAAGAACAAGAAGTTGAAGTAAATGATATTGAACAATGAAAACAAACTTTTTAGTCATTCATCAGTGGCTGAAAATCTTACCTTTGCAAATCTCTTACTTCCAGAACCCTGTATATATTCATAAACCTCTGCAAGTAACTTCCTTTCTATTTATATAAACGCTTGTATTCCAATAGAAAAACTGCCTATGTCTTGTAAAAAGCTATTTTCATAAATGAAGTGACTATAACTTTTCGCTTAATTCTTTGGATGATATTTGATTTGTAATAGTCCTAGATAAGGTCGAATGAAGAACGATTTGTTGGAGCAGTTCTCAACTTTGATGTCTCAACGTGTATACATAGTTCAAAGGGCTTAAAACTGAGCTCTTTCCATAACTTTAGTCAGAGACAAATAATCATAGTAGCTCGTTTATGCTAATCGAATGTGTTTATTCATTTAGAAACACGAACAAAGAAGTTGCCTATCCTCATTTCACACCTCAGAAGTTTTCCAAAGGGTGGGTTAAACGTGGCTTGTTATTTTCAAGTGCGGCAATACTCGACATCAATATAATAGGTATAAATATTGCATTTGTTTATGAAATCTTTAATGTACAATGAAGATAAATATATGGAGCAAACTGCAAGCTAATCACAATTTTATGCTATAATATAGAGCAAAAAGACAGATGTATGAAAATTGTTTTAGAAAGTGGAAATAATTGCGGCATTATTGTTGAAGCGGGTCTTGCTCGAAGGGTATAGGATCTTCCTCAATACCGATTTCTTCTTTCAGTTGATTTGGATTACCAGGATAATGCTCAGTAATAGTCCTAAAGATGTCTCTGAACTGTAGAGAACAGCTGTATTATAAAAATGAAAAATGCAAACCTTCGGTCTATGGTTCAGTAACTTTACCATGCCTCGTCTCTTTTTCCATAAGTTTCTGTTCCGTTCATAGTCTTCATTAGCTCTCTTTCTCTTTTCTGGTGGGATTAGAATGGTCCCACTCTTTAAATTATTCAATTTCTCTTGTAATTGCTGATTCTTTTTACGTGATATGCGTCAATGATTGATAAATGTTTTGAACGAGCATTGTAGCTACACTCACTTACTGACCTGCTGTTTTAATTTTTCTACTAGTTCCTTGGCTTCTGCTGTGGTTGGCTCATGTTTGATACTTGACAACACTGTATAACCGAATTGTTGCTAATTAATTTGCGCAGTCCGATAGATAGCATGTTTCAAGAATGTTGACAGGAAATACCTTGTTCGGCTTTTTTATTATCTTGGGCTAATGCATCATACTTTTCTTGTAATTCAGCTGTTTTTTTCTCAATTGCTTCGACTTCTTCTGGTGTCGGCTGATTGTCGGTCTGCTGTTTCACAGAATAAATGACCTGTTTCCCGTACGTCTTTGAAACGACAACCTCATCTTCAATCAATTTATCAAGTGTTTTCGTTATGTTGCCCTTAGATATTGTCGCATGCAAATTGTTGAATATATCAGCTATGAGGTATATATTAGACCGTACAATGAGTGAGTAGAAAAATGATGGTGAAGCCAATGTTATTGCGAGATAATAATTTGTCATATACTGGCACTATATGGTCTATTGGTTTTGGTTAAATATTCTAAAATGATCGATTCTGACAATTATAAAAGTAAAAAGCTGTGACTTAGACTCAATCCAAAATCCTTAAATAACTGATTCTCGCCGTTACCTTCTTCCTTGTTGGAAGTGGCATTCGTTTTCTTCTTTGGCATTGATGTCAAAAAGTCAAATTGTTTTGTTAGGGAAGAACGAATATCAGCTCAGTTCGAAGTTTCCTTTTATATTCGGGTCTTTAAGGTCAGGTGTGCCAGTAGGAAAGGGTGAACAAGCATTTTTATGGAAATTACATACTTTACTCAAGTGCACATCTCAAGATGCTGAGAAACGTACTCCCATTTGATACACAAAGTGGAATAGCTGTCGTAGTTTACTTACTAGCGGGAACTCTCGGCTTCTATTACTTGTTATTACGTGACAGAAGAGTTAGTTTATCAAAAAAAATATACTTCCTGATTTGCCGTCGAGATCTAAAAGAGGCATTGCTGGAGATTGAGTTAACAAATCGCTGTAAGAGTACCCGTTACATACATTAAGAAGGCTGAGACAGCACATCTCAACTATTACATTTTTATTAGCCGAACCAGGAATCATTGCCGATAATACACAATACGTCAAACTGAATGGACATACGCTTCGAATTGTGCATATTATTCACGAATTAGGCAGCAAAGTGCCATTGATAGTGTTTATTCACGGTCTAGGAGGCCAGGTACCAAAGATAGCCAAATGAGATTTCTGCAGCGCAAGCGCGTATGAACTGACCTAAAATCTCTTTCTTCTCACTTAAGGTTTCACAATGGAAGTATCAGATTGAGTATTTTTCTAAAACAGCCCACATTTTAGCTATTGATCTTTTGGGTTGCGGTAAAAGTGAAGTAGCGAAAGAGTAAGTTTTCATAAAGAGAGTTTATTGCTTTGTATAATATCGCACTGGAACAAGCGATTAAAACCGTTATTATCGTGCTTGATCTAGCTGGGATTCTTACAAAACTGCTTCACTAGTCAACGATATCAAAACATTACTCTTAGAACGTTACAACTACCCTTCGACTGTTATTATTGCGCACTCTTATGGTTGTGCACTTGCCTCTCTCATTGCTGCATCACCGGACGTTCAGCCACTTTTGAAAGGCTTGGTTTTAATAGCACCAAAAGCACATATTAATGATGCACAATTGAAGAGCAAAGAACGATTAAAATTCATACCAGACTGGTTATTTGATTGTGCTAGAACAGCCGATAGAAAAGGAGGGCTTTATTCAATAAGTGTTGACCGCTTACTGAATATGAAAGATGCGAGTGAAGACATACGTAGAGAGTAAGGTTATCCACCATGACAATATTATTGATCCATGTCTTGACAGAAGAGACACACGAGTTAACTATGCACTATTGTAGTCAATTGTGCTGGAACTTACAAAGTAGATCTGCTGTCTATAAACGGTTTGTAAGCGGTGCCACTTTTCCATCCAGAGATACGTACCAAAAAATTGAGACTGGCGTATTGTTGATTGGTGGTAGCGTGGATTCAATTACTCCTCCGGCAGAGATGAACATCATCCGAGATTATTTACTTGGAATAGAACCTCTCAGTGATCTCATACAGCAGCAGCAACCAGTGGATACAACAGTGACACGAAAGCCAAACAACAGCAACACTCGCGTTCCTGTTCCTTATATCATTCCAGACGTGGGACATTTACCTATGGTTATTCGTCCCGAACTGGTCAATCCAGTAATCTCAGAATTTCTGATAAAGAATTGTAGCCTAGATACATTAAGTGGTGCATGGCAAATTCTGCATAAAACCAAAGGTGAGAATAAGTGGGACTTGAAGAATTATGCCAAGGTAAGATAACGCACGTTCAATTGATTTTTCGTTTCAGCCTAAATATCGAATACTTTTTGATTGGTTAAGTGGGCTGGCATTGCCAACATTACAGAAAAACCCGTTGGGCCATCATTATTTAGGGCTATGAAAGTGATGCGTCAAACAGATACCTCACATTGCCCATCAGCCCTTCTGGCAAAATATCCTGATATCCGGTTTATAATCGATATCTCCAATGACACACCGCCTTATCGTTCAAGCGACTTTGAGCATTCCCGTATTGAGTATATCAAATTCAAAACAGTATCAAAAATACCTCCTACGAAAGAAGAAGTGGCCAAATTCATTGAAATTGCATCTTCTTGTTGGAAAAAGATACCAGATGCACAGATTGCTGTACATTGCCATTATGGGTTCAATAGAACCGGGTTTTTTATATGTTGTTACATGATTGAAAAATTGAAAGTTTCTGTGCCTGATGCTTTAAAGTATTTTAAAGAAGTGAGGCCACCAGGAATAAGGTAGGTGGGCAGTATTATTATTATTTTTTTAGTTGTATTAAGGATATAAGTGACAAACAACAAAAATTCCTTCCAAACACATCCATAGACATGCGCATTTTATTGATGAGCTTTATCTGCGCTACGTGCTAAATCAAAGAGCTTGATAATATGTGGATTCTCATATCAAACAACATTCTCCAATCTCCATTGAGCACAGATTATAAACATAATGCCGTGTACGCAAAAGAATTCAACGATAGGCACGTTCCCTTATCTTTCATTCTCATCTTGCTTTCATTGGAACTTACACGAAAACTACAATTAAAAAAAAAAAACTAGTTGATCGATCTTTGTTGGTCATTCTATAACTATACTCTACTAATCGTAATCACCCAAGTGTATCTGAACGAAATACCCGCACCTACCTTCTCTATCATGTATATCGTTCTTTTATATGAAGGTCAATTACGAAAGTTTAAGTGCGCTTAGAGCAAATATGCACCAGTTGAAGAGGAGTAACAGTAAAGATAACATCCTGCACACATACATTTCGTCCTCGAGGTTAGCGTCATACTCACATTGTTAGAGTTGCTTATATCGATGCATAGTTTTCTAATGATTAATTTAGACGCTTATGACCCCTTGTGAGATTTAACTTACAACTTCTCTAATTGTTCAAATTCAATACTTGATATTGTTTACTACTTGACAAACCGCTTCTCCAGTATTTTCGTCACGTCTGAATGTTTTACTCCACTTCGTTCATATTATTTGATTAACCCTGAAGCAACAAACACATAACTGGCTTTGATCTTCCCCTTTCCCCCATGTTAATGTAGCTCCTTACTTTGAGATTCTTTCTCCAATACATCTCCTTTTTGTATGCCCCAGTATTCAATCCTGGTTTTTTTTTTTTTTTTGTGCTTTTTCTTTTTGTTCTTCTTCCTATTATAGAATCCCTTCTTCTAACTATTTATACCTTTTTCTTTTCTCATTATTCCCTTTGAATACCTAAACCAACTTTTTACTTCCATCTCTCCACTCTAAAAACTATGCCTTGTCTAGGAGCTAGAAAGAAATCATCTAATATTCAAAGCCAAAGTAAGAGAAAATATAGAAAAAATCCTTACACAAAGGAAGGAAGCATTACTGATCCGATTAACCAACATTTTATACAGGCCATGCCGGTGATATCAGAAGCGGTAATGTTTCCGTCCATCCTGCTGATCTCGATCAGTTAAAAAGGGAAAATGCCGAACTAAAATCAAAAGTAGGATTGATACATTAGTGATCAAGTTGTACCATATAAAAGGGCCATTGTTTACTAATTACATGTGCCATTAATTAGAACAAAGAGAATTTGGCTATCATTGCTAAACAAGCAGCAGAAATTGATGATCTAAAAGAAAAATTGCATGCGTCCATACTCTCCAGTAAAGATGCTGTTGATCATGAAAGCAAGACGGATGTTGCTTCCATCCTTTCTTCCGACAAAGCTATCACAGATGAAAAGCACATCAGTCAAACACAGCAATCAGAACATACAATGACAAAGGAAATTGACGAAGATGAAGTTCTATCACTTTCAGTCAGAGAAAATTCTGTTAATAACACTATAGCCAAAAGCTCAATGGCAAACAATAAAGAAGAAAGCCTTCGCCAATTATTGTTAGAGAAAGATAGTCTTCTTGAAAAGAAGCAATTGGAGTTGGAACAATATAAACAGCAATGGGAGATAGAAAGAGCCGAACTTACAAAACCCGCTTTGGAGCAGGTCACCAAGCAGCTTGAAGAGTTAAGAGATACTGTAAGCTAAATAATCTTGTCTGCAAAGAAAAAAAAGTAAAAGAGGGGGTTGTAGTGCACCTGAATGCATAAACTTAATATTTATTGCTAACAACTTTTTTCATCTATTTTTTTTTTTTTTTTTTTTTTTTTTTTTTGTTTAGAATAAGTTGGTAACTGAGAGATTGAACGAAAAGGAAAATGAACTTGCAGAGCTTCGCTCTGAACTGAACCGTAGAGAAAGAAAACCCAAGCAATCCTTATCGAAAGACGAAGAGAATCAAAGACGTCTGAATAGATTGACAGTGGACTTGGAGAACGACCGTCTTTTAATGCAGAGACTAAATGATCTAAATCAGCAGTTAGAGGTAGTATACCACAGTTTTAGTGTTCACATAAGACACAGAACTGTCCACATATTTTAACGAATTTCTGCTTGGTTTTGAAATAGGCACAAAAGAAAAAACATGAAACTGTATTAGAGGCACATGCAAAAGTATTGGCTGAAAAAGAACAAGCCCTTCTCCAAAAACAAAAGACCATCAAAGAGCTCAAAATTAGCAAAGAAAACGATGCCAAAACATTAGAGCAAGAACATATGCATCGTCTCAAAAAGCTTCAACTACAACATGAAACAGACATGGAAGAGTTAAAAGTGCGATTAAAGAAAGCAGAAAATAAAGCAAGAATGAATGTAGACAATGAATTAGACATGATTCTTATTGAGTTTGAACAATCCCAACATAACCATTCGATGCAAGTCGCACAGCTACAGAAGTCATATGAGGATCAAATCTCTGCTATGAAACTTGGCAGGGACTCAACTTCATTACCAGTGTCACCTTCGACCTCTACTAATATCACTGCAAGTACAACAGATAGATATTCCTCTAACCAGCAGAAAACAGGCACAATATCTAAATTAAAGAATAATTCCAAGTTTGTTTGGCCGCCTGTTGCTTGATTAGCATAGTTTATATTCTAGTAGTTTTTTTTAATTATGAGTACAATAAAATATTCGACCAATGTATGCAAAGATTACATACATATTTTCGTAAATATAATGTTTAACTATAGTAGATATTATTTGCTGTCACGACTATAGATGGTATAGCAGCAATTATTGATTATGTTAGCAATATATATTAGGTGCATCAGTTTAAATAAATGATATTAGAGAAAGCTAGGTGAATGGTTGAATTTGTTAGGCACGGGCTATTTTTTCTCTTAAGGGACAATGCCTGAATAATTAGCAGCAGATAAAGGACAGTGGTCCAAGCTCTCAGCATCACCATTACCCCACCAATCTGCTTGCCAATTCGTTCCCGAGACGACACCAAAAATGATAATACCGCAAATGGCTACACCTGAATCAAAAGCAGCCGAAGTGATATAGTTGTACTTGGTCCACCAGTCTCTGTGATACTTGTGAACATACCACATAAAGACAATACCAGCAGCGAACCACATGGAGAAGTTAAGAGGAACAGCAGGAGGCATCATACCGGTAGCGCTGAAAATCAAAGGCAAGTGAATATACTTAATCCAGCTGTTAGGGTATCTCTTGGATAAAAACCAGAAGGGTATAGGAATGAGTAAACCGACGAGGAACATCCAGAGCATTGAGTTGTAAGGCGATTCAGGGCCGAACATTCTTTCAGGACCAATAGCGCCCCAGATTACAGAAGCAGAGTAGAAAGTGCGGGCGCTAGGGCATGTGAAAGGATAAGCGGCAGGGGTGCAAATATCTTTGACGGTGTCCATGAGCCATGTAGCGGTAGCCAGATTGACAAAACCAGCAATAGCGGTACCTAACAATTGGACAAAGAACATAGCCTTGGGTGGAATTTTAGTGTAATGACCAAGCTTGAGATCGCCTACAAACACAAGAGCTTGATACATAGAGATATAACCGTAGGTCTTGAAAACGACATTGGCAATAGGATGACCAGGACGGGCATAACCGATGATAAATTCAGTGATAACGTTGAGACCGGGTTGCTGGTTAGTAACGGCTTGAATGATGCCGATAGGAAGAACAAAGATAATAGAAATAATAATTGCCAGAATAAGACCCCACCATGGTAAATAAATTGGCCAGCGGTAAATGACAGCAAAGGAAACACCGAAAGCGATAAGAAAGATAGCAATATACCACCAGTGAGGAACTTCAGGATAGGCGCGCATCAATTTGTGGTGAATGTCTTCATTGTTCTTCTGACGGGAGTTCTTATATTGTCTTATAATGTCTTTACCATGATACAAAAAGGTATGTGTCAGAATACTAGTGACACCAGCGAAACCAATACCGTAAGTGAATGCAAAAAAGGTAGACATGCGAAGAGGGCCATGTTGAGCATAGAGTTCAGGATCCAGAATCTTTTCAGGAGTCAATACCAATGAATTATCCCAAGGTTCGCCTTTGGCATTGAAGAGGCCAGAAGTAATAATTGGATATGTTTTCGCATCCCAGACGTTAGTGTAATACAAAAGAGGCACAACAATCCAAGCGATAATCACAAAACCTATACCAATATTCATGATTGCAAAAAGAGGAACAACCAGAGGAGAGCCAAGGTAAGATGTGATGGTAGCCCAATCGAAAGAAACACCCAATATACCGAGGCCGTTTAAAGTACCTGTTACCTGGGACAAAACAAGATTGGATGGCTTGATCCAGCAAGCCCAAGAGAAAAATGTCAGTATTTGGAAGAAATAACCAGGGAGCCAATAGTAAACGAACATTCCAACAAAACAGTAGAGGAACCAGCGCATACGGCTAGGGCCAGTCCATGTATTTTCGTTGTTATGGAAAGTCTGAAAGAGAGAAATGTTGGCCAGGTTGGCAGGCCAAACCATTGCAGAGGGATATACCAGGAAAGGGCGAAGTACACCAGCCATACCATACCCAATAAACTGAGTAGTCCAAACCAGCAAAATACCACCTCCCCATCCCAAGTTTTGACCATAAAAGAGCCGTTGAATGGTTACTATGTCCACAGCATAAGCTGTGACATATGAGCAGTTCGCCATAACGGTAATCAAAACGTGCTCCTTCATATTGAATGGACCGGGATTGAAGAATGGAGACTTGGGAATGACTTTTTCCATTATTTTGCCTAGAGGGAAAGTCAGCAATTGGACGACCAGAGGTGATAAACTCAAGGCATTCTGCCTGTAGAAAAAGAATTGATTGACGAAACTGAGCAAGGCAGCAAAAATGATGCCTAACGACCACATGCGAAATGTGTATACGGGAAGCGAAGGATCATCAGTGCTAGATTTGAAATAGAAAAATTTAGGGAAAAGTTTGTTTTAATTAAAAGATTGCTCGTCAAAGACAAATGACTGTTCACATGCAATTGTTGTTATAGTCAATGATAGTTACTTTGAAACTACAGCGCGTACTTCCTCAATAGGTGAGTCTTCCTCATCGTCCATATGCTTTGTAGATGACTTTTCTACATCATCCAAATATTGTTTTTCTTTTTCTGGAAGATACTCATCCATTTTATCAGATGTTATGACAGTTTCGGTAACGACATAATTGTTTCCGCTTGAAAGAAAATCCTCCTTCTTCTCCGTTGAGGCTATGCTTGTTGCTACCATGTCCTTTTACTCAAGATAGCGTTCTGGCTCTTTATATGTGGAATTTCAAGAAAAAAGAATAAAGGAAACGAGAGAGAGAGAAAGAGAAAGGTATCCCTTCTTTTTCGATTTATCAATTTTTCCTTTTTAAATATAAGGGACAGACTGCAAGAGTGATTCATGTTATAGCCAGTTTTTGTCCTACAAAACGTGCTCAAACCTTTTTCATTTTGAAATTACAAGCATCCTTTAAACGGACATTCTTTCTTAATTTGGCCAAAAGCGCCAAATCAAGAAGATGAACAATTGAACGTCATTTTTAAGTCTTTTAAATCTTTTCACCGTCTATCTCTTATAGATCAAAACCAGAAATCCTCTAATTTGTTGAGATCTGTAGGCAACAAAAAACAATGTTCAATTTTCACATTTAAGAAACACTCCTTCTTTGGATCAAAGCTGAATCCAGCGCTTTGCCAGAAGCACCAATTAAGTAACTTTTCTTCTATCAGTCAACTTTCGAGAAACCTCAAAATATCAATTGAACGGTCTGTGCAACGAGAAAATCTATGAAAGGCAAAAAAAGCAAAATTGAGACCCCAATAATCACCTGCTCACGATTTTTTAGCTCTTTCCATATCTGCAGTGGCCTTAATGTGAGATGAACCGACAGTGCTCTTGTACTACTAGTTGTGCTCCTTGTACAAATAGTCAACACCTGTTTATTGACAAATGTAATATCTCCCTCAAGTAAAAGCCTTCATGCTTCAAATAATACCATTACATTTCCAAATAATTGCTTACGTTATGGCTTTATCCAACTTATACAACAGCAAAGTGGATCTACAAGACTGTAATGGTATTCTACTTATGAAAGCTGTTTCGCGTACAATTCTTCGAACTGTCGATTTTGGAATACATGCATTTATCAAACTTTGGAAATGAAGGTTGTACAATCACACTCTAAGAACCATTAAATAGGAATTGTTTCAATTATGCGGTAACAGTTTAAGGACATCAAGTATTACAACTAACGAGCATAACAGTGGAAGGAATTCAGATACAAAATGTTTACGTGATTCGAATGAATGACTAATGACAGTAACTAGGCAAAGTGAATCATAATTTCAGAGTACAATGTTGCAATAACCAAGCGCAAAGTCTAGCAGGTACACAAATAGTAACAGAACTTCTTAATGTCGGAATGAATTATGAGAGTTATACCACCAAAGGAAAGTTGCACTGTGCAGTTTTAAACAGTTAATCGGAGTGTCGTTCCCTGTTCTCCCCGCCTATTTCACATTTTGTTTAAAACGATCTGAACAGAAGAAACTGATTATCAAAATCAAAGAGGAATCAGAAGGGAAAAGTATTATAAAAGAAAAACGATCGAAAGTCACAGGGTTAGAAAACGATAAAACCTGGATCAATGAAATAGAGTCTACGGTGTTATCATTACTGTTGGAAAGATGTAAATAACTGATTGTCCTGCATTGCTATTATATACACGCATCACAATGCTGAATTCTGTAGAGATAGCGAGATCTGAAAGAAGCTCAAGGCTAACTGCTAAATCACAAAGTTACAGAGGCACTAAGATCATTTTATCAACATACAGCAATTCAAATCAAAGATTCAAAGAATCGCTATACCGACTAAGGCTTCCTAACAGCTGGGAAAGTACGCCGAAAGAACTTAAAGCTTTGCTTTGCATCTAGTCAAGCTGTTTTAACTGACATTAAACACAGTTAAAAAGTAATTTTGTACACTACACTGAATAGAGGAATAGAAGACAAGGATGAATGGGAAAAGATCAAAAAGCCCATCAACTATGCTTGGCCCAGTTGTACGCCATTTTAAAAATAGTGTTGCATGGATAAAGTCGAGAATATGTTAAAACCGCATAAGCTTGAACAGAAGGATCAAAATATCTCAGCACTCACAAGCACATTTAAGGCGTTTTACTACAGTATTTTCGGGTTTAATTTAGACTTTTTTGTATAAAAAATTGGATATTTTTATTGATTTAATTCAGAAAATTTGAGTCATTATTTTCGGACAAATTACTTTTTACATTTGGACACTTGTAGTAAACATCTGTGGCCCGCCTCTTTTTGCACGCATTTGTTGCAGTAAGTTTTGTTGTTTGATCGGCCCAGAAGAATTGCATACATTCTCCTTAGCTGCCATTTGAACTGATAGTCCAGTTGTATTCAATGTAAATGACTCACAATCCTGTATTCTCATTGACTGCTCAGCGTCTCTCTTGATCTAAAATCGTGTCACTTTAGTGTCATTTTTCCCTTGAAGAAAGCAATAACAATAGGTGATTGTATAAATTAAGTTAAACGCCTGTTTCTTGTCAGTAACTGATGAAGTGATAAATAAACGTGTTTCGATTAATAAACGTGTCTCGATTTGATGTCAAAATTTAGCGCGTCTAGATTGTTCTTGTTGTCAAAACTTTGTTGTCCAAATATAACATTCTAACAAAAAGTATTAGTTTATTAAAAGATGAAAAGTTGGTACCTTTTCCCTTTTTTTATCAGAGTCTAGTTATATCCTTTGAAGAATTATTAAAGAAGTGTTAACAGTGGATCATCAGGTAGATTAAAATAAGATCTCATCACGACCTACTCACAACGACTGTACTGTACATATTTTGTTTGTAACTGAGTGTTTGTATCTTTTGAGTAGCTTTTTTATCATGCCGTCAAGAGAAGCAAAAGTTTACCTTGAAGCAAAGTTGAAGAAAAAGCAGCAAGGAAATAAAGAAATTCAGTTCATGATTGCTGTATTCTGTTTACTATTCGTTTATGTACTTTAACAGAATTGTTGAACCACCAATTTTTTAGAAACATGTTTCGATTGCGGACAGGAAGGACATGCCTATAAGGGCTCATACTTGTGTCCAGAATATAATGGTAACAGATAGCTGAAGAGGTAGTATTTCCTGTTCATTTTCACTGATATTCTGTTCGTACGCTTTTCTAGCCAAGAAGCGGAAGTCCGGAAAAGACGAATACGAAACAAAGCAAGCTAAAGAGAAGGGCAAAAAGAGAAGGCTAGAAGCGAGAAAAGCATCGCCATTGAATACTGTGAGTTTAAAACCTCAAAGGTGGATCCCAAATTGCCTAATCAAGTGCCCTTCTCTAAAAGTAATGTCATTTTCGTAGGTTTGTAACAATTGTAATGGTGTCGAAATGAAAGAAATACGAATTTCGGACGGCTCCAGCGTCTATGGTACCAAGGCCTGCAAAACCTGTGGTATAATATGGCAAAGAGACGTCAATGCGGCCAAAAATATGCTTACTATTGCAAATTCCGTATGGAAACACATGACCGCCCCGACATTTCCTGCCACCATCGCCATGACGAAAATGGTGCTGCAGGTTCTATACCTACGGCTCAAAGATTTTTACGCGTTTAGGTGAGTTTATCTTGTGAAATTTGTCACTGTACATTTCTGGGGTTTTATTAACTGCTGCTTGACGTTACTACATACTCAAACAGGGTAGGTATTCTGTTCCAAAGCACAGTATATTTACCTTGTTTGAGTAAGAGTAGGTCGCACATTTGACATTGATTTTTTTTTTTTTTTTTTTTTTGTAGATTATTTTATTTAAAATAATAAATTAGTCACACATCGCTGAGGGATGGGACATGGAGAGGAAAGGAAGATTTCTATGACAAGTAAATTTAGTCGAAAGCAGCCGCTTCCCGCATGAGCTGCGAGGAAGACAGGCTCAAAGAAATTATGTTGTATGCTTTACTAGAGACGGATGGGGGATGAAAAGGAATATCATGGAATATCATTTGAAAAAATGACGTCCAGATAGCCCAATGGATACTGAAGCAGACGGTGAAAAGTCGAGATTGCTCGGACGAAGGTAGTGATGGTGGCGATTGTAATCTTAGGGCGGCGGAGATGCTTTGAGGATCGAAGTCGAAGGATGGGAAATATATCGCGAGTCCTTCTTGCCATATCTGCCAGCGTGGTGGACAACTGGTTGTAAAATGTTCGAACGTATCAATATCATGATTACAGAGTCTGCAGGTAGCAGATGAAACTACCCCTGCGGCTTGTAAGACTGATGAGCAAGGTAATTTTTTCAAAATGGTGCGATAGCCTAGGTCACGAGCCGGAAGAAACAAAGGAAGGGACCAGAACAGGGTGAACATCCGTTTGGGGATCACCCCTATACCTGATGCTTGTTGCATTTGGATGTGATGATGAAGTCTAAACGTTGAAGCCGAATAATGACGCCAAAGGTTACTGTTGGCCAATCGTCGTAGTAGTGTAATTTCCAATGACTTATCTGGGTCGTCGGTAGTGATAGAAGAGCCTGCCGGCACCCTGTGGATATACGGGTGAAGTTGAACTGTAGCATCGGTGAGCAATTGGCCCAAGAGATGTGAAAGCAACCGCGGTTTCACATTATATTCACCTGGTCGTTTCATTATGAGGCGGTTAGTGGACTGGTCGTAGCGGAAAAAGGCGTTGGCAAGCATCTTGGGATGGCGTTCTAGCCAGTGCGACTCTGGTAAACGTGTAAACAACGAATGTAATGGGAAGAGTAACAAGCTCTTGAGTGGAATATCCTCCAATGGGAGGGTAACATTCAAATGATCAAACGCTGTGAACATAATCGGTATAACCGAGGTTGGATGACAAAGATGAGGAGAACGATGAATAGCGCAAAAGAAAGGAAGTAAGGGACTAGTAAATGTGATGCCCATCAACCGGAAATGATGGCGAAGGAGTACTTGAACTAGGGAAGGCTGTGGTGAGAATAACATTATTAACCATTTCATTTGCAGAATTAAATGTTGCATCGCAACATTTAACAGACCAACTCCTCCTAAGTGTCTGGGCATTAGAAGTCGAGCATAGGAAACTAGTGGGAATTTTTTCCGCCATACAAACTGATAGCTAAGTTTCTGTAAGGCTTTGATAAAGGTTTTGGTAGGATGGAATATACGAAGACAGTACCAAACTTTGGACAATATAAGTGTATTCATTA